CGTTGAGAGCGCGGATAAGGATGGTATGTAGATATCCTACCACCAATAAAACAACTGGCTCGAAGTTGGTATATCCGAGTGATTTGAGTTTCCGGGTGGGAAACAGACATCAAGCTCAAAGGGCAGTAGATATATAAAGTCGTTGGTATAGCCCGAAGGGGTCGGACCTAGTTATGGCATGACTCGCAGTTCCTCTTTCCGTTAGGCTAGCTTTGCCCAGCTCGGACAAATCACGCGGTGGCGACTGGCCCGCGGAACTGTTTTGGGGGAAGCCATAGGAGGCTGATTGATGTAGCCAGATCGGCATCTATAGTACTGTCAGCTTAATATCGAGCCCGTGACCGGAAAAGACGGCCGAGTAGTATCTACCGTAGTTCTTCATGCACGTAAGGTTGTTACGATTCGTCCGAGCGGGATACGGAACAGATGGTAATGGAGCAGGTAGACAGTCCAGGGTACCTATGTAGAAACTGTAAACTCACCCGGGCCCCTATTGCAACCCACATACCTGCAAATCTCATGTGGAAAAGATAAATACCATCACTATCACACGCAATAACAAAACTATAGGCCCAGACCCTATGCCATAGGTACATAGTTACATGCTTGTACCTGCGTCATATCTGGAGCCTTCTCAAAGCATCACCGCCACCGCCACCGGCACAAGGGGGAGCCCTGAAGGCTGACCTGGTGGTCTAGTAGGTAGGTAGTAGGGGCTAGTCCTGGGCCGGCGAGTTGGAGACGGGTGCCATCCACCAATCTACTAGGTAGTTATACGCTCCCCCTTCCACCATCCACGAACCGACGAGTTCAAGCACGAGATAATTCCAAATACATGTGATCCCACCGCACCTCACGCTTCTACCGGTCTCTGTCCTCGGCGCTGCCACAGTGCGCACCCGCCGTAGGCACCACACCGCACTGCGCAGTTGACGTCGAATCCCATTCGGACGGCCCCCAAAAGTCACTCACTTACTCACTCACTCACTCACGCACGCATAGAGTGTACCTATGTATAAGTACATACCTATTACAGCACCAGCCACGTACGCAGTTCTTCCACATGCATATTGCAAAATGTATTGACACGGGGGGCATGGTGAGTAAGGTGTCCATAGTACTATGTAGTAATAGTAGTAATTGTCTCCGGAGATTGATATATTCCCCTCTACTATACTGTACTCTAACGGGACGTACTCTACTCTACTCTACAGGCGCCTTCCCAAAATTTCCCTCTGGGATAGTTTAAGTAGGTACCGGTAGCTATGGACAGATGTAGCCAGTTCCCGATCGCTCGGGAGTCGGGAAGGCCGCCATGGAAATAGCGTATTTACATAGGTGTAACTAGAGTAACTAGTAAAGCAGAGTAGATCACAGCGGCTGCCACCTGCAAGGGCAGACTGGGTAGTAATACCTCAGTCGCTATACCTTAGTACTTGCCCACGAAGTTTTTGGTCAAGCCTGTGAATTGCACGGGATATCACTCGTGAGCTGAAATATCTTTCTGGGTTTTTGGGGAAATTCTAGGCATGTGTCACTACTAGTAGCGAGCCATCTGGGTGGGACTGTGATGGTGGAGCGGCTTGAGAAAGCGGCCTGAGAAGGCTGAGGAGGAGGTGCCGGTCTTTCTGGCCCGGCTAGAGAGAGAGGCGGCGGAAGGGGCGGGATATAGTAGTAGATCTTTTGCTTTTCCTTGTCTGTGACTACCATACATATTTACAGTGCGCTAATACCAACCCAGCTCGGGGAATAGAGCAACATATTGACCGGCCGGGGATCGGGGAGTGCTGTGTACCTAGTACCGAGCCCATCATCTCAACTGCAGCCAGACAGAGGGAAGCACAGATTGCCGTGATTTAGAATTTTAGACAGATCACATGCAATACATAGAGAACCAAAAAAAGCCAGACATTTGTCACCTCGTTCGGTGGGGTGAACGGTAATGGCGGGAGTAAGGCCGCAGTAAAGACAGTCACATTTTGGTGTCACTGGATTCATGTTGGATGATCGGAGCGGAGGATATGAATGTACCAGTGTGCAGACGCGACTCTTCGTATCTGGTGTACCTACCTACCCTTGTAAAAAAGGGGGGTTTTTTTTAACAGTGGAGCGACTGTTGTGCCATTATTTTTTTTCAAACCCGTAGGAAAAGTAAATACCACATCGTGATAGTTGAGAATTATACACATGTCAAATTATTGACCTATAGAAGCCACTCAAAACATTGTACAGTCCGTGTTGGATTCACAGACGTGATGCAAGTTTTTAACGGAGGGAGTGGATATACAGTTCACAGGCTTTTCCCGTGAAAATTGGAAGCCGTAGTACAAGTAATCCTGATTATAGAGAGTTAAATGGCCGGTAATTAGACACATTTAAAGAATTACTTCGAGTTTTTTTTCTCAATATGTTGCAAATCTCTCCTATGTAGTTAAAATAAAGCGTTTAAGTGCATTAAAATGTTGCAGCATCGTTTTCTTGGCATTTCGAACCATTTTTGAAATTGAAACTTGGGAGCAGGAGTGCAACGTGTGAAACTGGGCTCGGATTTTCTCGCTTATGCAGCATTTTTCTCATTGGTCTTGGAGCATTGAGCACCTAATTATGGATTTCTATTCTATATACTAGTACTACCTACGGGGCCAGCGGGCAGTATCCACGGCGGCCGTATCGACGGCGGCCAGTATCCAGTATCCAGTATCCAGTATCCAGTATCCAGTATCCAGTATCCACGGCAGCCAGACAAGCATTACTGCAAGATGAGCTACCTATATGAAAAATTAGCTATTAGCGAGAGATGCTATCAGGGAAAAGAGGAGCTGCGGTGAGAGTGGGAATAGCAGTTGCGGCGAGGGGGGGTGATAGCAGTTGCGGCTGGAGGGGGAATAGCAGTTGCGGGGGGAGGAGGAGATGTGGGGGGAGGAGGAGTTGTGGGAGAAGAAGAAGAAGAAAAATAAGAAGAGGCAGATGGCTAAGAGAGCATACGACCTCGCCATGCCCGCCATGTGCCCTCTACTAACCACATTCGTCTTCTTCCACCGACAGGAGTCCTCCTTCACTTCCTCCTCTTGCCGATACCTCCTCCCACAGCTCCTCCCACAGCTCCTCCCACAGCTCCTCCATACCACTAGAAGATAGGATCGCTGAGTAGGAAGGTGTGAGTATCTATATCGGCATTCAACTTCATCAAAACAGCCGGCTCGTGAAGATAGCTGCATGTAAGGTGTAGGGGTTTGCGAGGAGTATTTGCAGCGGAAGAGATGAAATGGCGAGGATGTAAAAGAGATGAGATTGCGATGCTCCGGCTCAGCAGTTCTTTCTGGCTTACAGCTAGCTTTGAATGTCTGCCGCTGTTGTACGGTAACGCTGGTTGTATGGCAACGCTGGTTTTATCATCACTTCCGGCTCACATGGGCTGTGTTTTAAAGTCCGCAAGAATGCGGTTGTAAGCTCACTGTATTGGCAGAGTCATTTCACCAATTGACTCAGTCATTCCTAGAGTCATCTCGCGGATTGATTCAGTCATTTTTCATCCCCACCAAACTCCCATTACTCCCTCCCGTGGCAGCTCGCCCATCGCCCCCCCTTCCCCCCCCAACACACCCATCGCTCCTTCACACCGGAAAACAGGAGAAAAATGCCAAGAAAACGTTTAAATTGTCGAAACGTGACGACAACGGTAGAAAAATGCCAAGAAAACGCTTAAGTGAGCACCAACGATATATCTCGAACTTTTGTTTTTATATTTCCACCAGTTCCTGTTGACTTAAGCGTTAGATCAACGTATGACAAATTCACACATTGTCCGCTTTTTTGCCGAGTTTACAATTTAAAATGGGTGTACTGTCTATCATCATATTATTTCCGCATCGTTTTACGTGGCTCACGTTATTCTAGATGCAATAGTTGCGGAATAGTTGCGCAATACCGCGGGGCCGCTTGTGAAATCTGATGATCGCGCAACCATTTCCTAACCCACCGCTCACGTTTATAAAACCCCCCTTTTTTTACAAAGGTACTCAGTTATCATTCCGAAGGTCACATAAGCGCCGGACGAAAAACCATGTACTTTGCTGAGCACCTTGGGGGGCAATGGGGAACTTCGTCTGTTACCCGTCACCACCAGTTTATAACCTGCGGCATGCTTCTTCCATCACGGAAAAAACCCGCGTGACCGAGTGATCACGCACCCAGCGCCAGCGCCAGTGTTCTCCATCGTCCAGTCCGGACGAACGGTTACAAAATCTGCCCGCCAGGTCCTCGCCTCGTCCTCCTCCGTCGGTCCTCGTCCAAGTCACGTGAATATGGTTCGGCTGATTGCTGATTTCCTAGCACCGATATCCTACGCACCACCATCGTCAGTCCATCCCTCACCGCTCCACTACATAGCTGTGAAAAGTAGCAGTATCCTGATTCGGACGCCTAAGGTGCGGCACCCAGCCCTTAGTTATGTATCACAGTGGTCTATGCACCATGTCTCACTCGGCTACTCAAGGTCCTCGCCCGAAATCATGTTTTTACTCAACGCTTGGCGGACGGGCGAGGAAACCACCTTGGCCGTCACGTCCTAGGCACAGGTGGACGAGAGGCACGCTGTCCGGCTTCGTCAGAGGCCTAGGACAGACGGACCGGACGATGGAGAACACTGCCCAGCGCGCACCCGGCGCACCCGGCGGAGGGAAATTGAACACCAGTTCAGTCCAGGTCCCGGGATTTCCAAACCATCCACCTAGACCCCCTAGGGGTGAAGGGTTTTGTTTTGGCGTTGGTTCGAACTTCACCTAAGTAAGAACTTTTATTTTGCTGGAGTCTAGCACGGTATATCACTCGCGTTACGAGTGATCGCACATGAGGCTGTAATTTTGCAGTGTAATTAGAACCCTCGTGTAAAGAAGATGGTGGGAAAATACATCTTTCTAATGCTTTACGATCACTCCACGACGAACCGGAATAGAGAATAAGAATAAGAATATGATCTTTAAATTCCGTCAGTCATCACCCAACAACGCAACAACGCAACAACGCAACAACGCAACAACGCAACAACGCAACAACGCAACAACGCAACAACGCAGCAACCTACAGTCCGCAGCCGCAGCCTGCAGCCCAGAGCCCGGAGCCCGCAGCAGTGTATCTCATCTAACAGCACAGCACAACATTCCTATCAAATAGGTAGAGCAAGCAAGCAAACAAGGAAAGTAACTCAATCAAGTGCATGTCAAAAAACAGTCAAAAAAACAGTCAAAAAACAGTGTTACCCCATCCGCAGTAAAATAATGCACACACAAAACACCCCAGCAAGCAAGGCAGCAAAGAACCTACGCGCCCACGCCCACTCCCACACCAAGAATCTCATTGTACCACTCCCAATTGACGCCCATATCGACGATCCTCCAAGTCGCGACCCTCTCTACGACGCCACCGAGCTCACCAATCCACTCTCCGACGCCCCAGCCGGTAAGGACCTCACCCGCCGTAGCCGCCAGGCGTACTTTATCCTGACTATTTGTCGCCACGAGGCGTTCCATAACGAACCCCCTGACGCGGTTGGCGACGACGCGGGCGACAGGATCTGCGGTTCCGCGCTCAAGGATGCGGGCAACGGCGTTGCGCACTGCGACCAGTGTGGGCGCCGGGACGGCGGCAGTTTCGTCGACGAAGTTCCGCACGCCGTCGGCGATCTCGGTGGTCGATGTAGAGCTCCGTAGGAGGTTGCCGACAAAGCTGGAGATCTCTTTCCACGAGCTGCGCACATCGCGCCGGAGGAGCGTTTTGACCGTGAGGACTATGGCGCCGCCGAGGATTACGGTGCGCAGGGTTTCGCGCGTGTCGCGGATGCGTTGGTGGTCTAGGTGAAATGTCTCGGGGATGGAGGAGACGTCGAGAGTCTCGAGGCCGAAGAGGAGGTTGAGGAATGCGTGGACATGGACGTCGTTTGCGGGAGTGCCGGCTGGTAGTTGCGATTTAGCTGTAAGGAGCCATTGCCGGGTTTGATCGAGGGTTGCACGCCCGGCTTCCAGGTCAGCGGCGAACAGTCGGCGCTCGTACGGAATTGCTTCCGGGATAACTTGAGGCGCTGAGATCATGAGGAGGAAATTGGCATGGTCAAGTTGCATGGCTTCTAGTACGTCCAGCAACTTCTGGAGCCGAGATATGTAGTCGCCAGTGTCTTCGACCAAAGCTTTAACGTCCTCGTCTCGAGCCGGAGAGCAGATCTTGGGGAGCAGGTTGAGGACGTAAGAGAGCAACTTCTCGTGGTCGTAGGAACCGTTGTGACATTGCTGACGGATGAGCTCGATGTCCATGGACTCTGCCACGGCACGATGAAGCGAGCCCTTCGAGTCCAGCAGACGCAGCAACTTTCCGCGCACAGTCTCAGCGAGCGAGGGGATCCACTTCTCGAGTTTTCCTTCGGTGATATCCTCGCGCATAGCACCCCAGAAGGCAGTCTTGGCTGTGTCCTCGACCATTGCCTCGATCTTGCTTCGTTTCCGAGGTTGTAGCCGGAAGTCTTTGTCCATGGCCAGCTCATGAATGATCTGGCGATTCGATTGCATCCCGTCGTCACCGCTGGCAACATTGTGAAAGCCGACCTGAGGCGGGGTTGGCTGAACAGGCGCAGGAGGTTCCGGTTTTACAGTTGGCATGACGACGGCCGGTGTAGGCGCTACTGTCGAAACGGTGGTGGCATCTGACGAGGGCACCTCTCTAGGCTTGGTATCGCGTTTTTCTTTCTTGGGCAGTCTATTCTTTCTCGAGTCTTTGACGGCGGTCCGGATCAAGTCTCTGGTTCTGTCCCCAGCCAACCGGCGAATGCGGACGAGAAGCATGAGTTGATTCTCGCGAATACCCTCCTTGAAGTCCTCCGCGACGCCGCCGGTAGTGTCGTCCTTGACCTTCTGCCAGATGAGATCGAGCTCGGCGTACTGTGCGACCATTGTCTCGATGAAGATCTTCGAGTCACGGGACTTCCACGTGTCAAATGCTGTGCTGAACTCGCTCCAGGCATTGTAAAGTGCGTCCGGCGGTGGAAAGGTTTGCGACGACAAGAACGACTCGAAAGCGATCAAAAGATCCTTCGACCTCTCAATCAGCTCCTACCCACAAGTTAGCGAAACATGCTCCACAGTTTACCAGACTTCATATATGCTCACCTTTTCCTTCATTCCGTCGTTGCTCAGAACCTCGCCGGGATGACCGAGGATCAGATAAGAGCTCAAAAACGTCCTGCAGCACTTCTCCAGCGCGCCCTCGACGCCCTCAATGCCCTCGAGCAGACCACATCTCATCAGCAACTTCGACGTAGCCCTGAGCACCTCATCGTCCTGAAACCTCGTCGAAACCGTAATAAAGTCCGCATCCCTCACACTCTCGATCGTTAACCCAAGCGCCACAAAATCCACCACAATCTTCCTATCCCTCGCGAGCCTCCACGCCCTCTGAATCCTGCTCGCAGCCTGCACCCTCTTAGCCTCGCTCGTACTCTCCGCCTGCACCTTGGCCTTCTCCCTCTCAGCCGCATCCTCGCCCCTACTCCCCCGCTCCCTCCTCCTCCTCCCGCGCTCCCTCAACGCCACATCCCTCCGTCTCTGCGCCTCCTTCATCCTCTCCTCAAAGCTCTCCTTAAGGTCCCTTGTCTCCTTCTCCCTCCTCCTCCTCATTTCGTTTGCCGTCCTCTTGGCCTTCGCGACCTCACTCGCGCACGCGCCCGCAATCTTCGCAAGTATTGCATTCCTCGAGTCCTGAGCAGCGCGCATACTCGCCTGGAGGGCTAGCAGGCGCTCCGACACCGCCTCGTGACTGTCGTCGGCGCGGGAGCGCCGCACCTTCTCGACGTGCTGCGCGCGCGCCCGCAGAAGGGATTTCCGCGCTTCCAGCAGCGTCGCCCGCCGCGTCGTGGCTAGGTGGGACGCGCTCAGCTGCGCTTGGTTGCTCACCGCCGGAGATAGCGTGCCGTTGCGCCGACGCCGTCGGGAAAAGCGCGCAGCGATGTGAGGTGGCGCGTTCCATTGCGGCGGTACGTCGGTGGGAATGTCGGCGCCTTCGGGGAGGAGCATCGTGGTAAGTAGGTAGAAGGTGGGCGATGGGGGATGCGGGAGATGGTGGATAGCGGATGGTCACAAGATGATTCGGATGGTTGATAGCTGGGTAGGTATCCGAGTTGCGTGGATGCGAGCGAGTATGATGATGAAGAAGATGAAGAAGAAGATGAAGAAGAAGTAAAAGTGAGGTTCTTTGGTCTATTGATCTATCGGAGAAGAACGAGAACTTGAGAGGGAGGAGGGGGAGGGGGAGGGGGAGGAGGGGGAGCAGATCAGTAAGCCTCAGCTCGAATGAGAGGCCCGAGAGCGAGTCAGGACGAAACGGCAGGCGACGCGACGGCTGTCCGTCGCACCGAATTATTAATCAGACGCTACGCCGAAGAGGAATAGCCCTGTGCAATCTCACATTCGAGAAGCATCTAGATACCAAGCAGCCCAAACCCGTCATCTTGAATTCAAGCTCGTGAGGGAATCATTTTACATCGTGGTGAAGAGCATGATGGCTCGTTCTGTTGATCAGAAGCCGACGCTCTCGCGAGTGATGAAGAGCTGCGTGTGATGAAGCTCGGAGCTGCCGCCGCCGCTCCAAGTCACGCAGCTGCTGGGGATTTATGCATAGGTGCTTGAAACTAACTACTGTGCCGCGCCACCAACTGCATGTGCGAAGTGCAGCTTGTCGCATCATCAGCAGGGTTCCAAGCCCGCGATCACTTGACACCACACCTAACTATCGACGAAACATCCCCCCGCCCACCGCGCACTAGTTAACTAACCACCACCACCGTCCACCCGTCTCAGGCACCCGCCCGCCAACCCAACATGGACGCCTCACAGATAACCACACGTGCCACAACCGCGCTGTCAACACTAATGACGACGCTGTCGACGCTCGAAGCGCAGCAAGCGGCGCTGCTCCAGTCGATGTCGTTAACGCACTCGACGCTGCAAACCCTCCCCGCCTACAGCGCCGTCGCACCAACGCTGTCACAGATCCCGACGTACTCCTCGAAGCTGGCGCGGCTGAAGCGGCTCATGGCTCTGCAGCAACAGGAGCTGGAGGGGTTGAAGCGCCGCGCTCTGGACGTCGGGAAGAGACGGAGGGAACATCTGGCGAGGGTTAGGGAGAGGGAGAGGGAGGAGGCGGAGAAGGATCGTGGGGTGCTGCGCGCGAGGATCGTGGGTGAGGGGTTGTCGAGGGCTGGGACGCCGGTGAGTGGGGAAATGCTGGAGGAGAATGGGAGCGCGGGGATTTTGCCGGCTTCTGGGAGGGGTACGCCGGCTTCTGGGAGGGGTACGCCGGCTTCTGGGAGGGGTACGCCGGCTTCTGGGAGGGGTACGCCGGCTTCTGGGAGGGGTACGCCGGCTTCTGGGAGGGGTACGCCGGTGCCGGCGCAGGCTGTGAGAGTTGTTAAGAAAAAGAAGGCGAGGAAGGTGGAGATTCAGTAATGCGTTGAGTTCAGCGATAATTATAATTCATGTATTCCTTTGATGACGTCTTTTCGGATTCTCTCCGGTTTCTAGGACACTTGGGAATTGCCATATCTTGCAGTCTCAAATCAACATCTCTTCCGAAGCTTCTCTCGTAAACCATCCGTTCTGATCATGGAAACGCTGACCTCCACTCCCATTACCCCCCAGCGCCATCTCCTGGCGCATATCTTCCTCCGCTATCAAGTCCTCCATAACCTCATCACTCGAATTTATTTCACATGCCAATAGATCCGGCGACTCCGCCTCCTCCAGTAGTAGTATATGCTCCTCCTCCACCTCATCAACGCGATCCAATAACAGATCATTCTCATCCTCCTCATCCAAACCCCACAAGAGCCGGCCCTCGTCTTCCCACTCATCAAAGAACATATCCTCGTCTCTGCCATCTCCAAGCTCCAATAAATCCTCTTCGTCGTCTCCAAGCTCCAATATATCCTCCTCGTCATCCCCAAGCTCCAATATATCCTCCTCGTCACCAAGCTCCAACTCATCCTCTCCCCTCTCCCCCTCCCGATCATCCGCACCATCCGCGAACATCCTCTTCAACGTCTCCCTGGTCTTAACATGCCTTAGCACACACCTCCACAGCCTTGCTCTCACCTCCTCCTCCCCCTTCGCCCCATCCCCCCTTTTCCCCCCATCCCCCTTCCCACCATTCCCAATATCCCCGAAACCAGCCAAAACGCCCACCAGCACCTCCACCTGGTTCCTCCTACCCTCGCACCTTGCCAACAACCCTGGCCTCGCCAACAGGGGCGCTATTCCCGCCAGCTCGCGCGCCCACACGCCGCGCAGCGCCTGGTCCACCAGACTTCTTACCACCAGCACTCCCGCCGCTCCCGCCGCTCCCGCCACTCCCGCTGCCGGTGCCGAGCCGGAGAAGACGAACTCCATGCACACCCGCGGGATGAACGCGTGTGGTAGAAGTGTGGGCAGGAGCGTCTCGATCGAGCTGGGGATTGCGCGTGAGAGGGAGACGTGGATTGTTGGTGGTGAGATAGTGGTGGGGGAGGAGGGGTGGATCGAAAGCGTGGGGAGCAGGCCGAGTTGGGGCCACATCTGGTGAGGGTTAGTAGGTGGAGAGGGGGGATGGGGGAGGGGGAGGGGGAGGGAGTGCGTACGGGAGCGGAGGCGAGGATTCGGCCGAGACTTTCGAGTGAGACGGCCGCGGTGAGGGTGGGCTGGCGCAGCGTGGCCGATATGTGGAAGCCGTTGCCGCGGAGGAGGAGGAGGTCTTGTAGCCCGACATGCTGGGAGGTGGGGTGCGTGATCTCGATAGTGGCGGTGAAGTGCAGGTGGAAGCGCAGGGTGCTGTCGGTGTAGGTAACCGGTGGGACAGATATGTGGGTTGTCGCCGTTGGTGTTGTCGGGGTGAGCTGGAGAGGTGGCAGGACAGTGCGCTCGAGGACCGGATCATAGGGTGCTGTATGTGTCGAGCGTGGGAGCACTTGCATATCCTCGTAAGGGGTCTCGGCCTCCGTGTCTCTGCCATTGTCGAAGCGGATGCGGATGGGTACGGGGTGCATAGTGGGGGCATGTAGCATGTAGTAGCATGTAGGGAGTAGCGAGGACAGTCGGCAGCGGTGGGAGGTTGTGACGCGAGTGACAGCTGGTGTACAAAACTACTGTGGCCATGCATGCACCTCCCACCTGTTTGGGCTCGAACGAAGCCAAGATTTGATTTCACATCCTGTCTTGTCTTGGATCTGCAGCTCCGCGGCCGCGGTGGGCGAGTGGGTGGGCTCACATGGGGCGAGTCCTTTGGACGGTGGACACCCATAGCTGGGTGCTGGGTGATGAACGCCTCAGCATGAGGAGATATCAATCCGAGATGTAAGCGTCCCGATTGATTGCTCCTACAGGATGCCACCATCCATTATCGATTCGTGATGGGGCCACTGTATCGAGATGTCAAGAATTTCGATATTCCGTGGGAATTCCGCTGTCTTTGATTCCATCCCAGGACTGATGGGGGAATCCAGTCTAACCGCATGGGGAAACTCACTGTCCATGGCAACTTCAGGGCCAAAATCACATCATCACCAGCGGTCCCTCGACTGTACCCATTCTTCATATTCCGATTTAATGCCACTACACGGATAAAGCGATAAAGCGCAGGCAGTGCGAGCCCGCACCGCATCGTAATGCCATCGACACTACCGCCATATGCGAATCCCGGGAAACACTCGCCGATCCTGATCCGGACAGCAGAAAGCCCCACACCTGCATCCCGCACCCAAAGAAGTCACGCCTGAACCACACCGCCACCCCCAAAGCAACCTGGATTGACTGGGCCAATCGTGCCAATCCCCCGCTAAAAGGGCTTTGGTGTTCCTTGAATGTCTCGCGGTACGTTCCCCGAGTCGACGAGCTAAAGAAAAGAAAAACCAATCCCCTCTCAAGCTTTGGCTCCCGATATATCACGCCCCCCTTCTACATACTTCTTCCTCCTGCGTATGCCCCGCACTTCTTTTTTCCACTTTCCCTCCTTCCCTCTACCTTGACGACGGAATGTCCTCCTCCACGGATTCGGTCCTGACGGACCTTAATCTGCTTCTTCCGCCGGACCTGGACGATATCGACGCCGCCATTACAGATGATAGCACTTTCGATGCCCTCGCGCCGTTCACGGACACGCTGTTTTATGATTGGGACCTGGGCCGGTTTCTGGACGTGGAGAGATGCAACATCGAGACGTATCCCGAACAGCATCGACCACTCGAGAGCAGCAATGACTCGACGGTGGAGGGCCTGGGAATCGATGGCGGTGATGGTGCTGGTTTCTATGCGGGTATGTTGCGTCTCCACTTCTGACCTCCATTCGATGAGCACTCCCACCCCTCCCTGCTCTGCAGATGCCGTTCGTTCCTCTCCAGGGAGGATGACTGCCTGCTTGCTTGCCTCCTCCCCCCCTCGCAATCACGACATCTACCCGCGCGAATCATATACCCGATTCGTCCATCTCCGGTGCGCCTCCCTTTATGAGATGTTCGCGCAACTTCACGTGCCTCGATCTGCCCTGATCCCCGTTGCTCGAAGCCAGCGAAGCCGTCGATAGTAGCTAACTATCAGACGGGTTGCAGGAGCTACCGCCACCACCACCACCACCACTACCATTTCCTCCTCATTACTTACGCAGTCACTCTCTGCTCTGGGATACGACTTCCTGAACTTTAAATTCCCGGACGACCAGCAGCAAGGAGCAGCAGGAGGAGGAATTCAACATTCTCAGTCAGCACGTCCACTTCTCCAGGCTGCCGCTATAGGAGCTACTTCCGCCGCCGCCGCAGTTCAACCGTCAATAGATGCGACCATCTCCCCGCAATCCACATCCATGATGCAGTCACCCACCAGCAGCACGTACGCCACCTCCTCATCTTCACAATCCCCGCCGGCCACGATCCTATCCACCTCCGACGCCCACATCCTGTCAATCCAGGAAGCGGCGCGCTGCGCAGCTGAAGAAGACAAACGTCGCCGGAATACGGCGGCCTCGGCCCGCTTCAGGATCAAGAAGAAGCAGCGCGACATGGCGATCGAAAAGGCCGCGAAGGAAATGGAAAACAAGGTCTCCGACCTCGAAAAGAAAATTTCGTCGCTGGAGCTCGAGAATCGCTGGTTGAGGAATTTGCTGGTCGAGAAGAATTCGGCGGTCGCGGAGGCGGGGATCAGGAGGGGTGTTTAGGTTTAATGGGATATGAACTTATGATGGGGGGTTTATGGATATGGGACATTGATTTTACGTTTTTTCTTTTCTTTTTCTTTTGGCGGCTTATTTTGAGCGAACGTTACGGGACGGATGGACGGAATGGCGTATTTTCAGCGTTTGGTTGTTGTGGCTTGCTTTTCGCGTGTTTTGGTCGGTTCGTGGGTCTGTTCGTGGGAGGGTTTTGGTCTAGGTATCTACGGCTTCTTCTTCTTTCTTTTTGGACTATGACCGGTATTCATGTTTGACCTTCTCCCTTGCTTCCCTTCCTTCCCCACACATCACATCACATCATCTGTCCCCAGTTTCCCACATTTCCCCCCCCCCCTCGACTTCCCCTCGACTTCCCCCACTCCTGCCAGACTGCGAGACTCCTCCAATAAAACAATAAACAATGAATGTCATCACTTCGTCGCTGGATGATGCGATATCACGTTCTATGGTGCAATGGTGCAGTGACTTTCGCGTGGGGGCCGGCCTGCGGGGATCATGCCCGCTGGTACACTGGCTTTGGCTGGCGTGGGCTGGCGTGGGCTGGCTGCATGCAGATGCGGGTAGATAAGATTGTACTAACTATCTATGCATGATATATGTGCGAATGCGCGTGGTTGTTGGAGTTTTGCCAGGCATGGATGGAGGCATGGAGGCATGGTTTTTCCGATGCCGATGGTGAGGCTAGGACTCGGGGGCGAGTGATGGAAGTATATGTAGTAGATTATGATGTAGGCGCGGGGAGGGAGGAGCCTGGAGGAGGAGCGACACCGTATCATCACAATAACAACCGCACAAGGATAGGTAGGTGCGCGGAGGAGCCCTTCAGGCTTCAACATCTACCATAGGAGTGAACCGGAAATTTGAAACGAGGAGTATCGTCGTGACGAAATACCGTATGTTTGTAGATACAAAACCCGCGACTCCAATCATCATCCTATTAGTCCCATCTCATCGTCGGTGTTTAGAGTAGATAGCTCGATCTCAGCGCCACTGACTATAATGCATGTCCACTCTTGTCCTGTTTTGCGCTCGCTAGTTTGCCCCGAGTATCTCCGCCAGCGGTACGGTACATAACTTCCTGGGGAGGGCCGCTGCAAAAATCCCGTGTTCTAAATAAAGGAATCTCCGTAACTTGACCGGATCGGATATGCCCGGTAGCTCAGCTTTCCGAGCCCTCGCTCGTGGCCGGCTTTGCTAGTGCTGCCCTGGGTATGCCGGTTGGCTTCGAGGCATCGAATTAGGTAGCCGAATTTGACAGCTAGCTGGGCGTCCGAGGCGTGAGATGTGGATGTTAATGTTTTGTTGTCATCATTGGTGCTTGTGGTAAGGCTGGGGAGAGAAGAAGAGAAGAAGAGAAAGGAAGGAAGAAGGATAAAGGATAAAGGGCTGCTTGACTACCAGAGACTTACTGGTCAATACCCTCAGTCGGCAACCCAAATAATTTAATGTGGGCTTTGCCGGTACATATAAACTTCCGCTAGAGGGTAAGGATAATTCAGAAGGAAAAAAAATGGAGATAATCACGGAGGTTATATCAAGGATTCGCGGGTATGCCTGGTGAAAACCACCAGTATATGAAATTTTATCTGTAAAACGGATCCAAACGCTATCACTCGGCGGTGAATCTCGAGAAGATTTGTAGATATGAAGATAATCGCCGGTAAATTTCTACAGCAGAGGATCTACAAGTATGTTATTTCGTTACAGCAGACCTAGCATTATGTACCTACTTGGGTATTATTGGTGGATGCATAAAATCCCTTCTCACTCACCTACTCCGAAGAATTAAGGGACTTTCTTGGTACCTTTCAAGCCCGGGCTATCAATTGGCGAAAGAGTATGATCCCCACTTCATGGGTGCAAATGTACTACAGTGTTCTGCAGCAGCCAGTTCATTCGGCAGTAAACAGCCTGCCCAGCAATAGAGTTATCCTGTCTTCTCACTGGCGTAAACGTGTGCAAGCAAAGATTTGAAGGAATATTGAATACTTCTCACCCAAGTCAATGTCGAACTCTAAAAATTGTAACTCGCCATATACAGAGGCTGCACACTATCCACTTTACAAGTGTATTCGCAGACCTCAATACTCTTCAGCCATCCGTGCTGTCATTCCACTATCATGCCATATCTTGTTGGTTTTAGACCTCGGAAGATATCTGAACGGCCTCGCTAGCTCAATGGCTAGAGCGTGAGACTTTTAGGACCTCCAAGTCCATCTCAAGGTTGCGGGTTCGACCCCCGCGTGAGGCTTTCGTTTTGGCTCTGCTTCCTTTGTTGTTGCGGAAATACACTTTTTTAGCTTTCCGGTTGGTGGCACTCCCGGAACGGAGGTGGGATCGGTCCTGTTGTCGATGGGCGGCCCACCTAAGGACGGCACTGGCACCCATGAGAATCCCCGGCCGTTACGAACGGCGTCTCAGGATTGACTACCCGCACGTCCCGTTAACCTGCTGATAGAGTCTTCCAGTGGTTGATCTGGCCTACACCCGTGGTGAAACCGGTTTCAACCTTGTCCGGATGTCTCCATTCACTATCACTCGGCTATAGTCATAAGGTTGGTGCCTGGCCTCCGGTATTCCGGGCCGTGTTTTAACGTTTATCTTGACCTTTAAATCTTGAGTATGAAGTTTGTAGACGCCTGCTGAAAAGATGTTGACGAGAGACCTCGCGGCTCTTTCCTAGGATCGAGTACTTGTGCTCATCTTAAGTTATGACTCATGGCTCATTAGGATATTAGGGATTAATGTGCGCTTCCTGAGTAAATGAGAATCCGTACAACTTCATTTTGTCTGCCATGCTGAGGATAGAATACTGCTGGGTGTAGGTGTGGCGCATCAGCAATACTAAGGCTGCCAAGATCTCCTGTAGGGCCTCGATGTTTCGAAACTCGAAACTTAGTTACGCACGCTGTTTCAAGCGAGAGAGGCGATCCGAATGGGTTGTATGAGGCTATGAGCTTGGAGAACTATGATACATGACTCTTGGCACGACGTAGCAAAGTGATGATAAGATGGTTACCTATATTGAACGAAGCGGCGGATTTAGGGTTTAGGGCCAAGCGTAGAGCTGTGAAACAGCATAGTGCGGCTGCATCCGTGCCGACGAAACAGCGCACCAGATCTTAACAACTAACACCACCCCACGATACCCAACCACACAGAACTCTACATACCACGACAAAGACCTCCGAGTCCGCCATTCATACCTCGCTGAACACGGAATCGAAACCACATTCACGCGCCGTAGACGCCTGCCCTTATCTATGGCTACCTCTATGGCTACCGACGTTTCGCGCGTCCCTACGGTGCCCGGATCCTCCGGTTCGCTACTCTGCTAGACTTCCTTATCGGGGTGAGAGCTGATTCTCTTCACTCTGCAGGTTCAAATGGAAGTGCTACGGAGAGAGCGAATCACAAACCCCGCAAGTTTAGCACTTTCATGAAGCGTCTGGCAAACTTGAAATCTTCAGCGGCGGGGCCTTCGGCCTCTAGAGATAGCACGCGCGCCACGGGACGCAGCGCGTCTTTCTCTTCCGGTACACCGTCGTCGAGGCAATGTCAACCGATCGGCCACCCACCATCACTATCGCGCGTGTCCTCCAGTGGGCATCTTGCGTTCGAAGTCCATGGCAACTACCATTACATGGGATCGACCGACTCTATAACCTCCACTTCCGATCTCGATATCGACTGCGACGACGGCCAGCGGACGGCGCAGGGTTCAACAAGAACACGACCTTCGCCTTCAACCACAACCGTCACGACATCCACATTCTCGTCGCCCACACCGTCGATGCGTAGCCTCACCACCACTCTGACTACTGTCCAATCGACCGCCCCTGGCTCTATGCTAAATGCAAACTACAATCCACACCCCGCACACCACCACAATCCGAACGCTCCCCCGCAGATGTATTCGGCGCCCTTCGACTCTCAAGGCCACAGCCCCATCGTCCCCGGTCTTCTCCACCCCGTTTCATACAACGCCGCTACCGCGCATGGAGTATGGACGGACAATGCATCGATAATCACGCTCGCCTCGTCGTCGAAGCGCCGACGACGCCGTTCCGTCGACACCGACGCATCGGTGCGTGCGCTGGCACCGTCGTCGATGTTTGGCGGCTCGCGCGAATCGCTACCGTTGTCCGTGCTCAGCGGCAATCTCGATTCGGGCTTGGGCGGGCGCTCTATAGTTGGAGAACGCGCTTCGCTTCGTGGCTCCACGCTTGGAGGGACGGGCGATGCCGCTAGTGTGCTGAATGGGACTACTGGATCGATAATGGGCGAGGTTTATGCCGCCGGCAGTCCTCTGGTGTCGCCGATTACGGTCGGTGCCGGGAATAGCACCAGAGAGAGTCTGCACACCGGTCGTCACAGCCGCAGGAGCAGCGCATGGAACATGGATGTTTGCGATTGCGACGAGCCCGAGAGGAGAAGCTTGAGTGTACGGAGTGCTAGTATCAAAGAGGGCACAGAAGAAGACGCGGAGGTCAGGAGCATTCAAGACGGAAGCTCGAATGTTGGGGTGTGGCACGGTGTGCCCGGGAAACCCGAGGGGCGCACTTATGTCCCGCAGGAGAAGGATGAGAACCTGAAGGAGTAGAGAGGGTTCCTTCCTGTGTTTGCAATCATCGATCCACTGGAGACTGTTCTACAGTAGCCTGTTTGTTGGTTCAGTGATGCTGTTCCTTCGCGTACTTTGCTTGTGGGGTTTGATTGGAGATGCGTTGCTTAGGAATTGGGTGCGTGGAATGGGGGTTCTTGGTTCAGTTTTTCTTTTTTTCTGCTGCGTTGTTTGCTTTTGCCATTTGGGCGCCTTTTATTCTACGCGACACGATTTGTATTGACTGGATCACACACAGTCACCTTTTATCGTATGGCCTTTTCTTTCTTTCTTGTTTTCCTCCTAGCCGCGACGTAGTTCCCGTCACCGGACTGCTTTGCTTGGTTCCAGGATCGTACGTGTCTTGTTTAGCGGTGACAATCCATTTCTTTGCTTTGTTTGATCATGCTCGGATTCAGCCTAGGTATCTAGATTTATTATGGCGGCGGTGACAATCCCTTTCTTCGGAACGTTCCCGTCCGAGTTCGCCGCTCTGAGTGATGGCCAGTGATTCGCCAGCCGAGTTTCCGTGCTCACGAGGGATATGTCGAGTACCGCTACTCGGCATTTCATATGATACTTGTGACGGGAGGGAGAGACTAGGTTAGACAACCACCCTGAGCACCCGCCGAGCTGGGGTCGTGGGTGGCAACGGAAGTCCAATGCTGCCCTTGCCAATCACCAATGTCTGACGTCACATGTATGTCGAATGACTTTTGCACTTTTGGTGCAACGCCTTAACCTCTCGGATCCACGGTGGACGCAGGCCAGATCCGCAACATCCGTTAGAGTAATAGATCTGGCATGGAAATGATTAGCCTCAGTGCGATGAATCGATCGAGGCTGAGGTAGTTAGCGTGCGATAGGCTGAGCACAGCGACAGCCTCGGAGGGCTGAGCCGCAGTTGCCAGCAGTAGGGGCAACTTCCGACGATCTCTCTCACTCTGTCGCCGCAGGGCTCAGGAATTGATCGAGGTATGACGCACGGGATGGTCCATGTGGGATAATGGGTCGAGCATCGATCCGAAGCTGTTTTCTTTCACTTGCCCCTCCCTCCCTTCCCCTCTCCCTCTTGCCTTTTCCTCTCCACCCCCTCCTCTCTTCGAAGTTGAAGACGGTCACTCAGTCCTATATCTACTAGCCACCGACTCTCTCGGAAGCCAAACTGGGAGAGAATTCACTAAAAACATCACTCAAACATAAACAAGCCTAGTCAAAAACCACACAAACACCGACGCACCCAACACAAAACCACCCGCTTCCACTCCTCCCTCTCCCACTCCTTCTTACTACCACGCGACAGCCTTACGACAGCAACGCGACATACTCATGGCACCACACATTCTTGAAGAACCCCACGGGTTCGACTCGCAGCCTTCCCAGGAGCGACGGCGCTCTCTGGTAGTTCGAGCGCCTTTGGACCAATGGGCTGGAATTTCTCTCGCTGTATGTCACACATCTCCCTTTCGCAGCTATCGTCATCACAGAGACACTGCAGCTGTCGCTCGAGCTTCAAGCTAATGTCGGTGCTCTCAGGACCTCTACGTCGGCGTCTCAATCAAGACTGTGGACAGCGGATGTGTAGAGATAGGACTCTCCATCCATGATGGTACCTACAGCATCGACTTCTGTGTGCAGCGAGTATGTCCTGGACGTGGGGAGACCATCGGTACGGCGATCAAGGAGTCGGTCCGCTCAAGCATTGTTCACTACTCGGAGGAGCATCACGGAAAGTTCGTCGGCGCGGGAATCACCTCCGCGGTTCTAAATGAGTGCGCCGACTTTCCGTCGTTCCTCTGGCAGGAGCTAGACATCGTCGTGTTGGCGTTCGATGTTGTTGAAACGATGCCCGTGAGCATCTTTCCCTATAAAGACGACGAAACCGGTTTCGATGACGCTCAGCAAGCCGCTATGATGGAGTTCGGCGTCGATGAGCAGGCCGACTCTGCGGTCCGCAAGGCAATCATTTACTTCGGACCCCAGAACTTGCCCCCTCCGTCAATCGGATTCCGGAACAAGGTCGAGGTCGACACGGGTGGAATGATTCATTTGGTGAGCAGCCTAGACGAGTACAAAGCTACCGTCAGCGACAATACGTGGAATACCGTTCTTCATTATGCAAACATAATGAAAAAGAAGAAGATCAAGGTGGCCTTCTTCTCAGCGACACCTCAGGGCGGCGGTGTGGCTCTCATGCGTCACGCTCTCATTAGGTTCCTCAAGCTACTAGGAATTCATGCTTCTTGGTAAGTTTGGGTTTAAATGTACAATTTGCAGCATTTTCTAACATGAATTCTGTTACAGGTATATTCCTAAACCCAGTCCGACGGTCTTCAGAATTACGAAAACGAACCACAACATCCTCCAAGGAGTCGCTGCCCCAGATGCACGATTCACCCAAGAGAAGCAGGACAAGTACACGGAATGGATCACCTTCAATGCCTACCGCTACTGGCTTTCTCGCGGCGGACCCCTGGCTGAGCACGGTGCCGACGTCGTAGTCATAGACGATCCCCAGATGCCTGGCTTGATTCCTCTGATCCGTCAAACCCGTCCTGAAGTCAAGATCATCTACAGGTCGCACATCGAGATCAGAAGTGATCTGATCAACGTTGCCGGAAGCCCCCAGGAGGAGGTCTGGAAGTTCCTCTGGGATCGGATAAAGATGGCGGACGTGTTCATCAGTCACCCAGTCAATAACTTTGTCCCGGCGGATGTTCCCAAGGAGATTCTGGCTCTGATGCCGGCCGCTACGGATTGGCTGGATGGTTTGAACAAGCCCATGCGTGAGTGGGACTTGCGATACTACCACCACCAGCTTAGGACTGCCTGTCACGACCGAGGAATGTAAGCTTCCCCCATCTTCCTCTACCCGGTACGCAGATAATTGACCTTTTCATCCAGGGCCAAGCTAAAGTACCCGGCTCGTGAATACATCACCCAGATCGCGCGTTTCGATCCGAGCAAGGGCATCGACACGGTCCTCGACTCTTACCTCAAGCTTCGCAAGCTCTATGCTGACCAAAACCCCGTCCGGGTTCCCCCCCAACTTCTCATCTGTGGCCACGGCGCAATCGACGACCCCGACGCATCGATTGTCTTCGACGAAACCATCCAACGTCTCGACCAGCCCGAGTTCGACGACATCCGCGATGACATCATCGTGATCCGTCTGGGACCCTCGGACCAGCTCCTGGATGCTCTCATCACTTCGGCCAAGATCGTCTTGCAGCTGTCGTCGCGCGAGGGATTCGAGGTCAAGGTCTCCGAGGCGCTGCACAAGGGAAAGCCCGTGATCGCTTGCCGTGCTGGTGGCATCCCACTCCAGGTCCAGGACGGAAAGAACGGATACCTGGTAAAGGTTGGCGATTCGACCGCGGTGGCCGAAAAGGCGTTCGAACTCATGAACGACAAAGTCAAGTATCAGAAGATGAGCGACTACGCCAAGAGTAGTGTCAGCGACGAGGTCGGAACCGTTGGTAACGCTGTTGCGTGGCTGTATCTTGCCGCCAAGCTGGGCAGTGGCGAGAAGGTCCAAGGAGGCGAGGAGAGGTGGGTGGTCGACATGGCGAGGAAGGAGGCGGGAATCCCCTGGGAGGAGGGCGAGAATAGACTGCCGAGAGGAGGTATCAAGGTTACCACTACGGCTTAGAGGGGGATTTCGAATGATTGCAAGGTTGAGGTCGTCGTAGTCGATGATTGATCGCTTGGTTGTCTTGTCATTTCTGCTTTTTGTCGTTTCATGTACTGTACCTACTGTGTTTCTTTGGGGAGCTTTGGCGGTTTCTTCACGATGAAATTCAAGACTTTAACGGAGATGGTTCTTGAATCGAGATTTGACTACCGTATTGTACCAAAAAAGTCCAGTGAGATTGACACTTCATCGATTTAGGACTCAGGAGTCGGGCGATGGTGAAGTGCACATACCCCATATACTATTATTACCAGTTCATGCCTCATGGCCCCATATTCCATGATGCCTAAGTTGTAACCCAACCCCACGACCGTCACTAGATATCACATGATCAACGGCTACGTGGAGCGAGTGAAACTCGCTTAGAACAATCAGCTGCAATCGGGCTCGAATCGAACCTCGGCCACTGCAGGCATTCCCCACACTCTCGTTCGGCAGCGCCGGCAACAAGCGTCCCGCAGTCCGGTTCCATCGGGAGTTATATAGAGCACATATATCTACCAAGCTAACCCATCTGCCACCATTGTTCTAGCCACCTCCATCCGTAACTCCAACGACAACCTACCAAAAAAAAACACCACAACCATGGCTACAGCAGGATCACCAACCTACGTCCTTGGCGTCGGCATGACGAAATTCATCAAGCCACGCGGGCAGGTCGACTATCCGGCCATGGGCTTCGAAGCCGGCGTCAAGGCGCTCGTCGACGCGGAGCTGAACTACGACGATGTGGACCAGGGCGTGGCGTGCTACGCGTATGGCGACTCCACGAGCGGGCAACGGGTGTTCTACCAATTCGGTATGCCCTCTTTCTCTCTCTCTTCCTTGCTATTTAGGTGGGAGCTAATAGCCTGCAGGAATGACCGGCATCCCGATCTACAACGTGAACAACAACTGCAGCACGGGGAGCACGGGTCTGTTCATGGCGCGGCAATTCTGCGCCTCCGGTCTCGCCAACGTCGTTCTCGTCGTCGGCTTTGAAAAGATGTTTCCGGGCTCGCTGCAGACGTTCTACAAGGACCGCACCAACCCGCTAGACAAATCCTACAAGATGATGCACTCCACGCGCGGCATGGATCCGAAGGCTCCCGGCGCCGCGCAGCTGTTCGGAAATGCTGGCAGGGAGTATATGGAGAAATATGGAGCCACGGATGAGGATTTTGCGGAGATTGCCAGGGTTAATCATGAACACTCCCAAAGGAACCCGTACTCCCAGTTTAGAGATGTGTACACCAGGGAGCAGATCATGAAAAGCCCGATGATCCACAGTCCGTTGACGAAACTGCAGTGGTAAGGTATCCCACACCCCCACGAGTGTAGCTAAGCGCTGACTGTGTGTGCCCTCCGTAGCTGCCCCACATCCGACGGCGCTGCCGCAGCTGTGGTAGTATCACAATCCTTCCTGGACTCACACCCGCACCTCAAGTCCCGCGCGATCCTGATCGCAGGGCAAGCGATGTCATCTGACACGCCCGCTCTATACAACGCCTCCGCGATCGAGCTAGTGGGGGCAGACATGACGCGGCGGGCGGCGGCAACGGCGCTATCGCAAGCGTCTGTCTCCGCGTCGTCGCTGAAACTCGTCGAGCTGCACGACTGCTTCTCAGCCAACGAGCTGATCACCCTCGACGCGCTGGGCCTGTGTGCGCCCGGAAAGGCGCACGAAATGGTCCGCGCGGGAGATATCACCTACGGCGGGAAGTGCGTCGTTAATCCGAGTGGAGGGCTCATCTCGAAGGGACATCCGCTGGGCGCGACGGGGCTGGCGCAGTGCGCGGAACTGGTCTGGCATTTGAGGGGCTGGGCGGGCGAGAGGAATGTGGAGGGCGTCGAGGCCGCCCTGCAACATAACCTCGGACTCGGAGGCGCCGCGGTCGTCACAGTGTATAAGCGCGGTGATGGCAGGGGGAGCAAAAAGGTCGAGGGCGAGGCGGAGAGGGTCGGCGGCAGGGAGTATAATCCTGCTACGGAGGCGAGGGGATTGCAGAAGGGCGAGGCGGAGAAGGCCGTTAGCAGGACAATGGCGAGTAAGTATATGCTGGAGGATGTAGGATCGCCGGAGAAGGAGAGTAGGCTGTAGGCTGGTTCCGCGGGATGGGGAGTTGTGTGCCATATGTATGATGAATTTGAACGATACCAGTTTTGTGCAGTCGCGATAATCCACTCGCTGCGCATGTGCAGAAACTTGGGAAAAGAATCGAGGGACTCTTCACTGCTGCCGCCTTCATCTTCAAATGTAAGACAATGTCAATTGTCTTGTGAGACCGATACATAACCTCATGATCAATTCGGTCTTACCTATTTTTGTTTGACCATAAGGCTCTCATTCAACCTAGGGAGGTACCTATATTATGGCGGCGCAAGTACAATTTTTCCAACCCCTTATCCACTCTCCATCTTAACAGCTCAGTGTGACAACCCCGTCTCCCCTGCTCACTGCCTGGGCCTTACATGCAAATCAATTCTGCCCGTTATTACTAGTAAAGTTATGCATTCAAAATCACTCGCAATCTGAGTGATAAAGTATGATTAACCACCTAGTACTTAAATACGGTATCATCCAAATAGTACACACGGACAGGAAACGAAAGTTCGTTCTACCAGGGCCGCTCACCGGATCATCTAGGAGATATGGGAGGAAGCCGCACGAGTGATCAAGACCCCGCTTAAGGGAGAAAAACTGCAGCAATTGCCAATCCCTAAGAGAGAGAACATCAACTTATTGTTGCATGCGGCCTTTACTAAACTATGGCGACCACCAACTTCCCGGCCTTTCCTGCCAGTTCCGCGGGGTACATAGAGAGAAAGCTCTATCGCCTCAGCTCGATGCTGCGCCGCTGCCTACCAAACAAAACAAACGCTCATGGTCCGCCTAGGTATGTTCTCCGCTACCCAGCTTACTCAATCCCTAACTCAGTACTTGAAGCTTCCTGATGACCCAAAATCCGAGTGATCCTCTTGGTATTTTTTATATAGGAAGTATATATCGAGACCAACTAACTAGACGTTCTTCTCTCTTCTCTCCCCATTCCCCATTCCCCATTCCCCTCGAAGAACCCAACCAACCAAATAGAATCCCCTCCTCCCCCCACCCGCCTGCCTGCAAAAGTACAAATCAATACCCAAGTACATAGGGAAAAAAAGTTCCAAAAGAGCGGAAACCCCCAGTATATATCGGTATATCGGGGCCTACATATTAAAAGATCATATTTCCCCACCACCACCAGCAAACGTGTACACTCAAAAACAAAAATTACAGTCCGCACCTAAAGCCTGGACCTCGACTTCCCCTGCCCCTGCCCCGTCTGTCCCGCAACCGTCCTCCGCCTCCCCTCCCCCCACCCCTCCTCCTGCACCCCCACCGCAGCAAGGCGTCTACACTCCGCCTCGACCGCGCCCACCGCGCCCTGCAGCTCGAGTATATAATCCCTTGTCTTGCGGAGGATATTCGCCTTACTCTCCTGCTGGTCGCGGCACGCCGGCACCAGCTGGAACAGCGCGTCCATGCCGCTCTTGATGTTCTCGCGCCGCTTCTTTTCGGAATTCAGGTGGTTGCGGCGGCGTTTTTCGTGTTTGGATAACTTCTCCTCGTGGTGGTGATGGGCGTGGTGGGGGGGAAAGGGGTGGTGGGGGTGGGATGGGTGGTGGGGCAGGTGGGGGGCGTGGTGGGGGGCGTGGGAAGGGTGGGCGTGGGAAGGGTGGGTGTGGAGGGCGGAGTACACGTGCGGCAGAATGGACGTGTACACCACCGGCTTGATGGTGCGGTCGTGGGTGTAGCGGAGGATGTCGCGGCCTGTGACGGCAGTGGTGGAGGCGGCGGCTGTGGCGGCGGTGGTGCCGGCGGCGGTGGAGATGGTGAAGCTCCCCCTGTTGCTGCTGCTGCTGTTGGGGCTGCTCCTGCGCGCGGGCAGCGACGGCGTCGTGCTCGACGACGCGGAGGAGTATATGCTGTTTGTGAGCGACGGGCAGCGCGTGGTGCGCGGAGAGATCGGGCTGGGCATTGAGTAGCTGCTACTGCCGCCGCTGCAGCCGGGTGTGGTGCTGGGAGTGCTGCTGGAGTCGCATTCGAGGATCTCAAAGTTTGGCGGGGTGCTGTGCGCGAGCAAAGGCTTGGGCATGGAGAGGTGCTGGACTTGATGCTGCTGCTGGTGCTGGTGCTGGTGCTGCTGGTGGTGCTGCTGGTAGGACTCGAATGGGCTGGTCATGTCGGCTGAGGGCTTTTGGGGATGCGGAGTGGCCTCCTGCGGTGGCATTCCTTGGATCAGCGTGGATAGTGAGCTGGTGAGACGGATTAGTTTCTGCATATAGTTGGTGCGGTGAGTCTTACGGAAGAGCGGCGTGTGCTGCGTGTGTTGTGGGTGGTGCCAGGGCCATTCTATTGCTTGGTATGGTATGTGGTATGGCGGTGTGGCGGTGTTGTATGGAGTACTTATGGGGTATGTGACGATAACCAACGAGAGGAAGCCGACGAACGATATATGTATGATCCGGTAAAGTAGACAAGTAAAGACTGCACTGACTGCTGCTGGAGACGAAGCAGGAATCAAACCAAGGAACGAGTGGGGTAACCCAGGGCACTGCAAACCGAAGAGACTGACCGACTGGATTTCAGAAGGGGGAGGAGGGGGTATAGGGTATACTACTGGGGGGTGTATCCGGCTCTTTATACTGATTTATAATTGCGACCATCTTCAGCAGCGCGGGGCCGGTGCCACTGGTTCTCTGGTGGTCGTCCAGGTGTCTGGAGACTTTCTCACAGCCGCCCCCCTCCCCCCGACGGAGAGCTTATTGTGGCCAGAAAAAGAAGCGGGTGGGCGAGAGATACCCGCCCTGCGTGGATTAGGAGGGCTGTGTATCAGCCCACGATCCAAACGGACAACTGACAGACACCCCTATCCCCATACAGACGATCACACCATCGCCATCATGTCACCATCAGCAGGGACTTTTCCCATCGACGGTAGTAGCAGCGGCAGCAGCAGCAGGTTGACATGAAAAAGTCCATATCCAGCAGAAAATCGACAAGAAAGTTCACATCCACCAGCCGCCAACCATCACCGCATCCAACCTGTCTTGATAGTCTCGCTGGGCTCGTGGAACAAGCAGCCATCCAGGGAAACCCCTCCCTCTCGCAGGCGAGGCTCCTACGTACTTACGTCGTCGAAACTTCATTTACACTTATCGTGTTATGTCTCGGGAGCAGCAGTTGCCATTACATGAGCGTGCGGGATCTAGATCTCAGCCGGGAAAGGAGGCCACCACCACCACCACCACCACCACCACCACCACCACCACCACCACCAGCCCTCCCTCCCCCCACTCGCCGGATCAAGGCGTGGCCATCCATCCACCACGGCCAGGCGTCATCGTGACCACTCCCAGCACTCCCAGCACTCCCACCACCATCTTCATCACCATCATCACCCCTCTCCCCGCTGCGGTACGGAGGGACCGAGAGAGAGAGAGGAATATAACAGCGGTCGTTAAACAGTTGTGTGGCATCGCTTGCAACATTTGCCATTGCCATGGATATTGACAGGCGGCACACCACTGCTTGCGGCCGCACGGGAAACCAGCTCCCCTTACGTCTCACCGTCACCAGCACCGTCAACCAGTCTCCAGTCCCCAGCGGCGCCCGGCGAGGCAAAGTCGATTTTGAGTTTCTTCTCCCCTCGTCTCTCTCGCCTACATACCGGAGGATCGACGAGCAGTGTCCCCCCATCCACAGGATACAGTCCACCAGGATACAGTCCACCTGTCTGTCTGCAGGTAAGTACTGTCCACTGGAGGAAATCAACAACCCAGACGTACAAGTAGATGGTGAGAGTGCACAGTACCCAGTTAGCTCGCTCGCTCGTCTAATTCCCAGAACTCCTCTCCGCGGTGCAGTTGCAGTTGCAGTTGCATTGTGCAGCAGATGACGATGTACGGTGTGATGTACAATATACAATGTACGATGTGTGTATCGTGTACGCACCCAAGCACCCAAGCACCTACACACAAGCCTCGCAGAGTCGCAGACCCCCGTCCAGTCCGGGCCTGCCTACCCAAGTACGTCTGAGCTTTCGCGGGCGGGCATTTCAAATCATGCCTCGGTGCGTGCGCTGCTGGATGTTTGCATACCTACTCCCACTACTCGCACTCGAACCCCAAGCTGCAAGCCTGCAAATAGCATCCAACAGCTGATCCCCCCCCCCCCCCCCCCCCCCCCCAAGTGCCCACACCCCCCGGGGGCCGTATGGTATGGTATGGTATGGTATGGGACTTATGCACCCCATACGTAGGTTTGCAGAGCAGAGCAAGGTAGGGCAGATACGACGACATGACGACACGATGGGATCGGAGATGAACCTGTATCCCTCCACCCCTCCCCTCAAGCCCTTCTCCATTCAGCTCGCGATCATCACCAACAACCTCGGCCCTGTCCTGCCCTATCCTGTCCTGTCCTGTCCTGTCCTGTCCTGTCCTGTCCTGTCCTCACGTTCGCGGCCGCCAAAACCGCCAGATTCGCAGCACAGCCAGATCTTGCGCGGACGGGAGGGAGCATGCATACTAGTACACTGCATCCACTCACTGTACACTGTACACTACAGCGCTCCCAGACCAGAATGACAATTAGAATTTTACAATTAGCTTTCGTTCCTGTTGCTGTTCCTGTTCCTGTTGCTGTTATTGGTGTAGTTGTTACTGCTGTTATTGTTGCTGTGCGCATCACATGGAGGGGGGAGGGGGGGCAGGCCGAGACCGAAGTGTCCTCCTAATCCCTAATCCCTTCGGCGTATGTGGGCAGCCGTGCCCGAAGGCTTGGGAGTGACGGGTGATGGGTGATGGTGGTGGTGGTGGTGGTGATGGGGGGATGTCTCGCGGGTAAGCGCAGATCGAATGGGGGCAGGGGAGGGGGGGGAGGTGGACGGTTTGGGGAACCGTTGGAATTGGATTTGGAATTGTACATGCGCTGCGGACCTGCGCACCTGCGGACCTGTGGTGAGATTGGTTGGTTGGTTGGGCATGAGGCGTCATCATCAACTGTCATTCGCTAAGTTGGAAATTTTGGCTACTTACCTGTTCCAGCATGCGGCGAGCGGGTACGAGGGTGCGAGGGTGCGAGGGCGCGAGGGGGGCTTCATCTCGTCTTGCTATGCTATGTAACTTCGTGCCAAAGACTGGGGATTTGTCCTACCGACCTAGGTACCTGCTCTGGCTGGAGACGGAGAACTCAACTCTCGATGTAAACTCCAGCCGCTTGATCGACTGACCACGCGTGATCGATCACCGAGCTGTCTATTTGTATTCGGACATGTTTCACTGGCGATGGATGGCACGTCGCTCACTCGCTCTTTGCAAGCGGAACCTCTCCACCTCCCCGAGACAGGCGTACAGCAAGCACACCCATCCACACCCACACCCACACCCGTACACACAACCACACCCAGCGCCGCTTCACGTGCACACGGGGAGATATCCAACCGCCCAAGCCAGCCAGCCAGCAACCCCGAATCTATTCCTCCGCGGCCCCATACCTAGCTCTATACGCGACCATGGCCTCCCTCTGCTCTCCCTCCACGCCCTCAATCAGATCTCCCAGGGTCAAGATGGGCACCACAGGCACCCCCAGCTCGCGCCTAACACTCATGATAGCGCTCTCGCCTTCCTCCTCGTTCAGCCTCTCCTGCCTATCGAGGGCGACCACAATCCCCACGACCGTTCCGCCCGCCTTCTCAATAATGCCCACAGCCTCCCTAATCGCCGTGCCAGCGGTGATAACATCGTCGACAACGAGCACCCTCATCCCCTTCAGCTCCGCACCAACAATCATCCCGCCCTCGCCATGATCCTTCACCTCCTTCCTATTGAAGGCGTACCCGACACCCCCATACGCCTCCGCGTCAAGCGCGAACAGCGCGGTCGCGGTAGTCGCCGCCAATGGGATGCCCTTGTATGCCGGCCCGAATACGACGTCAAAGTCGACGCCGGAACGCGCGATCGTTCGCGCGTATGCGCTGCTCAACGTGGAGAGTAAAGATGCCGTGTTGAAGCCTCCGGCTTGGAAGAAGTACGGTGAGGTCCGACCGGATTTTAAGGTGAATGTGCCGAAGCGCAGGATCCGGTGCTCGATGCTCGTGTTGAGGAGCAAGGTCTTGTGCGAGGGGAGGGACATGGTGGGCCGTAGGTGGGAGTGGTGAAGTGGGTGAGACGGGGTGGGGGAGGCGGAGGCGGAGAATGGCAATGATGCGGAGTGCGTTTAAGGTTTTTTGTGGTTGGCGGGGTAGTTTGGTGGGGTGGGCGTTGGTGGGGTGGGCATTGGTTGGTTGGTTGGTTTGTAGTTAGATCCATCTGATAACACCTGCCGGTCATGGGTAATGGTTCGTCATATGGGCAGCCACAGCAGGTAAAATTCCTGATGTACATATGATATCTGCTGAATTGCCAGTCTAGGGGAATATGTAGTCTAACCAAACAGCTATCCAAGCTCTACACAAATGCAATCCATCAGCAATCCCGAGAAAACAGCAACCCGGAGGATCTAACTTACAAGAACCCGGATACTCCGGCCGCCCAACTACCCAGATCACCACATCCGACCAGTGACCAGCGACCACTGAGACTAAGAATCAAGATCTCAACAACACCAAGGTGACTGTATAAATAGCATCATACTCACCGGTAGTAGGTACACATGATGGTCTGGACTGTGTGCACTGTATTCTGTAGAGTGCGGTAGTGAAGTCCAGGAGGTGTGTGTCTCAGTGCCGCAGTGCCGGATGATACTCAATCGGTAGACCGAGCGGTTGGGGGCAGTGTTAGTCCAAATGGTGCGGGAACAATGAAGGGGTACATCATGTATGTATGTGTCTTCATTGTGTTCGTCGACTCGTCGCATCGTACGTGATATCTGTGAGGAGCCTGGAGTAGGTAAGGGAAGCATAGTAGCGATGGATGAGACCACGGTTGTGGGCCATCCACGATCATACACAAGGAGACAAAGCCAAAGACGAGCATCCAAGATGTGAGCAGCTGTATGATCCGTAGATCCGTAGATGCATGCTGTATTCAGGGACTCGCTGCAATTGCCGTGATTGACTCGGGGGTCTTGTGACCTCCGTGCGAATGATATCTCATGTGGCACTTGGAATTGCACTTTCTCTTCCGATGGAGTTCTCGCTTTCCATCAATTACCTTACAACGCCTATTCGTGCCTTGCCGGCCCCATTCTGGCTCACAATTTCCATCTCAAACTCCACTTCCGTCTCCCAATCGGGAACCCCAGGGAGACCTCTCAACCCTCTACCATCCATACTAGTCCTTGCCAAGCCGCCGCCAAAATCTTTCTCCCGAATTAAACAGCAACGCACGCCGCCTTGCACCACCACACCCCGCAGTCCGCAGTCCCGTCCACAGCTTCCCCCCTACCAGCACAACCGATGGACAAACTCCTCTCGCGGGCTCTCCGGGCCAAAACGCAAGCCGCGCGGCGGCTGAAAAAGGTGAACGAGACGAACGACCGACGCCGGCTCAACAACGCCCGCAAGGAGCACGCGGCCTTCCACAAGGCGCTCAACGTGGACCGGCGCACCTCACGCTTCGAGGAGAAGGAGGACCACCGGCTTGGGCCGCTCAGGCCCCGCCGCGCCGTGGGAAAGGAGGAGCTCGAACGTCTCGGCGCTTTCGAACAGCATCGCGTCGTTCCTCCCCCCGTCCCATGGGAGAATCGCATCAAGTATTGGAATATCGTCGAGAAGGATCGCGTCGTTATCCTTAAGGGCCCTGATAGGCACAAGATCGGTGTCGTCAAGAGTTTGGATAAGGGCAGTAATTCGTTGACCGTCGAGGGCATGAATATGGTATGCTGCCTACCTACCTTCCGGGACGCCGCCGGAGGTGCGGGAGTGTGCCGATGATGCTGATATCGCACCAGATTCCCATGAAAGTCCCCGACGTCTTCCGGTCTATCGACGCGAACCAGCCGTCGGTACTATTCCGCGAGTCGCCGATCCACTACGACGACGTGCGGCTAGTGATCCCAGTTCTCGACCCGAAGACGAACAAGCTGCAAGACACGGTTGTAGCGAAGGTGGCGATGTCGAAGGTGTTCGTCGACAAGGCTGAGGGGGGCGTCCCGGAGTGGTCACGGTACATCTCGGGCACCACCACCGAGATCCCGTGGCCCGAGAAGGAGCCCGAGAAGGAGCACTTCGACCAGCCCGCTGATTCCCGCATCATGCACGTCGAGACCACTACCTACGTGCCGAAGCTGCTCGAGCCGCCGTTCCCCATGTCCGTCATGGACGAGCTGAGGAATAAGTACTCCAAGTTCAGGATGAGGCACGAGCCGGAGTACATTGCCGACATCGAGCGCGCCGAGAGGAGGCGGCTGGCGAAGGCGGGCATCCAGGTCTCCACGCCGGTGCAGGAGCTCAACAGGTCGCTCAGGGCCGAGAAGAAGGCGCGCGGACCACCGGTCATGACCGAGAGCATCATGGAGCAGATTGGAAGGGTGATGGCACAGAACAGGCCGGAATTACTGGAAAAGGTGCAGCACCAGGATGTGGGCGTGGATTAGAGGGGGGAGGGTTGCGTTGGGAGCTTTGTACTATTCATGTATGTATAGATAGGGGGAAAGGGTGAGTCAAAAGCACTATTCATCCGTCTTCTTCATAGCCCTCGTGAACGAGGTTCCAGTATTAGGTATCAACTTGAATTTACTCGTACAAACAGCCAGCCCAATGGTATCAAACCAGAATCCCTCTATACTCCGCCCTAGGATACTGCTCCTTCAATTTCGGCCACTGGACAAAGAACCTATCCACGACAGGATACAGCAGTTTCCCACTCAAGCTCAGCGAGCGGGTCCTAGCAAAACTCTCCACATACAGCGTCCTCGTCTTTGCCAGCCCAAAGAACCGGCCTGCAAGCGCCACTAGCACCATCAGCACCGCACTCCCGGGCCCATTGCACACGAGCACGTCCGGAACACCGCCGGCGACGAAGGCGCGCAGACAGCCGAGCAGACACAGCAGACAATCCCACGGGGTCGACAGCCAGCTCTGGCCCACGCGGCGGGCGCGCGGGACTACGCGGATCGTGCAGTTCGTAGATGATGTGGGAGATGTGGAGGATGTGCTGAGCGCGGTTTCGTAGGTGGCCGCTTTCTGGATCGAGAGCGCGTCGCCGGAGGTCACGATGTAGGTGCGCTTGATGTGCTCGGTGGAGGAGGAGGAGGGCAGCGAGGCGAGCAAGAGAAGCATCTCGGCGGTGTGCCCGCCGGAGCCGAGAAGGATCATTAGGTGCTTTGGTCCATGTCGGGATTGCGGGGGTGCCGGAGGTGTGCCGTGTGTCACGGGGAGGATGTAGAGAAGCCGGAGCTGGGGCGGTTAGCTGGCTGGTTGGCAGGCTGGCAGGGTGGCTTTGTTATAGAATTGAGCGGGACGGGGAGTGCGGTACCGTCAGAAGTGCCAAGAAAATGAAGGCTAGCAACAAGATCGCGGGGAGCATCGTGCTGTTGTTGAAGCAATTGTCACTTACCGTGGCATCCCGAGACTCGAGAGAGCGTGTTGAGTGAGTACGGTACGGGTTGCTACTTTAGGGCTAAATTGGTGTTGCCAGCGGTCAGCCTTGTCGCGTGTTTTTTTTGCTTTCCTGTTGAGCCGCACTCATTGCTCTTCTCATCTCAACCTCCGAATCTCCAAGCCCAACAACACCACCGCCAACCACCGACTCCCTTCTCGCCAACACCACAGCTCCGGAGGAAACCCTATTCAACACGAGCGACCAAACTTTACGTTCAGCACACATATACACTCCCCTCCTCCACGATATTCGATAGCAGATGCTATAATAATGCCCTCCATCTTCCGCCGCCGAAAAGTCTCTTGTTTCTATTGCGGTCAACACAGCGTGCCCGGCGACGCGGCCAAATACCATCCGAACGGCCGAGTCAGCATGTTCACCTGTCTGCAGTGCAACGCCGACAACCACCTAGACAAGGTACGTCGCCGCACGCCACCGAGCTCCCAGCTCTCAGCTCTCAGCTCCCCACCCCCGGCCTGATTTCGCTGACGTAACATCACAGAACGGCGAGATAGCCGACTATGTTCCGGAAGCACCTCCGTCGGCGGTGAACTTTGGACACCGGCGGACGTCTTCCCGCGTCGCCAGCGGCACCTCCTCCGCCCCGGCATCACCGACGTTCTGCACGCAATGCGAACACAACCAGCTGATCCTGCAGAACGCCCGGCTGCAGTACGAGAGTGAAATGCCACAGGAGGACCATCCGGACTACCACTACTACGTGAACACGGCGTATCCGAAGTACATAAAGGACATGGAAGCAAAGTTCCCGCCGATGTGTGCCGAGTGCATCCCGCGCGTCAAGCAGAGGCTGAAGCAGGTCAACTACGATGCGAAGGTGGCGAGCTTGGGACACATGCTGGCCAGGAGCGAGCGGCCGTCTACCCCCGTGGAGTTGGGACCGATGCAGCTATTGAAGTGGGCGTTCTGGGGATTGAGAGGAGTGGTGTGGTGGTGGGGGAATGTGCTCTTCTTGGTGTGGCATGTCAGCTCGCTTTTCCACCCGGCTGCCGCCGTCGTCGAGAATACTGTGAATGCGGGCTGGATACGGTGCTTGCTCAGCAGTTTCAGCAAGTCTGAGTTCGATATTGCGTGTCATGATGTGTCATACTACCAGGCCTCGCAGTACTTCCCCTGGACTCTGCTCGGGTTCTGGTGGCTCTACCGACAGTTGGGTGTCGAGATGCATCCGGAGAAGAAGCTCGTTGGCGGCAGGGAGTACCTGCACATCGAAATCGCGGTGGTTGTCATACGGACGGCGGCATGGCTGCTGCTTCGCCAGGGCGGTTTGATGCGGGGCTTCGATGAGGAGGCTCGTCTAAATGCACATGCCTTATTCTTTTTTATCGGCTTGATGGTATGCTGTTCCCCAACATGGTCTCGACCGATTTGATTCTAATCTCATTTAGTGCTTCATGTTCTCTATCACCTGTCTGAAGCTGGAAGATCCTCCGTCCTTCTCCCTCCGCGAGACTGGTCCTCCGTCACCACAAAAGACTCGACCACCGTCACCAAACTCATATACGGCAAAAGGTTCCCCCAAGAAGCAGACACCGCGGCCGCAACAGCAACGGCCGCAACGGCAGCAACCACAGCAACAGCAACGGCAGACACCACAATTGTCGCTCACTAGGACTCCACCTTTGCGCCCAATATATATCAACCAGACCATTCCCCCCATCACTCCCTCCTACCGCAACAGCAACGCCGAAATCGTCCCATCACCTTCACCAACCCCTAAAAGGTACCTCGACGACGACGCAATGGATTGGGACCCGATCACCCCCATGCCCCCAACGCGCGGTAACAGCCCTTGGGCAATCCGTCAGCCCTCCGAATCCCCCACCCGAAATCCCGGCCTATCCTCCCGCACACCCGCTGGTCGCCTCTCCCTCAATCCTACCGAAATCCGCTTCGGCCAACCCCAAACCCCCGTCTCCCTCTTCAACCGGCCAACCATGACCACCGAGCCCGACCCTATTAAGACGAACCCCACTCCAGTGATGGCCGAAGCACGCTTCCGCCGCATCGCCCCACCAACCATGGACGACACCGGCCTAGAGGGAATCTTCGACGGCGGCCTCAAGCTCTCAGACGAGCCCGAAGACATCGCGCAGGGCGGGCTGGCGCAAGAGCGCGAGCTCCTAACCGAAGTCCTCGGGCGTCTCGGGCTCCTGCTGATCGCAGCGAGCACCGCCGCGCTCGCGCCCACGGCGTCCAAGTCCATCGCTTTGCCCATCGTCGTGACCGCGGCGCTTTGGCGCATGGCCCGCAACGACACAACCACGCGTATCTTCTCGGGCATGGAAGTTCTCGCCGCGCTAGCCACCGGAACAATGATCGCGCTCAACGCGGCCCGCGAACGCACTCTGGCAAATACTGGCATGCTGCTCGTCGCCATAGCTACCGTCATGGAGGTCTGGAGACTGCTGCTTAGGATGCAGCGCCAGCGCAAGCGCGCGTTCTGGCGAGAGGAGCGCGCCCACATGCGCCGCAGGCAGACGCTGGATGCGAATTCTGGTGCTACCACCGCCGCCGCGTATGATAGCTTTGGGTTCAGACGCGCACCAACGCCCACAGAGCAGAGGGGGAGGGGAAGGTCGAGACCGGCTATGGGCGCTGGTGGGGGCGGGTTGTTTGATAGTTTCTCTTCTTCGCAGTGATGGATGGGCTGTGGCTTACCTGTATTTACTTACTTCTTACTTACTTCTTCTTGTTCTTCGTCTTCTGTGGATTTTGGAGTTTGCATCTGTCTTGTGTTTCGCATTGGTGGGATAGAATTGATGATTCGGTAAACATTCTCCTCCACTAAGCAACATACCTACAACCGTGAAGAGATCATCATGTATGCAGAGGTATCATCACGACCACCCAGATACCAGTATTCTCGCCATGTCACATTATCGCATCAGACACTAAGGACGAATCACTTCACTAAATATCAACCGATCACCGATCAGCCAAACAATACGGACCATACAAGCAAATCCCAAGTACAGTGGGTACAGTACCACGCGGCAGCTGCGTACCGAAACCGTAGTTTTACAGCCTCTGATAGTTCCTTCATAGATAACGTCCAATCCCTTCCGCTCTGCGCCCTCCATACTTGCAAGATTTGGAGTCACCACACGCGGCACAGATAGTCAGAACTCAGGATGTCTTACGGTAGGGGCGTTGGGCTGGATGGGAGCTGGATGGGGTGGTGGAATAACTGCTGGAAGCAACTGTGTCGGAAGCTGTGGATTTCATGAGTTTTTGGTGTTGTAGCGTAGGTGAGAGACGGGAAGTTGCCGCAATACTACATTCTGCATGTATCACTATCACATATGGTAGATTGGATTCAACCGATAGGTACCGGTACCGGTAGCATTGCATTGCATTCATGATCAACGCCTTGTATGTATGTGTGATGATGTTTCCTCCCCGCCATCCCCGGTACTCCATCTATTTCTTCAACGGCTCCCGAACCGCACACTTGAACTGTACCCCAGCACACCGTCAGTCACTCGTTCGTCCATCACTCGTCCGTCCACTCGTCCGTCCACTCGTCCGTCCACTCGTCCACTCACCAAAAAGATCTGCGCCTTCTCCCAATCCCACACTCCATGCTTGGTATACGGATCCTCCTTAAGCCTAGCAACGACCTCGTCCCTGGTCGCCGCGACCGCGGTCAACACGCTCCCGTGGAAGTCGAACGTCTTCGCGTCCGTATTGTCCTTGGGGACATCGTTCAGGGCGGCGCCTGTCCCACTAATTAGCAGTGTTATAGTTCGGAGGGGGGAGGGGGAAAAGTGCATACCGCCCCAGGTCAGGAACCCGTCAGCAACGAGAGCTTGTATACCCGCGAAGTGCAGCGGGCGGATCTCAAGACGCTTCTCGTGCACGCCGGGGATGTCGGGCAGGATACAGAGCCATTCGTGCTTGGGGACGGCGGTGGCGGTGGACATGGTTGCGCGGGTGATGGGACGTAGGAGGGGCTTGGACAGCTGCTGTGTGAGGGGGCGGAGGTATTTGTATAGGTTTGGCATTTCACTGCTGGTGATGATACTGGGGGGAGGTGGGCCTGGTGGGGGTGGGGTGGGGTGGAACTCGGTACACTCGGCTCGGTACGATACGGTATGTAGACACGCTCGATGGGCTCTACATGGCTCATCCTACATGCTCATCTGCATATACCCCACTTCGCTAGAGCTAGCTGGTTTGGAGCTCCTCGTATACACATATTCTGGAAGAACAGCGGCGAGTACATATGACCGGGGTCGTGTGGGGGAGACGTCAAGCATTCGGTGGTGGGGAACGGCAGGTACCGGGAGGGGCGGGTAACGATCGACGATCCTGGGCTAGTTAGCTCGTTTGCTGCGACGCGGTTATGTATGTAGCTCGATAACTTTGTTTGCTTCAAGGTGTCACCGCGCGAGAGATCACCACCACCACCACCGCTTCCTCCGACTTCAATCATACCACTCTCACTTCACCCAATACCACCACCACCACACAACAGAAGCAACTATGTCGCAGCCGCCCGCGCGCCCCGGCGGCGGCATGTCCGGACTCTACGCCAACCTCCTCGGCGACACGACTGCGTCGACGTCCAAGAGCTCCTCGGCGACGATCTCGAAAGCGCCCGTAGTATTCGCAAAGCCATCCGGCGGCACGTCTGGACCAGCGGCGACTCCGACGGCGGAGGACCCTACAAGTGGCAGCAGCAACACAAGCACACAGAAAAAGATTAATGCCGGTAGTCACGCGCATACCATTTTCCTTGCCTGGCCGGGTTGTGCATTTGTTATTTTTTTGTGAATGAAGCTTTGCTCACGGGTACGTTGCGAGGTGTTTCTTGCAAGGGATATTATACAGCTGCGCTACGATTTCAGCCCACCATTACGAAACGCCCTGCGCCCCCGCAGCAGAAGAAGGGAATGAACTTTAAGCCAATTGGCGGCGCCGCGATCAAGGGCGCCACCACCACCACCGGTGAGGATTCCGCGACGACGCCACAGGTGAAGCCCGAAGCGCCAAAGCCAGTGGTCAAGACTACCCTCGAGGATTGGGTCGGCGATGATGAGGATGTCAATGGCTTCTACAACAGCACCAATAAGGAACGGCAGCGTGCTGGAAGAAAGAAGAGGAAGAAGAATAAGGCCACTCCGCCGCCGCCGACAAACTGGGACGACATCTATGATCCGCTCAGACCCAATAGCTACGAAGAGTACAAGGAAGGAGACGAGAAGATCCGCGAGATGGAGGATTGGCGGGAGAGGCTATACGGCAAGAAGCGGAGGAGCCGTTACAGCGACAGCAGTGACTCCGAGGACGAAAGGCGCCCTGCCGTAGGAGGTATTTCTTCCTTTCCTGCTAAGGGTCAATCGGAGATTGACTTTGGTTTATAGGCCGCTTTGCACCCCCCACCAATTACTCGTTCGCTCCACCGCCGCAGTTCGCGCCTCCCCCTCCTCCTTCTAATAAACCACCGACACCAGCTATCGAGATACCCGACGACGCCTCGGGAGAAGACGCGTTTGCCCGCCGAATGCGAATGTCCCAGCGAGGCCAAGTCGGCTACGCAGCGGCACCTACGCACGTCCCGCAGTCACCTACGCACGTCCCGCAGTCACCTCCGCCGCCACCTCCTCCCGCAGCCACTGCTCCGGCCTCGACAGCCGACCTGACCATCTCCCGCGCGCCAGTCCTCTACACCCAATCTGCTGCCACCGAATCCCCGTCGTCCGACCTCATAAACCCGTACGCCGAGCCCTCCCCGGAGCCCGAAGCCTCCTCCCGCCCGGGCCAAGCCGGCTTCGCAAAGCGGCTGATGGAGCGCCAAGGCTGGAAAGCAGGGCAGGGCCTCGGGCGCGACGGCAAAGGCATCACGAAGGCGATCCAGATGGTGTCCTCTGGCAAGAAGGGCCAGCCGGGGCGCGGCAAGATCGTCGACAAGAACAAGAAGCGCGCCACCGCCGACGCGGACCGCTCCGAGGTCGTGGTCATGCGCGGTATCGTCGATGGAAAGAGAAGGCTCGAAGACGCGGAGCTCATGCAGAAAATCGGCGACGAGTATAAACGCTACGGAAGGGTCGTGCAGATCAAGATTTGCTGGGATGAGGAGGACCCCGAGACCGCTAGGGTCTATGTCTTGTTTGCGGACGTGGGCAGCGCGCAGATGGTATGTTCCCTTGCTCTTGCTCCTTGCTTTTGCTCTCGGGTTGAACGTGCGAGGGTTACTCATACTGATACTGATACTGGTGGGACACAGGCCGTCAATGGACTACAGAGACGGGAGATCTTTGAGGGGAACAAGACGGAGGCCGCGTTTTATCCAAAGGAGAAGTTTGAGGCGTTGGTGTTTGAGTGAAATGTTACACGGATGGATTGCGGATGGGGATGTGGAGTGTGTGTTGCGTACTACTATTGGTTTTAGCGAATATCAATCTTTTCATTGTGAGCCTGCGTGCCGTATGCTGGAGATCAGGAATCATAAAACCGTGATATAACACTGCGATGTGCAGCAGATGAAGGACTACTACTGCGTGATGGCGGCGAGTGAACCCGGAAGAGGATGGGCAGCTCTACCATACCTAGCGGCGGTTAGGATTGCAGGAATGGAGCCACTGGGCAAAGACAATAGCAGACAGTGTTTTCGTCCATGCTATTCCTTTCCTCCCCACCCTTCCAGCCATACTGGTAGACTGAGAAGCCGCACGCACTTACGTACTCAGTCACGCAACTCACGCAACTCATCGTGCAGTCACAGAGAGAGAACATCAATTTATTGTCGCATGCGGCCTTTGCTAGCCTACGGCGACCACCTGCAGTGATATTTCGCGCAGAGCCGAGCACGACTCCCGGCCGACTCCCAGCCGAATGCGAGTGTGAGGTCGTGATGGCATTGCTGTCTGCCGAGTACCGTATTCTAGAGTAGGTAGAGTACCGGTAGGCACGGTAGATACGGTATGCATAGAATAATACCGATATGCTACGGCAGTATCCTCCGGTATTATTACGGCAGCATCCTCCGGTAGTGTACCCAGTACAGCCCGGAGTCCCAGAGCCCCGGAGTCCGTACCCTCCAGACCCTCTACATAGCAAACCGAACCGACCCGAACCGTATGTAGCACCTGGCTTTGTTCACGAGTATGTACTCCCGTAGTATGTAGATACTAGGTAGTGATAGTTACCAGCGGCCGACTGGCGGGCGGGGCGGGAGGGTTGAATACTCTTCCATCTCTTCCACCTACTACCGTACTCTACGGTACCTACGACGTTTCGGAATCACGGATAGCTTGGGCGGTTTGCAGTAAGCAGTGTGCTGCGGGCATGGCAGTGGCCAGTACTCTTGGGCAGTGAGCGCGGGCAGTGAGCATAGCAGGCCCTACCTAATACCCACATATGCGCGGAATATACTGCCCCTGCCCTTCTCCGTGTCCATGCCCGCCCTCAGTCCCTACTCTCCCTTCATACTCTCCCGACTCGCCCTACCGGTATAATACGCAATACCGAGCGAACCGGCAATAAACCCGCGACACCCCATCATCCTCCACTCACATGTACCCATGCTTGCCGACCGACCCTCCACTCCCCACGCTCACGGTTCTACCTGTATGTACCTTATGTACTCTACAGTAGGTACCCTGCTCCTACTCTACCCAGCACCGGTATCTATGTACGAGTATGAGTACATATGCAGCCGCGTCATCGTCCGCCTTCCGCCCTCCCGCTCCGCCCTGGCACATGATATCACTCTCCCCTCCTCACTCTCCAATCTTCACTCAACTTCTACCATGGAACGGATTATCGGTCAATGCGATTGCAATTCAAAACATACAAGCATAATCAAGTACAATCTTCTCACTGCCATCAACCCCCCAGTGCCCTCTCCCCACTGCCCACTCACCACCACCCACAACCCTCCACCTCTAACATCCTACAGTTCACTCCACCTCCACCTCCACCTTCACCATCATCACACAAACATACCAGAGTACCGGATCGAAACGAAAAAGCTACACAGACCCGACGACTACAAAGACATACATGAGTGGTAAAAGTCAAGCTCAAAGTCAAAGGTAAAAAACACGCACAAAAAAAACACCCCATTAACCCGTAATTATTCGCTTCGTTCGTTCGGGAAATAATAAGAAAGAAGCAAAGAGACAAAAAAAAAGCAAAAAGCAAAAAACAACGTTTCTCCGTCTAAAGTAGTAGTAATCGGTCACTTTCCCATGCGCGTTTGTGACCGGAGGGTTCCACATCGTTCGTTCTTCACCTGACAAGACATAAAAAAACAAGTGCTAAGAGAGAGGTCTTTCTTTCCTTTTGAGAAGACCAACCCGAAGCAAGCCAGAGCGTGAACTCCCGAGAAAAACAACCGAGGGGGCCAAACAATGAATTGAGCAAAAGCACAAGATAGCTCCCAGCAAAAAAAAAAAAAAAAAACACACACACACACAAGAAACAAAACCCCAGCGGATTACATTTACAAAGCAACCATCGCGGCGACACCAGCGACGAAGGCGACGAGCATGCTGGCACCGAAAGTGGCGGCAGCAGATTCGTTGTCAGTGCTACCGGATCCGGCAGTTCCGAGGCCACCGGTCTTGGACTCAGCAGTCTCCTTCTTTCCAGCACAGGTGAAGTCGTCTCCCTTGATCACGCCAGAGCTCTTAAGATCGTTGAACTCGTCGCAGGAAACATCCTCGGTAGACTGGAGGTTGAAGCCACCACGAACGTCGTCCAGGGAAGGAAGAGTGACGCTGAAGGAGAAAAAAACATTAGTACATGCACGAAAGAGGATATTTCTCGGAAACACGGAAAGTACTTACTTGGTGACAACACCGGAGATATCGACGGCACCACCGACAACGGCGAGCTTGTCAAAGTCCTCGACAACGGCGAGCTTGGTGTTGTTGGCAAGCTGGAAAGTACCACCAACCTCCTCGAGCTCGTTGGCCGAGATCTTGGTCAAACGAGAGCAAGAGACGAAAGCCAGCGACTCGCCAACCTGGGTGAGCTCAGGGAACGAAACGGTCTCGAAGGTGTTGTTGACGAAGGCAGCGGTGCTCTTGACCTCCTCGAGGACGGGGAAGTAGACATCACCAGCATCACGGACAGTGATGTTGTTGGCCCACTTGAGGTTGGGGAACGAAGCGTTGACACCCTTTCCGTTGGCCTCGATGATCAACACATCCGTGACGTTACCGAGAGCAACGTTGACACTCCTCAGGTAACGGTTGTTGTTGATGTTGAAACGCTCAGCAGTGACCAGGTTGATGCCCTCGAGCGAGGTCAACAAGGTGTCCGTGATCAGGACGGTGTTGGCCTTGCTGACTTTCTTGGTGAAAGAAAGCGACTGCAGGGCAGGCAGGGTGCTCCATGCGATGTCACCGACGGAAACGAGCTCGGGGCAAGACAGGGTGGACAGGACGGTCAATCCGTTGAGCTTGAAGGATCCACCGATGGTCTTCAGGCCGGGAGCCGAGAAGCCGGTGAGGCCGACGGCACCGTCAATGATCAAGTCACCGGTGATGCTGGACACGCTGGTCGGGAAAATGATGTTCGCGACACCCTTCTTGATGTTGATCGACCCGTCGAACCGCGAGCAGCTGTCGAGTTGGCTGACGTCTCCATCGCTCTGGATCTCGATATCCTCGTCACACTGGGCTGTTAAGCGGTGGTATTAGCTTTCTGTTGCTCGTTCCGACGAAGAGATAGTTCGTAGTGTTAGGCGAAAAGGGGGGGATAGCGGGATTGGGTTCGATCAACATTCAGGAACGACCATCAGATCGGAGAATGTGATTGTGATGAACCGTAGAAGCAGCAGCTACTGCTGCAGGAGCAGGAGCAGAGGCAGGATCGGCAGGTGTGCAGATGAAGCAAAGTAGAAAAACAAACATACCAGCAACCATTCCCACGGCCAGGGCGGCGAACAACAGTCTCTTGATGTTGAGCATTGTGATTGTGTGTAGTTTTCGAGCCGGATTAATTACAAGAGGTGTATGAGTGATGCAAGGGGGGTTGGCGAGGTGAGGCCGACGTGTTTACTCTCGAGGTGTGTGTTGGAGAGGTGTAGGTGGAGAGATGTTGGGAGGAGGAGGAGGAGGAGGAGAAGGTTGGCAAGTTAAGCGGGTGAGATGATCAACGAGAGACTGAAGAGAGAAGAGGAAGAGGAAGAGGGAAAGAGGAGCAGAAGAGAAGTAGAAGAGAGAAGGAGGCGGACGGACGTTCAAAAGGCGGTCGGTTGGGAGAGATGCGCGCGATCGGATTGGGAGCTAGCGGGAGCGTTAGGGTGTGTGGCGATTGGGCTCAGAAAGGGAAAGGACGGGAAAACCGAGAGTGAAGGGATATTTAGGTCGGGGGTGGGAGTGTGAGTGGAGGGTCGTGTGGCAGTAGGATAGGACTTCAGGGTCGGGGGGTTGTGGATTGTGTTTAGTTTCCGGGGGGGGGGGGGGGGTGGGAAAGGGGCAGGAACGGTGCCTTTACTGGTCGGTCGGTTGGTTTTTTCCCAGCGGCGGAAGAGCAGAGTGGCTAGAGTATCCAAGAAAGATATCGACACCATGCTCGATTGCGGAAAGCACTCTGCCCGTTAGATTTGCTGGGCAGGGGTGTGCGGTTTTCAATGATGCTTCACGTCTTTTTTTTCTCTTTCTTTCTTTCTTTTTTTTGTTTTTTCTTTCTTTCTATGAAGTCTTCTGCGACTCTGCTCTGCAGCGCAGCGGATCCACACGAGACGCGAGAACAGCACGCGGAAAGAGGTGTGGCTCGGACCTTATCAAGCTGCCATTTCATTGGCAAGGAGCAATAATTTGGAGGGAAGGGCCTGGGTCGGGCACGGCGGGACAGACAACGCCTAGTCTGGAGATATCTACCAGATTGAGCCACGGACGGCTTCTTCGTGTGGGCACTGGGAAAGGGGAGGACCAGCCAAGACCAACCAACCGACCGACCGAGCCACGGACGGGGGACAGAGTGGAGGAGTGAGGCATGATGCTAGTGGCCAGAGCGGACAGAGCAGACGGAGCAGACGGAGCAGACGGAGCAGACGGAGCGGACAGAGATGGAGAGATAGCACACCCCAGATACTTGGTTACAGACGTGGTGGTGGCCGTCATCGTCATCGATCCCCCCACCCCCCCAGTGCGGACGAGAGAGGCGAGAGGCAAGAAACACGCGTCGAGGTGTGTGTGTGGGGTTGTTCCTGACTCGCCGGAACTCAGCAGCAGCACAGCAGCAGCGGCGGCGGCCAGGACAGGGGCACCACAGTTGCCATCGCTAAGAAACATCGCCATCCATCCATCCATCAGCGAGGGCGGCGGCGGTAAAGCAAAGCAGAGTAGCATCATGGCCGGCATGGCATGGCATGGCATGGCATGGCATGGCATGCATGGGGCCGGACCATTGAATTTGTGCGCAAAGACAGACGAGCACACACACAGGAACTAGTCGGCACCACCTCTTTGCAGTGCGCCATCGCAGTGGACGCGGGCGGCTGCTGGCACACTCCGGAGCTTCCTCAAACCCCGAGCGTGACAATCGTGGCTCTGGAATAGCAATTGAGCGCAAACAGGACTCTGTCTCTTTCTCGTCGCCGTCTCGTCGTCGTCTCGCTGTCCGGATGATGGAAGCCAGCCATTCCTCACAACGAAGCCAGCCATTCCTCACAACGAAGCCAGCCATTCCTCACAACGAAGCCAGCCATTCCTCACCATCAAAGCCATTATTTCCTCCCCACTCCCAAACACGCACCCCCATATCTGCACCAAACTCCTCCACGGGCGGCCGACGTTTCAAGTTTCAACTTGAGAACCCCAATTACCAACCCACATGCCGCCGGGCACCCATTTCCCTCCCCGAGCGCCGTTCCGTCCGCCGACCTCGATCGTGTGTCTGTGTCTCTTTCTTCTTCTTTCCCTTCTTCTTCTTCCTTTTCGTTCCCTTTCCCATCCTTCCTCCCTTCTTGCCTTTTTTCTCCACTCTGAGCACGCACTCTCCGCACCCCCCTGCCGCAGAGTACTCACTTGCACACTTGCAATTGCTTGATCTGAGCATCTGAGCAATCCTTGGCTCGCCAATAAACCTGATCCCGTTCCGTTCGGCACCCACCCACGCACCCACCCACGCACCCACACACATCCACATCCACACATCCACACACACCCACACAGACACAGACACACCCCCCTACCTAACCTAACCCAACCTAACCATTCAAATTCGAAATTCGAAGTTCCACTTTCGATTCGGCGCGGTGCTTTGCGGCGTTGGGCGAGCGCGGCGGGCGCGAGTGGCTTCCAAATCGAAACCACCGAGCTCTGCTTAGCTAGAGGGAGGATGAGCTGTATCTAGAGTAGGTACTAGTATGCATAGGAAGTAGAGTGTTCAGGTACTCATATGAATTACCTATCTCACGGATCGCAATTCCGTTGACTCCCTCCCTTCTCGTTGACTCCCTTCTCTCCCGCTCGCTCGCTCGCGACATATCTACAAATCCGTCTAACCCGCGAACGAGCGAGCGAGCGAGCCTCGGACGGCCCGACGCGTCTGTGGTTGGTGGGCAGTGGTCGGTGGTGAGTGGTCCCACAGCTGGCAAAGGCAAATTCAATTGAAGCATAAAGCCGTCTGTCCCCCCGTCCCCCCCTCTACATGGGAACATGGAAACACACCTCTCACATGCTCAGCTCATGCAAAAAATTCAAGGAGACGAGACATGAGAGAAGCAGCCTACGAGACACGAGCGGGCAAGAGTGGACGAGACTCGAGAGCTCGGCCATGACCGCCAGCTCGCCGAATCATCCTCTGCTACCTCTGCTACCTCTGCTCTGTGATGCGACTGCGACTGCAACTGCTGCGACTGCAAGCTACCTACAAGTTGTGCGTTCCAGATCGTAGATGATCTTTCCGTGTACATGTGTACATATTTTGAGGTAGCATGTGCATTGTGCACTACCTACCTGCTGCTGGGCAGTCGTCATCTCAAACCCCCATCCCCCCCCCTCCCCCTTCCCCCGGAACGTCTGCCGGCGCTGATGCTGGTGCTACATGAGTCGTGACAACACTTCAGACATCGCCATCCACTCATCGCGTCCATCCATCGCTCGCCGATTTCGCGTCGATTTCTCGTCGATCTTGGGATCTCATGTGCTCATGTACCTGCTAGCAGAGCAGAGTCAGTGGGCCGCCGTGAGTGGCCGCCGTGAGAGAAGGAAAGCGAGAACGATAGAGAAAGGGTAACCGAGTCGTTTGTAATCGCATCGTATCGTATCGAATCCCCCACCCTGCTGCTGATGCCGGATCCCGAGCTCTCTGTTACTCTGCTACCTACTCCGGAGTCGTTGTCGTCGTGATAACTACTCGTATATGTATCTGAGCATGTGTATAATATCTACATAAGTAGCAATCTTTTTCAAGTTACAACAAAACGCTCCCGCAGACTGCTGCCAGCCTACCAGCCTGTCTGCGGACCGCCGAGGAGCGTGGAGCGGGCAGCTGCGACGGCGGGCAGCAGCAGTGTGAAGCGGGCAGCGCGATTGGTCGCACGCGTGCCCGCTGCCCTCCCTCCCCCCCTCCACAAGTAGAGTACGCACGGATTTATTTGTTTAAACATCATATCACACTGTAGCATTCGATTACTACTCGAGTATATGCATTGATGATAGGTCATCATTCATAGCTGCCACACACGCCCACACACACACACACACACACACACACGCGCACACGCACGGATGACACACACCTGAAGCACGGGAGCCTCGGGGTGGAGGGCTCAGGAGCAGGGCACAGGGGGCGAGGAGGCGAGCGAGTGATGTTTCCGTTTCGTTTGTGTTTCCCTTCTGCCCCGCCCGCGCCTCCTCTCGCTGCCCCACCACAGCTACTCTGCTTATGACAACGCTCCCCTCACCCCTCGTCGCGTCTTCCCACACCATCGCCCCGCACGAGCAACTCTCGCAGCTGAAAGTACTATACCTAGCCTACTATACCGTACTACAGCACCCATGGCGCCAACTACGCGACGAACTGCGGCGGCGGCGGCAGTGGCGGCGGCGACGGTCGCGAACCAAGCGCTGGGGAAGCTCCTGGGGAGCTTCAAACCTTCGAAACCTGCGAACCCTTTGAACCCCTCGAAACCGGTCGGCGTGGTCAAGAGCAAGAGCAAGAGCAGGGTGGCCTCTGCTGGAACTGGTAGAAGGGCGGTGGTGGGGGTGGCGGGTGGTGCTGCGATGGCGGGCGGTGCTGCCACCGAGAGCACCACCGCTACTCCCGGCGGAGTAAAGTCCAAGCCCAAGTCGAAGCCCAAGCGCAGGTCGAGGAGTTCAGCTGCTGCAGCTGAAGCCGAAGCTGAAACTGACGACGACACTGCCACCGCCACCGCCCCCGCCGCCCCGCCTAAAGGCACCCTCCTCCAGCACGCCGAAGCGCACCTCCTCTCCGTGTCGCCGTCGCTCGCACCACTAGTGGCCGCACACACGTGCCCGCTGTTTACTTCCGTGGGGCTGGCGGAGGCGGTGGACCCGTTTACTTCCCTCGCGAGCGGGATAATCTCGCAGCAGGTATCTGGGGCGGCTGCGCGGAGCATCAAGGTCCCCCCACCCCTCCTCCGCCCTCTGTTTTCATCAACACAGCTGACAGCGCGCAGGCCAAATTCATCTCCCTCTTCGAGCCCAATTTGACCTTGGAGTCCCTGCGCTTCCCTTCGCCATCGCTAGTACTCTCTCTCCCCTTGGCGACCCTACAGACCGCCGGCGTCTCCGCGCGCAAAGCGGCGTACCTGCACTCTCTTGCCACGGCGTTCACCGCCGAGACCGCAACCATCACGCCGCAGTTCCTGGCCACCGCGTCGGATGCCGAGATTGTAAGAGAGCTCACGAAGATCCATGGTATTGGACAGTGGAGCGCGGAAATGTTTCTCATGTTTGCGTTGAAGAGGTGGGATGTCTTCACCGTGGGAGATCTGGGCGTGCAGAGGGGTATGGCTGCGTGGGCGGGGCGGGATGTTAACGCCCTCAAAAAAGCGGGCGGGACTGGGAGCGGCGGGAAGGGTGGGAAGAGTGGTAAGAAGTGGAAGTATATGGCGGAACAAGAGATGAGGGAGCTCGCGGAGCCGTTTGCGCCGTATCGGAGTAAGTACTTACTTCACTATCGACTCGACGAGGCTCGGGACTGGGCTTGGAAGTGGAGATGGCTAATGTGCACCCGTGGCAGCCCTGTTTTGCTGGTACATGTGGCGCTGCGAGGGGACTGATATCGATGCGATGGGGGACGTTACGACGACAACAACCACAGCCACAACCACAAAGTAAAGTAAAGTACTCATCACATTACATCATATCTCACTCGATAGTCGACAGTCCGCAGGCACATATACATCCATCCATCCTTCCATCCATCCTCCATTTCATAGCTACCCCACAAAACAAAAAAATCAATCATCCCCTCCTTCTCCACTCCCCCTCCCCAGTGTTCTATTTCCCCCCCTCCCCCTCCCCCTCCACTTTCCGTCCATGAGTACCAGCAGTCTTGAGACTCCCCCCCGGCGCCGCACGCGCGGCGGCGATGGAGCTGCGCGTGTACGCGAGCAGCAGAAGCGCCATCGTTGCGGCGGCCGCGGGCGCGGCAATGGTGCGGCCTGTTATCTTCATGGGTCTTGGGTTTTGGTCGTGGTGGAGTGAGATACTTGAAGGTGAAGTGATGCTGGAGTAGAGTTGGGAAGGGATGGGAAGGGAAAGTAAGCTGATGGGAAATAAGGTGATGGGCTGGGGTTATATAGAGTAGAGTAACTTAGAGTGGGGGTGGTGGTGGTGGTGGTGTGGGCCGATATCGCGTGTGCGGGGTATCACTCGGTTTTTTATTTTGTGGGTGGATCTTGCAGTAGAAGTAGACAGTGGTGATTCATAGACAATGCCTAGGGCCCGTTTGGATGGCCCCAGTTTTCAGTTCCAGTTTTAGAGCCAAATTCAATTCCCCGCCGGGACACCGAATACTGTCCAGTTTCAGTTTCAGTTTCTGGAAAACCGTGAGGTGAACAGAGTGTTTGGCGGTTCTCAGCAACAAGTATATGTACTCATCCGTAAATACAATAATAGGCTTCACCAGAACTTTAATAGGTAGTAGACACATTGTAGTCCCGCTTATCGGAAGGGGAGTCCATGGTTGAAGTTAAAATGCGGTACTGAGTTGGTAGTGGTGGTGGAGAAAAGACCTCCAGAGGTCTGTTCCCGTTTCATCGCCGGAGCCGCACAGTTTCAGTTTTGTTTGCTCAGTTTCTCGAAAAACTGACAGGTTTCGCTAAAATTGAGGCCATCCAAACGGGCCCTATGGTAATGGTGAAAGTAGTGGTGATACATAGACACTGCTAAAGTCACGTCTCCCCGACTGCATGGCGTGTGGAATGGTATTCACATCGTTTGTTCCCTCTACCAGTATCTAGTATACAGCCTAGCCCAGCACAGCCCAATAAAGTCCAGCCCGAATCATTGATCGAAATGTAGCGTCATATGTAAAGATTCCAGATCCAACAGACAGGAAGTTGTACATACCTCCTGTAGATACCATCATCTAGGTAGGTATCGTCAAACCCGGAGTAACAGACAGATAGACAGAAAGACGGGCAAACATGAGAATCTACTTCACAGCAGTCCCCCGTCTATCAATCGACATCTATCCATCCAGCCATGTATCCAGCCAGCCAGCCATGCAGCCATGCATAGAACATCGACATCGATCCGCAAAAACAATCATCAGCACATCGCATCCCATCGCATCTCATCATCGCATCTCATCCCATCCCATCATCTCATCTCCATGTATCAATCGTCGAAATGGAGGTCGAAATGTTAGGAGAACGAGAAAAGGAAAAGAAAAGGAAAACAAACAACAAATCGGCAACTGTAAGAAGTATTAGAGGAAATGAAAAGAAACAAGAAATGAAAAGAAATGGAAAGAAACAGACAACCGCCCCAAAACTAAGACCATACCCGGGTCCGAAACCAGCAGTAACAAGCAATTGTAAAAAGAACCAGCGTAAAAAAAACAGATCCCCTTGAAAAGCAAAGCAAAGCAGAGCGCCACCCCCCCAACCCCCACCCCCCCCCTATGATGATGATGATGAATGACCGGTAAAAGAGAAAGAAAAAGTCAAAGTCAAAGAAAAGAAAAAAATGAGACCAGAAGAAAAAAAGCCATGATGCACCGAAGTGTAGCTAGCAAAGATATCATCGCGAAAGCAGTAAAGGGTAAAAGCATTGTAAGACCGTAAAAGCACAACACCCCAGACCACCACACCTCTAATGTAAGCTGTAACAGTTCTAGTATTCGCGTCGAGATGGAAATGTAAAAGGAGAAAAAAAGATTCCCGTCGTCGTGGTGGTCATCATCGTTCGTTCGTTCGTCGTGGCTAGCTGGCTGGCGGTTAAAACCTGCCTCCGCTGCCGTAATGGTTGATGCTCTCCTCGCGGAGGCGCGACAGAAGGCCGGCGACAACTAGGTTGCGGCCTCGTTAGTAGGGTGGGTGGGTGGGGGAAAAGGAGACATACATTCGTAGGTGAGAATGGTCATAGCACTGCTAGGCACAGCGCGGACCAGGTTCGTTCCCATTCCATTGTACAGAGCACGTCCTCCCTCTTCCCTTATAATGGTGAACAAGGTGGGGAAGATACCGCGGTATTTAGGAAAGGTGACCTCGCGCTTCGCTCCTGCAGTCTCGGCAATACCACTCAAAATCCTCTGGCGCTGCAGACGAGTGCGCAGGACTTCGTGGGGGTAGGTGGCACAAGAGGCACAGATCTTGCTGAGGCAACTGGCTGCCAGAATTCCGCTGAAATTGCTGTTGCCGTCTGCATCTTGCTTTCCAAGCTCGATTCCGCCGGTAAAGTGTTTCTTCAGGAACTCGTACACCGGGAACTGGACGCTCACGTGGGTAAGACCGAGAAGAGCGGGCGAGAGGCCGGAGTAGAAGGATTTGAGTCCCTCGTAACGGTACATCTTCCTGGCGGCATCCCACGTATTGTAGTAAAAGTACGCAGACGATCTCACCGCCGCAGTACTGCTAGCGGCTGGCGGCTGCGACATCAAGCGCGTCTTGATGACCCAGATGGGGTTGGTGCACAAAGTGCTCGAAGCGCCAGCGAGAACCGCAGCACCCATCTGGACGAAGCTTTCGGTCTCGATGTCTGCAGGGAACACATACGCATAATTAGCACATCATATCACACGTTGGCTCGTACGCGGGGATCACTGGGAATAACTAACATGGCTTCAACTCAACCTTTCCTTTCTCATAGACTGTGAAGTACACCGTCCAAGTGGGGAGATATCCGAGAATCAACGGGCCGAGGCCTTTGTACATTCCGCGGAGGCCATCCTCGCGAAGGATCGTCTTGGTTGTTCCTATCAACCCGCGGTACTTGAGTTCACCAGCGCCTATCGCGCCACGAGGACGCGGAGTAGTGCGCGACCATCCAGCCTGGGCCTGTAGCTTCGTCTTGACTACATCGAGCGGACAAGTGAAGACTCCCGACACAAATCCCGCGGTGCCACCCGCAATTGCCGGAGTCCAGCCAGGGTTGATGGACGAAGCGTTCCAGTGAGGAAGAATCTTAGCTACGATTCCCCTCCTCCAGTCATTGCCCCCCGGCACTCCCGGTAGTCGGGAATGAGCATGGCCATTTCCCGAAGTCGGTTCGGTCGGAGTGTTGGGTGGAGGCGGCGGAGGGGTGTCGGACTCTCCCGAGGACGAATTTGAAGCTGAACGGGACATGGTTGGTCGTTCTGGGTTTTGGTGTGGCTTTTCGGGGGTGTTGTCGGCGCTTTTGGTGGTGGTGTATGGGTGTGCTGCGACGGCAACACCGGGAAACAGCGAACGGTAATTGTACCAGGTCAGCGACCCACGGGAGAATCGGAGCTAGGATTGTGTCCGCTGCAGTTACGCGACGGGAAGGGAGCGATGAGAGGAGTGGAGCAGGTGTAGGGTGTGGTGGGTGAGTGTCGTGTGGTCGGTGGTGGTGGTGGTAGTTGGGTATGGTGGGGGAAGTTCTCGATTCGGTAGAAAGAGAAAGCGGTGGAGGAAGGGTGGACGAAACAACGCACAACAACTCGAGGGGGGGTCGGCTTCTCGTGTTCAAGCCTCCTCAGTGCTGTGGTCGGGATGGGGGGAAGGAGGAGAGATACCGAAGGTAGGGGGGGTGGTGAAGGAAGTGGAAGTGGGAAGGGAGAGAAGGTACACAGTAGGTAGGAACGAAGCTGATGCACAAGTACCTTTCTGAACCCTCACTTCGACCCACACTCCCGCTCGCACTATCGGCCGCCACTTGCCCCACATATGCGGCTCAAACTGATCGAGAGATTGAATGAGTGTGGATTGCAGTGAAAGGGAAGACGAGCAAGAGAAATTGTATAGAATTGGTGATCGAGAGAAGATTCACAGAAAGAGGCTCAGGAATCCTAGAATCCTACATAAACTTTTTTACCGTGGTCGTTGCGATCCCCTCCAAGCCAATCGTTATCCGGCAAAGGATTAGGGTAGTTATCGCCTCACACAAGCTCTTTACTTTTTCCTGAAACCTGCTAGAAAAACACGGGAACTGGCGAAGGGTCCGGCATCATCACCTCCATCATGATCATCGACCAAGAAATAATCTCCACATCGGCCTTAGAATTGCTCCTGAGGCTGTCAGTCACGAGGTTCCCCACCACCACCACCACGCTCCATGGACTGGCAGCCTTATCAGTGCCGGTACACCCCCGCTATGCACCAACGGTATTCCTAGGTAGGTACCTCATCCCACTCCCGCTTCCCCCGTAGAGACATTCCTGCTTTTGCGGGCCATTTCCGCTTGGCTAATCCTCACCTTCTCCACATCAAAGTACTGCCATGCTTAGGAAGATGTATCCCCCCACTCTACCACCACTCTGCGGGTCTCCGGGATCAATTCATTCCCGCAGCACGACCGGACGCCTGCCCTCCGTGATCGACAAACAATATCTCTTGGCAGGGCAATATTTACGGCTGCACCCCACGCAGATGCGCAAGGGTTGATTCTGTAGGTGAACTTATCGCTCTGCGCGCAACAGTCGCCTACATATCCTCGCGACCTCCCAGCTTCCCGGCCGCATCGCACATCCGCTCGCTCACTCCACTGACATCCGGCCGTCGAAACCGTGGTCCATCCTCCTCAACGACGAGCGCGACCGCAAATTCTCCAGCTTCACCGTTGCAGCGTGGATATCCCCACCGGAATCCCGAAACCACCTCGCGGATGCGTCGCGACAGTGCAGTCCGCCGATCCACCAACCGCCTCAATCGCGCGGTCCACCGGTTCGGCCATATGGACGGATGCGCCGAGACACTGCGCGCCCGCATTCTGGCGGCGCGGGGCAGCGGCTCCATAATAAGGTTGGGAGATGTTCCTATCCTTGTCGGCAGCATTTGAAACTGCCGAGGATGTGGAAGTGATGTGGTGCGGGGCGACTTGACACCTGCAAATGCAGCTTGCGCCCCCGGCGCCGGCGGTTTTGAGCTGGTGGAAGTCCATCGTCATCACCTTCGGATGAACGGCGTTTCCGCGTTTAGCAGTTCCCGAGTGGTTCGAGTCTGAAACATCATCAGTTGCTTGGGGGAAACGCATCCAGCCAGCTAAGCTGCGGCGGATTGGCAAGATGGAAGGTTGCATGTGGATGGAAGCCTTTTGCTTTCTGCTTCGCAGATCTACCATGGCTCTGCAGTGTCAAAACGCGGGGTCGTCATGTGACTGGCTTATCCGAGCATGACGTTATCACCAAGAAGCAGACATCTTCATTCTTTCATTCTGTTTTGAACGGTCTCCGAGGCCGAGGAACACAGTGCCCGGTACGGTTCTATTCTAGAATCAACATGCGGTACTCATCGCCTCGGGTTCACCTTACTTACATAGGAGGATAGCCCTATTTTGGCCGGTGTGTTAACTCCAGGCCCAGGAACCGGATGCGTGGCGGCTTAAGCCGTTCGTTGCTGCTTGCTTGGTGAGATCCTTCTCCTGAGAAAGTTCTAGGTGCGATAGTTGTGACACTCGGCTACAGGCCAGACGTTGCCGTTGCCCTTGCCGCCGGAACCGGGCGGTTGTCGCCGTGAATCTTTGTCCGCGTCTCCGCGCATGGTCCCAATGGTCGCCAGCGTGGAAACCCTTATGACAGCAGAGAATGAGGTATGTAGGTGCAGTGGCCAACATTTGTGCCACGGCGAGTGCGAATAAGGTTGGATTTAAACGTTAGAAATGTCAATTTCCCTGCATGTTCCCTGAAATCGTGAATGTGAACCCTTCATTTCGCACAATCTCAATCCGATGCCTGCTTCCGGATTTTCATGTTTTCTAGAAGTCCCACGGAAATCATGCCCATTTTTATCAAAAAAATGATTTCTGTGGTGTTGTTGCTGCTCGCGGGACAAAAATCCCTGTTCCACAAAATACGCAGCGTGGCCGTTAGCCAATGAGAGGGTACTTGATGAGGGCTGATGCCGGGCAACTTCCGATAATTCATCCCGCATTCGTTTCGCTCACTTCTCAACACCACAACCACCTCCACCACACTCATCACCACACATCCACTTTCAGCCAACCAACTCTCGTTCACGACACCTACCAGCCGTCGTTACTATCGTTACGCAAAAATGTCAGCTATCGCTAAGCGTGTGACCGCGTTCATCCAGAGCCGTCCGGCTCTCGATAACATGATGAAGCCGATCGCGAACAAGTACATGGATCTTGCGGGATACCGTAAGCTCGGACTTCTGTACGGCTCTCTTCACCCGCTGCATCAATTCCTGTCTTTTGCCTCTCTCCGACTGCAAACCTGCCGACACATCGCCACTCCAACTGTCCCCCATCGGGTGATTCCGGGAGTATGCTGACTTTGCTGGTGGGGGAACAGCTACGACGACATCCTCGCCGAGGAGAACCCGATTGTGCAGAAGGCCCTGAAGCGCCTGCCGCCCCGTCTCGCCTACGACCGCATGTTCCGTCACCGCCGCGCCATGCAGTGCTCGCTCTCCCACCAGCTGCTGCCACTGAACGAGCAGACAAAGCCTGAGCAGGTGAGACTTTTTCGTCCCGATGCGGGGAAGGGCATCGACTGATATATCGGGGGACAACAGGACATCAACTACCTCCGGCCGTACATTGAGGAGATCGAGCGCGAGATGGCTGAGCGCAAGGAGTTAGACTCTTTGACCAAGAGCAAATAAGCCAAAACAAAGCCCATGCGTTTGAGTCAAAGAGGAAAGAATACGGAGGGAGGAGGGGGAGGTGCTGCGGTTGCTCAAGATATTGCGATATACCCATGTTGCCGTATCCTGGTGCAAACTGCTGCCCACGGCTTTGCTGTTGCTGTTGCTTCTGCTATTGTCATTGCGAAGTCTTCATGATGAGTGTGATTTTTTTCCTTCTTTTCTGTGGTTGGAGGATCCTCCTCCTGTTCGATCCAAATAGAGTACATCGTTTCCGCGCGGCATTGGTGGAGCAAAAAAAAGCGGGGATTGTAGATGACTGCTGGGAATGCAAAATCTCATTCATTTCTTACTCACTTGCTCACGGATGGGTGAAGTTCACGATGTAGCGCAGGTATGAGTTGCGCACTGAGACAAGACCAAAGATTCCCGCAAAACGCCCAACAGCTCCCTTCTGTTGATCTATTAAAACACCTTGCTGAGCAGGCTCTTGACCTTGTCGCTCTGGTCCCTGCCTTCTGTCTTCTCCATCGCCCGGCCCTTGACCTTGTGCTGTCGGAATTGTCTTCGCACCTCAACCTTTGTGGGCTCCGCACTCTCTCCACCAGCACCGCCTTGTTCCGCTTTCCGCTTGTTCTTCTTCGCTTCCTGCATGGTCTCCACCATCTTTGCTCTCTCGACGTTGCGCAGATATGTCTTGTTGACCCTCGTCTCGTGCGCAATCTCGGCCCTGAGCTTTGCCTGTCTCGAAGCATTCTCATACGCTGTGATCCTGTCAGCCTCCTACCATCCATTCCGAGGGAAGGGGGAAGGACTTACCAATCTGCGCCTGCAAATGATGCCACTTGAACTTCCTGAGATACTTGATATTCCACACGTCATCGTAGTAGTAGCTTCCCTTCTTCCCTCCGATATTCTGTGTATTCAACGTCTCGGCACACAGCTTTGCCTCCTTCTTATCCACAAACTCGATCCAGCCCTCGACAAAGTTCCTCTTCTTGTTCCCACCGAATTTGACCCGCTTCGCATGTGCCTTTGGATCTTCCGGCGCCAGGAAAACCCGGTTGATCGCGCCGAACCGGCTCAAAAGGTCCCGCACCTTCTGTGGCTTCATGAACGGCGGGATCCGCGAGAGGTACACTACGCCCGTCTTGTGCGTCGCTTCTTTGGACAGCGCAAGTTGCGCAGGCGTGAGGGGCTTCAATGCCGACGGGTGCGTGATAAGCTTCGAGGACTCTCCTTCGGCCTCTTCTTCTTCTTCGCCTTCTGCGCCGTCGTCGTCCTCGTCGTCTTTGGCCGGTGCTGGTGTGGGATCGTTGAATTTGCCCGCAAATCGTGGGTCTATGGCCGCACCACCCTCCTCATCGTCGTCATCGTCGTCCTCAGAATCGTCGCTCTCGTCGTTGTCGGTGCGTTGGACCTTCCTCCGTTTCGCGCGGTGCTGCGTAAGTTTTTTTGAGCGCTCGTCGGCGTCGCTGTCGCTCACATGGCCCTCCTCGCCGCTGTCTTCGGCAAGAGCCAGCAGGTCGGCGGGTTTTTTCTGTTCCTTTCTGGCACGCATTTTTGGTCGCTCCTGTGTGGTGTGGGGAGAGATAGAGTTTATGTGGTCGATATCTATGGAATTCATGAACTCTCGACGACATGAACTTTGCCTGCTCGCCAAGCCACTACTAATGGTAGGAATGCTCGGCTCTGCGACTCCCATGTTTCTGGTCTGGGATCCCTTTCTGAAAGGACACCAGAACAACATCGCGAAGAAGAAGAAAGAAGCCAGCCAGTCCAGCCCGGCCACCGCCAACGTCCACCACCGGCCACCGCCAACGTCCACCACCACCACTACCACCACCACCACAACGCATAGCACCGCAATAACAACACCAACCCCGTCAATCATCCACTCGCGACAAAACACCTTAGCCATCATCCCACGAATCGAAGCTTCAACGGGCATAGCTTCAACCCATCTGTATCCCACCGCCCAATTTCCGGCCCACGAGCATCCCCTCCCCCTCTTCCCTCCCCCGGACCTCCGACCTCCGACCTCGCGATGTCATCAAGCACGGGCGCCAACGCCACGGGCACGGGGAGCACGGGGGGCTCAGCGAAGTTCCGCGAACACAGTCACGGGCGACAAGACCGCGAGTACACTGTGGAGCAGAAAGCGGCCGTGGAGCGGATCCGGCGCTGCGGCGCAACAAAATTCTACGAGATCTTGGCGGTCGAGAAGGTTGCCAGCGACTCGCAGATAAAGAAGGCTTACCATAAATTGTCGCTGGCTACACACCCGGACAAGAATGGGGCTCCCGGCGCGGATGAGGCTTTTAAATGTACGTATTACGCGGGGGCGCAGGGCGGGGTGAGATCAGATGTAAGGAGATGTAAGGAGATAAGAGGGCTGATGCGGACGGCGATTACACAGTGGTTGCGAAAGCGTTCCAGGTTCTCTCCGACCCGCAGAAACGGCAGATCTTCGACCAAACCGGCTCGGACCCGGACTCACGAGGCGGCGGAGGTGGCGGTGGAGGCGGAGGTGGAGGCGGCGGCATGGGTGGGTTCCCCGCTGGATTTGGCGGCGCACGGGGCACGCCATTCGGCGGCTTCCAAGGCCCCGAGATCTCACCCGAGGATCTATTCAACATGTTCTTCAGCGGCGGCGGAATGGGGGGCGGAGGGGGCGGCGGCATTTTCGGCGACGGTGCCGGCTTCACATTCGGCGGCCCCGGGATCCGCGTGCACCAGTTCGGCGGCGGCGGCCCACGGATGCGACGGCGAGCACCACCGGCGCAGCACGCGGCCGCCGACGGCGAGGCAGCGCAGCCGGCAAATCTCACGCGCATGTTCTGGCAGCTGCTACCGCTGATACTGTTCTTCCTGCTGCCGCTGCTGAGCGGGCTGTTCGGCGGCGATGGCGGCGAGTCCCTGCGCGGCCCCAAGTTCTCGCTCGAGAGAACCCCGCCCTACACCAGCATGCGCTCCACACCTAACCACCACATCCCCTTCTGGGTCAACCCCGCGGATATCGACGGCATGGCTATGCGCGACGTCACGAAGCTGGGCATGCGCGCAGAAGCTGCCATAATCAATAAGTACAATGTCGGCTGCAACCGCGAGGAGCTCCTAAGGCAGCAGGAGATACAGGACGCGCACGGGTTCTTCACTACCGATCGCGAGGCTATCAAGAGGGCGAAGGATAAGGTGCTCCCCAATTGCAGGAAATTGGAGCAGTTGGGTTTGCCCAGGAAACGGCAATATTAGTGGACGGAGTGGGAGGCGGAAGGGGGATGGGTTAGTAATGTTGTATGTGCCGATTGATTGATGGGTGGCGTTGTATGAACTTCTTTTTATGCTTCTTTTTCTCCTTTTTCTTCTTCTTCTCCTTCTCCTTCTCCTCCTTCTTCTTCTTCTTCTTCTTCTTCTTCTTCTTGCTTATTGCTTATTGCTTATCCTGTTTGTCGTCGAGTTTTTGAGAGCGAGCTGTCTGCTGTCGTACCTATTGGTCGTCGTCGTCGAGAATTTCTTAGAAGAGCTGTGTGTATGGCTTGTCATCAACTGAGTGAAAGTGGAAACATCACTCCGTGGACATTTTTTAAAAAAAATTCTTTTTTTTCTCCTCAATCCAGTTCTATATCTTTTGTTTTGTTTTGTTTTTTCTTTTGTTTTCCTAATGTCCTGCGATGTGTTTTGGATGGATGGATGCATATGACGCGGAACTGATCCGATCCCGAACTGATCTGATGAGTGAGTGTGGGGATGCTTACTCTACATACTCTACTCTACACGAGAAGGAGAAGGAGAAGGAAGGAGAAGGGAAGTCCATCGTCCCTCTCCCCTTCACCGGTATGCTCATGCTTACGCCACGCCCCCACCCATCCCCACCCACCCAACCGTCCATCCATCCGTCGCCATCCGAAGGTCACGACATTTTGTACCCCATCCCATCCCATTCTCTCAGTGTCTGTGTCTCCCAAAAGCTCAATCAGTGAGATGCCAGAACACCACCGAACCAAAAAGTAAATAAGTTATATAAAATATATAAAAACCAAAAAAAAAGTTGAACCCCGTCTCCCCCCATCCTCCCCGCCTACAAAGTATCGTATCCTCCCTCTCCATCGATTCCAAAACCTACACTGCCCTACCCTACGCCTGCAATAATGAACAAAAAAGGGGAGTAACATGATAGAAAAGAAATAGCCAAACGTTCTAAAAGGTTGCTGTGGGGGTTGTCGAGTTGGAGTGGGAGGGGGAGGGGGGATGGGGAGGGGGGAGGAGGAGGGAGGGTGGTGGTAGTGTCATTAGCTGTATCTCCTCCCGTCCATCCCTCCTTCCATCCATCCTTCCATCCATCCTTCCATCCATCCATCCAATTTTTACTCCTCGCGAAATGAAATAATTCTATGCAGGTCTGCCCTTAAGGTTGCCGGGCTTCTCGTCCGTGTCGAGGTGCCACACGACATAGTTAGGCAGACCGATGACCTGGTAGCCCGCACGCTTGGCCATCTTTGCGAAGCCCTCAGTTTCCGCCTGATTCTCAAAGGCGTAACAGGGGAAGTTGATGCCTGCGGGTACAGTCAGTTATCATAGTGGTGACGAATTGGGGGAGGAGAGGGAGGAGGGGGTGGCAGTACCGGCACGATGGACATCCGCTTTGACGAGGATGTTGACACCTCCGATACCATCGAGCTCAATCTCCTCGTCGGGGTTATCGCCGCGGCTTCCCATCATGGCCATGTGCTTGCGCTTGGTATCGTACTGTGCGTAGCCTTCGGCGAGAACAGTGTCCTTGGGAAGGCTGGCTGCAAGCTTGAGAGCCTCGGGAGACTCCTGCCACGAGTTGTAGTCGAAGCGGCCCTCAATGTCGTGGTTGCCCTCATAACGGTGGAACCAGATGTCTTTTCGCTGGTCAGCGGGGGAGTGAGGGAGGAAATGATGGGATGTGGGGCTTACTCGGGACGAGAATATCCTTGTCGTGCTTGATGAAGTCCTCGATGATGCTCTTGGGGTTCTCGACGATATCCACATCTCTCCAGTACACCCACGAGTGCTCCGCTGTCAGCGTGGCACTGAGCAAGAAGTTCCTGGCCATGCCCATAGCCTTTCTCCGGGGGCCTTGGAATTCGAACGAGTGCCGCACGGTAACATCCTGACTCTCGGCGACGCCATAATCCTTTTGCACGATGGTGACACTATGAAATGGGCCGCCGAGCTTCGGATCGGGCTGGTTCTGGACGCGGTCCAACTCCGCGGCGAGAACGGCGAGGGTATCATCGGTGGAGTCAGAGACCAAAAACGCAAGGTCGATGAGTTCGTGGGGGTACGTCAGCTGCGCAACGAGCTCGAAGTGCTTGGGCAGGTAGTATGCGGCGTCGCGGAGGGGGGTGAGTATCAGAATCCGCTCCTTGTTCTTGATGGCGTCGGTGGTGGACGAGACTTTGTTCAGGTCGATGTACTGGATCGTGCTCGCATTGACCTCGATCGGCTTGTGGTGGTTGAACAGTACCGGTGTCTGGTGATGCATGTGCCATTTTGCGTGCTCGTTCTGTGAGATCTCTAGTGGTGACTTTGCGGGTCCGAAGCAGTAATATCTTGGTAGGCGGGGGAGCAGATCGTTAGCACTTGGCTTCTTGTGTCTCGTGTTGGGTCCAGCTTCATGTTGGGGGGGGGGGGGGGGGGGGGGGTTTGAAAGCTGTCTCCGTGTCCCCCCCATTACCGCATTCCACCCGCCCCACAAACAACCCCCTTAGATCCAATGCTCCGATACCACGAACCACGGACCACGGACCACAATACAGCCAACCCACGCAAGGAGTAAGGGGGAAGGCATGTACTCACTTTTGCATATTCGCAGCCGAGGAATTCACGCCTCGCCATAATATGACGATGAACGCCGACAGAAACACCAAAAACCAGAACCTCGTCCTCGAAAAAATGCTCGCTACGGCCCGCAGTGGCGGCAGTCTATTCCGAACCGTCTTGACCGACATCCCCTTGAGCGTCAACATCGTTGCCAGTAGTTTGTCGTATAACCAAAATGTAAACCTCTAGCAGACAGAGGAAAGATATCCAAAAAGGAGGGGAGGATAGGTGTGTGTGTATGTGTGTGTGTTCCGCACGCGTTTTTCTCCGTATGCGGGTTTTTCTTGGGGGGGGTTTTGGGTTGCCACTTGTCGGTCCGTTCCGGTCGTTTCGTTCGTCCGGATTAACTGAATAAGGGGAACGGGAAGGAAAGGTGAGGAATGAAGATAATATGAAGCGTGGTGAAGGGGAACCAAAATTTGGGATGGAAGGTCGACAGACAGGTCGAGTCGGGATGGTCTAGGTTCCGTTCGACGATGTTCCCTTCCTTCTCTCTTCTCACCCCTGACAACCGAAGGCAGTAAGATTACGGAACGGAGCTAACCGAGAAGGATTTGGGATTGATGCTAGGGTTGATGGTGAGCCAGAAATAAAAATAAAAACGAACGGCAGGCAGGACTCTTTCCGATAAGGCAGACGAACTAAAGGGATGAGATGGCGGGTCCGCAATATGGGCGGGAGGAGTAGGAGAGCGGGGAGGGGGAGGGGGAGGGGGGAGCGGGTGGAGCGGGTGGAGCGGCGATGTTAGAGTACGCAGGAGCGGCCAGGTCGAGCACCGGATAAGGGGACCAAAACGTGCAAGGAACGCGAGACACCGGTAGGTAGGACTTGAGGTTGAAGCCGACAGATACAGATGGAGAACAGTTAATAGGTAGGGCCAGGCGCGGTAAGCAGAGCTGGGTGTACCGGTAACTACTGTACTGGGTAGAATACCGTACAGAGTCGACCTTTCGTTTTGGCCAGCAGCCAAGCAGCCAGTCGCCTCGATATCCCCCAAGTTGCCGCTGCGCGCGTGTGGCTAGAGTGCCGTAGAACGGCTGTTACCGAGCAACATGGAAAGCCTCACCTCGGGGAGCAATCAGTCCGTGTAACCGCCAAGGCAACGAGGGGATTTTGAGCTGTGTAGATGTTCTACTCTATTCCTAGTGCTCTACCTAGAGGTCTCTGGCGTCCGTCCAGTGTCCACGCGGAATTAGTTTCACGTTAGATAGGCAAGAGGTGGGTATTCCTCGCAAGGCGATGGGCTGCCCGCGGTCGAACTCAATTCCCTTTGTGCAAAAGTTCAGGTCCACCGTCCACGCTGTTGGTTGCCGAGTCTGCGGTCGCAGCCCCGCTGGCTTGGGTAGATATCATGGGTGTTGAGGTCCGTCGCGGCAATATATTTCGTTGGCATGTACTGGTTAAAGTGAGTATCACCAGTCTTTTGTTTGAGAATTGCCGGCCGCGTCAGCATCGGCATGTTCGGTTCCATGCGGAAACGCTGATGACACGAACCGATATGACAACGACAGCTTCCATTGCAGATGCAGAGCTGACTGCGATACAGAATCCACTTGGGATAGAAACATTCTACGATGACTCCTCAGCTTTCCCATGTGCGTCCCATCACGCAGTGTATAGTAGCATCCCGTCCCCACATCACATATCTTACATACAAAGCACCCCCCCAGTCTCGCCGATCAGTTCAGTTCAATCCACCATGTCCTGCCTTAGCTTCGGCTTCAGTGACAGCCTTCACGCTCACCTCCCACAGCTTCTTTGCCGCCTCATCATCCTTCGCGTGGTCCAATGGATCTGCCACTTTCGAATGGTGATATCCACCGGACCAGCCCATGGCGGGCATTATATACTGTCCCCGGATATCCTCGTCGACGATATTCCTCGCCGTAGCTGCCCACACCTGCGTCATCGCCCCGCCCTGGAGATTGAACCCTATTAATGCCCCTCCCACCTTCCTCAGGGCTACCGGCACGAACTTCGGCAAGCCAAACTGCGAACCGTCGCCGCCGAGTCCAGTACTAGCAATTACACCTTTCAAAACCATCAGTATGGCCCGCTCAACCGTCACCGTCGCCCCGGGGAGGAGGGGGGAACTCACCGGGATTCGCAGCATTAACATAAACATTCTTAACACCCTTCTCCAGCAGTCTCCGCTGGAGCTCCCTCACATACAGTGTATTCGCCAGCTTGCTCTGGCCATACCTCTTCATGCAGCCCATCAGCCCCAGCAGGGACGGATCCACATCCTTCCTGAGCGAGTCGAAATCGATGCCCTTCGTAGCGAACTTGTACGCCTCCGAGCTCGTGACGACGATGCGGGCCTCGGGACTCTCAACCAGCAGCGGCAGGAGGCCCTCTATGAACGCGAAGTGTCCCAGATGGTTCGTCTGGAAGTGGTGTTCCCAGCCCTCAGGGCTGGGCGCGACGGAGTTGTTCATTGAGATCCCCGCGTTCGCGATGACGATGTCGAGGCGCTCGCCGGGGAAGCGGTCTGCGGCGGCGGCCGCAGTGGTGATCGAAGAGAGGTCGAGCTCGAGCGGGTACAGCTCTGCGTTCGCAACGTCCGGACGCGCCTTCTTGAGGTCCGCAATCGTCTGCACCAGGTCGCCGCGTCCGGCGAGGTACACGGTGCAGCCGCGGCGCGCGAGGAGGTGCACGGTTTCGAGGCCGAGACCGCGTTTGGGACTGTGTTGCGGAGGGATCAGATGGAGCACGGGAGCGTGGCGGCAGGATGCAAAAACTCACCCCGTCACTATCGCGACTTTGCCTGTGAGGTTGGGAACGTCGTCGGGGAGAAATTTGGGTGTCATATTGCTGTGGTGTTTGTTGCGACGGGAGAGCTCGAGCTAGAGGAGGTGGTAAGGAGCACTTGATATGCTTCCTCCGCTAGATGCCTCAAGGGGCTGGTGTCTCATACCGTCCGTCCGTCCCTTTACCATGTACCACCAGCCTGGGCCTCCACCCCCTCCCCCCCTCGCAAGAGTTATGATTCAGTTGTAATTCATCCGTGCTCATGTCGGGGCGTGTAGAGAAATGTCGATATCTCCATGCGTACAAGCTCGATTCGGTGGCGTAGGGAAGAGGCACGCGTACGGTAACTAGATGCTTGACCAGGGTTGGCCGCACTAGAGCAAAGAAGAGGCATGACGGCAATTGTTTCCCCTTCGAGTGACATCCTCCGCATCTACCTCGATTGATACGAGGAGAAGCAGCAGGCTGACGTTGCTCACTCGATTCAACACCGTAGTTATCTAGAGCACCGATCTTTGTGGTACTATCTGTGCCTCCTCTCGAGTGTAACTGTGGTCCATCACCGCGTAGGGGAGCCGTTGTGCACGAGAGATCTGGAGCAAAGCGACAATTACCCACCGAAGGGCTGTACGTACTCTAGAGGCCATCACTGAGACCCGTCGACCTCCCATATGTACTAAACAAAACGTTTTGAGTTTCTATCCGACATGCACTCTCACTCGATCCGTCGCTAGATACATAAAAATGTATCGGCTTCCTGCCGATTCTGGAGGAGTTGCAACGGCAGCAGAGAATCATGTGGGCACTTATATACTATATAGTACTTGGGGAGATTTTTGTGTGGGTAATTCGTGGTGGTGCGCTCTGGCCTCGTCATGGCTTATGGCTCGCAGATCTTGTTTCGCCAGGGCTTAGTTTCATAATCAATTGACCGATTGGGCCGAGATGGGGTGGGGTGGATGGTAACGGGGAACCCACATCGAGCTGGCCGCAGAGAGTGGGGGGAGAAATGTCACTGCCATGTTTAAATGCAAAGATGATTGAACAGAACAAAATCGATTAACAAACTCAATCTAGCAGCCATATGTAGATAGCGCAACAAATCCATATTCAAATAGCATCGGCAGTGCTACCAGTAGGATCACGAGCAATCCCGAGATGTGCATTTCCCATCCCGCCGTGAACTTACCGGCAACCCCGCAGATCCGTGCTCGCCCTCGTACCTACCGGAAGCATACCTATGGCCCTGCAAGTTGCAAGTTGCAACGAAAGCCGCCGGCTTACACCGGCAAGAGCCTCAATCACCTCGCCCACCGGCCCGAGCGGCTACTTCGCCTCCTCCACGACCGCACACTGGCTGCACCCCACTTTCTCATGTGAGCAGCTACGACACTCCTCGAACCTGTCGACGTAGTCACAGATGCAGCAGAAGGTCTTCGGCTGCTTCGGCGGTTTCTGCTTCGGTTTTGTTCCTGTTTTTGATCTGGGGGTTGTTAGCTAGGACGCAGGCATGGGAGGGGTGGGAAGGGAGGGGAGAGGGGGGAGGGGAGAGGGGGGAGGGGAGAGGACGCACTCGGGAATCAATTCGATCTTCGCCAGGCGGATGCACCGGATACATGTCTTTTCGCTGTCGCTGATCACCAGGCGGCACTTACGGCAGTACCATACGCCCATGGCACGGCAGGTGGGGGGGGGGGGGGGGAGGGTGAGGTGGACGCTGTGGTTAGATGGGTGGTTAGAAGTGGAGGCTGTGGTTGGGTGGTTATAATTGGTAATATCGTTGGTGATATCGGCTTATGTTCGGTCCGGGAAGGAAAGATGGAGTGGTCCGGTCCGTGATATCGGCTTGTGATGGTCGGTTTGTGGAGGAAAGAACAGGTGAGGTGAGTTGGTGTTGGTGAGAGACGGTTAGTGGGTGGATTGGTGGTGGTGGTACTAAAAAATGCGTGGATGAAAAGGGAAGTGCTGATTGAAAGAAGAAGAGGTATCCGTCGCTTCTCGGGCTTGTCCCAACGGTGATGGGAGGGGGAACATTGAATTGTTGCCGAGCCATTCAATTCGAGTCACGACGAGCCTCGAATTGTTGCCGAGTCGTTCAATCGAGTCATGATGATCCTCAAGTCAAGTGTTACACGATTGCAGGTACCGACCATTCTCGGACAAAGATAACTATATTCCATAGCGGAGGTCAACATACAATCAAACAAGGACGAAACGGAGATTCTATGGAACGGGGAATTGAAGAAGAGTCGTTAGGTATATTGGCCAGTGGGTTGAGTGACAATAGCCGGCTGAACTTAGGCAACGTCTACCGCAGAAAGACTCCAGTGAGATGACGCGAGGACACACCGGCGGATGTACAATCTTTTATATCAAATGAGCTCAAGAAAAGCATTCGGATGCTGTTTCTCTCAGCTTACCAACCCTTGATTTCCCGTTCGATTTCCCGCTTCGATTTCCCGCCTCGATTTCCCGGCAACCTACCAGCCCTCTACCGGTAGTGATCCCGCTGCTGGGTCAGCACCATATTATGGCTCCGTCATATATGGTGATACCGAGAAGCCTGCCGATGGTGTACCTGGCCTCGTTCGAAGATGGAGCATCATGATTGTAGATCAGAGGCACAGTATACTCCCGGCATCGTGACTGTATGTCGGAGGCACAATGCTACTCGCATCATGGCTGTATGTCAGCGGCACAATACTACTGGCATCATGACCGTATGTCGAAGGCATAGTATACTGCTGGCATCATGGCTTGTTGTTCATGAAACGGTCCTTCAATTCTCGTGGCCTCTTCGGAGCCGAATCTCCAGAGTACGGTCAGTCCCGTACAGCATGCAGATTTGTGGCGAGATACTAACGCCACGTAGTTCAGGACCGAAGCGTTCATGATTCTACAGCTCCAGGGGGCTGTGGGAAGAGCACCCGAGATAGGAGTTGATACCGTGGAAGAGCAGCTTGAGGGCTGCGAGTGTGGCTCCCTCTTTTCATCTCAAGACATCAATGATTGTTGTGGTATTCGTCAAACGTAGAAGTACCATAGTGAATGACAGTATCTTGAAGGCGGCAATTGATGCCGTCTCGAGTTGCTAATTAGGTACTGGATGTTTGTCAACAGCCAGTCTCTTGGTGAAAGCCATACCTGCGGCTTGCATTGCCCCTCCACTTCTTTTCTTCCGTATGTCAGACGTACTACGAGGAATATCCGACTCGAGCTGATGGCTCCGCCGTCCGTTAGCTATCATACGTGCTTGGTCCCGTCAATGCCAAACCTTCTACCGGCTTGTCTCAAGGACCCACAGGTGTACTAAGTATGCCAACACGCGGTGCACTCTGCCACATCTGTGCTTAATGTGGGGTCAGAAGGGAATGAGACAACTTGATTCGAATATCTGGTGTTTGGCGGGAGGCAATTAGGTAGAGTAACACACTAAGGATCAACATTGGTTATAAGCCGGCTCACACAGGGCACTCACTTTGTCTAGTGGGACCAATGGACTGCTCAAAGCCGAGGTAAGTAGCCGCTCGCAACGGCCATCTCGGCGTTCGCTTGTTGATATCATGTCAGCCGACTTGGGCCCTGGACTGTTGGATTAATTCCCATATTCCATATCCCAACCTCTCGACGGCCAGACTGCAGGAACCGACTCATCGAAAATCGCTGCTCAATGGCTTTGATATGGATATCCGCGTCTAATATCGATCGCCGGGGCTCGGAGAGTTCCCTGGAAAGGTGGCACACACCGAATCACTCGGATGCCAGACTATCCGCGCAGGCGGACCTGGCCGACGAGCGTTGATGCGACAATAAACTGCCGTTCTGTCCTCGCTCTCTCCCGACGAGAGTTGCATCCGCCCGTGAAATGCGGGCGGACTGAAGACCGATCATGAGTGGAATTAGAGTATGGCTACATGCAGGGTTATCCGCCATCCGATGGGGTGCGGGGTGACAGCCATACATGCACACAGTCATGCTTCCCCTGCGGGATCCCAGAGTATGTATTGTACTACTCTATGTATAGTGTGGCGAGCTACTCCACAGTAGGTGCCTTCATGGCAAAGACGCTGCAATGATCGTCACGGCGCCGGAGCCGGCCGGGGTAAACCTACCCATTGCATCAAGCATGCAAGCAGCAGTTCAATCACAACTTTGTTTTAAGTTATTAACGATAGTTATCGTACCTACATTCCTCCTATCTCCGAGCGAATGGCGACCATTTGGTGCCTGAAGACGATGCGCAGCCGTTTCCGGGCATTCGCTAACAAACGCATACTATATACACTGCAGCTGGCAGATTTGCTTTACATCGTCATGTATATTCCTACTCTATATACCGACAGATCCTAGTCCGGTCTCGGCCATTCCCGTGCAGCAGCTGCTGCTCCCGGATCCAGTAGATCTGCTGCAATTGCTGCCGACCATATTGGACGGTATTTGTGGAACCCTGCTGAACTCCAATAGGTCGGAGGATTGAGGTATGATTGCCCAGGTTTCGATTCACGAACGAACATATCCTTGGGAGCGGGGGGCTGAGACCCATCCAGCTGGACGATAAATAAACAACATTGATCTTCTCCCCTCTCCCCGCACTCTCTCGACAGTATATAAGAAGCCGGAAGTTTCGATTCCTGCAAAATCGATCCTTGGTTACCGATTCCACGACATCTCTTACGAGCATGATGAACTTCACGTCACTTCTCCTCCTCGTTGGGCTTCCTGCCCTCGCCATGGCCCACGAGCTCGACATGAGCAACCGCTGGGCCTCCGGCGAAGTAATGGACACGATCATGGCGGCGAAGCAGAGGACCTGGGCCGACTACAGGGCGCAGGGCTATTTTGCGGAGGGGAAATGGAAGAGTTCGAATAAGTTCTCGCCGTGCATATCGTCGGGCAATGCGACTGCCGGAGGGAAGGCAACTGTTGCTGGCATTGAGTATGGCTGCAAGAACCTGGATGTTACAGGTAAATAAAAGTCTCAGATGCAGAACGAATATTGTCGGCCGATAGCCCGCATGCTTGCAGGAGTGGATCTTGACTGCGCCACTAGGGTACCTTAGCCACCAGGACTTGGGGAGCACTTTCAACAACACCGTCGGTATGTTTATGTCTGCGATCCGGCTGCTTTCACTCATGAGGATGATGAGGATGATGGTGGTGATGATGCTAATGCGACTCGACGAATACAGGCAGCTCCATCTGGGGTATAACCATTGAAGGCCGAGAGTTCGTAGCGATCGGACAGAGCGACGGCGCGGCATTCGCAGAAGTCGTTGGAAAGGGCTGGTGGAACAAGCATGGCAAGGAGGCGGGTACGCTCGACTACATTGGACGGCTACCCGCCGGCAGTCTCCCGTCAACCTGGAGGGAAATCAAGAGCTACAAGCACTATGCAGTTATCGGGTCGGAAGCCGTTGGCCACGGAATTCAGATCTTCGACATGAGGAAGCTCCTCGCTCTCAGGAAAGACCGACTATCGAGGGCCACAAGGACCTTCAGCATTGCGACCGATGTGTCGGTGTTCACCGGTCTGCCCGTGGGAAGGTCGCATAATGTGGTTATTGCGGAGGACAGCCAGCACATCATTGCAGTTGGTAAGAGAGAGTTTTTCGATCCAGAAATTACCTCGTTCTAGGGCGGAACTGATAAACCCATAGGTGCGCAGCCGCGGAACTCTACGTGCCTTTCGGGATTGATCTTCATCGATGTGTCGGACATCAACAATCCGAAGCAATCGGGCTGCAACGATCAGGATGGATACGTTCATGAGTATGGCATACCTACATTCCCACACATGGTCGTTTGGGGATTGATATTGATATGGAAACAGTGCGCAATGCCTCATCTACCATGGCCCGGACAAGAAATACGAAGGTAGAGAGATCTGCTACGGATACAACGAGGTAACACATCCACCTCCATAGCCAGTAAAAACGCCTACAGCTCTCTGACCATATTAGAACTCCCTCGCCATCTACGACATCACAGACAAGGCGAGATCCACCTTGATCAGCAACACCACTTATCCCGGAGCATCATGTATGTGCCACCTTTTTGTGTTGTCAGGTGCTGCCGTAAGCTAATCCCATCCACCAGATACGCACCAGGGCTGGGTCCTCGACACCGCCAACCAGGAGTACCTCCTGCTGGACGACGAACAAGACGAGACCGAGATGGCGGGCGCAGCGGCTGACCAAAAGGCCACAACCTACATCTGGAACATCATGTCCCTCGAGCGGCCATTCCAGACCGGCATCTACAAGAGCACGGTGACCAGTATCGACCACAACCAGTATATCGCCAAGGGGTTCACGTACCAGAGCAACTACGGTAAGCACCTCCCTCATTCCAACCGTTGCCAGTGAGGGTTCTAACGTGCCATAAAGCCGCTGGTCTGCGAATTCTCGACATCTCCTCAATCCCCCGAGATCCCACCGGCGCCGGAATCGAGGAAGTAGCATACTTTGACGGTGAGATGGAATTACCCTAGGTCTCTGACTCTCTCTGCAGCGACTGACGGATATACCTATCATAGTTTTCCCCGAGGATGATGCGGTCGGAGTAGCTGAATACATGGGCACGTGGGCAAACACCGGTGGGTGGTTCAAGAGCGGATACGTCGTCGTCAATACGATGGATCGGGGCACGTTTGTCGTCCAGAGGAGTAAGAGGGTGCTGGGCGGGTATAGGGCTGAGTTTTAGATGGGATGGGGAGGCGGCGTATATACCGTATATAAATACTGAAATACCCAGATACTGTATAGTACAAGGGGGGAGGGGGAAAAATCTACTGTAGTGCTATTAGTTGGAGGATGTCTGTTCAAATAACCTTTTAGACGTACATAGTTCAGCGACGAGAAGATCCCGATGACCTACGGTACTATGTCCCGAACACTTTAACCATGTGAGCCCGGAAGCGGATATTTTGTAATCAGCTCAACCTGTCGCATCCATGGGGCCCACCAGCAAGCCTGTGCACCTGAGCCCTACGCATGTGAGACCTATAGTAGCAAAATATTGGGGTGCGATTGATGCCGGAGGTCTCCAGTAGTACTACCGCTCGGGTTTAAATCTAGCAGTCTCGGAAGAATACAGATTGTATGTATCCAGCCATCACAAGTTACAACGTGGCCCAGCTGTGGCAAGAAAGCCAATTATATAGATAGAAAACCAGGGACCAGGCTTTCCGAGTATACCTACTCTAGTGGCGAACGATGCAACGATCAAGATATATGGTAGCTACGTACGTACCTTCTGGGGGAAGAGGAAGATCGCGGATGCGTATGTACGTGTGTATGTACGTGTATTCTCCAAGTGGAGTGTGCTCCGGTGTTTTTTTTCGCAACCCCAGTAGGCGTCCCGATCTATCCCGCCGTCCCTCACCGCACCTATTTTCCGTCTGCCACCGTGCCACGTGGATGAGTGTCCAGACCGCGGAATAATCCTTTGTCGCGCGGGGTTGCGCGGGGTTGCGTTGTGGCTATGGCCGTGGACCTGTGGTGTTTGTTTTTCCGTGCGAAACCCATCCAGTGAGAGCTCGGGGTGGAGGATGTGCGAGTCTCAGTGACCATCTCAGTGGCCATGATGTTGGAGGACTCGAGCTCGGTGGTCTAGGCGGCCTTGGGCTCTTTTTCCGCGCTTCTGGACGTATTATATCGAAAAAGAAACAGTAGGTAATATGTACTAATAAAGACTACACCGCGGATTGATGTTGGATGCGAGTGGCGGACAGCTCGATGGGAGGATGGAGGAGCGGGCCGTGGTCATCTAGGCGCTTTTCGGGTCATCGCCGTTGATGCGGCCAATCGAAACACTATTAGTTAGCTGGGTGCACCTTCCAACTATCCACGAGTTACTCTACCTATCCTATCCACGTTGTAAATATCCACCGAGTGACGAAATTGAGATTGCCGTGTGTTGGAGCAAGAAGAGCGGAGGTGGGGGAGGGAAAGTGGGGGAGGGGTATTCAACGGGGGTTTGGCGGCCGAGTAACTAGCTCTCTCGTGAATCTGACCATGGTGCGGCCTGGCGCCGTACAGGTCCAGGTAGGTAGCGGGGGCCCTCCACTTCGCGAGCGGCGGCGGGGTTGTCGGTTGCCAACTTGGCCCATTCGTTGGCATTCTCGTTTCTGAGAACGTCTTTGCAGTGTTCCAGGTATGATCTGATCTCGATGGTGATCTCGGGTCCCCCCCAGCGGAGGATGAGGATGGCGATGTGCTTCCGTGTAATTGCGATGTAAAATTCCTGCATCATTTGGGATCACTCGTATGGCGAGTGATATGGCGTGCTAGACTCCAGCAAAAAAAAAGTTCGTAATGAGGTGGGGTTTGAACTTTTGGCAAAAACCTTCACCCCCCTATTGGGTGGCTTGGAAACCTGGGACCCGAACTGGTGTTCAGGTTCCCTCCGCCGGGTGCGCGAACACTCGGCCACGCGAGTTTTTTTTCCGTGACAGAAGAAGCATTCCGCATCTTATAAACTGTTGACGGGTAACAGACAAGGCGCCGCAATGGTGCTCTACAGAGCACACGGCTACTCTTTGCCTTCCCGGATAATGCAATAATAGGTGGCTGTGGCTGTATTTTTCACCACCTTCTTCTATATAAATGCCGCTTTTATGAAGGTGCTAACTGCGCTGCAATTTTTCTTGTTCCATCATTCATTGCGTGCGACCTTATCTGGATCATGGCAAATATACACACACCGTTCCCTTGTCTATCGTCCAACCCGACACCCATCTACTCACACGGCCGGAAAATTTGCCCCCCACTTCGCGCATGAGGACGAAGTGATGGAGTCCTACCGTATCACTCACCACCCGATCCCGGAGGGCCGGAGCTGGGGGCTACAACAGGCGAGCCGGCCCGCACTGGCTTATTTCTACTCCGTGCCGACTCTGCGTCCTCGCGTGAGAATGGGGGTAGCCCTGAATGCCCTCGACGCTCTAAGCACCGAGCGGATAGAGTACCCTACCTATCCGAGTCGGCACTCGCATGCCACCCGTACAGGTATTTTTTGGTTTTTGCGCCACAACAGATGCCGATGCTGCCCCGCCCGGCCGCAGACGGACGGGTAGTGAACGTAGCGTCCGTCCGCTCGTCCGCCCGTCCGTCCGTCCACCACATCCTGCGTTTCACGATGCCGCCACTGCCGCCCCTGCCGATCGTGTTGCGGGTCGTGTTGCCGATCGTGGTGCCAGTTGTGCCAGTTATGTGGGAGGGGGCGGTTCGGCAGTTATTTTCTTTCTCCGGGGATTGGGCCGGTTCTGGCCGGATTCGTGAAGAGTGGAGTTTGCACCGATCTGCGGGGGAGCACCTAAGCACCTACCGGTGTGTGTGCTTTTTTCTTGTTTTCCCTGTTTTTCCTGTGCGTCGGACTGCCGCCCGCTGGAGCGGAGTGGGATCCGTCAATTCCGCGTTCCGCGTTCCGGCGTTTTGTCTTGCCGCGGCATCTGCGTAGCGGGGGGGGGGGGGGGGGGGGGGGTAAGGCTAGCCCTACATATATCCAGCGCAACGTCGTTGCCCGCGCACCTTACATAAAGTAGAGTACACAGCCGCAGGCTGCAGCAGGTTGCAGCAGCTAGACGAGCGACCGACCGCCGCCGCATAGGGCTGATACGCATAGCAACCGCAACCGCATGGACTGTTTCCGTTTCTGCCTCCCTCTTCTTCTATTGCTTCGGCGGGTCGCATATCGCCCCCATACGTCGAGTTCGACGCATGAATTGGCGCGCGCGCCGGCAGGCCTGCTGGAGCAGTTAATGATCCGCGAATTGCGGCCGAGTGACCAACCATGAGAACCGTTTCCGGCCGTGATGGCAACGGGCGCGCAGAGCGCGCAGGACGTCCACCTCGTTGCTTCTGCAGGTAAATTCTCGAGCCCCGCGCAGCCGTTTTGATCGACGCCTGTATGTATGTATGTATGTAGGCGGACCGTTGCGGCGATGGGCCACGGCGACAACTTGGGTCGTCGGTCTTATTTCGGGATTGTTCCATTCTCGGTTGGCTATCGGGATTCAGGAATCCCTATGCGGAGTAACTACGGCAGCCGGCTTGTCTGTCTGTATGTAGATCTAATCGGAGTATCTATGTATAGATAGTTGTGGCCGTTGCAGGGCTCAATCATGATATCATACATAGGGGGCGCTAATATAGGTAGACACATGCACGGGATATCACTCACTCACTCACTCACTCCTGCTCGCCGTTGCATTTCGCCCCGCAAGACAGGTGCAGGAGTCTAGGTTGGTGCTGGAATACTCTACTAATGTGAGTTGTGTGTCTATAACATGAGTCTTATAGGCCGGGGGATGATGCTACCCATCACATTTACTAAAAGCCGCAGACATAGGACCGAGGCTGGACGGGGGGGCTGGGGATAGCTGTTAGTTATCAAGGATGGGAAGCTCTCACCTTGCGGTTCTGATTTCGGCGACTTGGCAGCGCTTTCTCGGACTCCCGGGTATGTATGTACGAGTATGTACAGTAAGCGGGCGGGCGGGGCCGTTGGCCGGTTTTGGTTCCACCTGATATGTATCAGGGCAGCGTTGTTACCCTAGGTACATAGGGGACAGTTACCGCCATTGCCATAGCTTCCTTCCTTCCTTCGGGAGCACTGCCTTTAGCTACCTATGCGCCGTGGCGTTCCACCCACGGGATGAGATGGCGGCGCGACGTTTATGTTTCAAAGAAATGGCGCTTTCCGTGCTATGTATAGAGGGGGTGTTATTCCGTCCGGCGGTCTCCTATCCATCCATCGTCTTTCGTGGCGCGACTTGTTGATCATTGATGTTGATCCCCGGGGGGAATACCGGTATTGCGATCTTCACTCCCTGCACTGTGGTAACTTGTAACTTGTCAGTCCACAACTTCCCTCTGTGAGTGAGGAGCGAAGAGGATCGGACGGTCGCCGAGCCACTTCAACCCGAGATCCCGAAATCCCGAGGACGAATCCCGACACGACAGAGTCCGTGGAAGTAGGGCTGTTAGCGTAGGCGTATGTAGGTGGGTATACGACGGGAAGCCCCACTCACGGATCAGAGGAACCCCCATTATGAATATCGCTTCCCATGCACTCATGCACTGCGGGGACACCTCCGCGGACGGGGACGGGGACGATCTGTCGGCGTCGGCGCAGCGGATTGATTTATGTATATTCACGTGCTCCTTCGTGCTCCTCCGTCATACTCCTCCGTGCTCCTCCTCCGATGAAGACGACCGTATAATGTATGTATATACTGTATGTAGGCCGACCACCGGATCTCGCGCACAGACCACACCTTAATTGCCGTTACGGCCGCCGGCGCCGCAGTCGCCGCGCGCTTTCGCACACCGGAGTCGCGCAATTGCCGCGCTAACCACCCACTCCAGTGGTTTTTATTGGGCCTCGCAGGACGCAGATGGCGATTCGGATGCGAGTACTGGACTTCGCACCAGCAACCCCGCAGCCTCTGCAGCCCCCACAGCCTCGATTCCATGCGGTGGCCACAGACCGGGGAGCGAGAGAGAGAGAGACAGTGACCGGAAGCGGTGACGCATCGTATCGTATCGTATGTATGTATGTGCCAACCGTCACGAATGTACAAACTCGAGCTGAACAGCAGCAAAGTTGGTTAGCCGAGAAAGCGAAGACCCTACATAGATACTTCCAAGTACCTACATATGCTGCGGACTTTAATCTATTTGTGCCGCTACCTATGCAGCGGTGAGAATCGTAGGTGCATATGATGATATCCAACTTGAACCCCCCCTCCCCACATGCAGAGAGCACTATGGAATGAGATACATAACTACCTACCACCATGGGTATTAGGTACTCTGGATATATCCGGCGGTCGGTCGGTCGGTCCAGCAGGTGCCAGGGGGATGGCCGGGGGGGATGGGGCGTGGAATCCACAGCAGTGCATCGGATGCCGAGTGCGACCAGGGAGGGGGGCGGTGGGAGTGGATATATAGTGGATGGGTATTATGTAGTTCCATCTCGGGATAGGGCTGTGGTTGTGATGGTAAGGCTGCGTAGAGTACTGAGTAGAGTAGGACCGGGAATGTGTGTACTGTGTGCGAGCTGGGGCTGGGACTGGGTACAGGACAAGGACAATACGGTACAGCACAGTACAGCACAGTACACTAACTACCGGTACATACAGAGGTTCACTCTTATACCCAGACATGTATGTAGGAGTCGACACCTGCAGCAACCCGGAACATGCCACCAGCTGGGCCAGCGTCTTGGCAACGTCAACCGCCTGAGCCAGTGCAAGTTCCAACAGGCTACCTACATAAGTTACATGCCTCTCTATATGTAGTACTCTAGAGTATTAGCCGGGACGGCGATGCAGCCCTTTTTGCAGCCCTTACGCAGGCGCCCTCCTCCTGCAGAATCGAGCACGCCGCCGACGTATGTTCCAATCCTGGGTGTCTTTCAGCTGGCCAGCTGCAGTGACGTTGCTCCTCCTGCTCATCCTCCACCTCCTGCTCATCCTCCACCACCTCCTCCTCCTCGGAATACACGTCTCTACCTCTGTAAATGTCTCCCAGCCCTCCCTCCCTCCCTCCGTCAGACGATGCACCGCCGGCTCCATGGCTGGCTGATCACTGGCTGACTGACTGGCATCAACATGAAACCTTTAACCCGTCGCACCCCCGACAGTATTATTCAACACCACGCCAAATACCACGCCACACCTGCACAGTTGCACAGTTGCACCTAGGAAGGATGTACAGTACAATGTACAGTACAATGCAATGTATGTACACTGCCTAAGAATATCGTCCGGCAGATACTTACGGGTACCTCTCACGTATGTACTCTACCCTATGTACCCCCGCCACATGCGAGTGGGGTTTACGTACGGCATGTAGTGGGTTCAGCGGTGGGTTCAGCAGTGGGTTCAGCAGTGGGTTCAGCAGTGGGTTCAGCAGTGGGTTCAGCAGTGGGTTCAGCAGTGGGTTCAGCAGTGGGTTCAGCAGTGGGTTCAGCAGTGGGTTCAGCAGTGGGTTCAGCAGTGGGTTCAGCAGTGGGTTCAGCAGTGGGTTCAGCAGTGGGTTCAGCAGTGGGTTCAGCAGTGGGTTCAGCAGTGGGTTCAGCGGTGGGTTCAGCGGTGGATGGATGGATAGATAGGTAAAAAAGTAGGTATGCACTCCAGTTACAAAGCAAAACATCGCGGCCATCCAGCCAGCAGCCAGCCAGCCCAGCTGGCAGGCATCGACCACGGGGAAATCCAAAAACAAAACACAAAAACAAAAACAAAACACACCTCCAGGACGTACTTTGTACGCAGCGAGCTGACCCAACCTGGGGTATGTTTCCAAGGCGACTGCAAGTCTGCAAGATGGAAATATCGGTACCTATTTCTATTCCTGCAGCGGACAGGCCAACGTTGAAACTTGAGACAGAACCGGTAGATACCATACATACCATACATATGTAGATATAGATGGACGTGTTGAAAGTTGAAGCGGGGCGGGTCAATGTCAGGTGGTAAGAACCTTATGCTAGGTAAGGCCGTACATGCTTACCTACATATGCCTACCGAGATCCGCAATTGGGCCCTGGGGGGTATGTACAGTACAGTAACGTACAGTGCAGTACGTGAGTCAAGACTCAAGACTCGGGGCTTATGGTACATACACACTGGTACATACACTTGCTTGCTGATGTACACACCTCTGTCCTGGTCCGGGGGATTCGTGCGCCGGCCGTGCGGGCTTCTAAGTTCTAACCGTGGGCTGCAGACAGCCTGGAATAGGTGCCCCAAGGAGCTGTTCGGGACTTCGGATCGGGAACGAGGGGGGAAGTGCACTTTATTTCGAGCTGACGTTCACGTTGGGCACGTTTCCTCAGCTCTGACGACTGCTGTTTGTGCGGTTTGGAGGGGCTGTATGTAGTAGTATGTACCGGTTGCACGCCAGCTCGATTCGGTGCCGTGAAAATCATACTTATGCATTGCGTATGCGTGTGCGTATAGAGTAGTAGAGTATGCGGATAGGTAGTAGAGTATGTGTATGCGCATGCGCGGTTTAACAATCGTTTAAGCGTATGCTCGTCTACAAACTTTCGCGAGCAAGAACCTGAACCTTCATCTTCAGGGCCGATCATTCAGGGCTAGTAGGTATCATCAGAGGTGAAGCCTCGTGTCAAAGTTTAACCCTGATCTCGTCCACTTTCCCGCGCGCAATGCTAATTCCTGGTACCACCCACTCCCCGCACGAACACTTCATGCCCTGCCAGGCATACGATCCAACCTTGGCCTTACATTTGGGGCAGTCCAGCTTCCCCTCGAGCTTCTGCTGTTCGAGTTCCGGCCTCATCCAGCTCAAGGGCTCGAGGAAATGGTGCGAGCATGGCGTCGGGACCGCTGTCTGTGGTGCGGGCGGCTGCGCTGGCTTCGGGATGTGCGGTGTCAGGAACCGTGAGTTTGCGAGCGTACGTCTATCCCCCCGCCCCACACGTTTAGCTCTCGGCCGTGGATAAAAGACAGGGCTAGCATGCATGCGGGCACGGGAGCCGGGGAGGGGGGAGAGAAAGGCGATCAATACCTGCACGTCTTGCACCGTAGCTCCGTCAGACCAACCTGCTCCGGTGTCTCTCCTTCCTTGACCTGCGCCAGCACCGCGACATTCTTCTCGGCATCGCGGAAGTAGACGTTTGACGGCGCCATCTTTGCCGCCTTGCTCTCGGCCAATTCCCGCTTGTAGAGCCACTGCTTGTACGAGGGATGGTCGTCCAGGTCGGTCGTGTATTTCACCTGGTGGTAGAGCTCCAATTGCTCCATGAAGCCGGGGTTCGGCTCAACGAACGGCCGGATCTGCTTGATGCGCTGGACGGCCTCCTTCGGGTCAAGTTGACGCGACTTCATCAGGTAGGCTGCCAGCACGGTCGCCGATCGTGACTTCCCCATCGCACTGAGCGAAACAGCATTTAGCAATCGCACCCAACGCACACATAGCACAGCAGCGCGCACAACTGGCACACCACACCGCGCACACACACACTCTCTCTCCGACATACCAGTGAATAAACACGGCGCCATCACTCGCCATGGCCTTTTCCACGAACGCATTCGTCGACGCAAAGTGCTGGATCAGATTTTCATCCTCCACGTCATCCACCTCGACCACCAGATGTTCAAAGTCCTGGAAGAGCGACTTGTCCATAGGCAGCCGCAGTACACTGAGCACATGGGTGATGGCCTTTGCTTTCATGTCGGTCTTCTCGCGGAGAGCGAACATCCTATGGCACTCCCCACACATGAATTAACCACCGCCACCCTTTTCACGCGTCCATGTACACCCCACCCCGATGCATAACACATCATGGGGGGGTCCGGGGGGCTTGTGTGTGCAAAGGGTGGATGATATATACCCGCCAATGTAAACTTTTTCTCCGGGGATCTGATCCATTGCGGTTATAAGGTTCCTGAGGGACGCAGGGAGGGCCATTATGCTGTTGTTGGCCTGGGAGGTGTGAGTGTGAGTGGGTGTGAGTGTAAGTGTGTGAGTGTGTGTATGCGCGTGAGCGTGGTGGGGTTTGGCTGCGGGGTGGGGGGGGGGGGGGGAGGGGGGGATTTCGCAATTAGGGATTTTGATGTTCGGACCGGTACTCACGGTTGGGATGCGCGCGACGAGGGGCTCTGCTGTGGCTGCGGGAGGGGGCGGCGACACGGGCGCGCAGCGGTTATCGGGTATCGCGGGATCAGGCCACTGGGAGAGACGGCTGCTCCAGGGGGGGGGTTGGCGGGTTGGCGGGTAGAGTGGGGCCGCGCGGGAGAAGGACCGACGCGTTCAAGAAAAAAAGATCGGGGGCAAGAACCGGATGGAGACAGCAGGCAGGCAGACGAGCACGCGAGGAAGGGTGTGTGGCTCGTCAGAGGGAAGAAGAGAAATCGAACAAAACTAAGTACTCTGCGCGAAGAAGGGGTACGGAGGGGTACGGCAGGCGGGAGGGCTGTGGGGTGTGATGACTGGGGTTGGGTTGGTCGGTCGTGTATCTTCCATGTAGGGGCTACCGCTGGTGGATCACCAGCTCATGCCGCCAAGCACACTATCCCATGCAGGATTTTATGGTGGATGACACTTGCCCTACAAGGCTGTTTAGTATCCATAGAGTTCCAGTTGGGGTGAAAAAGCGCACTTTCGCAGGGCGTCGAATAAGCCGACCACGTACGGTGCAATAATGTTCTAAAAGTATCGGTGTATGGTATGTACCGATAGGTATGGGCAGTGGGCAGTTCGTAGTTCGCAGTTCACAGTTCGCAGTTCGCACTGGGCACTGGGCACTGGGTACTGAGCAGTGGGCACAGCTACCGGAGAGTCTAGAGACCATCGTGGTTAGCTCTCTGGCGGCGGCGAGGACGGTGAGGATGCACAGGTGCGGTGACGATTTCGATGGGGCTGCCGTTTCGCAATCGAACACTGCTGGGCTGGACGGGCCTTTCCGCGAATAACCAACCAGCCAACCCACTCGCCCGCATTTCCTTTAATCTACCCGACTGCTCTCTTTGGCTGATTTTGCGCCCCCGCATTCTGGACCGACGGAAAAGTACCGAGAACCGGTATGGCCGTGACGATGGCCATGGCTATGGCTGCCCGTGCGTCGATGGACGAACCGCGCGAGCCCCTCGTCGTCATCGTTAGTTATGCTGCTCTGGAAGTCTGAAGAACGATTCGCAAAAATATATACTCCTCTGCCAGATTGATGACGAACACTCCTTCCTTCCCTCGCTCGCTCGATCTCACCCTCCCTCCCTCGCCCGACCCCCACTCGCGTCCTTCGTTTCGGGCATCAGCGGTCTCATATCAGCTGCGTCCGGAACCAGCCCTTCAGCCTTACGAGACATCAGCGGCATATCTGTTGGCTATTATTACCGCCCTGTGAGGAGGCCACCACCACCATCGCAAACACGGAATGTGGGCAGCCTGCGCTGCATCCAACGTAACATCTCAGGTACTTACAGGCGAGAGACACTTGTTAGGCCGATTCACCGCCATCAGCTCTCTTGGCTTACCGCCGCCTCCCCTCCCCTTATACATACCCAGTTCGCAGGTGTGGGGATAAATAAAACCTGGCCGGATTGTGGTTCAATTGGTGAGCAGTGAGCAGAAGACAGTGAGCACTTGACCTGATTCCTTCCCCCCGCCCCCCCTCCACGTCTCCCCTCCCCTCCAGGTCAGCTCGAGAAGGCACGAACGAAGGAGGGGTTCACGACAGGGCTGCGAGCTCGGTTCGCGCGTGATACTGATCGACGGAAGCCCTCCAGCTCACCCTGGAGGAAGGGGGGGCGGAGGAAGGGGAGGGGACGGGGATGGAGGGGGAGGTGTCTCGCTGAAGCTGAAGCCTTGGCCGCCCCGCATCCCCCGTCCGCTCCATTCCTCACAAACACCGTACTAGTTATGTAGTAGTAGACACTGCTGCATGAAATCCAACCATGCTCCAGTGTTTCGCGAAGCCCTCTCCTAGGTAACAGTCACCTACTTTACCCACCTACTCCGCTCGCGAAACTCGTCATACGGACTACTATGTAGATACATACTCTTCACTCAGCCCAGGCGGTGGAATCGGGTATGTCCTTGGCCGAACTCTACCACTGACTGACTGACTGACTCCAGCCATGCGCTGCTGCGGGCTTGATCAAACCGCTGTCCTTCGAAATATGTAGGTATGATATGTATGATGGGGTGACGCACCGCTTCGTACATAGACGCTTGTCAGATCGTGCAACCCTCCCATCGTCCATGAAGCAATTGGGAGCCCGCCCACCGCTTCCCCTGATTTTTATTTCGCCGTCGCCCGTATGTATGTAGGTATGTGGAAAGGTATGTAGGCTGGTATGCACACACTCTATGAGTATGTACATACACAGGTATGTAACTTCATGTCTCAGCCATGTCCGCCGAGGCTTGACCAGACCGACCAACCAACCCTACATATCCATAATCCATCTCTCACGGGGATTCCCGCCATCCAAGACCCTTTCGGCGTGGCATGGCCATGGCATGCAGGCCAGGAGGAGAATGCCGATAGCTAGATAACTACCCTAGATACTTGTAACTTGTAACTTGGGTGTTTGGGGCAGCTTGCGATGGATGAATGGCATCCTACTCTAGTTTGCCACGACTTGTGGACCGTAGTCGAGTCGGAATAGTTGCTCTACTGGTAGTCACGAATCAGAATGCGTCGAGGTAGAAGAGGAGAGTACCGTACCTAGCTGATATTCATCTGCTCTTTTAAATGAGATTTTCAACAGAGCATGCAGTCGGTTGTGTGTAAGTGTTACTTACTAGCATAGTGGTGGATCCAAAACGGACGATTTCCACTAGTCAGTTGGCTTTTTCCTGCACTCGGCCCTGGCTCTTCTGCGGTTTCCAGTCGCCCTTCGAACATGATGCTGATGCTATCCTTTTTTCCAGGTAATGAGGTATCGATGCGATGCGGTCCTCGACACCGTCCTCTAGAGCAGGTAGAGTACTATAGTCAGTAAGTAAATACTCACTTGGGTATGGCTGCGCGGCAAGCCGAGAATATGACGGATGAATCAGATGTGCTCGCGATACGCACACACACACCACATATCATACTCTAGAGTAACTACACTACCACGGGTTGGGTGATGGGTGGTCAGGACGGCCAAGGCAGGCACAGCCGCTACTTTTTACTAGTAGCATAGAGACAGCCGCTTCCATTCGGCTTTCTATTCGGCCAACTTTTCTCCCTGTATGTAACCTAGAGTAGACGGGTACTCTACTGAGTATGTAGACTACTAGCATGATATCTACACAGCCATACGCCATCTCTATTCGGGCCCCTTCTTCCCTCCCCCAGACCTGGCCCTATGCCGCCGCCAAAAATAAGATCTGGCAACCATGAGGACGTGTCTGTGGACACTGGACTTTGGACTCTGCACTCTGCACTCTGCACTCTGGACTCTGGAGTAGGTAGATACCCAAGTACTTACTCACCAATGTACAGTAACTTACCTGCTCCAACTGCACCGATTTCCATCACCCAGTCATGCACCGTCCGTGGACGGTCTGCCGGAACTCCACTGTCAAACGCCTGCCACCACCTGCCGTAAATGGCGTGCGCAAGGCTGCGGACGATTTACTCTATACATGATGGATTATGGGGTGCGGGCTACTCTGGAAGACTACCGCATTGTGCGTTTCCCTACATCTCACCTGCCCATATTCACATAAGCGTCGATAGTACAGTATCCGCTTCTTCAGACACCTCACCCCCCCCAACAACAACCCCCCCCAACAACAACCCCCCCCCCCCACCCCCCCTCCCTCGAGAGCGATGTTCCTCTCACAGTCCTTGGGCGCTGGACGCAGAACTACTCTAGAGCCAACGGTCTCCTGAATATCACCATCGCCATCGCATATCGCCACCTCCTCCTCCGCTTCCACCTCCGCCTCCACCTCCACCGCTCAAGCCTTCCGTGAGGCTGATCAGCGTGCACCTGCATTACTAACTTGCCCGCCGCCATACATACGGCCCCCATCTCTGCCAGCTCCTCCTACATACCCACCTCCTCCGCTTCCACCTCCACCACTCGCCCACTGGTGCTTGCTCACCCGCGCATTTACCGTAGATACATACGTGCTCCTCGCATCCTCCCCATTGCAGCACCCTAGAGCCAGAGACCTTACTTGCCTTGCCGGTGCTTCAGTGCTTCACCAGTCACCCACCAGCTACTCCTCAACCTGCTACTATTCCCGCCGTTAACTCCCTGCCCTTGCTCTTATAAGGCTTGTCCTACCCCCCTCGCCTCCCCCTCCAGTCCCAGTCAGTCCCAGTCCCGGTCCCGGTCCCAGCCCAGTCCCAGTCCCAGCTCGGTCCGCGGTTTGCTTCCCCCACGCCCCGCGCGCGCCTCGACACCTCTGTTCCGGACATAGGTACAAATCTATACATAAGCACCAAGGTACTTACTTACATACACACACAACACGCAACCCGCACTCACTTTGATGCTACAGCCTGCATCGGTCAAATCCTCGTCCTGCAGCAGCCCTCCCAGCTTTCCCGCCGGTGTTCGTTGACTGTCCTTGTCCGCTACTTTAGCCCATACGCCCAGCAGTCACTTGGCCCAGCCGGCGTGTCTGCCCGCAACATTGACCTCATAACTATCCTCCCGCACACGGATACCTCCCCTCACCCCCCCACCCTATCCTCTCTTTCGACTCTCATATTCCCTCGCCATCCCCGACTCACCGACTCTTCCTCCCCCGACTCTCGCCATCCGCGCTGCATGTTGCGACGCTTCCGACGAATACGATCCTCCAGTCAGGGCTCCCGGTGCGAGATTGAATTGCGAGACCCACACGCGATCGCGTCAAAGGCTGGGGTGAAACAACCGTAGGACCAATTCTTTGGATACGGCTCGCAAGCTTCCAACACTCGGCCCGGCCACCACTCAACTGGTCCGTGCGCTCCCGTCGCCGCCCGCAAAAACGTCCGGTTAGTCGACCCCGGTGAGGAGCAGGAGGAGTAGGAGGGAGGAGTAGAAGGAGCAGGAGCATGAGTAGGAGCAGGAGCAGGAGGAGGAACAATCTGTAAGGCGGTCGACTGTTGTTATGAAAATTAGGGCTCCTGCGCTTGTTCACTATCCGCAACTAGTTCGCCACCGCTGCCGGGTTGTTCAGCTGTGGTTGGGGGGGTCCGAATGTGAGCGCTGACCGATTCGTGCGCCCGCCACAGACACGACGACATCAACGGAGCTGCCTGGTAATCAAGGGAGTGGTCAACAACCCTATCACCTCCGACGGAAAGGAAGGAGATCCTTCTTCGATTCGTTTCCGAAACACCCACTTTTTGTCTCAGGTCGTTGATCCCATTGGAAAAGAAAAGAAAAAAAAGAACGTCGCAACACAAAGCCCTACAGGGTTCATCGGCAGCGAGATCTATCTTACAAGTGCTACCGCCGCCGCCGTCATTGCTTCGAGGTTATTTACGATTACGCGCTTCGGGCCTTCTGTCCCTAAACAACAATGAATCTCCACCGCTTAACTACCCACAACCTGCCGTCAATCCAGATCCACGACCAGAATTTCGCCCGCTCACCCAGCGACCACCATCACCACTCGTCTACACTCTCCCAAAGGTCGATGCCTCGCGAGATTCCGATCCCAAGACTTGGTGCCTCCCCGACGTCCAGCCGATGTGGTTCCTTCCACGGATCCTATGCGTCCACGACCGTCGTCCCGCCTATACTACCTCTAGATGCGCCGGGACTGCCGCCGCCGCCGTCACGCCACCGCGACCTTCGGCAGTCGAGTAGCATTGGTTCGGCTGGTGGAGATGATAGTGACGGTGAAGAGCTGGGACGAAGAGCTGTGTTCGGTTCACGAGAGGCGCAAGAATGGAAACTGTCGCCAATATGCAATAGTTTTAAGGATGGGCTAAGCCTGCCCGGAAGCCATGATGGTGCCAGCTTGAGGTCGGAGGGTTCCCACGAGAGGAACTGGAGAGAAAACTTCTACAACAACAAGGGAAGAGTTAAGGAGTTAGTAGTGCCCTCCCAAGTCCCCAATTGTTGTCCAGCTCACCAGGCGATGCCACGCTTGCACTCTACCTTGAATACCAAGTCCTAACGTAACGTGTTTGACGATCTCTAGATTGAGTGACGAGTCCCTCCGAGCGACGATGCGAGTGGCAGTACAGGCATACGACCAAACAGTTCTGGGAAAGCTTAACGCGCGCACCTCGGAACCGTCTTCATTTACCCAACACAAGCTCACTCCACCCCAAGAAATTCGGGCTTTTGCCGCCGCCCAAGAAGTTGGGTCGCTGCCGCGACTAACAGCTCCTTGGACATCGGGTAACCGACACCTACCGGCTTCGGCAGGGGTCTCGCCCCGGACGTCCGATTCTCCGCTCGATCCGTGGGGCAAGGCTTCGGGAAGCGATTCCATACACCTGGGGGTGAAACGGGAGACATTCACCCCTCCCATTTTCTCGTCTTCGTTATCGGAGTTTCGGAAAAACGAGGAATGTGCTGCAAGCCTTCCGTCACGTACAGCGGATGGCGGTATGTCGCCAAGTCTGGACAATCGGGTGCGAAGATCCGCCAGCGCGTCAAATCTCGGACCGGGCTATGATTCGCTGGACGAAGACATGCAGATGGAGGACGCTCCGTCGTCCCATGTGTCCCAGATGAACCGCTTAACCTTGCGCGATGCTAGGACGCCACCGCATCAGCACGAACGTGTAGGATTCAAGCGACGGGCTTCTTCGCCGCCGCGCGAACGCGATCATCGCTCAAAGCCACCCGGCACTTCCGAGCCTACGAAGCAAGGGCTGATGCTGGAAGGCGTCTGTCCGGACATGTACGGCCACAGCCGGAGAACACCCCCCATACACCACAGAGCGTCTCCCGGGGTACATCAGAAGTATTACAATCTGGCACTCCCGAGATCGGCCTCCAGTTCCCTCGCGTCGGTGTCGACAAACTCGGCCACTACGATGTGGTCCACGTCGATGGGTCAGTTTTCGCCGGCCACCAGCAGTCTATCCACACAAACGGACTGGTCACCAGTGGCGTCGTACAACCCGAGCATGGAAGCGGACGGAATGAAAGATGGATTCTATCGACAGTTCCCCCCATCCAGCCTAGGCAGACCCGGTGGAGAGCGGGGACGACTCCCGGAAATCTCGTCTCTCGGTAGAGACAAGGATCTGGCGGCAATGAAACACAATCCGGCGCCCAAGATGACGGGGATCTTTATCTGCGAATGCTGCCCAAAGAAGCCCAAGAAGTTCGACAACCGAAGCGACTTGCAGTACGCACCCCAACCCCCTTCCGCTCTCATCGAACGTTTAGACTGACAGACGCGCGGCGACCACAGATTGCACGAGCTGGAAAAGCAATACAGCTGCCTGTACTGCAACAACCGCTTCAAAAACAAGAACGAGGCCGAGCGACACCAGAACTCGCTTCACCTGCGGAAACACTCCTGGTCGTGTGCATCATTGGCGGGGAACTACGAGGCGGCTTTTCACCAATCAACACACCGCCCCAATTTTGCAGACGTATGCGGCTACTGCGGAAAAGAATTCCCGATGCCGGCCCAATGGGCTCTCCGCATCGAACATCTCACCCAAGAACACAAGTTTGGCGAATGCAACCAATCCAAAAAGTTTTATCGTGCCGACCACTTCAGGCAGCATCTCAAGCACAGCCACAGTGGCACGAGTGGCAAGTGGACTAACGTTCTTGAGAACGCATGCATGCGAGACGAGATACCTCCGCAGCCCATCAACCGGGGAAGCACCAGCAGTATCGGCTGCGACATTGGGACCCCCTCCGGCGAAGGTTCCGACTAGTTCAACTCCTACCCGTTTTCCGTCACGGCCACCTTGTACAGCTTTATCTCGGTCTCCTCATATGCGTTTTTTTCTTCTTTTTTTTTCTTCTTAATTCTTCATTATCTGCCAGCACGATGTTGATCCTGGGTTGCCACGGTGCGCAACGGCATCAATGTGATGACGAGATGCGGCAAGCTACCTCACCGGAGGGTCAGCCCTGCCGCATGCTGCTGACTGACATCCTATTCATGCATGGTGTTCTCATACCTGCAAATCATCATCAGCAGCTCCGTTCTCACCGCATTGCGGGGGCGACCACCCACCACCACCGCCCTCCTCTTTCTTTTCTTTTTTCCCTCTACGTTGGTCATGGTTCTTTTGCCCATCGTTTCTTTTTTGCGAATGCTGCATGCATAGAATCGGTGGGGTAATTCCTGGTAGGGTGCGGTCGGGTGTTTTGGTCGGGTTGGGGAGGAAGGCGGGCTTTGGCTTTTTAAAACGGTGATGGAAGAGGGTGTCATTTTGATTTTTTTGGTTTTTGGTTTCTTGGGATTTTTCAAGAACGAATCATGAACGGCTGGCACACGACGGCAAGGCGAGACGCGAAGCGAGTGAGGGTTGCATCATTTTTTTTTCCCTTTCTCTTTCACCAACCACACCATATATGGAGAGAGAGCAGGCATTCATTTTCATTTTCCCTTTTTTCCTCAAGTGTTTATCGTCGGGGGGTTTATCTGGGGGCGTTTTAAATATTGCTTGTTTCTTTTTTTTTTGGATTCTTGGATTCTTGGGGCGGGGGGTAACTAGGGGGAGGGGGGGTGCGTAAAAAAAGACCTTTTTGGATTTTTTTTGTCATTATTCTTTCTCTCTCTTCTTTCTAATGATGTCTCACCGTCGTGTGGCGTGTGGGAGGGTTTCTCTTTTTTTTTTGGCAACCGCGGTCTACTCTTATGCTAGGTACTTTGGGATTTTTTGGGTTCTCCGGAGTTTTTTTGGGTGTTTTGCTTGCTTGTGTCTGGAAGGGGTTTCTTTGGGTCGGTTTTCGCATATCTTAGGTAGGGGGTTTTCGTAATTGCTCTCCTCGATCTGCTGGAACAATGCCTGAGAACCTATTTCCCAGCTCAATCCTCATCCTCCTCCTCATCATCATCATCCTATTCCTCCTCTCTTCTCATATCATATCATATGTACATGTAGAAGTATGTAGCATTGTAGCACGAACAAAGTCCATAGGTACTACGGTAGAGTACCTATACATTCCAGCTCAGCTCGTCTCCCCTCGTCTCTTCTCTGTATCATACCAGTGCCATACCAGTAGATACCATACTCCATCGAGCTCGGAACAAACTCGCTGTTTCGGGTTCCTGAATCCTCCGAATATGTATAAAAAACCCCCCGGGGGGGGGAAGGAAAAGAAAAGAAAAAAAAGTGGCGGAGATGCTGGTGGGATGGTGGTGGGAGCGCCGGAGATTACCGGTGCTAGAGTGAGAGTGGGAGAGGGAGGGAGGGAGAGGGCCAGCCTTATGGACTCTTGGACGCTGGAGTGATCGATCACACTGACCGAAGCTATTCTATTATACTAGTACTACAAGGTAAGTAGGGTGCTATACTCGACTATAGAGCAGTAGGCATAGTGGTATGTCCCCTATTACACATCATAGATGAGCGTGAGTGGACGTATAGTGGGGTGGGGCGCGGCAGCGCAAGGCGGGGTTCGCGAACAATTGCGGGCACTGCTGCAGCGCCCTCATCCGCCATGTGAGTTTCTTGCGTTTCCTACGTTTCCTGCGTTTTCTACATATGTAGCATCTGGCGATTGATCCGACCATCCAATTGGACACTCTAATACTCTACTACCTATTGTAGTTATGTATCCACCGGAGGTGTGCTGCGATGGATTGAGCAGACGGATTGACGGTCGGATGGACAGACGGATTGATGGGTTGACGGACAGCTGACGACAGTAGGGCAAATGGTGGGAAAAGAAAAGAAAGGAAAGGAAAGGAAAGGAAAGGAAAGGAAAGGAAAGGAAAGGAAAGGAAAGGAAAGGAAAGGAAAGGAAAGGAAAAAGAAAAAGTGGATGGAATTCGGCATGGTTCGGGTTCAGCTCACGCATTGCACATCACTCATCGCTCGCCCCACGGCCCACGGAAGGTTGAGCTGCTGGCTGGCTGGTGGACACTGGAGTAGAGTAGAGTAGAATAGAGTACCTGGTGGGTCCCCGTCTATTACTTCATATGATACTCTACCATATGTAGGTACCTGGTAGTCGGCGATGGACTGGCCAATCTACTACCTACCGTAGTAGAGTACGCCGACGTCGCGGATGCGAGATCGCATAGGTAGGTACCTATGCCTAGGTTACCTCTACTCCACCTACACATGATGATCATTCGGATTTGGGGAATCGATCCACACAGCCGCCCCTGATTACGAAACCCGAGACTCGAGACAAAGAAGGGGGGGGTCCGAAAACCACCGTGACACTCGAATTACATCCAGCGTCCAATCCACATCGATAGCCTCGATAGGTATCCGGCGCCGACTCTGGTGGATGGCATGTAGCCTGTAGCCTGTAGCCTGTAGGGTGGGGTTGGGCTGAGGAAACGTGCGTGCGAGCTGTAGTTTCATAGCTAAGGTGTAGAGTACCCTACTTAGCTCGCCAAACTTGTGCGACGTAATATCGGCGATCCCGACGACGGCCGTTCGGGTAGGGCGATGGCGAGGGCGAAGGCCAGGGGTTCGCCCTTCGGGGTTCGGGGAGGGTTTGGGGGCGGATGGATGTTCTTACGTTACGTACGTAACATACGTAACATGGAGTAGGTACGTTGTTTGGGGCCGCGCGCGCACCCATCACTCGCGTCCACCTTCGATGCGACGGAAATCGACCGGAATGTGACAGTGAGTGGCAGTGGCAAGTGGCAGTGGCATGATGGATTGGATACATAGATCTGATATGTCGAGAGATCTGGCCGGCGATGTACTCTACATAGAGTACATGATACTCGGTAGTGGTCTGTTTAGTAGAGTAGCCGTGGCCACTGGGAGTGAGGCGGCTATACCGGTAGTACATGAAGCGGGCGCGTGGCCACGAGACCGCCAATACTCTGCATACACGCGCACGGACCTCCCGACTCGACATCCGGTGCTCCGGGGAATTGTTTGCTAGAGCACCACTCTATCAAGTAACTAACCATTCCATCGCGGGGGGTGTTCGGAGGATTCTTTTGGTGCAGTTATGGATGTGATTTCGCATCCGGGGAAATGATAGGAGATGCGAAGGTGGTGGGCTTAACGTTCGTCCCGCATAGAGTGGAGTACTAGGTAACTAGGTAACTAGGTAGTGGTTACATATGTCGATTTCTGCTTGCTCGGGACGGACATGGAACTACTAGTAAGTACGTCGCGGATATCGAGACTACGGTAGGTACCTACTCTATTCTGCTATGATAGGTAGGTAGGGGCTCTTGTAGGAAGGAAGGAAGGAATGTTCGAACCCGCATATGTAGGTACCTACCATAGGTGCATTTCCTCCTCCTCGTCCCCGAGCATGCGGATAATCCGTTTTTCCGGCCGTTTTTCCTTCGGCTATGTACGTACGGACGCGGACCGGCGGAGGCGTGGATTCTAGAGTAGGATGGGCCACAGACGGATGCACCTGGTTTGATTACCGGTAAATACCCGGGCTGGGCATTAGGTAAAGGACGGAGCGAATACCGAGCGAGATTCCGTGATCATGGTTGGGACCTGGATGGATTTGCCTTGTAGGGCAGGTCCTAACTCTAACTACTATAGTTCGTGTGGAGATGGGGGTCTCGTCCTGTCGGATGCATCTCGGATGTTTGTTCGTCGTGGGAGAAGGACGAAACTACTAGCACTAGTACTCGATCGGGTCTGCGCGCTTGAGTAGCTCGTCAGTTAGGTGCCTGGTGGTTTAGGTAGCGCCTTTTCCAAGAAGCTCTGGCCAGGCCGGGGAAGATGGATAGACAAATCGGGACTTGTCTGGGAGTAGCGTGGCAATAAGGCGACAGAGAAGCGTTGTGGAAGGTGTGATGGAGCTAGATTCTGGAGAGATGGAGCCCGGTAGGGTGGGGAGATATGGTGGCATTGGGAAATATGTAAGTACAGCGGCTTAATTTTGGGTGCGAGAGCTCGCTCGAGTGGCAGTGCGGTCACTTCTATCCAGAGCAGGTAGTCCACGGATGGCAGAATATCAGCCAATCACGAAACGACTGAAGTAAGTAAATGCGTTTGCTGGAGTAGGCATGCATAGACCGTAGCTGGCCCCCACGTAGTCCAGTTTAAGAAACCTTCCGTGGTCAGAGCACGAACCGGTGACGTCTGACTGTCTAGCTCCATATCTAGCAACTATTTACTCTACATACGACGACCAGCCCGGATTGGGCATCCAATCATCCGGGTACATAGGGACTCTACCATGAGTTCTTCTGCACATGTCATAACAAGGTCTTGCGATCATGCCTGTGCTGCGTGCAGGTGTAACATGGTATGTAGCAGTGTGGACCCAACAACCGTTTCGGTTGTCGTCAAACAGGCAGCCAGCCTTCCTCTCACGCCACCGATGTACGCGCGCCAAAAAGCACATGCGAGTCAGTCAGCCCTGCGTAAATCAACCGTCGCGAAGGGCCCCCCTCCATACAAGTGTCACTTTTCCCAGTCGCCAGCCCCCCGGTAGTGCGGCACCGGTTGTTGTAGGGCCAGCCTTACGCAGCTTACAAAGCCATCTGGGCCGAGGCATGTATGTATTAGAGTATCGTAGCTTCCAGCGGCAAGATCCACGGCATCCCACGGACCGCAGAAAAGGAAAGAAAAAGGAAAAAAGAAAGAAAGAAAAAACGGATATCGTAGAGGGTCGGTGTTGACTCCGGACCTCATTTCCTGAGACCTCTCGAGACCTGATCGCTCCGCGGAGAAACCATTTGCACGCCTGCACCTGCCATTCCTCCTCCGTGGCGTCGTGTGACTTGTGTCACCGCTTCAACGGGCAGAGCGCCGGAGCCTGCGTGACATCACGATCGGCGGGCCTTGTGGCACGTGGATGGAAACTCCTAAGAGTCTTCGATTTGCCAGCCCTACCCGCCCTGTCCTGCAGGCTGCGGTATATACCGTGGGTATGTGCGAAGGGTACATGCACAAAGTCAGGAAAAAAACAAAAATCGACATGGCATGTAAGTTGCTTGAAGTACAGGCTGGAGATTGGGGGTTGCTCGCTTCTTCACAAGTTCATAGCACGGGTTCAGTCAGGGCAAACACAGGATAGAAAATCTGGAGACGGGGCTCGCTCGAAAAACTGACTGATAACACATTATTGAGCATCATAGCATCACATCTCACTCGTTGGTTATAGCACCGCCAGCAACTTTTTCCAGGACTTGGATTTCAAACCCAAGCACTTGATTTCACAGTCACCGTGGACGAGGCAGTCGCAGCGAAAGCGCACACGTTGGGCCCACAACCCCCAGGACTCTCTATGTACACAGACGGATCTCGGACAGACTCGAAAGCGGCCGGCTTCGCTGTCGTCTGGCGCTCCGGCGACGAATGGAAGGGACACAAAGTCCATATGGGCTTCCAACAGGAGGCCTATGACGCGGAATGTGCAGCAATCGCTCGAGCACTCAAAGCAGCCGCCAACCGACGCTATGTCTTAGAAGAGCTACTATCTACACCGACGCACAAGCTACTATCAGGAGGATGATTCACGATGAACCTGGCCCCGGCCAAAAGTATGCCCTCCAGGCACGGAAACACAGTGCCACTCTCCGGCAAAGGGAACCTGCGATCACCATTGAGATCAGATGGTGCCCGGCACACAAGGATGTTCCTGGGAACGAGAAGGCGGATGAATGGGCTAAGCTGGCAGCTGACAACCCCACCGCCCGTGGGGTGGAAGGGACCCGCTACCTGCACCAGTATGGCACCCGGCCTCTGCCACCGCCATCGCTCGCCTACCTGAAACGCGGCATCTCCGAAGCCAAGTGGAGAGAAGCCAAGGGATGGGCGGACAACCGAATCACTCATAAGAAGTACCGGAACAGTCGGAAATCCGGCCAGCGTCCTGACCCAAATCCGGAGATGGCCCCCAAGCGCCTCGCCTCGAGATTCTACCAACTCAAGGCAGGACACTGCCTCACCGGCCAGTACCTACAGTGGACCAAGAGCCGCCCGGATGCCCGCTGCGGCTGGTGCCGCTACAAGACACAGACTCGGGAGCACCTCTTCAAAAATTGCGCTGAATGGAAAAGTCAGCAAAAGACTCTCTGGGCAGAAGACCGGAAGCAGACAAGGAGGGGCAAAGACCGCTTCAAACTCCGGGACCTCTTCGCAGACGAGCGATGCAGCAAGGCCATTCTAGAGTTCCTCTCCACCACCGATATGGACAGACGAATGCCAGAAGCCGATGAGGAAGATACAGCAAGTGAGGCATCCGAGTGGGAGCTCAGGGAGCGGGAAGAGAGAGCGGAGCTGAGGCGACTCGAGGAGGAGGAGGAGGAGGAGGAGGGTGCCGAAGCTGAGGAGCTCAGCGGCGCAGAGTAGCAGACTAGAAAGTTGCTGTGGAGGTGGGACGACTCGAGGGCGCGGGGGCGGGGGCGGGGTCGAGTACGGGTGTGGGTGCGGGGGCGAGTGCGAACGGCGGAGACATATCTTTGGGAACGGCCGGGGCGGAGGGCAGGGGAAGCCACATCGGGCCGCCTGACGATAGTTAGGCTAGACAGTGGCGTAGAAACGGGGGGGGGGGGTGCACGGGGGGGCATGTGTAGATGATATTGCCATGATCTAGATAGGTCGCACGCAATCAATGAATGAACAAAAAAAAGGACTTGGATTTCAAACATACATATTGCGGTTGCATACTTGCCGTCCGTCGCACATACTTGGGTTTCCAGTGGCTTTGGTACACACCTAAGGTGCCTAGCCTACAGAACGTGCTGAAATCGGTGGTTTGGGCAGCTGAAGCGAACCGGTGATCGTCGTTAGCAGCGAAGATTGCTTATGTGTCAAGTCACTCGGTCTTTGCAGCAAGTTAGAACTTAGCGCTCACACACTCAGTAGCCAATTCGCCATTGTCTAGATAGGTTGCATGCGAAATAAAACAGGAAGATCTCTCTCTCTCACCCAGTAGCCAACCGGCGCCGAGGAGGAGAGCGACGCCTCTGGAGCCGAACAGGAGTGCCCGACAGGGTATTTCGTTTGCGGACGGTGTGGACAATGAGTGGGATCATGTTTTCCTTTGTAAAATTGGTTGGTAGGCAACGGCGCAGCAATGGACCGTGGTGGTAGAGCTTTCTCTCTAGACCCCGTGGAACTGGCAGGAAAGGCCGGGAAGTTGGTGGTCGCCATAGTCTAGTAAGGTCGCACGCAATGGATGATAGAACCAAAAAATATTAGCGCAATTAGCACCGTCATAGAAACGGCATTTATATAAGACAAGATGGTGGAAAATACAGCCACCTATTATTGCATTATCCGGGAAGGCACGGAGTAGCCGTGTGCTCTACCGAGCACCAGCGCGAAACCTCGTCTATTATCCATCATTACCAGTTTACAAAGTGCGGAATGCTTCTTCTGTCACGGAAAAACCCCCGTGTGGTCTAGTGGTTTGATAGGCCATGCAATCGGCGAGGGGAGTTGAGTCGAAGTTCCCAGTTCAAGCCCGGGTAAAAGAACTTTATGTTCAGCTCTTGGGGTTTCCAAGCCACCCGCCGGGGGTGGTGACGGTTTTTGTTTTTGTTTTTGTTTTTGGCAAGACGGGCGGAGCACTAGATATCACTCAGTAACTTCACGTGACACGCTTTTTTGCGCTGCTACTGGCTGTGAAGACGAAACGAGAAGTGGCCCCACGTATGGGCAATGGTTTTCACCAAACGGTGTTTCCTCGATGTATGGCTGTGATACCGTTGGGTGTGCTGGCCCCTGGGTCTGGTCGAAGCTTCAGCACGGGCCGCGAGGACGGTGCTGGAGGCGATCTTGGAGCCTTCGCCAACCGTGGCTACATCTTTACCATCAGGACAGATCCGCTTCCAGTGGCTGATGAGCGGCTGTGCGGGCACGGCGTCATCTTGTCTGGAGCCAATCCACGAGTGATATGTATGAAGTACCTAGGCGTTTGGTAACTATGACGGGAAACCGACGGCGCTGGTGGAGGCCAGATCACCCGTTATTGGCATCCATCTCAATGGCTCGGAAGAAACTATTGCGCCATTCGATGCTACCTGGACGTTTCCACTCGCTATGGCGGGCAAGGTGGTCCAAGGTCTGGGCTGGGTTAGATTCCACTCGCCATACAATACATCTGCGCGCTTGCGAGAGTACATTCAAGAACGTTTGCCATATTTCCGTACGCGGCTTGTGGTTCGTCACTTTCTCGTCCTTGGAGCTTGGAAGGGGAATAGGTAGGTACCTAGTCCGTTCGGACTGCATCAATTGAAATTTGAGCCGACCACGCTCTTTGGTGCCCGAATTCCTCCCAGGACTATTACATACCACGCAGCCTGTTCTGGTGGGCCGAAGACACTATACTATATTACCATCATCGCTAACTGCGACAACTCCAATTATGCAGGTACCTACACGACAGACACCTCGCCTTCCAACAACGAGTGACAAATAATGAACCCTAGCTCTTTCCAGAACGCATCTCGATACGCTTGCCACTCATGGATGTAGATGTACAACTTCCACATTACTACACATCTCATTATCAAGCTGAAGATACTACTAAAAAACCGAAACGCATTGCAAAACTCCCTCAAGCAAAACATAAAACCCTAACGTGCCGTTCGTCCCCATATTCCTCCTCATCCACCTCTACCCCTCCCCCTTCTCCTACTTCCAAGATCACAAGGCATGAGATAGCCACGAAAGGGAGCTGGCCCGCATAAGCATTTAGCCGGGAAACGTGTTGTTGTCTTCGGCATCCATGGTTGGGGGGCCACCATCTTGAGACGTATGCTCGCGATCCGAGTGGACTGGAGGGGGTCCCACGACTTGAAGTACTGATGCATTTGGCTAAGCCCAGGCAGACTCTTCTTCACTTTCTTGTTACGCCCCACACTACCACTATCACCGCGGGAAGGCTTGACCGGAATGTCCTCAATACCAACTTCGTTGTAGGTCTCCTCAAGCGAAAGCGTGCGGAACGAATGGCAGAATACCTGCGAGAACTTGTGGTCCGTGATCGATGCACGTTGGTCAGGGTCATCTAACGTGAGATACGGGGCTATTTCCGCGAGGACAAGCCAGTACATATGGATATACCAAGTCACGTACAAAGCTGCAAGCTTCCCAGGACCATGACAGATTGCCTTGACGTCGACGACCCGGCTAATTGGGGTGAGAATTGACGATTCCATTGTTTCCGTATCATATATACTGTGGAAGTGGGTAAGCGCTGTATCCTGATCCCACTGAAGCAGGCTCGGCTGGCGTTGCACTTCGCTCCGGACATGATCTCGGATGGCGCGGATAATGTTGCATTGCCAGTTCCGTTTCCACTGGAGAACATGTTTACGCACCTTCTTGCGCATGGGATGGCTGGACGGGTAGTCGTGGTAGAACCTGTGGACAAGCATGTCGCGTGACTGTCACTAATGTTGAAGTATCGGCCGTAGACACGTCTCGCAGCGGACATCATCTGACGGTCGATCATCTTCTGGTGGGAGAGAGTGTCGGTGGTTTCGAGGGGAGTTCCGTACCTCCGCTTGCGATTCTGGCTTACCATAGGTTCTAGTGGAGACTCGCAACCGTCATCTTCATCTTCATCTTCGTTGTCTTGCACGGGGCCTTCTTCACCGGGGTTTCCGTACTCATCACCTTCGACTTGCCAGTTGTTGCCCGCTGGCATGGCAAGCGAGGAAGGCATTGCATTGCTAGATGGCATTGCATTGCGGGACGGCGCCGCGAGTTGACTTTGCGTGAGGTTGTATTTAAACCCTCTCAGTGAATCAGGTGTCATGTTGGTCGAGTTCTGTTGACTATGCGAACGTGACACCGATTGAGGAGTGACGTCAGTGGAACTTGCCATGGATATCGGCAGTTCTGGTAGTGATCCACTGAAGGCACCCTGGGACGGTACAGATGTATTCTGTGCGAACTGTGGGTAGTAACCTATTGCCGGATTGAGGGGGGCCAGATGTGTGGGAGTGCGACGTTGGTCATTGGAACCCACAGAGCCCGTAGGCAGTGCATTTTTTTACTGGCTTTGTTACGTTGCGATGACATTGTAAGGTATAATCTGGATCGGCGGGAGTGTGGAGGTGTCTTTGGAGGCAGGGCTGTGGTGGCCTTGCTGGTGTCTGAAGTGTGCTAATAGACTGTGGGCTGCGGAGACCTGGTCAGCGGCCTTGGACAGGTGGAACGGGAGGTTTAGGGGAATGAACGTGCCTTGACGGATCCCCAAGGCCATGCGTCCATCGGAGATGTCCGTGTTCCGTGGGGGGCTCCGCTTTAATTCGAGGATATGTACTGGGTACGTTGTAGTCGTTACCGTTGACGTTACGTTACGCGAAGTATGACACAGCGGGTTCGGGCCAGCGCTGGGGCGGGTAGATCGGATGGGAAGTATGTGCGCAACTGCCAACTGTGTCACATCCGTACCACCGAGGCGGACTGGATTGTTCGGGGTGCACGAGAAGTCGTGGAAAATGAGGAGGAGTGGAAGAAGGAGGAGTCGAGGGTAAAGGAATTGGAGATTGAGACTGGCGAGAGATCTAGAAGACCTTGTAGATACTGTATACAGTACCTCCACTTAGTTAATCGTCGAGATCCATTTGTGGAGTACATAGATGGAGACCGCTTTTCTTTGGATACTTAGCGCTCGGTTACCTCCCGCTCCTTCCGTAGCGCCGCCGGCTGGCTCGCTGGCACCTTGGATACCCAAATTCACGTCATCGCACGAGACCTCGGGCCAAATCCACAAACGAGATATATCATACCAGTACCACCACCACTGTACTACCTCCACTCTCCCGTCCACCACTCACACAACACACAACACGATACGCAGCAATGGCGACACTAAGCACGTCCTTCTCGCCGTCGTCGCAGACGCCGGCAATAATCATCCCCATGGGGACCGGCGGCGCGGGCACCGAGATAAGCTATGCTCAACTGCAGCAGCACATTTCGAGCTTCCAGCGGCGACTCGCGTCGATCGGCATCTCCGCGCACTCTGCCGTCTCGGTCGCGCTGCCCAACACCTTGGAATTCATCGTGTCGTTCCTTGCGGTCGCGGCGCAGCGCGCCATCGCCGCTCCCCTGAATCCCGCGTACAAGCAGGCCGAGTTCGAGTTCTTCATCGACGATATCAAGAGCAAGCTTATTATTGTCCCCCGTGGCGCCGTAGAGGCGGATGCGCCGGCGGTGCGCGCGGCGCGGAAGTTCGGGGCTGGCGTGGCGGAGATTTGGTGGGATGGGGCGAAGGGCGAGGTGGTGATGGATCTCAAGGTCTGGGGCGGATTGGGAGGCGCTGTGCAGCTGGAGACCGCGCAGGAGGAGGATGTGGCGCTGGTGTTGCATACGAGCGGGACTACGGGGAGACCGAAGGCCGTGCCGTTGACACATAAGAATCTGACCAGGACTATGGGTTTGTTTTTCAATTGACGGTGCTGTGGAGACGGTGGCTGATTGATCGTGGCAGAGAATATCACGCGCACCTACCAGCTCACGCCTAGCGACAGGACCTACTTGGTGATGCCACTGTTCCATGTCCACGGGCTGCTCGCCGGCTTCCTTGCGCCCCTAGCCTCCGGTGGCACAGTAATCGTCCCACCAAAGTTCTCGGCGTCAACATTCTGGATCGACTTTCGCACGCACAAGGCAAATTGGTACACGGCGGTGCCGACGATCCACCAGATTCTCCTGAAGTCACCGCTGCCTACGCCAATCCCAGAGATCAGATTCATCCGCTCGTGCTCATCGCCGCTGTCACCGACTACATTCCACGCCCTCGAGGAAGCACTGAAGGCACCCGTCCTGGAGGCCTATGCGATGACCGAGGCAGCCCACCAAATGACGTCCAACCCCCTTCCTCCCGCGAAGAGAAAGCCGGGAACAGTCGGAGTGGGCCAGGGCGTGGACGTTGCCATCCTCGACGATGCGGGCAACGAGCTGCCGCAGGGCAAGGAGGGCGAGATCTGTATCCGCGGCGTGAACGTCACCAAGGGATACATCAATAACCCATCGGCCAACGCCTCCTCCTTCACGAAATCCGGCTACTTCCGCACCGGCGACCAGGGAAAGATGGACGAAGATGGATATGTCATCATCACCGGCAGGATCAAGGAGCTAATCAACCGCGGCGGAGAGAAGATCTCGCCGATTGAGGTGGACAACGCCATCTCGGCGCATCCGAAGGTCAGCGAGGCTGTCAGCTTCGCTATCGAGAGTGAGATGTATGGCCAGGAGGTCGCTGCGGCAGTGGTTCTTAAGCCGGGACAGAACGCCAGCGCCGCGGAACTGAAGACCTTCGTCTCAGAGAAGCTCTCAAAGTTCAAGATCCCCACTCAGTGGTTCTTTACTGAGCACATGCCCAAGACGGCCACCGGGAAGATTCAGAGACGCATTGTCGCTGAGGAGATGGCGAAGCTGCCGAAGGCGAAGTTGTAAACATAGACTGTTTTTTGCGCGTGTATTGTGTATTGTGTATTGTGTATTGTGCATTGTGTAATAGAATATCTATATCATGAGGAATTGAATTGTATGAAAGGCTATGGCAGCCCGCTGGGAACACTCGGCCAGAATCCGGGATTCTTCATCCTCTCCAGATTCCGCTTCGCAGCGATTGCCTGCCGCTTAAGGAGGACGCGGCGATCAAATATTTTCCTGCGACAGCCATCGTCAGCAACTACCACCACCAACAGCAGCATGAGGGGAGGGAGTACTTGTGCAAAACAAAGATCCGCGGCTCCTCCTCCTCCTTCTTTTCGTCCTCCTCCTTATCCTTATCCTTCCCGTCTTTCTTATCCTCCTTCTTATCCCCCTCCTTCTTATCCTCCTCCTTCTTGTCTTTATCCTTCCCCTTCTCCTTCCCCTTCTTCGCCAACTTCTCCTCGTACTCCCTAATGACCTGTAACCTAATCTCCTCCTTCTCCTTCTCCAGCTTCTCCCTCTTCTCCTTCTCCGCGTCGCCCTCCCCGCCCTGGCCCTCCGCCTCCACCTTCGCCTTCACCTTCCTCTCCTCCCCCGCCGGACTACAGAACCCACGATCTTTCAGGTGGCCTGGACATATATAGAACCAGTCCTACATAGGAACCTCCAAGTCTTAGCGCGCGTGCGTGCGATTGCTGAGAGGGTCGCGGTCGGGGGTGGAATGGGGAGTGGGGGGTACATTCTGGTCCGGCGTGATGAGCACGCACGTGCTGGGGCGGTAGCAGATGTCGCACTGCTTTGCGGCGGCGTCGGCGACGTGACGTTTGTGGTAGAGGTTTTTTGGCACGGTGGTGGTGGTGGCCATCGTGTTGGCAACTTGTCACGGTCGTTGTAGAGAATGGTGGGGTTGCACGTGGGGTTGGAACTTGGGGGGGTTTAAGTTGCGTGGCAGGGACAGGGGTAGAGTAGGCAAGGTGCACGTGAAATGAAGCAAGCCTCAGGCTTTTAGCTAGGTATGATAGAGAACAGAAGATTACATGACCAACGCCTTCTTTGCCATCTCCAACGCGCCATCGAAAGTCTTGTTCCCGCCGATGAAGCCACTGGCGTGAACGAACACTCCTCCCGGAATGCCCGAGACCTCGCTGAGAGCATCATCGCGGACGCCGCGCCACACATCCGGCAGCGGCTTACGGCTCTCGAAGCTATCCTTGGAAACGGGCACACACTGGATTCTCCAGCCCGGCTTACTGCCCTCGCTGTAGAGAACATACAACGGTTTGTTCCCCTCCTCGGTGATACCCAATTCCTTCTCGAGGGTGAAGAGATGATCCTTCCACGGGATCGAGCTGGCAAACACGAGGATGCGTCCGTCCTTGTCGTGCTCAAACCGCTTATTGATCGCATCGACCACGAAGTCGCGGGCCGGCAGCCACGCAGAGATGTAGTAGTCCAGCTTGCGCGCGAACGTCTCGCCCATCAGCTTGGACGCCTGCAGGAACAGCGCGTCCTCGCCCGCCTGGTCGACGGGGGTGTTCCAGTTCGGGTTCAGCGCACCGACCATGGAGGGGAGCGTTATCCCGCCAGTGTTGAACGCGGGCGCAACATCCGCCGGGTAGGCGTTGATGCCGTTGTCGTTTGCGTCCAGCGCTTCAATAAACTCCTTGTACACCTTTTGGTACAGCAGCTCTACCGACGGGTGCGAGACTGGCTGGTTCAGTCGCAGAGAGATCAGGGCGGGTGCGAAGTGCTTGTAGATCAGACCGGCAGAGGACAGCTTCGTCTTGTACTCGGCGGAGAAGGTCTCGGCGAAGGTGCGCTGGTGGTGGTCGAAGTGCTTCGTACCATCATACACGCCCGAGACGTCAACGATTATGTCGCACTCTTCGAGGGCCGCAGGATCGCGCGAGCGGAGGAGGCTAGCGTCTTGGTATTCGGGAAGGAGGCGGAGGATGTACACGGCTAGGGCCTCGTCCGCCTATAGTAGCAGCACCGATATCAGCCACCAGGCATCAATGGGACGCAATTGGACACGGAGGGGGTGGCGGGCGTACGTGGAAGTGGCCACTGCGGGGAGCAACCGATTAGCGGCGTATCATCCATCGCCTCTGATGCAATTGCTTACTTGTGGGTGCCAATTTTGCGCGGGCTGGTCTTGAGACGCTTTGCTGGTGATTCGGACATGATCGTTCTCGACAGTCTGCTTCTGGTGATGATGCCGAAGATGGTGGAGGGGATACGACGGAGGAACATGGAACGAGTAGATGCAAATAGCGGGGCAGCAAAAGTCGAACCGCCGCCAGGGTACCATTGCCGGGTAAGAGGATCACATGAAGAACCGGACGCCGCAGAGTTTAGCCCAGTAAGCAAGGTTACTTTAGTGTGATCGAGGACTAGGGGATTCAGGGAATGGGGTGATCGTGTGCTGTCAAACCAAACGATGCTGGATTGGGAGGGATTTGCCGTATGTGGGTGGAGATCGCGAAGAAAGGAAGGCACGGAAGGAAGGAAGGTAGACGTGCAGCGATATCTATCTATCGTGCTGCTCGGGAGTGTTCTCCACAGTTTGTTTCCTGCTTGGTCGTGTGTCTGCACGCATCTCTGCTCATTTCCCCACACGAATGCCAGGATGATTTCCTGGAGTCAACGCACGATAACAGGTACTCGTCCACTCCATCAATCGTTTTGTGGCTACGAGTACTGTGAAGTATTTGTCCATATAGATATTGCTGCCGTCATCGTCCGGGGGCGGCCGCCGCACCGAGATGGGCGTCAGTGTGCAGGCTGCGACGAGTTGTGGAGGATTCTCGCCTTCAAGAAACACCACACCCAAAAACCGAGGACTGCGGAAGGCAATCGGTTGACACAGTGGACGACGGATCACACAGGATACGAAATCGTCAGAAAGACGCAAGAAGATGGTAAGTGGGCAGTGGATGAGGAGTAGCTACTAGTAGTGGCGGGCGGCAGGGTTCGTGTCCGGCGTTTCGGTACGGCAGAGTAGCAGCCACAGCAGCCAGAAAAAGAAACGCAGGAAAAGGAAATAGCTGGTAATTTGGAGTAGAGTGGGAAAGAAGCATCATCACGTTTGGTCGTCAGGACACATTTCATCCCGTCGGCGAAACACCTCGTCTTCTTCACGGCGATGCTGTCAATGCTGCCGTTCGTTTCGCTACTCTAGCCAACCTCACGACGGGCATCTAGATCCCCAGGCCGATCGTCGTCGTCGTCTCCCAGTATCCAGACCGCGCCTCTACCTAGGCCCTCATCACCACCTCCACCACCACCACTTCTACCTCCGCCAAACTCTCTGCATACTCTGCAACTCTGCAACTCTGCGTATCCCGCTCCTTACGAGCACATTCTACCTCGAGTACATACTTCCTGCCGTCTGGCTCCTGCTACATACTCCAACGAAGAAAGTCGATCCGCGCCTGCAGCACTCTCGCAATCGCTGTAACTAGTCGCCAGCTGCACGTTCCAGATTCACACTCCGATAGCACGCAACCGGCACGTCGAGTAACTACACTTTACACTACACTGCGTACGAAAAGACCACCACTAAAGTCACTACATAGGTAGCTACATACCATCACCAAGCTAACCACCCATCACCGGCCCGCCTACGACCACCCAAACGAACGAAACCTGCGAAAATCACTACCGACGCTTATTGCCGCGCTATCGCCGTCGTCTCCACCCTTACCTTACTACCGCACCCAGTGCGATAGGCTGCGCGCAGGAGCGAGCGAGGGAGAAGAAAAATCAGAAAGGCCAGCCCACGAAGAAAGAAGGCACCCCTCCCGCCACCTTCCCCCGCAGTCATCTCAAGAGAACACGTCCCGAAGCCTCGACACGACCCCCCGAGTAGTGACGAATCATCATCGACCGACCCGGCGAACGAACGAAGAAGATCGCGCCAAAGGTCGCCTCACACTGCTCCCATCTTCCGTCCGTACAGCACTGGCCACCTCACCTTCTACTTATCGCTACTGCAGCATCCATCCGCGGCTCACGTTCTCTACCGACGAAAACGCCATCACCTATCATCCGTGCACCCTCGCGAACCCCCGACACCACCTACTCAGGCCCCCATGAGCCTCTCCTGGGCTCCGGCACGAATATTGACCGGGGTTGGCTTCCTCGGGTTTGTCATCCTCTTTGTCCCCCTGGCCTTCGACGTGGGCGGGAGAGACTGCGGCCTGCTATATTCGCTATTACTGGCGGCTTTCTACTTCCTGCTGTCGACGGCGCGGGGGGGGATCCCATCGACTACGCGATGGCGGGGGGCCAGGATCTTGCTGGGGTGCGTCGAGATGCTGCAATGCGTGGTGATTCTGGGGCTGTTGGTGTATGCCCTGAATAAGGCGGACGATGACGGTGGTGGTGGTGGGGGTAGTGGTGGGTTGGGGTTCGAAGCCAGGGAACGCCTTTTGGGAGTTGATGGTGGACATGCCGCCGAGAGGTCAGCTATGGACAGGCTCACCATAGGGGCTTGGGATACGTTTCTGACGTTCTCAACCCCTATGTTTCAACTGTCGGAGGGATTCTGCAGCTTGTTGGTAATACAAGCCGGTGGCCAGATTTCGCGGTGGTTGGTGAACCGCAAGAAGGCAGATACTTGGATGGTGAGGGCGAAACTGCGTTAAAATGACCTCGGAATCATGTACTGATTGTGTCTCAGATTACTCTATTGGTGATGTCGGGCTCGATAATATCCTCCGCGCTGTACTTTCTCTGGAGAATCACCACATTTCCGGAGATTGGAAACTTGGATGCCGCGCTGATCGGTGTTTCGGTTACTTGTGCTATTTTCCTCTGCGCCTATGGCATCAGGTCGGGACGGGGAAACCCTATCGAGAGTTCGCTATTGGTATTTGTTTCACACTTCCCACCGTCATCGGAGGCTGACTGACATGGTACCCCATAGTTTTCGTATATCGTGCTCTGTGTCTACCAGATGTAATCTCTCCCGAACCCGTTGTGTGACCCTGTAGCATACTGACAGCTGTCCCAGCTTCACCGACTACAAGCCATCGACGCCCCAACCAGTGGCCATCGAGAAGACCGAGTTTCCGCCTTTCCCGCCTATAATCATGACTAGCTACGAGTCCCTGGTCGACAACCTCTCAGCCTTCCTGCCCTCGTTCCTGCAGCAAGTGGGCAACTTCATGATATCGGCATACTCGACCATCACGCCGTCGGTTATCATCTCGCTAGCATATCGCATATTTGTCTTTTATGCATCTACCCGCATCATTCCCGCGGTGCGGCAGTCCGGAGAACAAGGGGAGCCCATGAGCAGGATCGCAGGGTTCTTTGGATGGTATAGCCCTTGCATCCTGGTTGCCGTTTACACGCACCTGCTGCTTCAACACTTTGAGGTTGTGGGCGGGAATGGTCTGGCCGCTAGATGGATTACCGGGGTGCCGGTTGGCGGTCACGTCTGGAGATGGGTAAATATTGGAGCCACAAGTATGTCACCACAACCCCGTGATACCATGATACCACGCTAGATTACTGACGGAACGACAGTGCTGCTTTACGCGTTTGAGCTCCTGATGGGCGACGAGGAGGGGAACGAAACATTAACAAGTCACTGGAAAACGGATTAGTCGTCCGAGCTGATGATGGAAGGACATCATCACTGATACATAAGTAGCGAGCTGCCAGTTAGCTCGAGGACTAAATGCCGGGAGCACATCTGCCCAAATACCTTACTGTTTTCTTTCTTGGTCTATATATTTTTACTCCGGGTTTTCTCTTTTTCTTTTTTCTTTTTTTTCTTCTTTTTTTTTGTCGGCATCTGTCATCGGGAAAGGATACTAGGCGCCCCAAACACACACACATCCACATCCACATCATCACCGCTACCATGAACTGCAGAACCTTTTTGGGTGTGAAATCTTCTTCTCCTTCTCCTTCGCTTTTCCTTTGTTACTTAGGCTAGGTACAACAAAACGGGTGGGTATGGGGGCATATCGTATCGTCGGTTTCACGGGATTCAAAATAATGTTCTCTTTTCATGTTCTTCTTCATCACTGCTGCTGCTAGCTACCAGAGGGCTGTACCGATGTAATGGTGGATTTGTCTGTGATAGGTACTCGTTCCTGGGTGGGATATGTATTATACTGGATCTGGAGCTGGGTGTGAATACTTGTGAAGAAACCGAATGGTTGACCATATCTCAGTGTTGGGAACCGCACGACATTTCCCAGTTTTTCCATCTCTCTCTAAATGCGAGTGAGATCCCATGCCCCACACCCGCTGACTAACCCACCCACCCACCTGCAGGCTGTCGGCCAAATCCCCCGCCAAGCCACTAACCCCCCTCTAATACATAACTGCAACTTTTTTTCCTCCTCTTCCCTCTTCCCTCTCACCACACGCACCGCACTCAAAGAATCGCAAATCGAAGCCACACACGGAGACCTCCCCTCCCCTCGGGGCAGCGGGCTTGTCTCACCACCCCGGCTTTGGGAGAAAGTCCCCGGACACCTGCGTCGTCTTCACGACGACGCGCGCGGAAACGCCGCTGCGGTAGCACCAGCGAAACAACTCTTCGTCGATTGGGATAGTTATGCGATTGCTTCTCCCCACCCTTCCTGACGGAGGGGGCGGGGGGAGGTAACTCAATGGGGCTTATTCTTGGACGCGGTGCGTGCCGGTCACCTTTTTTTTTTCTTTACAGAGAAAGCTGTAGCTTATGGAAAGCACACCCGACTGCTGGGCTCCTAATGATGGAGGAGGGCGGGAGGGAGGGATGCTTCTTCGATGGAGCCGGCTTCGATGGGATATGGGAGAGATGGAGACAGGATTCCGTGATGAGCTCAAATCATAGAGTCAAGCACTGAGACTGCCAAGGAACCGCGGAATCCTCAAGTAAGGGCCGCGCGACTGAGGGGGTGGAGCTGAGAATGATTATGAATCTGAGAATCTGGAGATATGTCTTATGGATAGTTTAGATACTTGGTAATGGGAAGTGGAGGCGGGTGCAAATATCGATATTAGCAAGACCAGACATGATCGGGGTGTTTGTTCGACGTGATACACATGCATAATACAATGCGGATGTCTACGACATCAATGATCCGACAGAGGAGGGCTATGATGACTTCATAGGTCTCGCGCAGATATGCATCAACACAGAGTCCAGCTGGAACGACTCGAGAGTCGACAGGGCTTGCGGCGTCCCGCCCGGAGGAATGTCCGAACGAAGCAGGTATGTATCATATGTACAAGACATATTTGCCCCGAACCCTTGGGCCCGGGGATTAAGCGGGGACTTCACAGTTTCGTTCTATCTACCTATGCTACATACATAGGTCTCCAAGCGTGGGTGGAATCTGGATAATCCACCTGGAGGCAGGATCCGCTCGTGGTCCTGCAGGCCGAGGGAGGAGGGAGGAGTGATCTCTGCTCTCTGCGCGCCTATGGTCAGCCGGGCAGGTTGGCGAACATACTTGATAGATACATGGCTTGTCGCAGGGCGTGCGAGATGAGCAGGTATAGGTGCCACGGCGACCGGGGAAAATCCGGCCGAATCAAGTTCTTCCGAGTCCTCGGGCTTGGAGGTTCATGGGAACTCAATACCGTATTACTGCACTCTAGGATGCAGAAACCAATGCTCCTAGTTGTTTCCTAGTTGTCTACAATCAATCTTCGCCCTCCTAGAGGCTGGTACGGTAGTTAGCGATCAACCGGTGATCTCGCAGAAAGCAGGAAGAAGCACGGTCCCTCGGGCCCGGACTTATGTACAGCGGCTGTCTGTGATCGGGGCCCAATCCCCCGCCGTACATATCTCAACTCAACTCAACTCTTGGTTTAGCTGGAGCAATAGGTACCAAGTATGTACTAAATGGTGTGTAGATAGGGCATACAAACATACACCCGGACTGGTTATCCACTTTGCTCTGTGGGGAGTTGCCCGAGGCGGGAAAAACATGTCTGTCCCGAGCCTTCGGGTCGGAGGGACCCCGCTTGACTCAGAGATAGGTAGCCCGCCTCGAAATATTTGCTCTTTCATGCCGAGGTTCCAGCGCTCTTGGCTGGCTGGCTAGCTGAGCACCGAGAGGTCCTTTGATCCGAAGGTTTGCCACCGTATCTCGGTGCTGACGGGTTCAACGGCGTGCACTTTGATCGGAAGTTGCGCCGTTGGGGTGCACTATGCGAGACAAGACGAGACGCCCGATCTCACCAGCTGACATGTAGTTAGAGTATCTAGCAGCTGATGTTTCACCTTAGCCGATTCGCGATGCCGTTCGCTTGGGAATTAAGCTTCGTCACGTCGGTAGCTGGCCCGCCCCCATCCTCCATCGCCTGGGGTTATGCACTTATGCTTTGAGGCGTTGAATGAGGCGTGCAGACATCCGGCTGGCTGGCCCCTCCATTCGATCTCGGCCCCGATCGGGAATCGACAGCTGTCGGAGATATCACCGGTTTGCGCGAATGCGTGTCTCGTCCTCGTATAGGAACATTACTCGATGACTTCACAGTACCGCAGAGGAGGTATTGATAGTGTTTCCAGGCATCAAGACCCACCAAGCGTAGTTGGCGGCGGCTTGATCTTGGCGTTCGGTAAATTGCAGCCGTCTGGTGGGTGGATACTTGGGTATATCCATAGTGCCTGCGTAGGCACATACGTTTGCGACCGAGTTTGAGGCTGTTGAGGCACGACCGTTTGCTGTTGTGATCGGAATAGACCCCAGAACCGCGGTAAGTCCCGGTAGGGCTGAATACGGAAGGCAGCTGCGAGATGAGATGACCTTGAGCTGCGGCGGCGCGTCTAGGTAGCTGCGCGCCAAACGTCACGTCGTGCACGTCACGACTCACGACATCACGAACACCACGAACGCCGTAACGAAATACAAAGAACATAACGAAGTGCACCCAACGGCGCAATACTGCCGAAGAAAGACGGCTGTCTGACATGCCAAGTGAGTCACGTCGAGAGCTCAGGGATGGGAACAAACGAATGAATGAATGAATGCTTGACTGACGGTGACTCTGTGGAGTCTGCGGCGATTACTGATATCGATCGTTAGCTGGAGCCTACAGCTGCTGTAGGCCGCGGCTGAGCTCGGCGCGGATACATAGCACCGCAACATCACCGACTAGAAGCACAACAACGGCATCATCAGCAGCAGCAGCGGAGAAAAGGTACCAACCGAATTTCCCCCAGATACCAACACGAACTCCCGCCTCATCCCAGGAATGTCTACCTCCACCTGCATAATCTGCTACGACCCCCTCCACACCCCCGCCGTCATCTATCCCTGTACACACTCCGTCTTCCACTACAGCTGCATCCTGAGCTGGTTGTCCGCTCCCTCCGCCCCCTCCGCCTCCACGCTACCCCACCACATCCCGATCGACAAGACTTGTCCCCTCTGCCGCTGCGTGCCCCTCCTGGTCCTTGGCGGAGGTCGCCGCTTCGTCGTTCCGTCGGGGACGAGCTACGTAGAGCTGCTGGGCGAAGCCCGCGAGCAACTGCTGCGCAGAGGGAAACGGTTGTGGAACGGTGAGAATGTTGCGGCCACGGCGTGGATACTCGTCCAGCTGTCGGCACTGCAGGAGCGACATCGGGTCCTCGAGGAGGAAATCGCGTCAGAGGGGAAGCTGTGTGTGTCGGCACGGTTAGTGGAGGCACAGGATGGGATGTTGACTGCCGTTGCGGGACTGCATGCTCGGATCTGCGATGGAAGGATGAGGGAGGTGTTGAAGGCCGTCAGGAGGGCACGTTGTCGGACGGGGGTTCTGCAACACGTCTGGGAAGACGTCAGGTGGGACGACGACTGTCAACAACCTGTCGGATGGAGACTGGATGTCATGAAGAAGCTGGTGCCTAGGGCTTGGTGAACTGAACTCACGCTAATGACGGAATGACCGAGATGATGCATTGTAGGACCTGTAAATGATTTTCCTTTCTCCCCTCACTGGGTATCTTCTCCCCCTGTACCCATCTCTGTATCATGTTTGTACATATCTCAATCTAGAGCGAGGTGACAACATCACCTTCTACCTCCGGCCTGTCTCACTTCACCCCGCTATTCACCGTCTCACCCGTACGGCCCGAGAGAATAAGCTGAGACTAGACCAGACAAGCTGACTAGTGACGACCCAGGCACTCGCTCGTGCCCCTCCATCCATCCGTCCATGCTTCCTCCCCCCCGCCCTCCATCTCCTTCCAAATGCATATATGCCCTCCTCCCATCCTCGATCCATATATACCCCCACCACTCCTCCCCGTCCTCCCCCACTGCCCACTGCCCACTGCCCACTGCCCACATCCTCCCATCACATCCGGCCCCTCTTACCTCTCCCTCCCTCCGTCACCCACAACCACCGCAATCACAAAGAAGAACAATGGGCGCCGGAACCTCCTCACCACCGGCGTACCAGTGGACCTGCTCCCACTGCAACCACAAGAACCCGATAACGACCCAGACCTGCGCCAACACTGCGTGTGGGAAGCGGTGTCCGGATGGAGAGTTCGTAAAGCACGTGGCGAAGGCCAATGAGGCGGCTATGCTGGGGCGGTGGGGCTAGCCGTGGGGTGGAAGGGGTGGAGGATAGACGTTTGCGGTTATCTCTGGAGGGGTTGTGGGGGAAGGGTGGGGTGGGGGAGGCAGGATCGATAAGCGGATGCGGATGCGGAGGGTGGATGCGTGAATGGGTGGGTGGATGCGTGGATGCGTGGGTGGGATTTTGGGATGGTGGGGTGGGATTGTGGGATGGTGGGGGTGGACTGGACCGGTATCTGTTGTTTGTCATTCCTGAAGAAATTTTATATTGCGCCGGATTCGGGCGGTGCGGTGTACTGCTGCTGGTGGTGGATGCTTCCGTTTACTATTATGTTTTCTTCCGGGTCCGACGGATCGAGGCTGTAATACCTCTCCCTCTATACGTACGTACGTACTTGGTACAATGTTCTGCTACATATGTGCCAGGTGACGAATGAAACGGAGTCAAGTCGAGTCCGACTAGAAGGCGGCCGTGGTGTGATGTGATGTGATATGATGTGATGGGGATGTGGTGAGTGCGAGACTTGAGATGGGACAGCCCGGAACGATCGTTGCCGGTGAACCAGCGATCAGGATTCAGCTTCTCACATGCAATCCTTCAAGTACTTACCTAGGTATATGGCGTTTAAATAACCTGGCTGTTGCTGGACTGGAGATCATGGTTGGAACTTGGGGGGAGACCGAACTTTGTTTTCCTCCAGATTAAAGGATATATTGCTCACTCGCTAGTATCCGCCCGTGCAGCAGTCTCCCTCCCACCTCCCGGAATGCTCGCGGTATCGACGGTGACGGCGAGGGACTCGCACGGTTGATTTGTCAAGTCGAGTCAAGTCAGGAGAGCACACTCGTGGGTCGTCATCGGAGTTCCAGACTCAGACTCCAGACTCCAGCATTCAGCAGTCCGGGTATGATTGTATCCGTTTCTGCCAGTCAGACGGACAGACAGGCAGATAGGCAGACAAACAGCCTATAGAATGGGGCGGGCAGATATAGTAGTAGTAGTACATGTTACAGAAGTGAGTAGCACCCAAGCCCAAGGATTACGGTAACAGACTGCGATAAGCACCGCCCTACATACCTTGTACCTGGGAGGGAGGGTTGTTTACGAAGTCTATCACTATTACTACCAAGAATGAGAGCAGTCGGCTGGTGGGCTGGTGGAGTGGGGTACGTGAGGAGCAATAAACTCCGTGGTTAGCTCCGAGATAGGTACAGTGTGAAGCTCCATGGTTAGCTCGGATATAGACACAGCGGCCAAGTCCCGGGCATCCTTTACGGAACGGTTCGTTAAGGGTAAGCTTAATGCATACATGGTGCGTACTTCAGACATACGGTCTTCCGAGTCCTACTAGAGTCTAGTCCTCGTACATACGGACCTACGGACATGCAAGTTACCTTATCCCTGATGGGGTGGGGGGTTCACGACGTGCTGTACCGCCCTCCCGGGGCTAAGCTATGCATACGGACGACCCGCACGGACGAAACATGAAACAATAATGATCTACCCAGGTAGGATACGTGATGCGAGCCGTACTCACAAGGTATCACTCGTGGATATGCATGCACGGCAGCGTGAGGTTCGCCCGGTGAGGCCCGGTGAAGGCCCGAATCCCACACACCGAACGCCAGACTCGCACGATGGTAATACCGCCGAAGGGACGGATGGACGGTACAACAACACGAGGAACGTCTGGGACGACTGGCACGCCTTACTCAGCACTGAGACCGGTGAACGCATGGATGAGCGGTTTTGGGAACTAGGGAGGCGAGCTCAAAGTCCTTGCGGCGCCAACAGTTGAGACTGGCAATGGCAAATGCTCCATCAGTCTACGTACTTCCTCCTACATATCCACCAGAGACATCACCTCATGCTCCGTCAACACCCCCCTCCCCCTCTCCGCGCCGTTTCCCTTCGTCCTTGCAACGAATTCATTCAGCACGGTATATGTACTTAGATATAGGTAAGCCGCAGTTCCTTGTTACCGAGACAGTCACAGTGTAACTCTAGTTAGGGCTGTAGATATCTCTTCAAGAAGTTCCATCCTTATGGCAGCGGCGGTCACCCATCACCTGTCCCATATCATACGATATGAAGCGAGGCGTCGTCATCTCGGCCCCCAACGATACGTCTTTTTCTTCTGGTTGCTTTTTTTCACGAGTGCGGCTTATGTCTGAAACAAGTATGTACGGTGTGGAACATACGAGATCAAAATGGAGGGTACGCAGCACAGTGACTTACTCTATGTACTTCGACTCTTCAGGGCTGACTTGCACAGGCACTTCCACAAAACCCAGCACCACACTTGGGCCAACCATTCGGTAGCTTTCCCATAATACCGAGCTGAACCTCCCCCGGCTCCAGCAACCCAGACGACAGATCAAGGGTCCAACGCCCTAGATCATCATCCACAGGCATATACACCACCACCTCCCGCCCCGATACCGTTACCCAGTGCGTCGGGACAGTGTTGACGGATCCCTGGGCCGCCTTCAATGGCGATTGGTTGGGTGGATTATGGATGTTTACGCTCATCTCGAAACCCAGGTCACAGAGGGTGTCCCCGATGTGGTTTATTCAAGCGAGTATGCCGTAATACTCCGAGCGACGCGGTGGCAGCTAGCCCGGGATCGAGACATGTTCTCGGCTCTCGGCCAACCGGACGAGAAATGGCGGAATAATTGCACCAAGGCAGGATCCTTGATCATCTACCGGCGCCCGGCGGCGGAGGAGCAGCACAGCATGGATCGAGACCCGGGGACGTCACCGTCTGAATACGACCACGGCCACGACAATGACGACGCAGATATGAATAATCACCAGGCTGCTTTGTGGGATCACCGAGACGGTGATACCGATTACTCGGGACCGGGCCAAGCCTGGGTACATCCACCACAAGGGAGCCAAGGTGACTCGGAAGGATCCGGGCGTTCACAGGTACGGTATGCCTGTGGCCCCCAGAGAATGCGGCATAGCAACACATGCTGTGATTCCACTACCTCATTATGTGATTATGCGCATATGCCTTACAGCTGGAACCCGTGTTGGCATTCTTGCAGTTCCGCCCTCACGTTGCAGCTGACGTTTACTTCCAACAAGGCAATTCCCGTATTCGCCCAGTCCCTATATGATGCTGGAGCCCGTCTGGGGAGGATATATGTTCGGGATGACTTCCCAGCCCTGCGCACTCTCCCGTGGTACATCCAGACGCACCCATGGCCACCCAGCAAAAGAAGATTTCTTGAATGGCATGTACCTATGTGCACCACACAAAGAAACGGCTCTCCCTCCTTTTCCCGCTTCTACTTCTCTTCCGGCAAATTGGACGCCGTCCTCGAACCTGCCACAGCGCCTTCCCGTGGAACTGTCCTGCCGATATCCGCGTTCCCGAAGAAGCTCAGAGTAGCCCACCTACATACCTACCTACACCGTCCTTCTACGAATGGCCCAGATACCTGCACCCGTCGTTTCCGCTTCCTCACCCACTTCCTCGCCTCAATCCGTATGATGGCTTACCGTACTTCGCACACAGTCTCCCGCAGCCCTGAAAGAGTCTGTCTGACCTCCGAGCCCCCCATCCACCCTAACCTCCCCGATAGTACCAACAATCCTCGCTCCACCTCCTCCTTATATGTACTATTCAGATAGGGCGCAAGCAGGACATAATTTGCCTCCAGGATCTAGCCGATGAACCTGGCGGTGATCGACTTTTCTCGCCTTGGTTGTTATAAGAATCAAGATGGGTCTCCTGCTTCTTTCTCAACCGGCAGACGTGGATCTTCAAGTTGCTGCATCTCACCCCAATCTCGAGCCATTTCTTCTGTGATTCCCCTTTTAAGTAGCTCGCATCCCCACTCCACCTAACCCTTTCTCCACAGGCTTCATCCGTTGCTTCCATTGACCGCTCATCGCCCGAACCCCGTGACCGGGAACCACAGCCTACGGGCATTCGACCGTAACTTCGGAGAACCGTTGTAGGGCTGGAACTTCTTCCACTACCTATGCGGACGAATACTGCCGGCAGCCATCCCAGCCCTAGGTAGTTCTTCCGATCATATACTCTCCAGGACGGCTTGGGAGCCCGTCCCTCTCCACCATTCTCGCGGTGAATCTCCAGCACTCGGAGAAGACCTCCTTGCTCCTTCCCATGCGCACCTGGTAGCGTTACCACTCTCCTCCGATGCGCATTCCATCTACTTACTTGTCTTCCGGTCTCACCCACCACGGTCCGCAAGCCCTCAGGCCTACGCTGGGAGGTGGATTAGGCGTTACTACGGTATACATAATACAGCCCACGATTAGAGTTCAGTCCAGCACCGATTCAGAGTTTCCGCTTCACCCGCCGTGATGACCATCGCGGCGGAAATCTCCCACCTGTTACCTTACCGTGGGCCGTGGCGCGATACCGACTCCTCCTGCAGGGTTGATGCCGTTTTCCTACCTAGGTGGCCGTAGTTGTTCCCTCCGACATACGGCTTTCTTTTTTTTGTTCATTCATTGATTGCATGCGACCTATCTAGATCATGGCAATATCCTCCGACATACGGCTTTTCGATTCGTTGAGAGAAAACAGAGATAGTCGAGTGACACCCCATGATACGCCGGCTTCATGATTTGTGACTTCCTTCCTTCCTTCCTTCCTTACGTTCTCGTCACTCATGGGATACGACGGGCTATATAGGCTATATATGGGTTATGGGCTATGTCCGGACTCCGGATGTTAGGATCCCATTGCTTTGCTATACGGAACTGGCGGGTATCATAGCTGCTCAATGTTATGGAGCTGTAGAGCTTTAGAGCTGTGGCTAAAGCGAGTGGACACTGGAACCTAGAGGGATTCGACATCATTCGCCACTGGGAGCGCTCACGGTTTCTGGCCAGTTTAATGTCACTTATCCCACTGTTTTCACTGTCCTTGTGGAACGATTTTGTATGCCAATAAATACCACCTACTCATTGTAGTAAGAGTAAGCAATATCAAACGAGAAACGGTAAAACGGAAGAAGAAAACCAGCACAAAACAGCCAGCCAGCCATAGTTAAAGCGACCCAGGTATGTAAGAAATTAACTCGAAGCATATATCATAGAAGCAGCAGGAAAAAGCACACAAAAAACACCAGTAAAACAACAAAACGCAACCATTCACCCTACACCCAACATAATCCACCAATTACTGAATCAACGCCAACAGCATATCCCTATAATGCCCACTAGTCTCCCCGCGAATCCTTTTGCCCAGATCCTTTCCGTACGTGTTCCTGTACGTAAGCTTCACGTTCTCCAGATGCCTCTTATTCCAATGAATCCTAACGACGCGCATGATCAGATGATCATCCTTTGTGCCGAAGCCCTTCATCGCGGCCTCGAGGAGGTCTGCATCGCGCTTTGCCTTATCGAGGGCGCCCTCGATGACGTAGAGGAAGGCGTCGCGCATGTGGCCGGAGAACTCGGAGCGGATCATTTTCGTGATGTCGCCATGGATGCGGTTGTACTCCTTACAGACAGCGCGGAGGTGAGCCTCATTGCTGCGGATGATGATTCCGGAGACCGAGGTTTCATCCGTGCCGACGCGCGCCTTGGTGGCGCCGAACATGACGGCCACGTCGTTGGCGACCGCGCGCATGTCGGGCTGCACCCACTCGTCGGGCTTCTGCACTTTGAGCGCCATGACGAATAGCTCCTCGGTCTTCATGCTGAGGTCGCTGCGCACGGCGGTCTCGAGGCTGCGGCCGTAGCGCACCTGGTACAGCTGGTTGATCGAGGCCATCTCGGCGTTGGTGCGCCCCATGAGCGCTTCGGTGAGCATCGCCTCGTCCGTGCCGATGCCGGCCACCGCCCGGTTCGCCATGAATACGCTGGATTCAATGGGGCCGAGCGCGGTCGCCACCAGCGCCGTGCGGAAGTCGCCGGAGGTTTCCGCCTCGAGCGTTTTTATCAGCCCGCCGCTATGGTGGTAGCCGCGGCGGATGGCGTCGATGGTGGGGCCGTCGCGCGAGGCGAGGACCCGGATCAGCGCTGCGTCGTCGGTGCCAAAGCCTTTGCAGGCTTTTTGAATCGCGGCGACGTCGGCGGTGACATCGATGTGGACGGGGGGTTGGTGGGGTGGCGGGCCGTGGGGCGGGGCATAGCCGTGCGGTTGTTGCTGCGGTGGTGGTGGCTGATGGTAACCTTGCGGTGGGGGGCCGTAGCCTTGTGGGTGGCCCGGCGAGGGTGCGTGGTAGCCTACTTGCGGAGGTGCGTGGCCGTGGGGTGGCGGTGCGCCGTATTGTGGGTAGCCCTGGGGAGGCGGCGGCGGGTAGCCCTGTGGGGGGTAGCCTTGCGGGGGAGGAGCGTAACCTTGCTGTGGAGGTGGGCCGTAGTTCTGTGGAGGCGGACCATAGTTCTGTGGAGGCGGACCGTAGTTCTGCGGTGGGGGGTAGTAGCCTTGAGGAGGAGGCTGCCCGGGGTAGCCTTGGGGAGGTGGGGCACCTTGCTGGCCGTAGTAGGGCTGCTGGCCGTGTGGCGGGGGCGGGGCAAAGTTTCGATCTTGTTGGTACGACATTCTCGACGGACGCTTCTTTTTGCGAGGGAGAGAGTGCGGATGATGATGGTGATGAGGGGTGTGTGTGAGGAGAAAAGGAGTTGGATCTCTCTGTGGAGTGCTTTAAAGAAAGAAGCAGCTGGGCCCCGATCAGTTTTGAGCCAAGTATGACAAAGGGCAAAGCTGATTCAGACTCGACTACTGTAGGCCCACTAATGGCGGGGCTGAGCACTGTCGCTCACTGCCGTGTCCGGCCACCTTTGGTGCGACCTAGTGGGATTCTCCTTGCTTCGAGATCACGCCCCCGCCTTCGCGCCCGTCATGTCTTGCGTAGGGGGGGGGGGTCATCAATTTTATTTCGCATCTATGAGCCTTTGTAGACCACGGCGAACACCAACTACACAACCATCCATATTCCGTCCGCGAGACTAGCTATGCGGCTCTCCCCATTGCCCTACTGGCCCAGGTGTCTTGCGTGGGAGGCGGCTGGTGATGATTGGGCCGTGGGCCGCCGGACCCCAAGCCAGCACCCTCTCCGCAACCAAAGCTATGCATTCGAGTTCGGCTTCAACTTCTTCGCATTCACCCCGAAGTCCTACACACTTCTCTACATGTATAACCACAGTCCCAATCGCTTAGAATCTCACTCAGTCTTAGAAGGCTTCTTCTCCTCCCCTGGCTCCTCCCTGGGGAAGATCAAACCCGTCGGCTACATAACTCATACATACAAAGTTCGCTGCCTTGGACTGATGCCTGATTGATAGTAACTAAGGACGTGCCTAAGTTTGTAGGGCCTTGCATAAATATCCCAGCATCAATTCCAGCTAAACTTCTAAAGCCTAAGTCTTATCCCCGATTAAGCGCCATAACCCCGCCCCCGGCGCCCCGCCCCAGCGCATGGCCATGCTGGCGGACCGGCCGCTACAGTTCACGGACACTGGACAGGCCGCCAAGCGAGGTGGCTATTTGGGAATACGTACTCTGCCTGCTAATCACGATTCACTACCATCGAGTAACATCCTCCATTACTCTCGCCATTGCCGCGATAGGTGGCGCCTGGCCAAGTAGATGTTGCGACGTGTTGTTCAGAAGCCGCCTGCTTCCAAGCCCCCAAGTACTCGCTTCTCTAACGAAGATAGGTACAGTTGGTGGCTGAAACATGGCTGGTGTGGCTGGTGCGGTTGGGCGTGGTTGCGGCTGGGCGCAACGTGTCAGTGCAGATGGGCGTACGTGTAAATAGTGCCCTTATTTTTTGTCGTCCACAGGAGAATTCTGTAGATGGGAGAACACAGTACATCATGGCGCCAGCAATGGCAACACCTAGGCGATGGTGGAGAACGAGAGATGTTTGTGCTGGGAGTGGGTCACCCGTTGGCGGGTCCCCGGCGCCGGATGCCTACATGAAATATCACGCGGTGACAAGATGTGGCTGACAAGGATTTGGGTTTTAGCGCTGTACCTATCTTTGTTGGACTAGCGAGTATAATCCCTCTGTCTCAATTCCCGATTCTACCTCGTCTGCCTCAGGGCAGCTAAGTCTTATCTACATATCCACTGGCAGTAGGGCGTGACTAAAGCAACCAGCCACACCGCTCAGCCCCATTCCAGCCACACCGCCAGTCCCCATTCCATCCAAGCCGCCGGTCCCCATTCAATCCGCTGGTCCCCACTCAATCCGCTGGTCCCAGTCCCCGTTATGGCATTATCCTCCGAAGTTCCAATTGCGATGCTTACCACTTGGAGGTTGGAAGTTCGATTCTGCTTGATTTAGGTTATGTTTAGATATGCAAGGTTGAGGCATCGACACACCTACTGCGCCGACTAGAAGGGGCAACTTGTCAGGTACAGTAGGAGGTATCTACACACAAGTGCTTATGGCGACTCGTCAGCGTGTAGAGTAACTATAGTGGAGTACGAGCCACGCCTTGGCCCTTGTGCAGTGCCACGAGGTATCACTCTGCCAGTCTGTTGGACCGAGCAATCACTTCTCAGTCCTCATCCAACCAGCGCAGCCCGTATGCGACAATAAATCGATGTTCCCTCTCTCTCTCTCTCTTCTCAGTTCTAAATCAATCCTAGTACATACAGGATCGTGAAATAAAAACCGAACAAAAAATAAAAGACACTCCTCAATTCTATTCTATTCTTTCATCCCATCAGCTCCCACACAATCTTATCGTCCATACCAAATACTTATCCCATCCCATCCCATCTCATCTTATAATCGTCAAGCACAGTAAGAGCAGAGCACCTAGAGTAGAGTACAATACGAATAGGTAAGTTCAAGAATACAAGTCAAGTCAATCCAGTACATAAGGACTCAGTTGAGTAGCTATCACCCGTCAGTCCCCCCTTCTACCAATGTCAATGTCAATAACCAATCAATCACCAAAAGTCAAACTTCAAAGCAGAGTCAAAGCAAAGCACGCACAATAACACCCCATGAACTCCTGTAACACATGTAAGTAACGCCTACGCCTAATGGGCAGTCCCAATGCTAGCGCGTCTAGTACTCAACTCAGCCATACTCCTCGTTTCCCTCCAAAACGAGCGCTCAGTATCATATTCCTCCTGCTGGAACCCCGCCCCAACATTAACGTTAACATTAGCATTACCGTCTCCATAAGCGATACACTCGCCTTCGTGGTGGTGGTGGTCATCACCCCCATCAGCCGCAAACGGAACGATCACGCAATCGTTATATGTAGTGTTCCGTCTCTTCCTATCGCCGACCGCGGCGGCGGCAGAGGCACTGGCACTAGATCTCCTCGAAGGCATGGTCTGCGTAGTATTGCTGCGACGGAGCTTGGCAACCTCTGCGCCACTGCCCCAAGAAGCACCCTCGCTGTCCTCCCAGGCAGCCGGTGAGCGCAACGCGCGTACTTTCTGTTTCCGAGAGATCCTGCCAGCGGCCCGCTGGTGTTCCATGGAAGCTTCTGGCTGGGTGTCAACGTCATGCATTGTTGCAATGCTCTGCCGTGGCTTGATGGCCGGCCGATTCGTCGACTCGCCACTGTCCCGTCCAGCCTTGGGAATGGTCTTGAATCCACCGATGCTGACTTTTTCCCGGAGCTTGGCGATGCTGATGGTAAACGACTTCCGTAGGGCTAGGCTACGTGGCTGTCGCTGGTCGGAGTCGCCGAGGTGGTCGAACCGTCCAAGGCTTTCTGCAGTCTCCATGGCGACTTCACGCCTCAATGACGACGTCTGATGTCTTAGGTCGCGACGATCATCGTCGTCGTCACGGAAGATGCTCGAAGAATTGTGCCTCGAGTAGATGTCAATCTGTTGCTGGGCCGTCCTTCCACTTTGTGGAGTGCCCGAGTTGCGACTGGAATAGTTAGCTGGAGGTGTAGAACTCGTACTACCTGTGGTGAGAGAAACCGGTCCGGAATCGGGGTTGCCGGGGCTTTGGATCTCAGAGCTCACACTGGCACTGCTATATTCTCCACTGGTAATCCCGGATTTCACAAAGTTCAGAATTCCGGTGAAAGCACGGGCGGAGCTGGAGCGTTTCTGCGGCACGACGGGCCCCTTCTGGTTCTTCTTCTTTCCGGGAGGGGGGGATTCCATTTGCTGGCCTGGTTTGACCGGAGGCTGGAGCTCCTCATGGACGATCTCAGCGTGTATCTGAGTGAGAGTAGGATTTGCTTGTCCGTTCCAGGGAAAGCTGAATTTCGAGATGTTTGCCGGTTCCTCAACGCTTTTATAGCTGGCAACCGAGCGAGTGCGTGGGATGCAAGTGTCTGTGTCTCTGCGAGCATGTCTCGACGGCATGGTGGTGGCGTGTTGTCCTCGATATGTCGTGTCGGGAACGTCAGGGACGGACTCATCCAAGGATGGGCACTCGGAAGCGTCAGGAGACGGATAAACGGAAGAACCACTGTCGATTCGCTGCTGCATAAACAAGGTACTCTTCGACTGCTTCCTCGAAGGCTGGCCCTGATGCAGAGACCGTTGGCTGAATCTATGGCGAAGTTGCGTTTCGTCCGAAGCAGGTGAGCTCAATACCCGGGGCCCAAACACCGAGGAATTGGACCCGAAGAAAGTGCTGGTGGAAGACTTCAACAGGTTCGGGATCCGTGAGAATAACTCCTCAGGCGGAATAGCCATTACCTGATTGCCGCTAGCACCACTACCGCCCCGCGTCTTTGCTCCTCGTGTTGCGTCTCCATCCAACTTCGGTGGCTCCTTCATCCGAGCTCCTGAAAGAGCAACCCTGTGATGCTTTTTCGCTGACCTGGTAACCCTCGACGTCCGATGCCCTTCCTCTCCCTCGACCACGACGGCTGTAGCCGCAGTGATAAATCCTCCAGCATCCAGATCACGTTCCCGGTGACTCCCTGCCGGTACGGCATCCATTCTGCGATCTAACGACCTATCAGCAGTAGCCCTAGCAGTGACTGTTCGCGAATGATATGAACCCTTGTTTGGTTCAGCGTTGTCCCGTCTGAGATAGGTTTCGTATGCGGCAATGTCTGCAGCCCACGGTGTTTCGGAGGGAGGATTATCCTCCATTCTTTCCAGCGAGTGCTGACTGTACGAATTGAGGTGTACCTCAGTCACTTCAGAGTCCGGAGTAGGAACAGCCGTTGATTTTTTGGCTTTCACACCCATCCTATCCGTTGCCGTCTCAAAGGAGTATCTCCTGCAAGCACAAGTTGTCAGCTAAGCTCACTGTGCTTCTAGCATAGGTAGAGGGGGGGTGTGGGGAAGTACCGATTGTGCATAGTCCTGAACATGGAATCAGCAGCGACAGTCCTCGCACCATTCCGCTCATATCCCCTCATGTCTCCAAAATCGACGGGGCCCCGAATCTCCGTCGCATCGTCATCATAGGCCATCACATCCTCTCCGTACTCCTGCCGCAAGGTAGCCCGCAATCCCGAAATCTCCTGCTCTTCCTGCTCAGCACGGAGGAGCTCGCGGCCCTCGCGATAGAACCTTTCGATGTTTTGTTTCGAAGCTCGCGGACGGGGAACGGAGCGCCGACGAACCAGCATTGGGGCTATCCGCGGAGGCGTCGGGATCATCAGGGGTTTCGTTTTGTCATCGTCGTTACCACAGCATAGGAGGCCCATTGTAACTCGACGAATGACAGCGAGGGAATCGAACAAGCAAAACAATTGGTAAGTAAATCAAGACTGGATTGGAAACCGAGACAATTGAGGGAATTTATCAAAGCAAGCAGGTGGCAAGAGAAGACAGTTGGAGGAGGATGCAGGCCAGTTGGCGAATGAGGAGTGTACGAAGGTGGTGGAGTGGTTGTGGTGGTTGTGGTGGTAGTGGGGGGTAACATAATGTTTCCCTTCACAGTTACACAGGCAGTCCTACAGCAAGCGGGTGGACATAAACTCACGAACCCCCAACCCACATGGCTTTTCGGTTGTAGTTAGAGTAACTGCACTATGGACGCGGACGGTGGAGGCTGGGGCCTAGACGGTCGGGATTGGCGCAGTGGGAGCACAAGAGATACGGTCAGAATGACGATGGTCGGCAGCTATGGACGATCGTAGCAATCCTCGAGGAACTGCTGGCGGAGGAAGAGGGGAACGGCTGGCTGCTCCTCCATATCAATCACAGTCTCACAGATTGATTGATCGCCGATAGACTATTCTCCTACGTCTTTTGAGTTTCAATTCTCGGTTGGTGGGTTACTCGTAAACATGAAAATGTACTTATCCAGAGTTTTTTTTTGAAGTTTTTAGGAATGCAAATCTTCGCTCGAACTGGAGATTCGGGATGAAAAAAAACTGCCAATTGAGAAAGGCTTTATGCCCGACAAAAGGCTGCATATCCGGTCACCAAATGCTGCCACGAATATTTGCCCCGCACCGTTGTGGACCGCCCAGAAAAATATCGAGATTGTTATGGGAATTGGCATTGTGATCGATCCCGATTCGGTAACTGTGTCGCGTGCCCTCCATCTCGTTATCGGCCATGCAGCGACGGAACACTCAGCCATCCACGGTGGTTCCTTGTCCATCCCACCCACCACCACCGCTAGTTACCACCACCACCACCACCACCACCACCACCACCACCACCACAACCACAACCACAACCAGCATCACCACCGCTCTCTTCTTCATGTGTCTTCGCAGACATCCTCGGTGCTGCCCCGCAGGCGCCTTCTCCTCATCTTGACGTCCGTGCCTTCTCGCCTCCCAGATCAGCACAGTTTAGGATGGTTGCTCCGCTCCGGTAAGGTGCTCGAGCAGAGATACACGGCTCACCCGCCTACCTACATGTTGCACTCCTTATCGGTATCTATCAAGTACCCACCTATCACATCTGGGACCCCGCTGGCTTGACAGGCGCCGCCCAATTGCAACCGCCTGGAAAGGGAAATCTCGGGTCCTCCCTCCCTTACCTCCTTGAGAAATATTTGAACCCATAGCCCCCCGTCCGTGAATAAATATGATCGAATAAAATGTACATATCACTTGTCCCACCCCCGAAGTTCCGGCCGCTGCTGCTGCTGCTGCTGCTGCTGCTGCTGCTGCTGCTGCTGCTGCTGCTGCTGCTGCAATCCTCTTATCGTCGCTGGTCACCCCCTCCCTAGAGCAGACCTCCTCACTTCCCTCTCGTCCTCCTCCTCACCTTCGTCGTCGCCGCCGTCGTCGTCGTTGTCGCCAGCTCCTCCTACCTATCCCGTAGCTATGGTCCACGCCGGTCTATTACTAACCGCCGCCGCCCTGGGATGTGCCGTACCTTGCATCGCACCGACCATACCGACGGAACACCTACATAGGACGTGGGTTGGGGGGTCGCAACATGACGACATGCCGTTGCAGGTCCAGGCGCATCGCGGGGGAGCCGGAATGCATGCGGAGAGTGAGTGACCTCCATCCATCCATCCATCCATCCATCCGGGGTTCATCGGCGGCGGCTTGGATGCTAACTAGTGGTTCGCAGGCACGCTCTACGCTTTCGCATATGCGCTGGATATTGGCGCCGACGTCGTCGAGATGGATGCCGTAAGTACATACATACATACATACATAGCATCCTGCAGGCCTCTGGCCCGTTCCGTGCGGTGGCTGACTTGGTGATCTAGCTCTTCACCAAGGATTTGGTTGTGCGTCTTCAAGTTCCATCACGATGTACCGTGGCCCCGCGCGCAGTGCTGATGTGTCTGCGAGCTGTAGCCAGTGGTATGGCACGACTTTGCTATCGAGCCGGATAAGTGCTTTGACACGGTTCCGGGAGCAAACTACGTTGGGAAGGTACATCTACCGGTGGCGGTGGTATCACGACGCAGTATTGACGGCGGCGGCGAGTGTAGTTGATCGCCAATTTGACGTTGGCAGAGCTGAAGACTCTTGACTGCGGCAGCCAGCAGTCGGAAGGCCATACACAGGCGAAGCGTAAGACGCACACTGCCTGAGTAAACGTGGAGACTGACCAACCTCGCCAGTCTACCCCGGCGCGCAGGTGCAGACTCTAGAAGAAGTCCTCGAGTTCATCAACTGCTACGGAGACGAGCACATCATGATCAACCTTGAGGCACGGCCGCGCCCCTCCCCCTCTCTTCCCCTCCACTGACCCTTTTAGACGAAAGTCGACATCCGCTTCCCAACCTTTACGCCTCCGGTAGAAGTGTACATCGAGCGCCTCGTCCCGGTGCTGAAGGCGCACGGGTTCTTCTCGCGCACGATCCTGGCGTCATTCGACTGGCGGTCGATCGTGGGGATCAAGGCGAAGTTCCCGGAGGCACGGGTCGGCGCGCTGATCGACGAGACGCTGGTGGACATGATCGAGGGGATATGGGGGACCGATTGGGTCACGGCCGCGCATGCCACGGGCGCTGAGGTCGTCTGCCCCCACCATGGATCACTCAATTCTTCGGGCGAATACGGCGGGACGGTGAGGCAGCGCGAGTACGTGCCGTTTACGACGGGGGAGGTCGTAATGAAGGCCCATACACTGGGCATGATGGTCGTGCCCTGGACCGTCGACGACGAGAGCACGATCGAGAAAGTCATCCGCGACGGCGTCGAGTAAGCCAGCCCGTCCCCACCCCCCAGCACAAGCTGACAACCACCGCAGCGGCGTAATCTCGAACTACCCTCTCCGCGTCGGCGTCGTAGCCCGCCACCTCAACCTCGACCCAGGAATCGGCACAGGAACCGTCAAGCCCTCGAGGTCGCAAGCATCGTGTCTGGCAAAAGCGGCGTTTGCCGCCCAGAGTTGATGACTACGGTAGGTATTGCATTGTGTTTTTTATAGCAGTGCTGCAGTGCTACTTTTGACATTGGGATGGGATGGGATGGGATGGGACGGCGATTGGCGTCTTGTTGTCCCCCCGGTCAGCTCAACCTGACTCGACTTGATTTGGCTTCGCGGATGGGATGGGCGGGAGATGGGGATGGGGGATGGAGGTGGTGAGGGGGGGTGAGGGGGTGGGGGGAGGGTGTGTGCTGAGTAAATGAGGGCAGTAATGGAAGGGAGTGATTGTAAATAGAGTACTGTTCGCCTGCACGACATAATACACCATATGCCACTATCAACTACCAGTGTGATATGCGACTCGAGTTTGGAAGTTGGAATACAGACATGATCACTCGGATTCATCGGTCAATCAGTCAACCGGCGGTTCAACTTCAACAGAGTATCTGGCATCTACTAGTACTAGTAGACATCATGGCAATACACATGCACACACACTGTGTCAATGGCCAGTCTACAGTCCACTGTCCAGCTCCACTTTTTCCAGCAACGTCAAGTGACCCGACTGCCCTGGTCTGTTCCGTGGCGAAAGTCCTGCCTTAAACACACACACAGGCAGTTTGTCGTTCATTCATACGTTATCACGCGTCTGCCTACCTATCCTAGACTAGCTCCCATCAGCCTTGGCACTACCGCAGACTTCTCCATATCCCCATCTTGTATGCAGTACCTTTCTCTTCTCTAAGAGCCCATTCGGTGCGGACCGTATCTATGAACCGACGTAAGCTCAGGAATACAGTCTACTAGTGCGCAGAGACTTGGCGCCTAGCCATATCAAATATCTGTTCGGCAACACCACTTTCTCCGTATCTTACATTCGACAACCTCTCTACGCCACACTGTACTATACTACTTCCAGCCCAGGTGAAACTTGAAACAGTTAGTAAGAGGGCGCGCAACAGACACAGCGACGCGACGACAGAACTACACCACCGCCTCTACTCAACTACTTTCTCGGGCCCTTCTCCTCTTCCCAAGTCTGTCCTCTCTACTGAATCGTGTCCTGGTGGGTGAAAATGTTGAGGCAGAGACAGAGATACCGTACAGGTGACGGACATTGAGGGATAGCAATAGGAGGAGATAGGGGGTCGGAAATGGGAGATAGACAATGGGGGAAGATGGCAGGCAGTGAGCAGCTTGTATATAGAGTAACTAAATTCTACAGCCCACAGCAGTGCCCAGTCCACGGTGTGTTCGCCTACTCAATTACAGTGTAAAGTTCTATCATCGCGTCGAGAACATTGTTAAAGGTACGGCTGATCGTGTCGCCATACGGTTGGACGCGTTCTCGCCGACGATTTTGAGAAATATCGCAAGCTGCTCTTTCACTAACATATACCGCGTCGGTTGGAGGTAGCCGTGATTGATATTTTCTGGGGTGAAGAGACTGGGACCGGCGGACATTATGGATGTTGTTGTACGGGTTCAGGGGATTTGGTGACGAATGCCAGCATCGTCTATTTTTTGGTGGAGGCTCAGAGAAATACGCAAGAAATACGATGTGGCTGAGTTTTAACGGTCGTATTTTCTAAAAGACGTTGCGCTGAACGCTCAGCACATCTTTGAACCGACGTAAGCTCAAATTTGTGTGGTAGCTACCGGATACGGTGCGGTACCGAACAGGCTCTAAGCAATCTATCCATCTACCATCGTATATCTCCAACACAGTTCACCTCCGATATCCGAGTGATTCCGCGTGAGTGGCAGTAAGGTTTCAACCTTTCAGGGCCCAGTCCGACGCGTGGGCACCCGGCGGGAAGTGCGTCACGAAGGATCCCGCAGCCCCGGTGATAGTGGGTCACCCGGGGTCATGTTCGCTTGCAAACAGCGATGGGTCAGGGATCGGATCGGATCATGTACTTATGCATGACGATTCACGTTTTCACTTTTTTCGTGTCGAGAATCGAGAATCGAGATGGGTGATGGCCGATAAAACCGAAGCAAACCCCGGAGTGTGAGCTCGAGGGATATGTATACTGGGTATACTAGGTATATTGAGAGTCTGCAGGCTCCGGTCAGTTGACAGCTCGGGATCAGAATCGGGGAGGGATGGGCGCTACCCACTGATAGTACCGTAGTTGCCCACGAATCCAGCTCTCCTTAATATATATACCCAGCGGGTCTTGCGGAATAGGTGGTGAAGGAGGCCCGTTTCGAAAGAGTGGCGGCTCCGACGCTTTATCCACGACGGGTATGCACGCGTTCTTCTGGAATGGCAGGCTGGCCACGCGGCTAACTCAACAGTTAACTGGGTTAATCAATCAATCAATCAAAACGTGGCCGGGAAACTCTCAAACTCTCAAACTCTCAAACACGTTATTTCTGTCGTTCGGCTCGCCAGCATCTCGGAGGCTGCTGGGTAGAGTACCATAGAATAGAGTACTGTAACAATTATTGACAAATGGCGGGGGAAGGATAGTAGATACGGATAAACAAAGTCCCGGGTGCGCTCGATTGAAGTCGAACGGGACTGCAGAGGCCGGGCGGACTGGCTGCCCATGAGGTGGAAATAGAGTGCCTACCTCCGGTACTCTAGATTCTTAAGCTTATAGTCAGCGTCGGTGCCTGTAAGCATCTAGAAGACCTACCCAAGGAGGTAGGTACATACCAAACTTGCCTACTTGCCATGGGCACACCCCTACGCATTGCTGTATCTCTCCGAAGACGAAGAAGAAGGAGAAGGAGAAGAAGGAGAAGAAAAAGAAGAAGAAAAGAAGAAGAACTCCCCACACCATACTCTAAACTCAGACGTACATACCGCCGAGCCCCCAACATCCAACCTCCAACCTCCTCCTCCAGATATCTCCGAACTTCCCCCACCGCCGCGGCTATTTGCCGGGCTCCTCGTGATTCCCCGGCCGCATCGTCTGCCTCGTAACTGCCTAACTCCTCCTCGTACCCATTTTGAAGCTTGAGTTGCATTTGCAGTGGGCGTTTTCGCTTCCCGCTGCAATTGGCCCTCGCGGGCGGTCTGGGCCGCCCTTCCCCGCCTTCTCCGCTGCCTCCGTGTCGCACAGCAGCTGGCTGCAGTGTATCCTGTCCTGTCCCCCTCGACCATAGTTACATACAATACATGTTAGTACGATCACACCGGTCTCACAGTCAAAGAAGTCCGTCCGTCCGTCAACACATACCGTACTCGATCCATCCTGCCGTGGCGCAAGCGAGCGAGCGAGTCATGTTGCCAGCACCTGGACGGACAGGATTCAAGTGCGCTGGTTAAATTGGAGGAACGGCCCCGCCTGCTGCTGCTGCTGCTGCCGCCGCTGCTTGCTGCTTGCTGCTGCTGATTCTCGCGATCCTTCGTTTCTGCATCCCATCCATCCATCCACACACACACACCTGCTGGGATCTGCGTTCGCCAGGCACTTATGACTTACATTATTATTGCTGTCTAGTATCCGTCGTCTACTTTACCTATAAAACCCCCGAAGTGTCAATCCCGGTCCCTTCGCTTTCCACGCATCGCCCTCTTCGATACTCGACCGACTGCCCGACCGAAAAGCGAACAGCTACACTCCCGAAATACACACCCACCCCGGACACGGCCACTCTTCGTTGCCATAGCCCACCACAACCGTCGCATCGTTGCCGAACCGAAGCCCCCCGAAACACTGCCACGCCCGCCTACGCCCACGCACACGCCGCCCATGCCGACTACATTGCTTCTCGAGAGTCTTCCGTTGGAAGGTATACATCCCAATCCGCACCCCTGGGGTCCAACCTGACCTGAACAGCTGGGTTGGGCTGCTGAGTAGCTTGTCTGCGGTTGTCGTTGCATTTGCAGCGGTAATTCCAATCCCTCCTCCTTCTACTCCTCCTCCTTTACCTCTACCTTTACCTTTGCCGCGGCTACAAAGCAAAAAAATCGCACACCTGTACATAACTACTATGTACTCTACAAGAGCCTCACTAACCGAGTAACTCCACGCAGTGCTCCACTGCGTTCTATCGAGTCTCACCGCGTCGGAACTAGTCCGCGTTCGGTCGACGTCGGTGCGGCTTCGCGACCTGGCCACGGCGAACATCCACTGGCGGCGGTGCCTGCTGTCCGACGTGGTGCCCGTGTTCGCAGCGCTGAGCGACGTGGCGGCGATCCCGCCGCGGACGTGGTCGTTCTCGCTGAGCCACGACGGGTGGTTCCGCGCGTACCGCGAGCTGCAGCGGGTGGCGCAGGAGCCGTGGTTGAAGCGCGACGAAGACCTGATCGGCGGGCCGTGGATGGTCTATTTCAAACACCACCTGGAGGATCGCGACCTGGTCGGCGTAGAGGATCCACACGCCCTGATCGAGTTCACCGCCGAGAGACTCGCCGTTTGGGTCTCTGGCATACCGCTGCATAATCGCCGCTGGTGGCTGCAGGAGGATGAGGAGGGCGTGGTCAAGATGCGAGGTTTGTGTGCTCCCGCCGGCGAGGAGCAACACTATCGACGACGAGGGACGACTTGCTAAATCCTAGCTGGCAGTCACCGCATACCCGCCCAACGAGCCGGGACGCGAGCCCATCTCGCTCTGCCGGAGCCTCGAGCATTCCACGGTCCTCATGGTCTCCGACGCACCGGAGTTTTTGGACGCGCTTGTCACGCTCAACGACGAGATATTGGACGAGGCGGCACGCACAGGACAGATAACGCCAACGGAGTTGGCAACGCGGCAGAACGCCATGCTGGAGGCGAAGCAGCTCGTGCCGTCCGACTACGAATCGAGACACCAGCGACTGCGGCTGTCGCTCGGCCTCGGAAGGGAGGTTCTAGACGATGATGACGAGCCGGAGGATGAGGTAGGTGCGTACAACGTTGCTGTTGCTGTTGCTGTTCAGAGGTGCTCTCCGGGCGGTGAGATGGCCGGTGTTGCCCTGCTCGAGGTGGGTGGTGGGGATGTTGTAGTTGGTGGGGATGATGCAGTCTGATGATCATGTTTTTTGAATAGATACACTGATGCCTTGGTTTTTTTGAATCAGGTTCCAAGTGATGGCTCGGTGGAGGACTTTTACGAAGACTCCTACTACGAAGATGGAGATGGGGAAGATGGGGAGCTTGGCAACGGCAACGGCAACAACAACAACAACAACGACAACGAAGACGAAAAACGCCACCGGCGGACGAGCTCGGGCACTTGGCACGGTACCTCGTCAATGAAGATGGATTTTGCATGATTTGGAGTGGGGGTGTATATGTATGTGTGAGGTGTATGCGTGTGTGAGAGGCGTGCGAGAGAGGCGTGTTGTGTTGGCTGGGGTTATATCAATATGGGAGTCATTTGGGATCGTTATCGCGATGTGTCGATATAAGGCTCCTCTGTGGGAAGGGGCAAAGCATTTAGAGATTCGGAATCGACGTCGAATGACATGGGATAGTGAATAATTGTGGGTGAAACGGCTTGTATGTAGATCACAAGTGAAGCTGCGTTGAGCTGAGCCTTCAACTCCTCGATGCCGCAGTCGCCTTCGGACATCTTCCTGATGATAGACAAAACTGTACCACACTTCTCCTTGCTACCTATTACCTAGTAGTCGCGACGAGTCTGTCTGCCTGTCCTACGTTGTAGACTGTAGTACCAGTACACCACTAGGGGTTCACCTACCGGGGTAATAGCGTGGGTAAGTCGGACCACCGTTCGATCAGCTGAAAATGTATGTACCTAATGTGTGTAGATGTCGATCCCCCCCCCATTCCCCCCCTCCCCCATGCTCGAACACACTCGGTTCCAAACTGTCTGAGACTCTGAGACTGTTCCAGGTAACAAGTATGCATAGGTATGCATAACTGCAAGTCGGTCACTGCATCGCTGCGTCGATACGGGGTCGTCGGGGTCGGTCGGTCATGGAATGTCACTTCAGCTTCTGCTCTGATATGTATGATGTAGGTAGTGAGTTTCGCGTGTGTGTGTGCATCCTGCCATGTATGCACCTACCTACTCTACGTAAAGTGCACATCTGGTCTTTCGTTCTACTCAGATCAGATCGTTGTCTTCGGAGACTTCCTTCTCGTCTTATACGAATCGTCACATGATTGGTCGATCATGGGCGGTTTGACTGCCTCGGCTACATACCCCAGAGTGGGTAGTGCTGATATCTATCGATACCTATGATCACCGAACAACAAACGCCCCCAGCCGGCGCCCCCTTGCTCGTGGCCAGTGGTCACTTCTGGCGGCGTGGCTGGACTCTGGATGGTCGGCGGTAACACTGTAACAGTGAGTGACCATGGCTGTGACAGTGGATGACTGGTGTTTGCTATAGACGACTCCATCTTGTTTTTGATCTGCTCTTGAGAGCAAATACAGGTGCGCAAAGATTGACGTAGACGTAGACCTGGTGTTGTTGCGGTTGCTGCCAAGCCCGTTCCCACTGCTCGACGTACCCAACACCATAATCAAACCCAGCGATTAACCCGCCCATAGCAACCATTGAAACCGACTAATCGGCAAGCAAGCAAGAAGCGACGAACGAACGAGCAGGCATCAGTCAACGGGTGGCCCTCTCCCCCCCGTCCCCCGTCCCCCGTCCCCCGTCCCTTCACCAGCGACCATGCCTATCCCCCCAACCTACCGCTCCGCCGCCGTCCGCCTGCTGCTCCGCAACCCCACCGTCTTCCGCGCCGCAGCTCCCCGTAACCGTTATGCTCTGAACGTGCTACGATCTTCTCGATCATCGTCTTCATCTGCTTCATCTTCGTCTGCGATACCCTCCTCGTCCGGCCAGACCCCGACCCCAAGCGACGGCGGTAGTGGCGGCTCGTCCATGAACTGGCGCAAAGTCACGGTTGCTCTACTCAGCGGTCTCATCTTGACGGGGGCCTGGTACTATCGCGACTCCCTAACGGCGCTTACGCAGCCATCTCCACGTCGCGAGCCCGTCGCCCTCGCCTCCAGTTCCACCTCCACCTCCACCTCTGCCGCCGCCACCAATTCAAACGCAGCACCCGCAGCGTCTCCCGAAGGAAAACGCATTCTGGCGGTCGACAACGCGGGGATCTACACGGGGACGCAGCCGGCGTCTGTGCCGATCAGCAAGGAGTCCGCGTCTGGACGCAAAGTGGTAGAAATGCTGTCACCGGAGGAGGCGACGAAGAAGCTGCGGCGCAATGAGGAGAGCTACCTGGTAAACCGCGGCCGCGGCGTCTTCCGCTACGACGTCGTGCAGATCCCCAGTAACGATCCCATCGAGGATGACCACGCTGAGAAGATAATCGAGATCCCCGAGGCCGCGGTGACGGAGGAGGGGGTGCCGGGCAGCACCGATTGGATGTTCTGGGGTGTCTTCGATGGACACTCGGGGTGGACCACCAGCGCGAAGCTGAGGCAGGTGCTCATCGCGTTTGTGGCCAGGGAGCTGCACGCAACGTATAAGGCGGCTATCGCGGACCCGTCGCAGAAGGCACCCGCGCAGGATGTCATCGATCAGGCGATCAAGAACGGGTTCATGAAGCTGGACAACGAGATTGTGAACGAGAGCGTGGAGAAGGTGTTCAAGAGCTCGTCGAAGCTTGTAGCGGCAGAAACGCTTGCCCCGGCGCTCTCCGGCTCCTGCGCGCTCCTGGCGTTCTACGAGTCTCGCTCGCAGATGCTCAAGGTCGCCGTCACGGGCGATAGCAGGGCGGTGCTGGGCAGGATGGGCCAGAACGGGAAGTGGACGGCCACCCCGCTGTCGGACGACCAGACCGGCTCCACCAAGTCGGAGGAGAAGCGGATCCGCGCGGAGCACCCGGGCGAAGACGGCGTGATCCGCAACGGCCGTGTGCTGGGAGGACTGGAGCCGACGCGGGCCTTCGGCGACGCGTTCTACAAGTGGTCCTACGAAACGCAGACGAAGCTCAAGAGCCAGTTCTTTGGCCGCAATCCCCACCCGCATCTGAAGACGCCGCCGTACGTCACCGCGGAACCCGTCATCACTACCACCAAGATCGAGCCGCAGAACGGCGACTTCCTGGTCATGGCTACCGACGGATTGTGGGAAATGCTCACGAACGAGGAGGTCGTCGGCCTCGTCGGCAAGTGGATCGAGGAGCAGAAGGCGGCGGCGGCGGCGCAGGCGGCTGCGCAGGCGGCCGGAGCTAGCAGCAATAGCGTTCCCGCTAACGGCAAGAAGAGCGCGGGCTGGTTCGGTGGGTGGTTCGGCGGGAAAAAGGAGCCCGAGGTCCTCCCGGTCGAGGAGAGTCAGGCCGAGGACACCTCCGGCCAGCGCGCTCCCGTGAGGATCCGCCAGTGGGGGGTCAAGAAGGAGGACGAGAGGTTCGTCTGCGAGGATAAGAACGCGGCTACGCACGTCGTCAGGAACGCCCTCGGCGGGAAAAATTCGGAGATGCTGTGTGCGCTCCTGACGCTTCCGAGCCCGTACTCCAGGCGTTACAGGTATGTGTCTTTTTCTTTTTACCATCTTCAAATAATACCGGGTTCTAACCAGATGTTACAGGGACGACCTAACCGTCGAAGTCATCTTCTTCGGCGAGGGCGACAAGAGCGGCAACGTCGAGGTCAACGAAGAGGCCACGGCAATCTCCAAGCAGTCCCCGCCTCCCAAGGACCAAAAGAAGGAGAAGGACAACAACAACGGCGAGGTCGTCAAGGCCAAACTGTAGAGCCATAGCCCGTACTGCTATATAGTGGAGAGGTCGGTGGATAGCATGGCATGGCATGGATTCGTTCAAATCAATTTGGGAACAATAACACTTCGAATTCATAGAGGGACCGGACCATAGATTCGAAGAGATTGGCATTGGCAGTTTCGTTTCTCGTATCTTTTTTTCCTTTACACTTGTTCTTTACGTTTTGTTTGTTGGTTTGTAGATGACAGGACAGGACTTACTTACGCATGGATGGAAGGAAATGGATGGGGGATGGGGGTGCGGCGGGATCGGACTGGACTCTGTTGCTTGCTTACTTGCTTGTGCTTGCTTGCTTGATTGATTGCTTTCCTTTGCTTTCCTTTGGCGTTCGACGGTTCGAGAGGTTGTTAGTTTGATATTACATACTTGCACGAATTTCTTTGGTAGCCAGTGTCGACATGTTGACAATCCCATGCGTGAAAGTCGCAGTATGTAGTGGGTAGAGAGAGAGGGAGGGAGCGAAAGTATCAATTGCTTTGCATATAGCCTTTCTAGCATAGACTATTATGGCGAACGTTGCATGTACAAACTCTACATGTTGAGAACTTTCTTTCTTTCCTCCCTCGTGAGTGACTCTCGATGCGGCTGAAAGCAGCATTTACCATGCTAGTAGCGCCACACCTCTCACCCTAGCGTAAGGGCTCAACCCCCCTTTTAGCGGAAAAATCCCAGTCAAGGCCGGCGGCCCACAAACCCACAAACCGGGTGGTGGGCCAGGGTGCCGCCAGAACATCAACGAAACGCTTGGGAGCTAAATCGTAATATCGCGAGAGCAGCCCAAAACGACAAACCCCACGCACGACCCCACGACCGACCGACCGACGACCGACCGCCCGACAGATCGACCGACCGCCAGTTGACGCTACACGAGTCGCAATCATGTACGTGTTTTTTTTGTTTTCTCCCGAAGCTCTAGGGAGGAGGGAGGGGAGGAGGAGGGGGGTGCGCGAGTTGGAGGGTGGCGGAGGCGGGAATTGGGTTGGGGGGGAAGAGGAGGGGGCTATCTAGATCTGGGGATTGGGGATAGCTGTCCTGCCATTGTGTTGTGATAGCGAGGGAGGGAGGAATGGAGGACAGTTAGAGGGCATGGGCTGATGTGCATTGCTCCGTACAGGCTCATTCCTAAGGCCGACCGCAAGCTCATCCATGAGTACCTCTTCCGCGAGGGAGTCCTCGTCGCCAAGAAGGACTTCAACCTGCCCAAGCACGGCGAGATCGACACCAAGAACCTCTTCGTCCGTCCCACCCAGCAGCTCTCTCTTTCGACAGATGGATGGAATAGGACACGTCCGCTAACACCAGCGACAACAAATAGGTGATCAAGGCCTGCCAGTCGCTCACCTCGCGCGGCTTCGTCAAGACGCAGTTCTCGTGGCAGTACTACTACTACACTTTGACGGAGGCCGGTCTCAGCTACCTCCGCGAGTGGCTGCACTTGCCCGCCGAGATCGTGCCCGCCACGCACGTCAAGGCCGCCCGCAACAACATCCCTCCCTCCGGCATGACCGGAGGCGACCGTCGTCCCCGCCGCGAGGGTGGTGACCGTGGCGACCGCGAGGGCGGTTACAGGCGACGTGATGGTCCCGGTGGCGCCGGAAAGGAGGGTGGAGCTCCCGGAGAGTTCAAGCCCGAGTTGTGAGTTTCCTCTCCCTGTCCAACCCATCTTTTGAAAACAATGGAATACTGATTTTGGTTCAACAGCCGTGGTGGCTTCGGTCGTGGTCGCCCCGCTCCTGCTGATGCTTAAGCGTGCGGTGGCTGTGGCTGTGGAGATCGGGCGTGGGACGACGGGACTGGCTTTTTTTTTCTCTCGGTGATGGTTTCGCAAATGGTAATCCAAAAAATCAACTTCGCGAAAAAATAAATGAAAGAAGTCATCGGAACACTGGGGACCAGACCATCATCATTTCCATTGCTGCGCAACGTGACGGGGAGTGACAGAGAGGGACGCACGAGCTGGAGCGGGATATGAGTAGAGCTCGATCGGAGCTGGGTGCATATTATATACCTACGACGTCTTGAGAATGTTCATTCAATGTTCAATGTTCAAACAAAAATGACTGGTAGATTTACCCTCCGCTCCCCTCCCCTATCATCTATGTAGAGAAGAAGAGAGTACAGCTGGTACATACGGTATCTTCGTCACGTCACGTCTATATACCTACCCAAAGACTGGAGTGATATTCCTTCTCCTTCTCCGCAACGGTGGTACTACCGTAACCCACGATGCAGTGATGCAGCTGTACGTAGAGTAAAGCTGATCTGCCCGATCGACCGCATCCCACAATCTCAAAAACCCAAAAGCCCAAAAGCCCACCGCCGAAGCTGTTGCTGGTGCACTGGTGCTGTGCAGCACTCACTTGCCCACTGCCCACCTCTCAGTGGCTATCACCTCCCCAGTTCTACAGTTCTAAAGTTAGGGTCGAATTGAGGCACGCCCTTCTTCGTCACACGTTCCAATTACTTGCGAACTCGAACTTGAACTCGAATAAACTCGAACTCGCACCTGAGCGGACGAACCTGGAAGGGACGACGAGACCAGAATAGGTAGATGAACCTGGCAGATACATATACCTACAGCAATACAGCAAGGAAGCAATGGGAGAGTGAGTACCTAAGAAGTAGTACCTAACAGTAGATAACAATAATTCCACGACGAGACGAGAAAAGACACATAGACACACGACACGACAAAAAAAAGAGAACATAAAATCAAGTCAAGTCATCCACCCAGCAGCAGCAGCAGCAGCAGATCCTCCTTGTGCTTGTGTTGGAAATTCGAAACAAATGAATAGAAAACAAGAAGAAGAACAAGAATAATCAGAAGAACAAGGACAACAAGAACAAGAAGAAGAAGAAGAAGAAGAAGAAGAAGAAACATAGGTAACAGAGTCGGCACATTGTCGCCAGCAGCTCCCTCCTCCCCACATCGAATCGAAACTGAAAACTAAAAACTAAACCCCTCAACGCCAGAAACAACGACGAAAACGCGCTTGCTTGCCTTGCTCGCGTAAACTACTGTAATGACCGAGTATGTTGTATATCTGCGTGTGTGCATGCGTGTGTATGCGGGGGAAAATGAGGAGGAGGTGAAGGGGAAGGAGGGGGGGAATGGGGGAAGGGGGAGATGGGGGATGTGGATGTAGATGTAGATGTGGATGCGTTTCGTTTAGAGCATGTGCGTGAAAATACGGCCCATCTCATCTGATCGGTCTGGTCAACGAAGAAGAGTAAAAAGAAACCTCCTTTCCGCGCGCCACACCATGCCATGTCATTTCATCCCAGCGATCCCAACCGATCCCATCCCGCCCCATCCCATCCCATCCAGCCCCGATAAGCTCACGCCTCAGTCTTAGCCTTCTCCTTCTCATCGACCTCGACCTTCTTCTCGGCGGCCAGCTCCTCCTCCTGCTGCTGCTCACGCTCCAGCTCCTCGGCGGTAACGGGCTCCTCGCTCGCCATCGGCGACGAGTGCAGGTGCGTGTGCTCCTTGATGGGCGAGCCGACCTCGCCCGCCTTGCTGCCGGGCGTCGGCGTGCTGTGGATGTGCGGGATGTTCTCGGGCAGCGGGTGCTGGCTGCCGATGTTGGTTACGCCGACGTCGCTGGCCTTGCCGGCTTTCGAGAGTGCGTAGTCGCCCGAATCGAAGTATTTACGTTCCTGTGAGAGGGACGGGGTGGGCTAGTATGCGGAGGTGCACGAGCGAACGGGATTGAGCGTTACCTACCTTGAGCTTGTTCTGGAGGATATCGCGCTTGGACGGGAGTTTGCCGTACAGACGGAAGAGGCGCTGCTCCTCGGCGGACAGCGACTGGATTGCGGTATACGTTAGTTGAGGGGTTCATTGTGGTGGTGGCGGTGGTTGTGGTGGCGGTGGGTTGTGGTAATGGTAGTGGTGGTGGGTTGTGGGCGGGGGTAGGGTGCGATAACTCACGTTGATATCGACCTTGTTGCGCTGCTGGGGGAGCATGACGGGCGATAGCTGTCGGGGATGAGGAATTGTGATGATGGAGATGGGGGGGATTTAGTTTCCGAGGGGGGCGGGGCGACGATGGTGGGATGGTGATGTTGAAGATGGGGAGGGTGCGAAGTGGTGGTTGCGGGTGATGGAGGTGGTGGTGCTGGGTGGTGATGGTTAGGTGCGTTGTTCACAGACCAATCAGTAGCTGGTTGGCGGGGAAGTAGAGAGGGTGGTGGTGGTAGGAAGAAAGAAAGACCCACGCGCTCACTGCACCACCAAGTCAACCAACCACCGACTCTACCCTTCGATATACATTGTACACAGCACCAATAAGCAAGAGCATTGTATTTATTTTTTCATTTTTTTTGGTTGCGTGCTCCTGCTCCTGCTCCTGCTCCTACTCCTACTCCTGCTCCTACTGTTGTTGTGCTTTTAGCCGCCCGAATCAATGAATGAATGAACGAGCATGCTGAAACCGGGTTCCGGGAAGCTGTTATTGGGCGGGACGCGGACAATGACGAACGATTATGACGGGAGGGGGGAAGGAAGGGGCGCCGGGCGTGGCAGCAGAGACATGTTCCTTGAGTTCTAGAATAGAATATGATCGGGACCATTACTTTGAGCCGGAGAGATGAGGTGAGTTTTCCAGAGCGGGCACCAATGCCATGCTGGGGCGGCTTCGGGAGACTACTCTATAAGCGGGTGGGAGGGGGTGGAGGGGGGCTCGGGATCTCCGGGGCTTCGGCTCAGATGAGGGGTAAGGGAGCGTACCGAGCCCACAAGATATCACTCGATTGCGTGAAGAAAAACTAAAAACACCCAGTGAAGAACCGGTGATTTCGATGAAGGTTTACATACTTACGGTGTCTACTGAAGTCCATATCCATTGGACTCAATTCCGTGGTATCAATGCGGTTTTCTTTGTGGGAATGCAGGATGAAGTCTTGGTATTCTCACATGGTTTGGGCATTTCCACCCGATACCGTCGCCCCTAAAACGAGTCATCTGGTACATAACGTAAACACTGCAGATCAGGAGTCCATATTAATGTCAGCACAGTACAGAGGCATCCACACTCAATCCACAGCTCTCATTGCCCATTGGAGTGCAACTCGCCAGCAACCCCCCACAAGAATGAGATTACCAGCCAGCCAATCGTCACGCCTCAATTCCGACCCCGTTCGGTAACACGAGTCTGACATCATCCAACCAAGCACCATCGTCGTACATAAACTCGTAGACTCGTAGAACCGTAGGTATGCTTCAGCCTTCATGTAGACTCTCGAAGAAAACATTTTGCTAAGTTTTGCTTGCTGGAGAATCTGTAGACAGCCGTTTCCACCACACGTGGCACGACCGAGCGAGGGTTTGTCCTTTTCATCGTAGCAGTTCGTGTGATGGACATTGGAGAGCGTTTGTTTCCGTGGAAGTCTCAGTGCTCACGACTGGTGTGTTGGACCGAGTGTGTATGTGCTGGTAAAGCGCAGCTTTCCGGCACATACAGGATGGAGACCAGGAAGCCGAAGTTCGAAGTTGGAACACGACACAAGCGAGAGTCGAGACACCGGGTACTGTATGTACCGCCTTAGGTACTCACATCCGAACCTGCTGCGTTCCGAAGAGCGCAATGGTGTCGGTGCTCAGCAATCGGAGAGTACCGGTATGTATTCCAGAGGAACTGCCACGCGGAGCCGGCGGTTTCGGTATCCGCCGATGTTATATTTCCGCGACACCAATCCAGAATCCAGAGACCGATCCTCCCGTATACCGATAGGCAGTAGCAGTATCATTTGCGAGATTAGAGTGGGAATTTGAACGCTGCCGGTAAACAGACTGGTAGGTAGTAGGTGGGAATCTTCATTGAATGTCAGTTTCCTGGTATCTACAAACCCCGCGATTGATCGCGAGCAGGCCAACATACACACATGCGGTACCTCTCACAGTCTCACTCGCCCCCGACTCCAGCTCGCCGCCGCGCTAAGCCCAAGCTGTCCCATTTCGTAACTCGTTTGCAAGCATGTGCGCGCAGTGTTGCTTCGGTTCTCACAGCTGTGGCGATTGCTTACATACGCGCCTATGATGCTGCAGATATGATTAGATAACTCGCCGTCCCAGCTGCAGCCACAGCTCCAGCCGCAGTCCCGCCACGGTTCCAGTCCCGCGCACACCCATCCAGTCACCAGCATCCACCCTACCTAGTACTTACCCCAGGAAGCCCGTCCACAACCCCGGACGCCCCCTTCGACTTCAAATCCATAACACGTCGTGGAAATTGGGATTCGCCACCATGCTTGCTTGCCAACAGCCAGCTGGGGTTTGAGGATGAAAAAAAGTTATCGAAGCGAGCGGCTCGAGCATGCGGGCCTTGTGTCTTGAGTCCTCCCGTTCGCACACTCCGGCTCGAGCATGCATGCACGCAAGTTGAGTCGGGCCTTGTGTCCTTCCCGTTCGCACACTCCGGCGCCGCATGCATGCAAATGCAAGAGTCCGAAACCGCAAAGTTCAACCTTCATTGCGGGCTGCACTGCGGCCTTCGACCTGCGGGCTGCGGGCTGCGCAGCGGGCGGACGGACGGGCGGATGGTCGGGAGGACGGTCACGCAATGTGTGGAGCGAGGAGTGAGGAGTGAGAAGGGAAGGGATCGATCGCCGAGCTCATGGGTGCTTTAGGTATCATACATACCGTACACTACACCGACGACTATGTACGACGACGACGATGACAACGACAGCGACGACAACAACGCCGACGACAACGATGACAACGAGCACATACTACCTACGGTAACTACTACGGTAGAGGACTACGGTAAAGTAGAGCAGTACGTAGCGGCGGAGATGGAGGTGGGACGGAAGAGGGGAAATGGCGGATCTACCGTATACCAACTAGCACCGGCAGACTGTAGTAGAGTAGATATAGTAGATATTCGCCTCTTTGCTCGTGAATCCTGAGGATTCCCGATCTCGATAGATTCTCTACAGATTGATGGATGGATTGATGCGGGATTGATTGATGGATGGATGGATGGATGGGGGGAGGAGGGCGTTGATCACTGCGCCGGGAAACTCTCCCAGAGGATGAATATGCGAAGCATCCAATCGACCGACTGCCCGTATGCGACAATAGATTGCTTCCCTCTCTCTCTCTGTCGGCTACAGAGTATATGTACGGTGACCACTGACTGGTGCCCGCGCGCCCCACGGCCACGGCCGCAACAGCGACCTCGACCGCCCTGACATGCTGTCCTCGTCACGTCACCACCACCTCTGGGCTCGCGCGCGCGGACCACGGGCGGGCCAATCCAACCCAGTCCAGTCCCCCCCCTCATGCTCATGCTCGGAGATACGGATTTCCGCCCGCCTATCGGAGTTAGTTACGCACGCAGCAGTGTCGTATGACGACTGCCATCCATCGAAGGGAAGGGAATACATAGAAGAGGAGGAGAAGAGAAAGAAGGCGCGCCCGACTCCGAGACTCCTTTTTTTTTACATCAATTGTAATTCAATTTGCATTTTCTCCTTTGTTTTTACATCAATTGTAATTCAATTTGCATTTTCCCCTTATTTCTCGTTTTGCCAGCATTCCGTTTTCCAGAGAAGATGTGTCTAACCGAAAAAAGCATGTATCTTCCCAGAGCGGTCGGCCGCCGGCCACACGCGACACCGCACTGCGCAGTGAGCCCAAAGCCTGCCATCTCGTCAGTGGTCAAACCGGCCAGCCCCCCCCTTGTCCGCGTCCACGTGATCGGGGCTCGTCCTCTAGAAAACACAGAAACACAAAAAGTGGATGGTGTCGAGAGAAGAGTCGTGAACTGGAGTAAGTGCTTGGATGCACCATTCAGACTCTGACCATGACGGACCCGCAGAGAGAGACTGCGAACGTAAATGTGTATGGATAGTCTATGTAAAAGCATCTACGGCCAGCGGTGCGCGTCATGATTGGCCCAGCGAAATAGAGTTGTCTCTCCCTTCGCAAAGCAAAGCAAGGCCCCCTCCCCCCCTCTCTAAAAGCACCGACGGCTGATCTGCAACGTCACAACGGGCGGGCGCGACCATGGCCAGAACTTGGCGGGGTCCTCGGCGCATGTCGATCACACGAAAACTTCTCTCTGCCTCGACCGATACCACCGTATGACAGCATTAGAAGTATACTGGTGACTATATATGATACCTTCGCCGATACCTCCACCGATAGTTACTGACCTCTACTACGTCCGGAAACCTGACGTTGGTTGGTCTGCGTCGTCTGCCTCTGAGCGCGCTGAGCACATACGCCACCGTCCTCCCGTCGCCCCATCCCCCCCCGTCGTCCCCGTCGTCCCCGTCGTCCCCGTCGTCCTTGATTGTGGGCGGATACCGGTGGGTGACTAGGAAGTGAAGTACCCGGCATGTAGTGTGGGCTCCCCTTCGTCGTGTGAGTACCCAAGCAAGTAAGTTAGAATTATGCATGGAGTATGTATGTCCTCCGTGCATGCGGACCAGACCGCGCCTCGTACCGTTGGACAATGGACATGCCACTGGCGGTCACGTTGGAGGCGATTTCCATTCCTGCTTCTCCCGAAGAGAATGATCCGCCTCTGTGGTGTGTTGTGCGGCGTGCCTGACATTCTCAGTCCAAGCCAACGATAGTTACTCCACCTCTTCTGTTCTACTCTATACTTTCCCGCTAACCAAGTACGCTCCCCACTGGTCCCGCTGCTCTCTCTCTCTCTCACCACTCGCAGCCCGTCCACTCCTTTGCCTTTGCCTGTGTCTCGCCCTCTCTCTTCTCTCTGTCCGTCTCGCCTCAAACTTCCAGAGACAACTTTCGAAACAGAAACCCACCCGCACACCCACCCGCACTGCAAAGTTAAGCCTGCCCTGCATGCCACTCGCTGCTTAGCCGCTTTGGGAACTCATACTTAATAACCCTCTCCTCCCATATAATTCCACTCTCTCCCCCCCCCCCCCCCCATCCCGCAACACATCCAATACTACCCACTACTCCTGCTCTCGCACGCGACTGTCTCCACCACTCCTGGCACACTGCCTCCGTCAGTGTCTAGAGGCACCCGCGTACTTCGCGCCCTGTCCCGATTCACTCTTCGTGCCTTCACCTCCCCCGTCACCCGCTTTTGCTGTTATCGATAGATACATCCTACCGACCTAAGTACTACTCACTTGGTTACCCCCCTCCTCCGGTTCACCCACCTTTGTTCCGTCCCAACACCAAGAATTCAAAAAGAAAAAAAGAAAGAAACGGAAACCGGAAAAGGAAAAATAAAGAAAGCAAGAGAGAGAGAAAGAATCCGACCCCCAGCAAGGAAACACACTTCCCCCGGGAAGTCGCATAGCAGCTGTCAATCCGACAGCCAGCCAGCAGAAAAAACGTCTTTCACCCTAAGCTATACATCCTTCCACTACACGCCGCGGTAACTCCGATGCCACAGCGGCTCTTCGACCGAATCCAGAGAACGCAGTCCTACAGTCCGAATACATCCACGTCTGAATTCAAACACCAGCACCATGACGATCAGTTGAACCGCCCCATCGCTGCCCCGGCCGTCCCACGACCCTTCACTGCGCCCCACCAGCACCAGTTTTCAAGCTTCAACTGCTCGGAATCCGCTGCCATGGATGGCTCGCACCCGAAACGCTCTGCTCCGAAGGAAGATGAGGCTGGCTCTCTCGAGAAAGTGACAGGTAATACATTCTCTCTCCCCTCTCTGGCCGCTTCGTGAGATGGTGAAACTGACAATTGGTTCCCTCGCAGCTGTAACAGCGCTACGCCCGCCCCTCAAGATGCTCCGCACCGTCAGTTCGTCGAGCGTCTCCAGCTTGGGCTCCTACATGCCTCCCGACAATTTCGCCCTAGTGACCGGAATGGTCTATCGGAGCAGCTTCCCAAAGCCCGAAAACCTGCCGTATCTGAAGAAGTTGGGGCTGAAGACTATCCTGTAAGCTCTTCTTTTTTGGAGGCGACGCGATGTCCTGAGCTTTCCTCTGACGGGATTGCCTGTATAGGACGTTAGTTGGCGATGAATATCCCGAAGCGAATGTCGAATTCTTGAAGGAGAATGGCATCACCCACCATCAGATCGATATGCCCGGCAACAAGGAGAATTGCATCACGCCCGTTCCCGACGAGAAGATCACCTCTGCTCTTCAGATCATTCTTAACCGCAGGAATCATCCCATACTGGTTCACTGCAACAAGGGAAAAGTAAGTTCTCGATGCGGTTGGAATATACGCATCCCTCTCGGATAGAAGCTAACATGAAATCAACTCTGCAGCATCGTACCGGAACGGTCATTGGATGTCTCCGCAGGTTTCAGGCGTGGTCCCCCGCTCTCGCCCTGGAAGAGTATCGAAAATTCGCCGGTTCCAAGAGTCGACCCCACGATCTTAAGAAGATCGAGGCATACCGACTCGAGGCTTGTCTGGACATGGCCTGGGAGCACGACTGGATACCAACAACGTTTCCGGACGAAATCGAAGAGGAAGGATCCGAAACCCCCCTCTCGATCATGTGCCCGGCCGCCATAAAAGCCCAATAGCCATCACCGCGATGAGCAATTGGTTTTGCTCGAACCTTTTTTCCAAGGTTCAATGTGGACGATATCGACAGAAGACCTTTCTGCATTACTTGTCTCACTGCAAAGGCACGACTTCACCGTCAAAAATTCCAAATTCCAAATCCAAAACCTGGTTTCTTGCTTGGTTTTGGTTCTTCTTTTCTAGACTTTTTTTTTTTTCTCTTTCACTTTTACTAAACGAAGCTTCAACGATACTCGGAAAAGTTTCGTGAGAGGAAAAAAAAGTGCGACTTTCTTTCATTTTGGGAACCACACTTGCATCATGCTTTTTTTGTAATCGGAGGGTTCTTGCTAGATGGGATTGGGTTTCTTTTTCTTCTTTTTCCTTCAATGTATATATCTCTGGAGGAGGGAGGGAGGTGTGAGGTCTTCAGGTTCGTCCGGATCCCATCTTTCTTGTCTTGTCTTGTCTTGTCTTGTGTTTTTTTTCTCTTTTTCTTCCTAAATGTTTCCTTTGCATCGGGCCGGGGAGGGGCTTGGGGGCTTTTCCAAAATGTTTTTTCTTTTTTTCTTTGTTTCGTTTCCTCCATTCATATCATCATATCAAAGGCGCGACAAGGCGTATGGAACTGTGCTTGCTTGCTTGCTGGGCTTGGATTGTGTTGGGCTTGTGTTAGGTGGGAAGGGGGCATCGTCATCCTTTCTGTGGCCTTTTCACACTTTTCCTTCACACTTTTCATTCACCTTTAACTACCTCTGGAGCTGGAGCATACTTTACTTTACTTTGCTCTATGCTCTATGCTCTATGCTCTATGCTCTATGCTCTATGCTCTATGCTCTATGCTCTATGCTCTATGCTCTATGCTCTATGCTCTATGCTCTATGCTCTATGCTCTATGGAAGTTGGAAGTTTACATCTTTTGACTCATGTATGGACGGCTCTGGGCTGCAAAGTCATCGAGGTCGAGGGCGAGGGTCTGGGTCTGGGCGTGGGCAGTTGGTGGGAGCGAGGGTGGGGGTTGAAGGGGGGTGAATATGCATATTCCAGTGCACTCTGCAATGTATCCTTCACTCATCGCATCTCACGTGGATTGTTATACTAATCAGTATTTGGAGCTTGGAGCTTGAAGCTTGGGGGATTGGGGGCGATGGGGGATTTAATGTGAAGGCCAAGGCTCTCGGAGGCGGCGGGGATGTGTTTTCAGCGACGTTCGGACCGCTTTTTTGGCGTGCCGGGTGATTTGCTTTGATTGAAGGGGTGCGGGGGCGGGTGGGGGGGCAGCTGGAAATCAAGGGGAGCTCCAAATTGATGTTATGTCGGAAGCACGAGACCGCGGAGATATGGAGATGTGGAGATACCTGCCTGCGGTACATGTGTAGAGCTCAGGGTATATATGGTTGGGGACTCCTAGAGCTGATGGGGTGGGACATTCGTGGAAAAATTGAATTAATTACAAAACGGGTAATAAATACCGATTTTTGGGATTTTTTTTTTAGCAAAAATAGGCATTTTAATTTCATTATAGGCTGATATTTGGTAATAAATAACGATTTTTAAGAAATGTTTTTTAGCAAAATAGGCATTTTTAATTCCATTTTAGGTCTATATAGACCAAATATCAGTCCAAAATGGTTCTTGGCTTACCCGATTGACTGTCCATGGACCTAGAATGGGCAAATTCAGTGCAAACATGGGTAAATTGGGTGACAACAGGGGAGGGACATTGAGTTGGCCTCCATACAAAATGATTTATTTTCTAAATTCTTCTTCTCCACAACCACGCATCTGAAAATTAATCGGACGTTTTTTAAATTACGGCCATGCGATTCTCTATCGATTAATAGAGAGTTTTTGTTCAAAAAAAACTTTTTGGTGGAGGAGATAGGTGTCAAAGTTGGGGGTGTTTTTCCATCGGGTATAGGCGTCCCCAACCATAGGTATGTGGGGGCTTGGTTAGTGGCTGTCTGTGGCCCTGTGGCCCTATGGCCCTGTGGCCCCGTGGCCCTGTGGCCCCGTGGCCCTGTGGCCCCGTGGCCCTGTGGCCCCGTGGCCCTGTGGGGAAGAGGTAGGGTTCCGAGCCCGAGCAGGCTGATCTCCATATACCTAGTAGGAGGGCAGGTTACATACCGTATGTATGGGGAATACCGGTATGACTCGGCGAGCTGGAGCTGGATTTGAAACCCACGGCCATTGGCGAGTGCTGATGGGTGCTGAGTGCTGAGCCATGCACCCTACTTTATTCCGGAGCTCATGGCTGTCTGTCTGTCTGTTCGTCTGGCTGGCCGGCTGAGTTCGAACTTCGGAGCCATCCACGATCCGTTCCGAAAGTCGAAAGTCGGGGGGAAATTCATGCGAGATCAAGATCGCAACGTCACGTCACGTCGTCGCGCTCCGCCCATGTATCCGCCCGGTCATTATCCATCACCCTTCCTGGGGTAGTTACGGGGTACCGAGCCACATCACATCCCTGCCACTCGGAGACAAAAACGAAATGACGTCATCCCGCACCCCACCACTCACGGTCAATTCACGTCAACCCACCACCACCACGCCGCCTCGTGCCTCCCCGCATCGCCGCCCACGAACCACCCACGAACCACCCACGAACCACACACGAACCCCACGAGCCCCGCAAACCACGCACACCCCGCACACAATGGCCTCACCCACCAGCACTCGCAAGCGCATAACGCACTGGCTCGACACGACGGGGCGAGTATTCGCCGAGTCGCCGTTGACCGCGCTGTCGACGAGCGCACTGTGTTTGTCCCCTCCTTCCTCCCCCCTCGCACCTTACTAACCCCCCCGCCCTCCAGCACTCACCCTCCTCCCCCCCTCCCGCCGCCCCCAGCACGCCGCATACTACCCGCGCCCGGTACACCTGGGGCTATTCTCGGCGGCGTTCCTGCTCAGCGCAGGAATGTGCCAGCAGGGCTATACCGTTGATGCGGCGGGCACGGGCGCGGCGTGGGGAACACTTTTTTTGGCCGTGAATGGGTGGAAGCGTGGGGTTAGGGGCGTGTTGAAGGGACGGCTTGCGCCCGCGGTGCTCGTGGGGAAGGTACTTTTTGATACCGCCGTCCTAGGGTGGTATTGGGGGAATACTAGGAGGTGGGTTCCGGATGCTGAGCGGTGATGGGGGGTTATGTGTGTGTGGGTTTTGTGTGGGGGGAGGGGGAGGGGGAGGAGGAGGGGAAAGGCCTGCGGTTGGGAAATATCTGGCGGGAGTGGAATCTACTTCATAGAATATCTCTCGATAATCTTCGCATGATAACTACTCCGTGTCAACCACCGTCTACCTGGTGATATTACCATGATCTAGATAAGTCGCATGCAATTACCAATTAAACAAAAAAACCGTCTGCCTACTGTTGAAAAACTTGCATAAAATATCTATCTCGTAGAGCTGCCGGGGAAATTAGTTGATGCTAGTTGCGTGGAATCCACATCACAGAATTTCTCTCGCTGTCCTTCATATGATATTCCGGGTCGAACGAACACCGTCTACCTACTGGTTGAAAGATGGGTAGGGGAAGTGGGGTGCCGCATCGAACTGGTCGGTACCGGGGCTTTCACCTCGACTGGCCAGGGCGGGCAGGAAAAGGAGTGCGTTGGTTCGCCATAGTCTAGATCGGCTGCATGCGAAATAAAAAGGAAGATCTCTCTCTCCTACTGGTTGAAAAACTCGCATACCATACCCATCTCGTGGATCTGCCGGGGAAATGCACATCTCCTACCATAAATCTGCCTATCTCCTCACTCTGTACAAATGTGTCCTGAGCGGCCGATATCAATGGTATGCGGATCTTAACTGCTAGGATTCTGACATCATGTGCATCACGGCAGTGTGGTCCGTCCGAGCTTCTCTCAGAGGGCTGGCTGTTTGTTTTGGTTTGTTTTGATTGTTCGGCATTGCTCCATGCGTCCACAACTGGAAATGGCAGAACGTGAAAGGGAATCGCCTTACATCGTAGCCCCCGCTGCGTGTGACTTGCTTCGGCTTCAACCCCCACGCACAACACACACCTTGCTCGCTCTCTCCCTCAATCCCTTTCTTCACTTCCTTCCCTTCCCTTCCTTCCTTCCATCCTTCCTTCTCTATCTCTCAACTTCTCTACCTTACTTCCATCTCACGCAAAATCCCCTTACTCCCTCACTCCCTCACATCCTTCCCTCTCCACTTCTCTACCTTCCCACCTCCCTCCCTTCCTCTCCACCTCCCTTCCTTCATCCATCCTACACCTTCCTTTTTCCCATCCCTCCGTGGCATATATCACCCACACAACATGCCCCTTGAGGCAGTACCCGCGCCCAACAACAACAATGCCAACGCTCAATTTAGAGGAGCCCGCCATCCTTCCTGTCTTCGGCATCTACCATCCAAGAAGACAATGCCAACGCTCAACTTAGACGAGTCCGACAGCTCTTCGAAGGTGCCCTCCACGGGTGGTCTGCTGTAAGCTCTCTGACCCATTAACCTTGTGAACCCAGCCGCACCAGAAAGCTATGCTGACCTACCTAGGATGGATCCCCGGGACTTTGAAAACCTTCCCAGCATGGGCATCGGCCACTGGGGTATGTCCACTGCTACCCCCCCGCGCAACATTGGTTGATGATCATGCTGACGGAGTTCACAGGAGGCGGCTCGCAGGGCGGAAAAGGGCTACGCCCAGATCGATGAATCTCCAAGCGGCTTTGGCACCTGCATCATGGGCTTTGGTTGCACCATTGGCCGTGTCTTGAACGGACTGGTGACTCTCGCCAAGGCTACTTTCAGTTGTTTGTAGGGAGCCACCATGTCTTGTTCGAGGCTGCGCTTCCCACCGCAGATGCAGGTGCCGTACTGGCGGAAGGAACAACAGCAACCGCCGACATGGCTGGTTGTGGCGGTTCGTCCGGAAAATCTGGCGATCCGTTCCACCTTTCGTCTCTTCCCCATTCCACCAACCGACGACTCGATATCTGCTACAACTCCATACACGAGTCTTGCGCAAACAAAAAATATGCACGGCATCAAGATACGCCGGCACATACTATCTACAGATGATGAGCCCTGTGGGGAAGGGGAGGATGAAAAAGAGAAGAGAACCGAAGAGAAGAAGGAAAATGAGGAGGGGGAGAAGAAGGAAGAGGAGGAGGGGGAGGAGAAGTGAGGAGGGGGAGAAGAAGGAAGAGGAGGAGGGGGAGGAGAAGTGAGGAGGGGGAGAAGAAGGAAGAGGAGGGGGAGGAGAAGTGAGGAGGGGGAGAAGAAGGAGGAGGAGGAAGAGGAGGAGAAATGAGAAGAAGGAGAAATTAATCTTGTTCTTTTGTTTTGTTCATTCATTGATTGCATGCGAGCTATCTAGATCATGGGAGGATGATAAAAAGAAGATAACCGAAGAGGAGAAGGAGGATTTGAGAGAAGAGATTGCAGAACATATGTGGAGTGATTACAGCATGTACTTGGATAATCGGCAGTAAAAAAAAAGCACTACTTTTCTACTCAGACTCGACCTCCTCTTCCACCGCATTTCTAGTGTGATACTTTCCCCGTTCATCGCGCAACTCGCCTGGCTTCCGACTCAGAAAGCATGTGGCTTTTGACGCATCATGCGTGTAGATTGTTGTGATCGATCTGCAGCACCCAGCTCCCTCCTACATACCAATGGGATCTGTGTTGTTTGCACTGTATTTACTCCTGCGGTGGTGAGATGATAGGTTGGGTCTGGAATAGCTGGGACGGTTGGACGGTTGGACGGTTGGACGGTTCTTGTGGGTTTGATTGTCTCTTCTTTCACCCTCTTCTGATGTATATACACACCTAGAATAGAGTAGAGTGCCTACCCTAAGCTCGACACGGCGAGACAGAACCCAGTTCCGGTTGATAATCAGCCCAATAAACAAACCTATTGCTCCTCTTGTTTGTTCTTACCACAGCCTACAGGTCCACAGCAGCTCGTGCATTCTCCTCCCTCCCACTCGGAAAGCAGAAGTTAGAACCACCTTCAATCCCGTCCCACGCCTATCACAGTCCCTCCGACTTCTTCGTACCCCGCTACAGCTGTTCACCAGACGGTTAACGAATCAGCTATTCAGAGGCAGACTCGCACCTTCTTCTCTACTCCTCAGCAAGCACCGGCTGTTCATCAGAGTAGGTAGCGAAGCTGTTACATCCTCATCACTAGCACACACCCCGCAGCCTCACAGGTATGTATAGGACCTTTCCTCATTCTTCGACTGTCGGAGCGGACTCCCTGACTGGGCAGTACAATCGACAGCTGTTTTCAGCTTCTACGTCAATTGCGGCGGAGACGGAATCTGCAGAAACACCGCAACGTCCATTACCCGCAACCTACTCCACCGACTTCGATTCGAACGATAAGAGCACCATGGAAGCTGACGCATTCGCTATGGCTAGATCCCCTTATCTAAATAAGCTCGTCCAGGAACTCCGAGTCCTACGCCTATCCTAGCCACTACAGCAGCAGCAACCCTCCGTCACGACGGCCATAGATGCTCTCCTCAACCTCGCTCAGCAGATGGCGGCAGATCGAGCAGCCCAGGATCGCTGCATGGAATCTCTCGTCGACATGCTCAATGGACGATACGAGCGTCCGAGCCTTCCGGCCCAGCAACAGCATCCGACTCAGGTATTGCACGGGACTTCGTTGGATCCTGAAGATGTGTGCATTTTCAAGCCTACAGAGATGCCGGATCTAATGGTGGCGCGGGATTTTATCGACGGTATCCGCGACGCAGTCTCAAACTATGGCGAAGCAAGTACACTGGCAGTGCTTCCTAGGTGTTGCCAGAGCACCGTGGCACGTCGATGGGTAATGGGCATGACGGACCTCGAGAAACTGCAGCGCAGAGATTCCACTGACTTCTGGATCCGAAAATTGCGTGAAGATTTCTTTCCACCCCCGGAGATTCTGAAGCTGGAAGCTTGGAAAGAGCATTTCACATGGGACCAGGGACGTTCTCCTGTCGAGTATGCCACCAATAAGACCGCACTTCTGCGCATGGCTGGAGAGACCAACGAAGACACGATCGTTACGGCCATCCACAAAGGTTTTATCGCGGAAAGCACCCTCTATCTGGCCCTGTTTGCGTATGTCAAAACCAGCGATAACTCGGCTTCCGAATTTCGCCGCCACATAGTTTCCATTCAGGATAGTGCGAAGCGGCTGCATGAGGAGAAATTTGGACCCCCTCGATGGCCATCAGCGTATACCTCTCGGACTCAGCCTCCGACCCGTCACGACGCAACCTAGGCGACCAGGCAAGCCCCCCCTAAACGTGAGACCAGACTTTATTACCTAGATTGCCTCGGGGTGGAAGGTGCGAAACCCGGTGAAGTCATCGAGCTCGAAGTGAACGAAGAACTAGAAGCGGAGTATGAGGTAGCGCAAGCAGAGTATTTTCGCGAGAAGTACTTCAGCGAACAGAGAGCCGCATCTTCGAGGCTCGCGTAGAAGCGGTATGCTTTTGGGATGGACGATTTGGAAAGCTTGCTTCTTTGTTCTGGCCTCATCGTGCTCTCCGGGCTGAGTGTCTTGTTTTTTTTCATGTGGGCCGTGATGGCTCGTCCAAGGATTTAGCGGTATGGTTGTTATCTGTACAAAAGGGGTGTCATTATTTTTCTATGACGTTCGTTGGTGGCCATTGTATGTTGAGGCTGGGGAAGTTGATGTTGTTTGGCTCATGATGTAGCACTCGAGCTTTTTGGAGATGTACATTATCTTATCAATCACCGATGCCTGTAGAGCACGGTGACTACTCTACGCAACGACTCTCTCTTTTGAAGCTCCGAACCTAGTGCCCGCCAAGGTGCCAAACCTGCCATGTGACCTTCTTCCACTGCTACAATGGCCGTGCCACACTGTGGCTCTGTCCCCAACGGCTCCGGCTGCACCTGCTCCGTGTTGGCACGTGGCACATGCAACCAGCCAACCCTGTTCATGCAGCTCTTCTGACTGAAAACCTGCGGTGGCCAGTATCATTCCTCCAATAATCCTACTCAATCGCAGAAGCGCAATATCGGCGTCCGTCGGGCAGAGAGGAAGGAAGCGATATCGAAAACGAAACAATTCGGAGGACACCTTACAATACCTACAATACATACAACAGAACGGCCTCTGGACGACCTCTCGTTCATGTTCGACAGCACCACGCCTGGCTGATGCGAGCCTAGCCCGCCTAACTACAACTCCCAATCACCTATACACCTACCTCTTACCTTTACTTTAAGCCTCCGCGATAGTTACCTACTGCTGCTGCTGCTGCCACCATGGCCTTTAATTTCAACTGGACGCCTCTGATCGCGTCGGCGAGCTCGCCGGAGTTCTATTCGCATGCCAAAGAGCTCCTGACGCTCGCGCTCAATAAGTCTGCGAAGTCGTCTGTGATCGTGGACTCAGATGTCGCGGTCGAGAACCTGCACCTTGGCCATAGCGCGCCGGAGCTCGAGGTCCTCGAGATTGGAGACCTCGCTGAGGACAGGTTTCGCGGCGTGTTTCGAATGACGTACGCCGGCGATGCGCAGGTCACTGTTAAGGCGAGAGTTCAGGTACGGTACTATACCGGTAGTTGTAGAAATATGCATATTTAGAGACAAGAGACTGACTTGTTTCGCGTCGTCGTCGGACACTGCAGATCAATCCGCTGTGCACGTATCTGACCACCTCGCCCGACTTCACGTCGCCGCATCCGTTGGCGGTGGCCGCCACGCCGCTGTCGATCCCGGTCCGCCTCACGCTCTCGGAATTCAAGTTGTCGGGATTCGTGATCCTGGTGTTCTCCAAGGAGAAGGGAATAACCCTGGTGTTTCGCAACGATCCGCTCGAATCCATGAAGGTGCAGTCGTCGTTCGACTCGATCCCGTTCATAAAGGACTACCTGCAGCGAGAGATCGAGCGGCAGGTCCGTGGCGTGTTTCAGGAGGAGCTTCCGCTTGCAGTGTACAAGCTGTCCCTCCGACTGCTGGAGCCAGACGGAAGAGCTCCGGTGAAAGATGAGAATACAGTGCTCCCGGCGGTGGAGGATGGGGAGGAGGATGTCGAGGAGGATCTCGATCTTCTCTTTGCCGGAGAAAGTGCGGATGCCCCGTCGGTTTCGGAAAAGAACATGTTGTGTCTGCACACGTTGCGGAATTCGCAAGCCACGCTGTCGCTGTTCACGCCCTCGATCAACGGCGTAATATACCGCGCCACACCGCCGAGCAGTCTGGACCAGGTAGCACAAACATCCGCTGGCACACCCATGGCGGACTCGCCACTCCGACCCGGCCTGCACCAGAGTAGCAGCACAATGTCACTCGGCACCCCCGGCCGCAGAAAAAAGAAGCACCGCATCGTGAATCTACGGAAAGGAAAAGAGTCCACTACTACAACCACCACCACACCCACACCAACTTCGGAGAAGCCAATACCATCGTCGACTCCGACGACGCCCGAGTCGGCCACTCCCACCACCACCTCCTCCGCACCGGAGTATTTCAGCACCCGACCGCGGAAACTATCTCTCGTCGAGGACCATTCGCTGCCATCGCGGCTACCACCACCACAAACCCCGCCGGCAGCACACACACGCCCCGCCATCGCGTCGTCACAGACGCCGCGATCCCGGCCTGATTACAGCATCCTCGAAGATCGGCCACGACTGAGTCGCGGACAGAAGTACCCCAGCCCAATCGTCGAGAAGGCGTTTATGATGCGCTTCATGGCCGAGATGAATCGGCAGGCGGAGGAGAGGCAGCGATATTAGTTGGGTCCCGTGGATGGTTTGTTTGCTCGTTGGTCTTGGTCTTGGGCTTGGTCTGTATTAGCATCGGTAGTTTATGTTATGTACGTATTTTCATGTCTATTTGTAGATTACGTTTGCCTTGGTTTCTTTGGTGCTTTTTCAAGCTTTGGGCATGGATGTCTGTCCAAGAATTTAGAGGAGGAGGACTCGAGGAGGGGAAGGGACGGGACATTGGCAATGATTGTTCCTGCTGCCGGAACTATATTTGGGATCATTTGTTCGTCATCGACTCGTCGTATTCTGTCGGCATGAATCGGCGAATCGCCTTGTCCATTCGTTTTTCACGAGCCGCATCGTGCCATCGTGCCATTCATTGTATCCTCTATGAATACGGCCACGAAGCTCCATCCATCGCCACGGCAACAGCGGCAGGCAGATGCTGGTTTTACGTACAGTGTATTGATTGGAGATTGGAGATTGGAGTCTGCAGTCAGTCAGTCCGTCCGGGACTTGTATGTATGCATGTATGTACCGGTATTGATGACCAGGCACCGGCAGCTTTATCTACCGACTGGCCGACTGACCGGATGCCAGGCAGGCAACTCGAGTGCCCTACCCCTAGTTACTCTATCGGGCCATTGGTTTGCGAGCCCGGTGGTTGATTTTTGCAGTGAAGTGAGTGGAGGCCGTGAAACGAGGGCGGCTGCGACCGGTCACATCACGTTTCTGCCCTTCTGCCTTTCTGCCCCGGGAAACATCGCTGGTCGCATTCACCCAACATTAATGAGACGAGACGCATGTCCCCGAGCTTCCGAGTGTGGCTTGCTTTCTGGCGGTTGATCGAGCGCTGGATCTGCCGCACGCATACGCATGTCATGTCGGCATTGCTCAGGTTACGAACAAAGATTGAAACAACTACCGGCCTCGCTTCGGGAACAGGATCGGGATCCGGGGTCGGCTAGATACTAGGATCTATGTAGGAACCGAGATGCAGGCCAGGCAGTGCAGGAAAAGATGCCGGCAGGCAGGCAGGGAAGGAAAAGAAAAGATGCCGGCCGATTCCCATGCATGGTGGGGTTCGCTCGTTTTTCTTCCACCACACCCACACGCACACCCCGCAGCCCGCAGCCCGCGAATCGAACCTGCCGACCGCTGTCCTCCACCACTACCAGTAGGTCTGCCCGCCCGCTGCCCGCTGCCTGCTGTGCCTGTCAATCGCAAACTGCCCGATCTTAACTTACGCGGAAAGGCTAAAACGATCGATTAACCTAACGTTTGCTTCCGCTTCTGCTTCCTTCTCTCCCGCGCGCACAAAACCCGGACGAGCGAACGAACGAACTGTTGCAAAAAAAAAAACCATGTCGGCAGCTACAGGAAAGAACTATGTCGTAGAACGTGTGTCCTCCCCTCCTCCTCTCTTCCCTCGCGCACCTTTCTAATCCCCATGGCCGGCCGGCAGATATGGAGCCGGAAATGGGCGCCTGGTCTACACTGGAGTACATCGCGATCGCATCTGAGACCGCCGCGGCGGGGCGGGGGAGTGTATTCTACCTGACGTCTTTGCAGGCGTCGCTGGCCGCAGACCTTCCAGCCACGCTTACCGAGAAGCTGGGGGAGTCCTTCGTGGCTACCACGAAGGACGTCGAGACCCTCTCTGGTGTGCCGAAACACCGCGTCTGTCTCTTGGACCCCCAGGCGGAAAAAACTCTCGCCCCTGAGGATGGTGACGTCTTTGATTGGTTCGTGTTTGGCGGGATTCTGGGTATGTGCTCTGACACTGCGGGCGCTGCGCGCGGAGGTGCGGGAGGGGAGGGGAGGGGAGGGGGCGGGATGGGATGGGATGCGGGGAGGCGTGAGGCGTGCTAATACCGTGGCGCAAATATAGGCGATGATCCGCCGAGGGGTATGTAGCTGCTACCCGCCCGCAATGCTCCACTTGCTTACGACCCAGCAAAGACCGTACCGCCGAGCTCCGCAAATACGGCTACACCGGGCGCAACCTCCAAAAGCTGCAGATGACGACGGACACGGCAGTGCGGGTTACGCGGATAGTGATCGAAGAGAAGAGTATCCCCCCTTTCCTCCCTCTCGTCACATCTCATCACAAAACTAACCCGTGCTTAAAGAAAAACTCGACGAGATCCCCTACGCCGACTACCCCACCCTCCAGATCAACAAGAACGAGAGCACCGAAATGCCGTTCCGCTACGTCAAGGACGATAAGGGAACGCCCATCATGCCCGACGGAATGATGGAGCTTATCAAGCTCGACGCTGATAAGAGTCTCGAGGATATGTTTTAAATCCGTCTGCGCTGGGCATGGGGCTTTGGGCATTGGGCAATAGGTACCGTAGTATTGCTATGTCTTGTCATGTCATGTGTGTAGCTAGCCAGAGAGCATACATACATAAGTACTTACTGTAACCTACTGTAACGCAACCCCTTCCAATCCACCGGATACTAGGTGTGGACCGTGGAGCACTGGTGGGTGGGGCTCGAGTGATCACTCGTGCTATCAATGTAACCACCCGCGGACTGGAATTTCCAACCATGTCATAATCATTGGAGCACCGCATGCTCGCACCCGTGTGAGAGTTTCACGCCTTCTCCTCCCTCCCCCGACCTCCCCCCTGATGGTATCCTATCCAGGACTGTGGGAAAGGGAAAAATGGGTAGACGCGTATACCTATCTACCTATATGTATATAGCGGCGGGCGACATGTTATTGCTGTTCTATGGTTTGGAACTATTGGGGGGGGGGGGCTTATATCATAAATCTCCCTGAGTCCCCTCAGTATGGCTTCCTCTCCGGCTCGCCGGCCCGTGATATGATATGGCCTGGGGCTTGTGGGCTTAACTGGGCGTTACTGGGCGTGACGAGGCATGTGCACGACCACGACCACGACTGTGTGAGCACTGAGGTGGCTAGAAGTATGTACCGGTGGCTATCCGCGTGGGTTTGTGGGTTTTGTGGGTTTTGTGGGTTTTGTGGGTTGCAAACGGGGCGGAGCAAGTATCGTACCTATGGTATGCATGGCGGTGCGGGGGGAGGCGAGGGGGAAGTAATAGCAATAGCAATAGCGGAGAGGAGGAGGAGAAGGAGGGGAACAAGGAGGAAGGGAAGGGAACGAGGGGGAAGGAAAGGGAACGACGCGACTGGCAAGTCGTGGGAGGGATCGTCGATGATCGTGAGGGCTGGACGGATCGCTGAGCTAATGGATAGCGAAGCCTGAAAGGCTGTTCTGTAATAACTACTTGGTTAGTAGGCTCCCCTCAAGTTATTAGGCGGCAATGGGCAATGATCATATAGAATTGCAGTTATCGCCTTGTCACTGGACACTAGACGACTGAGTGGAGTCCCTCCCCACACACACACTCGCACGGGGCTCGAGGCATGTGTGCACTATGGGGAAGAACCTGCCTGACTCAATTCATGGACGGTGCCATGGTGGTGAGTCGTGGCTGGCAGATGCTCCAGACTCCAGAGACTCTGTTACGGGCTTACAGCCGCCTTTTTGCCTACCTAAGTACCCATAGACTGGCTATGTAGATACTAGATATATACTGGCTATGTATACTCGGAGGCACGAAGCTCGCCTTTTGCTGCGGAGTCCGGAGTCCGGACGGTGATTAGTTACTATCAGCGTCTAGCCACGCGGAGTTCGGACTACTGTAGGTATGCACGGAAATATGTGTATCCAGGATTGGAGACTGAAGTTGGCGCTGGAAGCCTAGATCGAGTGTAAGCCTGGACAGTGGAAGCCTGGAAGCCTGGAAGCCACTCTACTACCTATACTATCATACGTACTATTGTAATATACATACGGTACCGGGGATAGGTAGAGTAGGTAGGTGGCCTGTAGGTAGCGTGTAGGTATCATAAAGTAGAGTAGGTAGAGTAACCAATAGAGCTATCGTTTTAGCCATGATCTAATGTCCATCAGCCCATTGACGGATGTTTGTAAGATGTATGTAGGATGTAGGATGTGCCCACAAATTACAATCCACAATCCCCTCTGGTAAAAAGTGGAGTCTCGTATACGGTACCGTATGGCATGATCAATGATCGTCCGCTCGCCTCCGAGCCCCCTCCCCACCGCTCAAGCTCTAATGGCAACCTCTCAATTGGAGTCGCTAGCAGACAGTCCGTCCCGAAAATATGGTCCGGAATTCCCAGATAGTTACTCTTGGGCGCGTAGGCAAGTACCTACCTACCTTGTACCTACCTTGTACCTACCTGTTACTTCATGTATGTACGTACCCATCCGCCAGTACCAGTCAGTCGGCGTCTCGTGACCGCTCCAGTGGGGATGATAAATCCCAACTTCCCGAGTTGCGAGACAAGTTGCAACATTTCACAGTGCACACGTCGCGGGCTCGGGCTCAAGCGTGGTCTGGTCTGGTCTCTGTCCCGAAAATATGGTACGGAACAGGTACCTATCCGCACGGGTCCGCGCGGGTCTGCTCGTGACCACCACGCACTCACTCGACACTCGCAACTCGCAAAGACACAGGATACAGGTTCCACTTGAAAGCTGGCAGGTATCCGGGTGGTGGCGTGGGGAGTGGGCCTTAGAAGTTCGGCGAGGGTATATGTAACTATGTAACTAAGTAGGTACAATACTCGAGTATTCACAGGTAAATTCCTGATACCTACACCTGGAGGTTGAATCTGCACGGCACGCCGAGCCGATCACGGTCTGTATACAACCACCGTAGTGCTAATCCCGCTCCGCCGAGTCCAACGCCGAACCCGGACCCCCCGGGAGCCCTCCCAAGTCTCAGCCCCCCAATCTATATATGCGGATGAGTGGGATTCGAATACTCGAGAAGACACTTCAAACCTGGCGCTCCGAAACCCCCACTTGGCACCGTACGTGTGCCTGCCCAGTGCCCAGTGCCCAGTGTCTTATTATGCGCGGGTTCGAGCAGGAACTCACATGACCGGACCAGATAGGACGTGGTACATGTCTACCTATAGCAGCTCAATAGCTGATGTGAAGTCAAGTATAGCGAGTAGTACTAGTACATGTGTGTCCTTAGAAGCTGTAAGCTCTCTTAACTATCTATAGGACAGCAATAGGTACCCGTGGCCTGGCCACGACAGCCACGACAGGACCGGACAGCCACGATAGGACCGGACCGTCCCACCGTCCCCACCGTTCCCACACCATCCCCACACCGTCCCCACACCGTCCCCACACCGTCCCCACACCCGTCTCACACCCGTCTCACACCCGCCTCACCTCACACCCGCCTCGCCTCGCCGTGACATCTTCCCGTACGCCCGTAGCCCTACGCCAGTCTCCAGTCCCTAGTCCCCAGGAAAACCGGCACGGACTTCCCCCAGAGCCCATTCTCGGAGTCTCAGCTACAAACCGTGTGGTGGGCCGTATCTATCCGCCCGCAGCCTACGCCAACGAGAGCCGCCGGATTTCGTAGCACACACTAACCGTGACTCTATGTATGCTTGATACCGTAGGACGTGGTGTATGGTATCTATCCCACGAGCTTCTCTTATGATCCATCCACAGGCTACAACAACGTACACAGCTGCAATGCCTACGGTACATACGTGCGTTAGCTCTCGGAGCTCTCGGTGAGAATCGCCGGAACGTACGGAGCAGTGGTATTCCCGCCAGCTCCAGCTCGAACTCAGGATGGACTCAACGGCATGTATGTACATAAAACCGTAGTTATGCAGTTTCATTCCGCGGACAATCCACGGATGATCCGGAGACGATCCGCGGATGATCTGGTGCCCATGGGGGTGGGGTGGAATGGGGAGGGGTGCGCATATAGGCATACCAGGTAGTAGATGTCGCCATCGGCCCATCGCAGGCCACTTTTATACCTTTAACTATGATATGATAGAAGCACTATGGAAGCACCAATATACTAAATTTTTCGATACGATCGGGTTGTTGTATAGGTGGTTGAAAATGGCCGTTTTTGGTGTAAGACAGGCTCTGTCCAATCCTTTTTGTCCTAGTACTCCACTGTATATCGATATCTATATCCAACAGCCAGCCAGCCAGCCAGCCGATCCTCACACACTCGCACTCGAAGGCATCACATCACGTGTCCCCCACCACCCCCCACCCCTTCCCCCCACACCTCACCCCACACTTAGGAGTCGAAGTATGTACTATGTATCTAGTCCTCGAAAATCTATTCTAGTACACACCTCCTATACCCTCGACTCCGAGCTTTCGCAGACTCGCAGAGTCGCAGACGGACTGCACAGTGCAGGCAGCAATGGCGCGATCGCCGATAATCCATGGCCATTATACGTTAGGTACGTATATTGGCCAGCAGTGGCCACAGTCCTTGCGCGGATTACTTCTGTCCAGCGCAGGGAGTTGCCTGTAACTACCATAGTAAACCACGGTGCACAACCCCGTACCGGTATACAGGTAGATGCTCTATATACGTAAGTCTTTCGCTATGCATAAGTAGATACTTCGAAGGAAACAACAGCCCATATGTTACTCTGCCGGTACCTCCGAAATCCGAAATCCGAAAGGGATGCCGACTCCGAGGCCAGTTCAGTTTCCTTTTGACACACACTCTGAGGCTTGAGCCCACTCGCCCGCCTACCCATTCGCCCGCCCGCCCGCCTGTATACCGTACCATACCGTCGAGTGCCCGCGCCGCAACTACTACTGTAGCAACCACCTACCTACCTCCCACCTATCCCCATACCTACCCCCACAGTTATGTATTCCTCAAACGAACCCCACAACATCCCACCCCACCGAGTCCGGGAAATTACAACCCCCCCCCCCCCACACACACCCACCCAACCACACATCCGACGCCCACCCGCCCGTCAATCGGGCTGAGCACGTACGATCGTACCGGTATTTATGTACAATGTACATATCCATTCTCCGCGGACGTGACAAGAGTATATAGGTAGGTAGGCCAGTTCGTGTGGGGTAGCGTATACCAATGTACCAATGTACATGAGTTGAGTTGAGTAAGTACATGAGTTGAGTACGTATCCGCCTCCAGTGCTCCAGAGCTCCAGTGCTCCAGTGCTCCAGAGCTCCAGTGGATCCACCACCACCACACACCACCACACCGCCGCCGCAGAAATAACTGTACAGTGTGGATGGATGGGTGACTGTGCACTGCGCAGTGTATGTGTGGTGGTGGTGGTGTCCGCATCCTCCGTCCCCCCCCGTACTCCGCCCCCCGTACTCCGTCCCCCTTACGCGGAGGACGGAGTACGGGGTGAGAAACGAACATGCAGGTACCATTTGATGCCTTGCGTCTTGCAGTCAGTCGTGCAGTTGTGCGTCTTGTGTTTTGCAGGCAGTCGTGCAGATCGAGTGTCCGCCGCACCACCACCCTCCTACGACCAGCAGCACAACCACAACCAGCAGCACAACCACAACCAGCAGCAGCAGTAGCAGCACCAGCAGCAGCAGCAGCGGGCATCATCCCGCTCGCTGTATCCAGTGTATCCAGTGTATCCAGTGTATCCAGTGTATCCAGTGTATCCAGTGTATCCAGTGTATCCAGTGTATCCAGTGTATCCTTTTTCCATTTTCCCTTTTCTTTTTCTTCGTATTTACTTTCTTTTGCATTCCTTTGCATGTTAATTTAATCGCATCGACACTTCCACAACGGCCAGCTGCGAGCCTACGAGCCTACGATCATCGTCTTGCAGCCTCACGAAATGACGATCCCCAGTTGAATGAGTTGAACAAGCAATTATTTCTTTAAGACCAACATTATAGTATCCAAAGTATCCAAGTCCAGTCCAGTTTGCACTTCCAATCCACTCCACCGCCCAGCACCATCCAGCTCCCGAGCTCCAGTTCCATTCGAAACGCCGGAAAAGTAACCAAACAGAGCCAAAAAAGCAAACGAAAAAAAGAAACAAAAACGAAAAAAACGAAAATAAAATTGGTATCTGGTATTTCGATCTCCTGTCCGGTCCTGTCCCTATCCTGTCCATATCCGTCCCCGTCCCTTTTTTAGAGTAGAACTGCTCAGTCGAGGGTATGGGCGAAAAACAAATAAAAAACTGTACTCTCAGAAGGCTTTCAAAGAAAAGGAAAAGGAAAAAAAACACCGGAAAAAAACTTCTATAATATGAGTGTGATATATCCATCCAATCCAATCCAATCCATTCCCTTTTTTGTGTGACCGGTCCGGTCGGTCGGTCGGTGTCCTCCCGGGGGCCGGGGTACGAAAACAAAAAAAAAACCCCAAAAATAAAAAAAAAACAGACCAACGACCAACCAACAAGGAAAACAAAAGCCGAAGCCGTTAAACGAATATCCTTAAAAGTTAAAGAAAGTCGTTTCGTGAAAGGAAAGGAAAGGAAAAGGAATGAAATCGAAAGACAAAGACAAAAACCCTGAACCGATATGCGCCACTTCGAGAAGGAAAGAACGGTCGAAAAGGAACCGATACAGACTTGCAAGGAAATAGGGAACCCAAAAGTAGACAACACCGCTTGACCCCGTAGGGTAAAAGCATCAAATGGTAAAACAAAAGCTGGTTGAAATAAGAATCATAAATATCGTAATCCCGTCACCAGGGGGAAAATAAGAACTGAAATGCGGTGTATATACGATTGGAAAGTCTATAAACAGGCGAAATGTAAACGCCATCCATGGCGGCGAGGGGGGGAGTGGCTGGATGGGGCGCGGCGGCTATGTGCCGGCGGCTAGATTTGTGAACTGCGTTCCGAACCGGAATGGCTGTAGGCATCGATATTTGGTAGCGATGTAACAGAGGTGAGTTGGCTGGACGTTGCTTGCTGTGTGCTGCCAAAGCTGTCGAAGCTGGAAACACTCGACATGGCCGAATATTTGACCTCTGTCCTCCGCATCCCTTCCAGCATCTTCTTGGATTCGTTGACGCGCGTTTGCCAGGTGCTCCGGTGCTCCTCTCGCTGGAGCTCAACGTTCCGGATCTCCTGGGGGCTCGACCATCCGCTGCTGACCATGCGGGCCAGCGTGGCATCGTATGCGTCGATCTCGGACTGCATCTCCTCGATCATGTCGGCGAGAGAGTTTGCTGTTACCAGAGTCAGTGGGGCTGCTGGTTTGCGCGGCGCCGATGATGTTGCCGGGTCTATGCTGGGCACCTTCTTGTGGGCATGTAGCAGGCCTCCCCACGTACCCAGTGACGTTTGAGATGTAGACGCGAGCGATGGCGACATTAGCGGTGAGATGGTCGGAGGATGCAATGGGCTGCAGACAACATCCGTGGGTGTTTCGGGTAGCGATTCCATCCTTGCAAAAGCGGGCATGCCGACCGTTCTGGGTGACTGCAGCGGTGAAGCGAAGAAGGAGTCGGTTTCGACGCAAGGCGACCTTGGCGATATGGAGGAGGGCAAAAGTGTAGGCGGCAGGATCGCCTCGGGAGATGAGAGCGGGCTATAATTGTCCTCAGCCCTAGGGAGGGATGTCTGCTGTTCCACATGCCATCTCCCGAAGGAATCGTCCGGCGGTGTACCAGGGGCGATAACTGCCGAATATGTTGGCATCGTGTCTATTGGCTGGAGCGGTGGTGGCTGGGCAGACATGTCGTTTGTTCCGGAGATACGTCTCTTCAGGCTCGCCCGTAATTTCGCGGGAACCACCTTGTTGAGGATGCTCGTTGCGCGGAGTCTCGCACCACCACCCAATGAACCCTCGTTCTTCGGGGACCGTGGCGGAAGCGTGAGCGATGAAGGGCCAGATGAAAAAGCTTCAGCGTCAATTGCTGGCGACGTCGGCGATCCGTGATTGGAAAACATAAACGGTTGCTCGCTAGCTGCAAACAAAGTCAAGTTAGCTCTGGGGAACGTCCGATCGGGGGAATCGCGTCGCGTACCATTGGAAGGAGGGGTTGGAGGCATTGCGATGGGAGCGAGCTTCTCGTTGTAGTGATAATGCGACCCGTAGCACGACTCTTCGAATGCCTCCCGTACGGTTCGTACCGTGTCCAGCCGCGGAAACGCGACATCTTTGGTGCCCATCGTGCCCGCGGCCCCCACTGCCAGTCCCAGCCCGTACTCTCCGCAGCGGTCCTCACATTCCTGGCAATCGCACTCGCTCGCTTCATCCTCCTCTTGTATCGAAGTTCCGACGATCGATGAGCCGGCGCCGAAAGGCATCGCAAGGTGGCGGATGGGCGAGATGTCGGTCGGTGTGGCGGGCGCTGACATTACCGGTGTACCGTAGTTGTCTGGTGAAAAGACTCCGCTGGGTATCGACGAGTTGAGCGATTCGATGTCTGCGTCTCTGGTGGCGGTGGGTCCAGAGTTGAAGGTGGGAGTGGAAGCGTTCGGGGAAGGTAGGATTGGGCCGAGAGGTTGTAGTTCGGGCTTGCCCCGGCGCTCGGATAGCCGTCGAGGGCTCGGTGGTATTGGGTAAGCTTGCTCCATCGTATTTAAGTCGGCGGTCAGATAGCGCTGAATTAGGTAGACCGAGGCGGCGGGTCGAGTGGACGAGAATGTTCGAGTTTGAGTTTGAGCCGCTACGAATTTTCGCTAGCGCGGTTGGATTCCGGTGATGCTGTGCGAAGCGCGAAACAAAATTGAGAGGGATCGGATGGACGAACACACGAGATGCTGGAGTGATTGTGGGTGTAGCGAGTCAGCGATGGTGGAGCCCTGGTGGATGTGAAAAGGGAAGAGGTGATGGATGGTGTTGTTGTTGTTATTGTTGTTGGATGGAGATGGGAGCAGGTGGTGGTGGTGGTGGTGGTGTTGGAGGTGGCCTTGTATGAGTGGGGGGGGGGGGGGGGGGGAGGGGGAGGGCAAGTGGCAGGTGGTGGTGGTGGTAGGTGGAAGGGATGTGGTTGGATGGACGCTGGATGGTGGTGGAGGTGGGTGGGTGGTGGAGGGTTTTGATATGATGATGATGATGGGCCGGTCCGTGTGTAGTAGTGTGCATGGACGAGTTAAGCCACCGTTCCCTTCCCTTGCGGTCGTTTCGTTGCTCTGCACGACCCGACTTGCGTGGCACCGGCTGGAGGAATTATATAGTTTCCCGTTTTTTATGCTTGTTGGTATTGCACGTCGCGTGGCAGGGAGTGCCGGTCCGCTTCTTTCTTTTGGCCTGTGCCTGGCAAACGTCAATCGGATGGTCTTTCCTCGTCCAAACAGATGAAGAAGAAGCCGAAGACGAAGAAAAAGAAAAGAAGAGGAAAAAGAAATCGAAATCGAAATAGATGAAGATTAAGATGAAGATTAAGAAGAAGAGGCAGAAGAGGAAGCAGAGGCTTTGTCCGGCGTGTGTGACGGTGGTGTCGCTTTTGCCTGATCCCGATTGGCAGCTGTCGACCGAAAGCAAGCAGAAAGCAGGACTCCGTCGTACACTCTGTTCGACGAATACCCGGATCCGACGACAGCAAAGCTGTGTGCTGTGGTCGCTGTGCTGTGAGGCGAGGCTAGTGGCAGCAGCGGTAACGCTGTGTCGCTTTTATTCTTTTATTCTTATTCTTATTCTTCTTTCTTTTCTTTCTGCGCCGGCGGACGGACCGACGAGGGAGGAGGAGAAGATGCGTCGCTGGGAGCACGATGATGTGGGGTGGGGTGCAGAGTCGAAAGTGTGGGGAGGAGAGTGGGAGGGGGTGTCGGATCGACGATTGCGTGCGTTGCGGCGGTCGTCGGCGTGGGAGGCTGATGGCTGAAGGCTGAGTCTGGGGAAAGTGTAGGCGGGCGGTGGTGGCGGGCGGGTCACGGGCGGGGATGGACCGATGGATGGATGGAATCGCGGGGAAGGGCGGGGAGGAGGGGGTTCGAGGGTAGACGGCGCCGGGACGGGGCGGAGCGGAGCGGGCAAGTGGGCTGGGCAACTGGGGGAGGCAGAGGCCAGAATCAAAAGGATGGTTGACTGCTCGACGATGACGATGCACGCATCCACGGCCAGGTCGGCATGACCAGCTAAGTACTTTGTACTCACCAGTGTGGGACAGGCTGGCCAGATGCCAGAGGCCAGACGACGCGGATGGGTGGGTGAATGGTGCATCGCAATTAAAAGCAAGCAGGCAAAACATGTGCATATAGTGGCCCGGACTGGCCCTCCTGTGCTCGGAAGAAGCATCTACAGTCGATATCTATCATCACGGCAACTACCGCACACATGGAAGAAAAAAAACACCGCTCTCTTCGGGGTCCCACAGACCAGACAAGCGTCAAGTGAGCCCGAAAGTGCTCTGCATAACCACATAAGCGCTTGACAAGGCGGCGGCACAACCGACGAACGTGGGTTAACTTGGGCAGGCCCGCCAGCGTCTCGGGTGGCGGCGACAAACCACGCCCTTGCACCGTGGCGTACGGTATGCCAGGAAACCGTGGCTCATCCGAGCTCTCCTCCTCCTCTTCCTCCTCCTCCTCCGACGCCCCGCAGGAATTCTCCGAACGATGGCCAGCCATCTGCCGGATTCCGCAGGGCGGAATGCATGTTCTGTGGCATTCTTCCACGCTAGATACGACGTAGTTACGTCGGCATGTCGTTCCTCACATGCACAGTGCACACACATGTGTACTCTATGTAGCTCGCAAAGACAAAGGGAAGTTTGGTCCTTGCGTCACATTCATAGTTGGGACTGGGTGGCTGACCACGGCCAGTTGAGAACTCCTACTCCAGTGACTCCACAGCTACTGCTCCTCTTCCTCAATCGTCGATCACAGCATTTCGATGGTCAACTTTCGCAATGCTTCGCTCCGTGACACACGGTCATGTGCGCAACTCTTTGCCAGATAGCCGTCGACCGCTCGCCGTTGGCCGTTGGCCGCTGCTGGGGCTGGACAGCTGCGCCACTGCCCCAGAGTCCCACACCGCCGCGGCCACGAACGGCTGGGCCGAAGAAGAAGAATACCGTAGAAGCGCCCGCTGGCGTCTAACTAAGGATGGGGCTGTACTTTCTCCAAGCAGCCGCTTACTAGTAGTTACATACATCCAAGCTCGTTTCTTTTCCCTCAAACACCAACGGGAAGAAACTGCTGCACGGGTCCTCCTTTTTTTCTTCTCTTTTTCCTTCTTCCCTTTCCTTCTTTCTTCCATTTGCTTCCTGTCTCTTCGGCAATGCCTTTGCCTCGCTTTGCTTTGCGTAAATTACCTAACCCCGCCAACCGTATCGAAGTCTATTATGCGTTGCGTTTGCGTTGCGTCGCGTTGCGTTGCGTTAACGTTGCAGGAAAAGACGGGTCGTCTCTACTCTGCTTCTGCCTACCGTACTCTACTCTACTCTAGCCCGCAGCAGCAGCAGCAGCGGCGGAGACATAAAAAATCCAATCCAATCCCATCCCATCCCGTTCACACGGCACTTTGTGCGCAACCGCCGCGGAGGGGGGGATGGGAGGTGGTTTTTGCCGACATTCGCGTGGGCCACTCCGTAATATTCTACATACGCCATGCCTCAAAAAGTTACCGATCTCCAAATGCATCTGGCAGATCAGGGAATCGGCGGCGGAAAAGCAATGGTGATGGTGATGGGACGATGGGATGGAGAGGGTGGAATGGAGGAGGGATGCTGGATGGATGCGTGACCGTGCCGATCTTTGGCGAAGGGGGACAAGGACAAACAAAAGCAAAGAGAGCTTCAGAGTTCAGTCCTTTGACGATGATTTCGAATGCATAACGTAGATGCCTACTACTCCTACCGTACTACATACTCCATAGTACTCCATAGTACTCACCATCGCATCGCTTTCCTGGATATGCAACTTCGGATAGCGGCATGCCGGGCACGAGTGTTTTTTTCTTCTTCTTCTCCCTCCAACTTCTTCTTCTTCGCCAGCTCTTACCGCCGGCGGCCAGTAGTAGAGTAGAGTAGAGTACGAACCGAACCGAACCGCCCGTGGGGGGAGTAGGCGCTACTCCACCAGAAAATATCCGGTGCATACCTTATACTCGAGTAGATATAGGTCGTAGGGAGTTTTGGGCGAGGCTGCGGAGTTTCGTCTCCGGCCCTGATACGGCCATTGACGTTGACAGCACGGGATAAATTGATGCCTGATGTTTGGTGTTTGGTATTTGATGTTGTTTGTATTCGGGCCGTCGACAACGTGGACAACGTGGACAACATGGACAACATGGACAACATGGACAACATGGACAACATGGGCAACATGGACAACATGGACAACATGGACAACATGGACAACATGGGCAACATGGACAACATGGACAACATGGGCAACATGGACAACATGGACAACATGGACAACATGGGCAACATGGACAACATGGACAACATGGGCAACATGGACAACATGGACAACATGGGCAACATGGACAACATGGACAACATGGACAACATGGACAACATGGACAACGTGGAGTTCATAATTTATTACAACTAGGTACGGTATACGGTACCTATACCGTCGGCAAGATTCAAGCGAAAAGAATCCGTGGAGGCGCCGGTTGGAAGTTATACATACTAGGAAGGTAGCGCCCTGCCGAACCGAAAGGCCGGCTGGATTGTGAATTCTGGAAGCTTTGGTTTTGGAATTATCATCTCCCGTAAGTATGTGTGATGGGTGTGTAGAATTTAGATAGAGTACCGTCCCTACCGCGTTTCAGTTTCCATATATCTATATGTAGCAGAGTAGTTACTGGTATGTACACTTCCTGTTATTTATCTATCTACCGGTATTCCACTTACCTGTGTATCTACTACCTAGCATCCCGACGCCCGTCCGGGTTGATTTTTCCGTAATGATAGATAAGTAGGCGTTCGAAGACCCCCAATTGGCAACTGGCAACTGCGAACCAGGCAAACCACATAGTCTGGGTATGATACTACCGTAGTAGTCTAGGTAGGTGGTCTAGGCAGTCTGGGTAGTAGATAAACAATGATATCTAAACATCTGGATAAACACCATCCAATCCAACAAAAAAATTCGCTCGGCCCCCAGTCTTACTCTAGCAGATCTAAGCACGCCCCCCCCCCCCCCCGGACCCCCGAGGATTAGAGTATCCGAGCCTCGCCCGAGATTACTCTGGATGGGGGCGGGATCTAGCCGCAATGCCGGTAAAAGAGGCGAGTTTCTTCGGAGGATGGGGAGGGGGTCCGGGGATGGAAGGGGGGCTGGGCTGGGGTAGGGCGAGTGAGATCCGTTGTAAACATTGGGCATAGGAGGGCATAGGAGGGCATAGGAGGGCATAGGAGGGGTCTGGCCAAGGGGGGGTCTGGCGGGGGGGGGGGTCTGGCCGCCGGCGGATGATCTGTGATACTTGTTGACCGCTTGGGGGCTGCGGGGGGGGGGGAGAGTGGACGCAGGGGGACGAGGCCGCGGGGGACGTGTTTGCGGTTGGGGCTTTGTTTATACTCTATGTAGTACCGTAGTCACTGGGTGTTTCCGCCAAGTAAGCCGGTACTACCCAGGCTGAGTGGGTAGGTGCTCCGGGAGCCCGAGTGACAGCGAGAGCGAGCTGAACGTCTCTCACCGCTCGCAATGGTATTTTCCCGCAAAGCAGATAACCGCTGGTACAATAGCCATCCTCAGTACTCACGTCCTCTGCGTCCTCTGCGTCCTCTGCGTCGCAGACGTCCTGACCCTCCCCCTCCCCCTCTCTACATACGACTACTGACGACTGACGACTTCTTCCCCACAGCTGACGTTGATGATGGAGCACACACACACACACACACACACACACACACACACACACACACACACCATACAGCTTGCTTTGAAGGCTACGTGCGTGAGACAATCTACTGCAATGGATAAAACAAATATGAGACATCCATCCCGTCCACCCGTCCACCCGTCCACCCAACCATCCCGCCGGCCACCCATTCCCGCCGTACGTCCACCGTTGCGACTCGCGAGACGCGCGCATGCTCGTCGTCTCGTCGCCTCTCTTTGCGCGCAACTACCAGCTTGGCTACGAGGCCACGACGGAAACGCTATGTACGGTACTAAGTACACATACATGTGTAGGTACCGTGGGTGGTATGAAGTATGTACCGCAGCCAGATAACGGCGCATGCAGGTCTTTCTGGACTCTGTGCCGCTGGATTCCAGCCGCTGCCAGTAGCTGCCAGACTGCTCTAGATGTGTCTCGTTCAGCTGAAGATATTCTAGAGTAGTTACCGGTAACTACTCTACTTACACCTACCCGACTCCGACTCTCCGAGCCTCCCGAAATAACTGTTTAACACCACGTATATACCTACTCCAACAGTCTGCTAATCTATCTGAGTACCCGTGTACGTGGCTACCTAGCCAGCCAGAGTAGCTAGCAGGGAACGGCTATCTACGACTTTGTATGTATGTACTCTATGTATGTAGAGTACGAGCACATCTACATACCGGTATCTCTCTATCTCGAGTGCATGGCTGCCTGCACCGCACCGCGCAGCAGAAATTACCGCAGATGTCTACTTAGAGCTCATTCGCAAGCTCGCGCTCGGCAGATGACCGGAAGGGCGGCGGGACGGGACGGCGGACGGGGCGGGGCGGCGGGGGCGGGCATAACCGCAGGCTAGGTACTCCGTCTACTGTGCTGTCCAGCTCGAGATACGGACTTCGTCGCATAGATATCACAGCATTTCACTGGGGGGGGGGGGGGGGGTTGGCGATGCAACACTGAGCACCGAGCACCGAGCACCGAAACCTCAGCCTTAGCTACCCGTACGCTACTCTAACCAAGCACCTTTGTACCCAGCAGTGGTGGAGTTCATCCGGCTGTTTTCCGGGGGATGCATGCGGCGCTTGCATGCCAGTCTGCCTGCCTGCCTGCTAGTGTTCCTGCCAGCCAGCCTGCATGTGTGCGTGCATCAATCCTTCCTTCCATCCATTCTTCCAGCCATCTGTCTATCCATCTGTCTGTCTGTCTGCAAAGAAGTTTTGCGTTTTGCGTTTTGCGAGGCGAGGCGAGCGGGAAACGCCCAGCAGGCTGTACCTACTACCTACTGGTACTGCGGTGGTACCGCGGTGGTACTACGGCGGCGGTAGTGGTGGTGGTAGTGTTCCGCTGCCTTCTAGCGCCCCGGCGGAGGTCATGCAGCTATGTACACGCTCTATGTACTCGATGTATCATGTATCAAGTACTATACGTGAGAACTTTTCACGAAGCTCCGGCGGGCTGACGATGGCGTTGCGCTGCGGTGTGTCGTTGCGAAAAATTATTCATTATCCCTGCAGCTTCCAGGCACCGTCACGGACAGGCACGGACAGGCACGGGAAAACACCATCGGTATGGCATCACCATGTGCCCCGCCGACAGAGGCCCAGAGGTCGGATGAATATGTAAGCATACATTCAGACAGACAGAGAGATACAGACAGACGCTCACAGTCACACTCTTATCTCGCCCCCACCTCCACCTCTACTTCTTTAGAGTACTCGAGAGTACCCTCCCCTCACAGAGTCACGGCGGAGCCGGATGTTTAAGGACGTCGACCCCGGCTGTGGCGTCGCTGAGGGATTTGTGGATCCGTGACTTTCCCGGTTTCCAGGTTTTTGTTTTTTCTCTCTCGGTTTTCTCTGAGAGATACACCCCGTGTGTGTGTGTGAAGTATGCATATGACGAAAACTTGTTTCCGCGATGTTTGCCCGTCCTTGCGAGGCGAGGCACTGGCTGCTAGGTATGATACACCGCACGTTCGTCCCGTGGGCCAGTCGCACACTTGAGTGTCGCACACACGCAGTGCCCATATACCGTAGATGTGCATACCGTATGTATCGCTCCAGGACAACATTTGAGCTGCCGCAATTCTTAATTCTCAATTCGCAATCCGCCTTCGCAGCTGCTGCTGCGACCTGCGACCTGCGGCCTGCGAAACGGAATTGGAAAATGGAACATGGGGTACGGTAGGCAGGTGTCGGCAGAGCACGTATCGAGTCTCGAGTCTCGACTTTGTGTATACTCGATAGTTTATTCGGGAGGCCAGGCGAGCTCGAGCGAGCGAGAATTCTTCCATGTGCGGACGCAGGCCTGGAGAGCGGTATTTTCTTGCTTGCATGTTTGCATGAGCATGACGGAACGGAGGAGGGCGATGGGTGATGGGTGCGCCGTCACATGTGGCCGACCTATCCAGACAAGACAAGACCAGACGGACAAGACCAGACGGACAAGACCGGCGTCGTGACGTGACGTGCCGGTGTCTGGCCTGGAAGAAGAAGAAAAAAAGGAAACACTCACTCACTCACTCACTCACGCGAAAAGAAAAGAAAAGAAAAGAAAGTCGAAAAACGGCCAGCAGAAAGAAAAACGAAGGAAAGAAAAAACGACGATATCTAGATTCTACGATCCGGATCGTCGAGCGGGCACAGATGTGGCGACAGAGATAGAGATAGAGGTGGAGATAGAGATGGAGATAGAGTACGGTAGGGAAACGAATGAGGAATACCTACGCAGTCGTTCGTCCGAAGTTCATTCTCGATCGGGATTGACGGATTGGATTGCGCCATCGATAGGTACTCTACCAGATGGCGGATTGGGGGAGGGGAGGCGCGCTCCCTGTGGACTTCGAGCTGAGATTTCCCGTATGTACATACGGTAGTAGCGGCGGTGGTGGTGTCTGCGGCCGCACATGGAAAGCTCGGGGCCGGGGGGGAGGGGGGATTGTGCAATGGCGGTGTGGGTGCGGGTGATATGCTGTGCTTCCCATCTACTAAGGTCTTCTTGCCGGTCCATGAGCAACAGCTGATGGACGAGCAATATAGTACACTCGGCTAAGAACAAAAGCAAACCGAGTCTTACGGTATTGAGAACGGTACCGAGGCCAACTCCGCGTGCGACGGGGTGGAGTGGGGTGCAGCGTGCTCGCTCCCAAATTCCCAATGGCGAGCAAAAACAAATCCTACGCATTCGTCCTTCCTGGAGCCTGGAGTTGGTATGTCGGATCCGATCCTCGCCGTCACTGAGTCCACACTGATTCCCCAACCGTTAGGCTGCCGCCTTTCAGAGTAGATGCCCACGGATTACGCGAGAATTGAGAGTTTGTATGCTGGCTGGTACTCAAGATACCCGAGTGATCTTCCGGCCTCAAGGCTCAACGTGCCGCATCGGCATCGGCATCCAGTGTTTTCCGAAGGCTGAAGCTAGCCAACGATATCATTCCAGAAAAACTACTGTCCTCTTCATCGGTCCTCCCCGATATATGTACCTCTATCACAGACATAACGGCCAGGACTCGGGAAGGTCACTTTGGCCGTCACTCGTAACTCCACCTCTCAGCTGGGTGGGCCGGAAACGAGCTATTTAAGTACCTATTACCTTGGAAAGTATGTCGCCTAGGGAAAAGACAGGGTATTCTACAGCACCACGTGCACTTGACTCTAGAGCTTTCCAAGCTACATGCCGGAGTAGGTAACCGAAGGTTTCGGTTTCGGTTTCGGTTTCGGTTTTTGGCACGGCGGTTCGGAGCACGGCGCTGCACTGGATATCACTCGTAGTTTTTTGTTTAATCAGTAATTGCTTGCGACCTAGATAGATCAGCCACATCGGGCCGCCTGATGAAAGCTGGGTTGGACAGAGGCGGGGAAACGGGGGGCGAACGGGTAGAGATATTGCCATGATCTAGATAGGTCGCACGTAATCAATGAATGAACCAAAAAAGACCTAGATAGATCATGCCAATATATGTATAAGCTCCGGCTCAACACTACTGTCCAACCCGACTTTCATCAAGCGGCCCGATGTGGCTTTCCCTGCCCTCCGTACGAATTTTTCTGGGGTCTGGCACCGTATATCACTCGCCCTACGAGTGATCGCACATGGTGTAGGAATCTTGCAGCACAATTATGTACATAGCACCCTCGTAGTTAGAAGCGACATTTATGTAAAGAAGGTGGTGGGGAAATACATTCACCTACTATTGGATTATCCTGGAAGCCAAGGAGTAGCTGTGAACTCTGGCGATTGGAAAGATGCCTACATGGCCGACACGAGAAATAGGTACTTCAGGCAGACTCACCATACTGTCTCCCTGACGCGATAAGTCACAAGTACAGATTCACCTTCATACGGCGAATGACGGCTTCACCTGGGGTCACAAAACTGTCGTCGTAAGAATCCGCGCTAACCAGCTCGAGTGGCAACCCTGATCACATCAATGAGTTAATCACGTGTCTCTCGCCTCGCCTGCGTCTGCGCGCCAACGGCAAGTACCGTTCGCGAAGAAAGCAGCAGAGCAGAGCCGTCGTCCCCAACGTCACAACTCCAGCAGATCCCACAACAACACCGCAACGATGGCCACGACGACGACAGAAACGATGGGCCTGTCCTTCCCCGCGCAGACGTTCCAGAAGCTCTCGCCGGGCTCCTACCTCCTGCGACACCTCCAGTCCACGGAACCCACACGGCCCTCGGCGCGCGCACCGGAAGCGTTTCGCGCTCCGTCGCTCCATACCAATTCGCTATCGCACGCGCAGGGGTCGGCGGTGGTGCGCACTGGCGATACTGCCGTCGTGTGCGGCGTGCGCGGAGAGATCTTGGGGCTTACACATGGAGAGGGGAGGACGAAAGGGAAGATTGATGTGCACCGGAATGTCTCTGACGGCACCACCGGGAAGTTGGATGTCGACGAGGAGATCAAGACACACTCGCTGCTCGTGCCAAATCTTGAGCTGGGTATGTTCCACCCCACCCCTCCCCCTGTGGATGGGCGGGTGCGTGCTAACGGGGAATACGTGTAGGCACTGGCTGCTCCCGTGACTACCATCCCGGCCCACCGTCGGACTTTGCACAGGCGGTGGCGGAACGATTGCGCTCCCTGCTGCTCGATACTGCGACGTTGATACCGGCCTCTACACTGCGCATCTGCGATGTCGAAGGCGAGACGAAGGCCTACTGGGTGTTGTACATTGACATCGTGTGTATCTCACTCGACGGCAACGTTCTGGACACGGCATGGGCGGCGGTGGTGGCTGCACTCAGGTCCACCAGGCTGCCAAGGGCGATATGGGATGCGGATAAGGAGATGGTGGTCTGCGATCCTAATCCTGCCGCGTACCGTGCCCTGGAGATGAGGGAGCCCGTGTTTGTGGCTTCTTTCTGCGTCTTTGAGAACGAAGGCGAGGAGGAGGAAGGCGGAAAACAGAGGTGGGTACTCAGTGATCCCGATGAGTTTGAGGAGTCCGTGTGTGTCGAGAGGGTGCTGGTTTGTGTAAGCGAAGGAGGCAAGATCAAGAGGATCGAGAAGAGCGGTGGCCTCACGAACGTCGTCGAAGTGTTGCCGGTGTGCATCAAGAGGGCTAAGGAGAGGTACGAGACGTGGGTAAAGATGTTGGGTTGATTGCACCTGAAGAGCTCGAATACATACCATTCCCAAAGATCTGATTTGTATACAGCAACAAAAGCATCTCTACCAGCTATTTATTGACAAAAACCAGCCCACTGACTTTGAGACATGCGGTTCAATGTTTGCGGACATGGTCTCTACGTGAAATGGCCCGTGCCAATACAGTTGATAAACGTGTTACGTTAGCCGCTGCTACAAACTGGCTCTTTTACCTTACCCTCCCACGCTCAGACACCATACTCATCGCGAAAAGTTACAGCCTACCCGCTCTATTGCATTGATATAACAATTTTGGCCCTCTGAGATACCTTCAAAGTGTTTTGATTACTGCTATTACCCAGGCAGCCTCCAACCAGCATGAACTCTCATCTCTCGATCACAAAGCGCCCCAAGCCCACCATCAGCAATAACAATCACGCTGCCGTCGATGCCCTCCGTTTCATCGACCAGATCGACTTCTACCTGTGGCAAGCCAACAACAACGAGGAAACCGTTCTCTTCCGGATCCCATCAACACTAACCAACGCCCAACAAGTAGCGTGGTACAACAAGCTCCTAACCTCGATCTCACCGCGGCCTCTGACCCTCCTCGATCTCCGGCGGGCGCTGCTAACCGACTTCGGCGTGGATGCAAAGACCGCACGCACGGTGCTGGCCCGCTACGATGATGCGGGGTACATCCGCAGCCAGGGCTTCAAGCTGGTGATGAGCTATATCGACGAGATCGAAGCGGCAAAGGAGCGGGAGGTGAAGATTCTGGCCGACAGGGACAACGCGGACCGCAAATGGAAGAGGGTCCTCGTTAAGGCTGAGAATAGGTACAAGGCTGAGCTCAGGGAGAAACAGAGGCTTGTGGAAGCGCTGGGGAGACGCGTGGAGGAGCTGGATCTGGCGGTCAAGGGGCTTACTGCCATTGTGGTTGCGAAGGAGGAGAGGGATATCGCCGCTGCTTGGGGAAAGTATGAAGCGGAGTTGAAAGCTGCTGGAGAGAGGTTTAAGGAGGTGATAAGCGGGAGAAGTATGGCGTAGTCTGTGCGGGTTCTTTGGTTAAGCACTGATGAAGATTGGTAGGATCGAAAGGCCCCGGCGCCGGTGGGCAAACCGTGTCTCCAACTCTACCGATCAGCTATCGTCGTGAAGAAACACCTTCGGACGGCGAAGATGAGTTGGAGGAGCTGCTTTTGGGAAGTTCTGTGGTCAGCAATAGGGAGACTCCACGAAACTCCATGTCGACGCTCGGCGGACATCCGTTGCGCAAGCTCCCTCAAAACGAACGGCCGAGAGCGATTCGAATGCGCTCCGCGAGAGTGAAGCCGTACGTCCATATTGACATTAGGGATCGTCGGGGGACGGTGGAGGGCCAGCAGAGAGAGTCTTCCGGTTGATTGGTTGAATTGGATTCGCTGGTGTACTATTACATACGTGCGGGCTTTTGGAACTCGTGGGAGGTGGGACTGCGTCCTGGTGACTTTGCATGACTCGGCAGCAGCGAGTAGCAAGTTTTTTTTAGACTGACTGTATTCTATGAAAGAAAGAGCGATACAGGTGTTTGTGCTCCCTTTTTGCTCGTGTGTCAAGTGGAAAGGAAGAGATAGGGCCAGATTAACTTTGGCAAAACGAGTGACATAACAGGACGAGCTAACATATTCTATGACACGAATCTTATATAGATAGCAGTACTAAAGCAACCTTACTGACTTCAACTCACACTCTCCACCAAACCACTCATCAATGTCGGGCGTGTTAGGTTCCGGTTGCGACACTCCGCGCGCTCGGACTCCCCCAGATTCCATCTTCGAGGCCATCCTATCGAACTTCAAGTAACACTGGAGTCCTATCGAAGACCCGACGGTGGAAGAGAGCCCCCCAAGTACCAGCACCATCTCGCTCCAACGTTTTCTGGATTTCCTTCTCCACAGCATTGGCAACCCCTCTAGCAGTATCGGAGACATCCATATTGGAGACATCAGCTCCTTCAACAACGCAACTGCACAGGACTGGATGCGCGCACAACTGCAGGAGTCGCCCGATCTCGGCCAATTCATGTTAGCACTCGCCGAACAGCGTCCCGCGAACATGGAGTCGATCAAGAATGCTGCCAAAGAAACGGAGAATAGAGAATTGTAGGAGAGGCTGCACGTAGTTCAGGCGAAGATGAGTGCCATGGCTGACAACGGTGCGGCTACTACCGGCGTCGATTTCGGACCCGCATTGGAGAGGGTGGAACGAGCGGTAAATTGAGTGCGGATATGCTGGGACTTGGACAGGAGATTAGGAAACGTATTACGAATGCGACCTGTGGGAGTTCTTCTAGTAACGTTGTTTTGTGGATTACTGACCTTGGTACTATGTAGCTCCTTCGTGTGGTTCCCCTAGCCCTCGCATTACTCACGCCCCTCGTCCCCGCTATGTCAGTCGCACTCCTGTCCCCTCACTAGTCAAGAAGCGTGCTTTCAGAATCAACCATATCGTCTTCAACTTTGCCGGTCTGGAGGGTCAGAGGGAAAAGAGTGAGTGGAAGGACTTCCGTAGGATCTTTGTAGTTCTGCAGGAAGGCTCGGAGTTCAAGGAGCTTGAGAAGGAGTTCTTGGAGGCTGTCAAAGAACAAGATCCGGAAAACATTGGTGTGCTTGGTAAGGTGAAAGAGGTCATATTCTGGGAGTGCCATGGCCCCAAGATCACGCAGAAGGTTTGGGCAGGTGTTTTTGATATCCTCGGTGACTTGGAAGCGGAGGTGGTATTTTAAGATTGTGCTGAAGAGATTCTACAGGCGGAGGCTGGTGGTGAGATCGCGAAGGCATCTAACGGGCTAATACTTACGCATGGAGCACAAAATGTCCTCTTCCCGCTCGAGCAGCCATGAATAGAATATTCTACCTACAACCTGATGGCGAGTCGCGAGTCGTGAATCGTGAATCGTGAATAATTTCCTCCCATCGACCGAGAGGCCCACAAGGCCAGGAGATTGTATAGATGTGCTTACGTAGATCTCTCGATCATTTATTTCCTTCGTGACCCGTGTTTTGCGCCGGAAACAAGCTTAGCTATGACGGTAAATCTCGCCCACTCTAGGACTGACAATCTTGTCCGTCCACCGGGGCAGTAGGGCTCTGCGTTGGACCGGAAGGTCGCCCTACCTTCGCCCGCCCCACGGCCGGCCGCCCTATCCGTCCACCGGGGCATTGGACGGAAGGTTGCCCTACCATCGCCGTACAGTGCCCGCCCTACCCTCACCACACAGTGCCCTATCCTCACCACACAGTGCTTGTGACGGACATTTGCAACTAATTCAAAGAAGAGAAGGGTTGAATCTCCTCTACCCCTCTAACTCCCCGTGTTTCCTACCTACCACCACCATTACACAACACATCATCCACATACATAACCCCGACCTCGTACAAACTCATCAAATCATCAAATCACCGAAAATCCACACACATACAACGAGAAAAGAAACAAACACATACAATTACCACAGGCAGCAATGGAATCAGTTTCACTTTACGATGAGATGCCTAATTCTCCGGACATGGCCGTGGATACGCGCCCCGAGATGCGTCTAGTGGTTTACGCCGGCAACCCGCGGTATGCTAAACATTCCATCCGAGCTTACATGAATATATGCAGCTAATAAGTCTGCAGTCCTCCTCTCCCTGAACATTGGGCCGGAAACAACGACCTGTGGTGCGTCCCTCGCCAAGCTGTGATCAACTACCAGGTCAGCAACCTTCCTGCACCCTAACCCCCCCCCAACCATACTATTTCTAACATCACACTCCATCACTAGGCCTTCATGGATACCATGCACATGATTGGTGCCTTTCAGGACTGCGAGTATTTTGCGGTTCTGTCTGCCGACGGCTACAAGATCCACCGAAACTTTTGGGACTTTTACGCCTCGCGTCACAATGTCCTCTACATTTGTCTTCAAGACCCGAACGGATTCGATGAGTATCAGAACCAGAACCAGATGGGTTGGCATGTTGTTTATGCTCCAACCTGGATCTCTCACGAGTTGCGCGCCCCTGTGGCCCAGGGATACCCCGAGAGGAACCCGGAGAATCAGCTCAATTACAGAGACCCTCCAGCGTTGATGCCATCTGCATCGCCTCAGTTCATAACCGGTCCGACCACTACCCCAGTCCACTCTCCTACCGCTGGCCACGTGGATCCGGAAATGCCAGATATGACGAGCTCGGTGCCGAGATCTCCTTTCTCAGTCGGCCCTGGTAGAGCTGGTCACGTGGATCAGGAAACGCCAGATATGACGAGCTCGGTGCCGAGATGTCCTTTCCCAGTCGGTCCTGGTAGAGCTGGCTTGGTCCCGAAACGTGCTACCGATTCAAAACCTGAGCTGAGCCAGCCGATCCCCCTGCAACCTCTATTTAATCCTTTTGTAGGAATTCAGTCACAGCGGTCGAGAGCATCGGAGTGGTCGGTAGGATCCGGAGGGCTAAGCCGTCGCAGTAGCTCCGCCTACGAACCTACGCAAGGCTCACTTGGAGTGCCGAAAGAATGGTACCCTTTCTACTCGATCAGAGAGAGAATGAGATCCCCAGTCGTCGCCTTTCCAGGAACTGGTAAAGAATTCTGGAGACGCGAATACCGCGCTAATTTACCGTCCGTCAGCTCCGGAAATAGCAGCGGCAAGGAGATCTTGAGAACTGGCCGATTTTCGCCGGTCGTGAACCCTCCAGGAGACGGTACCGAGTTCTGGAGACACTGGAACAGACACAAGCTCGCCGACACCCTCGAGGCTATGGGTTTCAGCAGATATCATTGCCGGGAGTTCCAGGATACTCCACCTGTGATCATTCCGGAGCCGACCTTTCCGGGGCCAAAGAATAAGGAGCCCGCCGCGCCCAAGTTCGTCCCTGGACCCGTTGGACCCCGTGAACCTGAGAACGAAGGCCAAACCATCATGGTCGGCAGCTGCCTGCGCGATCATGCCGGTGGGATCATTACCGAGACGACACTAATGTTCAAGTCCCACCTTAACATGAAACAGGTTCATGACCAAATTCTGCAGTACTATCTAGCTCACCTCCCCCATCCCGAAGGAAAGCAGATAGGCCTCAAGATTACCCAGAGTCCCAATGGAATCTTGATTTATCCGACCGAGGATGTCGGTGGCTATACAGTCGGAGAGTTCGAAGATCGCGAGGACTGGGTTCTTGATTGCCGTCCCATGCCTATCGAGGAACTTCAGCGCCTGTCTCAGACCAACTCTCGGGACATTCACGGCCAGGACATCCACGGCCAGGACATCCACGGCCAGCAGACCCACGGCCAGCAGACCCACGGCCAGGAGATTCGCGCCGAACACCAAGAGAGCGAGCCTCGTCGTATGAATGCGGTCGAAGAGTTCCGTGGCCGGATGGCGAGGATGAGGGGGGACTTCAAGAAAGATTTCGACAAGATGGCCTGAATGAGTAGAGTGAGAGTTGTAGGTTACCACGTCAAATTTCGGAGGAAACGTTCTGTTTGGTTCGATGAGGGACGAAGCGGTTAGAATAGTTCTACGAGTGAAAAATGACAACTGGTTACCTAAAAATTTGCAATGTGGCGTGACGTGACTATGTAGATAAACTGAACCCAGAGTGTACCATGATCTACATCTTCACAAGATAAGACTCGGCCGTGAGTGATAAGCAATGTGAGTGACGTCATGATGTCAATGTCGCGTCCGGCACCGGTGGTCCCGGATCGTCGTGCCAACAGGGTCCTTTCAAGATGTACAATGTATGTATGAACTCATAGCAGCGTAAGAGCTCAGTTTAGTCGGAATATATCTATCACCGACCCCTCTATCCCTCACCACCCGGTATGTACAATCCCTCAATTGATGCCAATCACCTGCATCACTACCCACCTATACAAGACAAACACCACCAAGGACACCACCAACACACCCACCACAATGAGCGCCAAAAAAGTCCTCATCGTCCTCTCCTCTCGCGACAGCATCACGGTGACCAGCTCCGACGGCAGCACACGGCAGCAAGCGACCGGCTTCTTCCTCAAAGAGCTAGCCCAACCGCTCCTCCGGCTCCTCGCGGCAGGCTACACCCCGGTATTTGCCAACGCCGACGGCAGCAAGCCGGCGCTGGACCCGCTGTCCGACAACGCGCTGTGGTTCCTCTCGTTCACCGAGAAGGCGCGCGAGAAGGAGCTGCTCGAGAAGATGGCCGTCGAAAGGAACTTCGCGCAGCCGAAGAGGTTCGCTGAGCTGCGGGATCAGCAGCTGCAGGAGTTTGCGGGCGTGTTTGTGCCTGGTGGACATGCGCCCATGGAGGATCTGGGGGTGGATACGGAGCTGGGGAGGATTATGGGCTGGTTTCATGAGAAGCGTCTGCCGGTATTTGCTTCCTTCCACTTGTTTTTTCTTTTCCTTTTCCCCGTACGGGCGGAAGCTAACGGATCGGACGGTACAGACTGCGGTGATCTGCCATGGCCCCATAGCCCTGCTCTCTGCACACTCCCCCGCCGACCCCGACTCCTTCCCGTACAAGGGATACAAAGTCACGTGCTACTCCAACAAGGAGGAAATCACGAACGAGTTTATGTGGGGTGGGAAGCTACCGCGGTGTGAGGATGCGCTGAAAGAAGTGGGATGCGACGTTGAGACGCCAATGGTACCGCTGATGCCGAAGGTGGTGGTAGACCGCGAGCTCGTGAGTGGCAACGGCCCGACTAGTGCCGATCAACTGGGCGAGAAGTTTGTCGAGATGTTAGAGAAGGGCGTGGGCAATGTTTAAGAGATGGTGGGACTGCGTGGTTGCTACCTGTTGTACGATACCTACTATAAATTGCCGTCAAAATGGCTATGATACTTATTTTGTAACTCGGAACGGATATGGCTGCTCTTACTACAGAAAGGACTCCAACAAGACCATCGCTTCCAAGTCTGGAACTTCTCTCCATTCGTCTTACGCTCATTCCTACTGGAAAACCCCATCGTTCCGATACTCAGATTCGATGCCGAGTGACATCATGTGTATCTAACGATGGGCCGATTTCGCCTCATATCCATGAGAACGTTTGAGAGGATAATCATAGAATTGATGTGCAATCTAGATTGCATTTACCTTGCAAAGTGCCGCTTCGTTGCATTCATTCTCATTATAAACGTAAACGCATTTCATCTAACGTCTTGGTGGCGTCGTATTATAGCCGTAGTAATCAAGACCTTGAGCCCTTAATATTTCTCTTCTGCTTCGGCTCGTCAGGCTCAACATCCTCCATTTCCGAGCCAAGCTCATCCTCAAGGTCGACGCTCTGCTCTCCATCACTCTCCATCTCATGATTCTCATCGGCGTCGGAATCGCTCTCGCTGCCGTCACTCCCGCTCGCACTTCCATCATCGTCTCCATCGGCGTCGGGGACATAGTCCTCCTCCTCCTCGTCTTCAGCATCGTACAGCGCCTTCTCGAGCTCTCCCATCCCACTGCCATCTCCAACTTCGTCGCTGTCGGCTTTCCCGTTGACGTTGAAGTGCTTTGCGCGGCGCGTGTCTGCCATCGATGAGTCGTTGAGCTTTCGCGCCTTGATGTAGGCGTCGATACCAGGATAGTCTTCCTGGTCGATCATTGAGAATTCGAATTCGCCACCGCCACGGTCCTCCTGTACTCGCACCGAGAGGTTGAAGGTCCGCTTTGTGATAGAGGTATAGGAGACGGAGTCGATGTCGCTGAAGGAGAAGTACATGAGCGGTTTCTTGAAAGCCCAGAGGATGCCGCGTTGGAGGAAGAAGAGGTAGCCTAGTATCCATCAGCCTCCATTTCCCGCATCTTTAACGAGACGTATGATACCTTCTTTATTCCCCCGATGCGCCTTAATATGAAACGCCTTCTCGCCCTTCCGATGGCTCTGCACCACCGTTGAGAAGAATACGCCGACCTTGGGCTCCTCAACTGCTGAGATCTTCGACTTACTCGGCTTCAATTGCGCATTGAAAAGATCCACCAGCAGCGTCCGGTACGTTGTAGTATCGTATCCCATCCCCATCGCATCGCCGCTCGCCGTCTTTGGTGCCCCGTCGGGAATCGTAAACACAAGCGCGTCTTTTGTGCTCCCCGGAAGCCCGTCCGCTCCAACAGGGAGCAGGCAGAAGTTCCATTGTCGCATGGCCTTATCAGGAACGGAAAGACAACAGGCGTAGTCTAATCTCATCACCATTAGCCCCTACTCCACCCCCGGAAAGACAGTAGCGTGGGGAGGTACCGATATCATCATATAGCAAACCAAACTCCACATCACCGGCCGCGGTAACGGCATTTACCCCCGCCGTGGTGAAAACGAGGTTGAACTTCTTCCTCTGCGGAACACTGAAGCTAATGCCTTCCACCTTGAGGACTGTCGTCGCCATGGACTGTGCCGGTGGTGCTGGCGAGTCGCGTGGTGTGTCGAGCTTCCGTTTCTTCACTACCGGCTCCGCAGTGTTCGGATCGTTGCGGAGGCTCTGGATATATGCGCCGATGTCAGTGAAGAGGCTGGCGGATTTGGGGTCTTTGGCTGTACGGCGTGCTGTGTTAGCAAGCTTGTGTGGAGGAGGTGGTGGTGCGGGAGGTTGTTACCGATCGCGGCGCGTACGGACGCATTGAGCTTTTGTTGGGATGGCAAAGGGAATGCACTGTCCACCCATGACAAATCTGTGGACGCCATTGCGTATGTGTCGTCGGGTGGGTAAGTTTTTTGAGGGTTTGGTGGAGGTGAGGTGGATAGGAGTGATGTGAGGTGTGGACTGTGGTGGGTAAGGTAGAGGTAAGTTCCGGCGGCATATAGCGGCGGCGGCAGTGAGACGCCTCGTCTCGCGTCCTTGGCGCTGTTAGAGCCACCCGCTGCTACTGTCACTTCTAGGCTCAATTGCATATACCGATAATCTAAGGCTCTGATACGTGTGGTCATTCTGCCTGAGTTTTCTTGGAGCTCTCATTTTGGTTGATGCTTTCATCAGGGGCCACACGAAACCTGGCCCCCACCACACGGGTTTTGCTGGAGATCGGGCCGACGGGGTTCCATTCGGCTTCCATCGGCCAGGGTGAGTCGGCTTCTACTCCATGTCCCGCAACCGCATAAATTCCATCTCCAACCACACGCCACCACCACGGGCCGTTGAGGCTGAATAATAGCTGCGAAATTTCCCGTCCCTACCGAAACTCACTCTTCCGGATATGGATAGAAATGCCTTTTCTGGTATTTATGACTGATGGTAATCACCGTTTTTTCTAGATGAGCTAAGGCCAATTTTTTGACGCGACTGGTCATAAATCATGCAAGTGATATCCCATGCAACCGTGAACGTCGGCCCATTGATCATTACATTCCACCTAAACCCATCAAGCCATCCTAACATCCACCGATGGTTTACCCCCAAAAACCCCTACATCTTGCAACCTCTCCAAATCTTCATCATCAAACACCGGTAGCCGGGGCCCCTTGAATCTCCTCTTCCCATCCAAAAAGTAATCGCCTACGGCAATGATAACAACGATTCCCAATGCCAACACCGTATAATCTACCATCCAATCAGTCGTCTGCAAGTCTTCCATATGCAAAAGAGGAAGATCACTCACTCATCGTCTGCTTCGTAACAGTCGGGCCTCCAGGCGGTAAACAGAATAGCACCGTAGTAACAGCGACGAACGCTACACCGATGAAATTCACCACCCAAGCGACGGGCTCCGGCATTCGGAATGGGCGATTCTTGGGGAGGCGTCTACGACCGCCACACATGTTCACGAACGTGGGGAAGGCATAGCTGATACCCAAACTCACGATACTCGCCGAGACGAGGGCGTTCAATGCTGCCGCACCGGCAAAGAAGAGGAGGCCGTAGATCAATACGACGACATAGGTCACTACTAGCGCGTTAAGTGGGATCCCGAGGCCGGTATGTACGTGTGCGAGCCATGGGGAGAAGGGGAGTCCGCCGTCGCGGGCGAAGGCCCACATCAAGCGCGAGGCGGTGGTCATGATCGCTGTGGTGCCGAGTATCAAACAGAGTGTGGGAAAGGTATTGAGCGTTATTGCACCCTGCTGGGACCCAGTGGCCGAGGTGAGGATGTGCAGAAGGGCGCCTTCGGGTGCGGCGAGGACCGACTCAATTTCGGGTGAGACAAAGAGGAGCGCCATACAGAGACAGAAGCCCGAGATTGTACCGATGATTACTGAGCCAATCTATTCCGGAGTCAGCTGGTGAAAGCAAGGAGGTGGGTGGTGGGGAGGGGGTAGGTGGATACCATTACTCGTGGGACGTTTTTGGAGGGATTTATGATCTCCTCGCAGAGATGGGCGGGGGCGTCGTAGCCTATGAGACTGCACGGTATTAATGAGACCTCATGGCCGAGGAATGACAGAGATACTGACGATAGCGTTCCCTGCAGCAATCCAATCGTCCAGGCAAGGCCTGTTGGCCATTCCGACTTGTTTATGACTCCACCAAAGACGAAGCTTGCGGGCAGATAATTCGGGGCCGCGGAAGCAAGTGCAGACATGGTTATGATCGCGAATCCAACAAGGGACCACACAAGGGCTGTTTTGTTGAGCAAGGGCAATTGGCTGTTGCCGAGGGCGTTGACGCAAAATACGAGGGTCGCGATTCCGGCGTAGATCAAGAACGTGTGCCAAGTTTGGTTAACATATGTCTGAACGGCCACGATTAGCAGTCTTCAGCTCACGAGGCGAATGGGAGGAAGTCGTACAGGATTCATCATGGCCGCCATCCCCTCAATCATGGTCGACGCGAAGCTTGCAGCCATGCCCGTGAGGAATACCCAACCGACCAGATTTACCCACCCACAGATCCATGACAGCAGTGGTGCCCATTCCTGGGACGATACAATCGCAACCCAGTAGTATTGGCCCTGTTCACGTCAGTTTTGAAACTCGCCTACCACACCATATCCGGAATCATACCGCAGCGCTACGCGGATTAGCAAGACTGATCGTAACCAGGGAACCAGCTCGAATCTCACGTAGGATACAGTCCCGCAAACTCGGCCATGCTCGCGGCTAAGCACCCGTTACATATACCCGAAACGACAAGGCCCCATAGCACAACCGAGGGGCCACCCCATGGAAGCGCCAGCGAGAACGACGCTGATAGCGCCGTCCACGTGTTTAGAACGATGAAAGCAAGCCCGAAGAGCGACCTATATCATCAGTAAGGGCTTTCTCCACACCAACACGAGAGTTGGGGGCATGGGCACCATGTCGTGTGTGTTCTCTTGAGCTCCTGCTTATATCCCAGGTTCTTGACCTGCTTCGCATCATCGTCCAGTGTTGTGCTTGACATAATTATTCAGAATTCCGTCGTTCTTCGGACCAAATCGCGTGGAATTCGCAGGATATGGGAAACTGGATACTGACAGCGTCTCCTCCCCCGCTATATATAAGAGCCGTTCATGTGTAGGGCGGACGATGTAGCACAAATGGCATCGAATCCGTGTCGTTGTTTTTGTTATGGCTCTGAACTATGCCGGTACTTTAAGCATAACGCCTTACAGGTGTAAGGAGGACCTCAGACAGCTGTCTCGCAAATATTAGGGTACATACCTACCGATGCAACACGGCCGGGATCTCACGGATCGCCGCGAATACCTGTCCGACCCGTCGGATGGCTGCCTAAGTAGCTTCCGGCCGTATCTGCTATCCACAGGATTGGCAGCTCCCCCGTCTTCTACGTTGCATCACATCGGCGGCTAGCCTTGATATCGCAGAAACGATCATAGGTGGCGGCCGCCGACATGCGTGAATATCACATGCGATGTACCTATAACTACGTCCGGGTCCGGATACGTTCTTGCAGAACAAACAGAGGTAAGGGGCATGAAACAGAAGCGGAGGTTGAAGACCTTGGGCTCGGAGTATGAGCCCTTACATTATGCGTGGCCGCGTGGTTGGGTGTGATATATGGTTGGGGACGCCTAAAACCGGAGTGAATTGCGACATTCATTTGGCTGACAAATCACTCGTGATTAAGTGTGTCTACGCCAAAATGAGGGTCAAGAAGTGCGCCGCAGGCAATTTTTCGAATACAGAGCAAGTAATTTTCGTAATTGTGAAAAATTTTGGGCCATATGGCCCCATTTTTGACCTATTTGCGTGTGTTCTGAGGAGGTTCAAGTCGAATAGCACTCATACGCGAGCTCAGTTGGGGTGAGCAAGGATCAATCGGTGCCAAGGCTCGGGTTATAGCTCATTACCTGTCACTCGTATTACCGCTTTAGGAATTTTAAAAAGCGCTAGAGCCTTAGTGCATGCTATTAATTGCGACATTCCAAAATCCTCCCCATACAAATCAGTTTTTTTCAACCCACTTAAATTAATTCACCACGCTGTTTATTTTTATTCCGCTTCTATAGCGACCCACTTTAACCCTTTCTCTATCGTTTTATAGAGCTCTTTTAATTTTAATGGGTGCTGTGGTTGAGTTAAACCGGGGGTGGAGTTGGGCATTTTTTCACTCTTATTTTAGGTGTCCCCAACCATATTGGAATCAACCATTGTTCTAGGTATTATCCGGTGCTGCCAGTTCATCCGATGAGTTATTACTCTGGGGACGCATTCATGAGTAATCACCTACGTGGGTATCTCTATGTGTAAGTTCCACCGCAGAGTCAGCCTAGACTGCATACATGATACCTGTATCCACAAAAAAAACACTCAGGAACCGAAACAATTAAATATTGCGTTCTGACTCTTGGTGATGTTATGTACCACTACTATGAGCCCCCAGTGAAGAATATAGACTCAGTACACCTAAGCACGAACCCAGCGGCAGCCCGCCGGGTTCCACGGGGAGAAGCAACCAAAAGCCTTACAGCGCACCCATAGTATTGTGCAAGTCCTTGGGTATATCGTTTCAATTCTCCCATAGAAGGCTAGAAATAGATAAGAGGGTATCTACAGTCTCAAGTGCAAATAAAGAACACGGGGCAAGGCTTTCGTTGTATGTGCACAGGCGCGTACACGTACACCTCGCATCGGGGTCAAGTCCAGTGGGAAAGCGGGTATCCGGCATGGCGATCTATCCCTCCTCCCAGCATTCCGGATACCATCATGGCAGACAGACCTCCTTATCGTCCGGCAAAAAATTACCGGTTATGTACGTTCCGCAGGACCGCAGTCCTCGGATGAGGAAGACAAAACTCGGGACAAGCCACCAATCATGAACAGAGACTTGAAAAGAAAAGCCCCAGCGAATAAAGCCCGCACCACGTATTCGTTGCCCTTTCTCTTTTATTTTTTGTTTTCCAATGTGTGAAATGTAGGAGTATTGTGATAGGATACTTGATGCTTATTCGTATCGTCATAGAGTAGGTCCTCTATAGTTATACATGTATGCAGATAATAGCTGACGGTTCGCCATTCGGCTCCCGGCCCCGATCGCCACTCCGGTGCCCGAAGTGTCCTCGGTGCCTCTTGGACCATACATACAAATTTCGCGTAAACCCGAACCCCCGGACGACCCCGAATGCAACCCCCGAGACCCAAACACCACCACCGAAACATTTAAGGCTAAATCCCGAGATTCAACCTCACCTCGTCCTCGTCGTAATTATGCAGGTCCCACCGCTCAATATCCTCGGAAAATATGCCAGTTTTCTCGGCATTCTCTGCATCGCTGGGGTTGTTGACCCCAGGCTCGACTGGCTCGTCGCCTTTCTGCCCAAACTTATGGCTGAGTATATGTACTGAGAACTGCCAAACACTCTGTTCACCCCCAAAGTTTTCCGGAAACTAAAATTGAACAGTACCTACTCGGTGTCCCGGCGGGGAACTGAATTTGGCTCTAAAACTGGAACTGAAAACTGAGGCCATCCAAACGGGCCCTTAACGGTAGCGATGTGCGAAGCGGTGCCCAAGTGGTGCGAGACGAGCATCAACCAGCACGATGCATTCCTCTTGACACCCGAGGGTGTAAATGAAATTTGAATGGTGCATGTTTTCTATTGGAGTGGCAGATGCTATTGTGGAAATATTTGCGTGATACAGACCATGAGAGGAAACTCAATAGCGAGTGATGGGTATGAATGGCCACGAAATGAACCAAGCAATTACACGGCTATCACTCATTGTACTTTCCCAGCAGCTGAATTTACCAGATATTCCTACGCACCGCACCGTATTATCGTACGTGCGTTCTCCACGACACGACACGGACTACATTCATCCATCCATCCACGCAACCCATGATATGAAACAACAATATCTTCACTGAAATGAAAAACCAAACGATTCCCTTTTGAGCACCAAAACCAAACGATTCCAAACATGAGAAAAAAGTTCAAAAGATATTCGCACTTCCTTCCTTCCTTCCACACCCTCCACCGATGCCAGATCTAATCCTTCTTGGAGAGCAGGTTCAGCGCGCTTCCAGCGAGGACATAGCCACTCTGGTCCTTGGAGAAAGTGTGCTTGACGGGAATAGTATGCTTTGATCCGTCACGCTTGGTGAGCTCCAGGGCAACCTCTCCCTTGCCATGGTTCTGGAGCATCTCCAACAGGCCGACGGTAGTAACGCTATCGCAGGCGGCCATGAGGTCGTAGTCCGCCTCGTTGGCGAAGGTCAATGGGACGATGCCCTGCTTCTTGAGGTTGGTCTCGTGGATGCGGGCGAAGGACTTGGCAAGGATGACGCGGCCGCCGAGGTATCGGGGCTGAAGAGCAGCGTGCTCACGCGCGGAGCCCTCGCCGTAGTTGGTCTCGGCGACTACGAGCCACTCCTGGCGTTCGGACTGCCACTTGCGTGCTAGCTCGGGAATGCCCATAGACTTGCCATCGAAGTCGTACGCAACATTCACCTCCTCCGTCTCGGCGTTCATGGCGCCGATCAGGGTGTTGTTTGCAATGTTCTCGAGATGGCCCTTGTATTTGAGCCACGCTCCGGCGGCGGAGATGTGATCGGTCGTGCACTTACCCTTGACCTTGAAGAGGACCTTCAGATCCTTGAGCTCTGAGTTTCCAAAGGGCTTGAAGGGCTCGAGGAGAGCGAGGCGGTTAGATGTGGGAGAAACAACGACGGGGGTCTCGGGAGATGGCTCGATGACGCCAGCGAAAGGAGAAAAGTCTTTGTTTCCGGGAATGAAACCGTTGGAGGGAAGCTCGGGTCCGGTAGGGGGCGAAAACTTGAAAGATCCCCCGTCGGAAGTAGGAATGGAATCGGTGATGGGGTTGAAGGTTGTGCTGCCAGAGTAAATCATGGCGGTGACAAGCTGTGGCTAAATGAGCACTTGAACTGGAAATGGGATAGAAACGAACCTACCTCCGGTGAGGCAAGGAAGTTCATGGTTTCGGGGCTTCCGTCGTTACGGGAACGGAAGTTGCGGTTGTAAGAGGTGAAGATAGCGTTGGTATCGCCCTTCTTCACATCATCCGTTCGCTTCCACTGTCCAATGCAGGGTCCACATGCATTAGCAAGGACAGTTCCTCCAGCCTTCTCAAACACGTTGAGTGTCTGATCTCTCTCCAAAGTAGCACGAATCTGCTCACTTCCGGGAGTGACGAAGAAGTCAGCCTTGGGCTTAAGTCCCGCAGCCTCAGCTTGCTTGACTAGGTGCTCGGCGCGCATCATATCCTGGTAGGAGCTGTTGGTGCAAGAACCAATGAGACCGGCGGAGAGCTTCTCGGGCCAGTTTTGCTCTTTCACGACATCCTTAAACTTGGACAAGGGTGTAGACAAGTCGGGGGTAAAGGGACCGTTGATATGGGGCTCCAGCTCGGAGAGGTTAATGGTGATCACCTCGTCGTACTTGGCGTTCTTATCGGCACGGAGGAAGTTGTGCTGCTTGTTGATATCCTTAGCGGCCTCTGCAACGAATCCACGGTTGGTGGCGTTCAGGTAGGCAATCGTGCTCTCGGTCATCGGGAAGAGTGATGTAGTAGCTCCAACCTCAGCTCCCATGTTGCAGATGGTTCCCATACCGGTTGCACTAAGGGTCTCCACGCCAGGTCCGTGGTACTCAATGATGTATCCGGTACCGCCACGCACGGTCAATCTTCCGGCAAGGTTCAGGATCACATCCTTGGGGGTAGCCCACCCGCTCAACTGTCCCTCAAGTCGAACACCCAAGACTTTGGGCGCCTTCAACTCCCAAGGTGCGTCGACAAGAGCGTCAACGGCGTCTGCACCACCGACACCAATAGCAATAGCACCGAGACCACCTCCATTAGGTGTGTGCGAATCCGTTCCGAGCATCATCAACCCGGGCGCTGCGTAGTTCTCCAGCACAATCTGGTGGATAATTCCTGATCCGGGAGCCCAGAACGCAATACCGTACTTCTTCGCCGCGGATTCTAGGAAGTCAAAAACCTCCTTGTTTCCGGCAATAGACTTGGGCAAGTCGACGTCTGCACCGCGCTCCCCGACAATCATGTGGTCGCAGTGGATCGATGCTGGCACAGCAGTGTTGGGGAGGCCACAGGTCATGAACTGGAGCAGTGCCATCTGCGCAGACGCATCCTGCATAGCTACTCGGTCGACCTTGAGCTTGAGGTAGGCTTCACCACGGATTTTGCCATTGAGACCGCTCAATGCTTCCTCGGGGTTGTCGAGATGCGAGTAGAGGATCTTCTCGGCGAGCGTAAGGCCCTGCCCGGAGCCAAGCACACGGCGGACTTCGGACAGCTTCTCGACGAGCTTCGCGTACGGTGGGCAGACATTGGGGCGGAAGCTGGAGGGAGCAGTAGAAGCTTGTCGCAGGAGATTGTGACTTTTCTACAACGGATTAGCGAGGCTTCAAGCAAATTCAATAGTCAGCAATTTCATTACCGTGAGGCCTCCTCTCCGGCCACTGCGCGCCGCCGCTTGTAATAACCGTGTTGACTGCATCGGGCGATATTGTCCTCAAGGAAGGTACAGAGAAGCGAGGAAGATCCGTGGGCCCTTTTATTAACCTTGTCGGAGTCGGGAGGCGGATGCAATGGCAAAATTTCGGAAGCCCTGGGGGCTGAAATTTTAAGAAATGCCGTTTTGCGAGCAAGGTTATTGGTCCGCCTTCCTAGCGTCGTGGCACATTGCGGGGTTCGGGTCATCATTATTTGTCACTCGCAGTCTCAGGCACGCGAGCAATTTTAATGCTACATAGGAATCTGTGGTATCATACCTCCAGTAGACGAAGAGACGCCCGGATGCCCGGTGCGAATGGTGTCGCTACAAGACCCAGACCGGAGAGCACCTATTCAAGTACTGCCCCGAATGGAAGACCTAACAGAATTAAGATCCTATGGGCAGAGGTTCGGAAGGAGACAGTCAAGGAAAGGATGACTTCCAGATTCGAAACCTCTTCGCGGACGAGCGATGCAGCCAGATCATTCTAGACTTTCTCGCCACCAATGATGTGGACAGGCGGGTCCCGCAGGGCGGTGAGAAAGACGCAGCCAGTGAGGCGTCGGAGTGGGAGTTGAGAGCACGGGAAGAGAGACAGGCGGAGAGGAGGCGAGAGGAGAAGGAGGGCACTGAGGTCGAGGAATCGGGGCCACTCCTGCTGTTTCTCTTCAATGAGCCCGCCTATCAGCTGATCACCAACGCACATAGTTACGGCATTAATAATATTGCTCCCGGCAACAACCATGGTTGGGCAGGTAAGTTCAGCCTGACTAGCAATACCAGACAACGGAGACACGACAACGGGATGGTAAAAGCGTAAGCTTCTCAGAGTTGGTATTTTCCATAGGCAGATAGCCAAATCTAACCCTAACCGCTGAAGCTGATGCACCGAATGAGATCCGCAGATCATGACAGCGAAACACCCTTCATAACCCAATCCCATCCTCAAACTATTGCAGCAAAGCTGAGATCGTTTTTGCTCTCGATCACAATGTCGACTGGCACACGATTCTCCAATAAGAACCGCCCATTGGGTATATCGTTTCCCTCAGCTCGCGCCACTCCATCCTCTAAAGTTGCAGATATTCCCGCCGCAACATGTCGTTTTGCCAGCCTTTGCTTCGCCAGGTTCTCATCGACTTCCACGAACCACCGCATGTCAAACAATGCTGATACAGCAGTCCATTCCTCCGGGGCTGAAAGGGAAAGATAGTTTCCTTCGAACACGAGGATCCTAAAGCCGACGAACATTATTTTCCCGCTCTTTCAGGATGCGCATAGGGCTTTGGGTTGTAGCCTACCTCTGGGTGGGTTTGATAGGAATATCGTTCTCCACCGGATCCTTCACAGCGTGATCGAAGCTCGCTGCATAAATTGTTGGCGGCTCCGTCTCCGATATCGGGGCCTTGCAGGCAACAATGAGTTTTGCAAGGCCAATAGGATCGAAGGTCCAATGTGCTCCGCGACAGTAATGGGCCCGCGCGGGATCTGGCATTGCAGAGAGCTGGGCACGGGTATAATGGTATCCATCCTATAACGCGTGGTCGTCAGCGATGTTTACTTCAGCCAGTTACTTTTGTTTCATATGACCCTACCATCGGAACCATGGCTGCAACTGCTCCTCCGAGCTTCTCGTTCAGCCCTCGGACGACATGAGCTGCCAATGTCGTCTTGCCGCTGCCTGGAATGCCAGCAACGGAAATCAAGAGTCGTTGGTTTGAAGGGATGGACTCGAAGCGGGCTTTTTGGTGGTCAGCGAGAATGAACAGGCAGACTGTCAGCGATCACCTACCGGCAGCTTCTTCGACGAGAGAGTGGGCCTGATCTTGCATATCAATACTGTCTCTGACTGGCAAAGTTGTAGTATCACACGGGAGGTGGCTGATTCTCGGCTAGAGATGTTGATGCGGTGATGAAGCTAATTGACGTTACACCAGACTGGTTCGTGAGGGGTGAAATGCGGGGGTGATCAACGCGGGGGTGGTCAACGCGGGGGTGGTCAACGCGGCCGCCAACCTCTCCGCAACGACCTCCCGTCTGTAGGCGACATCTCGTCAAACCACCCCACGGGTCAGACAGCGTGTGGCACGGCAGCGATTGCGTTCAACCAATCAATCCCATCCATCTCTACCCACCCGAAGATGTGGCTATTTCGGGCACTGGTGGACGACATCGTCCTGATAGCGCCTACTCCAACGCTGCACGGAGCCGGGAGAGCTCTGATTTCCGCATCGTTTTGAAGCTGAGATGCTGCACTTCGGTGCAACCCCTTCCCGACCTGAAGATACTCGATGGGCGACTTTTGAAAGGCATGTCTTACTAGCTCCTACTCCGACGCGGCACGTAACGTATGTAGTCGAGACTCGAGCTAGGATTTTCCCATCAACTTAAGCTGAGATGCTGCACCTCAGCACGGGGACATGTGTTTCATTTGATTGGTCATATTGGGCATCACTTGGGTCGGACTGCATGTTTGAGGCGGACAGAAGAATTCGGCTTCCACAAAAACGATGCACGGCATCGTGATCGAATAGCACTCTACCTAGGAGAAGAACATTTCTCTAGATGCCATCCGGATCAGGCCATTTCATGGTGGGCCATTTTGTGGCAACCAAGGCCTTTTTATTACCCCGCAGTGGCAACGATCCCCGCCAGAAATCCCCAGGGAGGGCGGTTGATCGCCGCCTACGAATACATCCTAGGGCCAACTTTACTTTACGCAGACACTCCTGCAGGTTAGCTATAGCGAGCCAATCGCATCGTCATTCTCGTAGGGCTGAATGTACCTCCACGATAACCCCGAATTCAAAGCGGCCTGGCCGGGCTTCGTACGGCACATCTGCATCGATCCTGCAACCCATCCTAGAGGATTTATCTTCTCTACCATCAGCTGCGGGATTCACTGTCTCGGATTGGTCAATTGTTTCGCTGCGTATGAGCTGCTCCTTCGTGCGCCTGCAATCGGAATCGTGATCAAGTTCAGTCGCCACTTCTTGGATGCCCATCATCATGGTAGTTCCCCCACCACTGTCCACATCATATATAAATATGCCCACCAGATCCCCTTTCATTTACATCCTCAATTCCCCTCAAGGATTCAATCCCATCCTCTCTGATTTCCCAAACAATCCAAAAATCGCAGACAGACCGGTCATTTCACAATGGCCACCAGAAAGATCAACATCACTGGTGTCCAAGGCGGCCGCGGGCAAGGCACCAACAACCAGATGCCAGCCCGCATGGAGATCAACACCTATCTTCAGGATGCGGATCGCAAAACCATCCTTCTCCTCGGCCTTGAGCGCATGCAGGCCCGTCCCCATAGTGATATGAAATCATGGTACCAGATTGCTGGTATTCATGGAAGACCGTACACTGTGTGGGATGGCGAAGGGAGGAACGGGCAGAAGCCGGGTGGATATTGCACCCACAGTAGTGTATATGACCCTTACGCATCATGAAAGTCGTCCATGTAAAGCTTACTCGGTCGCAGGTCCTCTTTCTGTCCTGGCACAGGCCGTACCTGGCCCTGGCGGAGACGGTCTTGTACGAGGACATCCAAACAGCCGTCAAGGCGTTCCCAGCTGGTGCAAAGCGTGATCGTCTGGCAGCCGCAGCTGTGACTTTCAGACTCCCGTGAGTAACTATTCCACGCACCAAGTCGCATCCATCCTTACAAAAAGACAGATACTGGGACTGGGCTTCCAAGCCGGCGATACACCCTCTCATCCTCCAAAAGACGGTTCAAGTTGAGAAGCCCACGGGAACAGTCACCATCCCCAATCCGCTCTACAGCTACAGATTCCAGAATACCAATGACTTCCCCCCCGGGAAGTATAGGAACTGGACGCAGACGTTGCGTCATCCTCTTACGGATTCTTCGATGGAAAGTCAGGACGCGATCCTGACTAATATTAAGACGGATATAGAAAGGAGGGATACGCAAGATCGTTTCGGCGGACGAAGGGGTCCTTGGATCAAGTAGGTGCCATCTGTGATGCACCCTGATAATCATACGATGGCTAACATATTGAAGTCTCCGAGAGAGAATCTGGCATCTTTTGAACGTCGAACAGAACAGGTATCCTACGTATGCAGCCTTCAGCAATGATAGGTGGGTGGTGAACGGCCGCTCCTCCGATTACGACTCCATCGAGTCGGTTCACAACTCGCTCCATGGCATGATTGGAGGGAGTGGACACATGGGCGATCCAGGATATGCTGGGTAGGGTTTCCAGTTCGATATGATGACACCACAGTGCTAATGAGACATCAGCTTTGATCCCATTTTTTGGCTCCACCACTGCAATATCGACCGCATGTGGGCACTATGGCAGGCACTTCACCCTGAAGATGATATGAACTGGGACTTCGGTATCAAAGCCGAGACTGAGCACACATTCCACTGGTGGTCAGGAACTAAAGAGGAAGAAAACACCCGTAAGTAACCCCATATTAGTCCTTTTGATGTCCACAACTGACCTTCACGTCTCAGCACTCGTCCCCTTTCACCGGACTGACAGCGCCTACTGGACATCAAATGACTGCCGCGACTTCAAAACCTTCGGCTATACTTACCCCGAGCTGGCAGATTGGAACGTTCCCAATGTCAGCCGGGCACAGCTCCGTACAAAAGTAGCCGCTTCAGTCAAAACTCTGTACGCAAACCAGACGACTGCCGGCTCGCTCCTGAATGCAGCCCGCTCATCGGCACCGGCGGGAAGCCCATTCATTTCCCTTGCATCTGCCCCCGGCGGCGATATGCCCCCACTCGAGCCCCGGCCAGGAGCTGCAGCCCCAACCGCAGCCTCAACCGCAGCCTCAAACGCAGCCCCGGAAAAACCAAAGAGTGCGCTGCAGGCTGCTGCTGACGCGATTCCCCGTGGCCCAGCTCAAGCGGCCACAACCCCGGCTCCACAGCAGCCCCTTCACGCGGCTGCTGCTCCCTCTGGCTCCACTCCGAGAGCAGGTCCCCACGCCGCCACCGCCGCCTCTCCCGCCAAGACCCATCATTTCGGGGTGCGCGACGTCGCTGCTGCAGTATCGAAGGGGGTGGATGCCGCCACCACCGGCGTAGCCAAGGCAACAGAGGCCGCCAAAGCCGCTGCTCCGCCGCAAGTCCGTGCGGCCATCGAATCCGTTGAGCGGGCCACCTCGGGCCCTCTCAAGGCCGCCGGCGAAGCGATCAAGAAAACCGCCGCTGGTAACTCCGCTCCCCGCTCCCCCTATCCCAAATAAGTATGTAGCTAATACCACCGCAGCCTACGAGCGCAAGGTAATCGAACTCGACGTCCCCATCAGCACGATCGTGAAGAACAACAGCCACCGGGAGTACTTCGCGAACATCCGGGCGCCGAAGTACAGTTTCAACGGGTCGTACGTGGTGCACGTATTCCTTGGTCCGTTCACGGAGGACTACCGACAGCGCCCCTTCGACCCCAACCTCGTCGGCTCCCTCCACGTCTTCGCAAACAACATCGAAACCACCGGCTGCGAGAACTGCAAGAAAAACGCTGAGCAGAATCTCGCCGTCACTGGCTCCGTACCGCTTACGTCTGCACTCTTGGAAAGGATTGCCGAGGTCGGATCACTAGAGCAACAACATGTCGAACCGTATCTTAAGCAGAATCTGCATTGGAGAATTCACCACGTATGTGCCCCCCCTCTCTCCTTAATCCTTACCTCGATAATAATGATACCGCCGGCAGAACGATGAAGCCCACGGCAACGTTGACCGCCGCACCTGCGGCGAGGACCTGAAGGTTGCCGTGACCAGTGTGGTAGTGGAGCACCCCGCCACACCGGACGGAATCCCGATCTATCGAGATTGGAACCCGATCCCTGGTATTACCGAGGGGCGGCCCACCGGTGCTGGGTACGATGACGCTGAGGGATACGAAGGCTGAGGGATGGCGGGTTCGGAGGATGGGGATGGGATGGAGGATGGAATGATGGGATGATGGGATGGGATTGTATACGGATATGAGCGAGAGAAGAGAATATGATATCTAACGAACTTTTGTTTATGTTCATGTGTGCGCAACGAATGGAATGTAATTCACCCTGGTCCGTGGGATGGATGGATGGATGGATGGATGGATGGATGGATGAGGGCTCTGGACTGCTGCAGTGGAGTGCCTACATCCTACCAACCTACCTGCCTAGGTAATCAGTGAATTCCCCATCCTTACATGGCAATACGCATCCCCCGCCCTCCCCCCCTCGCCACAGCACCCCACAGCACCCCACAATGCATCATTCATTCAGCACATCACATCACATCACATCACATCACATCACATCACATCACATCACATCACGATCACAGCTCCAGCTTCCGCATCATCCTCCGCTTCATCCTTCATTTTATCCTCATCCTCATGACATTGCACGTCCCCCATACCTACTACCCCATACTACCCCATACTACCTCTTCATCCTCACGCCACCACTGATCCACAGACCCGACAGAAAAAAAATAAGCAAAAAAACACGTACAACATTTTTCCCCCAACCCCCAACCCCCAACCATCGCCTACTAATCCCCATCCCATCCCATCCCATCCCATCCCATCCCATCCCATCCAGACCCCCCTTTGTGACCGACCTAACTCCCCCAAGACAAGACAAGACAAGAAAGAAAGACAGACAGAAGTACCGGGCACAAAACTAAAAACGAATTACAAGCAAAGAAACAACGAATTGACGAATTGACGAATTGACGACGAAAACACAGCCCCCTCCCATTTTGTTTTTGCTCTGCCCAACCCAACTACGTAAGCTAAACTAATAGCTAAGTACCTACAATGGATAGAAAGAAAGAAAGGAAGGAAAAGAGAATTACGCTATCGTACGGTAGTAGCGGGGGTAGAGGGGAGTAGAGGTATGTAAGTAAGGGTGGTGGTGATAGGTAGGTAGGTAGAAGAAACAAAACGAGTGACGGAAGAAGGGTCCCCATCTACATGCGCATATTCATCCCTCCACCGCCACCACCAGCGGCACCTCCTCCAACCGCACCACCGTTCCATCCCCCGTGCTGGCCACCCCAGGGTCCTCCTGCCGGCCCAAACCCGTTCATACCGCCGTCCATCACGTGGTGTCCCGGCGCACTACTAGAGCGTGGGGCCATGGCGATGCCGCCGTTGAGAGGAGACTGCTGTCCGACGTTTCCCCAGCCCAGGTGAGGCTGCTGCTGCTGCTGCGGCATGCGTTGCGGCGTGGGGCTCACTTGTACGTTGAATGGCATCTGGTGCTGCAGTGGGTAATGCTGTTGCTGCTGCTGAAGAGATCTGTTCACGAGGGAAGGCGAGGTTGCGGGGTTGTTGAATTGCTGTGGTGGCTGCATGTTGTGGTGGGATTGCATGCCGTGCGATGGCTGCATTCCGTGGTGCGGCTGGATGACATGCTGGCTCTGATGCTGTTGGAACCCACTACCACCGGAGCTGTACGAAGATTGCATCATTTGCGGCTGTGGCAGATTCGGGTTGAAACTACGGCTGCTGTGCATGGTCTGTGGAGATTGCGCCGGGTTCGGATAGTAGCTGCTGTTCTGCTGCTGCTGTTGCGGCTGCGGCTGCTGTTGTTGGGGGTAGAGCGGTTGCGCTGTCGGCTGTTGGTGTGTGGGGGGCATTGGGTATCCCATTCCCCGCGTCGTGATCCTGGTATTCATGTTCGGATACGACCTTACAGACGGCAACGTCGAATAAGGTGGTGGACCAGAATGTGGGAACTGCGGCGACGGGGTAAAGTTTGCTGTCGGATTGAATCGCTGCTGAGAGATGTGATTCTGAGGGATCTGTTGCTGCTGCAGCGGCTGGTGCATAGTTGGCTGCATGATTGGTTGCATGTTGGCCATGACAGACATGGTTGGCATTGTCGGCTGCATCGGATCGTGGTAGCCATGGGTAGGAAGATACGGCTGGGTCATCACAGGGAAGAACTGCGAACGTCCGGAGAAGTCGTCATTCTTGTCCTGTCTGCGGGACTTTTCCTGCTTTCCCGGCGGCGGGGTCTCCGGAGGCGATTCCACGAAATCCTTGAAGATTCGAGCTCGGGCCTGTTGGTAAGCAGCCTCCCGCTCTTCCCGGGTGGTCTTTGAGTTCGAGGTGACAACGGAGTTATCGTTGTCGGACGAAGTGTCAGAGCCTGCTTTCCTGGTTTTGGAGGAGCCTCTTGGTGGGGTATCGGATCCACCTCCGCGTCGCATGATCTTGACAGCTGGTATCACACCACTCGAAACTGCCTTCTGGATTTGCTGTGCCGCTACCGGCCAGGCTGAAAGTGAGGTGGTGGGTCTATATTATTCGTCAGCCTTGTAGCATGCGTGAGTTGCTGGATGCCATACATTCGTGCTGCCTCGCCGCGGAACATGCGTACTGACGCGCCGGAAGAGTCGGCCACGTGGGTAAGCCGGTAGTATTCAGCCATCTTGTGCGCCAAAAGACGGTGGTAAGAGTTTATAGGAGGCATGTCAAAAATCTCGCAACTGATAAGCACGTTAGCATGCGGAGTACGTCAAACCCCTGGGCTTTCACCACACTTTTTGTTCTCGATAAACGCAACGATGTCTTTCTCCAGCTTGATCACAAAGATACGGTCTCGTGGATTCTCCAGCGCATCTATCAGACGAGGGTCCGGCTGGTCAACTGGATCGCACAGCATGGTTTGCAGTTGTTGTGTAACGAAGGGTTCCTGCGCTTGAGGCGAGACGACGATGACCGGCGATAACCGATCCGACGTTCCAGAGGACGCACTAGTAGAGTCGCCATTCTGGGACAATATCCGGATGACTGAGGGGATACCGTTCAGTTGACTCGCCGGTGCGTTCTGTGAAAGGCATCAGCTTCGGGTCGAACCTAGAAGAGAGGTGGGAGGTGAGAGCTTACAGTAACTTCATCCAAAGTTACCGCCGAACTGCCCGGAGGTAAAGACGCATCTTCCCGTGTGATGGTATCATCTTTCAAAGTTTGCGGTTTCTCTTTGGCGTCGATTGACAGGATCTCGAGCGCCGATGATATGCCTGTAGCCTCGTCGCCGACAGTTTTGGAGTCTGCGGTAGGTTGAGATATCGGAATGCTAGCAGATACGTCTGGTGTTGCTACAAGAGCTTCTGGGGCCGACATATTATTGCGTAGTGGGGTTGCTTCTGGCGACAGAGCAGGTCGAGGGTGTGTAGATATGCTGGATGGAAGTAGAGGCTCTCTTGTATCCACAGGCTATTCGAGGACGGTGGTGGCGGGTCAGTGGGGGGGCCGATCGGATATGTGGAAGCGGCGAGGGAAAACCGAGCATACCTGAAGACCGTCGGGACGTTGTGCGGGTGGTAATGAAGGCGCAGATTGCAATGGGTAGAAGAAAGGAAGCAGTATGTGGAATCAGACGCCGGTCCCAGAAATCAGGATGAACGAGAACGAAGAACGATTGAAAGGAAGCGATTGGAGAGTGTGAGGCTCTCGAGACATAGTCCTAAACAATAACCACTAACATCTGCGCACGACGGGGGAGCAGGTGGACGTGAGTAGTTGAAAGGCCAGCTAGGCAGGCGGGCGGACGGAGGGGGGCAAGGCTCGACTTGAGTTGGCGCACTTGGGTGGAGTGGAGGTGGTGGCGGAAGGAAGGAGAAAGGATCCGGAGGAGGTGTAGGGCTGTCTGAGTGGCTGTTGGGTTCCTCAGGAGATTCTGCGCGGAGGCGTCAAAGGCGTGGGTGTGTAGGAGCTGGCGACGCACCGAAGCAGCCTTGTGAGGGAAAGATACTACTGTTTCGGGAAGAAAACGCTGTCAGCCGGGTAACTAGCAGTCGTCGGTAGTTCTTGTGCGGGAAGCCGGGGTGAAGATCCAAGAGCTGGCAGAGCAGTTAAATACTCTTTCAAGCAAGGAAAAAGCAGTAAGAAGTAGGGAGGTTTGTCGATTGTTTGATTCGATGTGCTTGAAGAGATGAAAAGAGTAGAGAGACTTCTGGGGGATGTAAGATTCGCAGGACTGAAAGTCTGTTGCCTGATGATATCCTGGCAGCTATGGGGAAGGGAATTTCCGTTTTTATTTTCCGGGGTTTTTTTTATGCGTTTCGCCCTGATCGGCAATCGTGCGAATGTGCCAAGCTCTGAATCTCGACATCAATATCAAAACCGCAGAACCGATTAAATCTGCGATCAAAGGTCAACGTCCCCCGGGTCCATGCTTGTTTGATGGCAGTGAACTATCTCGAGCTTCGGCTATGTACCACTTCCGCCTCAGAATATGATTTACGGACGACTCGCACAACGTACAAAATATACAGACATGACAGTGATCGATTCTCGACGAGACCATAGCCATGAGGCTCAGGGCTCCGGATGTGCTCAGCCGATTCATGGTTGTACTCCTTGCCTGGTTCGTTGTGCATGCTGTGTCTCCTTAAAGACCGACTGGCTGACGGCCGCCACTACTCTAGTTCGAAGAATTCGAACTTCGGATTCATTGTCGTTTGCAGCTGATCTGGAGCTGCCATGGTCTCGACTCTCACCGCCGTTAGTTCACACGAATGACCTATTTCTGCGCGCCGCTGTGTTAGGGCTGACAGTGGATGGTGCACGAAGGGGCATCGATACTGTTGCAGCAGCAGCGGGACAATCAGTCATGCGCAGATCATGTGACGCTCCGAGTGATAGACAATGATTCGGGTGTCATTCCTCGACTGCAATAATCACAGATGCACATCGAGTCCTCCAGCCTTGGCCGATTCTTCCCGCTGGTACTCGGACGTTGAGATCGAGAAAATCTCGCTGCGCCAGTGCCACCGGTTTCTGGTATGCGTCGTAGGGAGGCTCTGCTGTTGCTCCTGCTGGATTGATGTTTATGCGCTAGGGAATGGAGTCTACTTTCCGGGCGGGTTGGCTGACAGCAAACAGACACGAAGTACTCCAGCGCGGCAGGTTCTATCGTAGGGGATTTGCAAGTCAGCCAGCGGAAAACACTGTAATATGATTCGCGAGCGGTGTGGCGATCCTTTCGAATAAAATGAGACAACTCAGTTCAATTCTTCCTGTGCAGAATCGGTGCCAAGTGAATTAAATCGATTTCTTTCTTTGTTGCTCCTCTGTCGTCCTCGTACTCAACACGAGCAGCTTGAATGCGCTTTCTGAAAGTCATTTTCTTCTGACTTCTTCGTCTTTGCTGCAACAACACCACAGCCAAGGCCCTCCGAACAACCCTCTCCCTCCCTCCAACACGCATCAACCCGTCCTCAGAACGTAATAACCGCAACAGTACCAACTCGTCCCTCGCCTGCAGTCAACCCCCCCTAGAACACTCCAACCGTCATCTACCAAGTATCGGTACTTGTAGATACTCGCATCTTCACCACCACCACACGTTCCCAACCGTCACAATTAGTGGCGTCTCCAATACGCCGCATGCATCGCTACCGCCCCTATTCGTCAGCGTCCAAGGCCACACCGACCACCCGTTGCCAGAAATGCCTGAAGCTTGGTAAGTCCTCTCTCGTTTCGCGTCCAGCGAGCGTACATAGGCCCATCCATCTGCAGCCTTATGCGCAGTCCACTTTTTCCTCTGCAACCGCGATCGCCCGCATATTGAAACTCGACTAATCGGCGGTGTGAAAATTACTCAGGCCACTATAGTTACGAATGCAAATCTGTCGCGCAGGAGCGGCCTTACATTTCACGACCGTCACGGACCCAGCAACTCTTCAATCCAAAGCTGCAGACGAAATTGACCGAGGCCGCGCCGCCCAACGAAGTCTCGCTGACCACCAAGAAGGGTGTCGCCGACAGCATACTGAAGCAGAAGGAGGAGGAGCGGGAACGGGAAGGCCGCAGTCGCAAGCGGAGAAGAGACGGGTGAATACAGCTGCCGTCTCATATGTCGCGTGAGATGACGTCGCTAACACCGCCATAGCTCGGCTTCACCACCACCAGGCACTCGCCCCCGCGATCGCTCCTCGTCTGTGAGCTCGTACTCGTCGTACTCGAGTATATCTTCGGGCCGATCGCCGTCGCCACCTGCCCGCTCCCGAGCCGGCAACAATGGACGCGAAGACCGACGCAGGTCCGACAGCTACTCCCGCAGCCCAGACCATGAACGCTCTGTGCGCCGGAAGTTCCGTGACTCACCCAGCCCGGGAATGAGGGGTCGCCGATTGAGTCCTACGGATAGCGTACGGAGGACCAGGAGTGCGTCTAGGCCCCGGAGAGTCAAGGCTACGCCGACAAAGAAGGATGGGAGCGCAAACGGAGGGGCGACCCGGCGAGATCCCAGCCCGCGACCACTACCGCCAGCACCAGTACAACAAGCACCACGGGGAAGGAGTCCCAGTCCGTTCACCCGCCGCCGACTGATGACGGAAGCAATGCAGAGAGGGGTATAGGCCTTAGTCAGCTGTGGCTTTGGTGGGTTCTGTAGTCTTTTTCCTTTGAATGCGTGGGGTTGCGTCTCAGAAGCCTCGCCACTATATAAATTGCTCTTCTGCTCTAAATCGGAGAATGGAGTTTGTTGTATCACTACTTCTGTAAGTTTGCTTGCGTTTTCATTTGTTGCGGGCCGTTTTCGCGAAAAGTGTAGTAAAGCCTCTTTTGTCTGTGTTGTCCGTAAATAATGTACATACAGCAGCAGTCTGCATTTACCCACCTCCAAATGTCCACCTGCCCCGGCAGAAAACGACCCATGAATCGCTAAAACCATGCACAACAAATCCCCTCATGAACAAACAAAAGACCGAATCCGTATGTGTACAAAGAAGCACAAAGAAACGCCAATCCAGACCAACCCAGCCCAGTCCTTCAGTCGACCGCCTATTCCTCCTCGACTTCGCCGTCCAGCTCATCCCCCTCTTTCTCCCTCTCCTCCACCATCTTCGCCAGATTCCCCTCTACCACGTCATCCTCCTCCATACCGCCCTTATCCTTCGCCTTCTCCTCTATGATTCTTGCACGGATCAACTTCGCAATGGCCATATCGGTGCGCTGATCCAGCCGTTCCAGCTTCTTGTCAACATCGCGCTTCAGATCCCAATTCGGCTTCTTGGGTTGCAGATTGAACAGATCAATAGGCTTATCCTCCTTCTCAGCCTCAACACGGTGTTGCCGCGTCTCCTCAGCGATCTTTGCCGCCGCGTCCTCGAGCGTCTCCTGGTTCTCGGTCGGAAGCGACGAGAACCCCATCTTTGGCGCGCGCTCGACGATGTCATAGTTCCGCCCCGACAGCAGGTGCGACACGTCTTTATCGGTCGATTGTTGTTGTGTGGGCGCTCCCAATGCTGTGGGTGCGGAAGCCGACTCGTCGCTGGAGGAGGAGGATGTGGGCGCTTTGCGTTTTAGCGATTTGAGCTGCGAGAGACGCTCTTTTCGCGCGGCGGCGGCGGCATCGAGCGAGGCGGTGGACATGGTGGCTGTATTCGTGGGACGGAGGGGGGTTGTTCGGCTGCGAAAAATATGGAGCTGTTGGTTTCGGTGATGGTGTTGATGTTCTTCCCTTGCAGACCGCGATGCTGATGTTGAGCTTACGAGATCACGTGCGTTCGTGCCGGGTAATCCTTCGGCCGGGACTCTCGGAGCTTTTTGGTGGTTCCTCTTTTTTTCTTTTTTTTTTTTTTGTTTTAACTGGGCCCCGTAAAATTATATACGGCCCTTTCTTCAACCCTTGGATGACGACGCAGCAGGAGCGGCAGCAGCACAGAGCAATTCGGAGCGGCATACATTCTTCTTCTCTCGGATGAAATCGTTCATCCGCTCCACCACCAGCACCAGCACAAATCCCAATGCGGCGGCTACCTTGGCGTTGTGCAGACAGCATGTGCGCCCTCTCGTGCTCACGTTCCTGGCTCCGGCAGTCTATTGCAATGCAACGGCAGCGGCCGCGGCGGTAGCGACACGAGCGTTCTCTGGCAAACCGGCGACGGTGGTGGGGGCGGGCGCTGCGAGGAAGGGCGGGGAGGAGAAATTGCGTATGGCTCCAGAGCTCAAGCGAGGGTGTGCGGGGAATTGTGCTGATTTCAAGGTACCTGCCTGCAGCTCCAGGACCGAGATGGAACAAGCAGGAGCTCAATCGGAGTGGGCGGAAGCTGGTGGAAGGACTACGTTCCCGTCTCGAGTCCGACGTTTCCCGTCTCCGAGACTTCCCCGACGACGAACCCAAGAAGGCGACGGTAGCGGACGAGGGCTATGTCAGGAGGACCGACTTCACGGACGACGAGGTGAGGCAGGCCCATGACCACATGCGGGGGGTTAAGACTAGGCACGAGGAGGAGGATATGGCACTGGCCGCGTTGACACAGCGGAACCGACGGATTCCGAAATACCTCTATGCGGTGGTTCCGGAGGCGCTGCGGGCGGTGGAACGGCAGATACGAAGCATCTCCGACGAGATCGAGATGATGCGCTACCACGAAGACAAGATGAGGGAGCAGAGGCGTGCGGTGCGGCAGTTGCTCGCTGGTGGACGCAGCGTGGAGGCTATCACACAGCAGTACAAGACGGCGACCAAGACGGTGGATGCGATTCCCCACTTCGTCATGGTCATGTCCTACTTGATACATTACCGACGGCTCTTTCGACTCTCCAGCAACGTGCTGGAGGCAATGGGCAAAACTTTGATTCCCGATCCGGTCGATGTTGGGCAGGCATACCATATGCTGGTTAGTGAACGACTGGTGCCGCATGTGGACTGCGATCGCAATAAACAACATCGAAAGGAGATGGAGAAGGCTGCGGCAAGCTGTGCGGAGCTCCTGATGCGGATTCTGGATGTCCGAGCCAACATTAAGCCACTTCGGATACCTCAGATTGTGATCCATACGGTGGTGCAAATGGCGCCGGTTTCGATGATAGCAAACTTCTACATGAAACTGTTGGAAGGCAAGATTAAGGTCAGGGAGTTTACCGGTTTCCACTTTGTCGGGCGCCTAGCACGGCCGGATGAAGAGACGGGTATCTCATTGTGGATGGATGCGTTTACGATTCTGAAGAGCATCCAGTACAGGAATGGCTATCTTTCATCTTTCCAGGCGAGGCACGCAATCTATGGCGTTTTATACCAGGCGATGCGTGCCAACGATCCAGCCACTACGGACGAGATCATGAAGTTCCTGAAAGAGTGTGGGCTGGAGCCGGGAGTAGAGGTCTACAACATGCTCATGGCTCGGGCTGCACAAGAAGCCGACGAAGTGGCATTGCGGAAGTACTTCGATGCGATCACCGAGTATGGCTTCCGACCGTCCATGGTCTCTTACGCCATCTCCCACAGCTTCCACAAGCACCAACGCAACGACCGCGAGCGCGAGGCTGTTATCTCAGACGCACTCGCCCTCGACACCAGTCTCAACCTCTTCCTTGCCACAGACATCCTCCACGCAGCGGTCCTGCAGGAGAAACCATACGACGAGGTCTACCGGCGCTACCGATCGTTCTTCACCACCAAGCTTCTGGAAACCTTCCACATCGCGCCGTCACGAGATGTTCCCGGCGGGACCACCGGCCCGAAGAAGCTCGATCCCGACCACGTCACCCTGGTAGTGATGCTCTCCTCGTACTGCAAGACGGAACGCAACATCGCCAAGATCTGGGATCTCTACAAGCTGTACCAAACCAAACTCTACGACCGCACCGCGCCCAACCGCAAACTCCGCAAACTCCTGCTGCAAGCCGGGTCCCACATCCCGCACACCATCATGCTGGGCCTGGGCAAACGCATCCAGGGCCTGCCCTACGTCGCCGCCGTCCTCGAGGACATGCTCAAGCCCCACGCCGCAGTCGAATCCGACGTCTACTCGTGGTCCATCTTCCTCAACTTCCTGACGCGCGCCGGGAAGATGGAAGAGGCCGAGACGGTCGTGGGGATCATGCGCAGTCGCGGACTGAATCCCAACGCGGTGACCTTCACCACGCTCCTCAACGGCTATGTCCGCTCCAACCTTGCCGAGCAGGCTGAGGAAGTGCTCGATCGCATGGTCGAGGTCGGCGTGGAGACGAATGTCTTTACCTGGACTTCGCTGCTTGCCGGCTACGTCAAGAACGGTGAGAATTGGCAGGCGGGTGACGCCTTCAGAAGGATGCTCGACGCTAGTGTCCAGCCCGATGAGGTCACGCTTCAGGCGGTTAGTGGGATTACTGATAGGGACGCTTTTGAGAAGGGGCTTAGTGGTGAATTGCCGCCGGATCTGGAGGGTGAGGAGGGTGGGCAGGCGGAGGTGCATGGTGAGGAGGAGACTGATGATTGGTTTGGAGAGGAGGGGAAGGAAGGCGTAGTGGAGAAGGGGGAGAAGGAGACTGATGATTGGCGTGGGGGGAAGGGCGAGGAAGGGGTAGTGGAGAAGCCTGAGCTGTAGATATCCTGTGTTTCGTTTTCTGCTTCATTGCTTGTGTCTTCGTGTATATATACCTACATCACCTTTCTTCATCCTCTGTGTATACCAATTCGACTGTACGTATGTAGAATCTCGAATCCATTTGTATCCCCTCTACACCATGCCGTGACCCAGGTAGATCCATGACCATAAGTTATCCCACCATCCTGCTTAACGCCATCTCTGCACCCATTTACCCATCGTCCCATCCCATTATTTCGCCAACTTCCTCCGACACGCCTCAACCAGCGCCCCCAGCTCCTTCCTATCCACGACCGTCTCCTTGCCCTCTACCAGCACTGCCAGAGCGTTTCTCGCACACTCCAGGGCGCCCTCGTAATCCCGCTCGTAGTATTTCCTCTCCGCGTCGGCTTTTGGGTTCGCGGGCACGGCCACGGGGTAGATCACGGGCCGCCATTGAAGCTTTTGCGCTTGGAACTGCGACTCTGATTGCTGAAGCTTCGAGGTGCGCGGGGAGGTCTTGGGGTCGGAGTCGGAGTCGGAGTCGGAGCTGGAGGAGAGGAAGGGGAGGTCCATTGTGAAGTTGACGTGGTGGGGTGGGGTGGCAGGGTGGGATGGTTGGTTGGTGGGAGGCCCTGGCGGGCATGGCGAAACGCGTGAGGCGAAATTTGGGCTGGGCGGTGGTCATGAAACAGCACTCGTGGGGGAACTAGCGCACAAATCCCCGAATGGTGACGATGCCGATCGGCGTCAGATCTCACATCGTCGGATCAAGTCGCCACGGATCTCTGGCGGTGGAAAAGCTTGGGCAGATCACACTTTTTCACTCAAACTTTGTCTCCCCCCCTCCCCCCCCCCCCTCCCCCCCTCGGATTCGCCTGCGCTTATCTATGCAAATCATCGAGGCAAACGCCTTTTTGTGCGATACGAACGTGAGCATCCTGGAGATTTCCAAATGCGTGTTCCACACTTAGAGACTCAGAGTAAGGCTGCGGCAATCCTGTCATGCGAGCTCAGGTCGAGGCTTGGCAGGCGCACACACCAGAAGGAAACGAAGGGTAGGAAGGGCGACCGAAGGGTGGGAATCAACCGACCGATTGTGGCCCCTTCCCCCTTGAGTGCAGAGAGGGCTTCCTTTTCTCCACACCCAAACCCAAACCCAACCCAACCTGACCCAGCCCAACCCAACCCAACCCATCCTATCCTATCCTATCCTATTCCATCCTATCCTTTCCTACACACCTACACACCATACCACATCCCCCGCGACCTCCGACCGACGCCGCACCGCCTATTTTCGTAATTTCTCCCGCACACACGCCCCAATCGCGCTGTCTTCTACGCGACCCACCACCACGACCACCACACACAGCTAGCTACAACACAACCACAACACAATGGGCATCCCGATCTGGCGGCCTCCCTCCCCTCCCAACGAGCCGATCCTCTCTCCCGCCGCCGCGCACCGGCTCGCCGTTCACCGGCGGCACCGGCGCCCGTCCGCACGCGACCGCAACTCTCAAGCCTTCTTCGAGTTCTTCCGACAATCCAGCAGCTCAGCGTCGTCATCGCAGCTGTGGCGCGAACTCAATACGCTGCCGCCGACGGCGCGGCGCGGGGGAGGGGGAGGGCCGCGCCCCGACATCGAAGAGGAGTACCTAGCAGCTGTGGACGAGGCGCGGCGCGCGCCGCACCCGATCGTGCTCCCGCTGCCGATCCCTCCCGAGCGGCGGCAGATGATGCGCGCGCGCGCCGCGAACGTATCCGCCACCTTGCGCCGGGTTCAGCGTCGTGCCGAAGCTGCCGCCGCCGCCGCCGAAGCGGAGGCTGAGGTCGCCGCGGAAACTACGGCGGAGAATGACGATGACGACGAGGAGTCCGAGGGCACCGGCGACGAAAATGCTAGGCCTCGCCCGCCCGCCCCCCCGTCGCAGGCCCAGGCCCAGGCCCTCGCCGCTACAGCTACAGCTACGAGACCCATCCTGAGGTATATGGATGGCCTGGGCGACCGCGAGAGGTCCATTAGGTATTCCTCCACCCTCGTGCACAACGACAGGTACTTCTCCGGCTGACGAGCGTGCCCCCCGCTCCCCCCTGTAGCCCGGATCCGCCAAGTACTTCGTCGTGGGCCGCGCTGCTGCCAGACGATATCGGCTTTGCGACGGCGTGTGATCTGTGGGACGACGAGGACGGCGAGCTGCTCGGCTTCGGATTTGGCATGGGCGCTGGAAGCATTGAGGAGGCGCTTATGGAGTTCCGTAGAAGGCGCGATGCCGTTAGGGGGACTAGGTTGTAGGGCGCCGCGCGGGATGATACCCTGAAGGGTTTGTCTGGGTCTGTCTGGGTCGGGTCTGGGTCGGGTGTGGTTTGGTTTGTTTGAATGGCAAAGTACTTGTGCGTGTTTTTCTCCGGGTGTAAAGTTGGGATTCTTGTTTTCAATGCTTCTTCTCCTTCTTCGTTCGATTTCTACCTTCCTACTCTATGATCATTGACGCTACCTTTTTTGGCTTTTTTGGCTTTTTCTTTTGTTATGACGTTTTTGGTTTTTTTTTTCTTTATTATCCTTTCAATTTTGCATTTTGGCATTATTCTATTTTCTTTTCTTTTGGTTTTTTTTGGCGGCTCCGGTCCTCCGCTCTGAATCTGAATGTTCTAGCTTCGTTACGACAGGAAAAAATCTATGATACAGTTACCTATGTACTCTACTATATCTTTTTTCTCTCCTTCGATTCTAAATACTTCCCCACCTTCCCTTTTGCGCTTCCGTGCTATGGTCGCGGTGCGGTACTGGTGAAGCGAGAAAACTAGAGTGTTTTGTAGTGGGTGGTGATGTGTGCGTGTGTGGTGTGCGTGTGTGGTGTGCGTGTGTGGTGTGCGTGCGCATGTGGATATAGATGTGGGGTTGGAACTTGGAGGCGACGTTAGCTTTAGCTCCCGCAGCAGCGGCAGCGGCGATGGCGGTCTGGGGCAGTGGGGCGCTGGGTTCGGTTGGGGGTTGGCGGGATGCGAAAAGTGGGGGTAGTTAATTATGTGCAGGGTTGGGGCGAAAAAAAGTATTCCGATATCTACGATTCTTTGACGCTTTATTCTGAAGAGGAGGGGGGACTCGATGTCTTTTGGAGATACCTATCACAGCTAGCAGTTATCTCCTCTCGCCATCGTCCAAGGCGAATACATGTGATATCTACATGGGCTGCAGATTCTTTCTGCGTTCCCCACCCCTTCTACTCCCTCATAATGCACCTCGATAACTATTTATATCATACTTGTGCACAGTAGTGTAGACCCGGATGTTGTACCGCTGCCATGCTGCGGTGCAACTCATAGTCGGGACGGGACGAGATACCTCGTTTAGTCACTTCACAGTTTGAATTCACTGTAACTACACAGAATCAACCACGCAACAGACGCAACACTCCATCTATTCAATTCCATTCATCTATCGCCATATCTCAACTCAAAAGAAATGAACGGACAAGTAATGAAAGGAAAATGGGGAGTGAGAAAAAGACGTAAGCAAGTATTAAAAGACTCCCTCATCATGCAATCATGTAAAAAGCAAATTTTCAATCAAACAAACTTAACGGTTATTACCTATAACCAGAGCCATGCGCTTGTAGAATGTGTGAGAGAGCGTGTCGATGTACTTGTTAAACGCCTCGAGATGAGTGAAGTACTTAAATTCATCCTGAGAAAGAACCATCATCAATGCACGACGTATCTTCTGGTTCGGTTGGTCGATGGGGTTCACATCGACGGTCAGAGGGTCCTTACTGTTGGGGGTATTAGCTATGCCCGTTCATTGTGGGAAGGGATGAGAAACTTACTTCAAGATTGGACGCATGAATATCTTGATCTTGAATGGAGAGGAACACATAAGCTCCAAAGCTCTCGCGTCAGGAAGAACGTTGAGCTCAGCGAACTTCGCACTGTCACGTTTGGCATCGTGCTGGGCGCAAACGTTAGAAGCTTTGTTGACGGCCCCTTCATTGGCTTGCCGGGAGAGACGTTCCTTCTCAAGTCGTTCGCTCTCGAGGCGTTTCTTGTCGAGTCGTTCGTTCTCGAGACGTTTCTTGTCGGGTCGTCCGCTCTCGAGGCGATTCTTGTCAAGCTGTTCGCTCTCGAGGCGATTCTTGTCAACTCGTTCCATCTCAAAGAGGACCCTGTGAAGTCGTTGCGTCTCGAGGTGTTCCTTTTCGAGGAGCTCCTTTTCGAGGCGCTCCCTCTCAAAGCGGTCCTTTTCCAGACGTTCCAGACGTTCCTGATATTCTCTCTTCTTTGCGATCTCCAGGGCGGTCTTCTCTTGCTTGGCCTTTTCAAGAGCAGCCTCGGCTTTAAGCTTGGTCAGGCGCAACTTCTCTTGTTGCTCCTTTTCTTGCCTAGCTTTCGCCAGGGCAGCTTCAGCCTCAGCCTTCTGCTTGCGCTCCCTCTCTAGCTTTTCTTTGTACTGGCGTTCCTTTCATGCGTCAGTTAAACCTCGCCATGTAACATGTGGAAGGACCTACCATCTCCGCAACAAGCTGTTCCAAGCAATCTCTAAAGAATAAGAGTTGTGATTTCTTCTGGTCTATGACCTCCTGCTGCTTTTTAAGGCGTTTCTGCCTCTCGGACTTGGACTTCTGGATGTCCTGAAGTTTGGAAGTCAGTCGTTTCTCATCCTTGCGGACGTTGTCGAGCTCATCCTGGTAGATTCTAAGTAACAGGGCAGCACTGCCGACCTCCTCCTCGAGCGATTCGATCCTCGCCCGATGCTCTTCGATCGTCTCTGGATCTCCTTCTTCGACTGCGGGCGTAACAGCTGAGAAAGGAGAGGGAGGCGTCAATTTCGGAACCTCGGGGACGACAGGTTGAATGGCCTTCGGACCAGTAGGTATGCTCTTCGGAACCTCGTGAACAACAGGCTGCATGGCCTTCGGACCAGTAGGTATACCCTTCGGAAGGCCACTATCAATGGCTCGCTTCGAGACTCCAGAAGCGAGAACCACAGGTTCGGGTTTTATTATATCCGGGAGAGCTACAGGGGCATGTCTGGAAGCCTCGAGACCAGCGGATGGTTTGAGAAGTGGTGCATGTATGGAAGCCTCGAGACCAGCAGCTGGTTTAAGAACTGGTACGTGCCTGGAAGCCTCAAGACCACCAGCTTGTTTGAGGGCTGGTGCATGCCTGGAAGCCTCGGGACCGCCGGCTGGTTTGAAAACTGGTGCATGCCTGGAAGCCTCAAAACCACCGGCTGGTTTGAGGGCTGGTGCATGCCTGGAAGCCTCGGGACCGCCAGCTGGTTTGAGAGCTGGTGCATGCCTGGAAGCCTCGGGACCGCCAGCTGGTTTTAGAGCTGGTGCATGCCTGGAAGCCTCGGGACCGCCAGCTGGTTTGAGAGCTGGTGCATGCCTGGAAGCCTCGGGACCGCCAGCTGGTTTGAAAACTGGCGCATGCCTGGAAGCCTCGGAGCCGCCGGCTGGTTTGAGAAATCCAGGAGCAGGCGCCACAGGGTTAGGATGTACCATAGTTACAGGCGTATCCGCGGAAGCCACAAGACCACCCTCCGGTTTGACACTAACGACCTGCTGAAAAAAGTCGTTGTTGTCTTTGTTCACACACAACCGACCAGCCCACCAACTTCAAGGCATTAGCAAAATTCTCACTCAACTGTAGAGCACAAAGGGGGGCCAAATTACTGTTTAACTTGAGCATCCTCAGTACCGTTGGCGGCAGGATCTCTGAGAGCACTAAGCGCAACCATGTCATCCTTCGCACGGACAGTAACCTGGGGACGAACGTGCCGCATAGAGGGATCATTGCTAGTCTTGTGGTTCAGATTAAACATGGCAGGAGCTGGCCGCACAGTCGGTCGAGTCCCCATTCGGATACCGAGAGGTGGTGGTCCAGGATTCCCATTGCCACGACCACGACCACGACCACGTCTACCGGTGCCGGTGTCGGTGTCGGTGTCGGTAACACCGCCATCGCGCCTCGTTGCGGAGAGTGAGCGGGCTCGACGTGGGCGTCCATTCCCATTATTGGCCGCAAAACCGCCACTCGGCTTGAAATTGGTGCCGAAACGATGCATGTGACCGGTTCCGAGGCCATCCTTGCGGTTCTCGTCGAGGCTTGGATCGTAAAGCTCTGTGTTTTTTTATGGCCAGGAGTCAGCATAAACAACATTCACAATCCAAAGCGAAGACACAAAACAGTTAATGCGAAAGTAGGCGGAGACGTACCGCCCCAAGCCGAAACGATGCCCTCGTTCTCCTTGATCTCCCTCAGAGTCTTGCTGTCTTGCCTTCGTGAATCAGGCGCAATATTCACAGGAACTTTCACCAACTTTCCAGATAGCGGCAACGACTCATGACGGTGATTTCCAAGATCATCCTTCATCCACACCAAGTCAGTACATCAACAAAGCGGGAAGGAATGAACACCGCGGCAGGGTTAGGTGCACATCGCAGCGGGGAGCTTTTCAGGACACTTACAAACATGTCATCCTCGTCGTATAACTCAAGACTGAGCTGGGCAGCCCGTACGTCTTGCTTGCCTCTAGCCATGTTGACTTAGAGGAGGTTGTCGTCAGTCGGTGTTGGATGAGTAGAGGGTATTTGAGTAAAGCGAAAGGAAGAGAGTGAAGCGGTTGGTGGAGAGAGAGAGAAAGAGAGAGGGAGCGGAAGGAAGTGATTCATTGAGGGTTGAAAGGGACGCGAGTGGGTTACCGAGTCCTTCCGTTTGTGTTTGTGTGCATCAGCAAGGAGTGACCATCTGTGAACGGTGGATCTTGGCACCGAAAGCTACAACAAAACCGCACGCTACTAGATAGATGGCTTCATTAGTATTAGGATAGGCTGAAGACAGGGGTTCAGCCTTGCTGTGCATTCCTCATAAATTTCTCATTTTTTCTTCAATCCAGCGATTTGATTATCACCACAACCACTGGTCAAGACATTCTATTTCCCTCGAACATGTATTGACATTGTCATCATGATAATTGTGGTAATTGGGACCGTTGGGTGATGAGAGAAAGAGACCCTCTGGCTATCATCAGCCTTATCTTTCAGCGCCAAGATTCAGCCTATCCCAATACTAATGACGTCATCTAGTAGTACAAACCGAACGAGTGACCACCCCGGTGATCGCTCCTTCCTCGAGGATGAGAAGGTGCAGTTTGGGAACCAGTACTCGTATGCCAGACAGGACAATTGATCCATGATGGCACTATCCGGACACTGATAGCAACAAACTACCTAGGCTATCCTCAAGATCGTGCATGAGACCATTTCCTTTCTTGAAGTTCAAATTAACATCTCGCGCGGGCCGTTCATGTCCCATCTACCTACACTGTTTCTTCTCACCGTCTCATAAGGCGACCAAACGCCGTTCAAGTTCCAGATACATATACTTCACTTAGGTCCAATTCCCAGAGGGAAGGATGACCGGTATGTAGTAGTGGACCAGTACCCGCAACACTGACCCTCTTTCTTCACAGCGAAGCCCCCTGCTCTGTTCACCGGTTCACCACTCTTCAGCTGTGTAACTAACTGAGCAGCTTTGAGCTTTCGACCTTCGCGAAGAAGGATCCTATATTGTGTGTACAAAGTAGTCGAACTGTGATCTACTGGGTCCATTTCAGACAAGGCGGGCCATTTGACGCGCGGTAACAACAGGCGCGGTTGGCGCCACAACCCCAACCACAATCCCGCTCTTGTCCCTACATGTTCGATCGGCATAGTGTACTCTACTTCTCTCTCGCGGGCAGGCGAGAGACGCTGATTAGCTAGTGTCGCGGCGGTGGCTCTCTTTGGTGTGGACGTCGTGATCTACTTCGGTCTGTAGATACGTCAATAAAATGAGTTCCCCCCTCATGTTCGATCGGCTGTACATTTGTTGCAGTGCATGAGTATTCCAAAATCGGGGGATGCTGCCTGCGGGAATGGCAGCAACAAATTGGTTCGGATTGTTGTATCATACATATTAGGAGTTTAGGTGTCATACAGCGGCACGAGTCCACCGCCCCCGATGGATGATATCAATGCTTTTAATATCACTCGTTGCCCACCTTTCGGCACCTGGTCCGGATTGGGCCGACTTGATGCATTGCAACAAATCTACGAACTCCACCCATGTACCGGATACATGCGCTTGGTTCATTCTCCGTAGGGCATAACAACACACTTGCCCAACGGATTGAAATGGATGGACAGCTGATAAGTGACTCCGGTTTCCGTATCAACGAAACAGCATAGGTACTTGTAAAGTCAAATCCCGTCGATTCAGATCTTACCAGTGTAAACATCGTAATCAACTAGCAAACCAGCTCACCCAGTACATACGATGTTTAAGCTCTCCAACTTGCTCGCGCGAGTACAGTACTACGGGGAGCAGGTTTTCCCAAATAGGAAACCTTGGCCCAGTTTGCGACCAAACTTTCCTATTATAGTGAACTGCATATAGCACAAAAACCGCCCTCTCCATCTCTGCCCTCTCCATCTCTGCACTCTCCATCTCTGCAATTTCATTTCAGCCCCTCCTCTCCCCATCCTCAGCCCTACTTATTACTCACAATGTCCTGCTGCCACCACTCTCCCTCACCCATTGCTGCGATGGACCACTCCTCGTCCTCCTCCACCCACAGCTGCGGCATGGCCATGACCTTCCAAGTATCGTACGCCAAGATGCCTATCCTCTTCGACTCAGTCGTCCCCCGCAACACCGGCGAATTCATCGGTGCACTGGTGGTGATCTTCCTCTTCTCGGGGCTGCTGCGCAGCCTGATGCTCCTGCGCGTCTGGCTCGAGCAGCACTACTGGTCTCCATCGGCCACGTACAACAAGGAAGCTGCCGGCCAGGATGGGAGGCAGACGTTCAACCTGCCGAGAGAGCTGGCGAGGGCGGGGTTGACCGCTGTCACCGCCACCCTGGGATACGCCGTGATGCTGGTGACTATGACTTTCGTCGTGGTAGGTTCCCTCCCCCCCCCACCCCTCCGGATATAGTTGGCGGGGGTGTAGAGATAGGTAAGCTGACAGAGTAGGGATACTTCTTTGCTGTTATTGCGGGGCTTGCGGCTGCGGAGTTCGCATTTGCACATCTGGTGGGAGGTGAGGGTGGGGCTGCGGGTTGTTGTGGATAGGTCTGTGGTGCGGGTCTTGGGCTGCGAGTGGAAAAGAGTTCGTGAATCGTGTAACTGTTGAGATGATGATGCTGGTTTTGCATCGGTGAATTAAAGAATTTTTTGATCAAGCTCCGTCGATCAAGCACGGAGAAAGATTGGGTGAATCACCAGTATTGAGCGCCTAGCCGGGACTTGTTCTGCCGACTGCATCTTTGTTGCGATTCTCAGTTCAAAATTCACATCATCAAGCCACATCGTCATCCGTCCAAGATGTTGCGCATTGGTCATATTGGTAATATTTGCACGCCTCGAGAATCCTGTTTGTTTTCATACCTATGTACTTCTGCTTCTGTCTGGTATGTCTAGCTGGTCATCCGCTGTGTTTTGCGAATCAACCGAGCAAAATAGGTAAGCTCACCAATATTATTTGTACCTTTCAACGATCTTGACGACAACTACTGTACCTAGTCCTGGAGGCCACCGATCTTGTTATTACTGATTAACAGTTACGTAGGAGCAAGTGTAGCCAAAGACTGTGATTTAGAGAGCGATAAGGGAAACCTAACAGAGCCATCACCGACATCAATATACTACTCCTTCGTGACAATCTCCCACTCCTCGACCTCTCTCGTTCCAAAATCGAACATCCACCACCCCGTAAGTACAAGACTTGCCCAATACAACGGTGGGTTCAGAGCCTCCACCGCACGTTGCTTCGCCTGCGCCGTCTTAGCAGTATTAACCTTCAACGACTTGTCATTCGGCAGCACGGTTCTATCATGCGCCAAAGCGATCACCGCCCGCTGGAATGCCCTTGCCAGATCGATAGTCGTCCTCCCGCCTGAGCTATCGTCTGTCCATCCGTCGTAGAAGTTCAGAGAGAAGCGTTTCCCGACTTGGGTGTCGGTATCCCAAAGTGTCGAGATAGTACTGCTCACGCCGGAATGGAGCAGGGCGGGTACCAATCCCATCACTTCATCCCCAACAGCTTGTCGAGCCAGCCCACTGCTGCAGGCGATCATTGTTAGGTGCGAGCGATTGCCGAAAGCGTGGGAGAAGATCTCCTTTGCCGTGAGAAAGTGCTCGTCCTCGGTATCGCCCGCAAAAGAGAGTTTATGTCCGAGCGGGTGACCATCCTCGGACAACTGGGCGTGGCCGTGGTAGTGTATGAGCTTTGTCGTCTCTGATTTCTCTAGGAACACCTTTTTCGTTGCACTCTCATTCGTCGTAAAGGGAGCCGAAAATGCTTTTGCTAGATCCGCGACATGTCCTCCATCGGTTTTGCCCTCGCTCGGCCGCCAGGGCGCTGTGAAGAATGCCGATGCTCTTGGCAATGGGAGCCCCGATTTCCCCGGCTTCCTAGACAATCCAGCGTACCGCATCACTGCCATGCTTGGAGTATAAACCTGCAGTCTAGTCAATAATCAGAAACACATAAAAAACATGCTCGCACTTCACTTACTACTGGATTACGCTTGATCACGAGCTCTTTGTCGATGCGAAGGGCATGCAGAGGGATTTGACCAAGCACCCGAGTTGGACAGAAGATGAGGACATCGTCTGGATTACTGCATTTCGCCAGCGGTGCTACTAAGGGGTCAAAATTGTGTTGCATGGTTTCCATACTGCTAAGTTTGCCCAGGTTGTGTGGTATAATCTGCTCGACCAATCGCTCGACCTCTCCCAGGGCTAATCCAGTATTGTAGATCTCGGGGGTTCCTTCTGTCCGAGTTGCCACAAGCTGAATACAGGTCGAGAGCCCGTGGTATACGCCATGTCGATCGTCTTGCGGGGCGAACCAATCGACAAACACCACTTTTTGGGCCTCGATACCTGGCGGAACGAGATCGGATAGTTCTTCAAACTTTAGCGGACTACCCTCTCGTAGGGCTACTAAAGCGGCAAGTTTTGGGTGCGTCAGCATCTCCTTTCGGTGCTTTCCCAGGTCAAACATGAGATGGTGGCGATCTGAGCCGTTCGAACTATCGATCGACTCCCGTATTTGACGGTCTTCATCCAGTAGTTTATTTTCTGCAGCTGTCATATCTTGAAGCAGACCTGAAGGGGCGTTTGCGGATAGACTCATCATCTCCGCGAGGCTTCGCGCTATCGTGAGAACAACATAATCAGCAAAAGACGTGAGATCGGACAAAGGAATGGGCTGTATAACCTTTGGCCTTTTGCAGCCACTCCCACAGCTCGACTCTTGCTTCGCGATCATCTTGCTGCAAGCCCGTCCGAAGGACCTTTATTGCGAGCTGTGGAATGGAATCCTTAAACTGTTGGGCAGTAGTTTGCTCTCTCAGACCCAGTTCCTCGACGAGGCCGAGCGTATGAGGAGCGACAAGTCCTGCCCGGGCACTCCCGGCTGATGCATCAAATTGCCTCAATCTCTGCATTGGCTGTAGTTGCCAGTCTGGCTCTGCAATTCCGATTTTATACCGTAAACACGCGAGATCGACCATATTGGGATATATGGCGGCCGAAAACGAGATGTATCCTCTACCATCCTCTGAAAGAAATAGATCTGAACCCTGGTAATTTTGGTGCGCTTCTTCGAGCCGCCGCCGGAAGCTTTCTCGGTCAAGCTCCTCGGGAAAATAATGTAGAGAGAAGTATAGGAAGATCCCTATCATTGTCCTGTATTTCTTGATTCGATCCAGGGCGACATTGTAGCTCGGTCCAAACGAGGCTCCTATTTCGATACACTCCCGGTACGTGGCGATCCCATCGTCCAGAAGTTTCAAGCCCCGAAGCGAATCTGCATCGGTGGCTTCGCTAAGCGTGAATGCCTTCCTCGCGAGGCTTCGAGCTCTTATTTCATGGATCCCGGCAGTCAACTCCTCCCAGGTGGAGGTGCTCAGCGCTTTGTAACGCTCAAGCCAGGAATTGAGGTGCGTCCTGCGGAAGTTCCAGATCGCCGCGGGAACCAGTTCATCCGCTCCGTACACACAGTCATAGAAGTCGGCGAGTGTCATGGAATGCAGAATTCCTGCTAGGTCTTCCTTGACTCCGGGCAGGAATGTGAGGTCATCGCGTCGTTCGTATGCGGCTGGGTGCAGGATCTTCCATAAGTGTTCACTGGTGACGACTCCGTCTGCCAGGTCGGTACGCATGCGTTCCAGCAGCAAAACCAGGGCGTTATCGTTTCCGGATACATTTATGTGTATGTCTTCCCGACGAAGAGCGATTCTGGTCCACTGAAGATTCCATTGATCGGCGTCGTCAAAATGGATCGGTGCGTTGCGGGTAGGGTCCTGCTGAGGCTGTGCAGCTGTTTCTGAGGTGGGTAGATGCGGACGCCACTTTTCCATCTCTTTATGACACAATTCTTGCATATCATCAGACTGCAGGAATGCATAGCCCAAGGAGCACCACTGCCACGCGCTGAACATATATCCCGGTATAGCAAAATTAGGATACCTCCGAAAAAATACGGGAAACCAGTCCAGAGCCGCTGGTAAGGACGGCAGATGTCCGCAGTTGTGAGATACTATTTCTTGTTGATCAGAGAGAAGTGCCTCGAGATGGCCAAATTCATGCCCGTACTGCTGGCGCTCCCTAAACATGTTCATATATGCCTCCATTTTTCCGACGGACAAGGGCTTTCCTGCGCTGTCGATATTAACGGCTTCTTGCAGCGGACTAGCCACTATGAACCACCGAAGGAAGTTGCCAGCCTTTTTGAACAAGGCAAGAAGCCTAGTCCCCTCGGCCCACTTTCGGTCCGCATCGTCACCCGGCATGAGACGAAAGCGGAGCATCGCAATGTTGATCGCATGAGCATTGATCTGTTTCTGCTCCTCATCGAGAACATCCGGAAGCAGTCGGCACAGCCCCTCCGCCTTCACTATCTGCTCAAGGGCTCTCTCGTCCTGCCCTCTCGCGATCAAGGTTTCCGCCAAAACAAACAGTGCGTTCAGGGTGACTCGCAGAAGTACATAATCGCTTGGGGCTGCGGCATAAGCCTTCTCACAAGCATCGATCAGACCGTCCAAAGTTGCTGCACGGGTTGGAATCGGCATGACGGCACGGGCCACTCGAAGGTAGGCGTAAGCTGCCGGGAGGTTGCCCCGAGCAACTAGGGAATTGTACAGATCTGTAACACCCGCCCATGGAATGGCTTCCCCTGATGGCTTGGGAATACTGCCGTGCACGTGCGTGTCAACGTAATTGGAATTCCGGGCCATATTATGGATTGCATGGAGGTATCTCCGCATAGCGCTGACCTTGAAGCGAAAGAACCGTCAGTCACCAATGTTCTAGGGAAAGAGGAATCAGAAGAACCTCCACCGCCCCCAGCAGAGGATAGTCTGAACTAACCTGTATATCCGTATACTCGGCCACCTCAACATTCCCCAGCCACTGTATCATCTCCTTCGCTGCCTCCAAAGTCGGCTTCAACTGCCCCTCACTCCAATACTCCACAGTCGCAAGAAACATCCTCATAAGCACCATCTCACCAGACTTCTTCCGCCAGAACCCCCAGCCTCCCTTCTCCACAGCCGCGAGCGCCCGCCGAAGCACCCCGGCAGCTTGGATGAATTTGCCTTGCCGGAAAAAGACATCTGCGTGCTCGATGGCAACGACGGGCGTGTCCTTCAGTTCCGCGAGGGGGCCGTCATAGATGTAATGGGCGTCAGCGAAAAGACCAAGCTCAGTTAGGTGTATGGCCCGCTCGAGATCCACGATTGATGTTTCGGGGAGGGTTTGATAGAGGGATGTATGGATGCCTTCGTAGCGCGTGTCGGACGGTGCCGGAATGGAGGTTTGTTGGCCCATCCCGAAACTGCAGTATTGATCGGTACCAGGTAATGGCCATCCATGGCTGGTGACCCCTCGTATATGTAGCTGACAGGAAGGCGGGGTACCTATCGGTTGCGCAACACCCTCATCTAGATGTCTTGTTGATGACACCTCGCGAGATGCGTGCGCATTGCAGAAGTGAGCATTCGCAAGTCATACATGGGCCCTTAATAGGTAGCCTATTTCGCGGGGCTGGGGTGGTTGAGTCGTCTGGTGGAACCCGGCTCCGCCCACCTGCCATCTTCGGCCTCCTATCGTGTAGCACACGATAGTAATGGAGCGCGTGAGTCAATTGCGACCGGCTTTCCAATAACCGGCAGTGACCAACCCCATACATAAAGACCCGGTGGACTCCCTAAATGTACCATCTCGTACCATCTCGTACCAGGCCATAACGCTTAAGCTTTCTACCAAACACTTATCCCGGTGCACATCCAAGGACACAATAGCTATGCTCTCTTGGATATTGGGACGCTCCAAGTCCACTGTGATGTCTGGTGCTACCTCTCGAGATCCCGAGGACCCCGAGCTCGAAAGCGACTACCAGCTTCCACCTCCTCCCTACCTAGAGGACGTCGACCCAGACGACCCCTTCGCATCATGGAATCTCATCATCCCCCTCGAACCCACCGGCACCAACAACCTCGGCGGAAGCTCCTTCACGACGATCCGACAAACCTCGTCCGCCACCTCTCAGGAGCCTCCACGGGAGAAAATCATGCATGAAGCCGTCTCCAACCTCCTTTTCCAAGCGCGCATTTCCGGCGCGGTCATGGGCTACTACGGCGGCCAGGAGGCCTGCCTAATCGCCTTCACCTTCTCCTTCCATGCGGAGCTTACTTCGACTCAACTATTGAAGCGCCGAGTGCAGGGCGCGTTCATCCAGATCAGCTTCTCCGACGCCCCCTCCGATGGTAGCGACGGCGACGAGGACTTCAACCCCTTGATCAAAGCGACGTACCCCGACCTCGTCGGGGTGAAGGGGGAGAGTTTCCACATGGGTGTCGAGGAGACAGTTACGAACAAGTTCAGCACGAAGTTGGCGTCGCAGGCGGCAGGTGTGGGCGTGGAGACGGAGATTGGGAGACAAACGACGAAAACGTTTGAGAAGGAGGCGTATGGGTCGGTGACGGGCACGGATCTAACGCCGCACATAGCAAACTTCTCGGTCCGGGAAAACTCGCTTGTGAAAGATGGCGTGCCGCGGGTGTGCTCGGTCGTCGTGGTCGTTGGAGTCACGCCCGGACGTCAGTTTGCAGCGGATGTCGAGGTGCATGCGGATGTGGGGTGGAAATGGAGGGGTATGCTGGGGAAGAAAACGGTGGTGGGGCTGGAGGATTCGCCGGTTTATTTCAACCCAGATATCATCAGGAAGAGGAATCCTGATAGGATGATTAATATTAGGGGTGCGAGTAAGGTGGTGGAGGTACCACCAGAAGAAGATTGGGAAAATAAGCCAACCTCGAAAAACTTCAAACCGGGGCAGGAAAATGTCCTGAAGAAGTATTCTTGTATTGCTTTCAACAATACTACCAAATCATCCGGGAAGTGTTGAGCGAGAGCAAGTGGGTCGCTCACTATGATGGCATATTCTAGTCATTTCTATTGGATTTATGCGCATGTTTGGATGAGAAGACGGCCGAAGAATTTGATTGAAGACGGAGAACTGTATCAGACCCTAAATCCTACAAGTTGGAGAATCATACTGCCGAGTGAGATCGAATGCCTGCGCCGTGACGAATGTCGCTGTCCGTTCGGACCGTCATTTGCCTTGAGCTTGGTCGGACTACTGTCAAGATCGGAACGTGTCAAGTTTCAACACCGGCTGACGAGTGACAGGTGAAAGTGGCCTCCTATGAACTTTTTATGACATTCTCTCTACACCGCTGTCCTGTGATCCAATTTGGGCAACGCACTCGTACCTGCAGATACTCTTCCCGTCTCCCAATCGCTTTGGATCTCATCCAATCCACTCGTCGATCGCGACCTCGGCCCTGCACCAGCGGCACTTAAAGTAAGCTTTCCACACCCTGTCATTTTTCAGCCCCGTTTCGCGCTGGAAACAAGGTTGCGGATGGCATGAGATCTGATAAGATAAGATCTTGCTGGGAAATCTGACTAGCGAAAATTTAGGGCTGAGGGCAAGAGCGCACGGTGGTGCACGTGACCCACAAAGCCGAGTGGGAGTGGTGCGTGAACTTCGACAAAAGTGAAATTCCCATGAGCAAGCGACACCGTTCCAGCGACAACTAACAGCAACCTCGTAAGTCGCCCCCCGTCCCACGCCCTGATGCCCGCCATCACGACCACTGCGAAGACAGCTGCTGACGGATAGCTCGCGAATTCACAGCCTCAACAGTCGAGATTTTCTAGAAATCTTTTCGTCCTCTCACCAAGCCAACATGTCTTACAACAAACCTGAGAAGGGCGAGTTCGGGGAAGGTCCCAAGATCCACCGCATCCGTATCACCTTGACTTCGTGCAAGGTCCAGGCCCTCGAGAAGGGTATGTTCCATCTATCTACCGATCGCTACGGGGGGGAGGAAGGGAGGGAAAGTGGAACAGGAAAGGGAATGCTAAAATCTCGGTCCGAAAATAGTCACCTCCGAGCTCATCGAGCGTGCCAAGAGCAAGTCTCTTCGCGTCAAGGGACCCGTCCGTCTCCCTACCAAGGTCCTCAAGATCACCACCCGCAAGACCCCTTGTGGTGAGGGTTCCAAGACCTGGGACTGCTACGAGATGAGAATCCACAAGCGTCTGATCGAGTACGTCTACTATAACCTTCCCTAGATTCCCAGAGACGGAACGCTGATTGTGTGTGTGTAGCCTTAACGCCCCCACCGAGGTCGTCAAGCAGATCATCATCAACATCGAGGCCGGTGTTGAGGTTGAGGTCACCATCGCTGCTTAAGTGCAGAGTGGTACAGAGTGTGGGGTGGTGGACTCGGTTGGGATCGTTTCGTGTTCGAACTGGGGAAATGAAGGATCGGGCTGCATTTATGGAGTCGGGTTATGAATGAAAACACCATTCGCCACTCGATACAGCTTCTCTCTAATCAAGTGATATCTTACCCATGAGAACTCCATCAAATGTTGCTAGGTACTCAATGGACATATCGAGTGGGTAGATCTTCATTTATGTTCTCGTATTTTGAGTCCAAAGTATGTGGAGAGCAGTACAGACCGAGTACTGCAGCCATTGCAACCAAGACAGGTGATGAACATACTTCGTGCCAAGGTGGCTAGCACCACCATGTCTCAACGATAATTGCCAGCTCAGCGATAGGTGTCCTCGTCCGCCGCAATCCACCCCCCTTTTTCACCACCACAGTCACACACAACCACAACTGAATAATGCCACCAAAGCGGAAATTTGAAGAAGAGTCTTATGAGTCTATTGAGGCTCGGATTCAAGAGGTCCTTGAGATTTTAGAGGAGAGAGGGGAGGAAAAGCCAAACATCGCAGGTACTGCGCGGGAGTTTGAACTTCCACCACAAAGACTACGAGCGAGATGGAACGGTCGACAGTCGAAGAGTGACCGACCAGGAAGTAAGAGAAAGCTTTCAGAAGATCAGGAACTTGCTGTTTGCCTCTATCTGGATCGTTTGGATGCGATGGGGACGTGTGTTCTCAAGAAGATGGTTGCGAGCTGTGCGGACGCGATCCTCGCGCGTGCGCATGAAGACCCCGATACCCAACCACCTGTTGTTTCACAAAACTGGACGAAGCGATTTCTCAAGCGCCATCCCGAATACTTTGTCCGAAAGCAGAACACTACGGATATCTATATCGATATCCCCCGCAAAAAGGCTCACGATCCGGAGGGAGTCCGCAAGTGGTTTGCGGAGTTCAAGAAGATATGTGACCAACGCGGTATTCAGCCTCGAGATATCTACAACTTTGACGAGATTGGTTTCCGCATTGGTACCGCGAAAGATCAGTGGGTTATCACGCGGCAGCGAGACCGTCAAGTATATCCCGGCAGAACGACAAATCGAGAACTCGTCACTGTGTGCGAAACCATCAGCGCTGATGGCGACGCACTACCACCCATGATCATCGTTCGGGAAACCCATCACCAAGGAGAGTGGTACACCAATCTTCCCGACCATTATCTTGTAGGTGTCTCGGATACAGGATCCTCCAACGATGAACACAGCATGGGCTGGCTCGAGCATTTTGATCGGTTCTCAGCTCGGCGATGTCTCGGCGAATATCGGCTTCTCCTCCTTAACGGCGACGGTTCTCACTGCACCGAGGAATTTATTGACTATTGCGATGAGCACAAGATTATTCCTCTCTCCCTACCACCGCACTATTCTCATCTACTACAACCACTGGATGTGGATCTGTTCCAGCTCTACAAGCAGTACCATGTCGAGGCTGTTGAAGCCGCAACACCAACGGGGTTCTTGAAGTACGACAAAATGGAATTTTTCGATGCAATTCCCGATATCCGCTGTCGAACATTCAAGCCTGCGACCATCGTCTCAGCATTCCAGAAAACCGGCCTAGTACCATACAACCCCGAGATAGTACTAGCCAAAATGCGCGAAGCAGCTGCCTCTGTTACCACACCACCTACGACGCCGCCACCCCGGGCCCAGGACACCGAGGCCGAACCGGAAACGCCAAAAACACCGCTCACCGTACGCTCCCTGAAGCGTCGAGCAGAAGAAGTTCTGCTTAATGCAGCTGTTCGCGGCATCTCCCCAAGCTTCCGGCGCAGGATGGAGGCTACCCTCAAAGGAGCGGTGGTGCTAGCGCAGGCTGCAGAGCAAGCTTTTTCTGATCTCGCCGCTGTAACAGCCGCGGAAAGGTCGAGGGATATGCTGGAGCGGAGGGAGGAGGAGGAAGTGGAAAAAATGGAGGCAGCAGGGCGCCGACTCCACGAAGCTTGGAAGCGCGCACAGAAAGCGGAGCGAAAACCCTTCCCGGATGAAGTCAAACGGAGAAGGAAGGAGATGAAGGACTTTTATGCAAAGAGGAAGACAGCCTGGAAGGTTGTTTTTTCAGAGCTCAGAAAGGTTGGAAGAGCGCGAGCGAAGAAGTCCTCTGGTGCGCGCGCTTGTGTTTATTCAAAGAGGAGGGCAACTTGGAAGGTTGTTTTTTCAGAGCTCCAAATGGTTGGAAGAGTGCGAGAGCGAGAGAAGAAGAAGAAATCTCGAGTTCTCCCTTTGTGGTAGAGTTATGGTGGTGGAAGAGGGGAGCGGGTGCGAGCGAGCGGGCTCGTGTAGATAATTGATTTTTTTTGCCTCCACAACGTCGATAGCCTCTCGAATCCGAGTCTCAATAGACTCATAGTGCTCTCCCCCAAATTCCCGCTTTGGTGGCATTATTTAGTTGTGGTTGTGGTGAAAAGCGGGGATGGACTGCGGCGGACGAGGAAATTATCGTTGAGCCGGCAGGAACTCCGTATTGAACTGAGTCGACTCGCCCCAGAATCCAGATATTCCCAAAGTAAATCGCGAGCCATTTTAACCGCGACCTAATTTAATGCCAAAACAAAAGCAAATGCGAACCGAAATAAGCCTTGTCTCGAGTCCGCTGCAACTAACTGTGCTGCGAAAATAACACGAGATATAACATCACCCATCTAGATAGTAGAATACACATATTCACCTACACTTCCCCTCCCCACCTCCTCCATGTATGATCTTGAGAACGCTCTGCACGAGACTGATGACCATAACTAATACTCCAAAGACGGCGACCGCGCCGGCGATGTACGTCTTCCGGCTCTTAGTGGCAAGCTTGATGTAGCACAGCGGCGGGAGTATGTAGGCGAGAGCGCAGGCACTGGTAGCGCCGACGAGCTCAAACACGACGCCGAGGTCGCAAGTGACCAGGGCGACGGACATGGCTGAGACCACAAGTCCCGTCGAGAATATCAGATGCCGCTTCATGCTGAAGGGGGCGTCGGGGTAGAAGTAGGTTTCCATCACCTCGCGGCAGACGAATGCTTCGAGCGGAAGTGTGGTTAGCATGTTTAGGCCGAAGCACAGTCGTGCTACGTTCACCATCCAGTTGTCACTCGGGAAGTTGTTGAGGACATTGCCGGCCGTTTTGTCGCGGAACGTGAGGAAGCCTGATAGCGCCATTAGGAGGCACATCACGCAAGATATGGCGGTACTGTAGTGCGTTACCCGCGCAAAGCGGTCGATTGTGGGGGTTTTGAGGGAGCCATAGATGAGGAGCGAATTATGGTCTGGTTATTGTCAGTAGGAAATCAGAGGAAACGCATCGAGTGGGAGCGGTACGGCAAACGAATGCTGCACATGACGTTAGCTTGTGGGATTGAAACTGTAAGAAGGAGACAAACCAAATGATATAACGCCAATTGCCTGGAAGAAGCCATCGTTTACGGTCAGAAGCGGTAGGGAGAAGTTTCCCCGGTCTGCGGCTGGCACCTGGAACCCTTGCGTTACGACCGTGACAACGATAACAATCATGCTAGCTAGAGCAAAGGCGCTTGCTTTGGCCAACTACCATTGACATTAGTATCCCTTAATTACCGATACGCAGGAATCCACAAACGGACCTTCGCTATGTCTCGATAGAGCGTAAGGGGATACGAGATCCCCAAGGTATAAATCGCGATGACAGCCTTCCGATTGGCGAGCACCCATAGTATCGGTATCTCATTGATTTTCGGGACGACAGCGGTAACGACGTGCGGTATCGAGTCACCGATAATGATGCAGAACGCAATCATGCCTCCGAAGGCACTTCAAAGAATCGTATCAGATATGCCGCTCAACGAAAACATGATGGTAGTTAACTTACAAAGCCCATTGTGCTACCTATCCGCATTTCTTTCGATTCAGCAACTGGATTTTAAGGAAGGACGGAAGGAAAGAAAGAGACAGGAGAAAGTTTACAGATATCGCGATCAGTCCTGGCTTGCCAAAACAGGCTTGCACCGTTGATTGGAACGAATTGGCTCCGCTGAGCTTAGAATTGATGACAATGAGATTGATAGTCCAGTCGACCTGTATAATCCGGACCATCAGTCCGAAATTCCACTGGGAATGTAAATTTGGAGTCCACAACGTACAACAACAGTCAGTGACACCAGGAGGAACACACCAGCGCCGAGCCCGGCCTGCCGGAAAGCATACGGCTGTCCTACAACCAGCAACCCCGTTAGCTTCCCATGCTCCGACCCAGTGTTCCCATCATCCAGGAAGAAACCAGACACATAAACGCACCGATGATTCCCGCGCCGATGATCGAGTTGCTCATATTGACGAATGCCGAAAAGAACCCACTCTTAGGCCTATGGTGCCCCATCAAATCGTCGTCGTCGTCGAGGTCATTAGCGAAAGCCACCGATGGTGCCATCATTCCGGTCAGCAGCGGCGCGCGGCCATCCGCATCATCCGGGCGGGCATAATCATGATTCTCCCAGGCGTCGTCCTCGTCGTCGTCCTCGTCATCCTCGGGCTCAAGCCCAACCGCGGCCTCGACCGTATCATCGTCGAGCGCAAAGCGCACTCTGTTCGGCGTGCGCGGCGTGGTGTTCACGATACTGGCGGTGGTGATGATCGGAGGAGGAGCTACGCGGCTAGAGACGGAGATGTCGGGGCCGCGGGCGACGACCAGGTCGTCATCGGAGTTCGTTGCGGACGATGTGTAAAGGAGCTCATTGCTATTGCGGTTGTTGGTACTACTCTGGCTGTCGAGCGTGGAGATCTGTAGCGCTGGTGAGGAGGGCATTTCAAGTCATCGTCAGGCTTGCTGGCTGTTGTTTCTGTTCGGAGGATGTTTCGCCGCGCCTCTCTCCTGAGAGCTCGCGACTATGCACGGACCCCCACGTCAATGTACCCTGCATGCCAAGACGGTGAGTGATGGGGCGTGTGTCGGACTTTGTTGGCGACGGTGCGGGGCCGCTCAAACCCAAGGCCGTGCTATGGCGGGACCGTAGAAGCCCGTACCGAAACTTCAGGAAGCTTAGCTACAGGGGTCTAGAATCGAATGGTGTAATTAGGCGTAAAGACGTCATTACGTGTAACTTATCTGGGAAATCCACGTGCTCCACCGGGTTTCAGACGGTAAACCACCGACTAGAGGTTGTATGTAAATAATCTCACATGTTTCAATGGGTCCTGTCAAATACCCGACGTCAACCGGTCAGCAGTATATACAGTCTCGGACATTGCTCAGCAGAGCACATTGTCTACACCCTTGAATGATCACAGCCATGTCTTCGGAATTCTTCCCATCCTTCACCAACGTCATCATCCCCGCAAATGACAATGTGCAACTGTTTGCACGGATCCGTGGAATCGACCCTGGAGACAGGAACAAGCCGATTCTGGTTCTGATCCATGGATATCCTCAGTCGTTCGTGCCCCTCTCTACTAGTATACTGACGATTTCACGACCGATTTGAAGCTAAAATTGATGATAGCTCATGGGAGTAAGAGCCCCTACTGCCGCGGCCACCAGACGCCATCTGATACATATCCAAAGGTTCCGCTTTGCTCCACAATATCTTCCGCCGGATCTACCACTGTTCATTCCCGATGTACGTAACATCCGCCACTAGGTACCGTAGGCCAAAGGTAAGCAATGCACAACTGACGCCCTCAGCTCCCTGGCTACGGCGAGAGCACCAAGTCAGTGCCCACGACCGAAACCTCCGCATACTCCAAGCATGCGATCGGGCGTGACATTCTCGACGGGCTAGCCAAATGTCTAGGCTTAGTTGCCGGCGGCGGCGGCCCCAAGCAGAAAGTGATTCTGTGTGGTCACGACCGCGGAGCACGGATCATCCAGCGGATCGCCTTCGATTTCGAGGACTACCCGCTGTTCGATATTCTCGGGATTGTGCTGGGGGATATCGTGCCCATCACTGTACAGTTCCAGTCGTTTGCGAATCCAGTTCATGCGGCTGCGACGTATCATTGGTTGGTGCCACCTGCCCGGAAGGGCAAGCAAGTAAGGTTGCTGAATGAACGTAGGTCGCTCTTGGCTGCACCATATCCTATACCAGAAACTATGATTGAGAAATACGGAGGTCCTGAATGGGTGGGGAACTGCCTCACGGGCTGGGGTGGGACCTCGGAGAAGGGCCGCGCCAATTTCTTGGGTCCGACCGGTGTCGAGGTTTTCAAGCAGCATTTCATCAAACCATCGGTCATTGCGGCGTCCTGCGCCGACTACCGTGCCGCAGCGCATATAGATGCCCAATTGGAGGCAAAAGACCACGAGGAGGGAAAGAGGATCAAGTTCCAAACTTTGGTGGTCTACTCAAAGAAGTATTTGGGTTCGCGTTATGACGTTACGGCTGTGTGGAGGGAATATATGTCGTACAAGGAGCGTCTCACAACATGTGGAATCGAGGAGGTTGGTCATTTTTGCTTTGAAGAAGATCCTATGCCGTGTTATGTGGCTATCACCGACTGGATGCGGGAAGTTCTACGGTTAGATATGTAGGTGCTTTGTAGTATCTCCCACGGTGGACCAATGGAGATAAATGCAAATATGTAGCTGCCCGCCTCGTCATTTCATTCGTCATATCATAAAAGGATGCCTATCTATACTTTTTTTGTCATGATGTACCTGGATATTGTCAGTAGGATAGCTCATGGGAATCGAATCAACCTACAGATGCAGATTCTCCCGAGAAAATGCCGCATATTCAGGCTCCTGTCGGAGCTCAGTGATTTCGTGCATGCTAAAGCGTTTTTTGAGCGTCTTCACAAATTGCATGTCGGCCTATTACACGCCATTGTAAGTATGCATTGAGTGGTAGCTGTCGGTCGACCAAACATACCCTTCTTCGTTGCTTGAAGCAGAAGTAGACGACCGTATTGTCGGAAACTAGAGCTTTTATCGTCTTCTCTAGTAGTGGGAAGGCCGGCTCATAATAGACCTGCATGGCCGTTTAGTTACTGGCAATGGAGTCGGAACGATGTAGGGATATTCGGTACGCAATCCGCGGCGAAGACGATGTCTATCGGTTTAGTAGCTATTACTTCGGGGATGGGATCCTTCCTTCGGAGAAAATGAGCTCACAGAAACAACGAAGCGCCCCCCGGAAGAAGGGTGACTTACCAATCGAGTAGCTCCACCTTGAGCTCGGGCACCTTCTGCAAGCCATTCAGCGCGATGTTCTTGTGTATCAGGTCAATCATCGCGTCCATATCGGTGACGAACAGCTCGCTTCCTTCGAGATCACATCCTGCGGCTACCGCCAGTCTGCGAACACAACGAACAGACAATCAACTCCCGCTCCATGTCGCCCGTGCCGCAACAGAAAGACCCACGAAGTCAACCCGCCTCCAGCACCTAGTTCGAGGATTCGCTTGTTCCGCAATCCGTGGGTACCCATATACATCTTCAAGACATATTTCGTCAGAAGTTCCCCAGCAGGCCATATCTGTCCGCCACAGCCCTTCGCGAGGTCTTCGTGGAGCTTTATTGGCGCGGCGAGAAGTCCTCCAAAGTCCGTTTCCGTATCGCGGGCTTGCATTATCGTTGGATGCGCAACGATGCCATCGAACTGATCGTGCTCCACATCTGAGTTATCATCGAAAAAATTCATATCGGTGGCGTTGTGAGGTTGAGGGTATCGGTGTTGGATTGCGGAAAATGATTGGAGAATGGAGATAACAATGGAGGGGCAGCAAAGTGGGTGGACCCTTGCATCACTGAGCCGCTTAGGTGACACAAATTAGCGAACCACACAAAAGTCTCCCATCTCCGTCAACTTCCGTTACAAGTTCACCGTCATGGCCGAACCAGTCGATTTGGCCAGTCTCACTTTCGCCCGCCTTCCGGGAAAGTCCATTCCCGCCTCCGCCCGCCTGCTAGCCGCCATCAAACAGACCGAGAAACGCACTTTCCCCGGCAACGAAGCCTTCGATTTCGACTCGGAGCTCAAAAAACGCACGACAGTACTCCACTGCGTCTACCACACGAGAGCAGACGGACCCGAACTTTGCGGCTACACCGTTCACATCCGTTCGAAACTGATGACGCGGATCCATAAAGTCTGCGTGGTCGAGCCCTTCCGGGAACAAGGGATTGGAAAGTGGATGGTGGGTATGGTTCTGAAGGAATTGAAGAAGGCGGCGGCGGAGAATGTTGATCTTTGGGTGGATACGACGAGGGTGTCGGCAAGGAGGCTTTATGAAGCTTGCGGATTCAAGGAGGTGCAGATAGTGAGGAATTACTACTCTCCTGGACGAGATGGAATACGGATGGAGAGAAATCTCGAGGTGGACGCTTGAGACGGGAGGCTTTATGTGACGAAGATGTGACCTGCCATTGCTTCTGGGCCTCTGCCGATGGTATCAGGCCGTGCCGCAACCATCTCAGCCGTCGTCATGTCTAGTTGACGTACAAACCCTGTATGTGCCGACGGCCTCAAAGAAAGCCAAAGCATCCAGGGGGAAATTTAGGTGAGGCGGTCGATGAGGTATGTTTCCGGATGAGGACAAAGACAGAAGCTTTCAAGACATGCACTGATTGGACTGGTCAGAGGCTGGAGCTCTCTATGGACATTCATCCGCGGAGCCGAGACCAAGCTTTGTGATGGCCAGCGGAAGGTCTCCGTGAATGCTGCGTAACCTTTTAATCAGGAAGTGGTCATCTATTGAGAGAAATAAATGAGTGGAGTCGTTATTCTGGGAAGAATTTGCATTAGTTGAGAGGGGATATCACGGATGTACCTCGACGGCTTGCTACGTGGGCAAACACAATTGCGGTGTATATGCCGGCAAGGATTCGGCACTCCGCGACTTGCAAAGCTCGTCGTTGTGCGAGGCATGCGGGCACGAATGAGGCAAGTGTCGACGTGCTGCGGAGCAGAGTCGAAGAACTCTGGGTGGCGGCGTCTAAAGGAGCCGAGCGCACGTAACTACATCGCTACCTGCGTACCGCTTCTCGTCGGGAGCAGCAGCTGCGTCCTCGAGTGCGAGTATTCGCAGTCTTCCTCCTCGATTCGCGCGCTTACTTGCTTCCTATGCACGACGAAAACCTACTCTTCCGGGCGGTAGCCTTTACTGCCGGCGTGGATGTCAGTGGCTGAGTGGAGGCCTCGCTTCAGCCCACACGACAGCCAACCTATCTGGTCCAAAGCACGCGTGCATGGCGTTCTAGCCCTCCTTGTCGGCGCCCTCTCGAACCGCCGGCTATGATTGGTGTCACTGGTGCTGGTAATCGCGGGGTTAGTGGGATCTTCGCCATCTTCGCCACGCATTCTTGATTGACAGATCTCACGAGAGTCTCGTGCGGGCAGACGGGAAGGCAAAAAGCAACGACCCGAATACCGGCGAGAAGAGCCAGAGTGACTCCTTGTGAACTCCCGGGACTCTGCTCAGGAGTATTCTGCCGTGCTACGACATGTGATATTCTGATAGGTATTCCGGGCCATCGAGAAGCCAGCCTGCATGGAAGGAAGTCTTTGCTCGGGTGTGTTCTCTGACCACTTTGCGAACAGGACGATGGGTCTTCGTAATTCAAACCCGCATCCTCTGTAGACTCCGTAAGAATCCAGAGAACTGACTTGATCGAAGTCAATCAAAAAGAAAGAAAAGCAATAGTTGGTTCTTAGGTACGCAAGGAGTCAGCAAAGTCAAATCATTCGAAGAGTTCTCCTCGTGTACACACTGGTGACTGGACATGTAAAATAAGTGCCATAGAAAGCCCCTCCTTCCCTCATCCAAGTTCCCCCGCAGCCGCCGCAACAGGTAGCAACCACCAAAAAACCACGCTAACCCAAACCTGCAACATCAAGAGAACTCGTTCTCTGCCTCCCCTCCCTCCTCCCTCCTACTCTCCTTCCTCCTCCTTTCACAAATCAGAAGAAGCTCGGATTGGTCTATCTAGGACCTTCAGCTTCAGCTTCACCTCCCCCTCCCCGTGCCTCTCAACCATCATCCTTCCTTTCTTCCCCCCTCCCAACCCCGATAACCGCGCATCTCTGTTCTCGTCTTGCCCCACCCCACACCCCGCAACCAAACTAACTGCGACAACCCAACTTCGAGCACCAACCTGCGGTGTCGTCCCATCCTATCTCGAATAACTAGGCTTCACCAGCCTCATCATGGGACAGACCCTCTCTGAACCGGTCGTTGAGAAGGTATGTGGATGCTTGGCAGTTGCTGCTTTCTTTTGCTTCGTGGAGCTACCCTCCTCACCCCCCGTCGAGTGCGATTTCACGATGAGCTGGATGCTCTGTCGCAACCTATCGTTATCATCAACTCTTCCGCTTATCCTACCCGGCGTTATCGTCCAACGATTCTGCGGCAGAATTTTCCCCCAGAAATATTAGCGCGATGATGTTCATTCCTCCTGGATTGCAACGCGGTTGGCTAATTCGTTGCGTGTGTGTGATTCCAGTTCTCCGACACCGGCGCGGATGAGCGACTCATCTACGGCCTCTCTAGCATGCAGGGATGGCGTATCTCGATGGAAGACGCCCATGCTGCCATCCTCGACCTCCAGAACAGCGATTCGCCGCAGCGGCCGACAACGGCTGAGGAGCGCTTGAGCTTCTTTGGTGTTTACGACGGACACGGTGGTGATAAGGTAGCCATCTTCAGTGGAGAGAACATACACAAGATTCTCGCCAAACAGGCTGCTTTCGCCGCCGGAGACTTCGAGCAAGCTCTCAAGGACGCGTTCTTGGCTACCGATAGAGCTATCCTGCAAGGTACGGTGGTCACGCGGGGACGTTGGCGGTGGCGATGGTCACGGATGCGGAGTTGATGTGAAGAATCTTGTCTGATTTGGTGTTTCAAAAGATGCCCGCTACGAGGACGAGGTCTCGGGCTGTACCGCTTCGGCCGCCTTGATCACGAACACCAAAATATACGTTGTATGTTTGCTTCCGACATTCTCAATGGCTCGATTCATGGATGCTTACCGTAATGCAGGCCAACGCCGGTGATTCGAGGACCGTCTTGGGTGTCAAGGGAAGAGCTAAGCCTCTGTCTTTCGACCACAAACCCCAAAACGAAGGTGCGGACATCGCGAGCAGCAGATACCGGACATTCTTGCTGACGACATAACTACAGGCGAGAAAGCTCGGATAACGGCCGCTGGCGGTTTCGTGGACTTTGGTCGTGTTAACGGCAACCTCGCGCTGTCCCGTGCTATCGGTGATTTCGAGTTCAAGAAGAGTGCCAAGCTCCCCCCGGAGGAGCAGATCGTCACCGCGTACCCCGATGTGATGATCCACGATATCGCGGACGACGACGAGTTCTTGGTTGTTGCCTGTGACGGTAGGTTTCCCGATTACTGACTGCCAGCCATCCCGTGCTAAAATGCATCTAGGTATCTGGGATTGCCAGTCTTCCCAAGCCGTCATCGAATTTGTGCGCAGGGGGATTGCGGAGAGACAGGAGCTCCACAAGATCTGTGAGAACCTCATGGACAATTGTCTTTCCAATAATAGCGAAACTGGAGGTGTTGGCTGCGACAACATGACCATGGCTATCATCGGCCTTCTCCGGGGCAAGACCAAGGAGCAGTGGTACGACATGATTTGTAAGCGCGTTGCCGACGGTGACGGACCGTGTGCTCCGCCCGAATATGGTGAGTGATCCTCTTTCCGCCGATTCAAGCACTGGATACTGATGGTTTTTTTTGCCACAGCCGAATCCCGTGGACCACGCAAACAAGGCGGGTTCTCAGGCGACAGCCCAGATGAGTTCGACGACGAGGAGGAAGAAAAGGCCGGAGTCATCCGCTCGGCGTTACGCTCTGGACGTGTAATTGTGCTGGGAGATGGCAGTGAGGTACTCACCTCAGACTCTGCTACCGATGAAGAGTATGATGACGAACAGTTTTCCCAGGGTGAGAAAGACGACGAAGCCTTGGCGAAGGCCCCCAAGACCAAGACGGAGGATGTCGAGATGAAGGACGCCGCTGTCACGAAACCCACCGAAAATGACAGCGAAAAGACGGCAAGCACCAAGGAAGCCGAGACCAAGCAGGTTGGGTCCGCATAAGTAATTTCTGGGTGTCTGTGGCTTTTTCTCGTGTTGGCACTGTTTGAATCCGGCTTTCTTTTCTGTGTGTTTTTTTCCTCCTTTCTGTGGTTTTACTGCGCCAGACAAGTGGATACTTCTTAGGTGTTGGTGTGGTGTGTGGAAGGGGCCTACACATTCTTGATGAATTCTGCAAGCAATGATGATTTAAACGTGGGAAAGTCACAGGTAGCGGTGTTGTGCCGTGCAAAGTGATGGATAGCGAGTTAGAATCCGAAGCGTTCCTCCGTCTGTTTCAGTAGGTGCTGGTCACCGAACAAAAAGCGGTGATTCAGGTTCTGTCTGGTCTAATGGTCTGACACATAATTTCCTGATGGACGTGGCCGAGTAACTGGTTTATTGGGCCGTGATTCATGCCGTATCTATGTAATTCGATTCTCTTCGGATTGATAGTCTATGTAGTTCTCCGTACCTTTTATCGAACGAATCCCGTCATTTCATCTATGGCTCATCCAACTTCTCTCCCATCCCGAACAGCTTCACCGTATTTCTCCACGCCGCCTCAACCACCTCTCTAACTTCAATGCCCTTGACTGCGGCCACGACGACAGCCACGTCCCTGATAGCGGCAGGCTCATTCCTTCCCTTGACCAACCTTCCCTCCACCCACCTTTCCTTCTTCACCGCCGGTGCGCCCACCAATGGGTCCAACCCCTTCAGGAACTTTGCGCTCGCATGGCTAGGTCTGATCTCGCACCAGGGCCCATCCGTCTCCAGCAGAAGGAACTCTAGGGGACACTCCTTGACGACTTCCAGGTTCTCCTCCGTCTTCAGCGAGCAGCCATTGATTCCCACATACAGGCCTTTGTCCACGAGCCTCCGCAGCTCCTCCACAGTGCCCGTAAAGCTATGCACAACTCCGCCCTTGAGCCTTCCCAGACGGGGGAACAGCTCCTTCTCGAAATCCTCCGCGGCGGCTCTCGAGTGCAGAAACAGCGGCTTCCCCACCATCTCCGCCACATCCAGCTGTCTGGCGAACCACTTCCTCTGGACATCCATAGGACACAGCATGAGGCGATCATAGTCGAGTCCGATCTCGCCGAACGCCGCCACGCCCTCGTGCATCGCCAGCTCCTGCAGCTCCTCCAGGTACTTCTCGGCGGCCGCCTCGTCGTCGCCAAACTTCCCCGCGCTGCATGGGTGCACCCCCGCCGTCGCCCAGATGTACCCCGCGTGCTCCTCCGCCAGTGACAGCGCCCGGCGCGACTCCTCCACGTCGCTGCCGGTCACCAGAAGCTTGCGGCAGCCTGTGGCGCGCGCCCGCGAGATCACTCCGGAAAGGTCCGAGGCGTGGACCTACCCCCCCCGTACACCCGTCAGCTACCTAGGTACGAGTAGGACAAGAGGCGGGCCCAACCTGGCGCCCGTGGTACACCCCCGTGAAGATCGGGTCCGTAAGGTTTATCCCGATGTCGATGTAGCGCGGCTCGTATGCGTGCGCATCCGTGGTCGAGGAGGAGACCGAGGACGCGGGCGTGTCGGCCATGGCTGATATCGCTGATAGGGCGCGGGACAACGGCAGTCGCTGTCGCTGGGTGAGGCGTGGACGGCGGAGAAGAAGCGACCCGAGGGAGCGTGGAAATGGCACGGTAAGCATAGGACAGGGAAGGAAGCTCAGTATCTAATGACCCCCCCAAACCCCCACACACACGAATGGGTAAGGTTACCACCAAACCCACCAACGGAACGCGGCTGAAAACTTGACAGGGTTTATTTCTATGGACGCCCCTGCTAACTACGTAGGGCTGAGGCTGAGACCATGGTTGACGAACTGACGAATTACACGGGAATGATTGGAAAACACTTTTTGTGGTGAGTGTCAGGTGCCTAATCAGGCGTAACTACTCTATGTTGGGTGGGGGAGGGCAATGGTGGTGGGAAGATGCCTCGGTGCATGGGATATCACTCGTGGTTGCAGCCTGTTCCATTTCATCATCCCGCCTGACTCGGTGTGCCTACGATCCTCGGGTGGAGGAAATGTTTACTTCTTCGTGGCCGGTCAGGCGGAGGGCCAGCGAGACGAGGCGAGGCGAGGTCACTACATATCCGCTGATGGGGAGTGCAGACAGCCTATAGGGTCGGGAAGAGGGAGTGTACCGTATTTACATCACCAAAGCCTAGGGTACCTGGATAGAATACGCCTACTACCTATACCCATGAAGTTGCCGGTGATTCGTTTGTACATACGTACAAGTTACAACACCCATCCAGATCCGCAAGTGTCATTTTTCGGCCCTGCCCATGACACGGGGGACTTGGGTACTTGGGCATGTACTTGGTTACCTACCCTTGGCTACCTACGTGTTCGGTGTTGGCCCGGTCCGGCACGGCAGGTGCACGCCATCGAGCACCAAGCACCCGGAACCCGAACGTTCGCACGTGGCCCGTGCGTACTAGTCTTTACTCCGACTCCCGAGGCCGGGGACGCGGACGCCCTGCAAGCTGCAGGCTGCACGGGGCGGGTATTCTACCGGTTATCTAGATGTACTTAGCCACTGCGTTTTTGAAGTTTGCGAACTGCCAGGCTGCTGGGGACTGCCCTGGGGACTGCCCTGGGGACTGTCAAGATCTCTGATCGGTCCTCTCGCGGCCTCGTTCTTGATTGAATGCCGCGGCCCGCTACACGATGCAGCGATGTTTTGGGATCAGGAGGGTGCTTTCGTTTCCTATTATTATTATTGTCATACGCTTTTGGTTGCTGGGAGTATGGGAGTACGTCGGAGAAGGTTCGAATGCTGTGCTGGAAACTCCGTTACAGACTGTGGTAGTAGTTGCTTGGTTTCCCTGGGTCAGTACAAGTTCGTCCTCGCAAGAAACGATAACCTAGATCTTGGCTACCTGTGGGCCTTGATCTATTATTTATCAGTCGAATTGAAGAAAGAAAGAAAACACTCGGTGAAGGCGATGCTTCGTCCTCGTTCCTTGCCTATCGAATTCAGAGCCTTTTTTGTTTAATCATCATATCATTCGACCTTACTAGATCATGATCATGACTGTATTACATATCCGGTTCCACTCCCACTATCCCATCGAATTCAGCGCAGCCCCGTCCTTCCGAACGAGTGACAAGCATGAAAAATTGTCACTATCACAGTTCGTCACTCGGGAATATGTTTACTCATGGCTGACTTTCTTGCATGCCCGGATCTACCCAGGGATAGTTACGATACTACCACCGGCAAAAGGAATTCTCTCACGGTAGGTGGATGGATACCTAGCACTTGTGCCCAGAGAGGGCGGCATCCGTACTCTACAATCTCTCGAAGCGGCGACGTTCCGCTCCGCTGTGCCTGTCTAGCATCCGCCCGAATCCCGACAAAATTACAATCCGCGCACGCCACTAACCGCATTCATGCATGCTTATCTTTTTCCTTCCTTCCTTCCTTCCTTCCAGACTCAACGGGTCCAGGACGCCCTCGGAGACGCATAGCTGCATAGCTGCATAGCGGCATAGCGGCAGCGCGGCAGCGCGGACCGGACCGACTAATCCGTGGATCTGGACTAGATCCGGAAGCGGTCCGGTGCGACGCAAAAGAAACCCCCACCCCCCCCCCCCCCTCGGCCGTCCGCGAAACGTCCATTGGATTGGATGGACAGCTGTCACCGTCAACAGCTAGACAGCCCGACAGCCGTCGTATCGTCCGCAGATTTCGTCCGCAGATTTCGTCCGCAGATTTCGTCCGCAGATTTCGTCCGCAGATTTCGTCCGCAGATTTCGTCCGCAGATACGGGCTCATCTATATAGGTAGTAGGTATTAGGTAGTAGGTACGCACATAGGTACGCACATGCCTGCCGGCCTGACGGCCCCGTATCATGTATATAAGCAAAGCACGCCCTCCAATCCAATCCAATCCAATCCAATCAAAGACGTCGAATCAACCCAGGGCCAGCCAGTGAGCCGGAGGAGCTCCGGGATTGGATGCCCTGTATTGGTGCCTGTGCCTGATGTTATGCATAGCATAAATATCCCATTGATATCACATCTCGTCCGGCGGCGGCGGGACGGGGACGGGGACGGAATAGCCCTCATACGTACTTCCGCTCCCCCTTCGTATGTCCCTCCTCCCTCCCTTGAGAACCAACCGAGCTGGGGCGGGATTGATATGTTTCAGCCACCACTAATTGTCCAACCGGAACAACGCACATCATCTTCAGGCGGACGGGGGGACGTAGGACGTGGACGGGCTGACGACGGCGCGCGGCGGCGCGGGGGCGGGGGGGGGGGCAAAGAAAACTCTTCCAAAAAACACATTGCAGAAAGGATGGAAGGAAGGAAGCGGCGTCCCGGACTTCCCAACAGCCAACAGACAGACAGGCAGACAGACAGATAGACAGAAATTGATCTGTTTATGTTTATCTCTTGCCTGCCTATGTTTCGGTGGCCCATACCTAAGTGCATGCAGATTCCAGACTTCCGCCGACGGGGGGAGGTGGGGGGGTCTATGGACGGATCGGGGTGGTGGGAGGGGTGGTGGGAGGGGGTGGGTGAGGGAAGTCTGTGGGTGTGCTGAGACGCTGGACGCTGGGGTCGGTGTGTTGGTGTGTCGGTGTGTTGGTGTGTCGGTGTGTGTGGATGGATGGGCCGTATGTGAGGGTGAGGCAATTGCAATTCCCCGTTGAAGATAAAGCTTCACAGTTGCTCACCCCTACCAGCACCACCACCACCGGCAGCACCACCGATGAATAAACAACAAAAATCACCACCACCACCACCCACCCGCCCCGCCACACCCACGTCCACACCCACCCATAGTTACTTACCCACCATCAATCTGCACGTCTGCAGACCGATCTCACACCCACACGTCCGATCTGTTCAACCGCGCCCTGCATAGCAGTTAACCACCTATCTACATATCTCGCACACCTGGCAGGTACTCTAGGTGGGGCGCATCTAGCAGTATCTACATAATGTACCTAGTATCTACTCTAGTATCTCCCTAGTATATATCTACACACCTACATGCACGCACATCCGAGCACTTCTCTCGCCTCACTGGAACTACTGGGGCTAACTTAACTACCGATATCTCGCATCCATCACCACCACCAGCACTACCACCACCACCACCACCACCACCACCACCACGACACCTGGGAAGTGATAATGCGCGCAGCCCCCCTCCCCTCCCCTCCCCTCCCCCTCCCACCGGCGGAAGTACAGTACGGTACCCGCCTGGACGTAGTACGTATCTAGTATGTATCTAGTTAGAGTGTCTGTATATCTGCAGACGTCGCTGAACTTTCCGAGCACTGCTGGTGGGGGTGGTGGCAGACGCCAATCTCAATCAATTTCAATCTGCGGTGGATGGCCGGTGGGTTAAGGTATGGTAGACTGTCGGGTTGGTTGGAGATTTGGAGAAGGTATCATAGTAAGAGTATATGTACTGTAGTGCTAAGCTACGATACATGGCAGCTCCGAGACTCCGGCTGTCTGCCTGCATACATTGTATATATGTGCTCTCGTATGTACGGTACGAGTGCACATAAGTAACTGTACAGTAACTACAGTACAGTACCTTACGCAGCAGCAGCAGCACGGCCTTGAAGGCCGTCAATCATCAATCGTCGGGCAACGTCGGGGGTCGGGGGAGGGCGGAACGACCTCCACCACCACCACCACCACCACCACCACCACCACCACCACCACCACCACCAGTGATCACCACAAGCACAAGCACAACGTCTTACAGCCCACGCAGCCCACGCAGCTGCGTACGGCACCTCCCATTGCCTGGAGATTAGGCATGTATACCGTCCAACCAGCGTCCAACCACGTCCCTCCCACCCTCCGTCCTCCGTCGTCCACTGTCGTCGTCGAACAACGTCCCCAATCCCCGGTTAACCCATACCATCCCCCCCTCCTTCAAAAGAAAAAAAAATCCGAAAGGGAAGGGGAGAAAAAATAATGTATCCAGTGGTAGTGGGAATCTACGGTAGATACCACACACACACACATGGACGGACACACTCGCTTTTCGCGGGTTCGGGTTTTGCTTTGTTTCGTGTTCTTGTTCCGTTCCTGTCCTGTTTCGTGGCCCTGTTTCGTGCCCCCCTGTGGAGCCCCCAGGGGGATAGTTTTTCCGAAGGACGCAATCCCGGAGGTGGTGGTATGTAGAGAGGCACACAGGAAGTTCTCGGACGCTGACGCTGGACGCCGACACTGGACGGTGGACGCTGGACGTTTCGTGCGTGCAAGTGGGGAAGAAATATATAACCAACCCCCCTCACCCATCCCTCACCTTGCCCCCCCCATCCCTCCCACGCTGACATACGACCCACGCCGACCCCCCCACATTTTCGGATGCAGGTTTAAAGGGGGGCTTGCACAATGCAGACAGCTATGGTAGAAGCCGACATGACGATGTTTGGACGTGACCATGATGGAACTACACTATGTAATTGTACACTAGAAAAAGTATGGGGAAACTGTAATGCGAGTCGGGAGGAATCACATTATCTTTTTCGAGAATTAGAGTTTTTTTCCTTCTTTCTTTTTCTTTCTTCGCGAATTGCTGCTCTCACAATACGGAGAACTCCGGACGAGAGAAACATAGATGGAACACCATATGGTAAAAATCGATACATGAGAACGACATTCTGTGTGGAGAACGAATCACTCCTAAGAATAAAGAGCGAATGCGATACCTGCAAACCAAGCTCGCAAAGACCCAAGCAAGCAAGAATAAAAAGGAACCCAAAGAAACAAAGCCAGCCCAATGATGATGTGATACCCCTAGAAAGCAATCCCATGAAGAAAGAAAAAAAAGAAAGAAAAAAAAGAGGTATCCCGAAAAAACCCAAACCCGAACCTGAACCGAAGAAATGAAAGAAAGAAAGAAACACTCCATATTTCCAGCTTCTAGTATAGAGCAGTCTTAACCCGGATCACCAGATCCCATCGAATCTTCCCGTCCGACTATGTCTGCCTCTTCAGGCCGGAACTAGGTTTTGGCATCTTCTCGTAGGCGTTCTTGCGTCGAACACTGGCTTTCTTGTGGCCGTGTCCGCGTCCGCCGCAACGACTGTGGTTGTGGTTGTGATGATTGTGATTTGCACTGTCGTCGCTCTCGTCGCTACTGCTCTCGTCGCTGCTGGAGTCCTCTTCGCTCGAGCTCTCGTCGTAGGCTCGGGGGCGTGCGTAGATGCAGCAGACTAAGACAACGTGTCAGTCGTGATCGCGATCGCGGGTATGTGGTCTGGGGTGTGAAGTGTGGGGAGGGGGGAGTAGGAGAGGGTGCATACCTTTTGATGATTTCTTTCCCATGCCTTCGTTGTCCACGACGTCTTGATCCCATCGTACACGGCGATCCTCGATCGGCCCTCCGCGCAGCCGCAACGTGCCATCGGGGGAACGAAGCGACGGCTGCAAATTCGGGGATGTCTGCGTGGTCGAGACGGACGAGACACCAGTTGCCACAGCGGCGCGGCGCTCGACGGGGGATGAAGGTGAGAGAAGCATTGCTGATGATGATGAGGAAGAGGTAGCTGTCGGTTGATGATGCTAAGGTATGTAGGATGTATGTCGCTGCTTTGTTTCTAGGGACTGACAGGCAGGCAGAACAGAGGGGGATCGGGGCGATTGTAGGGAATCGGGGATGTGTTCTTGTGGGCCTTGGTTGGGGGTGCGCGGGGGGGGTTATAAACGACTTTTTTTTCTTTCTTTCGGCGAACCTTTGACTTTGAGTGAGTTGAGGATTTTTTAATGAAGAAGCAAAGTGGGTAAGGTAAGTGAATGAGTGCTGAGTGCTCGGTGGTAGCGGTAGCAGCGGAGCAGCAGCGGCAGCAGCAGCGGTAGGTAGTAGTAGTGTGTCTTCACTTAGGGATGTACACCTAGGTCGGGTAGGAGCATGTACGACGAGGGATGTTTGTGTGTGTGGAGAGGGGACGGGCTAGGTAGGGATGTTTGTGCGAAGCAAGTGGTCGGGGATTATGCTGCGGATGAATGACGATGATGTAGTTCTTTCGACGGGTGGTGGTCAGGTAGGTAGGGAGATGGACAGACAGAAGAGATAGGTCGTATTTTGGTCTTTGGGGGAGGGGAATTTGGAGAAATCGTACCGGTGGATGTGGGAGAGAAGCGGAGCAGCAGAGCAGCAGAAAGAGGAGTCGAGGTGGGTGACGAGAGTGTTGTGCGGAGGAGTTGGGGATGATTGGGCGGACGACGGTGACTGGGCTGGTTGTCTCTGCCGTCTTTGCTCTTGTTGACGGCACCGGTCACGAACTTGGTCGCCGGAAGAGGCGACTTACAATCGATCGGATTGATAAGATAAGATAAGATAAGATGGAGAAGCACAACAACAACGATCAGAGGAGCTTTGGAGAGAGCTCTCGGTCGTCGCCGCCGCAGAACCACACGACCACTCACTCCACCAACCATCCCACCTCGAACAGCCGACTTTACCACCACCCCCACCCCCACCTCCTCCACCACCAAGACCACCACCAAGACCACCACCATCGACACCACCGCCACCGCCATCAACATTCCCGACCACAGTGATCACCGCACACCACACTCACACCGCTCTACCCCAACCCTAATATACGTATTGAGATTGAGAGGTCAGAACAACGCGACCTTCAGAGAAAGGACAGACAGACAGATACCGTAGAAAGACAGACAGACCGACTGACTGACAGTGAGACAGATTGATTACCACTTCATGTGGTTAGCGAGAAATGACGTTTTGTCCTCTCCTCCTCCTCCCCTCTCGGGCCAGCTTCAGCAAGACGAGCAGCTCACAAACCCATAGCTCACAACCAAGCAACCCCGCAAGGAAAAGTCACCCCTCCATCGCTACCCACATATAAAACCAGAACAATCTGCTCCCAAAACACAACACCCTCTCGCGACCCGTCCGATCGTACTGTCGACTCCCGATCGACCCACCCCTGCCTCATCTCTGCCTGCGTGCAGCACACACGCTCGAGGCGCGCAGCAGCTGCGAGCTACATGGAGTGTAGGCGGAGCACTCTAAGTACGGTACAGACTCAATTCTGCTTCTACAGTACGGTGCAGCCCCGGCAACGCGTGGATTGGGTGGTGAGCAAGTGGTTCGCGTTTTTTGTGATATCACCATCTTGAGACACCGGACAGCCTCTCCTCCGCACTGGGCAACTTCTCACTACTACTATACATACTCTACAGCTCCCTATCTATCTACATACATTCATACATTCATACCCAATCTATATTCCCTCGGCTCAAACGTGCATGGAAAAGAAAATAAACGCCTTGAGGACAGGGCGCCCGCCGTGCATGGCATGAGATGGAACTCTCCTCCTGGCTCAAAGGAGAGGCCGGTGGCGGTGACGCCTCCACTCTTTGGACCGAATCTCATTTGCATACCGGGTTGGGTTCGGAGTCGCGAGGAAGAGCAGCTGTAGCCGTGGACAAGAGGCAGGCACGTCTGACGACGGCCACTCTAGAGTACCTACACACTCTATCCACTCATATGTTTGGAGCAGTTATCTGTCCTCCGAGACCCGACATGGACAGCAGCCACCGGCAGACCGGAGACGTATGTATGTGTCTTCTCTAAACATCACAGCAAGCACCTCGAGCACCTTAAAACTACGTACTAGAGCAACATTAGCACGCCCAGTGTCCACGTCCATCCAAAGTCGACATCCGAAGAGCGCATAAACCCCCATTGCCACGCGAGACCGGACAGGAGCCGATATCTACCACTGTCATTCGCTACTCCCCCTCCCTCCCCCCCACCCTCCTCCCTTCCTCCGTTCCTGTCTCTCTTTCTCACCGCTCGTTCCTTGTCTCGTCCCTCCGTCCATAGGCCACCGCACCGGATAAGCATTACCACCTCTCCGCGCAAAGCGAGACTCGACTCCAATCATCCATGATTCATCACCAAGGAAGGGGACGCCACACACCATCCGCGCCGTATTGTTCCGGGACCACCCCCCCTAGTTACCAAGCGATATGCACGCCATCTTGACATCGCATCTCGGCAGGCAACCCACTCATAATCCATCCTTTTCCTCGATCGCTCGCTCGCAACCCTACACCCCCCCCCCTCCACCTCCACGCCTAAATTGCACTTGCAAACCACCACTAGGTACAAACAAACACCGGCACTGGGGAGAATACCTATCATACAAACAAACAAACACAAAAAAAAAGAACAAATCGATCGACAAACTTGCGACCCACAACTAACCCGGGACTGAAACGAAACGAATGAATGGCCCGATTTCGATCGTATCTACACTACTCTACCCTTGATGTATGTACTGCCGAGAATCCCTAATCGTGGAGAAAGAGAAAAAAAGCGGCAAGGCGGGTCGACGGGCGGAAGGGACGATTGTTCGGTTGGGCTGGTTGAGTAGTTTTTTTTTGTTTGGGTGGGTTCGTTTCAGTTTCAGTTTCACATGTGCAAGTAAGATGGGGGTGGGACGAGACGAGTACCTAATGACGATCATATTCAATCAATCATGCAATCATGCAATCGTGTCTTGCGCGTATGATATGTAAAAACAAAACGGTTTGAATATAGAACACCTATGTAGAAAGGAAAGGGAAACTTAATTCTCTTCTCTCCTCTTCTTTCTTCAGCAACAGTCTATCTACCTACTCTAGAGAAGAAGTATGCATAGATTATGGGAATTTGGGTTGCATTTTTTTTGACATCCTTCTGCTTCTCGGATTCTTCCTCCGCATCATCCATCCATCTACGATGTGATATCACAAACCATCACTCGTGTTCCCCGATAACGATGATTAAACAAACAAACAAACAAACAAACAAGGCCGATGTCTTATCGAGCGGGCGGCGGCCCACCGAACCGTAGTGGAGTGCTGGAGTCACCTTTCCACAATCCCGGCGTCGGCACGACGGGCTGCAGAGGAGTTGCTGGTACGCTCCGGGCTGGCCTCGGCTGCTGCTGCGGCATCGGGGTCTGCGGGGTCTGTTGCTGCTGCTGCTGCTGGTGGTGAAGTAGTTGCGGGGGTAGCTGCTGGGGTGGAGGGTTGCCGAGCGGAGTTGAGATACGCATATTGTGCAACGAGGTGGTGATCCCACTATATATATATGCGGCGTCATCAGCCAGTCATTTCCTAACGCAACGCAAACCTGACATGTGAAATAGGTTAGCAAGTACTCACACCTCGAGCTGGCCCGCCTCGACGCGTCGCTGGTAGACAAAATGTTTGCACTCGTCCCGTAGCCGGCCGAGGTGCTTTGCAAGGTCGTTGTAGAATTTGCGCCCGCCGTCGAGGTTGCCCATCAGCTCTTTGTACTTGAAGTGGCCGTTCTCGAGCGTCTGGATCGCCGTCTCGCGCTCCGCTAGTGAGGAGTCCATCCGTCTGCATGCTAGGAACGACGAGTTTGCTTCGCGGAGTCGCTGGATTAGCTCTTCTTGCTCCGAGGACTCCTGCGCGAGGAGCTGTTTGTCAGTGTTGTAGCGTGTTTCGAGACGGCTGTTGAACAGCGGCTCGAAATCGGCTGCTTCGACCTTTCGCAGTGGGTTTTCTCGTTCCAGACGGCCTGTTTCAGCGAGGATGGCAGTGGCTGTTTTCTGTCAGTACTTCATCAAACGCAAACAAAGGACGAGAAATGAAGAGACTTACTGATATCATCTGCCTTAGCCTTCTGCCGCAGGGCCTCCACCTTTCTCCGACGGCGAGACTCGAGCCTCGATACCTCGTTCATGCACTGTCGCAGCTTCCCAACCTCACGATCGACCCTCGGCGTTAACGTGGCTCGCGAGGAGTTAGGCACATACTCCTCTAGGTCATGGATTTCGCCCCCAAGCAATCTCATGACTGACTCAAACTCGACGAGTCTTCCGCGCACCAGTCTATCCGAGTCTCCAGCGCTTTCGAGGTAGCCCTTGTATTCCTGAACTTGCTGCGCCAACTTTGCCGCCGCGACCTTGGACGGCTGCCGGTTCCAGCGATCTGTACCGTGCTTCGCACGCAGCTTTTCGTCTTCGGATGCTTCGGTTTGGAGAAGATCGCTGGCTTCTTGGTGCATGCCTATGTTGTTGCTGCGGAGCTTGTCGATGTCGCGGATTGAGGCGAGCAGCTTTTCGACACCGCCTTGCTGCCGGACCTCCTCCGCGTGTGCTACGATCCCGGGAGGAAGACCAAGCGGCTTCTCCAGTGCCTGTAGGGACCCAGGAAGGTTTAGGGATTGTAATACGCTACGACGGTTCGTTAGCTACCCTTCGACACATCGATGTAGGGAATGCTTACTCGTGGAGCTTCGCTGTGAGAGACTCCAGCTCGTCGATTATGGTGTTGTTGACCAGCCGGTCTCGCCTTTCAGCGTATATATTGGCGGCAACATGCACGGCAAATGGTACGAGCTTCGCAAACAGTGGTGCTCCATAAGGACCTGTATCCGAGAGCATACTGGTGCCTTCCGAAACCTCCTTAGGTATCTTCGAAGACACCATCGAAGCTCTAGATATTCTCGGAAGTGATGCTGCCGGTGGCACCAGACCTAACTCCGTCAGCCATCACGTTTGCCAGTTCCCCGCAGCATGTAGAATTACATAGATAAATCATGTCATTGTCTTTCTCCGCGCCCTTCAGCACACTCGTAACTTTCTCCTTCAATTCCATCAGATCTCCCAAGACCTGCTTGTTCAGATACCGTCCCTGTGCGAGTGCTTCATTGGTGCAATCCAGGGAGTCCTTCAGCCTCGCCACCTCCTCGCCGTACTTCGACCTCTCCAAGCAATCGCAAGCCTGTCTGTACTGAGCCGCCGCCGCAAAATGGTAATGTTTGGCGTTCATATGATGAATCCACTCTGAGCGGACACTCGACGACTTCGTCCCAAACTCGGCCGCAGCATCAAAGTAGTCCGACACACTGGCTGCAAGCCGAGCAACCACTGAATCCTTATTTTTATCCTGCACCGCCTTGAGCCAGAAGCACTCCTGCGCTTGCGCCAGCATCAGCTGTTCCAGACATGCTAGCGTCATCGCGTCCATGTCCTCGGGCGGTGTGCTGCGGAGCTCGGGTATGACGGATTCGCGCAGGTATTTCAGGACTCCGGCGGCAGCGCAGTAGTAGTTACACGCCGTTTTCACGCCAGCAGCGGATGCGCCGCGGCGCGAGGTAGTTGCCAGCTGCGAGTATAGAGAAGCAAGATTGTACAGGGTGTTTGCGCGTTCGAATTGTAGGTTGTTCTGTGTCACGGGTTTGCTGGTGTTGTAGCCCAGGGCCGGATACCAGGTGAAATCGGCGCCGATGTCTATTGGGAACTTTCCGCCGATCCACTGGAGCTGTGCTGCGTACTCGGCGAGCTTCCGGATACCGCTCTGGTGGGGTTCTTGGACATTGATCGCGTCGGCACGTAGTTGGTCGATCGCCGCGAGGTCCGCCGAGAACATGTCCGGGTGTTGGTCATATTTGGTAGATATGTATTGCTGTACGGCGTTGGCAAGCTCGAGAGGACTCGACTGGCGGAATGGGATCTAGGACTTCGTCAGTCGCCGGCAATCGAGTGTGTGGAGTATAAGTTACGTCAAGTATAGGCGCGCTACAATGAATGTTGGTCAGAGACGATACTATGCGCGGGAGGGAGGGAAAGTTTGATGCTCACGAAGTCATATTGGCCATAAGAGAGGACCAAATATCAGCAGGAATGCAGGGGGAGACGTGAAACTTGGCGTCTGTTCGGAATGGTAGAATCTAGATAGCTTGCAGCGGGTACCTGATCTCGTGGATAGAAGGTGGTGGGGGAAATGTTAGTGGGGTCATGGATTGCGACACGAACGTCATCGGCACTGATACATGCACGTGATATGGAGCTCTACCTATCCGATCATGAACTCTGATTCAAAGAGTAACATCATGATGAACCAAAGCTATCAAAAATTCTTTAACTCTCCCTATGATACGTGATATGGTTACTAAAGAGCGGTTACTAAAGAGCGGTTACTAAAGAGCGCATCCAATCTACACATAGACCCAGGTTCAATCAATGAAGCACAAGACCACTGGCGAATCATTCATGGTGTCGGGGAACTCTAGATCCAACGACTCACTGCTTGGACAATTCGACCAACCGGTCGATGCGAGACTTGTATGAGTATAGATATCTCGACTCTTGTTGAGCCCTACGGTACGGCGGTGATTGGGGCTTTTCAGCCGCGACGCGGAAATATTTACTTTAACACTCTTGAAGATCAAGCCGAACGCTTCCACATCCTACTCATCACTAGCACTCGGATACTAGCAGTAACTACGAGTGAGTAACCAGGAACTGGAAGAGGATCTCTGACTGTCTCGACTAACAATGGTGCACTTTCTCTTGAAAATTAGACTAATACTACGCAAAACATGTAAATCACTATCCGGTCTTCCATTACTTCTCGCAGAATCCAGCGCCCCTTCCTCGACTCTTCCCTTCCCTTTCCTTCTTGATACATACTTCAAATATACGGTCAAGCAAATTCATCCTTCGTCCCCTTCTGCCTTGTGTTCATCATCCAATGGACGACGGTCCCATCCCATCTCTCGACCACCAGCGCCCTCCGCAGCAGAAAGCAGCCCCCACCCCTGCGGTCTCTCCTAACGCCACTCGCAAAAGCCATCTTCACGACGTTCTCCTCTTCACCCACAAACACCGCCTTGATGTGAGTACCGTCGCTGCTGCTGTTCGCGCTAACGCAGAAGCATGAAGCTGCACTATCCGGCTCAAAGCACAGAGCTGTGCGTTTCAGCTTGAAGTAGTAGATGTAGATTCTATCCGTCGTGGAGCCGGGGCGCCGATAGCGGACGGCTACGAAGTAGCTGCTGTAGTCGGCGTGCTCCTGCGTGCCGGATCCCCATGTCGTGCTGACGATATCACGGATGGTCGAGTCTTCTTCGTTCGACGGCGGAGAAAGCTCCAGGAACGAGCCGGCCTCGGAGATCTCCTCATCGGCTTTCAGGCGCCATTGGGCTTCGGGGTATCGTGGTGGGTAACCACTGGCGAGGGAGGTGGAGAGGACGACTGTTAGCTTCTGGCTGTCGTGGTGGTGAAGGATATAGGCTGTTTCCGCGGGCGAGGTCGGGCTATGCGGATAGCTGTGATCTATGGAGATCACGTGGGGTGCGCCGAATAAAGGGGAGAGTTGGAGGTGCTCTGGGATGGACTGCCTTTCGGAAGACCAGGGGACCAGGAGGGTATCTGAGCCAGGGAGGATCAATGGGACGCATGAGGTGATCGGGGGAATCGGGTAGATTTGGGAGTAAAAGATGGTGCGGAGGGGAGTGGCCGTTGGAATCCACAGGGTATGGTTCGCCCGGAGGAGAGGGACCGTACTCCCACAGCCACTGCTGCCGGATTCCAAGTGGTAAACGCTGGGGTATATCAGTCCAGTCCAGCTATGTACGATAGTCCCCCCTCCCCAAGAATGGTACTTACACCGCTCCAGCCTCACACAGGAAAGCCACCTGAGCTCCCACCGGCGATATCGCCACGTCAATGACCTTCCGCGTGTGCGCAGCGCGCTCTTGCGTGTGAATATTCATGCACGGCTCCCTGATATCACAACGTAATTCTAGGGTAGAAGATGGCCTCAGATACGACTGCTTGATGAGCACATTCGCACTCCCATCCTCTCCCAATAACACGCCGACAAACGTCACATTCCAATGCCGCGGCCATCTCGGGTGGACGATGTCCTGTGCGTAGAAAGCCGTCAAGCGGGGAATCTCTGTGATGCCGTCGTAACATTCTATCGGCGCTGTAGAGACTTGGCAGATTTTGCTGCCAGAAGACGCGAAAGAGAATGTCTCGAATATTGATACTTCTGACACGCTTGCCGTAGGGAAATCCTCAGATATTGATCCTCGTCGCGCAAAGTGGTCGCCGGTTTTGGAGAGGAAGATATCTACCCGTTGTAGTGCCGGCATGGGTGTTTGTCCCTCCGGCGGAACGAAAGGCAGCGCTATGATCGACCGGTAGAAGGGTGCGAGTCCCTGCAAGCACTTCTGGTAGAAGTTTAGGTCCCGAGTGATCACGGCGAAGAGCTGCGGCTTCAGTTGGGAGAGTGGGCTTTTCTCCTGTGCAACAACGATTTCCCCGCAATGCCGGCGGAACAGTGACGCTTCTTCGGTAGCTGCCATCCAGCCGCGACATGTTCGCCGGCAGGCGTGAAAGTCCTCGGGCCGGAGGCCTTGGGTGAAGATTTCATGGAGGAGCTCGAGTGGGAGGCGGTGAATATAGGCTTGCGATTCGACCTTTCTGGGGGACGACATTTCTGCTCGGTACTTACTTCCTCATGTATGAGACATCTTTCTAGATGGATGCAACTCAGCCGTTCTTATTCCAACCTCGTGCGGCTCGGCGCTTTCCAACGGTCAGGCCGACAAATGCACTGCTCAAGGCGCGAGGCACATGTCACACATATGCACTTATGTAAGCCCTTCATGAACACCTCTCATGCCCGCACATGGCCCCACGGGCATATCTAATCCCCACGTACTCCTCTTGCTGGATACCCAACAGGTGCTCAGCCTTAATCCCTACGATAGCTAATGCAACTAGTTAATCTGGCACAGCCGTTTGGGAATATATGCACCCATGATCGGCGCTTCGCTTCGCTTCGTGAGGCTGTTGCGTGGGGCCAGGTATACGCATGGGATGACACTTGACACCCGCAGTGAGCCGCAGTGGCTGCCTACGGCCTCTTCGAAGATATAGAGGCGCAATCCCACGCTGAAAATTCAGTTTTCATAGCGATACACCTCCACGCCTTTCCCAACTGTTGACATGGCCTGCCAGCGATCGAACTGCCAAGATCAAGTTGCTATACTCGGTGAACGAAGTCCGGTAGGTTCTCAGCCAGATTGTGGATAAGGAGATAGTTATACGGCCTCTGACGTCGCGGCTCAGAATCGAAATCCCGACTCTCCAAGATTCGCGTCGCAGGAATGCCGCCATATCAGACCACAGGGCTGTCGGCCGATACCAGACAGTCTCAACGATCTCGCCCCGGAGCTGCTCCTCGACATCGCCGAGTACCTCAGTGCATGGGACGTCCTCTCCCTACGGCTAACCTGCATCCATCTCTCGGCACTCCTCGAGTCCACCCTCTCCAAGCTCGGAATCTGGTTCCACTTCCCCAGCACAGGTGACAAAGTGCTAGAATGGGCGAGCGAGAAAGGAATGGCCTATGTCGAGCGCGGGCTCCTCAACCCCGGCGACAAAACATCGGTGGAATACGACGGCGAAGGGATGGGGCCATTACATTACGCCGCCGCACACGGGAACACCCATATCGCGCAGCGGTTACTCGACAGCGGCGAAGATGCCGACAAGATGTCTTCCGTGAAGGGGATGACCGCGCTGCATATCGCCGCCACCCCGCAGATGGCACTGCTGCTGATTTTGCATGGTGCGGATGTGGCGGCGCAGAATGCCGGCGGGCAGCCGCCGCTCCATGTGGCTTGTAAGGCGGGCCGGACGGAAGTAGTGCGTGTGCTACTTGAACACGGCACTGCGGTGGTGGCAATGCACCGGGATAGCCGCGGGAAGTCGGCGCTCGATCTCGCCGCTGCTGCTGGCTCGGTGGAGGTGGTGCGGCTGTTCCTAGAGACCGGATTCCATGTGCGCCTGTGGGGCAGTGAGGAGCAGACAAGGTATCCGCTGCACATTGCGTGTGTAAGGAATGATGCAGAAGTGGTTAGGGAGCTCCTTAGGTATTGGGCGGATCTGGCGATCAGGATGAGCGCCTGGCATTTGGCGGTGAGGTGGGGGATTAAGGACGCTGCGATGGTGCTGCTGAAACATGGGGTAGAAGTTAGTGGGACTGTGAAGAACACGCTAGCTACGTGGGGTTGTCTTTGACGGACTCTGAAGGAGCGCTTTTTGGATTTCTGGATGTTTGTCTTGTAGATTTTGGACTTTCTCCGCTCGGTCGTAGCGAGCGATAGGGGGCTAAGTGTGATATTTTCACCAGGCTAATACAGGGAGGGCTTATGGCATTGAGTCCCGTCGAATGCGAACTGCTATATATTTTCAGTGTTCGATACGGGGCTGAACAGATCCGAGCGATATATGACTATAGAAATGGTCTTGGGCTTGGACTCACGCATCAATCGACCTCCAATTTCAATCTCAAATCTCGAACTCCCCCCACAACCAATCCGCACGAGAGTCATCCAGATATGGGTTATGAGCTCGGGTTTCATGGTCACCATCGCTATCTGCACCATCTAGGCCCTCCAGACAAAGTACGCAATCCCTCTGCCGAACTGCCTGGTCAATCATTTTGATATGGACGCACTGGCAATGGTAAGTCTATATCCAATGTAAGGCCACCTCCTGCCGTGAAGGCGGTAGGCCGGCCATCCTCAAACAATCCTTCCAACAAAAACAACAACCAGCAGGAACCGTTCACGAGGCTTGCTCAAACGCAGATCCTCTCACACTCTACCAGTAAGATGAAACACCAGCAGCCTCCAAGTTTCAACCATCGGACTTGATTATCCAATATAGGATCATCCACCGCCAACGGGCCTTCTGTACACTGCCGATCACCCGCTGCCCAGTGCCCAGTGCATGGAGCATTTTCATCCGCAGCCGTCCAAGCTTCATGGTTCGCTTCACAAGTTAAAAGGGAAATGGAAAGAAAGGAAGTGGGTGTGAGAGACCATTATATATCATTAACAATTAAACGCCCAAGAATAACCAAGCCCCCACATACACGTTCGTAGGTATCCTCATACCATTCCCCGGGTATGTCGCTAACAAATGCTCAATGCTCCAACGCTCAATGCAGTGCCCACCGACAAAAGAAATCTGCAATCCACCTCCGTCCCCAATGCCGTCCCTCAATGCCTATCGCACCTAGTACGTCTTACACCCCGCATTTGCCGGATAATCGCACACCCAAGTACTGGGGGAGAAGTGGAGTCCAACAGGGCAGTTGAACTTGACGGGGCCGCTGTGATCGCAGATGTAGAAGACGTTGCAGTCTGCCGTGTCGGAGAGGAACGGGGTCGGGCTGTGGTCGTAGACCTGTGGGCACGTGCCCGAGGGCCCGCCGGAGCGAGCGTTCACCTCTGGGCTGGCGGCGGCGAGCGAGATGCGGGAGATGAGGATGGGGAGGAGGGGGAGGAGGGTGGTGAATTGCATTTTTTAGGTTGGGGGGTTGGTTGTGAGGAGGTTGAGGAGGAGGAGGTGGTGGTTTTGGATGTTTGGATGTTTGGATGTGGTGGATGAGGATGAGGATGAGAACGATATGGACGGGAGACTGGAGACTGGAGACTTCTTTATACCTACCATATCACCCCCCCCCCCCGGCCTTCACCATCGCTGCCAGTACCGAGATAACAATAGTGTAGGTAGTAGGTAGCTAGCCAAAGATCCGTTCCTGGTGAGAGAGACCAAAAGCCCCCAATCTGACCATCAGTGATCACCATGATAATGTGACTGTAGATACCTCATCCTCCAGCGTCGACGCTGCGCTCACTGCTCACTGCTCAGTCGGCCAATGAACACCGCGGTAGCACAAGATCTGGAGACAATAATAGCTACTAAATCGGTGTCTGGTAGGCTGATACACTGGTACACTGGTATTAGCCTCATATGTATATACTCGGAATAGTAGCAGGGATGACATGACATGATATGGGGCTGAGGCTGGGGCTGGGGCTGAGTGGGCACTGGGTACCCTCCCGTATTTACTACCTACCTCAGAGTAACTACGCTGCACCGCAACTTCTGCGCGAGGTTTGGAGCTTCTATTGGGCACTGTGGTTGAACCATTCAGGACCGGTTCAAACTTCAAACTTCACCGCAAGAGTAGGATAAACACTGTGATCCAAGTAGCAATATATAGGCAAGATGAACATATTAGGTAACTATTCCAGGCAGAAAAGCATCCCGTCAGGTACGTACCGCAGCCAAGGCATATACTGGTCGTATAAAGTGTTCTTTCAGTGCCGTATGTGCCGTCATATCGTGACAGCAGCTATCTACATAGAAAACCCACTCTTCGCATCAGGCCAACCGAGTGATACCAAATGAACGCCTCCATCATTCGCCATCAATGGGCCTAGGTAACTGCACCGGCACTCGTACAAACCGTATATATTCACTACATACCCCATACATACTTATTCGCCAAGATCAGAATTAACTACATAGCTAGAGTAAGTAGACAGAACTAAGTAAAGTAAAGTAAAGTAAAGTAAAGTAAAGTAAAGTAAAGTAAAGTAAAGTAAAGTAAAGTTATCCAACGCAATTACAAAAAAAAACACAGCATAAGCATAAGCATGAGCACGAGCATGAGCATGAGCATGAGCATGAGCATGAGCATGAGCATGAGCATGAGCATGAGCATGAGCATGAGCATGAGCATGAGCATGAGCATGAGCATGAGCATGAGCATGAGCATGAGCATGAGCATAAGCATAAGCACACCTCAAGAGTCAAGACCCCCTCCCCTTCCCCCCGCAACTCCGACCATAATAGAACTGAAACTGAAAAGAAGTATATCCCCCCACCACCGCTAAGAAATGAAGAAAAAAAAGAATTAATCGACGCAGACAGACAGACAGATGGAAGGTAAATGGATTAGGATGGTGATTCTCCCATCCGCAGTGCGAGCAATGCTCGTACGTCCGCTACGTATTGTAGTGCCTGCAGCAGCGGGATCAGGTGGAGGAGGTCGATATCCGTTGGGTCATTGATCCAACCCTCGATGGGGATGGCGTTGTCTACACGAGCCCTTCGTAAGCCATGCGGTAGGAGGGGAGGGGAGGGGAGGGGAGGAGGAGGAGGAGGAGGAGAAGGAGGAGGAGAAGTATAAAGGGTATGTACCTTCGTGGAAGATATAGCTCATCGGGGAGTTATCAATGATCATGACCTTTGAAAGATCCGGCTCTACGGTAGCCAAGTCTTTAATGTACGCTCCGTTTCTATTTGTACAGTGCTGGCGATAATATCGTCCGCTGAAATACTTGCGGTCTTGCTCCAACCAGTCTATCACGGGATCTGCATATTCTTGCACTGATGCGGTAAATACAACTAGATTGTACCACTGAGCTACCTTTGTGATTCGCGCGCGAAGAAGGGAAAAGGAGCGCAGTCAGTCAGTCCCATCACCAAAACAAGAAGCTTATGAATGGATGGGGGGGGGGGGGGGGGGGTGGGGGTGTTGGGGCTGGATGTGGTATTTACCTTTCGGAGGAATTCGTCGCAATATGGTCGTTTGTGGACGTAATACAAAATGGCATGTTGCCGGTCCAATTTTACCTCCACCATGTGGCCCGACGACATCCGGCTGCCCTTCGCTAGCGAATGGATCAGGGTTTCGTCAAGATCCAGTATCAGAGTTTTGGTCGACGGTTTTCGCGAGAGTAGAGGGACCGGGGGACCGGCAGCGCGCGGGTATTTGGTGAGTCGAAGGCTAGGCGACGGGGATGTCGGTGATTTCACGGACGACGAAGCTTTGTTCTTCTGCGTCTCTTCGTTGTATAGCCGTATTCGTATCGACCGTCTGGGCGATATGTCCTCCACTGTCGATAACGGTGATGAAAATTTCGTATCACCTCCGCCGCCGCCGAATGACTTTGCGCGGTGATGCGAGGTCGTACCGGAAGACATTATTTCGGGTATAGGATCGTCGGCTGAAGCGGAAATGTGCTCTTGTAACGATATCTCCGGAATGGCCCCGAGCTTCTTGTTTCCGTCCTTCCCCAAAGATCGCAGCACTAATCCCGCCGCCCTCCGAAACGGCATCAATGGCGAGAACACTCCCTCGTCGTCGTACACGCAAGCTACCAGCCAATGCGTAGACGTTGCAATCGTCGATATGATCCACCGCACAGCACCAAACCAGGGGCTCAACATGGCCAGATATATTCGTTCCCCGACCGACATGTGCATGTGGCCTCTCAACCCCCCCACTCCCCCTCCACTGCCGCCCCCTCTCCCATTATGCCATACCCTCGTGTCGTCATGCATCCTCCCTCCTCCTGCTCCTCCTCCGACTTCCCGTTCCGCCTCGCTTTCCCCGTCATCCTCGATGCACCTCCCATCCTCTTCTTCCTCCTCCACAACGGTTTGATTACCGAAGAACGACTCGGCGCCAGCATGACGTGTTCGGAGGAGCTCGGTCGGGCGGTGCTCCTGATGAAAGGCGTTGGTCTGGGGTGTTGGAGGCGGGGTATTTCCGATGACCTTGTTGACCCTTGAAGAGAGTATGCTGAGAGAGTTCATCGTTCACCTCCGCAGCTCCATAGACCGTGGGGAGCTCAACCTTTAGGGACTTGTTTCTTCCGGAACGTGCAGTCGACGCTCGTTTTCCCTCCTGTTCCTCCTCTGCCGCGACGTAGTTGTGGTTTTAGAAGGCGCGGGGGAGGCGTTTGGGTGCGACGGGCTTCGCAGGATTCGAGCTCTTTGTTTGCTTGTTCGTTCGTTCGCGGTCGTGGCGGATGCGTTGGTGGGTGATGGGAAGTGGTACTGCAGGCGCGGCGGGCGGGCGTGATCCCAGGGCGCGGCGGCGGCCGAGAAAGCGATTGCCGATTAGCTACCTACCTAGCTGAACAATGAAATGCGGTGGTGTGTATGTAGTGGACACCGACGCGGACGGCGATGACGACGACGAGGAGGACGGGTGGAGCACTCGAAGTGCTGGCGCGGATATCCGAAGGCTCGTAGTGGGTGGAGGTTTGGTTGGTGAGTGTTGGGACATGGCACGGAAGAGAGTCGGAGTGGACTTGCCGAATAGATTGTCGGGGATCGTTCCAGCGCCGCTGATGGTGTGTCACCCTGTGGTTGTGTCACAGCCGGCTACTCTTTTATTGTACATCTAGAGTAGAAGCTGCTTTGCGCTTTGGATCCAGAACATCTTCAACCACGGGAGAGCAGGCAGAGGGCACTGGTGAATTCGAGAGAGTGACAGCAGGATATAATCGTGCACCATCCAATCCAGTGCCTGGTAAGACCCTTTGCATGCATCATCAAGTCTGTTCCACAACAAGACAGCTACGGTATGTACTCTACACATCCCCGTTTTGATACTCTTCACGTCGCGGTTGGCGGCTCTGCGCTCCAATCAATGTGTTCATATTGCCTAGGAGCACGTGGCATAGCTCGATGGCGTCCACATGGTTCGAGACGACGAAAGTATGTGAATAAATAGTGTATGTAGGTGCTATATAGAGAGCTGTTGAGCTGTACGCACGGTGTACGTGGTACATTGTACTTGTGTATAAATATGAAGCTACCGACATGCATGCATTTCGGATACTTGTCTGTCCGGCCGTTCTCTCGACGATAGTTACGCAAGTATGGACTGCGAAGATATGTGTCCTCAAAGTTCAAACCTCGGATGTGGGGTTGAAGCGGGTTGCTGATCTCGAGGTTGGTCTTTGTGGGGTGCTCCGCAAAAGCTGCAAGCATGGGACAGACTGCTGGGATGGATCATTAGCCAGTCAATATAGTAGTTAGCCAGAAGGCCCGAGTCAATTCCCAGGTAGATATTGACGGGGCGAGTCAATAATTTCTGACCGATTTAAAAAACACCTCTGTTCCACTCTCAAGCCTCGAGGGTTCATCACCACTTATCGCATCAATTCACCGAGTGAATCCCTCGCACCACGATGAAATCCGAGTTCCAGCCACCAAAATCTATTCCAAACAACCAACAGAAGCATCCAAGCACACACCCACCTTTTCGCATCTGTATTTGCATCTACAAAAACAACGGCATTGAATTATCGGCACTTCAACCGCCGACCAGAACCACCAGGTTGGATTTTAACTACATACCTCATACCCAGGTGAAACTTTGAACCTGGGCTGTTGACCGGATATTCGACGCATCGTGGTTTCCCAAGGGAAGGACCGGGAGTGGGAGGCTCAGCTCCGGTGATCGGATTGCTGTAATCCTGGGAGACGAGCATCACCGACGTACATACTGGTAATCTTTCGACCATAGGAAGTTGAGCTTCGGTATGGTACCTAGGTTCCTCGTTCCAGCAATCCGGGCGATATTCTAGCGCCTTTGATACTATGGACATTGGACTGGACCTGAAGCCTTCCGAAGGTCTGCGCAGCTTTTGCATCGATAATCATAGCATGTACCTACCTTGTACTCGCACAATCAAGTGTTTCTCGGTCACCGGCCGGTAACAGTACATACGGTACGGGGCGGTAACCTGTTCAACATCCAGAGGGAAGTATGTAGTTCAAACTTCAAAGCTCAATCCCACATCAGTCTGTTTTTGATGCCGTAGGTTGACGGACTGGAATTGAATTGAATTGTCGGATTCGTTTGTTTAGTAAAGTTGAGTGGGTGAAGATGATATTGGGGGCATTCGTTCAGCTACCTACACAAAGGGTGCGGGTGCTATGACTACTGCTGCTGGAATTAGAATGGATGTCTTGTTAGATACTCGTAGATAGATATTCCATCTTGGTTCGTCGTTTGGCTTCACTACTGCATCCCTTATGGTTTTTGGAAACGGGACATCGAGAGGATTGCCCGATGTGCTCTAGAAATGGGTCGCATCCAGTCACAGACAATGATGATGGTGATGTATAGATGAATTGCGATGAATTGCGTGCTTCCCACCCCCCCACCCCCCCACTCAAGCCCCCGTAGCATTGGCTTTGAACAGTTTCCTCATATCCTTCAAGAACCCGGCAAACTCCCTCGTCTCGTTCAACTTGTCGGCAACGCGGCCCACATCTTCCATGTCCAGGCGTGGCCGGCATTGTACGACTACAATTCATGGTCAGATACGAGATGGCGACACCGGGTGGTTGGTGTGTGGGCAACGTACCTTCGTAGTCCCTCTTGACCATACTCACCACGAACCAAGACTCGACATCTGGTTCGCTGAGGTGGGTAAACGTGATCTTGAGGTGATCGGCGACCCCGGCTCCGTCAATGCGCATTCCCAAGTGGTCTTCCCAGAACACGAGCTCGGGAACGTTCTTGGCTTGTTGCTGGGTCAGGGCTTGTCGTTGCGCGGCACGGACTGGATGTACGCGATCAGCACCAAACCTCCACGGACATCTGACGTCTGGTCTGCTCACTTGCGCGCTTCTTCTCGATAGCCAGCTTAACCTCCTCGATCTGCGCCTGCAACGCCTCCTTCTGCTCCTCCTTGACCCTGCGCTTCCGATCAATATCGGCGATGGCGTTTTCGGCCTCCAGCAGCTCGGCGGTATCGCGCTTGACCTGCTCCTTGATCTCCTGTTCCTTGGTAACATAGAAGTCGCGATCCTCGCGCAGCGCACGGGCATTATCTACAGTCTGGTCGTCAGCGCCCATCGCTCCTGTGGGGTGCGCGGGGCGGGGTGGGTGGGGTACCTTTGAACTCCAGCATGCTCTTGGCATAGTCGTTCTTGTCCTCGAGGATGCGCTTGCGGCCCTGCTTGATGAACTCGTCGAAGCGCACGGTGAACGCCATCATCCGCTCCTTGAGGTCGTCGAAGCCGAATTCGATTTCGGGGAGTTGCGCGGCCATCGAGGTGGTGGTCGTCGGCGGAGGCGAGGATCGCGGTTCAACGGACATCGCGGATGGTGGGGGGTGGATGCGTTATATGGGGGGTATGTGGGGCGGGATAACAAAGAGTCCGTTGAAGCCGTGGAATGTCGGATGTGTCTGTGTGATAATATGGTGGTGGTGTTGGTGGTGTTGGTTCCTCGCTGATGTGTTTGTTGCTTTCCACAAAGAGATGAGAGAGTCCGTTACGACAGCAACGCGGTGTTCGGCAGGTTCCGAGACTGCTTACTAGCGTGTACCACCATGGAAGCTCGCGCATCTAGATTTCAAGGTAGATGAAGGTAGAGTAACTTCCTTCACTCACCAACTCGGACGCGAACGAAACCCCACGACCCCTCTACCCCCCGCACTCGTACACACTCCACACCACACTTCGCAGCGACTCTCATCTATTCAGCATGAGCGGCTTCCAAGACGTCCGCGATGTCATGGACATCACCGGTCCTGTCGAGGGCCTTCCGCGCCCACCACCGGCAAAGAAACAGAAGACAGTGGAAAAGCGACCAGGTGTGTGCCTGCCTCTCCTTCCAGAGTTCCCTTAGTCGCAGAGCTCTGTTAACATAGGAGAACAGACGGTATCACTCGCGAGCTGTTCGCGCTCCTGGGAGAGAACCCACCTCCAGTTGCCATCGTCGAGAATAAGTTCAAAGAGAAGCCGCGGTGGATGGGAAAGGCGAATCCATGGTGAGCGACATTCCGCATTGGGGGGAGGGACAGACAGAACTAAGGGGTGGCTTTTGTCTTGCGTAGGGTGTGGAAAGGCTTCCAGAATCCTGCTCGCGGCGACGACCTGGTGCTCCACCACTGGGAGCGCAAATCCGACAGCCCGGGCGACGTCGTTTACAAGTTCAGCAAGTTCAATGTTAAGGTCGACGTGCCCGAGTACACCAATGGCGAATACGAGGTTCTCAAGAACGACGATTGGACGAAGGACGAGACTGACTACCTCTTCGCGCTGTGCCGCGAGTACGACCTGCGCTTCCCGATCATCTGGGATCGCTACGAGTGGCCGGATAAGAAGCGCAGCCAGGAAGATCTAAAGGCGAGGTACTACTTGGTCTGTCGCGTATTGATGGAACTGCGGACTCCCATGGGGCAAATGACGCCCGAGGAGATCAGCACATTCAACCTCATGAATTTCGACAAGGAGCGGGAAGTGATGCGCAAGGCGATGGCTGAGCGACAGTTCAACAAGACTGAGGAGGAGTTCAAGGAGGAAGAGATGTTGTTGGCGGAGCTCAAGAGGATCGTTGGCAATCAGGAACGCATGTTCGAGGAGCGCCGGGATCTTTTCCAGCGCCTCAACTTCCCGCCGACGACCGGATCCATCGCGCCATATACCGGCAGCCAGGGCCTCACGCACCTGCGCGATCTGATGCTCTCGAGCTCGGACAAGAACAAAAAGAGGAAGTCGATCGCATTGGGACAGGCCAATGGCGCCGGCGGCAACAGCGCAGAGACTGCTCAACCGACTCCGACATCTGCCAACTCAATTGACAGGAGCGCTATCGGCGGCGGCGGCGCCGGTGGCAGTGGACCGGGAAACACCAAGGAGCGGGAAAGTAAAGAAGTCAAGCGCAGAAAGCTGTCGAAAGAAGAAGAGGCCATGTACGGAGTTTCCAACCACGACAAACTGGCGTCGGGCGTCAAGCTGCGCTCGGGCATGGTCGCCAGCAACGTCAAGGGAGCGACCGCCACCAAGGTCGCGAACGCGCTAGCGCAGATGGGCATCGGCAATCTGACGATGCCCACGGCCAAAACGGTGCAGAAGTACGAGCAGCTTCAGAGCTCGGTGGGTGTGCTCCTCGATACAAGGAAGCTCGTGGATAAAATGGAGCAGGAGGCGCGGGTCCTCAAGGCTCAGCTGGAACTCAGGGAGAACTGAGAAGGGTATTCGTTCCTCTACTTGGCGTTGGTTCTTTTTGGTCTGTGGTTGTCTTTGTGATTGGGGTGGAAACGTATCTTCAAATCTCTTGCTTCGGTGTTGTTCCTCTCGAGTATTTTTTTAGTTTTTTTTTCTTTTCGAATTTCTTGTGTTGGGATCACGTAATATCACCATCACCATCACTCTTTTTCTTCTTCTTTTCTTCTTCATCTTCTTCATCTTCTTCATCTTCTTACTATCATCATTCCTCATGTTATGTTTCCTTTGTTATTTACGGTTGGAATGGAATGGGAATCATGGAATTATGGAATTGTCAGGCCTGGGGGGTCGGGCGTGTTGGGGTTGGGTTTGTGTTCGTTACATGCAAAGTGTTGGCTGATGCACTTCACCTGACGTTTTCGAGTTCCATTATCAAGTGTAGTGCAAGTATCAGCACCAACCACCACTGCCCATCGATACATAGCCGCCGCAGCAGCAGCAGCGTACTTATGTAGAGCCAGAAATGAAGGGTTTTTGTTGATAGACTGACTGAGTCCTGACGTGCCGGATTCTTTCGGCGGGGAGACTATACCAGCCAGCCAGTGTAGCCAGTGTAGCCACTCGCGTTCCTTCCCCAGACCACGACCGGACGAGATGAGAAAAAACCGGTTTCGATTGCGACTGCGATTTTGATTTTGAGTTCATATCCGCAGCCTGACTTTTACATACGAGTGATCATGATTCATGCTCGGGCCGGAGTGTGTGCTGCCCATTGCCCACCGCCCAGCCTGCCTGGCCATAACTGTCCTCCAGCCAGGCAGTCAGCCAGCCTGTCAACTTCAATGCCAGCTTCCGCTACCGGCACGGTAGAGGTGGATATGAGATGTAGCATACGAGGCCTGCTAGGCAGGAGAGAGAGGGGGAAAAGGAAAGAAAACGCATGAGCATGCTCTAGGTACGGCAGATACGTAGATGTGCGCAGTGTGGAATCGAAGCGAAAGCGAGCCCCGGCCTGCTGGTTATGTGGTTGGTTATGTGGTTATGTAGTTGCTTACATACCGCACGCGAAAACGGGCGAAGAGGGACTGCGAGTCTGGGGGAATGGGCGTCTGAGGGAATGGACGATGGAGATGGAGTGAGTGGGAAGAAGCGCGACGGGCGGAGGGAGCGCCAGAAGAGTGCAGTCACTTTTCCTCAGTAACTAGAGGCTCGTTCCAGGAGAGCGCACGAGAGTCGCAATGGATGATGAAGGGATGGACGGGGGCAGGAGCGAGGACAGCGGCAGCGCTCAGGGCACGCACGCAAATCCGCAATTCTGGGTGTCAACACTGGCAACAACAGCAGCAGCAGCAAAAGCAGCACCAGCACCGGCAGCACCAGCACCAGCAGCAGCCATCACGTACAGTGCAGCAGTGGTAAGGTAAGGTAGGAGGAATATCGATTCTGCCCACCACCACAACCACCACCACCAACCAACCAGCAAGTATAAATTCCCTCACAACGCACGCGTCCTTACTCAATCCCCCCCAAACTTCGTCTGCCTGCTCTCTCGCTCCTCCTCCTCCGAACCCCCTCCCCGCCGCCGCCTTCTCTCTGCACCCCTCCGTGTTGTAGTATCGTATCGTATCCTACCCTTCACGCGCACACATCCCCCATCCCCCTTTTATCACCCTCCCACTCCACCCACACACACACACACACACACACACAATGTCGGCCCCTCCAGTCGTCCTCCGCCGCAGTGCGCGCAATTCAGCCAAGAGGACTTCGCCGACAGCGGAGGCCACCACAGCAGCAGAGCCCGAGGTCGTCGCGCCCGCGCCCAAGAAGAAGCGCACTACTCCCGCCGCCCCCAAGGACGTGGAGGAGAAGAAGAAGGAGAAGAAGCCCGCTGCCGAGAAGAAGGCTCCTGCCGAGAAGAAGGCTCCTGCCGAGAAGAAGGCTCCTGCCGAGAAGAAGGCTCCTGCCGAGAAGAAGGCTCCTGCCGAGAAGAAGGCTCCTGCCGAGAAGAAGGCTCCCGCCGTCAAGAAGGCTGCCTCCGCTGTCAAGAAGGCTGTCGCTGCTGTCGTCCCAGCCTCCGTCGCGCCCGCTACCGAGGAAAAGCCCGCGACCGCCGATGAGGAGCCCGCTGCCGCCGCCGTCGCCCCAGCCACCTCTGCTGCTGCTGCCCCGGCCGCTGTCGCGGAGTTGAATGAGGGCGATTCTATCCCTGACGATCTTCCCGAGATCCAGACCCATACCGGCGAAACCACCACTATCAGCGCGCTCGTCGCCGCCTCGGAAAAGGGCATTGTAATCTTCGCATACCCCAAGGGTACATGATCCCATCCCCCCCACAAATCCTCTCGTTCCATACACACACACCCACACCCACACACACACACATACACATACACACACACATATATATGTAACCCTGCTAACACCCACTCCCCAGCCTCCACGCCCGGTTGCACGACGCAAGCGTGTGCGTTCCGCGACAGCACCGCGCAATTCCGCGGGCTCGGCTACGCGGTCTACGGGCTGTCTGGCGACAGTCCCAGCGCCAACGAAAAGTTCCACACCAAGCAGAACCTGGCCGACATCCAGCTGCTGTGCGACGCGAAGTACGAGCTGCACGCGCGCCTCGGCGTCAAGAAGGCGGGCGCCGCCAAGGGCACCGTTCGCAGCGTCGTGGTCATCCAGAAGGCCGTCGACGCCACCCAGAAGGCTACCGTGCTCAAGAGGGCCCCCGCTAATCCCGCCCAGAGCGTCGATGTCGCCCTCAAGGCTATCAACGCCGCCACTGCTGCTGTCGCTGCGACAGCTGAGAACAAGGAGGATGAGGACGCCGAGATGAAGGATTAGAAGAAGGGGAAAAAATTGGCTGCTTTGACTTTTTTTCTTCTTTTCTGTTGTTGGCTGGGCTTGGCTTGGTGGATGGAGAGACGTACACACACTCATACGCTCACATCAATCAATCAATCATCCCCAATTCCCTTCCCGTAGTAACTTTTTGTTGTGTTCTTTTTTTTTCCGTTCCGTTCGGGAGTGTTGGTTTTTTTTGGTCTTGGTCTTGGTTCTTGGTCTTGGTCTGTTTTGGTTTTGTTGTCACGTAGCAAGAGGGAAATCAAACATCACTTTGGAACATGCATTGACCTTTGAGTTTGGCTTTGGAACTTGGAACATTGGCTTTAGAACTTTGGTACTGACATTAATCGAAATTGGCTTTGACATTGGCTTTGATGTTGACTTTGTCATTGACTTCGACTTTGACATTGACATTGACTTTCGACACCGAGAACGGGAACGGCAAAGAGGAATGCATGCTTGGAATCCAATCTTCCCCCCCTCCCTCCATCCCTTCCTCCCTTCGATCGAGAGTGAGAGTGAGAGTAAGTGAGTGAGGGAAGGAGGGAAGGAAGGAAGGAAGGAGCCGGTGTATCGACCGCTGCACATTGTACCGAAGTTCCCATCGAAAGGCGAGCATCAAAAGGCGAGCATCAAAAGGCGAGCATCGAAAGGCGAGCATCGGGCGGGGAGGAGCCTGACCACCGGAGGCAGGGAGCAGGCGGTAGCGGGGAGGCGGTAGCGGTAGGCAGCAGTATGAGCGGTTGAACCACCGCGGTTACCAGCCGCTGGAGCCTGGTGACGAAGCCTGGCGAGGAAGCTGTGGATCTGCGGGATTTGATGAGTGCTCACACGCCTAGCTGGCTGGCTGGCTGGCTGGCTGGCTGGCTCTTGATACGCGGTACAGCGGCACAGCGGGGGGTTGCGTACTTACACATACACCCAATACACTACACACATACTTACCAAGAGGTATCTAGCCAAGTAGCTGTGCTGCAAGTCCCCGCCGCCAGGTGGTGGAGAGCCAAAATCCCGGCAGTGAGTGATGCCTTGTGACGCCCTACCTGCCGCTGCGGTTCCGGTCGACGGCCGTGTGCACTGAGCGTGGGTTCGCCTGCGAGCTCATCTAGCTCCGCGGCTGGGTGTTATTTTCCTGCTACTGGATACTGTGCGGGCCCTGCAGCGCTGTGTGCCGTGCGTGGCTGTGTGTCGTGCGTGCCATGAGGTCACGGACTCGACTGGAATGGCATGGAGGCATGTCTTCTGCTGCTGCTGCTGCTGCGTCACTTGGGCGTTGGGCTGGGTGTGCATAAGGGTTACATACACTGTAGGTGAGGAGTTTGCGCAGGCTGGAACTAGAACTGTCGGCAGGTGTTGTTTCTACATATTAGATGGCTTTGGGACACGGTGAATGATATCGTATCGTTAACGTCAATCACTGGTAAACACCACGGCTTTGGCTCTGGTTGGAACTTGGAACTATATCTTGAGCGAGCACGAGCAGCGCATGTACCGTCTTATCTACGGATGAGCGACAGCATAAATTGTACCTTCGAGCTTGCCGATCCACGCCATATTAAGCAACAACGCCCTCCCCCCTCAACTCCGCAATCTCCTCCTCGCCCAACCCCAACTCCCGCAGCACCTCATCCGTGTGCTGCCCCAATGTCGGCGGCGGCGTTCGGATCCCCGGCGTCGCCTCCGAGTACTTGACGGGAGTATTGACCAGCCGTATGGGCCCAATGGTGGGGTGCTCGACCGTCTGCACCATCCCGCGTGCGCGCACGTGTTCGTGCGCCAGCGTTGTCTGTATATCGTTGATAGGCGCGTAGGGCATGCCGCAGCCTTCGAGGATTTGGAGCCATTCCTTTGAAATCGTTAGCAGGGGAAGGCGGGGGGGCAGATGGGAGGAGGAGGGAGGAACCTGGGTGGTTTTTGTTTTCATGATGTCGCCGATCATGAGAACAAGGACCTTACGGTTCTGAACACGCATGGTGTTGGTGACGAAGCGGGGATCGGCCGTCCACTGCGGCTGGCCAATCTTCGTGCACAGAACGCCGTAGAGGCGGTCGTTGCCGCCGCCGAGGAGGATCGAGCCATCCTTCGTCGGGAATGCTTCGTAAGGTACGATGGACGCTTCCCCCGCAAATCAGTCTTCCTGCTCTGGCCGGACGGGAGAGAAAACCCACGGTGCGCAGTCCCAAACCTCCCCCCATCCTTCTCCCCCGATATCAGCGCGGAGCTGGCAATATTTGCCAGAGTGGCGACCTGGCAGTCGCTGAGCGCCACATCTATATGCTGTCCGCGGCCCGTCACGCCGCGCGCAATAAGCGCCGCCATGATGGAATTACTCGCCCACAAACCTGTGGTCATGTCTGTCACCGCGACGCCCACCTTTACCGGCGGGCCATCGGCCTCGCCCGTGATGTGCATCAGCCCGAACTCGGCCTCAACCATGACGTCGTAGCCGGCGCGGGCGGCGTACGGGCCTGTCTGCCCATAGCCCGTGATGGAGGTGTAGATCAGTCGCGGGTTGGCGGCGGAGAGCGAGGCGTAGTCCAGCCCGTATCGCGCCAGTGTGCCAGGGAGGTAGTTCTCGACTAGGATGTCAGACTGGGCCGCGAGCTGCCGCAGGATCTCTTGTCCCCGTGCGTGCTTGAACGATATGCCGATCGATTTTTTGTTCCTGCCCTCCCATCATCCTACTCAGCCCTCCCATCCCTCCGTCCCTCTCTCCGTCCCTCTCGCCTTCCTCGCGCTCACCGGTTTGCCTGCAACCCATCCATCAGCACGATCTCCCCACCCTCTCTCTCCCCCCGGAAACAGACGGGGGGCCATACACATAAAAAATACGCACTCTCCCCCCTTCCGCCCTCGCCATCGCCATCCTTTGTCTCAGCGAACGGCGGCCCCCAAGCGCGCGTGTCATCGCCAGTAACGGGGTGCTCAGTCTTGACGACTGTAGCGCCGAGGTCGCCCAGGATCTGCGTGCAGTACGGGCCGGCCAGGACGCGGGTCATGTCCAGGACTGTCAGGCCGGCGAGGGGGAGGGCGCCGCTGCTGGGGCTGGGGGGGACGGCGGCAGCGGCGGTGGAGTAGCTGCGGCCATAGCGGGAGATGCGGGGTATTAGCTGGCGGATCATCGCGGCGGCGGCGGCGGTTGGTTTATGGGGTGGAGAAGTGCGCGGGGAGGGGGAGGGTGCTGTGAGATGGAAAGCACCCCCACCCCCCCCCCCCCCCCCCCCCCATTGTCTCGCCCGGCCGATGGGCCGAGGTAACAGCTCTGCGATGGAGGGGAGCTAGGTACGGAGACAAGCTTTTTGCAGCACATCATAAGACGGCACGGCGGCATGGGGTGGACTGGAGTAGCTTTTTTCGGTAAAATAAGCATCCCGGTCCCTGCATGGCGAGATGATCAGTCGTCACCACGGTGATGGTCGATACATACCCAAAGACCGAGTATGTAAATAGAAGTCTCCAATGCGCCGGCCGGCTGCGGCAAAGAAACGACCGGTGAACTGAACTGAACTTGTCGATGCCAAGTGAGAATGTTCCTTCCTTTACAGTTCCCCTTAACATGTGAAGTGAGCCGTGAAGCTTGAACGGCTGCGGACGAAAATGCCCCATGCACTGTGCATTATGCAGCGAGTGATCTGCTGTGTACGGAAGGCCCGTTGGCGGCGGATGATCCCATAGTTAATGGATGATCATGCCCGCTGGTTAGGACTCGGGAAGCTGCCGATGTTTCACCTCACCGGTAGAGCGCGAGAGGATTCTGTTTGAGCAAGCCAGCCTATTCACACTCACTTGCTACGGCTTGATGGATACCATACATTATGAGTGTCTTCGCTCACCCACTTCCTCCTCCTCTTCTAGCGGGTACCGAGTATGCTGGCTTCCATATCTCGGCTCCCATCATCCACCCGCCTTTGCGCTTTACGGGCGTGCCGGTTGGCTGGTCACTATTGCCGTATCAGGGCCCCAAAAACCCGTACTTTTGCCGTATTACTTCCATCTTCTTCATGATCGATATGGCATGTAGTATTACCACAGTTTTCCCCTTCCTTGGACTATACAGACTACAGTAAACATCATACTCGAGGCCTACCTATCCCCCGCCCACAACAACATCATCATCATCATCATTAATATGTATACCACCAAATAAATCGGCGATAACTACCGTACATCATGTCATCGCTCATATCGGTACAAACATTACACAAACATGACCCAACCCAACCTCATAAACACGAAAGAAAGAAAAAAAGAAAAGAAAAAGAGACCAAATCAAAACGCCCAAAACTCCAAACCAACTCCTGTTCCGACTCCACTCCAATGCCAACTCCGCAAGCCCATGCCCCAGCAAAAAAGAAAAGAAAAGAAAAGAAAAAAGCCCAATGTTATGTTATACTCTCACAGCCGGCCCCGGAGACATCGGCGACAACGGCGACAGCGGCAGCGGGATCTCCGCGGGCGAGGACTCGACTTCATAGCTGATCCTGCGCATGATGATGAGTCTTCCCTCGTCCTCCTCCCCGTCGGGCATCCAGCCATCCGCCTGCTCCTCCTCCGGGTCCTCGTCCTCATCCTCCCCGCGCCCTCGCTCCATCGTATTCCTCGCGCTAGCGTTCGTAGTAACAGTGTGCGTGGTGCTGCGCTTACTCTCGCCGCGCATTCTCCTCAGCTCTCTCTTTCTATAGAGCACTGCCTTCAGACTCGGCAGGGAGACCGCGCACACGGCCACCGAGAGCTCGACACACGCGAGCAGCTCGGCAAGCTGGATGAATGAGTAGTAGACCAGCAGGTGCGAGCGGAACTTTATGTGCAGTGCGCAGCACGTCGCCGTGGTCGCGATCGTGGCCAGCCCTAGGAACAGAAGGAAGAGGATTGCGTACTTCTCGCGCGGTGGCACCTGGATGTAGTAGAATATCACCAGAGGGATCGCGAGTACCAATATGTCGGACGTGATGTTCGTGATCGCGTAGATGCTGATGCTGAGCACGTGCGTGAAGGGCGTGCAGTGGTGTTGCGGGGTGCGTGCCCTGGGTGAGGATGAGCAAATGCAGTCGGGGGAGAGGAGAGGAGAGGAGGGTACCATTGGTTTCCGAAGATACGGCCGCACCACAGGGCGTGCGTCAGGATCAACACGAGGTAGGAGACGACCAGGTACGCGATGGTGCCATACAGCAGTTTCTTAGTGGTGGCATTCAGATGTCGTTTCAGATTGAAGTCTGTCCGATCGTTCGTTCATCAGCTTTCACTCGCTTTACATCCACACTCTCTCGGGCTCGGGTGAGGGTAAACCCACACATAGCCACAAAGCTAGCCTTACAGAGCCACAGCCCCGTGGGGACGATATAGCTGTGGAGTATCGTCGCCTCCTTGAGCGGCTGACCCAGGGCGCGCAGCGGCGGCACCCTCCGCCGTCCCGTGGCCACGTCCGGATCCGGCACTCGGTCCATATACAGCACTCGCCGTCTCGACCGGTAGAACGTCATGCCGCAGGCGATCGCGAAGAAGAGATAGCACGTTATTGCGAACATCAGCGATATCACGCTGGAGGCGAGGTAGCCGCTGCGGAGGTACCGCGACGTGTCGAAGTAGATGCGCAGCGAGAGCAGGATCGTCGGCAGCAGGAAGAACAGGATCAGCACCGCGAGCCAGGCGTCTTCCGTCATTTCGAGGTTCGGGTTGTATTTTGTCTTTTTTTATTTTCTGTATTTCTTTTCGTGTCTGCACTTGTATGATGTGCAGCTTTGGGTGGGGGCGGGGGGGAGGACCGGCGCGAGCGCGCGGGCGGGTGGGGCGGGCGAGGCGGGCAGGCGGGCAGGCAGGCGGGCGGGCGGGTCGTGCAGCGGTGCGGGGGATGGAGGTCTCAGCGCACGGGGCAAGAATAAACCAGGGACGAGGTGGACAGCGGTGACGTTATGTATACGGCTTCGACAATAAAGAGCTGAAGCTCGAGAACCGAACCGACTCGAAGAGGGGGTGGTGATGGGGGGGGGGGGGGGGGGGGGCGGGAAGGGCCAGCCATGATATACCAGCAGCAGCACTGCATCGCCGGCGAGGCCTCCCATCACAGACATCCCTCATCCCCCATCCCCCCTCCCTCTATCCAGCTGTCCGGCTGTCCGGCTGTCCAACCAGCCAGCCAGCCAGCCAGCCAGCTAAAGTTCTCACCCACTTGCTTGACGGGCACGACGGGCGCAGTGTGTGATGTGTGATGTGTGACGTGCTTACGGAGTACGCATGCGACGCACGCGAGGCGGGTCCGAAAAGCCAGTCAGTCAAGTCAGTCAAGTCAGTCAGCCACGAATCCCGAATTGCGGGTTGTGGTTGGCGCACTGGGCTTGCATTGTTTTCGCCGTCATGTCACACGACATCGCCCTATCGCGTCCGGTCCAGTTGTCGTGCAGGAGGGCCAGCGGTCGGGCAAAATTACTCATGGATGGGTGGGAGGGCTGGGGAGGCGGTGGTGGTGGATGGTGGATTGTGAATGGTGGATGGGTTGTGGGTGGTGGGTGGTGGTGAGGTTCAACGAGCATTGAGCATTGGAGCTGCCAGCCTGCCATTGTAGAATGTGGGATCGGCGTCCTGCGATGCGTGCCCGGAAATAGAACGATACTTGCAACTTGAGTCTTGCAATCCCCATTCACTCTGAACCCACTCTAAACCTCCATCTTCATAATCCCCCTCCCACACCCACCAAAAAAAAGAATAATCTGTCTTTGATGATTACCGAACATATCCCGGAACTGACTTTGAAGATAGAGTACTTCATACTTTAGGTGCTTGGATACTATACCAGTCGACGTCCCGACGTGCCCAGAGGGCCCGCTCCGTACGGTGGGCTTGTCCGCTCCAGGAGGAGGAGGATGAGTGCCAACCTACCGAGCAGGTGTAAGTCCGAGTCTTGAAGTTGAAGATTCTCCAGAGCACTGCCAGCCAGTCAGTCATTCAGTCAGCCAGTCAGCCAGTACGAAGCAGATACTAGCAGTTATGTACCAGTACATGCTTACTTATGCCCCCCTCCCCCCTCCCAGCAGAACTTATATAATAGGCAGAGCATACAGCACCCAAGGGCCAAGCTACCCCGTGGCGATCGCCACGGTGCGGACTCCGAAGATCAACCCATCAAGTTTCAACCCATCGGGAGGACTCGGCCATCTCGTGCGAGAACACCGTCATCCGCACGGGTGAAGCTCGGCGGCTCCGTGCGAACGCGGCCTTGGGAGATCCATTTTCTTCCGGGCAGTCGAGTCGAGAGAGAGAGAGAGCGCGAGATGTTCCGGGCCTACATGCTGGGCACGTTCGACGAGACGAGACGGCGTCACGAGGACGGGGCGGGGTGGGGCGGAATGATCGCCGCTTGTAACTAGAGCTACCCAGCTGAGCGCCGCAGCGCCGGCAGTCGACCCGTTCTGTTGGAACCTGGAGTCTTGGATATCTAGACCCAAGAGTGGCGTGACAGGACCATGTAGCTACATACTCTGTCACCTGTAGCGCACGCCGCAGCGACTGCACGGTGCACAGTGCACAGACACTGCACAGTCAGCGATCCCGCCCCCGTCACCCCGCTGCTGGCGAGAAACATGCACACATGCACAGATTGTGCCTAGATGGCATGTACTCCATGGTATGATAGAGTACATACTCGGGCTCCCCAGAGTCCCAGAGTCCCAGAGTCCCAGAGTCCCAGAGTCCCAGAGTCCCAGAGTCCCAGAGTCCCAGACGTGTCTTTGATTGCCGAACACTGGCATTGCATCACCAGCCCCTTGAGTCCTTGGCCGCAGAGTAGAGTAGGCGAGGCGCCTGCGGTTTTTAGGATCTCGCTTGGACTAGGTACATACCGGTAGTGTTCGCCGTCCGTGGGGAGCACAATATCAACATCAACACCGACCATCTCATCTCATTTCATTTCATTTCCGTTTCTTTTCCGTCTTCTTTCTTTCTTTCTTTCTTGCAAGGCGTCGTGCACGGTCGGCTCTACTCCGGTATAACTACGTGTGCATGCATACGGTACATACATACGACTGGAATGTGCCGAGAAGGAAGGAATGCCGAGCAGGAAAGAAGGCCGCGAAGGAACGAAGGCCGCGAAGGAACGAAGGCCGCGAAGGAACGAAGGCCGCGAAGGAACGAAGGCCGCGAAGGAACGAAGGCCGGCCGGCTGGGAGCCTGTGCTGTGTGCCAACGACCAGCGGCCAGAAACCAGCGGCCAGCCCTGATCTGCACAGTGCACACTGCACTGCCTGCGCACGTCGGGGCGGTGTTCGGTGTTCGGTGTTCGGTGTTCGTTCACAGCGCTCAGCGCTCAGCTCGGGTAGAGTCGGGTGCGTACATGCATTGTGTCGTATGTATCGTATGTATCGCAGCTATTCAACACAGGAGCCTAGAGGAGGAGAGTCCGAAGTCCGCTTCCAGGTATGTAGAGTATGCACTCGCACAATTTGAGTAGCCGGGCTGTGCCCGTAGGCTGTATGTAGGCTGCATGTAGGCTCTGGCTCTGGGGCGGCCGTTGCGATTGCGATTGATGCACTTAACCAACGGTTAACCGTGTTTGCTTTTGGGGGGTTTTGTTTACGTAGGTAAGCAGGTCTTCCGGGTCTGCCTGGCCTGACCTGACCTGTCAAACGGCGTAGAGAACATGCTGACGCCTGACGGCCCCACGGGGAGGCGAAACGGCAGCCCTCAGCAGGGTGCGGATGTTCTGCACTTGTTGGGTTGTTTCCTGGCCTGTTAACTTCGGTGTGACCTGTCCTCGATGGTTCCTGGTCGTGGTGCCAGAGCGTTATGTATCAGTACATACAAATATGCCTGTGGCGGTTGCATACGGTATAGGCATTCTCTACCTATACCTCGATTGCTTACAAGAAAGGCACCAGAATAGCAGTCTCGGCCTTCAGGCTCCACTGCTCATGAAGGCTCCGATGTCCATCCCGGCCCGGTCCAGAGCCATACAGAGATCAATTGTCCAGCTCGTTCGTTCGTCCGTCCGTCCGTTGGTAACGTCTCCATCTCACCTGCCTACGTAGGTACTGTAGGTAGTACATATATCTCCTTTTCCCCGACCGTTCCAACCGCGCCGACGGAGGGCCTGAAGTCCGGGGATAGCCACGGTAGCCACAGTTATAGCTCGGATACCTGCCTGCTTACCTATCTGCTTACCCTACGCGGAGATATAGGTACTCTGGATGTTTATGCAGTCAGCCGGGAGCCTGGGAGAGCCGGGTGAGGACTCCCCTCCCCCAGCGCATGATTGGCGATTGGCGATGGCACTTATCCCCACTCCACCCCTCATAAGCTTACCGTTTCATCGCTCCGTATAATTTCGACGTTGTTTCTTCATCGATAGCATAGCGTGCTATCGTGAGCGGCCGCGGCCGCCAACTGTGAATACCGAGCGAGATACTGTGAACACCGAGCGAGATACTGTGAGGCGGGGAGCTGTTCGGGAAGTTGAAGCTAAAGAAAGCGTACCGATATGGCAAGTGAACGGTTACCTGGGCCGAATGGGCAATTTACCTCCATGGTGCTGAGGGAGGTGGCGGGTGGGCCGACTGAACCGATACTGCAGGCTCATCCAGTCGGTATTTAGCTAGGTGTGAGTGCCACCCAGCCGGCGATGATATCGTCCAGACTCCAGCCCGGTTTCTCATACCAGGCGTGCGGTCCGGGTATAGAATCTCAGGTACAACGGTCAACCGTACACAGAGAACATACCGCCGCAAAAAGTCGCCATATCTGCTGCTCCTGGTGGATCTTCAGGTACTCGACGCCGTTGCTGGGGGAGATGCGGACGAGAGTGGCCAAGTGGCTACAGCCTACAGGATAGGCCTTGAATCCTGGAGCCACGATATATATGATCTTCCGACCCGCGCCGAACGAATGAACTACGGAGATTTCATGCGTATTGCAGGAACTCAACGGACGATATTGGGGACGGGATCTCTGTTTTTGCCCCGAGGTATCATGTATGTAGTGGATAACAGGCAAGCCAACAGACGTTGATCGGAATTTGACGTAAATAATAGATACGGCACATTCCACAACTCCGCCGGCGGCCGACAATAAAATGAACTTCAATGCGGTTGGAGGAACGGTAGGTAGTCGCCGTTCCCTTGTTCGTGTCTTCATACATATAGTCATTTTGATTCGGGCAAGTTGATAGATCGTTAGTCAGAAGAAGTGATGATGGGAGGAGCTTCCTACAGGCAACGGGCCAGCGCTCGTAAAAGATGATTGACCTCAAGAGCGGGAGGTGGATGAGATAACCAGCCGCCGTGGTCCTCGTGACTCGTGAGGATAGAGCTTTGACGAAGGAGACACATGCTACACAACTCAAGTCTCAGTACATAGCTCTACCGGCTCCATCGATCGAGTCCATCGTCTTAAGCCGCACCCGATCCTGCATCGTATGTAAGCATCGACGTTCAACACCCTTGAGGATATGTTCGTTGACCGGTCCGCAGACATGCCAGGATATCGTGTGCCTGCTCACTCGGACGACTTTACAAACAGAAGCAGCACCCAGCTAGCTACTGCTCTCCCAAAGAACATTAAGATTGACGTTTCCACCCACAGCTGGGTGGTTTACCGTTTATACACTCCAAGAGCCCCATTCAACTCATTCAACGCACGCCAGCTCCAAGTTCCAAGTCTCCAACAGGCGGCTCCACAGCTGAGTCCATTTGTGAGTCTTGAGGAATCTCCCAGCTCCATTCGCGGCTTCTAAGTTCCAATACCTAACCTTCAGCACTCAGTTCCCAACCCACATCCTCATATTTATCAATTACCAGCTGGTCTGTCCCCACGCTCGACAGCTTATGCATATGTAGAGTACAGATCATGATCCGATAGAGCTGATCTAGGTACCGTAGGTATGCTGCAATTGTTACCGTACTCGGAGCTGCCTATCCGTAGGACCCCTCAAAGAAGACGATCATTAAAAAAACAAAAAAAGCAATGTATCTACATGTTCAGCTCCGCCTTCTCCGCGATCCCCGTACCCATCCATGGCTGCGAATCTGCGATGCGCGTGCCCCGGGCCGGCCCTCACGAGATCGACTCGCCGGTTTTTTGCGGCTGTAGGGCTGAGGGCTGAGGGCCGTACGTCTGCCAGAGGCAGCTGAAGGGTCCGACAAGACTATCTATAATCATGTCATGGAAAGGTGCAGACGATAGACCCTTTTATCAAAACGTAGATGGTTATGGGAGGGTGGGAGGGTGGCCACTGTCGACGCTGAAGCCGAAATGTTCCCCGCACCATAGGCGGTCACTCGTCACAACTGCCCCAAATCAAAAATCCGTCAATCGGGAGCCCACGAGCCACGGCCCGTCACCCATCGCCCGACAAACCACCCGCCGTCAACCGACCTGCCTCTGCCTCTGCCTCTGCCTCTGCCTCTTGCAAGTTGCGCGGCCGTACCGACGACCGTGTGCGACAATAGGTAAATTGACCTTCTCTCTCTCTCGCTCTCTCTGGCGCCTGCTTCTGGTACATAACAGTACAGTACATAACAGCCCCAAGATGTACATACCGGTATCAAAGCCGAATGCTGCGATGAATAAACCAAAAGATATCGACAATCTCAGCCGAAAGCCTTAGAGTGACGGCCATCCGTCGTCCGTCGTCCGCCCGACTGTAGTCGTAAAGTACACACAGCAGTACCGGTATCTACCGCTCCCACGAGCGACTCCGGAGCGGGTATACCCGCCGCCGCCAAACGCCAATCACCCTACCGCGCCCCATCCCCACCCTACCCCATTCCCCCTCCCCCCATCCACCTCTCCTCCTCGCCCCATCTCTCCATCTCCCCTCACCCCTTCCTCCTCCCTTCCCCCTTTGAGCCCAATCGATTCCCGATTCCCGATTCCAATTGCACGCCAAAGCCAAACCGTCCCTTCCCCATTAAACCCCCGCGAACCGACCAGCCACGAGACCGATGACGCCCCCTTCCCCATCCCTTCCCCCGCCCAACTGGCGGAGCCCGATTCGAAACGGAATCCCTAGTTACTCCCCCTACACCCCACAGTCTTACATCCCGTACAACCCTTACGCCCCCTCCACCCCCGCAGTCCCCCGCACTCTCCACAGTCCCCCCGCAATCCATCTACAGGAGCGGTCTAACCAGAGTCCAACCAGAGTCTAGACGGGGAAAAAGCGGGGTCAAGTCGAGTCAAGTTAACCGTTAATTGCAATTGAGTGTGGCGATAATACCCACGTCTACGTATGACGGGTCCACCACACCGCTCATCCACCGCTCATTCATGCCCATGCCCATGCCATGCAATATCGTCATACCGCGTCACTCCCTTCTTTGCTTTGTTTGGTAGTTACTCAGGTAGGCATCGGCGTCATTCGGGTAAAACAATCTTCAAAATCACATTTCAAATTTCATGTTGTCATGCATAACTACCATGCCATCCCGGGTCCCCTACGGTACTACGGCTATCGTCACAAACTATTAACCATACAATCCCCAATCCCATCAAATACACAAGTCGATGCACATCGACTTATCCGTACGTACGGTAATTTTTTTGAATACCTGATACCAAAGAATAGCTCGTACGAGAATGAAAAGAAGAAGAGAAGAAAGAAAAGAAAAATCGAGATCAAGAGAGAAAAAAAATCCATAGAGCGAACGTATTTCACATATCCCGTCCCATTCCGTACCGAACCGAACCGGATCAGATCAGATCTCCATCCCTCCGTTCCCAAAGACGCCCCCCTCGTCGTCTCCGGTGCGCATAACACCGCTCATGCGATGGTTCCCGCCTCTTGATGAGTCGTAGTGCGATCTGCTGTCGCAACGCTCGTCCCAGTGGTCTTCCGAGTCCTCGTCCATAGGCTCCAATTCGTCCCGGCCCGAGAAGTGGTCGTCTATGCTGCTCTCGTCGACGAATGTGAAGCCGCGGAAGTTGGCCTGCATGCCGGGACTCAGTGGGGTGCTGGCGGGCATGTTGGCCGAGGCGAGGGCGGCGGCGCGAGCGTTCAGTGAGCCGGTCATTGGAGCGTTGGTGAATTCTGGATCGAAGTTTGAGGTATCGGTTTCGGAGCTGAGCGTGGGCTTGAACGGTGGCACCACGTTCTTGCGCTGTAGTTGTACCCAATCCACGTCAGCGAAGAAGGGATGCTCTCGTAGCTCTTTCGCATCGTAGGTCGCTCCCAGACGATGTCTCGGATTCCGGTTAAGCAACTAAATGATCGAGTCAACCAAAACCTCCCATTTACACGCGGCAGCAGCAACTTACCCCTTTGACAAAGTTGCGGCCCTCCAGACTCAATGCGTCCCGTGGAAACCTGACTTTTCCAAACGCGATGTTCTTATACATCTGCTGGGTATCGTCGGCGTAAAACGGGCTCCATCCGCAACACATCTCAAACACCAGTACGCCCAACGACCAGAAGTCAACCATCTTAGTGTATCCCTGATCGTCCAGCAGCACCTCCGGTGCCAGGTACTCTGTGGTTCCGCAGAACGTGTTGGTGGTGGCGTTAGCCGCCAAGTTCGCCTTCGACAGTCCAAAGTCACACAATGCAATGTGGCCGTTGGCGTCCAGCAAGATGTTTTCCGGCTTGAGATCTCGGTAGACGATGTCGTGGTTGTGCAGGTGCTCCAATGCCAATATCAACTCGGCGATATAGAACTTTGCGCGGTCTTCCTTGAACCTACCCTCCTTCTGCAGGTGCCAGAACAACTCTCCGCCGGACATGTAGTCCGTCACCAGGTACAAGTCCGTGGGCGTCTGGAACGAGAACTTGAGGCCAACAATGAAGGGTGAGTCGGTAGTAGCCGTCCGAACGAGGATATTCCGCTCGCCTAACGTGTGCGCCACCTCCTTCTTCTGGACGATAACCTTCTTCGACAGAACCTTCATAGCGTATATCCGGTCCGTATCCTTCTTGCGGACCTGGTACACCTGTCCAAAGGTACCTGCAGAACACAAAAGGTCAGAGAGATGCGCGCAGCAGTTGGATGGGAAAGGGGGAGAACTACCCTTGCCAATCAAACGCAGAACCTCGAAATCTTCGGGTCCATAATGCTTCTTACTGGTCCTCTCGAAGCTTATCTGCAGCTTAATCTCTCCCGTCACATTCTCATTGGGCGTCCGTGCCTGCAGCGAAAACCAACCGTCCATAACCGGTTGTGAATGGTTTAGCAACGGACAGACTCGCACGTGTCCCAGGAAGTACTCCTGATTCGAGCGATCGTACAACGATACGTCGAGCTCGGAATGATCGCCGAGGACGTCACTAAAGTTGTGGAGTTAGCTTATGGATGCTCCCCCGAACCGGCGACGAAGAATAACAGCTGAATACTGCACAGTGCAGCCACAACGGAACGGGCGTGCACTTACAATACGGCATTGTGGTCCCATTTCGGATTCGTTGAGCCGGCGCCCGAGGTCGGGCCGTTCTTCTGTCCTTGCATCTCCGAGAGACTGGTGCTCGAGCTCTGGCGGCTGGTCATAGGGATCGCAATGCTCCTGCCCACGCCGCTCGGCGACGACGCCTTCCCGTTGCTGCTGTGCCGAGGACTCTTGTCTCCCCCGTGTCCCTCGGCTGCATCGAATGACCGTCGTGGGCCCTGAGATATAAACTCGTTGCTCTCGAACGTGCAAACGACGTAGGGATATTTGCTGGGGACCAGATCCCTTGCCTCTATGATCTTGACTATTAACTTGCCTCTGGGCGGACCGACTGGCGGGTTTGTCGGGGAGGGCGAGGGGGTGGCCCTGACCGCCGGACTCTTGACCCTCTCCTCAGCTGCTGCTCCTACTCCTCCCCCTCCTCCTACTCCTCCTCCCGCTGTTGTGGCTCCTCCTCCCACTGTTCCTACTACTCCACCTCCCACTGCTGTGACTCCGTTCAACGCGCTACCAGCAGAGGTGGTACCCCGCGGCGTTGCTGGAGGTGTATCTTTCGCCCCCAGTAACTCGGAAGTAACGTCAGTACGATTTGCTACGATAATCCTTTCCAAAACGACGCTGTGCTGCAGCTAACCTGATGAAAGCCATGGGATATTCCGGGCAGTCTCTTATCCAGTCCACTCGGGTTGGGGGTTGTTTGTCCACTCGACGCCTCCTCCTCGTCCGTCCTAATATCCCACGAACCGAGGAAGTCAGCCTTGCGCTTTGCCCCGAAAATTCCGAGCATTTCGAACTCGAGACAAGAAATCGGTGATGAAAAAGAAGAATATTTAATTGGAAGGTATAGTTGGACATATTATTGGCAAGGGAAGAAAAGAAGGACCAAGGGTATATGTAGATACGCCTCTCTCGGTCCGAGGCGAGTGGTGAGTGGTTGCTGGCTAATGGATGTTCCATGTGTGAGGTAACCACTTTCTCCCCACCGACATCATCATCATCGCCGCCGCACACGACGGAACATCCATCATCACCACAACCACCGCCGCCATTGCCGCCACCGCCACCATCGCCGCCGCCACCGTACCGGTGGCGCGAACCAAACATTGCCCCGTACCTTTGTCCTGCAACTGCCCTCAACATATCCGATGCATTCGACGCCGCGTGCGGAGGCAATTGTGGCCGCGGTGCAGCGAGAGCGTTCGAATGCGTGGTCGCGGTAGTGGTAGTCGCACCGTTGCTCGGGGCGCAGACGGGAGTCGATTGCGTGCGAAGGCTAGGAGAGTGCTGCCGCGAGCTCGGGGGCGAATGGATATCCGCCGACAGAGGAGTACCCCGGGGGGTATGGTCATCGACGGGAGTGGTAGGAGCCGTAGCGGATGAGCGCTGCGAAAGAGGGGTGTTGGAGGTCGACACGGTGGGGGAGGGAACCGCGGAGGATGCTGCTGTGTTATTCCCACTTCGGAAAAAGTTTACGTTAAACCCTGGAACGACCATGATCGGAGATTCGGAGCGAAGCGCTGTCAGCCGCTGCTACTGCTACTGTTGCTGCTTGCACGTTGCTTCTCTGTTGCTTCACTGCCGCGGCGAAGTATGAGTGTTGCGATGCCGGCCGTCGAGGGGGGTGGGGGAATAAGACGCAGAATCCAGAGTCGGCCGTAGGGTGAGAGCAGTTGTCGCCACTATCGGAATTGCCGCGGTTCTGGGTTTGACGGGGGACTGGCGGTGGAAACTCCGTCGAGTAACTATCGATTTACCGTTTGTGGGGGGGAGGGGGGGGGGTATGTAGGTTGGTTGGTTGGCAGTTGGGTAAGGTTCCGATGACTTAGCAAGGAAAGTACTTTTTTTTTCTTCCGCTGGGGTGGGTTTGCCGTGATATAGAAATTCCGGGGATTCTGTCAAATGGCAAGTGGCCGTAAGATCTGGGAGTGCGTCGATCCTATGTATGTTTAGTCGATGCGTCGTGAGACAAAGCGTTCTGCCCTTGTGTGGGGGAGGATGGCTGGGCTTTTTGTGCTGGGGGGGGGGGGGAGTTGTGGTGGGAGAGGGAAGGGTGGGGAGGGTTATTGGGATCGTGGGATGTTCCGGGTAGCACAGAGCAATGGGCGAAAGGGCGGTTAGCTATACGATGCAGACTTCGCAGGTCGAGTCGTATGGAGCCGAATGTATGTAAAAGGAAGATGTGAAATGCAAGAGGCAAGTACCGAAGTATATGTGGCCAGGTGGAAAGTGTGATGTGTGATGTGCGCTGTGTAGTGAGTGTTTGGCCGGCTGTCAATTCGAATTCCGGTCTGCGGTCTGCGGCGGCGGTGGCAGGCAAGCAGACAGGCTGCAGAGTATGTTATGTCGTATATGTGTCGACGATTTGTGTGTCGGTGTGTCCGTCTGTGTGTCTGTGTGAGTGTCTGTGTGAGTGCGAGTGTGTGTGTGTTCGATATTGGGAATCCGTCTCGACCGGGCTTAAATTTTGCAGTCGGATTCGAGGGCAGAACAGGCAGAAGAGGGGCAGGCCGAGCGAACTGGTTGGCGGGTGGAGAAGGGAGGGAGGAGGGGGGGAAGAGGAAAAAGAAAGTGTTGGCAGGACAAGCCGACACGAAGGATTTGAAGAGAAGGATGAGCGGAGTCTGGATCTGGGACTAATGGTCTCGTGTCGCAGCAGCAGACGGACGACTAGACGGAGTAACCAAGTAACCAAGTATCTTGGGATGTATGTAACCACTCCGCAGACCCATGGACGACACTTTGGATACCAGTGGGATCAGGACGAGCGGAGGGAGGAGGGGAGGCTGGCTCGCTGGGTGGCCGGCTGGGTGACTCGGAAAGAGTGTCCAAGTCCTCACTCACCTCCTACTTGCTTACCTGTGGAGTCGCGCGCATTGACTTGCCCGGCTGCTGGCCGTGTCCCCAGGTCCTACACAGTACAGTCAGAACTGTCTCTGCGCCGTAACTTTGCTCGGCTGCGACTCACCCGTTTTCATGTATCTAATCGCTCACTCGCCAACGGTCTCGTCACTCGTCGCTCACAGGTGTGTACATATCAAACATACGACCGAGTAAGAGGAGAGTACGACAGTGCGTCTGCAAACCGGCCAGAGACGCTCGGAAGCAGGGACTTTGTTCCTTTCTTCTTCTTCTTCTTCTTCTTCTTCTTCTTCTTCTTCTTCTTCTTCTTCTTCTTCTTCTCTGCGGCGGCGGCAGACACGGCATGGCATGGCATCTCTTCGCTCATCGATCCATCCAACCATCCATCCGCACATCGATATCAATACAAACCGAGTCCACCTGGTTAGCGGGACAACAAGCATCGCGCAACAGGGAACAAGTTGTACTCTGCGTGTTCTTTGCATGTATTGTATGTACATGGTTACCGGTAATACTCTACTCCAGAATAATGTATGTACATGCCCAAGTGAGCATGTACTCATGCGAGTGCGTGGGTAGCTGTATGATGTACACATGATTTCTGTATGATGGAGTCGGTACACAGTCATCATATCATACGGTACCTCTCCGAGCAACCACGCTGCGACAAGTGTGTTCTTACGAGAGCTCCCATCTAATCTGATCTCACAGATGATTCGGCCTAAATTCCCTAGATACTCGAACGGTCGAGCTCCTCGCTGGATGGACGACTTGATGGTCTCTCCCACCAGCGCCCATACCTTGACTGCACGACGCAGACGTCTTCGCTGTTCTGCAGGGCCACTCCAACCTACAGTACCGGTATAGTAGGTACATATCATACATAGCACTGCATGAAATCATGTCCCAGCAATCAATCAAAGGTCAATCAATCGCATCAATCGCACGTCTCGTCTCGTTTCGTTGAAGAAAAGAAGTCGGAGAGCTCTAGCAGATAACTGTCCCGATAGCGGTTTGGCCGTATCTTTCGTCTCGGGACGTCAATCGACATCCTCTTACTTCAGTCAGACAAGTACTTTGGCATGTATGTAAGTTAAGCCCTCAATCGAGTCGATCTGACCAGCCACCCAGTCCACAGCGCTGCCTTCCTTGATTCTTCTTCTTCTGACCAGTGCGGGGCAAAGGTAGTCGGGAAGATGTGGAGGTGGTGCCCGCGCACAACTTCTGTTTGATTCATGTCTCACTCGCCATCAAGCCGCGAACCCGCCCCCGCCCCCTCCCTCCCCTCCCTCCACCCAGAGATCCCATCGCATGCGCCTTCCGTGACAAGCTGCAAGGAAGAGCCCGTCCGTCCACAGTGACAACAACAACAACACAGGGACGATGTCATCCTGCAGCAACTGCCGTTCGCGAAGGAGAGGAAGAAGAAGCAGAAGAATCAGTAGAAGAAGAATGGCGGCAACACACACACACGTGCGGGGGAAGAACGGGAGCCAACTCGAGGAATGCAAAATAAACCCCCGAACAGCGGCAAAGATCTAGAGTGCGAGATCGGAGCAAGCAAAGGTGAGCAAAGCAAACGTTGAGCTTATGATGATGGCGATCAAGGATTTCCGCGCATTACATCCATAGATGTATCTGAGTACATACATCCACTCATCGTCCCGAGACCCAAAGTGAACCGAGCCGAGTCCCCCAGTCGTGTCCAGTCGAATCGTGTCATGTCAAAACTTTCACGTCGAGTCTGATTCGATGACGACGTCGCGGGATTTCGTCGGGCCAGAAGAAGCGCGATTTCTCCGTGTCACCTTACCTCACCCTCGCCCTCACCGACGCCCCCCCTTCCCCCATCGGTCGCTGAGTAAGCCGTGACAGCGGCTGCCACCACCACCGCCTCCTCCCGAAAGAAAAAAAATCCAACGGATGGAAGAAGGAAAGAAGGAAGGAGGAGGAGGGGGAAAAACTCCCGAATGAAACTCCCGATCGATTTACCCTGCCTGTGGCACCAATCGCAACCCCATTTGTACTCTACATACTCACCCTGGAGAAAGACAGACAAGGACAAACAAAAGAAGGACAGTGTATGTGTGAACCGTGAAGGGGGGAGAGAGACACGACAAGACAAGACGATAACACCCAACCCCAACCCCAAACCACACCTGCGCCGCCGTCCACCATCCAAACAACAAAACCCACTCTGCGCTGCACCGGCCAACCGGTTCGCTCCGCCCACCCACCCTCGCTCCCCCCCTCCCTCCCTCCCTGCGGCCCGCCGTTCCAGTCTCCACCATGACGTCGACGTCGCGACTGGCGGTGCTCCTGCTCAGCCTGCTCGTCCTCGTCCTGTTCACCACCGACGTGCTGGCGTCGCGCGGCGATAAGCTGCCGGAGTTCAAAGCATGTGTCGAGGTAAGCCAGCTCTAGGTAGCTCAGCTCAGCACCCCTCCCCCCCGTACCGTCTCTTGGCCGGCGCGCTGTCCGTCCGTCAGTCCGTCCTCGAAAGCTGATTCACATCCCCATCCACAGACCTGTATCGAGACCGAATGCCTCCTCCCCAACACGCTGCCACTGCACCTGCGCCTGCTCCTGTGGACCTGTCCCAGCAACTGCGACTACATCTGCCAGCGGACCATCACACAGTCACGGCTCCATTCCGGCCAATCCATCGAGCAATTCCACGGCAAATGGCCATTCCAGCGTCTCCTCGGGCTCCAAGAGCCCTTCAGCGTATTGTTCTCGCTCCTCAACGGCTACGCGCACCTGCGCGGTCTCTGCCAACTCCGGCGCGAGCTCCCGCCCTCGCACCCCATGACGCGCTACTATATCCTCTTCTCGTACGTCGGCCTGGGCACATGGACGTGCAGCGCCCTGTTCCACGCGCGCGACACAGTTCTGACCGAGCGGCTGGACTACTTCGGCGCGGGGGCCAACGTGCTGTACGGGCTATACTACGCGCCAGTGCGAGTGCTGCGTTTGTGGCGACCACGGTTCCGGCGCGGCGTGCGCGCCTGGGGCTGGACGTGCATTGCAGCCTACGCCGCGCACGTATATTACCTGCAGTTCGTCCGCTGGGACTACACGTACAACATGGCGGCGAACGTGGTCGTCGGCGCCGCAATGAATGTCCTCTGGACTTACTTCTCGGTCACGCAATATAGCAGGCATAAGCGCTTCTGGGCCGCCTGGCCGGGACTGATTGTGACCTGGCTCATCATGGCCATGAGTCTTGAGCTACTGGATTTTCCGCCGGTCGCGGACGCCATCGATGCGCATGCGCTGTGGCATGCCGCCACTATTATACCCGCTATGTGGTGGTATAGGTTCCTTATTCGTGATGCGAGGTTGGCTGTGGACGATGATATTGCTAGGGTTAAGGCGTAGTGGGGGAAGGGGACACGGTGTTGGGTTTTGTTTGGAGATTGGGGGGTAATGTGCGACGGGGAGAGGGTGGGTCGGTTCGGGATTTAGAAAGATCTGATGAAATACCCTCTACAGTCTACAGAGTGGTGCGGTAATAATAGATGTGTTGACGTTGGGATGTAAATGCGAGGTTTACGGCCGATATCACGCGCTTCCTCGCAATCACTCGCAACCAAGAAAGCCTTCAAATCTGGTATTCAAGCTTCAACCGCGCCAGACAGACGAGCCACAGACAAACAGCCTGTATCTACCCAGCATCGTACCCATTTTCCGTCTTCGCCTAGTACTGCGCGACAATCTCCGCGACCAACCTGGCCAGCTCCTCCGCCTCGCCCCTCTCCGCCGCCTCACTATAGACCCTCACGGCGTCCTCGGTACCACTGGCTCTGGCGAACGCACGGCCCTGCTTATACTTGCCGACCAGGGCATCGATCTTCTCCTGGACGCCGACAGGCTCGAGCAGCTTCCTCTCTGCGTCGGTGGTGAGGAACACGGTCCTATCCGTCACCTCAACGCGGACCAGTCTGTTGGGGAGATCCGTGTACGTGCCGTCCCACTCCTTAGGTCCCCAGCGCTTGTGGGCCAGGATCACCTCGACCATCAACAGGTCCGACAGGGCGTCGCCGACGGTCTGGTTGATCAGGTCGACGAGCGCCTTGAGGCTCTCGAGGGCTACCGCCTGCGCGGGAGACTCGGGCGTGTGCTCGGCGATGTCTTGGAGGGCGCCTTTGGAGAAGATGACGGTGCCGTGGCCGTTGGCTTCGAAGTACACGCCCACGTCGAATTTGAGAGCGGCGTGGTGGAGGTGTTTTACGCCGGTGGGTGTGCAGACGACGGGGAGGCCGAGCGTCTTGGTGATGTAAGAGGTCGACGAGCCGTTGGCATAGGCAGTCTGCACCACTCCGATGCGGAGCGACGTTAGGCCTGCGGCTTTGGTGAGATCGCCGATGAAACTGGCGGCAAGAGTGGCGATCTTGTCGCCATCCAGCAGCCGGAAGTTGCCATCGCTGTCGTTGAAGTAGTAGATTATGCGGTCGGCGTCACCGTCGAGGGAAGCGCAGCGGGCCAGAGGTGCGACGTGGGATGCAGGTGGGAGACGCTGCTGGGTCTTGACAAAATCTGCTCCACACTATTGAAATGGTCAATGTTGTGCAGATGTGAACAATAGCCACGGGAAATACCTGGTAGTTGAGCTTCGACGGCTGGTCGATATGATCGTTGATCACAGCACAATCCAACAAATCCGCCCCAATGGTCTCTACAAGACGCCGCAGTTTCGGCGCACCGACACCATTCGCACAATCCACCGTGACCTGTCCCAAGCTGGGGACCCTCTTCATGAGCTTCTTGTACGCCTCTGCCAGCTTGTTGTAATAGCCCTGTTCCGTGGCCTCTCCATACGCCTCCTCCGTGCCTTCCGTGTTGATGCACCGCACCAAGTAGTGCAACTGCGGTGTCGTCAAGATTCCATGATCAACAAACTCCGTATCGGTAGCCTTGAGCGCGTCTGTAAGGGACTCGACAAGGGCAGGCCCCGACTCCCGGGTATCCCTCGCGAAGATGACCTTGGGGGTGATCTCGGTGCTGATTTTCAGCTGTGCAGCGAGTTTCTCGTACTCCTCGAAGAGCTGCTCGTCGGTGGATGCGTTGGCCAAAGTCGTTGCGTAGACTTCCCAGGCAGCCTCCAGCATCTCGCCCTGTCCATCCATCAGTACCAGTCGTAACACATCGCCGGACGTCCATGTTGCAATAGACATACCATGGGGTCAACGAGTTTTACGCCGTTGTCTTCGGGGACATTGTGCGAGGCCGTGATCATTATACCGATGGTCTTCCCCTGGAACTTCTGCGACCGCAGGGCCGCCAGGAGCCCCACGCGGTACACGACGGAGTCGAGGAGATTTCTGGTGACATCACCTTCAGCATTAGGATGTGTGTGGAGGAGGCTAGTAGGAAGAGGTGGCCTACGCTTTCATGCGAAACTATATTGAACGAAACGAACAGGGTCAGCAACTTTTTTTTTTTGGCAGATAGAATGGTTTGGTTTGGACCCTGGGCTCTGGGCTCTGGGCTCTGGTACTCACCCCAGCGGTTCCGTATGAAAACTTCCTATCCTCGGGCTTCGGGTGCCGCTGGGAAGCTTCGACGATGGGACTCATGCTTGATGGATTGAATGGAAGTGGATGCTGTCGATGAAGGAGCGCCGATTGTCGTAACTGTAGCTGATTTACGCGGACCTACGTGATATAGATTCAATGTCGGGCAGATTGCTCGGGAAAGATAGTAACGATGAAGCAATCGAACGATTAGTTTGATGGAAGGCAGAGTTGGGTATGGAAGTTCTTCAGAGAGGTTGAAGGAGAGGTGAGGGAGCTGTCAGTGGGGGGTCATGTCAACACTCTACCTGCACCCTAAGCATCCATGTCGCTCGCCGAAATGTATCCAATTGCGGCGTCTCACGTGCAGGTGTGGGTTACACGGCTGAATTCTCGGAAGCCTTAAATCTCCCCCTCCATTGACCGCCCTAATGAGAGAGGTATTTTGATGCGCATATTCTGTGGAGAAGGCACGGAGGCAGGGAAAGACCAGGATCATTGCCACGTGCACTGTGCGGTCGCCGTCGTACGGGCTATCCTTTCTCCTTGCCTGTGCCGTTAACCCGAATCCTCGGTCATTGGGCCTTTTTAAATTCGGCGATGAAAGCTCAAAGCACAGGTGTTGCGCGGCTGAGAGGAGCTCGGTGCCAAGTGCTACAGCTGTATGGAATCGAGGCTGCGGTGCGCTCATGGGTATCGAGCCCGCGGCCAGCGGTCCGGGACAGCCGGGTGGAAAAGGATACGTAATCTGCCATGATCTACTAAGGTCAAATGCAACGATGATTAAACAAAGGTACTCTACATTCTCGGTGGACTTAATTGTGACGGATCAATTTTCCCGTGATGACGAGGGCGAGTGCTGCACTGTGAGGCGGTCTGCCGTTACGCAACGGTATGTACTTGAGTACATACACTTTACATCCTATGATCAGAACGGACCACTGCGATTGGACTGGTAGTAATGTGGCCGGCGGAAATACTGGGCCAACCACTCTTTTGATCATCCCTACACAACCGCAACGCTCAACTCAACTCAACTCAATTCCCACTACACTCGATGGGTCTTCGGGCATTTTCACGAGTGCGGCTTTTAACACATCACGCCTACGGAACGTACCCTTCTGTCGCCAACAAGCCATTGCAGCTCGGTCTGAGACTCTGAGCTGCAACAACCTCAACGGCACCCCCGAAGCACCCCCGGAACAAGTAAGCACACCAGCTTTGTGCTAGGCGCGGCAGCCTGGACGTCCCAAGAGCACGGCACGCAGCCCACTCTCTCGAGTGCAATGTATCATGCGATCCTCAAATGGATATCCACCGATCATGAGCGACGCTTGGTGGTGTGAAGGTCGTTGCCGTGAAGTCTGGGCGATGAGACTACCTATCTCAACGCTTTACCGGAGAGCTGACAACGAGGTGCGCTGATCACAGCTTCATACGACGAGTTTAGACAGCTTGACTCCATGGTGCAAAGCACAGTTGCAAAAGGAGCTGAGGGCAGGGAGCTTTCCTGAAGAATTTGTGGCAACACGATTGAACAACTGTGCTATATAAGCACTCATCCCTAGGGCTGTTGGCCTACCATCAATCACCGCTGATCAGTAATGACTACCGTGGACCGGCATCATAATTAGTCTTATCCACCACAATGATCCGCAGCCCGTCCAGTCCACCGCATCGAAGGGCTACCAGTGTTGGACCTATGGCTATGGGTCACACTGGGGTGTGAAGAGCGTCAAGTTTACTGCTGAAACATCACTCGAATCGCCGCTCAATCTCTACGCCTCTTATCCACTCACGAGGTAAGTTGGACAGTACGAACGAGTAAATATTTCGATTAAGTGGCCACAGTTTATTCAACGACTGCACGGAGTTCAAAGCACATACTCTCATAACCAAAAGAGAGAGACATCGAACCAATTATTGTCGCGTACGGAACTCCCATGGCTTTTTGTTTTTGTTTCATCATCGTAGCATTCGACCTTTGCAGATCATGGCTGTGTAAACGTCCGGTCCCCCCTCACTGTCTCTGACCGCTAGCCGCGAGCCCGATGTGGGTTCCCTATTGCCCTCCGCCCGGCAGGAACTCCCACGGCCGAAGGCGCGGGTATGATTTACTCTAGATAGCCTTCTGCGAGTGATATTACATGACACGATTTTGATGTCCATGGCCCAACAATACCCCCGAATGTAAAAAGCAAGCGCCATTAGCACTCCGCATAACGTTCCAAGCCCTGCAGCACCCAACCGCCAGACTTGCAGGATGAAAGATGAATGATGAATGAACCAGCAACATACAAGTGTCAAGGGGGGCATTCCAATTTCCACGAGCTCGAGTACGTAGATGAGCGTACGAACTCGAGTGATAGGACAGGCTGGCATAGGTAGGGAGCCAAGTGTTGTTGAGAGAACCAGGAGCAACCTATTCTGCACGCACATGGTCGAATGGATACCGACTTAGAAGGCGTAGATATCGGACAGCTCTGATGTGTGCTCGTTGCGAGCACTGGCAGTCTTTTTGTTTAATCGTTCATTCATTGCTTGCGACCTATAAAGATCATGGCAATATACACACTCCTCCTCCGCCTTCTCCTCCTCGCTGGTGGGTCTAGCTAGTGAAGCAATGCCCCCTCTTCAACTGTAGAACCTCAAGGCCAGGCGCTTGCGGGATTGGGGGGCTTGGGTCGGGGTCGGGCCTGGTACCTAGCAAGGTTTCCGGCAGTGCCAATGTGCCAATACTTCTTGTTGGCGACTCTCGCGACAACCCCATGCTTTGGCCTCCTTCTCCTTCCCCTTGGCGTCCGTAGTTCCGCGCTTCAGGTGAGTGAATGAGGGAGGGATGGAGGTGGCAGCGGTCTGGTTGCGCAGCGGTCGAGGTACTACATAGCGGGTCCCCTCCACGCCGGGCATTGGCAGGCAGAGTTCACGGTTTACACTCTTCGACGTTCGTCTTATGCGCGGGCGACAGTTTATGACCACCCCATCTCATGAATACAAGCATGTTTGCATTGCTTTACGACTCGGCGACAATACTACACAGTGTGTATTTACAGTACTCCAAAACTCCGCAAAAGTGCACTAAACCAAAACAAAAGCGGCCAAAAACAGTGTCGCCTCCGCAAGTAACAGCATGGGACTCGCCAGGTACATGCTGAGTGCGGCAGACTTGACCTTTCCGCAGCAGCCACCGGGATAGGTCACGCCATTCGCTTTCGCGGCGACTTCGAATACACTGCCGTTGCCGGCATCGTAGAAATCTACCAGCAAGAAGTTGGGCGGCCGCGTCCACATCACTGCGAAGGTTAGTGAGAGAGAGGAGAGAGAGGAAGAGGAAGAGCAGCGTACCTTCGCAATTCTCCGATTGCAGCCCCAAAGATCCATACCCATCCACGCCGTTCGTCTGGTTGATAGCGATAGTGTTTGGCACGAGGGCGACCGTCCCGAACGCGGTGAACTCGACGTTCAGGTTGTGGTTTGCCATGTACATCTTTCTGGCGGCTTCGGTGGCATTTTGGTCTGGCGGGCGGTCGACATTGCACGGAAAGTCCTGGTTCGTCTGCGAGAACGGTGTTTCCCACATGTAGGTGAACTCGTCGAGGAGATATGGAACCTTGTTCTCGTCCGCTTTGTAGTCGACGAAGATGATTGCCCTTTTGCCTGGATGTATCGTCAGCAGCTGACTTGGAGGCGAGAGACAGGGCAGGCAAACCTTTCAAGATCAACTCCGACAGTGTCGGCCACTCATTGTACGCAATCGTGCGGTTGTCGGGCACATAGGCGAGCTTCGATAATCCCGAGTCTTCGACGGGGGCCACGAAGTCATCGATCGCATCGAAACCACCGTTGCCGATCAATATCGTGACGATTTCGTAAGGATGCGCCATGAGCCAATCGTACACTCGCTTCAGATAGTCCTCTACCGTTCCCGCATTCAACAGATCGCAACTGGTGTGGCAGTAATACATTGTTCCGTTTGCCTTGTGAGCTTGTCCTTGCACTTCCCTCATTCATCAGCGAAGAAGTAGAGTGGGGTGGTGGGGGGGACAGCGTACACATTCTCACGCCATCATTCAACTGCGCAACCACATCCAGCCGCTGATTCGACGCTGCGTTGTTTTGCCGTACGAATGGCGAGTTGTGCGTGCCGACGTAGGTGATGTTCCCATACGATCGTGTACAGAACTCGACGTAGAGGTTGCACGGCTGCGTGTTTACCGGGCCGGGAGGCTCAGTGGTCGTCGGCTCGTCATCGGAGGAACTGCTCGCGCCGCTGGCGCTGACGATGATCTCGGTCTCATTACCGCTGGCGGTCGGCGTGGGCGTGGGCTCGTCGTCGGCGGTGTCACTGTTGGTTCCGCTTAGTACTAGCTCAGCTACCGTTGTTGTTCTTGTTCTTGTGCTTGTGGTGGTCAAGTGGGTGGAGGAGGAGGCGGGTATGTCGCCAGATGCTGCGCCAGAGACGTTGTCATCCTCGCGCGTGGTCGTTGTTTGGGCGAAAGCAATACTGAAGCAGCAGGATAGAAGCAGGGCGAGAAGCACGCGCGCGAAAAGTGGTCGAGATCTCACCATCCTGAAGCTCCACATGTGGTTGTGATGGTTGGGTCGTCGGTGGAGGCAGTAGAGGAGGAGCTCATGCGTATGCCTGCTTCTTGTTCTTGTTCTTCTTCCCAGAACCTTTTTACTAACCCGGTACCTACTTTAATTGTGGAAAAAAGGTCCATGCAGCAGCGGTGCAGTCCGGCCATGTGACGATCGACAGTAAATCTGCGCTGGCGCAAGGAGGATCGAGTGCTGGCTGTGTAGGGATGATTCCGGAGATTGTTCCACACTATGGCTGCAGAGCAGTTGCGCAACGGGCGGTCTTTGAGCCAGGTCTGAGGTCTCGGAAGCCATGCCGAGAGCGCTTCCTTCGGCTTTGGTTGGTCGTGCTGCGGAAGGGCAAGTGCTGACCCTTGGCGCCGGGACTGCAGACTGTGAGTTAGTGGCCGCCGCATCCTGCGCGCTGTCGTCATCCAAACAGTTCAAAACGTCAACCAGCTCGCCCTCCACAGCACTGGCACCACTACGGCTCTCTGCACTTCCGAATTCCCGTTTCATGCCCAGGGTGGCGAAGCCGGATACCCTTGCCGCCGCGGCCGATCCGAGCCATGGCGCGGTAGTAGCTGCCATCGAGACACGCGATTGGATGACGGAGGGACCCCGTACGAGATGTTCCCGGCTCCGGCTTGGTCCTTGCTTTGCTTTGCTTGCGTGGTGACAAACCCGAAGGGCGCACGGCGGACAAGCCGCAGCGCCCCAACATACCAAGTCTTGCCGTCTCAATTTTCGCTCTCGAGCCTGCTGCTGCGGTTTCGAGCTCAACCCAAAACCATGGCGTATACGTAACGACCTTCCGGAGGACGAGGGAGGACTGGAGAGCGCGAGAGAGGTCGAGGGGCCAGGAGAGAGGGGCATAGGGCTCGATTAAAAGTACGAGTAATCACAACGAAACAATCGAGCTTACATATGATACCTACCTTGATGCCTTCTCCCGCTCGCCGGCAATCCTTACCTACCCAAACCTATCTGCACCGTGCTCCTTGACCTCTCTCTTCACCGACCCATATTTTTTATACCCTACCACGTCTTCGAATCCTCGGGAATAGCGGGGCTGCCGGAGAGCAAAAGGAGAGCTTACAACACCTTCGCGACACCGATCACTGATGTTTGATTTTGGCTGGCGAAATAAAGGGACACTCACCACCCTACGGGAGAAAACACCTCCCTCGACGCCCCTCAGCTCCTCCGTTACACCTCCAGGGACATCGCCTCCGCCCTCGGCCTCTCTCGATGATGCTGCAGCCATCACCGCCTCCTCCACATCTCGAAAACCACGATGCCGCGACCCATATGTCATCATCGCCCAGTCCAGCACTCTCCTAGCAATAATCTTCCAGCTCATCGTGTTCCTGGGGAACATTCGCAACACCAATGCGCTGACGGATATCTACTTCCTCAAGATTGACGTCTCGCAGGTGATACCGCGGAGCTACCCTAACGCCGTGCTTGTCAACTCGATAGCACAGACTTTGGGACTGAGGGGGTTCTATCAGGTTGGACTGTGGAATTACTGCGAGGGGTATCAGGGCGAGGGTGTTACGTATTGTGGCAGTCCGAAGGCGCTGTATAGCTTTGATCCAGTGACTATATTGCTGTCACAGCTGCTGGAGGGGGCGACGAGTATGCTGCCTTATCCCTCTATATTTGAACGTTGCTGATGGATGATGCAGTTGCTATTCCGGCGGATATATCTGATGCCCTCGACATGGCCCGAAAAGCCAGTCACTGGATGTTTGCCAGCTTCTTTGTAGGAATAAGCTTTCTGCTGGTGTCGTTCCTCATCGGTACTTCCTCTTCCCCCGCCTCTCTTCCCCCGCCTCCCTACTGACCCCTTACAGGCTGGCTCGGCCACCTTACCCGCCGCACCGCCTTCACAGTCACCTTGATCTCCGTCATCGCCGGCCTCTTCACCACCATTGGCGCCGGTCTATCGACGATCCTCTACTCGCAGTTTCAGGGCGTATTTGAGAGCAGTCCGGAATTCAATATTCGCGCGAACATGGGACAGCAGATGTATGCATTTGTGTGGCTCGCGGCTGGCTTCGCGATTTTGGCGGCGGTGGTGAATGTGTGGGCTTGCTGGCGAGGGTGGATCTGTAGGCGGTTAGCGTGGTGTCGGGGAAAGTGTGTGAGCGTACTTGGGAAAGCAAGGAGTATGAGGAGGTAATTTTGAGGGTACCGGAGGCTGTAGTCTGTTTGGTTGTGCATAGAGTAGTCTGGTAAATACCAAGTGTGTGAATAGAACCCACCGATCAGATCCTTGTTGCCGAATACTCCGTGACCATGCCGTCGGAATCCGTTGGCTGGCTACTCCAAAAGTCCTGTAGAAATCGATTCTCAACTGAAGTCGAATCGAGTGATACAACATGCGCTTATCGAATTCTGAATGCGGGAAGCTGCATGAATTTGTGCACTTCTCCGGCTATCACTCGTTTTGGTGGTTCGCACAAATTAAATGGTGCTGTGCTGGTCATGCATGATCACCGGCCGCAATCCACATCTAGATATGAGGATCTCCAATAGACAGACAGACACGTTTCCTGCTCTGTAGAGCTTTCTCTCTCCCCTCCCTACTGGCACACTGAATATACATGATGGTACACGCCCAACTTCAAGTGCTTTGGTGGGTGCGAAGGTATCTTTCTCGTTACACACATGCCAGAATAGATACCGAATCAGTAAAGGCTGACATGGGGCGGAGCTCAAGCAGTGATCCAGTTGGCCTCGCCGGTTGTGATTACGAGCTTCTCTTGCTGCTCCTGGGTACTATCAGTTGTAGAACAGATCGGGGAGTGCGGTCAATGAGCGTCGAGCGAGTGATGACGAGAAACCCCTTGTCGAGTGCTAGAGCAACTGACTAACCCAGGTTGACATGAGTCACAGACGTACCTGAGTACATACTCGTGTAAGCACCCGGTCTTCAGGTGTGGTTGGAGCTCGCCCATCCTTCAGAATTCAATACATAAGTTGGAGTAGCCATTTGACCCCGAGCTCTTTGTCTCGTCACGTCCCTACCTAGAAAGTTCCGAATTCAAAGTGTACATCATAAGTCTTGGCAGCAGGGATTATTTGCGCGCACTCTTTCGAGTTTCTCTTGTCGCCTCACCTCACCGCGACAAACCCAACTTCACTTCTCTGCCACCCAACAACGACCACCACCACGACCACCACCACGACCACCACGACCACCACGACCTGCTCAACCATTACGATCGGAGGTAATATCGGGCCGCTGCTACCCGCTGGTTTCCCCGCGAATAGAGAATTCAAGGTACGTGCTTCTCTCTGAGGAAGCGTCGGCGCCAGGGTGAGCTGGGTGGAGAAGCAAGCGCCGGCAGCGTCATTTTCGAAATTAGTTGGTTGGCTAGTCTGATGCTGACTTTTCGCGTCGCGTGTTCCGTTCGCTCTCGCAGTTTCCCACCACACACAGCAATCAATAATCCCACTCTCCGGAACCGGCAAACCTACCTATCTCCCACGCACATAAACACATACCGCAAGAAGAAATGGCAGCAACATCCGAGGAACAGCCGGTTGTCAAGTCGGAGGAGCAGCAGCAGCAGGAGCAGGAAGTGAAGATCGAGGACGACCAGATGAATGAGGAAGAGGGTGTCGAGAATGAGGATGAGGTATGGGAAGCCTGCTTATTTCCTGGGAAGAGGAGGAGGATGAGGATGAGAGGATGAGTTGGAGGGGGCGCGCGCGAGCAAAACCACGTCGAAATCCCCCACGAAGAGTCATCGATCGTTCGCTCGCTGCCTGCCAGCCAGCCAAATCCTCCATCCAACCTACCCACACCCGCCGTTCTTCTTGTTGCGAAACGTTTCCGCGTTCGGGGCGTGGGGAGAGATTGAAAGAGAGAAAGAATAGGAAAAGCTGATGATCTCGGGGGCGCGCGAGCCTCAACGGTTTATCTAGGAGGAAATCTCGGCCATGAAAAGAAGAGTCGCGGAGATGGAAGCCGAGGCGCAGAAGCTGAGGGAGATGCAAGCCAATCTCGACAAGGAACAGAACGACCTGCGTGAAGACAAGGAGGACATCGACGGTCGGAGTATCTTTGTCGGCAACGTTGACTACGACGCAAGCCCCGAGGAGATCCAGGCTCACTTTCAGAGCTGCGGATCCATCAACCGCGTTACCATCCTGCTTGATAAGCACACAGGACATCCTAAGGGGTATGACTGCCGCTCGCTGACCGGGAATATGTGTGTGAATGTGGCGGGCTGATGTGTGTGTCCATCTAGGTACGCTTACGTCGAGTTCTCAGAGCCAAACCTAGTCGCTCAAGCACTCGTTCTGAACGAGAGTATTTTCCGCGGCCGCTCGCTGAAGGTATGGGTATCGCGTCCCGCTATAATTCTCACTCGTTGACATGTAGTGCACAGGTCGTCCCGAAGCGTACGAACGTTCCAGGCATGTCCCGTGGTCGAGGCCGCGGTGGCCCTCCTAGGGGTCGGGGCGGCTACCCTCCTCCATACCGTGGCGGCTACGCTCCCCGCGGCGGCGCGTACCGGGGCGGATACAGAGGACGTGGAAGAGGTTACGCGCCATACTGAGCGCCGTCGCCCATGTTGCGGATCAGATTGATTAGGATGATGAGTTTGGGACCGGGAGTGTTGAAGACTGTTTGACCAGAAAAAAAATGAACATTCCCTTTTTTATGTTTCTATGTTCTATCTTTCTTCTCTTTTTTTTTGTCATTGCAGCAGCAGATCATGATGTACAGTAAACGGGTGCGCGATGCGCATCTATGCGCAAATTTCTTGGAGGACCACAGTGCTGGTATGTAGAGGAATCATGTCCCTACCTACAAGGCCATAGTATTTTCCTGCCCGAATCGATATCACGATCTATCTCTCCAACAGTCCCTCCCTCTATCATAACCACTGAGAAGTGGCCACGGTGTAGCTCAAGTTCATGTGTTGACTCGGCCGTGCCAACCCAACCCATCCATCACCGGACCGGGTACAACTGCCCATATGTACTCTACGGGTACCTACCCGAGTGATGCATGCGCATGCTGCTGCTGCTGCTGCTGCTGATGCTGCAGGTGATGAGTGAGTGAGTGAGTGACTCGAACGGAATACTGCCTGGATACCTAAAGTATGGAGGTAGAGGCGGTTACACCGTGATCGCGTGCAATTATCCAGCCTCTTCATGCTCCTCATCGCGTGAGTGCACGCGAGGGACACGAGGGATGGGATGGGCGGGATGAGACGCTGTTGATAAGAACGGAGGCTGCTGCTGCGGCGGGTGTGGAGAGCATTGATCCATCATCTATCACTGAGCATCTACGAGCAGCCAGCCTGAGCGCGATCGACGACCCACAGCAGCAATCACAGCAACCACAGCCCGTACGTACCGCACCGCCAACCCAACCCCGATGCGAACCCGCCCGCCGCCCCGTCCTGCATCCCCGACGACGAAATGCCAACCCCTATCCCCGTGCTCGCTGCGGGAAGACGACGACTGGACCGACCTCGCCCCCGGGCCCTCCCGCCTCCCCGCCCGCACCGACGAGGAACCCATCCCCACCCCGCGCGAACTCGCCGAGCTCGCGCAGCTCCTCGGCGCACCAGAGGATCCGCGCATGAAGCGCTGGGCGGCGTGGGCGGGGTTCGCGAAGGTACGTTTAATTCCTCCAGTGTAGATGTACTCCGGGTGGAGGGGGAGAGGCGGGGGATGAGGAGGGATGAATGAGGAGGGCTAACAGGTGTTGGAGGAAGTAGAGGTGGGTTAATGGCCTTGCGGGTATTGGTGGGTTGGCGGGGGTTGTGTGATATTTCATACGCCTGGAGGCGCGGTGAGTGCGGAGGGTGAGGTAATGAGGGACAGATGAGGAGGATACCGCCAGACGGCGGTGGTGCTGGTGCTGGTGCTGCTGGTGCTGGCGGCGGATCTGCGAGTGTGGCTCACGAGCGCACGGCCTCGCGCCAGCCCACCCGCTCACTCGTGACCACCACCACCAGCAGTACTCGACACGTGAAACGCAAAACGAAGAGTCACGCGGATGTCGTGCTTCGTGGTCTGGGTTCTGGGGCAGAGCTGATACTCTAGGTATTGATACATGTATTCGTGCGAGATCTTGTACATATACTTGCCCTTCTACATACACTCTCTTTCCTGTTGTTTGGATAGGTAGAGCATCATCGATCTCTGGTCACGAGCTCCCCCCCGTCCCGTGGCCTAACCACAGTACATATATCACAACCCTCACTTGCCCCTCGAGTGACCGCCCATGCATTCGTACCTGCGTCCGCCTGTCAGCCGGTCAGCCGGTCGGAGGAGTGGGTGCGTGCAGAGAACGCAGGAATTCCAAATCCATGAGCAGAGGAGCAGAGGAGCAGGTAGGTACGCACGTCACCAGGCACCAGGCAACAGGTGCACCGAGCAGGCCCTCTCTCGGCCGACTACGCAGGTACACAGGTACGTATGTTGGTAGCCGTCTGCAGTGTGCGTTTGGAGGAACACTGCGCTGCGCTGTGCTGTAGGTACTCTGCTGTGCGGTACTCGAGCTCGAGCTCGTGGTACCTATAGAGCTGAGTACGTACCAGGCGAAAGCAGTGAGCAGTGGCGTAGGAGTAGAACTCTGTCTCGTTGTCTCTCTACCTCGTTGTCTCGCTGTCTCTCTATCTCGCTGTAGGAATGTAGTAGTTCCAGACTTCCAAACCTCCAGACTTCCAGTGTAGGTATGCGGAACGGTGCGGGAAGTAATATGTAGGGACAATGCGATCAGCCCGCGGACCGCGGTGCACTGGCATTAACCAACCAACCAAACAGCACTTTATACATTCTTCATACGTATGGGTATTCCTTTCATTTCAGCTCCGTCCCGTCTCGCTCTGACTGACTGTGACGTTGGGTGTCAATGTGTCATATCCAATCAAATCAAATCCAGCAGGCACGCACGTGTGCCGAGAGGAGTGGGAGGGGGGGGAGCGGGAGGATGATGAGGAGGAGGGGAACAAAGAGAGGGGATGGAATGGAAGCACTGGAAGCATTGGTACCAGCACTTGTACTTGTGTCTCTCCTTCCCTCCCTTCCCGCATCGATCCAGCCCATTCAGTGCCGACGAGAGACATACAGAGACATACAGAGACATACAGAGACATACAGAGACATACAGAGACATACAGAGACAAGCGTGTGTACGCCACCGACCACCGAACCTGCGGAAACGCTAGTGGGAAGAGAGAGGGAGAGGAAGACATGTACCTATCACTCAGCACCGAAGGCGAAGTACCGACGATCTAGACCCCTTCGTCCCCGCCGAGGAGAGAAACGTACCTATCATACTCGTCGTGCGAGTAAAGAAGCAAAGTACCGAAGAAATCTTGTCCGCGCAATCGAGCATCGAGCGAGTAGGAACCGTACCTACCGCACTCGCTACTCGGCTGAGTAAGATCTCGGGGGAATCGGGGAAACGGGGAATCGAGGGAAGAGGGAGAGAGGAAGAGAGGAGGAGGAGGAGGAGGAGGAACATGTGGTCGAGATCGAGCACGCCACCGATAGGCGTGTAGTTGTACCGGTATATCCGTCCAGTCGGTACCTTGTACCTATTATACAGAGGCTGTGACAATCCCGAGTTTCGGAAGCGGCGAGGGGCAGAGAGACATGTGCCTGGTATCATATGTATGGATGTACACGCCATCCACCCAGCGCAGAGGTTCCAGTAGAGTAGGTACCTGAGTACTGGTATGCTACATACCGAGACCATCCATCCATCGAGCAACTAGCCAACCAACCAACCAACCAACCAACCATCCATCCAACTACCGAGGCCGTACCGAAGACGTAGGAAGAATGTACTCAGACACGTGTACATGGTAGGTACCTACGGTCCTACGGTACGCTGAGCTCTCCCATCCCCCTCCCAGACTCGCAGTTCCAGTTCCAGCATGCGAGCTGGTGTTCCTGTTCCATAGAGTGCTCTACACATGTTGCCATTCGAGCCATTCGAGTCAACTATTACTCCATAGCACAAAATCATCACACCCATGCAGCAACGCAGCAACGCAGCAACGCAGCAACGCAAGGCAAAGATAAGAAAATCTTCTTTCTGTTTCTATTTCTGTTTTTGTTTTTGTTTTTGTTTTTCCTCCAATCCAACCCATCCTACCGTACCTACCCCACCGTATTATTTGTTTATTTTCTCGAGAATCGAGAGCGGGGAACCTAGGCCAAACGGACAGACACCTCCACCTCCACCTCCACCTCCACCTCCAGCCGCACGTACGCACGCGCATCATCCTGCGCATGAAAGTTCAAAGGTTTCACCGTGGATATATTCCGGCCGGCCGTGTCGACTGTCGATCGTTTGCTTCCGGGGTTTGGGTTTGGGTGATTGGGCGATTGGGGGATCGGGCGAGTTGCGCAGGCTCGAGAGTTCGAGGGTTCGAGGCGAGACGTGCGAAACGTGCGAGCTCGATTGCGAGCTTGATTGCGAAACTGTGAGACTGCGTGCTCGGGCTATCATAGGTAAAGTAGAATAGGTACTAGGAGTAGGAGTAGCGAGCGAGCGACAAACGATATCGATAGAGTATCGATATCGTAAGTGCTCTACCGTACCTATTGCGGGCATGTAGGTAATAGGTATGATAGAAAAACATGGAGTAATAAGTGCAAGCCTTAACTAATGGAGGGATAGATAGATGGAATCCCATGGATGGATGCGATGGATAGATGGATGCGATAGATGCGAGCAGCGATGGGCGGTGCCTGACTCTACTCCACTCTAGGTACTCTAGGGCTGTACTCTACTCTACTCTAGATACCGTACATAAGCCTTCTCTGGAGTTCGCACTCCTCCAATCGGTTATGATAGAGTTGATAGAGTAGAGTACTACATACAACGAGTCCACTGGCGAGTCGCTCGCCAACTTCCTAGGACCTAGGTGATCGATCCCCTCGGGCCCTCGCCTCGCCTCCAAGCTTTCATTCCGTAGCCCGTGGGTACCCGAATGCGCTTTCCTGGCGATCAATGATCATCGAGCCAACGAGAAAGAGTAAAGAAAAATCTTCACTCTTGGCCCTGTACTTGCACCATTTCGACGCTCGATGTGCAAATATCATATACCTACATGATACACCGGTACCTAGAGTATCTAGAGCATCTATCTACTATGATACCTCATCGCTGACGAAGATCAGTCTCAGTCTCAGATCCACGCCTCAGCCTTCAGCTTCGGGTTTTTCTTGACCTTCCTTCAAGTTTCCTTTAACCTTCTTCCTTCCCTCCCCCTCCCCGCCCAGGCCCCAATTGGGCACAACCAGCCGAAGCGGCCGCCACATCCACGCCCACGCCCACGCCCACGCCTTCCAAGCGTCATTCGCCTCCAACCAGCCGGGGCCGGTGCCGGGGCGACTGCAGTCACCGGAAGAATTTTTTCTTTCGTTCTTCCTTCCTTGATTTCCACGCACAGCACATCACAGTAGATACATACAGCACATGCAGACATGCAGGAACCGGTACGGTAGAGTACGGCCGGTGCGGGATTTTCCCGTAGATGTGCAGCCAAAGTACTCTACATACATAAAGTACTAGGTCAAAAGTTTTTGTACAGGGGCCGTTTTACACCAAAAATGCCCATTTTCAAGCAACAAAACCCTCCCTTCACGTGGCGGCAAAAAATCGAGTCTTTCACAGAAGCTTTAGAATCGCAAGATGCATCACATGGACGAATTCTGGCGACTTTTGCTTCGGATTGGTGGCGCATGGGTTGGTGTTGTGCACAGGTTGGAGAGTGATTTCAGATTTTGTATGGGGCCCCCATACAAAATTATTGCGTGAAAACCAGTTTCACCACTAACTTTTCTCCCATACGGCATTACTCAACCACCACCAGTTAGAATTATGTGCCGATTTCAATGGAAGTTCTCTACCTGACTTGGAAGACCTTCCAATGGTCCACATATTTTTATACTACCTTATGGTTGCTGTATCGATGGCGGGAAATGACCTACCTCGGTGAAAGGGAAATCCGCCAAGCCACCCTACTTCGCACAAAATAATCAGCCTAGCGAGCTGGAGGTCTCGTTGCAGCTTTATTAGTATGTATTCATGATATTCGCCAATTACTACTACCATATAATGCGTGGTTGTTGTGTTAGAGAGATATATGTCTGTGGTGTGGTGGCGCTGTTGGGGAGGTGTACAAAAACTTTTGACCTGGTACTTTACATGTACACGAGTACACGAGTACATAGGCCTGGCTGTATAGCCGTATGTAGCCTGTAAGGCTGTAGATAGGGCTCCTCTCCAAAATTCGGGAATATAGATGAGCACCTAGATAGCACGGGTTAACTATGGGGAGTGGGGACGGCAAATCAAACAATGCCACGCGCGGTGGCTCCGAACTCGGGCTCGAACTCGAAGGGTCCGCTACCGGTAGGTACATGCGGCGGCGGGGAGGATTACGGTGATCTACTGGGACACACACTGGGAGTCTGGGAGTCTGGGAGGGGGACAGGCGCGCGGTAGGATTGGCTATGTATCTAGCAGATTCAAGACTCCAGAGGAGGGTCGGTGGTCGGTGTCTCTGAGGGATGGCGATACGTTGGCTACATGTAGCGATACGTTGGAACTTGGTATGATGGAGGCGAGAGAAACACGGGGACACGACACGGGGACACGGGGACTGGAGAACGCATGTGGACGCAGCAGTGCGTAGAGTTCGTAGGTACTTTGTAAGTGAGTGGGGGGTGGATAGTAGTAGTAGATACTTCTGAAGCCCAGGCTCCACCGAACCCACCGAAGCCACTGAAGGCTTACGTCGTCGTCGACGGCACAGAGTACGGTAGCTAGAGGTACATACCAGTAGAGCACGGTACCTACGTAGCCGATGCGATGAAGCAAGACTCCAGAGTCCAGAGGAGAAGAGAGACAAGGAAGAAACCTGCGAGAGGGGACCACGTACATAACGCGATGCAGCAGCAGATGTGCTGTGCAGATATGTAGAGCAGAGCAGAGTGGAGTGGAGTGGAGAAGAGTAGAGTATGTAGAGTATGTAAGCATGCAACCAGAGGTTCGTGATTAGGTTGGGGGGGGGGGATGATGATTACTTCGATGGATGGATCGACTGCGAAGACACGGTTGGGCTGGGCTGGGCTCGGCTCGGCTGGGCTGGGGGAGTGGGGTCTGGTTGGGATTGGTTGGGCTGGGACTGGGACTGGGACTGGGCTGGGGCTGTTCAGTACGCTTCTATGGAGTAGGTGTAGTACTGAGCACTGGCTAGCCTTCTGCGCCTTTTTTTTCATCTTTTTTTCATCTGTGTTTTTCGGTGGAGGCGAGGCGAGGCGAAAATGGATGCGGTCGGATAGAATAGAGTACTTTCTGTACCAAGGTAAGCGCATAGAAACATGCGGGCCTCTCTCGACGCCTCTCCTCCTGAGCGTCTGCCCATCCATTCTATATAGTAGTGCCTATTACCCTGCAGTGCACTCTGCCTCTCCATGCGCTCTCCCTGTGGAATACCGGTAGGTCATATATATTATTGAATAGTCATTGCTCCATAATCATCAGCATCATCCTCTGCCGGAGCATCCGCATCTCTGGGGTTGCCTCTTCGCTCTTCTGTGGTGGTGGTGGCTGCTGGCTCGCATCGCAACAATTTGTCGGGTCTCTTAGGACCATCTACTTTTAGTCAAACTCAGGTACCCGTACTCTATTCTACGGCCCAAGGGTGTCGCAAAGTTTGGGCGGTTCCCTGGTAATCGAGCCCAGTGCGGTAAGGCGTGCTCAGGAACAGCCGCTGCACCCTGCAGCGGCACTGCAACTTCGAGTCTAGCGGCACTGACACCACACCCTCTCGCACTTTGTTGCGTCGACACCGCGGCGCAGGAACGGAAACGTGAACGGAACGGAAACAGGCGGATGGACAGTAGAGTAGGACGAGAAGTGGAGGGGAGGGGAGGAGGAGAATGAGGGGAAGAATGAGGGGGGGAGGGGGAGGGGGAGGGGGAGGGGGAGGGGAGGAGGAGGGGAGGAGGATGGACGAAACAACTCACGACGCATACGGGAATAGATTGAAGTGGGCAGCACACCGAAGGCAGCAGCAGATTCCGCATACCAAAGGCAAAGGCAGCAACAGATCTCGCATACCAAAGGCAAACAAAGGCAGCAACACATCCAGCGGCGAGTGCTCACACATGCCTGCCTCGTCCGAGCGGAGCGCATGGGACGCCTTCTAGCGCTTCGCTGGATAGATTGCATCGGGTGCTTGTCGCTTCAGCCTTCAGCTGCTCTGCTAATCTACCGGTGTCGACCACTATACCGTGCACTCTATCGTCAGTTGGGATCTCCAGGAACCGGAACTCTACCATGACAGCTAGCAGTCGAGATTCAGACATGCGCTACACGGCCTATCTCCTCGTGATGCTCTATCTGCTCCGGCCTCGGACGTTCGGACATGAAGCGAAGCAGATCCCCAGAGCTCAAGCCCTCGCGATCATCAACATCATCGTCATCATAATCATCCGGATGGTTGGCCGCCGAGCCCGAGGGGAGAGCGAAAGGGATGGTGGGAGGGAGGGAGTGCGAGACGGTGCGAGAGTCTAACTCGTGAAGGCTCAGCACAAATCTCCCGGCTCCCCCCCCCCCGCCCGCCCGGCAGTGCTGCGGCTATTCCTGAATGGCCACCTCCCAGCTCGTACTTGCTCGTACTTGCTCTTGTTGGTGATGGTCTGTGGCGTCGAACCACAATCCCCCCTGCCACCCCTACCCCCCCGTGGGACTGGTCAGTTGGTGAGCCCCCATTGGGCTCCAGCCCGCCAAGCTGATTCCTGCCCTCAAAACCAACCCAGTCCTCGCTTTTCTGCCGCATCTCACCCACTCTCTCTCTCTATCCCTCCCCACGGTCATTCCTTTGAACCTCACACCCCACGTTCTGCACGCTCTCAGTGCAAGCAAGGATTTTTCAATCCCTCCATCCATCCCCGCTGCTTCTATCGATTGCATCTTGCCTCCGGTCCGCCTCCTTCAGGTCCAGAACAACACGCAGATAAAAAGCAACCTATCAAAACCAGCTTCTACAGCACATCCCCACCGCACAGCAAATCGGAGCAACTTCCTTCAGCTCTCCAACCACATCACTCCTTCAAGTCTCGAAGACTTCCGACCCATTGTATATCAATCTACAACCCCTCGACGGATAAAAGAAGAATCGAAGCAACGCAACACTCACAGCTGTTCCCAGTAACCTGCTCGCTCTCACTCACTCGGATAACCTCTTTCATCCCCAAGTCAATCCTTACATCCACCAAAAATGAAGACGCAAACTCTTTTCCTGATGGCCTCCGCCCTCTGCGGTGTCCTCGCTGCGCCCATCCGCGAGCGGGAAGCAAGGGTCGTCACAGTATACGAGAATGTGGTGCACGTGGTCACCGTCACTAGCACCTACTACGTGAAGGCCACGGTGAAGCCCACTCGGAAGATGACTGCGACGCTCACCTCGTCCACCGAGGAGTACCTCGAGGAGGAGGAGACCACATCCACAACCACCACTCCCACCCCCACCCCCACCACAACCTTCACTTCAACCGAGGAGACGTCCACCAGCACCACCAGCGTTGAGGAACCCACGACCACATACACTCCGGAGCCTACCTCAACGTACGTATCCCCAGAACCCACCGAAACCGAAGCTCCCGAAGAGGAGGAGCCGGAAGCTCCCGAAGAGGAGGAAATTGTTACGCCGACATCAACTTACACTCCCCCGACCAGCACTCCTAAGCCTGAGCCTACAACCGAGGCGCCCGAGCCAGAGACCACTCCTGAGCCCACTCCTGAGCCAGAGACCACTCCCGAGCCAGAGACCACTCCCGAGCCAGAGACCACTCCTGAGCCTGTGGCCACTCCTGAGCCCGAGCCCACATTGACTACGTATGTGCATCCTCGGTCCTCAGTCCGAGCTCGGCTCCCCGTGCCTTTCTCTTTTTTATATACCACCGCATATGTTTTTCGAGACCAATTGCTGACAAGCCTGCGCGCTTTAGCCCTCTGACCGGCGGCACCGATGGTAAGGCCACTTACTACGACACTGGTATGGGATCTTGCGGCCAGGAGCACACCGACTCTGAGCTTGTCGTCGCCATCTCCAAGGAGATCATGATGAAATACGACACTGGAAACCCCAACAACAACCCGCTTTGTGGTTAGTGCCTTTCCCCATCAATCCCCGCCCTTCGTACACCGGTATCTGACAAACAAACAGGAAAGCGCATCAAGTGCACTCGCGGAGGAAAGGAGGTCATCGCCACCGTCGTCGACACATGTCCTGGCTGCGTGAGTTTTTTCTCTCTTTGTTTATACCCTCACCACCCAAACCTCTATCTAACACCTATCAGACTCCGGACCACGTCGACCTTTCTCGGGCCGCCTTCGGTGACCTTGGCGACTTCGCTGAGGGCAACATCTCCATCACTTGGGCCTGGTTGGACCCCATCGACGAGTAAGCAACTCGGATCATCTGCGATGATTCTGTTGTTTTCCTGTTTAGAGTATCATTTCTTACTTTTACCTTACTCTTGTTTATAAGTCGATGATCTACGTGTGATTTCTGAATAATGGCTGGCCAGCTACTTCTAAGTTGGAGTTTCTCTTTATTTTTATATTTCTTATTATCTTTCCTCTCTTATGTTTTTTCCTTTCGGTTCCCCGAGGGGAAGACTGGGAATATCTACCCGGGTCGGCGTTTAACTAGAACTGAACTGGGCCTTTTGAGAAGGGAGGAGGGAGGTAGGAAGGAAGGAGCGAGGGGAAGGAGAAGGAGATGGGTTTCATGAAGTTTTACGGCCGCTGGTTTGATGATGGGGTTTTGGGGGGAAGAAAAAGGAGAAGGCTCTGGGAGCCTATGGTGTGTTGTACTCTAGGTACTCTACTCATTCGGAAGAAGGGGGGAATACGGTCGGTATGTTCGAGCAATTTATATACAATTGAATCATAGAATGCTTGCTTCCTCAATGTATTAGTGCATTTCCTGTTGGATATATACTTCGCGGTTGAAGGTTGAACCACCTCCTTCTCCGGTCCAGATGGATGGGAGCAATGGGGGAGCAACGGGGACGGGGTGACGGTCTCCTTTTCATGAACACACGACCCGTGTATTCACTGAAGGAAGGAAGGACGACGGACCAACAGAACTCATCACCCACCTAGATATATACCAAGTACACCTGTAGATATAGCCCAACCCAAGTTCCAACAGACTGAAAAGCAACAAAGGGGAAATCTCATTTCCCAGCTCTATTCCGCCTCGGCCGGTCCGTACTTGGCGGGGGAATCCTTAGTCTATAGTAGCGGGTCCAATTTTAATTTCCCGGCTTTCTCCAGACTCCGGTGTGGAGGTCCACCTTCCGCATCGACAGCTAGGTAGGTATAGGAACTAGGCATGGCGGGGAATCGCCGAGGTGGAGGTGGAGGTGGAGATGGCGAGGCGGTTGGATGGTGTGGGCTTGGGGATGATGAGAGTTAGTTGCGCTGCGGGGTGGTAGGTATGCGACTGGGCTGGGCTGTGATGGGCTGTGAGTGATGGGAGTGGTTCTTCAGACGTCTGGTTAGTGGCTTGTGGCTTGTGCTGTGGCTACTGTCTACATATACTGGTGACGACGAGTGAGCACTGAGGGATGGATCATGGCGGACTCCAGGCGGAGGGATGTTGCGATTAAGGTTTCCCCACTTACTCATGTAGAGTATGTAGGATCGCGCTTGACAGTGGTAGTGGTAGGTGGGGTACATAAACGGGATGGCAAACGGTACATACTTGCATAGCATAGGTAAAGCGAAATGGCAGGTAAACGGCAGGTAAACGGCAGGTAAACGGCAGGTAAACGGCAGGTAAACGGCAGGCTTGACAAATACGATATAGTAAAACTCACTACTTTGCAGGCGGAAAGAAGAAGAAGAAGGAACAAGCACTCAACGGTAAGAAGTAAGCGTAAGGTAAGGTGAGCACGAGACTCGATTCACTTCCCACTAACCAACCGCGTCCTCCCAGCTACGGATTCTTAGTAACCCCCGTCTCCTGCGGCCCAGTAACACTGATCGGCTTCTTGACATTCTTCTCCTCGCTCTCCTTGATGAGGCCGTCTTTCTCATCATCGCTGTCCTCGAGACTGAAGGGGTCTTTGTGCAGTGGCTCTGCGTCGACGCTCTTGAGCGGCTCCCATTTGCTGTTTCCCGCGGGAGAAGACCGGTTGCCTGTCGCGCTAGCTGGCCGGTAGAGGTCGTCGTCGTTGGTGCTGTCGATCATGGTCGGACGGTCCTCGAACGACACGCGGCGGCCGGTGGTCGCCGAGGGCTGGAATAGGTTGGGGTTGGCTTTGGGGCGGCGGGGGGCGGCTACACAGAGGTGAATTTTAGTGGGGTGATATGATAGGGGGCGAGAGGATGGACGTACATTCGGTGTTGTCTTTCAGGCTCAAGTGCGTGAAGTCATCCGACAGCACTTTGGGATCCGCATCGTATCCGTCCCGTGAGCGTCTCGGGGCGTCATACGAGCCACCGGCACCATACTGGCGTCTATTTCCCGTCCGCGCATACTGGCCACTGGTGCGCTGCGGAGGACTCTGCTCGCCGTGTGCCCTGCCCATGGATCCCTCGGGCTGATCCTCGCCATCGATCTTCTTCCTGAACTCATCAAACCACCCGGTGACCTTCGCCTGGGTCTCGAGGAATCCCTTCTTGATGTTCTCCTTGATGACGGGCAGATCCTCCTCAAAGAAGCTGGGACGGTCCCGGTCGTCGTTGGTGTAGTACTCATCATCGCTCTCATCGTTCGGATGTCTCCTCAGCGGCTGCTTCCCTCCGGTATTCGCCCTACGCACGCCGCCCATTCCCGCGTTAAGATGCTGCCTCGGCGCGGGCGCACCAAAGTGCTCCTGCAGCTGGCGGGCATACAGCGCATCAGCGTCGAGCTGGTTCTGTGGCGTGGAAGTGGACGTGTGCTGCTGGGCGCGTGGGCGCGGGGGCTGCGGCGGCGGTGCCTCCTCGACCACCGCAGACGGGTCGCTCATGCTCAGCAGCGCGTTGAAGGCGGGCTCGAGGTCGCCGCGCGACGCAACGAGCACCGCCCGCACTACCGCCGCATCGATGTTCGGGAATGCTTCGATCAGCGTCGCTTGGTTCTGCGAGTTCGGCGACAGCGGCCGCGTGGGCTGGGTGGGCGCCGCGAGTGGCGTAGACGCCTTCGGCGGTGGTGGGAGTGGGGTCGCGGAGGTTCCGGCGGGTGGGCTGGCGACGGGCGCCGCGGGAAGCTGCGAGAGGTCAGTTCGGCCCGGAACGGATCCGTGAGCGGGTGAGCGTACGTCTACTGGATTGTCGGCTGACATGTTGGGCTGTGCTATGCTATCGAGTGCTGTTGGTTGGTGGAAAAGGGGATGTGGATGGAGATGGAGGTGGTGGGGGAGGGCGGGGCGTCTGGTGGTGGTGGAGGTGGCTGCGGTGGGAGGGAAATGATTGGTGTGAGCTATGAGCTTCTATTTCACGTGCTCCCATTAAAAGAATGGCCGCGCACGCACCGCCACTTTGGACAGGCCAGGAGACAACTTACAATACAATTGCCTCCTCTCCTACCACCACCATGCACATAAAAAAATACAGATACGTAATCATGTCCTCCAGCAGAAACAGTAAAACGCCATCGTAGAAACTCTCCCATACACCGAGAAGCTCCGTGAGAACGTGAGCTTTCTATGCTGCATTAGCCACACCAAATGTTAGCGAGTGCGGAGGAGGCGAATGTGTCAAACAGGCTACTGTTAGGCAGGCCAGCAGATAGCTGGAGAATTTAGAGAGACTACATGGCGTGGAATGCTGTCGCCTTGCTATTGTGACGTGCGCATATCTGGGTAGAGCGCGAAGATATTGGTGCATTCGTGCTGAGAGACGATATGAAGAGGAGAGAAAGAAAGCAAATTTTGAAGCTCCCCCATGGCTTACCGTCCCGCCATGACGCTGTCTCAGATCGGTGCAGCTCCTAAAGAGCCCCTCATCGCTTTTGTCTTGGTTCGCTGGTTGCTCTGTAGGAGAGTTGCGTGTAGGAAGAGAATGAAGTGAACATATTCAAGCAACCGGGGCGTTAAGCCTGATACATAATAGATTTTCTGTGGCTCTTTCCGGTCTTTGATATTTTTCCTTCAACTTCAGCTTTCAACCCGTGCTTTCAACTTCGGCTTTCAACTTCGACTATCTGAAGAGGACTTAAGAGCTTGTCGATATTCGTGCCAAATCCTTCGAAACTAATCGTCAAGACTTTTTATTTTTGTTTTATTTACGTGGTCGTTAATCGCGTGCGACCCAGTTGGACCGTGGCGATGCACTCCCCGTCCTGTCTACGATACCAGTCCTCAATATTTTCGGTTAATCATTGAGTGCTTGCGGCTATCTGGATCATACCGATCCTAAAGACAAACATGTCATCGTGAGATGGGGACCGGGCAGACCGAGTGATAATCCGTATCATTGAATGCCCACATGGGTGCTGGTAAGCGCGGAACGGCGGCTCACTCACAAGGATCAAATCTCCGAACGGAGGCATGATCAAACTTAATACTCACGAGATACATAAGCCGCAGCACCGGAAGTCCGGGAACGCAAAAGCTATGAAGAGATGCCCTCCTCACTGCATTTCTCATCTTCTTCTATCAAAGGGAACCTGCAGCGTGATGTAAGTTGCTGTTGCGATCAATGGAGTCGATGTATGGTTCCAGGGGTAGTCACGCTATTGGACAGTCGGACTTGTTTCTTCGTGTTTCTCCGATCTGTGTCTCGATGCCAAGTCTCTCTTCATAGCCTCCGGACTCTGATGTTCGGACGGGTAACAGACGGCTAACATGCGGCTCTGGGCGCTACCGTCCAGACCTCTCTAGTGAGCGGCAACGCCTCCAATCCCGTCATATCTACACGAACGCGAAGCCAAGTACATACCCTACTCCTCTACACCTTCTGCATCTCCATCGCCCAGCAAGTTGCTCTGCAAGCTCAACCGAAAAAAATCTCCCTCTTCTCTCCACATATACCGTGTTCTACATCGTAAAGACGCACAACTTACAACAACCCCCCAGTCTCAGTTCCTCCGCGACTTACCCCGCCATACACCGATAACCCCGCCGTTGCCTTAGCAACAACAACCACCTGTCGCTGCTGATTCTCCGCATTTCCCCCCGCCTCGCGAGAGTCTGCAAATCACATAGTCTTCTCCGCTTCAAAGGGGTCCTCCGATCGAAACAGTATAATGGCTGCTCTGTCTATCGAGGAATTGGACAAGCATGTCCGCCAGTTCTACGAGGGCGCTGGCCAGGAGGTAACAACCGCTCACGTCCAGCGACTCCACTTGGTCGCAATCTGCTGATCACCGTATGGCCTTCCAGAGAATAAACGCCCAGCAACTCTTGAATCAGGTATGCCTTCTGGAGCTGCGCAGAAGCTGTCGGTGGGTACTAACAAGACCAGTTCCGAGAAAATCCCGACTCTTGGATCCTCGTCGATAAGATTCTGGAGACTGCCAGCTATCCCCAGACCAAATGTACCGCATATCACCGCCCCCCTCCAACTGTCCTTTGAATTTGTTCTCTGCTGCGTCTGGTGCTAATTCGATCCCAGTCCTCGGATTACAGGTCTTGGATACCGTGATTCAGACCAGGTGGAAGGTGCTTCCTAAGGAACAGCGGCAGGGTGAGTTCATCATGCAACGAACGCGGATCACTGGAAACAGTTCGTGCTGACAGAATAGGTATACGGAACTTCGTCGTGGGCTTCATCATTCAGGCCTCTTCTACCGCGGACAGCCTACATCAGCAGCGCCTGCTGATCAACAAGTTGAATCTTGTCCTTGTCTCGATCCTCAAACAGGATTGGCCGCACGACTGGCCAGACTTCATCAATGAAATCATCAGCTCCTGCCGAACGAACTTCTCGATCTGCGAAAACAACATGGCTATCCTCCGGTTGCTTTCCGAGGAGGTGTTTGACTTTTCGGCAGAACAGATGACACAAGCAAAGACTAAAAACCTCAAAACGACAATGTGTCAGGAGTTCTCGTCGATTTTCCAGCTTTGTTCCGAGGTGCTGTCTATGGCCGAACAGCCGAGTCTGGTGAAGGCTACGCTGGAGACTTTACTGCGATTCCTCAATTGGATCCCACTGGGCTACATTTTCGAAACCAACATCATCGACACCCTCCGCTCACGTTTTCTGGAACAACCGGAGTTCAGAAACGTCACCATGAAGTGCCTAACTGAGATCGGTGGCCTTCAGGTTAAGCAGTTCGAGTACGACGATAAGCTCGTACAAATGTTCACGACGGTCATGACTAGCGTATCGAACATAATACCGCTCACGACCGATTTGAGGTCCATATACCACACCAGCAACAGCAGGGATCAAGAGTTCATCCAGAACCTTGCGCTGTTCCTCTGCAACTACTTCACCGTTCATGTACAGGTAAGAGGAGCCGGACTATCTATCCCCTATAGGCGCCTACTGACGATTTGAGCAGCTCATCGAGAAACTCGCTAACAAGGATTATCTCGCGCATGCTCACTTCTATCTGATCCGGATTTCTCAGATTGAGGACCGTGAGATCTTCAAGATCTGCCTGGAGTATTGGAATAAGTTGGTGCAAGAGCTCTATGAAGAGATGCAAAATATCCCAATGACCGACGTGAATCCATTGCTCGGCATGCGAGAGATGATCTCCGGTGGTATCGCTGGCGGCGGCGGAGCCATGCACCCCAACATGCACGCCAACTTTCCATTGCGGAAGCATTTGTACCACGATGTGCTCACCAACCTTCGCCAGGTCATGATCGAGCGGATGGTCAAGCCCGAAGAGGTATGAAGATTGTTTGCATCTTGGGTAGCCTTGCTGACCAGAGTGAAACTAGGTCTTAATTGTCGAAAACGACGAGGGAGAGATCGTACGTGAGTTTGTCAAGGAGAGCGACACCATCCAGCTCTACAAGGCGACCAGGGAATGCCTCGTCTATCTTACGCACTTGGATGTCATCGACACAGAGGCTATCATGTCGGAGAAGCTTGCCAAGCAGGTGGACGGCTCCGAGTGGTCGTGGGCCAACTGCAACACCCTCTGCTGGGCTATCGGATCCATTTCAGGAGCCATGAACGAGGAGACCGAAAAGCGCTTTCTGGTCACCGTCATCAAGGATCTCCTAGGCTTGACCGAGATGAAGCGTGGAAAGGACAACAAGGCCGTGGTGGCCTCGAATATCATGTACATTGTTGGGCAATACCCGCGGTTCCTGAAGGCTCACTGGAAGTTCTTGAAGACCGTGGTCAACAAGCTATTCGAATTCATGCACGAAACCCACGAAGGTGTCCAGGACATGGCCTGTGATACGTTCATCAAGATTGCGCAGAAATGCAGACGCCATTTCGTCGCACTTCAGCCAGGCGAGACAGAACCGTTCATCGACGAAATTGTGCGAAACATGCAGCGCATAACTTGCGACCTTTCACCGCAGCAGGTTCACACGTTCTACGAAGCGTGTGGATATATGATTAATGCCCAGGGACAGCCTGGAATTCAGGAGAGACTGATTTCCGACCTCATGCTCCTCCCCAACCAAGCGGTATGCCCCTACTACTGATATCAGATCCCGGTCAATACTAACTTTTCCATCAGTGGGATCAAATCATACAGGAGGCCGCACAGAACCCCAGCATTCTCGAGAATACTGAAACAGTCAAGATCATCGGGAACATCATGAAGACTAATGTCTCGGCCTGCACGTCGGTCGGCACCTACTTCTACCCGCAGATCGGGCGCATCTACATGGATATGCTTTCTATGTATCGTGCAGTGAGCCAGATGGTGTCCGAGGGCATCGCAAGGGATGGACCTGTAGCTCCCAAGATGCCTCGTATTCGTGGACTCCGCACTGTCAAAAAGGAGATTCTCAAGTTGATCGAGATTTACGTCCAGAAAGCAGATGACCTTGAGATGGTGAACAATAACATCGTACCGCCGCTTCTGGATGCCGTTCTCGTTGACTACAACCGCAACGTACCGGATGCACGAGACGCGGAGGTTCTGAACGTTATGTCCACCATCATCAGCAAGCTTCAGCAGTTAATGGAGGACAAGATCCCAATCATCATGGAGAATGTCTTTGAGTGTACCCTAGAGATGATCAACAAAGATTTCTCCGAATATCCAGAACACCGAGTGGAGTTCTTCAAGCTGTTGCGGGCGATCAATCTGAGTTGTTTCCAGGCATTGCTCAAGCTGGACGGCCGGCAGTTCAAGTTCGTCATTGACGCTTGTCTTTGGGCGAGTAAGCATGACAATCGTGAGGTGGAATCGGCCGGTCTCAACATGTGTATCGAATTGATCAACAACATTGCTGAAACGGACGTGCAGACTGCGGGTAGCTTCTTCCAGCAGTTCTTCATTCCGATCCTGCAGGATATCTTCTTCGTCTTGACCGACGCCGACCACAAAGCGGGTAAGCTTCGCTCCAGTGATTGTGGGTATTTTGGGCACGGCTAACACACCTACCAGGCTTCAAGCTTCAGGCTTTGTTGCTTTCGCGCATGTTCTACTTTGTGGACTCGGGCAAGGTCCAGGCGCCGCTCTACACTGACCAGGTCCCCGCTGGAACGTCCAACTCGCAATTCCTGCGAGAGTACGTTGCCTCCCTGCTGATGAGCGCATTCTCGCACCTCCAGCCGTACGTATTCTCAGTGCTACTGGTTCCGGATAGATGCTAACCGGTTGACAGGAACCAAGTGAAGTCCTTTGTTGACGGGCTGTTTGCGCTGAACAACGACTTGGTCAAGTTCAAGCTGAATCTGCGTGACTTCCTGATCCAGCTCAAGGAGTTCTCCGCCGGAGACAACACTGAGTTGTTTGCTGAAGACAGAGAGATCGCTGCGGAAGAGGCACGCAGGGCTGAGAGGGAGAAGGCTGCGCGGGTTGGTGGTCTGATCAAGCCCAGTGAGATGGACGACGTGGAACTGTAGGGTGGGCTCAAGGAAGGGATGGCGATCGGTAATATTTCTTTTTTTGTATGATACAGTGAATTTACCGCGTATATCTGCATCGCAAATCGAAATTCAGAAGTCGTTCAAACACTACAGAATCCGTGATTTTTACGCTGCAAATACTACATTGTGACAGGTTTGTAAGGGATTATTTCCGCGTTCGATTGTGACATTACACGTTATTGTACAAGGGTCGCTCGGGTCATGAAGTCTCCGCCGCAACCGCCACGGGCATAGGCTTCTTGATGGCATCCTGTAGCTCAACCACACAGCCCTTCGGCCCACTCACCGCTCCTACACGCACGTCATGTTAGTCCGGCATACCTCCGCAGTCACACCGTGTTGCCGTGGTGGTAGAACGTACCGTTGACGATGACAATACCGAGCTCCGGCTCGACCTGGAGAACCTTCAAGTTCTGAACCGTATGCTGCTGACCACCCATACGTCCAGCCATACGCTTTCCCGGCAGTACACGGGAACCTCCTCCCTGCGACTGACCGGCCGAACCCATCGCTCTGTGGGTGAGCGAGTTACCATGCGACGCGGGCTGTCCACTCCATCCCCAACGTTTCATACCCTGCGCGCATCACCATCATCAGCACACTTATCCACCACCACCCCACACCCCGCCCACGCCACACGAAGAGGTAGACCTACACCCGCAAACCCTTTCCCCTTCGAATTCGCGCGGACATCCACAAACTGGCCTACAGTAAAATGATCTGCGGTAATGATAGTTCCGGGCTGCAGCAGGCCCTCCTTATCTCGTACCCTAAACTCGCGCAGCGTCTTTTTCGGGGAAACCTCGCAGGCCTCGAAGTGGCCCAGCATGGGCCGGGTGACGTTCTTGGGATTGCGCCAACCAAGACCCACCTGCACAGCCCAGTACCCGTGCGTATCCCGCTCCTTCACGGCGGTCACTTGTACTCGGTCGAGCTGCAGGACTGTGCATGGAATTCGCTCCCCCGTGGAAGTGTAGAGGGCGGTCATACCGGTCTTGTAGGCGAGTGCGCCGGTGCGCGCGGGGAGTTGCCGCCGGAGGAGTGCCGCTGCCCGTGAGGCTTCGAGAAGGACGGGGGAGCCGGAGGAGGAAATGCGCTTGGGGCGCAGGCCGAAGGGCGGGGCGGGTGTGGTCGTGAAGGGTTGTGTGCGCGCGACGGTGAAGGCGGGGAGGGGCGCACGGACAAGGGCCAGTGGCCGGAGCACGGCGGCGAGGAGGGGGTTCGACGGCGGCATTAGGTCGGTGGTGCTGCGGTCGTTGCGGCTACCTATGGGTGCTGAGGAGTGGAAGTTTTGGGATTAGATGGAAGGGGTAGGGTAACTGACGTGGTGGGGGGCGAGGGGTAGATGCGGCGCTACTGGTGGCAGCTGGGTGGTTACTCAGCTGGCGCTCTGGAGATCAAAGGGAACCACCTATTAGAGTATATAGATCGGGTTTCGCAATTGATAAAGTCTCATTCGTTCTATTGTGCTCCACCGGCCAGCTGTTCTAAAACTCGTCGAGTCACTCTCCACACAATAGGTTGGTTTGGCGATTCCACAGTTTAAAACTTCGGTGAGTCGTGGCCGACGACAACCGGCAATTCCATGCATTCCGCATTCCGCAATCCCACTATATATGCTTCAGCTACAGGAAGCAGGCAATCCGGGCATTGCTATATCCAGTATTCAAAAAGGATTGCAGAGTCGTGACTCCATCAATGTTATTAACTTCCATCGGTGGATTTATCGATAACCATGACCCTCCGTCTCTCGTCAAAAACAGGCCAAGAGAGAAGATTCAAGACATTCCTCGCGAACCAAAGATCCAAGATCGGTATGTACCATGTGGGATATGCAAAGCCGTTTAAAACAACGGGTGGGTACCGTGAGAACGAATACCTATATGAGTGATGGAATCACGCAGTATCACTCCGTCAACCAGGCTGGAATGGCTGGAATGGCTGGAATGGCTGGAATGGCTAGCCGAGCCCGAGCTGCTCGAGGCACGGCTGTGACGGCGGGATGGGAAACAGCCGACAGAGGTGTCAACTGTCAACTCGATGAGATGTGCAGAAATCCGAAAGGCACATATGCACATACTGGTACCTGAGTACCTACCTAGGTGACGTTCAAGCTTATGTGCATAACTACATACAAAAAATAAAGTCTTCCTGCATACTTTGTACATGCGCACCCCACAGTCTACAGATCTATGATCTATGAGTTTCAGCGATTAGTTATACGTCCTGCCCTTCCCCATTTCCGCGCGGATCCTGTCGATTCTCTGGAGTCTGGCGAAGGTTGTCGATCAGACAGTTTCCTAGCATAGGTAAATTATCACCGCCTCCTCACATTCCAGCTCGTACCCGGGAATCGGCTGTGGGTGGTTCGTTGATTTAGATACCGGTACTAGGAATGTAGAGGGGAGTAACCACAGCGAATCAGAGAGCTGTTGGACTGGTGGGAGTGGTGGGAGTGATGATGCATAGGGTACTTCAGCCTCACCGACCAACCGACCAACCAATCGATCCCCAGGTCGTCAGTTCCGGCGCTTCCAGAAGTTATGCACATACATGTGTACACACGTCAGGTGGTCATGGCCTGCATAAGTGCCTACAACACCTACAGTACATACAGTAGCAAAAAGTGGGTACGCTTCGCCCCGAGCTCGTCGGTATATCATATCGACGGAGGGTGGAATCACCGCGGGGCGGGCGGGACGGTCGGTTGACGTTCTGCGCGGCTGCATCTGGCATCTGGCATCTGCTTGGAAGTTGGCCGGCTGGTTGGTTGGTTATCCGTTAGAGTAAGTACTATACTCGTATCGAATTGACTTTTGCGCAATCCAGCGGTGGTTGGATCGAGTGATGGCTCCGGTCGGAGCGAAAGCGGTCCCCGGCGTTGGTCCTCGGCGTTAGAACTTGGAACCTTGAACTTGGAACCTGGAACTTGGAGGGGAGGAGAAGGGGCGGTGTTTATCCACAACTTTCAAGTCCGAAAGTCCGGTGTGAGCAGAAAGGACCGTGTCCATTCGAAGCTCACTCAGTGGGTCCGAAAGTTCGGTGTAAAGTAAACAATACTATACAAAGTCCGTTCGGAATTTGAATCCCATATGCAGTATTTGTCAAGTCCGAAAGCCGCAGTGCTGATGCGTTAGATATACTGATATACCTACGGCGTCTCGAGTAGGATTATGTGTATCGGAATCTAGAATATAGGTAGAACTATTGATCCCAAGCTGGGACTTTGACGACTGGGGCCGTAACATAATAATGGGATTCAGGTATTCCCATCCAATTCCTCGAGTGTGATCATGCGTAACGGAATCCAGAGTATAGGTACCGTAGAAGGAATGACCGGGGGCCACAACACAGAAATGGTAGGTACTGGTAACTATTCCCATCCAGCTCCTCGAGTTGCAATCACGCTCCCGAGTCCCGTCACCCAGCAAGTGTTGGCCCATATATCCGGCAGGTAACTACCAGTATAGAGTGGGTACTTGGTAGATAAACATGAATTCGACTGTGCTCCCACAGCATGGCTCGTTTATGCTCATACCTTCATAGATGAATAGATTGTATGTATGCGCCATGCTTGGAGTTCATCTCAAAAATCACATTGGCGCTGGGTGGGCCCGTATCACGCACAGCACATCACAGCCCAGCACAGCCCAGCGCACGCGTTTCAGACCACCTTCGCAGTGCACAGTGCGAGTACCCACCGACCGCGACGCAGGTGAAGGTGAAGGTGAAGGTGAAGGTTACCCAAGGCGATATCTATCTCTGGAGAGTTTACATAGATACCTTCGCAGTAGGTGGTTACTGCACCGGGCTCACGACATCAACGTCGCAATGGCGAGAATAGGTAGCAACAGAAGTGTTATTACTGCAGTGCTATTACCAGCAGTTACCGACCGACAAACATCGTGCACTTCTCGTTTCGCCGTTTCGCCGGTTCGCCGTTTCGTCGCGCGTGCCTCTGCCTGTGCGCCCTTTGCCACCTCTTCATCGAATCCAGCCTCCCCTTCCGCGTCACGATGATACACCCGCATGCTCCACCATTTCATATCTATCGAATCCCCCCCCCACCCGCACCCACATAAGAGACCTTTGACCGCAATTTCCGATGTGGTGGCCACCGAGCACCAGGGTCCCCGATCGAGGCTGGGGAGGGGTCCGCATAGATACTAGTAACAACCCCTGGACATTTCTCTCTTGCTTTCCCTCTCTCTCTGTTTTCGCCATCGACGGTTTGACCCTCTCTCTCTTTCCCTCCCTCCCTCGTCCTCCTTCATCTTTTGGGATTAAGGGGTAGCGCAGATGCGATTGGCTGAGCGCGCACCCGCCTATGCCCAGACGGGACAGGCGTTTAAACGCTCTCGGTGCAGCGTTGCACCTTCAGGCTTCAGGGCGTGGGTGAAGTGAGATGGCGGCGCAAGGATGCCTTCCCTTCTGTCAGATGTGGTACCTGGCATAAGGTAGGCAGAGCAGATGCTCGGGTGAAGTGCCTGCGTGGGCCAGGGCTATGGGAAGGACGGAGGGAGCGAGGAGGGAGGAGGGAGCGAGGATGGGATTGGGTGAAGGATGAGGGAAGGATGAGGGAAGGATTGAGGGAAGGATTGAGGGAGGGGGATGGGTGCTCGCATGTCTTCGCCGGCTGCTGTGGCTGGCTGGCTCGTTCGTGGTGGTGCACATATACACATACATGCCAAAGTAACCACCGGCCGACCGACTGACCCGATAGTACTGCCACTACCATCGTTTTGGCGATAGATCCAACTAACCCGCGAAGAGTAAACGCCTTCCTCGTCCTCCTCCTTTCCCCGTTTCCTATCCTTTCTGGTGTGGTTAGAGCGCATTTCACGCCCACTCTACTTCACTTCCATCCCACTCTCCCGCCCACCCACCCCCCTTCTTTCCTCCTCCCCCCCCTCCCCTCCCCTCCCCTCCCCTCCTCCTCCCCTTCCTCCTCCTCACTCCGTCCCGACCTCACCACTCCCGTGTCCGAAATCTCGTGGGCCCCATCTTCCGATCTATCTGTTGCTGCCCCCTCTCGGTCAGTTGAGATACATCAAGTCATTCTTTGAAACCCGCCCGTCAGACTTCGAACGCCAGGAGACCCGGTCTTCAGTCACTCTTTTACTGCTTGCTTGCTTGTTACATGCCCATATACATACTACCACCACCGCTACTACTACAATCACGATCTTTGCTTTGAGAAATAATACCTGCTGCGTTTTTGGCCTCGTCGACATTGGATAGCTCCAACACTACCTCCTACCCACACGACTCACGCCTCAACTAATACCAAACAACATCAACAACCACAACAACAATACCGACACGCCACAATAAACAACATCAACAACAGCAACAATTCCTACAATTCCAACATTGTGGCTTTGCGCCGAGCGACTCGCGAATCCCGAACCATTCACGCTTTCAACGCCATCGACCATCTCACGACATTCGACATCGAGGCCGTTCCGTAATCATTGCCAAATCTGTAGGTTCATTCCTCGGGACCTCCTGAATTCCCGATCACTCGTCTCCACCCCCCTCCCCCATCAGCCGAACTGGAGCGCTTCGAAGGTTGGCTTGGCTAAGCTCCTTGGCAATAGCTTGATCATACACCATGTCTCGGCACGTACGCGACATCAAATGGCATCACCATCGCATAGCGCGCAGAGGTCCTGTTGAGGACCCTACTCCCGTGTTGGAGAGCGTTGATGATATCTGGACGCAGAGCAATATACTGCATGCGCGTGCGGCTACGTCCACATGTAAAGCAGGGGATGATTCGCCGGAATGTGAACTGCCTGCTGGTGCTGCCAGCAAGCTTCCCCTGATATTGGGTGCAGCGTAAGTTGGAGTATGGAGAAAAAAATTTATGTTTTATCGTTGCTGACGGATGGTTTGCAGTGTTCCCATATTAGTGGCTGTGGTGGTCTTGTTGTTTCTGCATCGCCGACACATGCGAAAACTCAAGGAGGAGGAACAGACGGATAAGACCAAGAGCATGGACTTTGGCATGGGCAATTCTCATGCGAGAATGGCTTCGCTCAATGGAGGGGAGAAGATGGGCAGTCGCAGTCGTAAACAGATGTCGATGGACTTGGATACCGTAATCTCGCCCTACCTGATGCCGAACGGACTCAACGGTTCCCACGACACCCTGCATTCCATCTCCCGTACGGTTCACAGCGTCGAGGACCGTTACGGTCTTCCCTCCGAGACCACCCCGCGATCGCCCCGAACCGCAGCCCGCCAACGGGACTCGTCCATGTACACCCGCTCGACCAGACAGGATGACAGCCCGGACGGATCTCGGTCCGACATGGATTTTGGCCTTCTCAACGGTGCCCAAAAGATGCCGACTTCTTCTCCTCCTCGTGGTTCTTCCCTCGGTCGCTCGATTTCGCCCGTTCCTCAGATTGCATTCCCCCCACGCGCCAAATCTCCCGAATTCCGAGGCAATCCCCAGGAACGCCCTGGTCCTGGAGTTCCCTCGGCTCTCAAAGTCGGCAGTGCTGTCTCCTCCTCGGAACGCAGCGGATCACCATTCGCTGACCCCATCATCACCCCACCCACGGACAACAACAGGCCTAATTCCGACGCACCTAGCGAATATGGAGGAGAAGGAATTCAGTTCAGATTCTCCGACGCTTCAATCGACGAGCAAGTCAAGAAACAACCAGTGCAATCGAAGCCCCCTACTGATGCCCGCAAGAGTCTGGCTCCTGCTGCTATGGATGGACGCAGACTCTCTATGGGCTCTAGACCGTTGCCTCCGGATGCGAACCCCGAGGACACTGCTGAGGAGCGTGCCATGCGTATCAGGTCCTTCTACAAGGAATACTTTTCTGGCGACGAAATCACTGCTGATGCACCTCCCATGCCTGCACCCCCGGCCAGATATCAGGATGAATACCGCCAAGAGTTCAACTCCAACGGTTTTGATGACACTACCGTCTTTGATTCGGAGACGGGTCGTTTCATCGTGCCTGGGTCCAAGCCATTCGCCGAGCCAGTAACCCGCCGTGCCATGACTCCTCCTCCCCGTGCGCCGCCGCGCTTCATGGGTCCGGCCGCCGGTGGACCTGGATCTCGTTCTCGTGCTGGCTCAGCTGCTGGTGGACGCATGCCCCCACCAGGTCCTCGTAGTTTCTCCTCCGCCAGTGGGCATCCCGGACAACAGCAGCCAAGACGGCCGATGGCGCCCCCAAAGCCCCTCAACGTTATGCCCACACCATCGATGCTCAACGAAGATGCCTTCAACTCACCGCACATGTTTGCGCCCCCTGTGCGTGTCCCTCGCGAGGAGTCGGACTTCGACAGCGGTCGTGGAGGACTCCGCCCGTACTCGCCCGCATTCTCACCGCACGTGCCGCTCGCCTCGGCGTTCGAGGACCTGCCATCCATGCCCAGTCCCCACGCGCTCCGCAAGTCGACTGCCTTCACGGCGCTTGACTTTGCGCCGCCCAAGAAATTCAAGAATGAGGGTGAGATGAGTGATGCCGGCAGCATCCACAGCACTCGAAGTGGTGTCTCGCAACAGCACACAGACAACATTCGGAACGGTGCATACCGCGTCTCGCGTCTCCCGACGGACGTAGTACCATTGAAGGACGACATGACGGCGGGTCTCAGGCCGACATGGGATCTTGGATATGGAAAGAGCGGATAAAAGGAGGGTTCATTCAGATAGACAATAATATGGACAAGACGATAGCTGTATGAATGTATTTCCTTTCTACATAGTCGGTTGTCCATTTCTGCATATGTTTTTTTCGTTTCGTTTCTCACTTTTTTGCTCGGGTGTACTTAGTCGCGTTCCTGTTTCTGTCAATATCCACGATGTGTGTTTGTGTGTTTGTGAGTGTAAGTGTGTGTGTCTGTGTAAGTGTGTGTGTTTTGTACGTTTGGTTCTTAGAAATATTCACGGGGTTATTTTTCTTTTCTTTTCTTCTCATTTTCCTTTTCTTTTTTTCTCATTTTCCTTTCGAGTTTAATCATTTTGGGCGTACTATGTATGAAGCGGTTGGTCGGTTAGGCGGTGTGTTAAGTAGAGTAGGGTAAGTGAACAAATTAACTTTGTCCCTTTTCTTTTCTTTGCTTGCCTTTTCTTGCCTTGCCTGTGTTTTCTTGCCTGTGGTTTTTTTGTTGTTTGTTTTGCTTTTGTATTTGCGGAGGGCGAGGGGGAAGGAGGATATGTAAATGTCAGTAGGAAGTAGGAAGGGGAAGTGGGAAGTAGCATAGCATACATAAAGTAAAAATCAATATCGTAACGGTACAAAGAAGTAGGAAACGAAATGCATGAAGTTCTAGTTTTCTTCTCTTCTTTTTCTTTCTCGTTCTTGTCTGTCTTTTCGTTCGTTTCTTTTCCTTTTCTTTTCTCGTTCGTTTCTTCGTTTCTTGCTGCGTGCTGTTCCTGCGTGATGCACTGATTTGATGCACATGAGAGTGCTGCACTGATGCTGCCCCTGAGCCGGGTTGGTTTCGGTTTTGGAAGTGGGTTTGACAAGGTCCGTTAGTCTGTAGTTTCTAGTTAGCGGGCGGGAGAGGGAGGGGAGGGGTCCACGTGAGCATGGGCCGCAGTTACAAACATGGGGGACGGGGGGAGAGGAGGACTGATCTGGTGCGGTTTTCCGAAACGTGTGAAGGTGTGTATGTAGGGGAGTAGGAGAGAAAAAGGGAAAGGGAAAGAAGAGGGAAGGGAAGGCAAGGGAATGGAAGGGAAGGAAAGCGGACTCGGTAACAGTCAGTTAGGTACGGTCTGTCAGGTACGAACAGGTACGTCGTCAGGTATGGGGTCTGGTACATACGGTCAGGTACGCTGGTATGGTCAGGTACGCAGGTACGCCGCGCGCCGTTGCCACTGCTACTGCTACTGATGTGTACCCCGTGACGTCCAACTTGCCTCTGCACCGCGCGGCTTTCAGATTGCGAGGAAAGGAGTCAATGAGCTGAAAGGCTATGGCTGAAATTCGCGTGAGTCTGGAGGTCGCTGAACCACGTATTGTACAGAACACTCGATCACATGATTCGCGTGCCCATTCTGTTCTGTTCTGCTGCGATGCAGTTCTTTGCTGGTAACGAGAGATTCGCATCGATGCGTATCCTCCAGATTGTCGAAATGATTTCGGTTCAACGAGATGTTGGTGGGCCCTGGGGAGAGGGGAAGGGGATGAACGTCGGTGATGCGAAACGAGGGAGCACATGTAATACACTACCTAGCTGGCTGCTGGCTGCTGGAAGGCTGGAGGAAGGCTGGCTGGAGGATGTGATGCCGCCGGGAGTAGTTGTGCTGCGTTGATAGACGGAGAAACATCACTCCCGGCCGAGCTCTTTCCACCATGCTCCCCCACCCCACAGCACTCGCCACAGAATATGCCGTTTTGTCCAATGGCAATGTCAATGGAACCACCGTGCTGGCGGACGTTATCTTCGAGACATATATGCCGTGTCGGTGCGGCAGCTTGTGCATATATACCCCACATGTCCGCACCTTCCGGTGAGGGAGTGTTGGCCACGAGGAGCTGGTACATTCAAATATCTCCTCGGGCGAGGAAGTGGTAGCTATTGGGGGATTGCGACATTGGGGAATTGTATGTACTGGTAACTTGTGGAGGCTGCGCGAGAAGGTATCACCGTACCACCTGCGGCAATGAAACATTGCTATGGCTTATATACTGGCGTCCAGTGCCTTCCATCAATTGATTGGAGCTCCGCAGTCGCAGTTGTCGGTATGTAGGTACTCCATCGACGATTCTCCTCGGGTGTGCGGTGAGTCCGATACCTAGAGAACATACATGTCCCCCGCGTGCCTGCCAACTGGAGACTGCAATGCTCCAGTGCTTCTCACCATGTAGATTCTTCGAGGAGGAAGATCGTCCCGAGGTGTTGGACCACACCGAGATAAAACTCGGCGGGTCGTCCTATGTAGCCTAGGAACGAGCAATACCTACTACTATACATAGCGACTACCGCCGAGAGTCCAAGATTGAACCACCAACCGACAGACCGAAAGCCGCCTCTCAAGCCCCAAGTCCCGAGCAGAGTTCGCTGTTGCGGCACGTTTTCGGGTCGGCAGATGTAGGTATCGACTGGCTTGCTGCTTGAGTTCCAAGGATACCACCAGAGGTACGGTCGTTGTATGCCATACATACATAGCTGGACGTTCCTTCTGGCGCCCCAGTGCCCCGATTCCCGGTATGTATGTTTGTAGATACCTTGGCCTGGTCGCTTGCTGGCAGCTGGCTTGCCTACCCCTCGCGCGTTTCCCTCCCTCCTGATTAGAGACAATATCTCATCCCGCCGAGCCAGCAGATGGCGATCCTCTCAGCCATGGCACGGGAGATCTTCTGCAACAGATCGGGCAATTGGATAGCAGTGTCGATGGTGTTTTGTGATCGTCTGGACTCTGGACGCGGGAGCTCGTCCATCTGATAGGTACGCAGCTTTCGCTATCGATGATTTGGGGTCCGCGATTTGAAGCTTGATGCCAACGGCTGGAGACTAGGTAGGTAGAGGACAGTGCAGTGTTCGTCAACAGCCCGGTTGACCATGTAGGGGGTATCACAATGGATTTCTCCGGTGGGCTCAAGGTACTCTAGAGCACCGGATCCTCTGCCAAATACTGAGTTAACAGTTAGTTAACTGGTATTCGTTGGTTTTGGGTTACCTATATCCTCCGGTAGAAACCGTGCCCCGCACTTTATCACTTACCTACCGGTCGGTACTCTACATGCCTGTGCCCTTCTGGTCTGGGTTTCCTTTTGGTTGCGATCTTGTTTCCTTTTTCTCCTCCTCTTATGTAAAGTATGCATAGCTGAATCGATTTCGTCAGTGTCGATTCGTTGTTGACAGTTGTGGGTTGGGCTTGAACTCCCGTTGTTTGCTTTTGCGATGTGTCGATCCTGTGGTATGTGTGTACGCACGTACGAGCGAGGCATGTATGATGAAGACGAGAACGCAATGCAGATGCAGCCGTGACTCGTGAGGCTGAAGAACGGCGCTGTCAGACCAGCGCGCAGTGTTCTCCTCCGACTCGAGTCCATATGTACCGGTAAATCTCCTCCCAGAGCCAACGGCCCAACAGTGTAGCCGTCACACAACTCCCACTCGACAATTCTCCTCACATAGAGCACCTAGAGTAGTATGTGGAGCCAACAATGTAGCCGTCACACAATTCCAGTCTCCAGCTCGAGTCGATAATCCTCCTCCTGTATGCAGGCTGTACTTACCTAGTAGAGCCAGCAATGTAGCCGTCAGTGGTCACGCAACTCCATACCCGTCCGGTCGCACCGACTATGCGCGACTCGAAAGGCGACTGCGGTCATCTTTGAAGGCTTCCTATATGTAGGTGCCAATCAGTCATCGTGAAGTCTACCGACAGAACGTGTGCTGAATAAGAGCCAGTTACTCTGCATACCGTTCAGTGGTGGCCTTTGGGCTTCAGGCTTCAGCCATTACTTGGTTACATAGCACAACCACCCCATCTTGACGGTTCGTCATGTAACTACCGTATATACAAACTCGCATATGCACCGATTGAGAGATTCCAACATTTTGAGCGGTCGGTCAGTCGGTTCTCCTCACTGCTCAGCAGAGCCCCTCCGCACCAACCACCGTACCTACCGTACTCCAATCCTCATCAGGCTCTCAAAAAGACCACTCTCTGTAAAAAAATTCGGACAGTAGGCCAAGGATCCACAACAGGCAAGTTCAGCTCCTCCAGCTCACCCCGACCACAGCGCGTCGATGTTTCCGGCTCTGATGTCTGTGATGCCATGCCTACATACGAAAAATAGAAAAACCGAAATAATGAAACACCGGAAATAGATGGTGCCCACTGCCGGACCCTGCGCAGCTGCATCCTGCGCTTGCCATAAATAGAGCGGCGGCGACTCGCGAGTGATGGCGTGTGCGCCAGATGCGTGCGTAATCTCTCGTGAGCGAGTGTGGGGGCCGAGCTCTGCCTGCGACTCACGGGTGCGCTTGTGCGTGATGCGGCAGACCGGATGGGACGGGCTGGCTGGCTGGCACGCTGGCTGCGAGGACGTCCGTGGAGAGGGGGGGAGGACGGGGACGGGGAGAGGAATTGAATTTTGAATTGACCGTGACGGGGTGGGCGGTTTGCAAATGAACGAGCGTGGGATGGCATGGCATGGCATGGCAAACTGCATGGGAACATGGGAATTTCGGAGGGGGGCAGCCGCCGCCGCCGTACAGTACTCACGCTTCCTTCCTCGCTTGCTTGCTGCTCTCTTTCGCTCTCGTCGCTTTCGCCCGTTGCTATCGTTAAGCCTGTCTCGTTTTGCTCGTCAGGACAGTAGCTTCGCTCGGCGGGCATGGTGCTGTATTTATTTTATTTTATTTTGCCTATTCGTTCCGAGCGCTTTTGATGCCTTCGCCTCGCCTTCCACCGATATCGTGAGCAGTACGTGAGGGAGCGAGGGAGAGTGGGAGGGAGAGTGGGAGAGTGGGAGGGCGAGAGTGGGAACACGCACTTCTATCCGAAGGCTTCCGCTGCCCCGTTTCGATACGAACGAATCGATGGTTAGCCACAGCGGACAAGAGTGAGTAACTCATGTAGAGTATGTACGGTACTCCCAAACGACGACGAAAACACCACGCGACGTGTCGGTGGTGAGGTCAGGCTGAAGAAAACAAGCAAAGCCCGAGCAGCAGTAACAGCAGCAGCACAGCATGATCGTCGGGGAAGGCTCCAGGGTACATAGACTGGAATGAGTGTCTGAAACCAAACCCGAACTGCCTCCTCCTTCTATTCTTCTTCTCTCCCTCTTCCTATGTAATTCTCACGTCCTACTACATCCTACCACACAATACGGTAATCCGTCATCTACCGTATTTCCTCCTCGCTGACCACTGCCACAATCACCACCACCACCACCCCTTACCACTACTTGCCACACAAAACTCCCCTTCCTTCAAACACCCCCCCAATCCCCCCACCCCCCAGTAGAGCACACCCCGTACCCTTATCCAACCACCATCTGCCTGCTCGTTAAATGCCCCTACACCCCCCAACGCCCGAATATCCAAACTCCTTGGGCCTCCTATACTAGGTAAAATTTACAAATCCCAGAAGACTGCGCATCTTTGCGTCAGGTCTCTCCTGTCCATCCAGAGCAGTTTCTTGCTCCTCACACTCATTCATTCTTTCTTTCCATTCATACCCCCCCATTCCCCTTCTTCTCGACCGCCCTGCCCTGCCCTCGCTCGCTCGCTCGCTCGATCCGAGCGCATGTTAAAAAACTGCAAAAATGTCCGCCGTACCCAATCCTTCCCGTAAGTAACCTGTTCGCTCCTCTGCCCACATAACCTCATTCCCCCCCCTCCCGACCCCCCTCCCGACCCTACCCCAAGTTTGATCGACGGCCACCATATATACGGCACCAGGCTATCGAAAATGACCCGTACTGAACTGATTTCGTCCCTCAGTCCCCGCCGACACGGCCAACCCGGTCGTGTCCGTTCCAGCAACCACCGATGTCCCGACGACCGTAGCTCCTCCGGCAACAACTGAGGCAGCCACGACCGCCCCTCCTACTACGGAAGCCACCACGGCACCGACCACCGAGCCTACTACGGCCCCGACGACGGAACCCACGACGGCCCCGACGACGGCTCCCACTACCACCCCGCCCGCCGCCGAAACTCCTGTTACTACACCACCGGTCGATGCTACCACCCAGCCGACGACGGCTCCAACGGTTCCCACGACGGCTCCGGTGGGTCAGGACACGATCGTGATCACTACCTCGGCCGATGGTTCGACAATCTTTCTGACATCGACGTCGATCGCGACGCCGACAACCGACGTGGCTGCGGCACCGGGGACCGCGACGCCTGTGGCATCCTCGAGCACTTCAACGGGTGCCGATGCGTCTAGCGCACCTAGTACCGGCGGCGGTGGATCGAGTGGTGGATTGACAGGCACGACCAAGATTGTGGTTGCTGTCGTGGTACCGATCATCGGTGTCGCGCTGATCGCGATCGTCCTGCTGTTCCTGTGGAAGAAGCGCCGAAGGGATAAGGAGAACTCGGAGATGCGGAGGAAGGAGGTCGAGGATTATGGATACAACCCTAATTCTGCTCCGGCCGCCGCAGTGGGTGGCACGAGCAGCAATGGCGACGAATTGCCGTACGAGATGGCCGAGAATACGGTCGGATACCGTGGGTGGGGCTCGACCAGGAAGGCTTCGAACATGGGTTCTTCGATGCCGTCAAGTGTTGGAACCGCTCAGCCCATGTCGCCCGCGTTCCCCGAGGGCGTGCACCACCAGGACAACTACAATGGATTCCCAACATCTCCCACGGCCTCGAACTATCCTGTTGGCACGGCGCCCAGCGATGGCGGAATGTCGAATGCGCCCCTGATCACCACACCGCCCGGTTATCGCCCGGAGTCAACCGACTCGAGCGTGGTCGCCGCGATGACGGGACCGCAAACAGCGAACAACCCAGGAATCCGCCGTGGAATCTCGAACGCCTCCTCCAACTACTCTGTGCAATCCGTCTCCGACCAATCCGACGTCGGAATGCCTCCTGGCCCATACGATTCGCACTACTACGGTGCCGATGGAGCCTACGAGGATCCGCACAATTATTCCGCGCGATTCGATAACGGCCAGGACTACACGCAGTATCCCCCGGTCATCAGGGAGGTGCAGGCTAGACGGAACACGCAGATAGAGACTCCCACCAACACGCACTTCCCGCAGCAGGGAAACAGTGGAATCGCGCAAAATTTCTAGTTCGGTTCAGGACGACCCCCCTAAAAGCGAAGTGGACGAAAGCGAGAGGATTCGCATGATTTGTATATGGAAGATTCTACGGACGGACGGACACGGGGTTTGTTTTGGGAGAGAGGGATGGGGATCGATTGGGGATCGATTCGGGGCCGGTATGATATCAGGTGTTTTTTCGTTTTTTGTTTCTTTATATCTTTGGGTTTTGTTGTCAGTTGATTATTATTTTTTCCCCCCTCCCCCTGCCATCATTTGTTTTCATTTTCATTTTTTTTTTCTCCGTCGAGTTTTTTCAACACAATACCCTCATAATCCAGTCGTTGTTAGTAGAAAACTCCCTTTTTTTGTGTGTGTGTTTTGCTTTGATACCTTCCTTCCACGGTTGTTTCTTTTCGTCTCTTTTTCTTTTCTCTTTTCTTTTCTTTTTCTTCTTTTTTTGTCACCCTATCTTGTCTGGCTCTTACATCGCGCGCGTGTGGTGGTGTGGTGGTGGAGTTTCAGTTCCGTTCTCTCTAACTAGCTCCGGGTCTTGATACTTGTGTCAAGTTGATATCTGGGAAATTTTTCGGTCGTTTCGTCTCGTCTGGGGCGGTGGGGTTTGTGGGTTTGTGGGTTGATTTGATTGTTCTTGTGGGTCCGTGCTATGGAAGACGGATGGGCGGGGGTTAAGAAGGGGAGGGAAGGGGGAGGGGAGGGGAGGTGAGAGCTTATGAGGCGTGAATTGGAGCTGTATGTACTTCGCGTAATGGAAAATCACCACCGAAAAAGAGAGAAAAAAGATGGGGAATAGAATGAAGTACTCGGCCGTTTTCATGAGAGAGAGGGAGCACTGCTTGTTGCATACGGTCTGTCTGAAGTCTGGACTATGGTTTTGGCCTCAGTCCGAGTGTCAAGACTCAACGGCGCGAGTGACATTCCATGTGTCAATCCACAGCAGCCCTGTCGCTTATCTGCCGAGCACGAGCAGATCGTTCCACACATATCTAGGCGCACAAAAAAACGAGCACTCTGTCTGGGCCGGTTGTATGGCCGGTTGTATGGCCGCGCCCGCACGTCTTTCTTTGCTCTCTCTCACCAGTGCCCACACAGCCAACCAGCAACCAGCACCATCCCTACCTCACCGTTGGTAGTTACCCACACACGTGCGGCCATGATTGGTTATTGCATGAACTGTGTACAATAGAGTATCTACCACCACCACCACCACCACTGTCAGCAGCAGCCCACCAGCAGCGGCAGTACGACGACGACCACCAGAAGCAGCAGAACCACCACCGCCGCCGAAAGCACAAAGAGCACCCACCGGCCTGGATATCGCCACATACATACATAGATTGAAGCGGAGACCAGTAGCGTGTACGGATGAACAATAGTCTCAATAGTCTCCACCCATCCACCCAGCCATCATCCACCCATCGGACCCCGCAGCTGCCCCACCTGTTGCCTCCCTCCCTCCATACGTATACCACCACCACCGACGGACCTACAGAGAGAGAGAGAGAGTCGTAGCAGAAGAGAGACCGACCCATTTCTTGGCCGCCGTCGCTTCTTCCCTTGCATTCACATCCACCCATCTCCGCCCGGCCATTCCGTCGGCCCCTCGCACTTCGCCCTTCGCACACACACAACCACACACACACGCCCGCACGCGGCACTGTCCACAGTGACCCCCGGCGCGCCCACCACGACCACTACCGATGTACGTCTTCCGCCGCCTCCTGCTTCCCCATCCTCCTCCCCCTCCTACCCCCCCAAACCTCCCAGAAACTCACGCTCCCCCAGGAAGTTCGGCAAAACAATCGCCAAGCGGCAGCTGGATGTGCCCGACTATGCGGCGAGCTTCGTCAACTACAAGGGGCTCAAGAAGCTGATCAAGTCCCTGGCGACGAACGGCGCGGGCGCGGCCGCTGGCGCGACGAATAAGGCTACGTTTTTTTTCAGATTGGTTGGTTCCCTGGCGCGTGGTGGTGGGGGAAGGGGAAGGGGAAGGGTGGGGGAAGGGGAGGGATAAGGAAAGAGGGCTGATGTGTTATCGGGTTGCGTCTATAGGAGAGGGAGCTGGAGAAGGTCAATGCCTTTTACTTGCAGAAGGAAGCGGAGGTAGGTGATATTGCTTGGTGATGGGGTGGACGGGGAAGTGGGGGGGGGGGGGGGGGGGGGGGGGGGAGGGGGAGGGCTGGGCTGGGCTGGGCTAACACCAGCAGCTGAAACTCCGGCTCAAAACGCTTGTCGACAAGAAGAAGCTGATACAGTCACGCGGGGGGAACAATTCGAAGGTGTCGACGAGCTCGAAGGTGTCGACGACGTACATCACGCTGCGCGAGGGCTTCCAGCAGTTCGAGCACGACCTGAGCAAGCTCCAGCAGTTCGTCGAGATCAATGCGACCGCGTTCTCAAAGATTCTGAAAAAGGTGTGGTGCTGCTGCGCTGGTGCCTGCTGGCTGGTGCCGGGTGTTAGTTATAATAGTTGCCTGACTGACGGGAAGAGTAGTGGGATAAATCTTCGAAGGTACGCGCGCACATGATGGGGTGGAAGAGCTGGTGGTGGTGGCGGAGGGAGGGGACGCAAGCTCACAGATATTCACCGAGGTGTAGTCGAGGACAAAGGAGTTGTATATCTCCCGGGCGGTCGAGGTCCAGCCGTGTTTTAACCGCGAGGTGATCTCGGAGCTGTCGGATCAGGCCACGACGAGTCTCTTGGAACTCGAGGCGTGGGCGGAGGGCATCAACATTGAGTTTACGCAGAAGGTCACCGAGACCAATCGCCGCGATCCGCAGGAGGAGGAGAGTGCGGCGGACGATGAGATTCGCGGCGCGGTTCTCTCGGAGAACATGGTGGTGCTCAAGGAGTGGGTCAGCAGGTTGAAGCAGCAGACGGAGGCGTCGGAGAAGGCGTCGGAGAAGGTGACGGCCATCTTCCTGGCCCTGATAGGGGATGCCTCGGAGACGAGTCTGAACGTGCTGATCGACTCCGGCTTCATCAATTTCCATGCCGAGGACGAGATCAACGAGAGGAATTGTCTCCACGAGGCGGCCATCGCGGGGAAGCTGTGCGTGCTGAAGGTCGGCGTGGATAACGGCGTGGATGTGGGACGGCCGGATGTCTACGGCAGGATTCCGCTCCACTATGCGGCGATGCGCGGAAGGGTCGAGATGATCCAGCTACTGCTCTCGGTCAAGCCGACAACGGTCGATGTGATGGATCACGACAACTTCACATCCCTCATACATGCCATCTCACACAACCAGGAGGAGTGCGTGCGCCAGCTGATCTTGTCGAATGCGCGGATAGACCCCCGGCACGAACAGGACTTTATCCCGTTGAACCTCGCCTGCCAGTACGGGTTCGAGGAGATAACGAGTATCCTCCTCGAGAACGGCGCATCTCTCTTGCCCGATGCCGAGGGACTGTTCCCACAGCATCTGATCGCCCGCTCCGGCCGCTCGATACAGCTTCTTCTGATGCTGCAGAAGTACGGCGGGAATCTCAACGAGCACGACAAACTGTTCCAATGGACACCCATCTTCCACGCCGCCAGCGAAGGCCACCTGAACTGTCTGCAGACGTTGCTGGATTGCGGCGCGCATCCGGATGTTTTGGATGAGAAAGGGCTGTCCGCGATGTATTACGCCGCGTGGGAAGGACATCTGGATTGCATGCATGTGCTCTCGAGCGCGGGACGGGGTCTTGGTGTAGTGGGTGTAGTTGGGCCGGCAGCACCACTGTCTAGGCCATCGCCGCTCTCTGTGACTTCTACGCCGGCGGGATTGATGGCGCTGGATCCGGATGGAATCCCAGACCTGTCATTGCCGCCGCCGATCCTACCGCTGCGTCGGTACGGCCACAACTTCCTGGAGAACAAGACGCTGGTGCAGCTCTCGTTCGAGGAGATGGGTGCGGAAGCGGTGCACTTCGAACAGGATGGTAAATACCCGGCGGCGCGACTCACAATATCCTCCAAGTCGTCGGATCTGATCCCGCGTAACCTTCTGCTCCCGCTCAACGAGGATTCGCGGTTCATCTCGTTCCAGATCGACACGTTGGATGCGTTCGCGATCGATTTCGACATCTTCCCCACTTTCGGTTCCAAAGTGCTCGCGCGCACTATCGCCCTGGCAGATACATTCCGCAATAAGAACTCCGGCCAGTGTGTTCTCCCGCTCTTCGATACGAGGCTCCGCGCTATCGGCCGGATCTCGTTCGAATACCGGATTATCAAGCCATTCCAAGGGACGCCGCTCGAGATCACGCATTTCGCCACGTACTGGAAAGCAACCAGCCAGTTCGACCAGCACTCGAGCGCGCTGATCACCGGTTCCTCACTCGCGGGAGAGTACCTCCGACTGCACGTCCAACTGACCAGCGACTCGGTGCCAGTGCTGTACCCGCACACCTCGATATCCATCAACGGGCTGGACGTTCCCGTGCGGCACATATCGTACGCGCAGTTCCAGGCGCAAACCAAATCCCACCAAGACCCGGAGGCCATCTGGTCCGCGCTGTCGACGACCACCACACTAGCGGAAGCCTATAATCTCCTGGCGAAATCGTTCCTGTCGCTCTCTGGCGCACTCGACCGACTGCTGCCAAGTGTCCATATCGACCTCAATATCATCCGCCCTGCATCTGAGAGCCAGAGCCAGAATGTTAACCACTTTGTGGATGCGATATTAAACACCGTTTTCGATCATGCAAGGAAGCTGAAGCAGACCTCGCCCGATCTGACGAGAAGCATCGTCTTCTCCAGCAGTGATATGAACGTTTGTACTGCGCTGAATTGGAAACAACCGAATTGTGAGTACTCCGATGGGGATGGGGGATTAGAGAGGAGGACGGAAGGGTGGGTGGCTGATTGTTGAAACAGATCCGGTGCTGTTTTCGAACGATACTGCAAAGCGTGTGCTGGACATCTTTGATCCCTCGGTCGACGGCGTAAGCAGTAGTTGCTCGGTCAAGGATGCCGTACGATTCGCGAGCGGGAATAATCTTATGGGGTTGATATGTCCCTCCAGCCTACTGGTATTTCCTCCTACTTTTCCGTTTTGACACACAACACTGACAATTGGACGTATTAGGACATGGTGCCGGCACTCGCACAAAGCATCAAAGCCTCCGGCCTCGTCCTGGTAGCGCAGGAGAGCGAGGGCGGGAGCTCGACGCTACTGAATACGGGCGTTGATGGAGTCCTCACGAAGGATGGCGTGCTAAAGTTCGAGGAGACGATTGATATGTGATGTTTTTTTAGTTTTTTTTCTTTCTCTTTTTTGTGTCGTCTGTTTCTTTTTTCTTCTTTTACTGTACTTGTGATCCATTCGCACGAAAAGAACGCTTTTTTTGTTTCTTGCTGTAGATAATTTACAAGACCCCCCCTCAATTCCCGCTCCCCTCATACCTACGTCTATTATACACCCATCCCGTGCTGTGCTGTGCTGTGATTATCGGGTGGTGGTCGTCGTCTAGTCGTCTAATCGGATTTGGGAAGAACCGGCGCATCCTCGAGCAGGATGAGTTTCCGTCCGTCCTGCATGGTGAGATACCACTCCTCAGTCGCAAACTATTTTGCCCATTAAATTAGCCTTCGTCCCCCCTCCCTCCCCTCGTCCGCTGGATAAACTCACCACGCCCCTCCGCCCCTTCCTAGTGCTCCTAAACCTCACCACCCCCTCCACGCCCTTCCTGCCCTTGACGGAGTACTGAATATCGATAACACCATGCAGCTGATCGATCCCGCCCCACACGATCGGGAAAGCAGAGGCGAACGCGATCTCGTCGCCCAGCTCCGCCCGCGCCCGCGGGTGCACCCGGAGACTGTACAGTGTGCTGGCTACGACGGAGGAGGACAGCTTTTGGTAGTTGAAGATTCCCCATGCGCTGCCCGCGACGGCGACGATGAATATGGGGATCGTGCTCAGGCGGAGGAGGCGCGAGCGGGCTATGTCTACGGCGGGGGTTAGCGATTGTGGGCGGGAGGGGGGGTGGGGGCGGGGGGAGGGGGAGCGGGCGAAGGGGACGGGGGAAAGAAGGCGGGAATACCGGGAAGTGCCCGGTTTGCGACCCGCGAGGTCAACGGGTTCCCGCCGGTGCGGGGGTGCACCGGCGTGTTGCGGGGGATTGAGAGTGTTGCGTTGGTCCGGCGCGGGGCGGACGCGGGGGCGCGCACGGCGGCAGTAAAGGTGGGGAGGCGGAGGCGGGGGGGCATTATCGTCTTTGTCGTCGTTGTGGTTGGGTGTTGGGTGGTGGTCGTGGGCGGGATGGGGGTCGTGGTGTTGATAGAGGTGAAGTATTGAGGTGTGGTGTTGAGGTGAGGTGTGGTGTGGTGTGACGTAGAGGGGTTACAATGTTGCAACGTTATGTGCATAGAGCGGTGGTCCGTGTAACCACCTACCTAGCCACCTGGTGGGGTGGTAACTGGTGGGCTTTCCCGACGAGCTATCTATGACTGATATGCATAGACGCTCGTGCAGCTCTATTTACATAAAGTACCTATTGGGCTGCGGAGAACGAGAGCACTTCAGGTACGGGGTTTGTTTCAACGACAGTTGTTGCGGCTACGGAATGCCAGGCGGCGGAAATGGAACTGAGAGGTCGTTTGGGGGCTCTACCTCGCTTTCTCGTCGATGTTTGAGGTTGCGGGAGCGCCGGTGGGCGGTGGGCACTGGGGGGTAACTAAAAGGCGGTGAATAGACACGGGAAATCATAGATTGTCACCCATTTGTTGGACGTATGGTGGTTGTGGCAGTGCTTTGCTCTACTCTAGACAGCTAACCGTAGTCCAAGGGGGATGTGAATATCATAGTGCTATGTACCATTCTTTGGCCGTGCCATAGCATCAACACGATCACAATACGAGGTATGTATCTTGATGCCGTGATCCAATACTACAAAAAGGCTTCAGTCCACCGGAGCGCCGGTGGGTGTCACGCCGGAGATTCCATAGACAATCAACCCATTCTGCCTCACTCCAACCTGCTCATCTACAAAAACCCAATGTTCATCCAAAAGGCTACATTCTACCGGCATTTCGCAAGCAACTGCTCACCGCCCCGCTCGCCACAGTACCGTACTACCCTCAATTGAAGGGATCCGTCCAGCGGGAAACTGTTTCTAACCCCCGCTTAACTACCCACGTTGTTGGTCTGGTGCCGCGGACCGTTTGATTCCACGTCGTATGTAGAGCAGAGAATAATGGCCGTCTCGGACTTTGCATTGATGATCGATGTCTTGTCAAGTTGTCAACAACCGAAGGTTCCCCGCATGGGCATTGGAATGACATAAGTACCTTACCACCATCCAGCACCGTGATGATTGATCCCCCCACTGGGCGGACTGGCGAATTGGCAGTCATCACCAGCTACTTCGGATTAATAGGTATACATCCACCAACCTTCCGGTTCCTGAGTCCTCCGCCCCACTGAGGATCCCGGGTAAACACGATAGGTAGTCAACTAGGCGGGAATTATGGTTTGTATTCGAGAGCGTCGATCTCAAAGTACCTAACCGTCATGATGGGCGGAGACCGCTTTCCTCCGCAGTCTCCTGGAAAGCTGGAAATCTCCCAGACTCGCATGTTGCATGCAAGGCCGAATCCCCCCCCGAAGGCTGGCGGAAAGCAGGCGATGGTCCATCAGCTGCTAATAGATTATAGGACCCACGTGAAAGCCTCCGCCTAGGATTGGCCGGCCCGTGAAGAAGCTACCTACTTCTGGAGAACTACTATCCAGCATGCTGCTGCTGCCGAGGCTGAGACGGTAGAGTCGTAGGTATGTGTGCTGGTGGGGATGTAATCTGGATGACCGCCACGGGCCATGGTTGTCGTGAGGATGCGAGCTTCAGCTTTTGTGAAAGGGTATGAGGTATGTAAGAGCGTGGACTGCGGCTTATATCTGGATTGTACGGTACTTGGGTATGAGGTATGATATGTGCTTACTCACGCAGCATACACCTAAACCCGTCGGGCAAACATACGCCACAACGGGCCATCTACGGGATGTAGGTATCAGACATAAAAGCCGTTTGCTAATTCCTGTTCGGCTCTCCAATTATTATTGGTGAGATTGCCGTTCTCTCATACAAATTATTACCCAGTCAGCACATACTTACATACGGTAAGGTCATCAGGCTTAGTGAGGTACTTATTTGTCATGAATTTTTGCTGACGGCTACCTACTATGGCAAAAAACGGGTAGAAATTGACATCGAATTGACACCATGTCTGAAATGTATTTGGGTGATGAGCTATTGAACGCCAAATACACAGACAGAAGGAATGAGGAAACGCACGGTGGTGGGTTGGGATTATCCAATTGCCTCAAAATCGGTATTTATGATGATTGTGGCGTCAGAATCATGCACCAAGTAGCCACAGGAAGCCCTACAAGATGAAAGTATGTTGAAGGTATGTACTATGGCGGATGGACCATACACTTTCCATACCGGTGGCTGACGTTGTTGGGGCTGGTGAACGTGCCACATTTATACCTGGTTCGATGTCCCTTCAACTGCCTTCTTTGAGGATTCGAAATGTGTAGAGCAAAAGGGCCGGGGTCGTTTGCTGGGCTTGTTCAGCAGAGCATGTAGAGCAAATGGCGGGTCAGCACTTGACCTATCTCAGCAAGTACACACCGTACCGTAGATGCTAGATCTGTGAGTGAGGATCCATGAGCTTGTTTGTCTTGGCCCACTCCACAGCTTCACCAGAACGGATCTCCAAGCAGAAACACTTGGCGCTCCAAGGTGCGCTTGCTCCAGCGAAAGGAGAGTTCGGACATTTTCCATTCCGACTCCAGGATACGAAGCGTTTCCAAGCCTCGGCCGGCGATCAGCGTATCCGAAGTCGTCATTGTCGTTACCTGCACTGAGGCCTTTCCATGATACACGCAGACGCTTGCTTTGTATCCAAGGGGACTCCAGCCATAGGTCGGTAAGGACCGCTACCGATTTGGCCGCGTATCCGGCACTGGCGACATCCGCTGCTGGGCCGAGAGTGGGAATGCTTATGGGAGGCAGTGCCACGGCACTTAGCCGGCACGTCCGGTCCATTCTGTGGCCGGAGATGAGAAAGAAAGAAAGTAAGTGTTACGTATAGCCTTCCTCAGCCACTTTCGCCCTTTAGGTTGAAGTTGCCAGTGATTCTTCGAGGCATGTAGAATACTCTGGGTACTTGTAACCTGCTCACGCCGACATTCCTCCGAATTTCCGCTTCAGCTGGACCACTGCATGATGGTTTCGTTCGGCTGCTTCGAATCCCCAGGCCTCCAACGGCAACGTGATCGAGGGCTGAAACGCATGACACTGGGCAGCGGGAATGGTGTTTGAAAGTAGCCACGCAAGAGGGCTCGACTGCGGACTGTACTCGTACGTAACCAACTAGCCGTAGAGTAGGCTCCGTCAGCTACCTGGTTCCAGACAGATCGTGCCGGGGATAGTTACGATGCTACTTATTCCATAGCAAAGAGCCTCTTCCTCCACCACGTACCACATGCAGCCGCTCTTTGTCTCTCCTTTCTTCCCCGCGACGACCCGCTGAGAGGCTGAGACCACTCTTGGGGTCCCCCACCTCCACGTGACACGGTTGGCTAAGCCTCATGAACCGCTGACAAACACATTAACCCCGTACAAACAAGCCACATCTGTGCTCAGTCTGTGATGAAGGGCTTTCAGTCCTGTTTCCCGTTCACCTCCCACATAAACACTGCGGTGCCGTAACCCGTCCCCACCGTGTAGCTCTGCCACTCCTCCCGCACCTCGTCTTGATATATACTGCGCTCAGCATATACCGGCTCGTGTATGGACGCAGTAAGTGCATCTACCCAGGGCTTCTTCTACTGAACAGTGTCCACTGTCGCCTTCCACTTGACGCCGCCCCCTGTTCGTCCGCGACTCAAGCAGCATCCCCCAAACGCCGGGACCCCTCAGCAACAAGGTGGCGGTTCACCCTCCACCACCTCCACCTCTCCACAGCATAGAATAGAGAACAATCCTTATTTGCACCGCTCACGTCAACCACCCCCAACCTGTAAAGTACGCAGCGACGACATACTCTACAACACCTCCGCGGCTGAAACTCCTTCGAACACCGTCGCCCAACCTCCTCCCCGTGCAATACACAGATCGGACGGCGAACAGTCCGCTCTTCTCTGCCGCTTCGCTTCCTTCTTTCCCCCATCCCCCATAGAAGGCCACTTACCTACTCCTCCCCCGGTCGATTCCGAGCTTGCTGCTGCTGCGGCGAAACCACTCTTAGCACTGCCACTCCTGACGTACGCTGAGAGTCCATCCGCTCTGACACACGCAGCTCCTCGCACCCACCTCCCTCCAACCACTACCACCGTAACGCATACCCCCCCCATCCCCCTCTCCCACCCTAGCTGCTGTGCTGCTGTAGAGCAGTTGTGGTTCGCAGAAGTCCTCCGCCCGCTCCGCAGGCGCCTCTCCTAATCCTTTACACCTCACACGAGCCTCGTGGAAACTCCAGCGAACCGACCAACCTACGATGGCCGACCCTATCACGTACGTTGTTGCATGCCCGCCCGCCGTCATCGTCCCTTTGTCAAGCGTGGATTTTTTTTTACACATGAATAGACGGAACGAAATCCATCATTGCACATAGCTAACAGAGCGTTTATAGGGGCTTGCGCAAGATCAGAATTACAGGTACGTTTCAGTGCCCCCCTCCCCCCCTCACCCCGCGCTTTCGCCCATCGTGAATCGTGGGTCAATAACAGAGGTTAACTTTTTGGTGCACATAGTTATTGCGGCCGATGGACTCTACAAGCGCGACATTTTGAGTGAGTTCTCCATCTTAGCATACCAAGACCTGTTCTGCGATCGGGGGTGTGAGCGCGAAAGCGAATTCGATGCTTACTGTCGGCGCCATTAGGGTTCCCCGATCCGTTCGCCGTGGTTACAGTCGACGGAGAGCAGACGCACACAACGTCAGTGATACGGAAGACACTGAACCCGTATTGGAATGAGTCCTTTGACATGTATTGTGCTCCCCATCTCCGTGGGCTCAAGTCCTGTTCCGCATAGTTGGCTAACGGCGGCGGTGGTGGTGGTGATTTAGTCATGTAACCGAGTCCTCGATCATTGCCGTCCAAATCTTCGACCAGAAGAAGTTCAAGAAGAAGGACCAGGGCTTCCTTGGAGTTATCAATATAAGAGTTGGAGATGTGCTGGCACTGCAAGTTGACGGAGAAGGTGGGCCATCCTATGCGCTGGGAGGCGGGTCGGTTTTTTTTAAGAACCGAGAGTCTAATGAAGGTGTTAGAAATGCTCACGCGCGACCTCAAAAAGTCGAACGAGAACCTGGTCGTACACGGGAAACTGATTGTGAATCTCTCCACCAACACAGTTGCGCCGATCAGACAACCTGCGGCGAACCGTCCGACGCAAAACCTGGCCTTGCCCAGCTCGAGTAGCAACGGATTACCTTCGCCGGCGAACGGTTCACTATACAGCGCGGATGTAGGGTCACAGCTCTCGGTGGCAGCGGCAAGCCCAGCTACCTCTCGGATCCCGCCAAAACCCAACTTCCCCGGGCAACCTCCGCAACAGCCTCAGCCACAACAACCTCAGCTACAAATGATTACCGGACAACCGCCCTCTATCTCCCAACAACCACAACTGCAACCGGGAGCTCTCGTGGTCCAACCAGCTGCTACTGCAACGAACGGCTCCCGTGCTAACATGAGCTCCTTCGAAGATTCGCAGGGAAGGCTACCAGCAGGATGGGAGAGGAGGCAGGACAACCTGGGACGGACGTACTATGTTGACCACAACACGCGAACCACTACTTGGAACCGACCATCAACCACCTACAGCGAGAGTGACCAGCGTGCTGCTGTCCAGCAGAATACCGATGCTGAACGCGTGCGACACAACAACCGGATGCTGCCAGTGGAGGACCGGACTGGTGCCAATTCACCGACACCTTCTACATCGACGCAGTCGGACCCGCACCAAGTGCCCAGCGGACCGTCGCCTCCGCCCTCCAGCGGCGCAACTTCGATGTTGGCATCTGGCGCAACGACGGCGGGCACTGGTGAACTTCCTCCGGGTTGGGAGCAGAGACATACTCCTGAGGGTAGGATGTACTTTGTGGACCACAACACTCGGACCACAACATGGGTAGACCCGCGTAGGCAGCAGTACATCCGCATGTATGGTAACAATGCCTCGGGCCAGAGTATTCAGCAGCAGCCTGTCTCGCAGTTAGGTCCTTTGCCGAGTGGATGGGAGATGAGGTTAACGAACACGGCGCGTGTGTATTTCGTGGATCACAATACCAAGACCACCACGTGGGACGACCCCCGACTTCCGTCCTCGCTGGACCAGAACGTTCCTCAGTACAAGCGTGACTTCAGGCGGAAGCTCATCTATTTCCGATCCCAGCCTGCTCTGCGAATATTGTCTGGCCAGTGCCACGTCAAAGTTCGCAGGAATCATATCTTCGAGGATTCATACGCGGAGGTTATGAGGCAGACACCGCAGGAACTGAAGAAGAGGCTAATGGTCAAATTCGATGGAGAAGATGGTTTGGATTATGGTGGATTATCACGGTATGTAAAAACACAGCGATGTTTGCATGTAGATCTGAAAGTCGTTTGCTAATTTTCGGGTGGCTGCAGAGAGTTCTTTTTCCTCCTATCGCATGAGATGTTTAACCCGTTCTACTGCCTGTTTGAATATTCCGCCCACGATAATTACACGCTTCAGATCAACCCCCACTCTGGCATCAACCCGGAACATCTGAACTACTTCAAGTTCATTGGCCGAGTTGTCGGATTGGCCATCTTCCACAGGCGTTTCTTGGACGCGTTCTTCATCGGGGCTTTCTACAAGATGATTCTGCGGAAGAAGGTCGTTCTGGCGGATATGGAGGGTGTCGACGCAGATTTCCACCGCAATCTCACATGGATGTTGTAAGTTTCGTCCTCCGTCGGTTTAGTTGCACGCTTGCTCACTCGGTGTTACTTAGGGAAAATGACATCACCGATGTGCTGGATCTTACCTTCTCCACAGAGGACAGTCGATTCGGAGAGACCGTTACTATCGACCTGAAGCCCGGTGGTCAGGAGATGGAGGTGACGAACGATAACAAGGGTGAATACGTCGAGTAAGTGGAGGTCACAATCACTCGGTCTGCGTGCATTCTGACTCGGTTCTCTAGGCTCATCACAAAGTGGCGGATCGAACGTCGGGTGGAAGATCAATTCAAGGCGTTTATCGAAGGTTTCCACGACCTTATTCCCGCGGATCTGATCACCGTGTTCGACGAAAGGGAGTTGGAGCTGTTGATTGGTGGTATTGCGGATATCGATGTGGATGACTGGAAGAAGCACACCGACTACCGTGGATACACCGAGACGGACGAGGTTATCGTGCACTTTTGGAAGTGCGTCAGGAGTTGGGATGGAGAGCAAAAGTCTCGACTGTTGCAGTTCACGACTGGTACCTCGCGTATCCCTGTCAACGGTTTCAAAGATCTGCAGGGAAGCGATGGGCCCAGACGGTTCACCATAGAGAAGGCCGGAGAGCCGGGACAGCTGCCAAAATCTCACACCTGGTTAGTCATTCCATCCAAAGGTCCACAATCACTGGCTAACGTATATTGCGAACAGTTTCAACCGGTTAGATTTGCCTCCATACAAATCCTTCGAGGCCCTACAAAACAAGTTGTCGATGGCGGTAGAAGAGACCATGGGTTTTGGACAGGAGTGATCGTGATCGGTTTGACTATCGGCAGCAACAGTAGTCGTAGTATAGTTCATTCGATTCCACATGGGTGTTGCGTTTTTTATTTTTCATCTTCTTTTTTCCCCTGACTTTCTTTGATTTTTTTCTATCGGTATTCCTTTTTCTTTTTTTGTATCTCGATGGAGTCAAACGTGCGAGCTTAACTCACTTCTTTCTGTTTGGTCTTCTGCCTTTGCCCGGAGTGTGTGTATCTTTTCACCACACGGATGTAACAACCACGAACTGATGATACATTCCGTTAATGCGCATGTGTGTGTCGGGAAGGCAAGGGAAAGGGAGCGAAGGGGCACGAATGTTTTTCCTTACGGATCGTTCTGGAGGCCATTTGTTTGGAGTGAGCAGAGGACGGGACGGGGGGCTGGGGAAGCAGTGGGGTGCAGCGTCTTTTCCCTATGGAATATAATCTCTGGCCATCTGCCATATATTGGATCGTTTCGAATTTCGGGAGGCTGGGCTGGCGAAGCGCATCGTGAAGGTCATATGCATAGAGTACATGGTGGTGGTGGTCGGACGGGGGAGTCGGGACCTGCCTCATTGGGGCACTAAAAATAAGCAACTGCCAGTGGTTCCGCTCGCCGCCGCGGATCTTTCGGTTCGTCCTCACCCTGCGTTTCGCAGGCCACCACCAGACCACGAACGTTGAGGCGAATGATTTCTGGATTGGACGGTGCTGAGTGTAGGATTCGGATCGTCAGCTTGAGGATTCGAGCATTGAGTGGGCAAGGACAGAGAGGTGAGTGCAAATCCAACAGACAATTTGATTCGCCCTTCAATCTTGCCCGAATAGGAGCGGCGGCTTCTCCGGTTCGGTCCTAGCCCGCTGGATTGTCCGGGGTAGTGTTCCCGTTCGTTCGTTATCCAACCCACGTTTAAATACACCCCCCTTCCCTCCCTCCCCGTCTTGACCCCTTCTCTCCCTGCTTCTCTTTCTTCTCCAGCTACCTCGTTGAAAACACTCGCTCGTACCGTACTCATTCGCTCATAGTACTCTACTCCCTTTTAATACCTACAAAATAATACTTCCTCACCCCCTTCACAACAAACAAACCAAACGACCATGCGTTCCACCGCCGTCTTCGCCTTCGCCATCCTCTCGGCCGCCACTCAGGTCGCCGCGCAGGCCAAGTGCAGTGCCCAGAAGTACTTCTACCTCTCCTCCTCCCTTACATACGCGTGCTGATATGTAAAAAGCATTGTGGATACCTGCGTCAAGACCTACCAGCCTCGTCTCGAGAAGTGCGCCGGCAACGACTGGGAGTGCTACTGCCAGGAGGCGCGCAACGTCCGCACATGCTACAACAACTGCCCCGACACCAGTGGTACGTCCATCCTTCCCTCCCCTGCACCTCCCCCCAGCGGCCTCCTACTAACACGGTAAATACAGACACGTCCGGCATCGACAGCCAGGTCACCGCCTGGTGCAACGCATTCTCCGCGACCCTCCCGACCACCACCTCCGCCATCGTCGTCCCCAGCGGCAGCGGTAGCTCCACGGCCACGGGCAGCTCCACGAGTGGTACCTCTGGAGCTGGTGCTGGAAGCTCGATTAGGGCTTCTGCCGCCTCGGCGAGTGCCTCCGCCAGCGCTGACAGTGCGGCGGGTGCGGTCGGGGTGGTCAAGGGTATGGGTTTGGCGGTGGGATTGGTCGTTGTTGCTGGTGCTTTCTTGTAGACGGGGAGGGATGAGGAGGGATGATGGGGGATGAGAGAGAGGGGAGGATTGATACCATGAGAGCGGGTGTAATGCATGTGATTCCGTGAGATTCTGTGAGGTGGTCGTGATGATTGATCTGGTGACTGGCGTGATGTGATGTAATCACGAATGAGGGTCACCCCGGTGTAGATCTTGCCGTAGCTTAGGTGTGCACTCTTTGAGAAGGTGCAACCGTAGCTCTATAAGAGAGAGACGTGATACGTAAAAGTGATAGAGCAGAGTGCTGGGTTGTGAGTGAGGATTCAGCCAACCGATGACATCTACAAGTGTTCTCTCCCTCCAGTGGAACACACAAAGATCTCGTCACAAGTCACCATCCGAGTGTTTACCCCCTTCACCGCAAGAGAGTGCTAGCATTGATGCGTACCTGCTGCACGACTCCCCATTTCTCACGATCGGAAGACTGAGTTACAACGACCGTGAAGTTCTGATGCGAAGCATAAGGGCGTTTCCGTCTAGACAATAGCAACAGATTCGATTGGAATAGATATATCTTCCCCTTGGAAGCGGGAGCTGTAGTACCTGTAGGGTTTATGTTCATGAAATTGGGTTGTCTCTATGATCGCACTACTAATTGTGCAAATGGTCACTGTAGAGCTGCGGACTGGGGGATTCCATGGGTCGTATTTCATTGCGTTCCTCCGGTGGATGTAGCATAGGTACTCTCGTGATATTGGCTGCTGCTGCTGAATACCTTAATCCCACCAGACTTAGGGCATTGCCTGTGCCGATCCAAGCACTAGGTACTGTACTCTACATCTAGTTACAGTTATCTAATCAGATGAAATGAAGCCCGAAGACCATCGATGAGCTAGGTACAAACGGGCGTCGTTTACATATCATACTCCATATATACCGGCCCGTAACGGCATGGGATCATGGATGGGGGATATGATACCCAGGATAGCCGTGGGGAAAAAGAACTGCGGTGGCAAAGCTGCACGGAATCGGCAGCCATCTTGTGCTCGTGCTTTCTTGCTCCTCCTGGTCGCCTGCGGTCTGCTCAAACATCTGCCGACGCATGTAGGTAGGAATGCGCGCATCAGATTCACCCCAGCGGGTTGCGGACTATTTGAGACAGGCTGCTGCCTATGATACAGTTGCGGTTTCGGAACTTGAGATCTGTGGATCCATCCCATGTTGGGCATACCGGTACACCTGGGCGCACTCGTACATAAATGCTTAGGTATAGGGCAGTCAAGCACTTCCGCATGTCCAAGCTTGCGAACCTCCCACTCCCATTGAAGTGAGTGCGGAGAAATCGCGGGCTTCATTCGTCTCTCCGTGACGTCGCCACGCACTCGCAAGCAGGGCGGGGGCGGCATGCCATGCCATGCCTTTCAACCAATGCCCAGCATTGATAAGAGACCCCTGCACGCACACAGCGATGCAGATCTCTGTATCTAGCAGCAGACGTTCGTTTCCTTCCCTTTGCTGCTGCTTATGCTTAGGTGCTGTGCCGAAGCTTACTTTTCTGGGCTCTGGAGAAGGTTACTCTGAGTAACTAAAGGACGCTGAGCTGGGCCTTGAGGCTTTCATGGGACTTTGCAGTTTCTCGCCTATTTCTTGTTCCCACAACTGCGGGCTGGCTTGCTTCGACATCCTGCTCACTCATCTTCTGTCCCCACCCTCTCTCCCCTCGCCCCCCCTCGCCCCCAATCCTTCCCTCCCTTCCTTCCTTGTTCCCGCCAGTCGGCCTCATCGTTCAGAGGCTTTCACCTCGTCACGATTCACGGCACACACAGGGCCACTGCGAAGTCAGCGAATACCCCTCTCAGCAGCATCGGTGTGCACAGCACTAAGCTCCGGAGAAAAGAGCGACATAGAGGGGCAAAAAGCTAGACAGGAAAGGAAAAGATTGAGAGAGAGAGAAAGAAAGAGAGAGAGAGAAAGAAAGAGAGGGAGGAGAGCCAAAAGACAGTTCAGCAGCCAAAAGACAAAAGACAATCGAGCAGACAGCTAGATCGTTTCCCGTCCACTCTCCAGCGCCGAATACCCGCAGTCTACCCGACCTCGGAGGCCACCCTTTATACACATACATCCGGCTGGTCTGATTGACTGCATACAACTCTCCCACTTGCGTTGCGGGCGGGTGTCAATGGAACCTCACGTTTGTCCATCACACTCTACGCGCATACCATCTTCCCTTACGCACCGACGTCAGATCTGAACGCGGCATTCCCGCTTTTGGGCCACCATCCCCACAATCGAATCGTTAGCTGCCAACCCCGACACCTCCGATCCGTTTCTAGACACCCCTCTATCTCAATCTCTACCACTATCTGCTTGTGCCGCCCCCTCCCTATCCCCGCCCCCGCCAAACCGCCATGCCGGAACCTCACGATATGGCCTCTACGGCTGCCCCCACCCCCGCTACACCGCCGACCCCACAGCCATCGTCGTCGAGGATGAGGAACAACATGCTGTCTGCTCGTAATGGGATCCTCTCGCCCGCTCAGCAGCTGGCCAAAGAGTACCGGACAGAGATTGCTGCTAGCGCCTCCAGCTGTGTCTCAACGTTCATCGCGGTAAGCCCGCCCCGCTGGCATTATCCTGCGTCCATCGTCACGACATGCTGACCAAGTCTTTTCGTCCAGTTTCCACTGGACTCGGTTAAGACCCGGATGCAGACGTGAGTTTTCGGTTCATTCGGCCATTCCGCACTCGCGACTGTGCGTGGCGGGGCAGGTTGGAATGGGTGAGCTGACATGTGACGTGTTTGTGTGCGCCAGGTACAAGTTTCGCAGCTTCTGGGATTGTGTTACGCAGACCAAGAACACGGAGGGAATGCGAGGATTCTGGCGGGGTATGCGCCATCATGCTTCGATTATTTTGCGGCCCGGGTTTTTGTTGCCAATGGGTTGGGCGGGAGGGGTTGTTGCTTCTCGGGAAACCCGTTGCTGATGGATCCAATCTTTTGGGCGCATGTCGACAGGTAGTCTCGCTCCCCTAGCGTCTGTCACTTTGGTCCGCACCGTATCGTTTTCGATCTATTCCAAGTCGAAGCAGGTCTATGCGGAGATGCTGAAGCCGGTTCTCGGCCCGAGATTGATCTCGACCCCGAATACGCCGCCGAAGCCGTGTAATCCGATCTACTGGTTCCTCTCGGGAGCGACCGCGGGCGGGGCGATAACGTTCATAGCCTGTGCGTGTTCCCGCGCTGCTGCTGTGTACCGAGGATAGCCGAGGGCTGACGTAGCTTAGGCCCTTTTGAGTTCACGAAGCTGTCCGCGCAGATTGAGCTGTTTATGCTTCGTTCGAAACGCTCGAGCCTCGACGACCCGAGCCATATCAGGAAGTACAAGCACAAAGGCACTCTTGAGGGCGCAAAGGATATCGTTAGGGCTAGGGGATTACTGGGGCTGTATTCCGGATTCCATCTACACTTTAGTACGTCTCTTGGGAATCCCTCGCGGTTCCGAACCTTCGTACTGACATGATTGCGCCGTGTACTAGTCCGTGACAGTCTTGGAACGGCAATGTATTTTACTGTACGTTGAATACCGCTGCTTCTGAACATTCCAAGACTGACCATTGCCAGTTTTACGAGACGGGTAAGGCGATGTTTTCTTCTCCGGAAGGGCCGAGCACATTGGGAATCGCCGTTTCTGGTGGATTGTGCGGACTTCTTTCCTGGGTTTTGGTATGAGCTCCGACATTGGTGGCCCCGATGATCAATTGCTGATGCCGTGCCAGATATATCCCATCGATTCCGCCAAATCGATATACCAGAGGGATGTCTTGACGCACCCGCCGGGAAAGCCTTTGCCTAAGAGGCCGTTCAGGTTCTTCAACAGGCGGATGTAGGTTCCTCTGTGTGACCCATCCGGCAATCAGATAGCTGACCATCCCTCGCGCAGGTACCGTGGTCTCGGCGTGTCGATGACTCGTTCTTGTATCCTCAATGCTGTGTTCTTTAGCAGCTACGAGTACATCAAAGGCAGCGTCAACACCTTTGTAGACGAGTGAAGCCAGCAGGGCTCCGTTTTCTTTTTATTCCATCTAACTTGTTACCTGATCTCATTTCTTAGGCGCTCGGAGTGTCATTTGGTTACGCCTTGATTCGTTATGGACAATTGGGTCCAGGTGGGTATTATTTTTTATTTTTTTTGGAGGGGAGGGGAAGGGGTGAGGAGAGGGTTTTTGGTTTCCTAATCATTTGGTTTCATCTTTGTACAATATCATTATTACGACCGATACGCGCAAATGGTGGTTACAACACTTCCAGCTGCTGTCTGCCGAAGTGGGCTTTCGTCCATTGTTCGAATTGTCAGATTTGAAATGTGGGATTGCCGACTTCATTATCAACCCCAGTTAGTTAGTCCCAGCCCTCACGTGAGTCGGGAATGCCAAAGATTAGCGTGCCGAATCCCGTGAGAGAGCTTGGTAACCATTGGTGTGATGTGAGAGAATTAAGATACGCGACGAGAAGAACGGAAAAAATTGCCGTGGGTTGACAGATTCTGCTAAATACGCACCTATGGAGGTACATGTCTGGAGTTCCCCACTGCAGTCAGGACTCGGGCTCGGGTAGGTGACATTCAACACGAGGGCAGGCATTTGAAAGCACTTGGAAAGTATATCTAACCAGCTTTATACCTCTCTCTCTCAGTCTTGAGCTAGGGTAAGCAAGTCACTGCTCGCATCGCTCGCCTTGCTTGTTTTGTGATTCACAGCACAGCACACAGCACATCGCACGGGTGGTATCTGCTATAGTTACTCCTCTCAAGTCTCCACTACCTTCCTCGGAACTCCCTCAGCCTCTCGCCACCCCCTCGCTCGTCCGCTCATTCACCAATATAACCCACCCGCCTGCCCCCGCACAGCAGCAGCATCGCTCGCCCGATGGCCACATACGCAACCAGGCTTACCACGGCCTTCGGAGCAGGCGTAGACCGAGTTCGCCGCTGGTCCCAGGGATCCGCACAAGATGACCAGCAGCACCCGAACCACCCGCAGCGCCGATTCGCCACCACTCCCGGCGACCTCGACGAAGTCGACGACGATGCCATCTCGGACTCTCCACCACCACGCTCGCCCGTGCCCGCCCACCCACCCCTCGCATCCGTGCCCGAAGGTACCTACGTCAGACCGCGAGGAGACGAGGCTTCCGAGCAGACGCTCGCCACGATCACCACCAGCACTAGCACCAGCAGCGGGGCCCACCTCATAGCAGTTCCGGACGCCATCGCCGCTCCGCCCGTGATGTCCCCCCCGGAAGGCGGCCCGTCGAACACTCTCCCGTCTCCCGTGCCAGCGAGCACGGGCGGCTCCTTGCTGCCCGCGCGAGCCTCGGGGCTGCCCGAAGACGACGGGCAGCGGCAGCTGCGGCAGAAGCTGTCCGACATCACGCAATCCGGCTTGCCTGAGCGCGACCGCGCACGGAAGATGCACCAGATCATGACGGAGAAGTGGCATCAGTCGCGGGCGGCGCAGGTGGTGGGGCTGCAGCAGGTCGGCGGCGGTGGAGGCGGCGGTGAGGTAGCGCCTGCGTCGCCGACGGCGACAAGGCTCGAGATGTTGGGTGATCCAGATCCCTCCGATAAGAAGAATCCGTACAAACTCCTCCAGGGCGACGCGAGGAAGACGTACTACTCCGGCCCGAACCCGCCGGCGCCGGAAGAGGAGGACGGTGTGCCCCCGAGAGTGCTGGGGTGCTCGCATTATCGCAGAGGTGTTAGGCTGCAGTGCTCTACGTGTGAGCGCTGGCACACGTGCAGGTTCTGTCACGACGAGAATGAGGACCATGCCCTGGTCAGGAGGGAAACGAAGAATATGCTGTGCATGCATTGTGGACGCCCGCAGCCGGCGCAGCAGGACTGTAGGTTCTGCGGCGTCAGGAGTGCGAAGTATTACTGCGATAAGGTGGGTTTGGGCCGCTGTTCCGGTGCTTCTTGGGGTGTGGAACTGACAGGTGCCGGGGGTTGTTCAGTGCAAATTGTGGGATGACGATCCGCAAAAGAGTATATATCACTGTAACGACTGTGGTATATGTAGGATTGGGCAAGGGTTGGGAAAGGACTTTTTCCACTGCAAGGTGCGTATCTTCACCAGATCACGGTGTAGCTCGACGCGTGTGCTAATGATGCGTACTAGAAATGCGGTGTATGCATGTCGATAGCTCTCGAGAACTCCCACCGATGCATAGAACGTTCTACAGAATGCGATTGCCCCATATGTGGAGAGTTCATGTTCACTTCAACACTAACAGTAGTCTTTATGGTTCGTCTGTCCCATCATCATCATCATCATCATCATCATCATCCGATCATGAGTTCCATAGCTGATAGTTTCAGACCTGCGGCCACTCAATCCATCACAAATGCTACTACGAGCACATGAAGAACTCCTACCGGTGTCCGACCTGCGCGCGAACCATAATCAACATGGAGTCCCAATTCCGCGCACTCGACATCGAGATCGAGAACCAACCGTTACCATCGCCATACTCTGCCTGGCGCTGCCTGATCAGCTGCAACGACTGCTCGGCCAAGTCCAACGTGCAATTCCACTTTCTCGGGCAGAAATGCGACAACTGCTCGTCGTACAACACCTCGCAGGTCCGCATCATCCGCCCCGAAGACGAGGGCGCCCCCATCGCCGCAATCGACGTGCCTACAGATCCACAACCGATCTCGCGCACCGGCCTCGAGAGAATGCGAAGCCTGTCAGTCCTCCCTGTATTGAACTCGCCGCCCCGCGCTGCGTCAACGGAACATGGCAATGCCGTTGTCCCCGGCGCCGATGGCGCGGCCATCCAGAATGCGAACCGTGCTCTTGCCGCGGCGGACGAGGCGATACAGATTGCTAGTGGCCTGGGAGATAGAGACGGCGCGCCGATTATCGACGATGGCTGGGAAAGCGAGAATAGCGCGGACTTTATAGATGAGGAGGAGGAGGATGGTAGTCAGGATGGTAGTGATGGTAGTGACGTCGACGATGAGGACGAAGACGACGACGACGATGACGAGGAGTTTGAGGAGCTGATTAATCTCAGGGGACACATATAACTCAACACCCATTACACCGTTATTGTTTGTCTTTTGTCCTGCTGCATTGGGGTTTTCTTTTGTTTCCGGCTTCATCATTTTGATTTTTCCTTTCGTTTTCCTTTCGTTTTCTCGGGCATATACCAAGCTTCATCATTGTTGTCCGCATGGTTTTGGTATGGGTTTGGTTTGGTTTTGATTCGTGTTTTCTGTTTCTTGTTTGGATGCTGGGCGGTCTCTGTAAGGTCTGGTTAGTCACTCATACACTCTCACTCACTCAACTCACTTTTCAGATCTTTTGACGGGGGGGGCACAAATGTTGCTGTTGTTGCTGCTGTCGCTGTTGCTGTTGTCGTTGTTGTCGCTGGGGTTTTGGCGTTCCTTTGTCACTCTCTTTTTGCTTCTTGTTGACTGGGTTTATGGTGTGGAGAAGATATGAGGTGTGGATTGGATTGGATTTGGTGGAGGGGGGGTAAGAGTGGTGTGCTGGTGGTCTGTTGACACCTGTTTTCGAGCTGTTTCGAGCTGTTTTGATCGGTGACGTGCAATGGGGGTGCAACGGGGGCGGTGTGAATGTATGTAATGGCCATTATGTAGCAGTAGGTACATAAGCTACGGTAACTAGCCCATGTTTCTAGAAGCTCGAGTTATATGTAATCCTTTCCATGTCATCTCATCTCGCCGTGCCAGTGCCAGTGCGTCCATCATTTCTCTATCTGTGCACCACTATTTCTCTGCACCGTCCCGTATCTCCAGCCCCTCAAAGTACCTCTTAACATCGACCGCCGCCCCCGCACCGACGTCGACGCCGCCGGCGCCCGCAGCCTTCCCCTCGCCCGCGCGCCGCACCACCAACCCCTCGCCGCCCTCAAACTTGCACCAGTTTATCCACCACCCGCGCACACTGCGCACACTGCGCTCCCTGTCTCCGCGCTCCTGCAGCATCGACAGGATCACGGTGTGCACGTGCAGCGCGTCTGCGCGGCTCCAGCCCGGCAGCTCGTGCAGCGGGTCCGGGATCGGCGGGAGGTTGGTGTACACGCTCCCCTGCGTGAGGAGGAGGTTGTACGGAGCTTTTGTCGCAGCGCTGGAGACGGGGAGTGACGAGAGGAGAGGTGTTAGTTGGTGGTGCAGCGAGCGGTAGAAACTTGGGCTGCTGAGGATGCGAGAGTGTGGCGCGAAGAGGAAGGCGAAGATGAAGGGTTTGTTCTAAGGATGTTAGCTGGAACGGAGGTGGAGGTGGAGGTGGAGGTGGGAGGTGGGAGGGCGGGCGAAGGGGGTGTACCGTGTAGACTACTAATTTGAATTCGGACAGTGGGTGTGGTACGGCGTTTTCTGCTTCTTCGCTGTCGCTGGGCGGAGTACGCGGGAGCCAGACGGTGCGGGAGGTGATCCGTCCGGATGAGTCCTCGTGATCGTCATCGATGTCCTCCAGTTCCAGGTCGCCTTGGAAGCCGATTAGGAATGCGCCACGGCGTTTCTTTTCGGACTCGGTTGTGCTAGTGGCGGGAGCAGATGCGTCGCCGAAGACACTGTCTGTGTCTCCTCCGTCGCCGGCTTCGGAGGGCGCCGAGGTCGAGCCGGATTGAACCCGGCTGCTCCAGCCGAAGGTTAGCAGGTTGAGGATCTTGCCGTTGGCGGCACTGAGGTTGCGGAAGCGGAGGGAGCTATCGTCACACGCTGCCGGCTGTAGTGGTGGTGGGTCATCGGCTGGCGGCGGAGCATCCGGCGGAGAACTCGGAGTTGCAGCCTCTAGAGCTGCGTCGGGTGATATAGGCGATGAGGGTTGGACTTCGGGGCTTTCTGGTTCGTTCCTCCCTAGCCCCGAATTCGTCGGCTTTGGTCCGTCTTCCCGTGCGTGTCGTATGGTGGAGGTACTCCGTCTGGGTGAGCTCTCGCCGGAGGACACGCCGAGGCGGGAATTGTCACGGGGTCGTTTCCGCCTGCGTTTCCGCCGTACTCCATTACCAGTGACAACATAGGTCTCCTCCGCCTTCTCGTATAGTTCGCTCAGATAGCTGGCTACGTCGTTCACTTCGACCGCACCGATGCCTTTGAACACGCAGCCATCCGATGGCATCAGTACTGGTGGTAGATCTTCCGTGTTCTTGTTTGGGTCTTTCGTTGAACTGCTGTCGCTCCTCCTGTGGGGATTCCAGAACCAGAACGGTGAGCCGCTCTTCGTCCTTGTCGGTGACGCATCCTCGGGAGCCGCTTCCACCTCGCGCTCCCCAAACCTCGACACAACCATATCCACCAGTCCATGCGCGCTCTCCTTCCGTATCCACCCCTCCATAAACTCCTTCTCCTGCCGTCCAATCTCCTCCTTCCCCAGCCTCCCACCCGCCATATTGACCGTCTTCTCAGCAAGCATATCGATGACCGGCGAGCCATGGAGCACCACCTCCCACCTCACCCACGCCCAACGCAACCAAAACTTTTCCACGCGCTTACAAAACGCCGCCCTCTCCAGCTTCTCCCACCCCATCTGGAACCTGCCATAAAGAAACCGGTACTGCGAGTACGCTCGTTTGATCTGTGCGACGAGTAGCTGCGTCGGTGCGACCTCTCGCGAGCTCCACTCCTGGGTCGGCGGCTGCACCGTCGGATTATGTAAACATGTCAAGTCGATAGCCGCGTGGATCCACCAGCCGTCCTCGAGCTCGAGTGTTACGACGCGCGATCGCTGCGTCTCGACAGAGGTGCAGTTATCGGTGCTCGAGAAGCCGCGTGCGAACTCGGCGATGCCTTGCGCGAGTCCGATCTGTCGAAGCTTGTCGTTCGTGCTGATCGCGGCATTCCCACGGCGGGATGTGTAGAATATTAGCTGGTTGTGCAGCGTCGAGTCGGTGCTGCCGAGGGATGGGTTGTAGATTGCGAGTGAACTGAGGCTGGCGGGAGTTACGGTTGGGACGAGCGATGAGGGGAGGGGTGGCGGCGCGGAGATGGAGGGCGAGGCCATGGAGGTGGTGGTGAGGTTGATGGTGGGATTGGCAGCTAGTGGCTGGGATAACCCAACTGATGATGTATGCGGGGAGGGGCAGTCATAGGTGGGGCAGTAGCCGCTGCGGATGACATTGCACTGAATTGCCCCCATCAACGGAGCGACAGGCAGGCACCACTTGAAGAAGAATGGCAACACTGAGTCGGTTTCTGCGGCTACGACCGCTCCCCTCTTCTTTCTGGCAATACTCGACGCCAAAGCTGCCCCCATTACGAATCCTCTTCGCCGGCTCAGACAACTTCAGCGCGACATCCCTTTCGGCTCTCCACCAAGCACATGTCACCGACCCTTCCCTGATCGGATCAATTGACGTTCTCTGCCGCGAAGACGGACGCACCGGCCGGAAACGCGACATCCTTAAAGAAGGTACGTACGCGCCATTTCTTCTGAATCTATGTTGAAGCAGAACTGATCTTGCAGTTCCCATCAAGGCGGTAGCACAGAACCTTGGACTGCCCCTCCACACCATATCTTCCTTCAAAGATTTCCAGGTACCATCATCCATTCCACGTTGAGCGCACTCGGTTAACATCCACCACAGCTGTCCACATCATCGTTCGATCTCATCATAGCCGTCTCCTTTGGCCTCTTCATCCCCGCCAGCATCATCACCAGCCTCCCTTACGGCGGACTGAATGTGCACCCGTCCCTCCTGCCCCGCTACCGCGGCGCAGCACCTATCCAGCGGACGCTCTTGAACCACGATGCCGAAACCGGCGTTACGATCCAAACTCTCGACACCAAGCGCTTCGACCACGGCGCAATCCTGATGCAGTCGTCACCGCCCGTTAAGATCTATCCGCGAACCAGCTACCACGCACTACACGACAAGCTTGCCGTCCGCGGAGCAGAAATGCTCGTTGAGACGTTGCGACGGCAGCTATTCGTCCCGCCGATCTCGGCGGTTCAGAATACGTACGAGGCTTCACTCGCGCCCAAGATCACACCGGAGGATGCACACATCGACTGGGCCGCGTGGGGGGCCGATGAGATGGAGCTCCGCGCTGAGATGCTGGGTGAGGTGTGGACCGAGTTGGGGTACGAAATGGAACAGCCCGATGTACCGCGAAAACGCGCGATCCTCTATGACATCAAAGCTCTGGATTTCACGCCCGAGCTGGATATACCCGTCGGTTGCTTCCGATACCTCAAGAGGGAGTACCAGGAGATGATGGTGCTCAAATGTAAAGATGGGGAGTGGGTGCGTGTAGGCGCCGTCAAGGTCGAGGGGAAGAGGGTGGTTGAGGGGGGAACATGGATTAGGAGTCTACAGAAGCGGGGTATCGGGAGAAGGTTTTACTAGAGTCGCTACGCCACGTTCGTAGTTCTCACGATACCTACCGGGCTCTAGATGGGATTCGAGATGTGCGCATGATGTGGGCTGGACATGGATGCTTAACCCAAATCAGTGGCGGGAAGGCCGATACGGGTATTCCACGGCGGACGGCGCATAGGTATCTCGGTCCACTACAGAGGGAAAAGCATGCATAAAGTTGCCGGAGCCCCGCTAGTCTATGTGGTGGTGCTGTTGTTGTTGTTGGTGTTGTTGGTCACGATACATACAGATACTGTACGTAGTGTGCTAGTTATCATGTACTCTTCGTATTCCTTCTGTAACCTTTTCGTGTTGAGGTTATGCAGCGTCAAAGATCGTCGCCATTCCCCCTCCACTCCACTCCGTCCAGGTCAGGTCATTCGACTCGCGCTTCGGCCCTTCCGTCCCCCATCTTAGTTACCGAGCCCAAAACCAAGACCAAGCTTGCGGATAGCCCCACAGACAGCCACCCACACGGCTGCAGACACACGAGACGAGACTCGCTTTCTTAGCCAGTGAATGCAGCTTACCGGGCCGTACGCAGCCAGTCCATGGAAAGATGTCTCGAAGCCCACGCCCCCCACAAGTTATCCTGTCACTGGTTCTCTGCCTGGAATAAGGCGCCGTTTACCGCCGGAAAACCGACGCGGACGAGGGCTTCCGGAGCTTTTCCGTGACTCGACGGGAGCTTTGGCTTCAGTGTGCTCTAGGGCAGAATCTCCATGTGCCTAAGGGTAGTGAACTTGCTATGCCCCTTGTCCGGCTAGCTGCCACGTCCTATTTGTTTGTGGCAGGAGTCGGGCCTTGTGCTGCATGAATCTTGAAAATGGGTGGTGGGTCTGGATACGGGCGTTGCATGCCTACTGTAGGGAGATCCCACCGTATCACATTGAGAACTTCTGTCACCGATCAAGGAATCGCCCAGCGGAGATTGCCCATTGGGGCAGCTTGCAGTTCCTGGCCGTGCTACTCATCGAGGGGATGCGACTACATAAGACTGCTATGGACCGAAATTTTGATCTGTGAACGAACGCACTACTAGTAACATATCCACGGCTTCCCAAACCACCACCACCACGATTCGAGGAGAAGATGTCTAACGTACAAGCAAAAATCGAGGTTGATCCTGCCATCGTATGTTCCCCCACTATCCCACTATACTGTCGCATCGATGGGATGGACGAGCTGACTCGACTGCGACTCGAAGCTGGCAGATGAGGGTGTAGATGATTACGAGTCCTCGGGGTATATCCCACCTTCCATCTATTTGCATTCGTTTCGAAGATGCACTCGTCGAACCGGGACTGACACCGTGATAGATACGACACCAGCACCGCCAGTCTGTCGTCGTCGATTAACGAATATGTCTTTGAGAATGGTACGCTCCGGGCTGGTGCCTATGAAATGGAGGGATGGAGGGAGGTTGCTGACAGTGGATGAAAGGCCGTCGTTACCATGCCTACTTCGGCACCGACAAGAATCTACACCCTACTGATGAGGTATGTTTGCGATGGGCTGGAGTCGTCGTGGTGGATGATCCAATTACTGACGCAGCTCACAGGTAGAACAAGACCGGTACATACACCTCCCGTCCGTCCCTGCGCCTCCTTCCCCGTACTGACGGGCACACTATAGCCTCGACATGCACCACGAGATCATGCTCGGCCTCCTCAAGGGTGAGCTCCACGCGGCGCCTCTTGAAGACCCCCAGCGGATCCTCGACGTCGGTACCGGAACGGGTCTCTGGGCGATCGATGCGGCAGACAAATATCCCATGGCCGAGGTCATCGGCACGGATCTGAGCCCGATCCAGCCTACCTGGGTGCCGCCGAACTGCAAATTCGAGGTCAGTCCGGAAGTGGGGGTGCGTTGGGAGGCAAGTGCGCTGATGAGAGATCGAAAGAACAGGTCGACGATGCGGCACAGCCATGGACGTTTAGAGATAATTCCTTCGATTTCGTCCACTGCCGGAATATTTCCCAGGGTTCGCCCCCATACTGTCTCTCTCCTGTGGTGCACCGACTGACATGACGGAAAGGAATCGAGAACTGGCCCAAATTCATGAGTGAGGTCTACCGCTGCACCGTGCCGGGCGGATACGCCGAACTCGCCGAAGTCGGCCTTGAGGGGAAATGCGACGACGGCACCATGGCCGACGACCACCCCATCAAGGTTCACCTCGCGCTCTGCGGCAAAGCTATGGAGAAGATCAATCGGCCAGGCCCGAAGCGCGACGTAATGATTTCGTACCTAGAGAATGCCGGCTTTGTCGATGTCCAGGCGTTCACTTATAAGCAGCCCATCGGACCCTGGCCCAAGGAGAAGCGGCTGAAGCAGATTGGTGCTATGCTGCTCATGAATGCGCGGACTGCGTTCCATGCGTATGGAATGGCCGCGTTTACCAGGATCCTTGAGATGGACCCCGTGGAGGCGGAAAAGCTATGTGAAGCCGCCTATACCTCTGCACTCAACAAGAACAATCATGTGTACAATGAGTTGTAAGTTCCCATGTTGACCCTGGAGTGGCCGTGATGACGATGGGCTGACATTGAGATCGTGCAGCTTCGTGGTGTATGGACGTAAACCGGCGGCGGATGAGGAGTAGTTAGTGGTGGACTGGCGTTTCTGGATGAAGGAACTCACTTTCTTTGCTTTTTCATTGGGCATGTGCTCTGTAATCCAAATAAAGAACTTTTTATGGCAAATGATCTGCTTTGTAGGCCGAGCCGGTTGTGCACTTTTCCTACATACCTGTGCATCATGAACTTCATTCAACCATCCGAGTCTACCACCGACTTCATCAACAGTCAGCGTAGGTAGTCCATTCACAGACAGAATGCACTGGGGATAGAGTAACTAAAGTAATCATCGTCGAGCGACGCTCCTCCACTCGCTTTCCAAAACGAACGCCTCAAAAACCCCTTCAGCAAATAAGTGCCCGAGTGATGTCTCATGAGCCACTCGCCCAGTTGGCAGTTGGCAGTTGCCGGTGCAACCCAAACCGGCGCTTTGTTTACTTCGCACCCCACCACCACACGTCTCCCCCCTATTTTCACCACCACCTCCACCACCACTACCCCTAACAAAACCCACCTACTCTACACGTTCCTTTACCACCTCACGCAGCAATAACCACAATTCGAACACACACGATGGGCCGCGTAACTCGCTCCAGCAAGAAGGCAGCCGCCGAGGCGTCGGTAGAGCCGGTTGATACCCCTGAGCTGCACGCAGAGCAGGAGCGGGAAGAGGAGCAGTGGGAGGAGGACCAGCAGGACGAGCAGTTGGAGCAAGAGCAAGAAGAGGAGGGCGTGACGAGACGCGCTCCGAGCGCGCGGAAGGCGAAAGATGCGAAGACTCCGGCAAAGAAGGGGAAGAAACGCGGCAAGAAGGGGAAGAACGCGAAGGCTGCGGACGAGGAGGCTGTCGAGTCGGAGGTGAAGGCGGATGAGGACGAGGATGCACAGGGCGCACAGGATGCGTCTGCGGAAACCCGGGAGGAAGAGATGCACGAGGAAAACGGGGAGGACGCGTCTGATATCCCTGTTTTCGCTTCTGAGGCCCCTGTTACTGCTTCTGAGACGTCGGTTGAGGTTGATCACGAGGACGATGCGAGTGTTACTGAACCGGTCGAAGAGGAGTCGGGGATGGTCGTGGAAGATGTCGTCGACGATGTGGAGGAGAAAGTCGAAGAAGCGACCGTCTCGGTCACCGTCACCGAGCCGGAAAGCGACGCCGAGTCCGAACACGAAGAACCAGCAACCGTCACCGTCGCCGAGGTCGAGGCAGTCACCACCCCCGCCGAAGATCACGGGCGCGACCAGGGCGACGACGACATCAGTGCCGAACTCCAGCTGATGGCGGACGAGATGCACGGGAAGGTCGATGAGGCGGCTGTCGACGCCGAGTTGGAGCAGATGGCCGATGAGGCGAGGCCGCAGACTCCCGAGAGACCGCAGGTCATAACGGTTGCGAAGACGCCAAAGTTTGATCCTACTGTTCACATGAACGAGGAAGACTATGAGGATGTGGGGAACGATAGTTTCGACCGACTTGTCTCGCCGAAGAAGTCAGCTGCTCCATCGAAGCCGGTTTCGAAGCCGCGAACCGTCGTCGCCGCCGCTACAAAGGTAGCAGCCAAAACTACGACTACCGTAAAGTCGAAGGATGAGAAGCCAAAGACTGGAAAGACTTTAATGGCTCCGCCCAAGACGACAACTGTGGTCAAGAGGGTAAGCTCGCTAGTCAAGTGTGGATTGATTTGGTATTTCCGAGCCTAACGTTTGTACGTAGGCCGCGCGACCCAAATCAACACTTGCCGTCCGCGACGCGCCCAAGTTGGCAAAGCGGATGGCATCTACATCTTCCCTGAATTCGTCGAATGCTGCCGCTCCTGGCAAGGCCAGCGTGAAGCCACGTGCAGCCTCCTCGGGCTCGCAGAACTCGCAAGAGTCCACCGTCGTGATTCCCCACAGCAAGCCGCGCGCAATTGGCCTCTCATTTCCGGCTCCTCCCCCACCAGCCAAGTCGACTAAACCACCCACCAAGGCCACGTTCGAGCTTCCGGGTGAGGCGTTCCAGCGCAAGATTAAGGCCCAGAAGGAAGAGAGACAGAAGCGCATGGAAGAGGAAGAGAAGAAACGCCGTGAGTTCAAGGCCCGACCAGCCCCGAAGACCACGTACAAGCCTGTCGTCACAGCGAAGACCGGCGGGCCTGCACGCGAATCCCTCGCCAGTATCTCGAGCTCCCGACGCAATGCGCCGGAAGTCGCGGGTGGGGAAAAGACGGAAACCAAACCTGCTCCACAGAAGTACACTGTCCCCCCAGCGAGGAAGCCTGTCGCAGCTGGAACGATCAGACCACCTCCAAAGGAGGAAGCTCCGCTCGATCGTGTTGCCCAAGCGCAGGCTGTCCTCAAGGCGCGGAAGGATGCGGCGGAGAGAGGAAGGCAGACTGTCAAGATGTGGGCTGAGAGTCAGAAGCAGAAGGAGGACAGAGCCAAGGCTGCTGCTGCTGCAACTGCTACCGCTCCGCCAGCTACTGCATGAGTGTCTCGATTACCTATATACTTCAGTTAGCTCTGTTTGTCGGTGTGTGAACGAGGATGTGGGACGGTGGGCTATTCTGCATTCTCGACTACGATGTACATTACTACTACTCCTTTCTTCCATCCACTGCTCGTGGGATGTTCAGTTTAGTTTATCTTTTCAGTGGGAGTCGCCCGGTAGTTCTGGTTTTTTTATTTGTGAATCTCCTGCCGAGCAAGCTCGCTGTACTTTACTCTTTTATTCTGTATTTCACTTGAGTGCTTACTTTCTTACCTTCTTACTTACCATCTATTTGTGATTATTTTCTTTGGCACGTCGGTTTCATGGACGAAATGCGATGTGCGGGACGAGCGCTGATACCTCTTTCCATTACAATTTACTCATGTTTCATTGTTTCGTCTACTTTACTTTACTTTCTTTGCTTCGGACCTGCGGTCGTGCCGTGGTTCACGTATTTATATAGTCTCCAATGACATCAATGATTAAGTCTCATTCGCGACTTCTACAGCGGAGCGACGTTTCGGCAGCTGGGCTGGGTGTCCACCCGCTGCTAAGAGCGGTCCATGATTTACGATGCCAACAACCGCAAATACTCATACTCCACACAGCACTCAGCACAGAAGTATAGTACAGCATCCAAGTCATCGGCTGCATATCTGTTCCGGAATTGCAGCTTGCTGAAGGCATTGCGGGTTGGGTTACCTTCATGAACAGGGGAGGGGGACTGCCCCTATTTACTTACATTATCACTCGATGCAGCGATTGTCGTTGTCGTTGTGGTATCATAGGTACTCGCAACTGAGGTGCCATCTGGAATACCAAAGCCTTCTCGTCGGCTGTAGAATCCCACGGCGGACGGATTGCCGTCCCCTACATTCCGGAGTATTCGCCAACCTCGATGTACCACATGTGCTGCCGTCCCGCCGATGCCATGAATGCCTCCTGCTACAGGCTACAGTCAGTTTGGTGATGTTCTGAAGATGTGCTTATATATACACCGGAGCACCGACCTAGCCGGCACGCACTCATTCGGCGTCCGTCAAGCGGAGGGTGCGTGGTTCCACACTGTGTATGTACGAGTAATCTTACTCTACATGGCTTTACTTTTACTTTACATTTACCATACCTTAGGTACTTCACTCTTGTTATTCTCGTATGTGGGAATTGTAGGTATGGGGTGGCTTGAGCCCACCCCCCCCCCCCCCCCCCCCCCCCCCGGTTTTGAATGCGGCCTGAACGTTGGTGATTCATACAATACAGCGGTGCTCGGCAGAATCCCACGGGCCATAGCTTGTCAAAACACAACGGTCCGGCCCAGCCCGGGACGGCGAGAAGTACTTGTAACCTCCGGTATACAGTAGCAGGTAGTGATTGTGGCCAGTGTACCTAGTAGTCACCAAGTTTAGGCGGAACAGTGCTCCCGATAGTCCAGTCCGGAGTGGACTGACCGCATCAGCCCAGTCCAGTCCAGCCTACAAACTGGGAGAATGGTTTGAATTCAGTCCGTCCAAGAAATTTGCCGCCTCGGACTGACAGACTGCGACTTCTGAAATTTGTGGGTCGACCTCAATGTCCGGCATAGGTACGTGATCTCCATCGCTCTGCATTCCGGCATAAAAATTTGAATACTTTTGAGAGCAATGGAGTACATACGAAACTCGAATGGATTGGTTTGGCTGGGCAGACTGGTGCAGCCTGCGGGTTTGGAAGGACGAATACAGCGGGCCAGTGGCTTCAGGGCTTCAGGGCTTTGCAACGTCAAGGGGGAGTTGATGCCGATGGAGTAGGTAGGTAGATGCACCGTCTACATACCGCGAAGATAGAGAGCAGATGGGGCCGCAAGCTCCGTACATACACTACCTACAACGTGTTGAGCATCGAGATATGATGGAGGTTTTCCAGCAGGAACCACCGCCTTCATGTGATTCCATTGACAATGTGGTCCAGCAAGTACTGGGCGAGTGCATTACATGAGCCTACCTGGCTGGAAAGATCTTGCCAGAATCTCGCCAGAATCTTGCCAGAATGGCCCTCGAGTATTTGAGCATTCCCGCCATGGGCGCAGAGCGGGAATGAAATGATCTTGTACCTAGCTGATACGAAGGGCGATATCAGGGAGATGAAGACTACCTATGCTCAATGCACTGTGCGAGGAGGATCTGCAATGACTGTACCATATACGTGTAAAAAAGTTCGTTACTGGTCTCAAACATTTGGATTCAAGGTATCAGTCCACCCAGTCCAGTCCATCCAGTCTATTGCAGTCCGTCCAGCCCCATCAGTTGGGCAGAATACCCAGTCTAGTCCATACCTCCAGCCGGACTGAACTGGACTATCGGAGGCACTAACCTGGCAGAACACACGCCATTTTCCCCGAAGACGGGCGGTGTGTTCCGTGCTGAAGCATATTGGAGGGCGACGGCAGGCCGACGATAGTTCGACGATAGTCCGAGGCATAGATATCTACCATTGATGGGAGTGGGTTACCAGTGTACTACAACTCGGCCCAGGTGAACGAGTTACGAGCAGGAAGAGGTAGGTATGACCGTATGCTCCCCACCGCCACGGAAGCATCTCAATCTCGTGCTACCCGTCCCCCTCCCTCCAGGCCGCGCCGTACTCACGACGGTAGGTGGAGAGTTGGAAGGCTGAGCGAGCGGACTTTCGATACTCTAAGCAAACCACGCCCGCCCAGTGGACTGTGCACGTCTTGGTCCGCGCGAGACGGGGTCAGCAAGGCAGGCAGGCTAATCGCACGGCATCCAGTCGTTTCTCGATTCTTGCTGCTCGCCTTGGGTACACGACCCGTGCAAGGCTGGCAACGTTTCGGCCATCTGGCCGGGCTCGACTCTCGAGGAGATAATGCTAGCATACTTACATGTGTAGAGAGTATACTGCACGTCCGGCGAGCGGACACGAAACGCGCAGGTGGACTATAGTGTCGTGTAGACTAGAGCACCTATGTAGCGACCACGCCGACAGCTGTGCGTGCTTTGGCTGGCGCAGCAAGCTCACGTATCATATCTTAGTTGTATCCAGCGGCGTGGCCGTGTGGATGCTGGGGTTTCCATCCCCGACGATGGCGGTGACGGTGACGGTGACGACGACGGTTGAGATTGTTGTTCGTGCGTGTGGACGGTGGACATGGTATTTCGGCGATACTGCACTTCACTGCTGCGGAATCTACTATACCTACCATAGGTACTCCCTCATGTTTGAGCTTTGTGACAGAATATATATCGGCACATATACAAGTATATGACGAATAATCTACGCTCCCCACCACGGCGTCACGAACCACGATCACCACAACATTCTTTTTCAAGGTTTGTATGAAAACCTTGAAATTGCAGACCCACCTATCTGTCCGAAATCTATGTACCGTACTACCTACCGTGACCAACTCCGCAAGACCTTGAGGCTATAGGTACCTACTATCATAGGTAGGTAGACTGTAGTACACCGTGACAAGTTGAACGCGCAGATTCCACAGTCGATCCCCCGGATTCCCGGAACGCCGTTGGATTTTGCGGCGGGGGCGGGGGGTTCGGTGACGATACTACTATACTATATACCTACCCAGGTGGGTGGTAGGTATACTGTTTGTTCGACCGGTTTAACTACCACCTGGTATATAGACGATGTCATAATTCATTGCGCAAACCACTTCTTACATACACGTGAAGGGTTTCAACTTTCAAGAGCCCCCCCCCCCCCCCCCCCTCCTCCGCGCGCGCTGGAGATCTTGTCCCGGCAGCGAGTGAACATGTATCGGCTGCTCAGAGCTGTTTTGTTCCACGGCTTTCTGCCGGTGCTCGAGTCGCTACTCTGTCTAGAGTACTCCTGGTGTGTTTCGGTGTGGGTTCGATGTAGGATTGGATGCTACTACTAGATTGTAGGTAGTATTCGTTGTTTATGTCGATATGCTCATACTACTAGTAGTATACCTGCGCTACATTGCACGGCCAGGCTGGGTCTTCCATTTACATTTCCGCGTCGCCCACAGTGCGGTAGTTACCTAGTAATGGAACACGCGCGCGCGCTATGTTGATTTTCAGGACGGAACAGAGCACTTCCTCCAGCAAAGGCGTGTCCCTCGCGGGGCCACTGCAATCACTCGGCTACTAGGTACCTAGCTGAGTATCTAGAAGGCAACTACTCGCGTCCGCACGACGTCGACATCGACGTCGACGCGGACGCCGTCAGCTATCATAGTACTCTATGTACCTAATGTATACCTGTATGTAGCCAGATCATTGCTGGCAATCTACATAGGTATCCCCCCCGGTCGCCCCGCCAATCCCCATCGCTCCTCGGTACAACCGATGCGGTGTTTAGAGTACCTAGGTAGATCTCTGACGGTGGACGACGTGCTTCTTGCGTGCTGGTGCGTGGGCGCTCGTGTATGTATATATGTACAATACTCTGCATAGCCGTTAATTTCCCGCGTCTTCGCCTTCGCCTTTGACCGATATCATAGCGAGAGAGGGAGGGAGAGATAGCCTGTATAGTAGATAACAGCGGGGGCGCCGGTAGTTGTGAGTTGGGTGGTTCGAGTCCAGTCCCGCATGGAGTGATGGAGTGATAGCCCATGACCGCCCTCTTCCTCGACCTCCTCCTCCTCTTTGTCGCCAATCGTCCGGATCGCATGGCAGTTGGTTGGCAGGGTGAGTGGAGTGGGAAACCGATCGCTACCTCTGTCTCCGATCCGGAGGGAGGTAGGTAGAGCGAGGCTTCTTATATAAATATATAGAGTTGATAAACACCGGTAGGTCGGTATGTAGAGTATGTGTGTATAGTGGAGCGGTTTACGTCCGGTGTATTTCCGGTCGGTTGGGTCAAATGGTGTTCGGGAGGGGGAGGGGGGGGCGGGAGGGGGGGAGAGCCGTGTGTGGGTGGGCGGGTACTATGCGTTATCTGGGAGGGGGGGCGGCGGAGCACGGACGCGTCTGGAGACTTCCGCGTCTCATGCTCGTGCTCATGCACGTCCCTATCTCCTGGGAAGGAATCTGGAACGTTGGGCCCTTCTTTTTACTTTTTTTTTTCATTCTTTTTTCCTTCTAGAGTCGAGATGTCGTCGATAAGCCAGAGGTGCGGTGAGACGGGCGACGGGACTGGGGGAGGAGAGAGATACTCATGGGCCGGAAGCGGCGGCGCGCATGAAGCGGTCGATGGCCGATGAAGTGGTACCGATTCCGGCATGGGCGTACGTAGAGGATGTAGAGTACCAACATGTGGCCGGGCGATAACTATTACCGCATGCTAGTCCTGCGGCGAACTGGAGTCTGGTGAGAGAGACAGAAAGAGACAGAGAGAGACACTGGTCGTGCCGACTTCCCTCTTCGCTTCCAACGGCGTCATGGGAGGGCGAGGCCTGTGTGGATCAGGATTGAAACTCGAGAGCAGCAGAGCGTTATCGCAGAGCATCTAGAGTGCGGTGATTTCTAACCGCCGCAAGACCAGACCGCGATCGTGTGCCGTCACTGCGATTTCGTCGTCGGCGCGGGGGCGGCCCCGTGCTGTACTGTAGATATGGGGTGCGTAGAGTAGGTACTCTACATACAGAGGCAGATTTCTATGCCGCACCTACTATCTCTCGAGTACATACCACATGTACCACTACTATATACCGGTACTACACTGTAGATAGTTGGAGCACGCACCGCAGAACAGAGTGGCTACTCTAGGGTACACACCCAAGAATCTGCTTATCTAAAGTAGAGTACTATACCCAACAGCGATCCGATCACCGCCCATCGTGCGAGAATAAAGTTTTCGTTTTTGTGTTTTGTGTTTGTTTTGTTTCGACATACACCTCGAGTTTGTAGATTAAGTACATACATGCTAACGTCAACCTGCTTCTGCATGACGCCCTACGGACGCTGTGGCGACGGACCCGGTAACGTAGAGGACGGTAGGTAGTAGGGGGATACGGTAGTAGGTAGGTGGGAAGGTAGGTAGCTCTCACTCTTCCATAATCGTCACGTCTCGGTGCGACCCCACCAAGTTCCAATATGTGGGGATGGATGGCTGGAGGGATGGCCTGGAGAAGATGAGCTGCTGCTGCTGCTGCTGCTGCTGCTGCATGCACTGCACTGCGGGGAATATCCGTCCCCGGACAGGCCATCTGGGGCTCAGCCGTATCTACGCTACGAACGTCTGAGGGTGAGTGGGGGGTGGGAAGAGGCCAGGAGAACAAGGAGAGTATATACGAGGACCCTTCTTTTCCCCCTTTCACTCGGATCTAACGATGGGATACATTACATACGTGCTGCAAGGGTCGTTGGCCGTCGTCGTCGTCGTCATGGATTTCCGCCGTCGTCGTCGAAGAGGCATCATCTGCCTACAGATAGATAGTGGGCTGGGCTGGGCTGGGCTGGGCTGCGCCGCCTGCACCGCCCATCACTCGAGCTTGTCTGTCTGCGCGATGATCCGTACGTACCGCGCCCTCGTGATCGCGGAAGACAAAATCCCGTACTCCAACAACGACGTACCGACATACGTAGGAGGGTCGCATAACTACGTGCCTGCTGGCTGGGCATAAGGGAAAAAGCATCGTTTCCCTTACCTACGTCAGGGCGCCCCACAGACGTCCGTCCCGGCGTCCCCACACTCACACGAACGGAGGTCACATCTCAGGCTCTCCCGCCCATCTTTAACCCCAGCAGAAATACGTACGTACGTAGCTCGGTATGTGTGTATGTACGGATCCATCCCGTTCATGTAAACTCGTCACTTTTGTTCAGCTCAGCTCATCGTAAAAAAAAGCAGAAGAAAAAAGGTGTTGCATATGCCAACATGCACACCCTATCCTATCCTATCCTGATGGATGGATGAGTGGATCAGTGGATGAGACATACATCACGTGTGTGGTATCTAGGTATGAAGCAATTACTCAAGAGTAGGCAAGACATGCGGCCCCAATCGGCTGCGAGTGAGTGAGGAAAAGCAAAAAAGCAAAAAGAAAACATGGAGAAAAAAAGTCAGTGGCAAATGGGAGGGGAGATGAGGAATCGCCTTTTCCGGAGGATGTGAGACGAGCTGAGACAAGTGGGACGCTGGGAGCGGAGCGGAGAATCAGGGACCCAAACCAGACTTCGATGGGCGCGGGGTAACAGTTGTGTATGATAGGATCATGGGAGTGCGATAATTGTGACAGACGTACGCCGTACTCTACAGCAACTACTCCAACTATTATGTACGCCCCCAGGCGCAACACCGTTAACGGTCTTGTTTTATGTCGATGATTCGTTGTGTCGCAGACAAGACAAGCGCTGCCCTGGTTTTTCCGGAGGGAGGTGGCGACGAATGACTGGCCAGGTGGACGCCATTTCCATCATAGAAGACATACATACGGTAGGTAGGTAACAGGGCTCACCAGGACAGAAACGGCTTTCGTTCGAAGGTGCGACCTTGTAAGTTGTTGGTACGGTCAGCCAGCCAGCATCGTCAGTTCTTGCAGGCTTCTCGGACTTTTTCTTTGAAGCAGACTCAGGGCAAACGCAACCTTGAACAGTGATCGTACAATGAGCAGAGCGGCGGGGGCGGAACTGCGGACGTGCAGGCACTGCCACCACCGCCGCCGCCGCCTGCAGATCAGAACCTAGAGTGTCCATTGGAACAAGCCTTTCAGAACGGGCCTCTTCCCGCCTTTAGGTAAACGCCAAGAGCTACCATCCAATTATCGATAAGGAAGATCTGCGTTTCGGGTGGTGGTGGTGTCGTCTCCGGCCTATGTAGGTACATATCATATCAGGCATCAGGTAGAGTGGAGGAAATCCCGCTTTGCTCGAACGGTGTAGAGTGCTGTAGAGTAGTTAGGCACTCTATATCAAGGTTGCGGTAAGATTCGTAGATCCTCGAGTCCTGGACGCACATGGACAAGGAGTCTGAGTGCTTACCATTACTTAATCTTTGTCGACAGAAATATCCATAGCACCTAGGTAAGTCCTAGGTATGTGCATCCTCTGGAGTCTGCACTGGACAAGGAGCCTTGGGTTCAACTTTCGTCCAACGAACGAACGGACGATGTTCTCGGAAGGTTTTTGCTGGTCAACTTTCAAGCAGAAGGAAGGTACATGCCTGCCTGCCTACTACTTATTGCCTACTACCTACTATCTAAATACCGTACAGGCTTCAGACACTGAGACAGATTGCGGATGCCTGTACGGAGCATGTATGTATGAAATGGTTGGCAAGTTCTACCAGCTGGCTGCACACTACTAGTATTCTGAGGCATTTGCTGAGTGTTGGCCCGACAGACGGACAGATGAATGGAAAGACAGACAGCCTTACGGCTGGCTGCATTGCTGCATTGCTGCACTGCTCAAGGCGAATCCTTGCGTCGCGCAGACAAAAACGCAGCAGCAGCGTGTTTTCTTGTCGAAGTAGGAGTATGTAGGTCTTCGGAGTAGTGTACCGTACCTAGCCGTACTTTTCGTTGCTTCTTCCTTCAATTTTACTTTTCCCTCCAGAGGAGAATAGGATTTCATTCAATGTCGTGCCTTGGCCTACCTATACCTAGTATGTACCCATCGTGATTCGTTACGCAGGATCAGGATCGAAAGAGTCGAAAAACTACCGTATGATACCTACATACCGGGAAGTCGACGACGACGACGATGATCGCGTCCTGGCCTCGTCGCGGGGCCATAGCTTCCGGTGAAAATACATCTGTACATTTGTAAGGACATACCTACAGAGGTAGCTGCTACACTGCACCGCCGCAACGATTGCCTCGGCATGCCAAGTTGCCTGCTCGCTCGCTCGCACGTAGGTATGATACTGTGGTTACCAGTTTACCAGCTTACCAGTTACCAGTTAAGATACCAGTTACGATACCAGCAGTTAGTAGTACCGCAGTGGCCACTGACCGACTGACCGACTGATTGACCGCACATCCGGCTGGCGTAGAATCCTCGGGTACTGACGGACCACATCCAGACCGTGGTCCGTCTCCAAGCCATCCATGATCCATCCACGATCCATCCAGCCAGCCAGACCGTCTCCAAGCCATCGATCCAGCCAACCAGCCAACCAGCCAGGCGGAACGCAACGCTACGGTTCGATTCGGTAATTCTTACTTTTTTCAGGTTCAGGTTCAGGTTCAAGAAGTTCACGATAGTTACCTGGATCCCACTTACCTCACAGCCCCAGCCCCAGGCGCAGACGACGTCGTCGTTGTGAAGTTTTACACGCAAAAACCCAAAGAAAAAGGAAATAAAGAAGAAAGAAAAAAGCAGGATGATCACCCCCCTCCCCCCCTCCCCCCCCCCCCCCCCGGGCCCCCGCACTTTCGGAGATCTGCCTCCCTTCCTTCCGCTCGCCGGATTGGCGGCATGGCCCCAACCAACCCAACTAACTAAATGTCCCGCGCGCGCGCGCTCGCTCGCGCCACAGTCTTCCTGGAAGGAGGAAGGAGGAAAATACTCTATGTATGCAGATGGGTCTGCTGACTTCCGCAAATCCCCCGCAACAAGAACCTTATTCTATATACACATACTTGCTCGCGGTATGTGTGTAGGTATGTATGGGGTATGTATGGGGTATGTATGTACTCGGATGTAAGGGTAAGTGCTGCCTCACCAGTTTTTCCCCATACAACCTAGTCACAATCACTCACTCATTTGTTCGCATTTGGCTTAGTGTGTTCATAATATAGACTAGTGCTTATAATTTGTAATGGTGGTGAGGCACCACTTATTGGCAACTCCTGGTACATATGTGCATACCTGCGATTCGACCGTGTGCTGTGTGCTCTGTGCATAACACCAATGACCGGTATACCTACTGCTAGTATGGCTGCCCCATCATTGGTAGGTACATGGGATGGATGGACAGTGGGGCCCGTGTAGGGATTCGTGTTGGAGCGGATACAAATCCGAGAATTCTGCTCGTGTATCTACCTAAGCAAAGTACTCACATATGTACGGGGTCTGAGAGGTGACAGGTGTTCGTGAGCTAGGTAGGTACATACTTGGGTAGATGGGTAGATGGGTGGATAGGTTCGTAGGCAAGATGGTAGGGTCCGTGAATTACATAGGTACTCTGACCGAGTGGAGCAGTGACTACCGGCGAAAAGAACGATTCGACACACAACCGGAGAAAACCACCGTGGAGTTAAGAAGAAAAGAAAGAAAAAAAGAGGCTTGAAGTGATGTGTGATCCCCTAAGCCTCGTTCTAGGTTCAGGTTCAGGTCCAGGCCTCAAGGACGACAGGAAAGTGCAAATGTTTGGGGTAAACAGATTTGCAACGACTCTCGGTATCTACGAGCCTTCCCCGCTTTTCCTATGTATATACATATGTGTGTATGTAACGAATCTTCAAGCCGCCCGTCGGTACCGGCTGTCGTCGGGAGGAATTCTCGGTATCTAGCCCACCTAAAGTGCTCTAATGCAACCCCCCCCCCCCCCCCGAGTACCAATCCACCGGTCTGGGATGGGGACCGTCCTGTCCGTCGGTGACTGGCGCTGCTTTCCCTCCCTCCCTCCCTCCCCACTCCGCCTAGGTAGCTTACATATTTGGCCGCCGTCGCTTGTTAGCTGAAGATGCCTAGCTCATCAACGTTAGCATCGTCCGCTTGTCTTCTTCCTCTTGCTCTTCTTCTTCTTCATGTTTCGCTGGGTGGCCGACGGAGCTACCTACATATGACACCTAGTGCTCCACATAGCGGCCAAACCCAAAGTTACCCGGTCGAAGCCGCGCGATCGTGACAATCGCCGCCAAGTTGCCGGGGTATAGCGTACAATCCATAGCGTAGGCAGGAAGGCTCGTCCGTCGATTTCATCGGGATGGCAAGATCGTGGAACAGCTGGCCGGCCCCGCCATGCCCCGGCTGGTTGGTTGGTCTGGTTGGCTGGTCGCTGGCCTCGTTGGTCTGTGTAACCGACTTGGCGAGGCGACCGACACACTCACGGGACAAGCGAGAAGAGGGAGAAAAGGGGAGGAAGAGAAGCGGCTAACCAAGTCAGTGGTTACGAAGAAAGCTGCTTAGGTACGCTTGTGGGCGTGTGTGTGTCACCACTGTTGAATCTTCTCGTGCCTGGCCTGGCGACGGCTACTTACTTGCACAGTCGGGGTCCGCCGACGATAGCATGACGTGTTTGGATGTGAAGGCGGGTTCTCCAGCAACGTTCTTCTTCGATTATTACTACTATGCTACTCTTACTCACTGATCGTGGGCGTAGGCCGAGCGTCGTAACGTAACACTTGGTATGATATATGTCCGGATTGGCCAAGACCAAATTGCAGTGACTTCTCCCTCCCCGCACGTGGCCGGATCCACGGCAACGTAGCGCAAACTCCAGAGTTCAAGCAAAAAAAAAAAAACGTGACGTCTGCCCACGGCGTCCTGAAACGGCGGTGGTGGTTCGGAGAGTCAGAGACATCGACAACCGTTCTGGTCTGGCCGCTGGCGAGTGGTGCCGACGTATATCATCGTATGGAGCGTTCATACATATCGCATGGGAATCGATCGTGTCTCGGTCGCGCAGGGGAGGAGGGGGGAAGGTTGTCGATGCGCTTGCGGCTTGGGGGCCAATGCCCGTGTTGCTGGCTGGCCTGGCGCGGCCGGAAGCACCACCCGCGGCGGCCAGGCGGACAGCGAGAGACAGTACGACGGCCAACGGACATCGGACAACGAAGAGGGCATCCGCTGTATGACGCGGCAGTTCCTGTGCGGTGTTGTGCGGTGCGGGTATCGGACAGACATCGGGTATCGAGCATCGGGCATCGTCTCCGCTGGCTCTAGAGTTTACACCACTACATACCACCATCAATCGTGACGTCTCGTCTCGTTTCGTTTCGAGAAACGGAACAAACAGACAAACAACCACATCGGGCGATCGAACGGGTTGGCACTACTACCACCACCACCACCACTACTACTACGATTACCACCTTCCTCGCGAATGGGGATATCGATCCGGAGAATTCCCACTTGGTTTATTCTGGAGTACACTTCACCATCCCTCCTTCCTCGTGAATGGGGACATCGATCCGGAGAATTCCCACTTCGTTTTCACTCTGCTAGGTCGGACATACCTAGTGCCGTACACCTCATTCATCCCTCTCTACCCGCTCCCGAATAGTTTAGAGTAGGTATCATAGGTAGAAACTACTTCCTCAGAACTCTTCCGCCTTCCAGAGTCAACTAGGTACATACCTACTCCAGACAGAGCCCCCCTTCATCTAGAGTACCCACATATAGCACTTTGTATACATATGTTCGGTTGCCTGCAGATCCGGAAACAAGGGATAGCCTGCTGTCTTGTCGAATTTGCGTGCAAATCATACATATGCATGTTGTTACATAGTTTAGGTACCGCAGTCCATCTCCGCATCATACGTGTATAGAGTGGGTAGTAGTGGTAGGTAGTAGTGGTAGTAGCAGTAGTATCGCCGTCCTCGAACAGAAACACAGCAAAGCGAAACAATCGAATTGGATCCCCATTCTTCCAGTTCATATTCCTCCTCGTCCTCGGCTCATGTCCAATCTCCATGTGTTCCGATAGAGTGTCGATGCTCCTGCTGAGGTATATACACAGTCTCGACCAGCTGGCGGGGATGCTTGCTACTATACACACCCTCTGGACGGCACGGTTCGGTAACTACGGTAACTACGGATGGTCAGTCGGTCGGTAATCTGATTTCGAGATCCTGGGTAACATGTCAGACGCGCAGCCATCTCAACGCTTGGCTCTTGTCTTGACACAGCTGCACAGCATGCGTCGTGGACTGGAAGAGGGAGCGAGGGGGAGGGGGAGGGGGAGAGGGAGGGGGACAGCACTGCAGTCTGCAGCTGCCTGCTCCATGTCATATGTGGATACTCTACCTGCAAGCACACAACTCAATTCCTCTAGATCTCTTCTCTCTGCTCGCTCTCTCTGCCGAGAGAAGCAAAAAAAGAAAAAAGAAACGGACGGCGGAGTTACACCTGCCTACCGAGCCCTAAGAAGGAAGGCAGCCAGAGTAGAGTGCTGTAGGAAACGGCATCTCAAACGGGTAGTTATTCTTGTTCGTTTGTAACTTCTAATTTGTATTCCCCAAACCGAGGAGCGCGCTTTAGTGGCCGTGTAGACAGCAGCGAGCGAGGGAGAAAAGTCCGTTGTTTTCGCTCGCTGCTGCTGCTATTACAAACTGCTGCTACTGCTGCTTCTGCTGCGTTGTTCCTGATGCTAAAGTGCTCTACGGTACTCTAGAGTACCCGGCGCCCGCATACTCTGGGTAGTCTACATACCGCATCCCTCCAAGCACCACCAGCACCAGCACCAGCACCAGCACCAGCACCAGCACCCAAAACAACAAACCGCAGGCGGCAGCTACCGTACTGACTACTCTACGCACAAGCCCCCTCTGTCCCCTCGATCTTCGCCCGTTCATGGTCGGAAGGGGTAAACAGAACAGAACAGAACATCAAGCCCGCCTATGTATGCCCATTCCTCACGTGGAGCTATGTACCCAAGTAGAACAGTGTGGTGTGGAAGCCGTAGTGCAGTTGTAGAAACACGTGTCCGGAAGAAGGAAACCCTATCCGTGCACAGCTCCATGTCAGGTCAAGTTAAGTTTCAACGCTTCTCGAATCTCGGATACACTTTCTTTCGCAACGACACACGGCAAGTGCGAGCGAGCGGCCCAGCGAGCTTGGCCGAATGGGAGCCCGACGGTGCTGCAACGCTGCGCCGTGATGAGACAAGCGCTCGTCGGCTCGGCTCCGCCAATATATACAATACAGTTTCAGTGTCGCTGCTGCTGCAATGCTGCATCAAGCATCAAACATCGATTTTCACGCATCACGAGATGATCGTATATGCACGGGTTTGCTTTGCTTCCTGTCCCCTGCGACCTGCGAGCTGGGCGTGAGGCGAGGGACTCAAGGTGCTGCCTCATGTGCTGCTTCATGTGTACATGTGTACTAGGTAAACCTACGTTCTGCTTTGCTCGGGAAGAAGCATGTTGATGGAGTTAGACCGCCGGTACTCTGCTCTAGAGGAACTTTGTGATCATCACGCTTCACCCGTCGTGTCCTGCACCGCAAAGGCAAGCCAAGCCACGCCGAGCCGAGCCGAGCCGCCGCCCGAGCCTGAGCCTGAGCCTGAGCCTGAGCGGGAACGGACGACTCTGAGGCCACCAAACATTCGTTCCCATCTCTCTCGGATAGTGCCGGCGGGATGTGAAGAGACGGTGGGTGGGGGGGGCAAATGGGGTAAGGACGGCGGGGGCGGGGGGCGGGTGAGGGGCAGAGAGGGGACCGGCGGGGACCGTGCCCGTGCAGCGTACGGCCGCCGTGGTGCGGACCTTAACCTCTTCCATGGGAGGCGTGCCGGTGCCAGTGCCAGTGCCATGGGCCCCCCGTCTGCCCGCCTGTCCACCCGCCCGTCCGTCCCGCCCGCCGCCGCCGGACAGACAGCTGCCGTGCTGTCGCGTCGATTCATCGTGCCATGTACTATACTTTGTAGGTATAGTAGGTACTTGGCTGGTACCTACAAACTCCTACTCCTATGCTGGACCTGTATATACTCTATGTGTACATAGCTTGGAGACCGCAGTGGTAGTCGCAGGCCCGAGCTCCAACTCGAGGTCGAGCTCGAGCTCGAACTCGAACTCGAACACGGGCAGCAGCGGCAGCCGCATTAGTACGACGTACGTACGTGTGTAGGAGGATGGCTTGCGGTGCGGATGAGGCGCCACAGCAAATGCAACTCCCGAGATGCGGCATCTGCGTTCTCAACACGAACGCCCTGTGGAGAGTGAGGGGTGAAGGTGCAAAAGATGGCGCTTCCCGCGGTGACGGCGGCGGCGGCGGCGGAGGCTGCTGAGGCGGTGGAGATGTCGGGGGCGGCATTGAGTGAAAATCTGTTGAATTGACATGTTCCCCAGATCCGCTCGGAATACCAGATCGGATTGCGACACTCACACATAACATCACTCGTGCTTTTCGAAACGTGCGAAACGTTCGCAAAAGGGCATATTTTCGTACACCTAAGACAACTAACTACCGCAGCCAGGTACCATATGTACCGTACGTAAGCAGTCAATGGAATGGAAAAGCTTCGCATTCCACCGATACATACCTTGATAGGTACATCGGCAATTCGCTGGAGCCTGGCAAAGGGAAAAAAGGCAAAAGGCAGAAGGCAAAAAGTCGTGGTGGCTCGATGGGCTTGCGCCATGCGGAGTGGATACCCAGGTGTCGTTCGCTCGTCAGTTGACACACTACCACCACCACCACCACCTCCGGCGCGGCGAGGCGCGGCATCTGTTTGTCGCATTTGTTTGCTTGCACCCACGGACCCGGAGCGCAGTATTGGTATTTTTCCGAAGCAACTACTGCCAACTACTCTAGTGATGGTACGGGCGGGGTCCAACATACGACATCGACTGACTGACCGCCGGCCCGTGAGGTGAGTGGTGACGTTTGCATTCCATTTCCCCATTCCCACATTGCTTTACCGTTGCATAATGAAACTTCACTTTTTTTTTTCTTCTTTTTTTTTCGTTCCGGTTGACGATCATCTTGTTGAGACATGCGTGCGTGCGTGCGTGCGTGCGTGCGTGCGTGTGTGTGGGGCGGTGTGGTGTGAGACTGTGAGTTGAGTTGAGTTTTTTTCCTTCTCTCTTCCTCACAGGTTACAGCTGTGCTGTATCCGTACGTAGAGATACGTACTCTACGTGCCCCTTACTGCTCGCAGCCGCCATGCATTTCCCCATCCATCTCCCATTCAATTGCCATCTCAGCCCAGCCCATCGAATCAAATCAAATCAAACGCATCCCTACGTACGTATCATACGGAGGATCGCCTGTGCAGGAGCGCGAGCGAGGGAGGGAGCGAGGGAGCGAGGGAGCGCATTTGCCACTCGACTCTCCAGCCAACCAGCCAACCAGCCAAAGAAAAGTTTTTTTTTCCTCTTCCGTCCAATTCATCTATCTCGCGCGGGTCCGGAGGGGAGCCGGGTGAGTGAGTGAGCTGTCACGACTCACGACTCGCGAACCATCTGCGGCCTGCGGCGGATTTCGGAATTCGGAATTCGGAATTCGAGCTCCGGAGGAGTCATACCGCGAAGAAGAGAATTTTTTCTTTCTTTTCTGTTGTGTGTCTGGGCTGGGTCGATCTCCGGGACCGTGACTCGATCTCCGTGACTCGATCTCCGTCACATCCGTAAATCCGCCAATCCCCCGTCCCTCCCTTTCAATTCAAGGGCCAAACCTGCGTTGCGCTGCGTTTCCGCTCCCCGACAACCAGCCCACTGGCTGTTGACTGCTGGCTGCTATGCATGTACGGAGGAGGGAGGGACATGCATTGCGGTGATCACCCGGCGGCGGCGGGCGGCTTGACGGTCTCCGTCGAATGAACAACTTGTGCGTCGTGCCGCTGCCCGCGGGCCCGGTCCAGAACGGATTGAGTTGTGGGTTGTGGGGGGTGGAGAAGATTCCAGTGGCTTCTGTGGATACCCGTGCAAAAAAACGTTGAATTGAACCGCGCCGATAGTTACGGTACATACACAGTCGGCCCAGATACGGCTGTCGCTTTCGCTGGCCCTGTCTCAGTCTCAGCCAAACTCGAAGTCTCAGTCGAGTGGGTAGTTGAGAGAATTTGCTCATCCCTCACCTCCGCCCGCTGCTTGGTCAGACGGTCGACTTGGCCCGCAGTTGGCGGTGACGGAGTGCCTACATTCCTGTCGGTGTTGTGTTTACTAAGGCTATGACGACTGGTCACGGTGGTGGGCACGTGCTGATGCGTAGTGGGGCGTGGGAGGATCAATGGCAGCCGTAATACTGTCATCTGCCATCGAGCGAGCGGTCATCGTGAAACTCGGGTGCATCGAGACATCCAAGTTCCAAGTGCGAGCACGTGGGGCTCAGGATGTGGCTCGGTCACGTGAGTGAGTGAGTGAGTGAGCATTTAATATCACGTGCAACCCGGGCCCCGCGTCCACGGGGGAGGTGAAAGCTCGAAGAAAAAATACCGCCATGTGCATCCGCACTGCTCAGGCAGGCACGGCGGTAAGTGTGTAGATCTCCAATCATGACCACCACGGTGCCTGTCCGCCGTCCACGCCTTCCCTCCTCCACGCCCTCCAGGCCGCCCTCCCCTCCCCCTCCCCCTCCGCTATTTACGTCGAGTACTCTACTCTATCCATCCTCGCTCTGAGTAACTAGAGTACTCTAAATACTCCAGTAGTAGTAGTCTCTCTAGCGGCCGCGCTGCCGCGTTTCGTTTCATAACAGTATTCCATCTAACCGTCGATCGATCGCAAGTTTCGCAACACACACACACACACACACATACACACGGGAAACGACAACACCTCCGACCCCCGACCCCGACCCCGACCACGAACCCCAGAAAACCTCAGCGAATAGGATCGTTTCGTGAACACACATGGAACGGCTGGTTACACACGTCATTGGGCGTCGTTTCCCCTGGGTGTGTGTGGGAGGGAGGGAGGTGGGTTGGTTGGTAGGGCCTTGTTTCGGGCCTCTCCAGTGACTGTCAGAGACGAACCGGCGGGTCTACTCTATGTACTCTATGTTCTCTACATACCTATCATATCACATATGGAGTAGAGTAGAGTACTTTCTCATGTACGTGTGAGCGGGTTTTTCGTGGGAAAAAAACGTCGTTACTAGTAGTAGGTAGTAGTTGTGGTTGTTCTTCTTCTACTTCTTTCTTTTTTTGTTCTTTTTCTTTCGTTTTTTACTTCCTTTTTTGTTTTGTTTTGTTCTTTGCGTGCGGAATGGGATACTGTACTTCAATGTGGATTTTATTCCGTTTTGCTTTTCTCGGTTTCTGTGGATTTTCTTCTTCTTCTTTTTCTTCTTTGCTTCCTTTTCGGTTTTTTTGGTCGTGTATGTAAGAGAAGAAAAGAAAAGAAAAGATGGAAAAAGGAGGGCTCGGAACGGAATACTTGTCCCAACTGAAGTAGATATCTACGAGCATCAAGTACCGGGGAGAGCTCTCTCTCTGCGGTTGGCTGGCTGCCAGTCAGATCGCCAGTCGGTTGGTCAATTGGGCCCATCGTCGCAGGCGATTACTGGCCTACCGATTTCCTCCACCGTACTCCACCGCCCTCTACCGTACTCTACTCTAGTTACTCTAGAACTATATCTCAATCCGCCATTCACCAATCGTCGTCCCACCTCACCTCACCTCACAGCTGGTGCGCTGCGCACATGAAGAGTTTTTGCGAGTTTTTGCGAGTTTTTGCGAGTTTTTGCGTTGCCCTGCCCATCCAGTCCTGCCTTGCCCGTCCATTCATCCTGCGCCTTGCGTCTCTGGCTGTCTCGAAAATTTTCATGTCTTGCAAGTTCTGCGAGAATTTTTTGTATGTACAGCCTGTAAATGAATGTCCCATCTCAATTCCTAACGCCCAATTAGTATCCTATCGCATTTCATTCCGTAAGGAGTCATAATGCGTAGTATCGTCGGAAAAGAAAAGAGAGAAAAAAAGTATTATGTACATACCGGTGAGCAATGCGGCAATTATATGACGGAGAAAGTGAACACAAGTTACGTGTTTGGTATCGAAAGACGACGACGAGAACACTGGAATCAAAGACGATGAACGAGGACGGACGGCAAGAGACTTTTTTGTGTGTGCGAGACAACCATTGCCGGCAGAAAAGGCAAATTGATATTCGAGACGAAGAAACCCCAGCCAAAAACCCAACAATAACACCGACCCAGATACACAGATGCTATGATACAACAGAGCAAGAGATGAAATCAGTAATAAAAAAAAAGAGTAAAAAAAAGACACAATGCGCCCATGATCCCGACAAATCTTCCCTAAACCACAACAGGTATTTGAGAAAGAAAAGTAAAATAAAGAAGAAAAAAAGAAGCACTTTTAAAAGTTCGTACCCTCCCCAGTGATATGCATATAGAACCGAAAAGTGAAAGAGTATGGGAAAAAGAAGACCGCCCCCCTCCCCCGTCCCCAACCAACTTTTCTTTTTTTTTTGCTCGCGACCGACCGACGGAAAGTAGTGGTGCGGAGGAGGTGGTGTGTGGAGAGAGGATGTCGAAAAAGATCCTTTTTTTGTATCAAAAAACCGTGGGTTGCAATATGTGCCAAAGAAGTAGAAAAGATTCCGAAATGCCGTTGCCAGATAGATATGAGAGATGATGATGATGCGATTCGTAAAGTACAATTGGGCGTGAGAAGGAGAAGATTTATACAACGGTCATGCGTCGTTTCCAGTCCCGGATGTGGTCGAAGGAGCCGGCGTATTCCCGGAGCTCGTTCTTGACCTTGTCCGAGAGTGCTGCGGGTTCGCTGCGACCGTGGCTATGTAACGACGAGAGGGATGACCGAGAAGGCGAGCTGTACAAGCTTCGCTCGCCGGACTGCTGTGTTGTTGAGTAGTTGGGGTACAATGAGGTGGGACTTCGTACGGATGGCGAGTAGGCAGCGGATGACTGATGTGTGGACGAGGAGAAGTTCAATGCCGGAGGAAGGTAGAAGCCGGAGCCGGAGCCAGTCTGTGAAGTGGTCGATGCGTACGAGGAGGGAGCAGAGTAAGCCGACGCCCGTTCGAGGTCGGCCAGTCGGCAGGATTGTGAGCAGTAGGCGCCATGGTCGGACTGCGAGATCTGGCGATCGCAGGACAGGCAGAATTCATGAGACCAATCCATTTCGATAGTGTGTCGGGGAGGGTTCGGTTTGGGTGGAGGTGATAGTAGTAGTAGCAGTAGTAGTAGTGGCCGATGTCAAGGTCTGGTAGGAGATATTTCGGTCTTCTTGTTTTCGAGATGTGGATGCACGGCGGTGTGTTTGGGGAGTGGTTGTGGGTGGAGGTTGTTGGTTGTGGTTGTTATTGCGAAGCTGGCCAGAGAGGATTGGAGTGAAGATGTAGTAGGGGGAAGGAGGAGGAGGTTTATATCTGAATGATGGTGGTCGAGGTGGAGATGTTTTTTTTCTTTCTTTCTGAGGAGCTGGTGAGAGTGGAGGGCTGCCCAGAAGGAGGGGAGCAGCTGGTTATATTTACTTTAGGCGGAGAGCACTCCAGGAGCGTGAGTGGTGTGCGCGGGTGAGCACGACAATGCAGGTAGCATTGCACCGTAGCGCACTAGAGACCAGCTAGGTAGAGCAGAGTTCCCTCCGGACGGCCAGTCAGCTAAACGAGCACTCGCAGTAGTAGTCAGAGCAGCAGCAGCGAGAGAGAGACGAACGACGGGGCAGGTGTAGAGGGAGAGAGGATTGACCGGGGGGTGGAGTCAAGGTCCGGGGGTGTGCTTCTTCCCACCACCACCAGCAGCAGCAGCAGCACCACCACCCAGCAGCACCACCACCACCTCCACCACCACCCATCGTCGTGCCCCCCCTGTCGTGCAGTGTCCACTCTAGTTGCTTTCCTCTAGCACGTCTTCAAGTGAGGTGGGTGTCGACAGTTCGGTTTAGTTTGGTTTCGCTCACTTTAGTTTTTCTTGGTGGCTCTGCTTTCGTCGCTAGGCATGAGTGGTTTAGCGTGTGGACCGTTGAGGGTGCGAGCAAGGAAAATGACGTTTGGGCCAATCAGCAGCTGCAGGGGCCAGTGGTGGTGGTTGTGGTGATGGTGGTGGTGTAAGAGGAGAGCGAGGGGCAGACACCCCATCATCGACACCGACACCGACCCTGACGCCGACATCGACCACCGACATCGACCACCACCGACCAAGGCCCTGGTGAGTGCCCGCGCATTTATTCCGTTGCAAAAATAATCATGGCGATGAGGAAGGCACTCGTATATACTCTACGTACCCACGCGGAACGAGGGCAAAGGCATTCACTACATGGGAGAGGGAGTGTGTGGTGGTGGTTATGGTGCTGCTGCTGCTGCTGCTGCTGCTGGTGGTGGTGGTGGTGGTGGTGGTGGGGAAGTGCGCATCCTGGTTCGGGGCGTCGTCGTCGTTGACCACCATTCCTGTTTGATGCCCCGTTGCGAGCGAGTGAGCTTCGAGCCCAGCTATGGGAGATGGCTGCAGAGGCACAGGCAAAAAGGGAGCATTCACGATGATCGTTGGAGGCGCGATGGCGGTGGTGTGGTCGTCGTGGTGATGGTGGTGGCCCTGCTGCCGCGCCGTAGGATACCGTACTCTGGTTAGCACCATAGGAGCACACTCCTCCAGCCGGACATCAGGAGAGTCGCGGTGGTGGTGGTGGTGGTGGTGGCGCAAAGAGGAGCGAGGAAGTGGAAAGGTAGGCGATCCTCACACTTTCCTTAGACCCTGCCTTCCTACACTCACGAGCCACCATCACATCTGCTCTACGCAAATCCAATTGCCGGTCGAGCCTCGATCCGTACGCCGTGGAGCAGATAGGAGTCCAAGCCTCGATACGCCATGCAGCAGATACGGTAAAAGGCTGAGCCTCGATACGCCGTGGAGCGGATAGGAGCCTTCTCCTGATGCCAGCCAATTTTTTCTCACTCGCGACCCCAGAAAGACCTCGGAGCCTTGTCACAAGCGCCAACTGAAGCTCTGCCCCGTGGCCTTCGTGAAAGAAAAGAATGTGCTGTCGATCCTTCAGGTAGCCACTTCCAATTTCTTCAAGCCACCCGTCGCCACTCGTCGCCACTCGCTTCTTGCTTTTCTCTTCGCCTCTCTTCGCCTCTGGCCTCTGGCCTCTCGCCTGCCAGACGACCCCAAACCCTCGGACCCCATGGTGCCTGGCCCGGTCGAACGTCGGCCTGGTGCGGACCTCATCACCGTGTGGCTGCGCGCTACTCTCGTCTCGCTGTCCCTTTTTTTTTGTTTGTCCTGACGATGGCCTGTCTCACTTTCTACGAGACCTTTCTCCATGGATGCCCCTCACACACCGCGGGTGGCTTGTGCGCGCGCAACGACGTCACCAAGCTCTCATTGTATCGTAGCCGCCCCTCCCCCCGCCATGCGTGTATACCTGTACCAGTCCCCGACGAATGCTTGAAACCGACGAGACGGGAGACACGTTAGATGGACACCGGCCGATGCTGGTTGACGGAATGTGACGGACTCTATGGATGCACATGACCACAATCCACACTCGAAGAGCCTCAGCCCTGTCGATGGGCTCAGCCGGATTCGTCTCCGAGTCACGAACGGAGATTCACAGCCACATTCTCGCCACATTCCATTCCATGAGTCCGCGGCACACAGCGTTTAGAGCTTTGGGAAACCTCGCTTGAAGGATTCCGGAGGTACTATGACTACGGAATGTGCTGTTGGTACTTCCAGGCGCAGGCTGACATACCGAGAATTGATGCATCATCAAGTGACTCTAGCCTGGGGACACATTGGAATCATCGAGCCCGCAGGGTGCCGGAAAACGCTGTGCTCGCGAATTGGACGTCCGGAATGCCACCGCCGGCGTTGTCTTCGGCACAGACGGTGACGGCGGTAGCATCGTCTCGGTGACTTGCTCCTCCACTGCGAGGTTGACCCCACCATCTGAATCCCGACCAGTAGCCCTATTGGGCCGACTTATAGTACTATGGAGTACATCCTTCCTCCCGCTCCCGCCTGACTCTATCCATATGTAGAGGCATCCCGGAGCCGCCGGGTACATATGACTAATATCGAGACGTGCCAGCAGATGAAGCCGCGGAACTAACCAAGTGGTAGCTACTGAGTAGCTGGCTGGGCAAAGAAATCTGATGCTAGCGGCATGGTGGGGAATGGGCGACAGATGAATGCAATTGCATGACTCGTCGGGCTCCTAGAAAGTGACCAGTTGGCCGGCATTGATAGTTAGATAACCATCATGAAAAATTGACACCGACGGCAATCGAAGTCCTTCCCCGAGTCTTGAGAAGAAATTTTGCTTTCAGGCGCAGGGAGCCTCACTCTACCTACTATACGTACTATGTACCTACATGACCTTCAACCGCGGCGAATGTCGTTTAAAGGCTAAGAGACGCAAGTCCCCCTTTCCGGCCGTCAAACAATACTCCGGATGCCGTACTAAACATACGGTACAGCATGTACTTTACTGCTGCGCACACTACACATACCCTTTTGCCATCGCCAAATCTTATACCATCAACGGAACCTGGTATGTACGCAGCGGATTCTTCCTCTTTTGAGCACCTCTTCCATCTGACTTGCATAACCATCAGCCTTCCCTGTGCCTGGAGAGCGCGCACACACACACCAGGCAGAAGGAAGAAGAAGAACGAAAAAACAAAAACCGAAAACGAAAAACAAAAGGGGTGATCGTTTGCGCACATCACATATGATTCCGTCGGTTCGATTTATCTGTCAGCTTGGCAGAAATTTTTCTGGGCTCGCAGCCGCGAAACACTTTTATGACTGATACGATGTTCTCTAAACGACCGTGCACTCACTCACACATCCACACACACACTCACACAACATACGACCAGTTGCCCTCTCTGGAATATTTGTTGCGGATACAGCGACTGCTCGATGGCTGACTGGTGAGACATGACATGGCAGCCCTCCCTCCCCCTCCACCCTCCCCCCTACACAAACGACGCGAATCTTCAGACGAACCGTGTCCGTTAGCCTGTCCGATTCACATAATTTTACTTTTTTTGTTTTGTTTTTGTTTTTGTTTTTTATTTTTTCCCGTGGTCGGGCCCTTCCCTTCCCTTCGCTTTGAGGGAAACCACACTTCGAACGAACATTGAAGTCGTCGGATTCACAGCGATGAATTCTCTCCCAGCCCCAACGCTCCCGAGCCGCTGCGCGGGCTCGAAACACGACGTAAAGGTTGGGCATCGCATACCGGTATCGCCTCAACCACTGCCGCCGTGGAAGCTGCCAGAAGATAGCGATGGCCTGCATAAAGTGGAGCATCGAATCGTACGCGCAGCAGCAGCAGCAGCATTCAGGTTTCTTGTCGTCGGTCCATCCAGTGTTCGAGGCCTGTGCATACGTCCGCCTGCTATAGAACAGAGTACCTATCTACATACTTCATACCAGCGCCGCGCCGCTGCCATGTAGAGTATGTAGAGTACTCTACGACCTCATCATTCAAGAGGGAGGGAAAAAAGAAAAGCTTAGGATCGGCGTGCCACGATTTAGGACCCTCTCCGGAATCGAAAATCACGAACTATGCTTCTTGGGAAGGAAGGAAGGTTTGTCTTGTCTGTCTGGCCCCCACCACCTGCCTGTCTGTTGGCCGCGTTTCTGTGCCTCTTCCCTGCACGATCTCCGGTCCGAATTGAAAGAATCAGGTTGTATGTACTGGTAGGTGTTAGGTGCTGGGTATCGTATGGACGAAATGAAAAGCTGAATTTCAATGGGTTTTTTACTTTTTCATTCATTGCTTTCACTCAGCCTCCAGCATCTATCATACTCCACCGTAGAGTCGATAGAGTATGTACGGACGATTGCCAGCAATCTAAAGAAGATTTTGGCGCGGGGTAGAGTAGAGTGGTTACTAACCTACCGGTGAGACATCGGCTGTGGACTCCTCCAGTGCAGAGATGACGGGAAGGGCAGCAGAAACGCAGCAGAAATTTGAGATGCTCCCTCCCCTTCTCTCTCTCTTTGGATAGTATGGGATGGGATGGGATGGGATGCGAACTGCGAACTGCGAACAACTGCCTGCCTGCCTGCCGGCCTGCCCCTCGCTCGCTCGCTACCAAGCGGCGGCCCCGCGGCCAAGCTTTCGCAGTTGCTTGGTTACCCCTGCTGCATGTCGCGCAGCGCCGCAGCGGCGTCGCTCCCCCCGGAAACCAGACCTGCCGTTCTGTTCTGTTCTGTTCTGCTCTCTGGACTCTGGAGTTGGGCTGGCCGGCCTTCCTCATTCTCCTCCTCCTCCTCATTCGAAGTTGGTATGCATACTCTACAGACACTCACTTCAGGTCTGTGTGTAGGATGAGATCCCGCGGAGTTGCTCAGTAGACTACCTACCATAGAAAGCAATACCTACGCAAGCCTTGGGAATATATGGTAGTATCATATGTAGTAGTGGCATACCCACCCACCACCGCCCGAACGTCAAAGTTCGAACAACGGACGAAATCGAGATGGCGAGCGAGCACGACGGTCGACGGTCGACAGGGACCGCGAACGCCGACGAGTGGCGACGAGTGGCGGCGAGAGGCGACGAGATTGCAGGTCTTGTTAGATAGGGGAATGAAACTCAAGTGCTGGTACACTGTCTACATTTGGCGGTTGATCGTCACTGCACTGAGTGTCGTGGAACGTGGGTGGATGGTCTGGCCTGGTCGTCTTTTGTCGCCATCATCGAGGGTGGTTGTGGGTTTACCCACTCGGTGGTCCACCCACGAGCTTCTGCGGCAAGCCTTTTTTTTTCAACGTGCGTCGTGACTTGTGTATCTACACACGGGTGGTGTCTACCATCTGGTGTGTACCTATCCTACCTATTCCCTATTCCCTTCCTTACCCCTCAACAGTTGACCATCCATCCATCCACCCACCCAGGTACTCTAGATACCTGAGGTCGAATCCGATATGATATATGACAGGTCACCATCTCCTACCGTCTCGCTCTCCCACCGTCTCCTACCGTCTACCGTATGCGGGTGAGGATGAGTAGGTATGTATGTATGATGCATCCTTCAAAGTCCAAACGCGCGGTCGCCATGTAGTTAGTAAGTAGATATGCATGTGAGCAGCGAGAAGTGAGCAGTGAGAACCCTGGTGGGAGCCGTGAAGGGATGGGGAGGCCTCAACGGCTGGATGGGCTGGCATGAAGATGTCATGAAATGTCCAGCCGGCCAACTTGTCAAGTACTCGACCGAGAAGGGCGCACCGTGAGTCCTTGACCGTTGCTCATGAGACCGTTCACGAGGTGCTCTACTCCAGAGGTAGAGTACCCATAGTCATCGTAGGAGGAAGGCGCGGGGGAACTGGGGGGGGGCAAGGGGGACTGAGGGGGGACAGAGGGGGGCTCGTGTCTGCGCAGCGTGCGCGATCCGTGATGATCGCGTATCTCTTATTTCCTAACATACATTACTAGTGGGTACATTAGCTAGCGCTTCCCCACATCACACCAGCCACTGCCAACTGCTAACTAACTGCTCTAGTCAAGATCGTTACATATGATATCTCCTTTCTACAGCTTCCCCTGGAGGGATGGAGGGCCCAGGGAGGGAGCACCCCCCCTCTCCATGTCTGTCTGTCTCTAGTGCCGCCCGTGCCGAGACCTCAAGCGTCAATACTGTATTGCACAAATACCGTACATATGTCGCGGGAGCCAGAGGCGGCACTGCGGCAGCAGGCAGGCAGGTAGGTACATAGGCAGGCAAGGGGAATGGGATGGGAAGGGATGGGATGGAAGGGAATGACAGGTCTTGGCCGCGACGGCTGGTTCTATATACATATGTTTGTACAAAGGGAGGTGATATGGCCGAGGACGATGCCGAAGTTTGGATTTGGCTTGGATCAGGTTTGCATCGGGTTTGGATGTCCGTTGAGGGGTGATCTTGACGGAGACTACCCAGGGGACTACGGAGACTACTGTACTCTACGGAGACTACCATGGAGGCTACCGTACGGAGGCTATGGTGGTGGGTGGATAGGGTAGATCACGATCAGCGCTGAGAGTAGAAGTGAGAGTGGGAGTAGCAGTAGAGTAGGCGTAGGAGAATCTAGCAGTGGGAGTGGAGTCTTCTCGAATGAACCTCCGAGTACCAAGTACTCTACTGCTCTTCTAGCACTAGGTGCCGTACTCTGCCAAATAGGTAGCTCAAGGTAGAGTATCGAGATAGTTAGTCACAACGGTGCCCTCTCCTTACTCCAGAATAGTATATAGATACAGACACATGTCGGAGCAAACACACGGGGGGAAGCCCTGCGGCTTCAGCCTTTGTTCACGGCATCGTCCACGGAGCCTCTCCGTGACGGAGCAGAAGGAGGAGGAGTACATATAAGGAGGAAGACCACCTAGCCCTTGAACAGAGTAGCTCCGCACGCAGAGGGTATCGCATCCGCTTCCTCCTCCGCCTCCGGAGTCCGAACCTTTGAATCACGGGCCACGAGCGTCGGGCGTCAGCCGTCGGGCGTCGGGCATCGAAACGGACGCTCACTCAACTCTAACCACTGTGCTAGTATTCTGCCAAGTCGTAGGGTCTACATCTACTCTAAAATCCTGGGCACCAGGCAGCGGGCAATTTTTGCGGGCTTTCCAGATCCAACGTAGCGGGGGGATGGTTCCAAAAGTAAAACACTGAGGCGAGGCAGGATGCAATGCAATGCTGAACCTCAGCCTCCGTACGTGCCGATCAGATCAGTTGGGAGTGGGACCGTTCTTGACGGATCGGAGCTACGCGAGAAGGGGGGTGGTATGGTGGTGTGTGGTGGTGTGTGTGATGTGGTAAGCCGCCGCCGATATCAGAGAGACATACAGACCAAAAGACAGACAGATACCTGGAGTCCCAGACAGCCGCCCGATCCTCCTGGAAACACTGTGCTCCCCGACAATCATGAGACACGGTACTCATCTACTACTAGTATAGTTTAATCGCTCGTTCGTCCAACCTACATATCCAACTGATGACCTCAGGTCAGGTCGTGCCCGTCTGGTGGAGACAACTTGAATGAAACACCCTGGGCAGTGGGAACGTTGCACATGCAAGATCGCTCTCCATCTCCCCCCTCCATCTCCATTTCCCCCCACGCCCACGGTCCGCAATCTATACTCTAAAATGGAACCGACTAGGGAGGAATTGTAGGTAGAGCATGTGTGGTGTGTATGTAGCTGGTGGCCAATCGTCGGTACAGATGTATAAAGATAGATGAAGATTCATAGATAGGGACGACCGAGTCTGTACTCTAGGGAGTTGCGTGGGGGGTACATCCACCCACCCACCCATCCATCCATCCACCAGCGATATCGAAATCGATATCGTCAATCCATCCATCTCATCGTCATTCCCTTCTTCGGACCAAAGCCCTGCAGGCTGCATCACGCCCCGAAAAAAACCAAAAAAAAAACCTTGGAGGGGTGGACAGGATCGCTAAAAATCTCCGGCAGTGGACGAACTGTGATGTTCCCCTCCTCTCATCGATGGTCCGGTGGACGCCATCGTTGATCCGCTGCGGTCTGCCCGGAACTGCGTGGTTGCCGGTCCTCGCAAAGTATGTGTGTACAATACCATCCATAGCATCGATATCCGTCACGATGGCCGTTGAGTCTTGACTTGGCTTCACTTGACTTGACAGGAAACGGCCCCTGTGAGATCACGGTTTCCCTCCTGCAGTCAGTTCGCCGATAGCGACAGGTAGAGCGGGTACACACATGCCTACGTGCCGCACCACGACGACGACGGAATCAATCGCCATCCGTGTGTCATCCGACATCCGCCAGATCGATAATCGACTCTACATATGATACGATTTTCTGCCTCACCTTTTTCGGGAGGGTTCGGTTTGTTTGGTTTGGTTTGGATCTGGGTGGACGGATTGGGCTCGAGAGGACAGGATAGAGTATTGTACAATGCATAGAGTGCTAACCACAATACAGTAGTATATAGTAGATATCGGAGTGTCGTAACGAGGCTATGTAACTCCCTACCTAGCACGCCTCGAATTCACGGGCTCACGATATCTACATACGTGGGGTCGTGACAGCTGCGATCAGAGAAGGATTCTGGAACGTTACCTATCTCCTTGCCCCCGCCCCGCCCCATGCCACCCGGTTCCTCCCTTTCCCGAGATTCTACTAGTTAGCGGGTGCATAGCGGCCCGAACGACCTCGTCTCGTCGCGGCTCGAAACGCGTGGGACCACTGCGACGTGGGATGTACCCGAGGACCCCCCCACGCTTGCGGCTTGACGACGCGAAACTCCATCGCTTAAGAAATCGGAACCGTATGTATGTATCTACATAGGCGTAGATATGTACCGTATCAATCAAGTTTAGACCGTCGTGAGAAGGCGTGCGAAAGGTGGACAATATCACTCACCACCGGGGCGACGTTGCGCTAACCGCACGTGGAATGGCGCGTTTCGCAACGGTTGGTGGTGCTGGTGGTGGTGATGGTGGTGGTGGTGGTGGGGTCACTCTGTTACGATTGCAACATTCGCTGCATACATTTCATCACAATGTCGCCAGAGCTGCTGCTGTTGCGGCGGCGGTGATGGTGGCGGCAGCTATCAACGCAGGTACGACACGGCACGATGCGATTGGATAGCTTACAGTGCAATAATCGCTGGCTGGTGGGGAGACTTGCACAGAGCAGGTGCAGAGGGGGGGGGGGTTATCGTCCATATTGCGACCTCATCGCACAGGCAGCAGGGTGCAGAGGGTTATTCTCCATATTGCGATCTCATCGCACAAACAGGTTCCTCGATATTACGACTTCACTGCACTTTCCAACCCCATTTTCGGGTTCGCAACTGCACTGCGGTCCACCTCCACCTCCACCTCCACCATCATGCGCCGTGTACTGCCGCACTGCCGCCCAGCGCCGGCGCCTGCGCCGAGGATCGCTGGGACGAGACGAGGCTGTCGGTTGCGCGTCGCATTTCTCGCGGAATGTCTGTCGGCATCGCGATTCGTAGCTGCCCGAATGCGCTCGAGATTGGTGTTGCGCCGACACACACACAGAGAGGTATGCAAGTACTTGCTATACTCACTCTGCCCGGGTGTCGTGTGTGCGAGTGCGAGATTGACGCGCAAGGGCTGTAGATGCACCACTAGCAGATACATAACATTCAACTGCTAGTATCCGTTTGCCCCTCCACTGCGCGCACATCACAGCACTCCACAGCACTCTGCGTTCCCTTCCGCTTCGGTGGTGGGCACGACGACGGCGACGATGGCGACGACTCCTGTCTCCTGTCTCCTTTCGAAGGGGGGGCGAAACAGTCGCCATCCGCAAACGGAGGCGGCTGCATACGACGGCCCTCCCTCCACTCGGCCGCATCTGCATCTCCATCATGTCGTGCATGAAGGGGAAACCTTTCAACCTGCCGAGGCGTTGTGCGAAAAATAAAGTGAGAAGGCAGGCAGGCAGATAGGCAGGCAGGTGGGAAGGTAAAGACGGCAAGTACCTTTTCTGGATTGCACTGTTGTTCTTTTTGTTGTTTTTGTTGTTGTTGGGGCGCGGTTTTCCTTTTTTCCTTTTTTGTTTCTTTTCTTTCTTTTCTTTTCTTTCTTTTCTTTTCTCTCTTTGGGAACGCGCGCTCCTACTCACCCACATAGAGACTATTATGGAGTACTACCACTCCTACATATCAATGGCGCTTTGGCTGGGCACAATAATAGCTGGCTGGTTGGGGGCACACATCCTCGGTCCGCAGGCAGGAATTACCATATTCTACTCTGGGAGTCTGGGAGTATTGTGTGTTGTGTTGTGTTCTAACTTCTGTTGGGGCGAAGTTACTCGGTCGTTCCCACCGTCCTTCCATTGATGCATCCTTCGTCTGTCAGAATCTCTTTTCCTGACTGCACCGGTTCGGTGAAGTGATCTTGACAGCGATAGTTTTTCCTCTTCTTCTTCTTCTTCTTTTCCTGGACGGTTTGATTTGGTTGGTTGGTTGGTAGGTTACATACTTCCTATGTACCCGAGCCTGTTGCTTTGAACTTTTGGTTAGCTGGCTGGTTGGTTGGCTGGTTAACTGTAAGGGGATAGACAGTCTTCCCCGCGTTCTCACCCGGAGTCTTGGGCCACGGGTTACAACTTCCCATACACCAGCTCTGTCCGTCGTCGTGTGCTCTCTCTTTGGTCCGGTACACAGGGGTGCGTGAAGTGTGTGTGTGTGTGTGTGTGGGCGCCCCCCCCAGATTTCCGTGATGCAGAGTTTTACGGATGCAGAAGGAATGAGGGACTTAACGGTTATTCCTGTGTAGGGCTCGCAGGCTCGTGAGAAAACTCGAGTACGGGAGGTATATATGGCAGGTAACTTTGGCGGTAATAGAAACTGCGACTGCGACTCTGAGACTCTGCGACTCCTCGGCGAAGGGCGAGGGCTGGGTGCGCCGCGATGCTTGCTTGCTGCTTGCTGCTGGATCATAAGGCGTTTGCGATGAGACGGCATCGTGTATGTGCGTCTGTGTGTGTGTTGAGTATGTGTGTGTGTGTGTGTGTGTGTGTGTGTGTGTGTGTGTGCAGCATGCTGTGTATGTGTGTAGATAATTATTCTTCTGCTGTCTCAGGTGGACTTCGTGATCAGGGTACGGTAGAGCATCTGTGAATGTAACTTTCCACTAAGGTGCGTGGATGGATGTCGGGGGTAAACAGATCTCGCTCGTTCCCGCGGCGGGGAGACTGCCCGGCCGATACTCCACCTATGGTTGGGGACTCCTGGAGCCGATGGGGTGGGACATTCGTGGAAAAATCGAATTTTATTACAAAACGGGTAATAAATAGTGATTTTTGAGATTTTTTTGGCAAAAATAGGCATATTTAATTGCATTTTACGCCTATTTGGTCCATATTTTAGCCTAAAAAGGTCCTCAGCTGACCTGACCGAGCTGCCGATGGTCCAGATATACTCACCAAGGCTTTTGTAATATAAAACTATAGCTAGCGACTACCTAATCCGGAAGTTTCAGGGATTCTCGCGGGGGACATTGGGGAGCGCCTAACAAAAATGCTTCTTTTCTAAATGCTAAGAAAAATCAACCACGCTTTCTAAAATTAAAAGCTCGTTATTTCATGCTTCTACACACCTCTATCTATCGATTAATAACGAGTTTTTGTTCAAAAAAAAACTTTTTGGTGGAGGAGATAGGTGTTAAAGTTGGGGGTGTTTTTCCATCGGTTATAGGCGTCCCCAACCATACCCCGGCCGTTGATACTCAATCTGGATTCTGCTCACGAGAAGGAGAGAAAGAGAGAGAGAGAATGAGGGATCCAGAACGTCCTGCACGATCCAGCTGAAGGAAAAAATCTGCTCCCACGCCTCCGTGACCGAGAGAGAGAGAGACATCATCAACTTTTTTTCCTGTCTTGCTCGTTCGCTGACGGACCGCCGATGCGAATTGTCTCGCCCTTAGGCTTCACGTCATCGTCCGGCACGGGTATTTTTTATCGCTCGCTTGGCTAACGAACTTCGTCGTCGGGGGATCAGTCCCATGACCGTGCTGCCTGCCACTGACCACTGACTGCCCACTGACTTCCCCATCCACCAAAGCCGCCGTCTTCCCACGTACTCCACGTATCATACGTATCGTGAGTATGTACTTACAGCATGTACCTACTCGCTGCCCGGTCTCTCGAGTGGATCCTACGAAAACTTCTTTCTCGGTAGAGTTTACTTTTCCTTTCTTTTCTTTCCCTTTCTTTCTTTCCTTTTCTTTTCTTTCCCTCCCCCCCCTCCCCCGTCGTCGACGGTCCAGGATGGAAGGTAAGTACGGTATCTATGGGATATGGGGGAGCATTCCCCCTTCCCCAGACAGACAGACAGAAAAAGAAAAAAAAAACTATGTACGGCCACGGTAGGTATGTATGTGAGAAAGTTTAAGCAACGTGAAGCACTCTATCTACTATGTAAACTATAGATTTCGCCGTATCGTCAGCACGACCCTGTCCTTCGAGAGCGAGAGAGGGAGAGAACTTGCCGGGCCCAAACAGAACAGAACGATGCGAACAAACAATTGGGTAGGTGTGTAGATGCGTATCACGCCTGGCCCCCAAACTTAAACATATACCCATACACATGCGCATACCCCATACTCAACCTACCCACCCCCCCAAAATCCCCGCGTCGTCGCTCCATACTGTACTCACTCGGCAATCAACTGGAAACGAACGCCGTGGGGGGTGATGATGATGATAGTGGTGGTGGAACGTCGAAGGTGTCCATCTACACACTTCATCATGCCCACTCTATTCTACTAGTTATTCCCCGCTGACTGTTGTGTGGTGATGGAAGCTCGGATCCGTAGCGTGGCGGCGGATGTAGCGGCGGTGGCGGCGGTGGGGCTGTGCATGTTTCCCTCGTCTCGTCTCTTCGGCTGCGATCATTCCCAGCCATACGTATCAGATATGTACTACGTTTACACTTTTTTTTCTCTTGTAGCTCCGTTCAAGCGGTTGTTGACTCCCTGGCTGGTTGGCTGGCTGTTGGCGGATTGAGGCAGCGGCTCCCTCACCTCACTGAGTCATGGACTCACGGACTGGAGGTTAGTTCCATGGAGACGTTTTCCTGCCTGCCTGCCACGGATCATGAAGCTAGAGCTGAGTACATAAAACTTGTAGCTTCTCTACCTAGTTCACGATGGTACGGTATGTATCGTACTCTACATAGACACGAGTACGTGGCCAACCAACCAACATCCAACATCCAACTTCATCGCGATCATCACCCTCGCCAATAACCGCAAGTCCGCAGCCCGGTCGGGTCGGGCTCACTCCGTCCAAGGAATCTTACCGCAGCCGCCTCGTTAAGTAAGTTCGAGAAAAAAACCGGAAACGATGACGTCGCACAACCTTGAACCAGCTCTATTTTTCTATTTTTTTTTCTATTTAACTTTTTGATGGACGACGTCGACGCGGACGGGCGCCGGGCGGTAGAGAGGCGGGCGGGGTTCCTGGCGCCGATATTACACACATACATAGACCGAAACCCGGCTGGCTGGCGTGTGTGCCGCTACTTCCGAATCTGAATCCGAGGTCGTCGAGAACTCGTGGGTTTGCTGATCACGCACCCCCCTCCCCCACCCACAGAAAGAAATTCCCAGAGCAACGTCATCAACCCGATGACACCAATCACGAGCGATCACACAAGACGATCTACGGTACCCACGCCTGGCTGCCCTGTACGGTGAGGTGAGGGGAACCCGGAGGGGTATTGTCACAAGGCTTTTGTAACCTACCTACTCGAGACTTTGTGATTGCTTCATCATCATGGCATTTGACCTTTCAGATGGCTATAGAGTACCTACTCGAGACTGTGCAGGAATGGAGAATGAAGAATGAAGAATGATATCCCATGATTACAGCAGCTGCGGAAGTTTTCCGAGCATGAATATATAGCATCCATAGCATCCGGTACCGGTACCGGCAGTGTCCATGGCGTTCAAGGCATCCGGTACCTAGCGGGTGGCACGATGTTCACCCATGTGTTTGAAGTTTTTGCCGCTGAACTGAACCACAACTCAAGCCCTAAGGCTTAAGCCGGTAGGATTCCACGGCAGGGGACGCCAAAGCGGAAACGTCGGACCAGCTCGTCTCCGGGAAAGCAGTGGCAGGCTCGGGCTAGGACCGTGGAGTATATACGGTCGTACTAGTATGCACGGCGATTGCTCGCTCCATAAAAACGTGAGCGGAAGTATTGCGCTCTAGGTACTCTAGTGGGCACTGGGAGGAGGAGGAAGAAGTCATTCTCGACCTGCCTGCGGTTTCCTCCTGCTGCCGCCCAGCATAAGTACGTATCCTCACGCCGCTCCCCACCCAGCAGCTAGGTAGGTAGTCCGCTTATGTAGGAAGTTCCGCTCTCCAGACACGCCGGCCTTTGCCTCTGCATTTGCGTTCCCCCAACCACCGAGCCCTGCAGCAGCCCTAATGGTCTCGAAATATACCATGGTAGATACTACAAGTATACAAGCCTACAACCTCTGCTAGGTAGTACCACGGCGCTCTGACGGCCAGCTAACGGCTAACTTCAGTGCAAGCATCACCAAACATCTGAAATCACTCGCGACGATAAGACAAGACATATGTCTTACACCGCCGAATTCCCAGAACAGTTCTAATGTAATAAAGTGAGTACAGGGGGAAAGTACTATACCACTCGGCCAAAAGATACTTTGATGGCTGAAGGCCATCATCCCAGTAGCTACTTAAGGCAAGGATTTCTGAACTGTGACAGTATCCCCTCTTTGGGGCTTACTCCAGGAAGCCTTCAAGTAGTTAACCCCCAGTGAGTGATATTTAATGATAAATATCTTCAACCATCACTCAATGTAAGCCATGCAGCGGCAGCAGCAGGAAGTAACTGCTCACAGTGAGAATTGAACTCATGACCTTGGCAGCCATCGAAATGTAATAAAGTACATTCGGAAAGTACTTTATCAGTCAACCAAAAGGTATCTTGATAGCAGAAGGCCATCATCCCAGTTGTCATGGCTCGCGGCTGAATGACGAAGGAATGGCCGGCGCAAGGGCCGGAAAAGTTGGGAGGCAGTGCACCAGCAGTGCAAGGATGAGTCGCAGAGGATGAGGGCTGTGTGCAGGAAGCAGGAGTAGCGCGGCTGCGCAGGGTGTGAGTCATGAAAGTGGGGTACTGACAAGGTGGATTTGTCAGTGTCTGGCACACACCCACGGTCATTGTCAGGTTGCGGAAAGAAGTGGAGGATTTCCTATATAAACGGGCCGTTGCCCCTCTGTATTTAGTTCTTCACGCAACAACTTGTTAATTCAATCACTGTTACCTCTGTCCTTGCCTCGGCTGCCGTCTGCGCCGTAGTCCTTGTCCCTACCTCTGTTCTCAGTTGCCGTCTGCACTGAGCCCCGCCTTACCTTGTCCTCTGAACCCGTCTTGCCTCTGCCGAACCCAGAACCCGATCCCCCGCCCAGCTTGGCTACCTGGAGCCTTGCCTGACTGTGCCATTACACTTTGTTGCGTCCCCTATCTCTCCACCTAGCGAATTACGATGGCCACCAACACTCAAGTACCTGGCGCCCCCCAGCAGGAGGAAGTACCGGTGGCACCGCCCTTCTACCGAGAAATTCCCGCCGCCATCTACGAACAACTCGAAATCATTGTCAATCACGATGCACCCGTTGATGATGCAACCCTGATGGAGTTGTACAATGGATTCAGAATCCTCGGCCGCGCAATCACCCTGTCCCCAATAGCAGTAGCAACCTGGCGATTCGATGACCTTGAAAAACAACTTGCGGACGCCCTCCGTATTGCCAACCGCCTCGCCACCGTCGACGCCCAACCTCAAAGCCGCGCTGAGCGTGTCCCAGAGCCCGCCATGTTGGACGGAACACGCGACAAACTGGAAGGGTTCGTTGCCCAACTTCGACTCAAGCTATACAGCGGCCCAGCACGTTTCCCAACTTCAGCACTCCGAATGGCCTATGCCTTCAACCGCTGAGAAAGTCGCGCCCAAGCACAGCTCCTGCCGTACATCGAGAACCACGACATCACCCTCACCGACGCTGATGCGATCATCACACTCCTGAACAACGCGTTTGGTGACCACGACCCAGGGGCTACCGCTCGAGCCAAGCTGCACCACCTGAAACAGGGCAATAAGGAGTTCACCTCCTACTTTGCGGAATTCCAGAGGCTTGTCTCCAAACTCAATTGAGACGAGCATGCGAAACTTGACGCGCTGCGAGAAGGAGTATCTATCGAACTTGTGACACCCCGATAGATATGGGAGGTCACGACGGTCGCAAGAGATGTGATTAGATAGTCCGGGTGATTAGAATAGAGTTGCGAGACGAAAGGATAGTTAGAAGCGATCAAGGACAAGATAGGAAGGAGGAAGCAAACGGATTCCAGAGTCTAGACAGTGATCGGAGTTGCGGGAGATCGGGATAACAGTCCAGAGGACTTTGAGATCTCCGTTCATAGGGCCCCGCAGTAGGAACTCTGATCCAGGGAAAAACTGTTATGACGAGAGAATCAAACATCGACCTATGGGGGCAGAGAACTTCAGGCGAAGAACTCTGCCGGCGCATGAGGGAGATAATTGCTCGGGAACTCCGATCTATCTTGGGCGCGTGGTGTTTACCACCTGCCTAGTCGAGAAGACTATCCGAAGAGAGCTGACGGAGACTCAAGGCTAGTCCACGGAACTCCGATGCAAAGGAAGCAACGGAGCTACGTCAGGCCGCACTCTAGAGGAATCACGTGCTGAGGATCGGTGTGACTCCCCGATAGGTATCGGAGGTCATGACGGTCGCGAGAGATGTGATTAGATAGTCCGGGTGATTAGAATAGAGTTGCGAGCCGAAAGGATAGTTAGAAGCGATCAAGGACAAGATAGGAAGGAGGAAGCAAACGGATTCCAGAGTCTAGACAGTGATCGGAGATGCGGGAGATCGGGGTAACAGTCCAGAGGACTTTGAGATCTCCGTTCATAGGGCCCCGCAGTAGGAACTCCGATCCAGGGAAAAACTGTTATGACGAGAGAATTGAACATCGATCGATGGGGGCAGAGAACTTTGAGCGAAGAACTCTGCCGGTGCATGAGGGAGATAATTGCTCGGAAACTCCGATCTATCTTGGGCGCATGGTGTTTACCACCCTAGTCGGGAAGACTATCCGAAGAGAGCTGACGACGACTCAAGGCTGGTCCACGGAACTCCGATGCAAAGGAAGCAACGGAGCTACGTCAGGCCGCACTCTAGAGGAATCACGTGCTGAGGATCGGGACAACTATAAGTCGAACCGAGCGGGCAACTGAACCAAAACACAAATCATCGCACCGAACAAACCATCGAACAAACACCCTTAAGATTATTCCGTTGTGAATTATCGAAATTCATGACTTTTATTCTACACTCGATATTACCATAGTCTCCGACGACGCAAACTAGTTCCAGTCTCACACTTTAATCTTAAGGTTACAGTCACCGATTTCTATCGAAATGTCCTCCTCAAACCTCGACATGCTCCGCCTCGAACTTCCTCAGACCCTGAGCAATGCGCTGGTTAGCATCCCGCAAGCATCCGAAACCGTCGAAGTACGAAACCCGGCAGCCTGGCTCAGGCTGATGAACCACCAATACCAAACGGCACAAAGAGACCTGCGCCAACTTTACCAAGCATGCGATCATAAGTTCAACGAAGAGGACTCACGAATGCAGGAGATCAGAAGGAACTACGAACAACTCTGCAATGGGGTCAAGTATGTATACAACCTCCACGCTCACAATGCCGAAATGAATACAGAATGGCTTCGAACCGAGCTGTCAACGGTAGCGAACGCGACGCACGCCCTGAGCAGCGACGTGTGGGCAGTCGTTAGACAACGCAACCAGAAAGACGAAGACAAATGTGAGCTGCAAAGCGTCGCAAACGCTCGCCTACAAGACGCCATCGTGTTCCTCGAAACGGCGCAAGTCGAACAACGCAGGGAGCAAGCGGTGTATAACCGCAATGTGGAAATATGGGCAGGGAAACAGGAAGAGAAGGCGGAATACCTCTACAAAGAGCAACAGCGAATCAAGGAAAAAATCGCTCGAGCGGAGAAAAAATTGAAGGCTGTAGAGGTAAGGACAGGGAAGGCGAAGGAAAAGGCCCCAGAGTGGGTGAACACCACC